CAACATCGATGAAGACATATTTACCATCGTTCTGTATTGGTACTTGAAAGACCCCTCGGCTGAGCTTGTATGACAGACCACGGGAAAGAGAGAAGAGGGTAGGAAAAACATATACTCCACAGCATTCTTTCAACAATGTGAGCGGCGCACTTTTAAGCCAGTTGCACATACGCTAGCGCGGACCTTCGTTTACTGCCAATCAGTTCCTCCTATCGCCATTCCGCGGAGACCTTTATTCGACCCAGGATCATTCTATGGGGATCGAGACGTATGTACTCTCCGGCCTCACTGTCGCCGATGCGGAAGATTTATAATGGATGTGGTAACTGTCATTTTTGTGGCAATGGTTCTTGGTGCCGATGGGCATCCCCAACCCCATCCGCAGTTATACAGGCAGTTACAGGCCACCTGGATATCGCCTAGAATTGAGGTCAAATTGAAAAGTGGTCGATGCCCCATTTCAAATGCTCGGAGCACGATCAAATGGAAAATGACTGTACTCTCTTTCATGTCCGGCGAAAAGCCGAGTCCCATTTCTTCTCTATATAAACTCCATGCTGAATCTGCCCTTCACGGAGTCATGACAGGCTACATGGGTACCTTCCAAGGTTCCCTTCTACAACTCCTCACTCATCCCAACTCCCAAGCAATTTTCACGTTACTTTCACTTCCACTACCATACCACTCCAAACAACTTAAACGAAAAAGAGCATGGCCAAACGAAAGAGGGCACCAAATCCAGATACCAAAGCCTGGTTCAAGGAGGCCATCAAAAACCTCTTGCTATCTGATCTGGCCCGCGCCCATGACAATTCCGAAACTTACGATCACATCATGCTATGTCGGTCGTAGGAGGACCGGTTCGAGGAGAGCGTTCAGCAACCTTGGCAAGCAGAATGGATGCGCTCTGGTGCTCTCATTTAGACCCGAGTCTCATCCTCTGCTGAGCAGATCCTTGGCTTCGAATGGATGGTAAACTGGGCTCTACCTGAGTACCATAGGGATCCAAAAAAAAAAAAAAAGAAACACTTGATCAATTATTGAAAACAGATTAGCATGGAACCGAAGAGGGATATTACACAGGGCTATGGATTTCAGAAAATACTACGCCATATACCCCCGCATATTTCGTGTTGCACTGCTTCTAAGGTACAAAGTAACGACACAGAGTAAAACCCCCCGAGAAATAGCCGGTTCATTTTAGTATGTTTTAGTATGTTTGAATCTTCCCATCTTTTAATATTCAAAATAACCCGGCATATCCAAATCAGACTCTCGATTAAGTTTGTCTGCTACAGTTTGGGATTTCAACATGCCTGTCAAGATGTTAGTCTTTCTTTACCGCAATCCCCGCCTGTCACCGGAAGAATTCAAGAAGTGCTACGAAGCGCACATCAAACTCGTCAAGAAGCTTGCAGGTGCAGACTTCCCCCTTTCTCATCATCGAAACTATATCTCTCGCAATACAGTCGAAATTCCTGCGGATGGCTCCACCGCACGCAACGCCTTCACCCCCGCCACTATACTCCGCGGGCGACAGCCAGACTTCGACTTTGACGCCTACGCCGAACTTACTTTCGCGGATCAGGTTGCTTACCAGGCCTTTGCGGCCAAGATCTATGCTCCGGATGCCGCTGCCCAGATAACTGCTGACGAGGATAAATTTCTGGATCGGTTGAAGCTGGGAGTTGCCTTAGTGGGGGAGGTGAGGATTACTGTGAAATGAGGTACTTTGATCAGACCTTATCGGGGTTGTTGGAGCCTCATGGGACTTGTTGTGATGCGTCTTGTTCAAAGTCCGGTGTGATCGTGAGATATACATTTGGATGTAGCATCTTTCGACTTGGGTAATATTCTCTCAAGAATCTAGTATATGCTCAATAAAGCTCGGGTACCCAAGTCTAACTTAATGCTTAACACTAATCAACGATCTATACTCGGTCACATTTGACCAATCCCAAAATTGCAAAAGGTCCAGAAGTATAAAATCCGAGCCACGTGAAGAACTTCATCCGAGCATGGGATTGTATTCTTAGTGGCTTGACCCCTCAAATTATTATCGGTATGGCCTTAATACGGCACATGCTCCGGTCGCATGGTCTTAGTGTTACATTGGTACTGGCATTTATCCTTCTCACAGGGCCCGTTCCTGCAGACCGGCGAACCGGGTACTACATTAATATATGTCAGACTGCAGATCCCTAGAACCTTAAACAGTATAAATGCATTCATTTCCTTGATACTACCACTCAGTTACATTCATCAACACGGGTCCTACTGTAGGACTCCAAACTCCAATCTAGGACAGGGGGGTGATGCTGCAACGCCCAAAGACAGAGCTCCTGGTCGTGAACAATTTAATATGTCCCGGGCCATATTCCTCCATACTGACTGTGCATGAGTATGCATTTCAAATGACAATGTCACCCATCCTCAGGTGTCCCCATGACTGATTGGCCGGGAATTCCTAATCTTCAGCCCCCACGAGGACAGATAATCGAGTTGTTACGAAGGGATGAACCCGCAATTTCAGAATGTTACATTTGCGGTATGCCATGCAGTCGGCGTCTACTACCAAAGACACTGTTAGTACACAGTAGATATCAAGATAGGACCTTCATAATGTGGAGAGCATACATGGTGGCGCTCCTTAATTCGCCGGCAACCCCCACAGGCAACACAATCCTCATATTGACCATGTGCAATCGCGGGGTTGCCTAGCTTGCTGAATGTGACAAAATCATAGAATCCCATTGATTCCTCCGATATCAATGGCTGATACGATGAGACCCCCTGGTATCAAGCAAGCCACCCCTTAGGTAACAGGGTACCTATTACCTGTTTGAGTTGTAGACAAACGGATGAAAGGAATGGACAATTACTATTGTCCGGCATCTCAATACTCCGCGGAGTAAATCATTTGTTTGTCGACTTCGACTACAAATAGTGAGGTCATTTCCCTCATCCTCGAACTCAACAACCTTCATCATCCAACCTCGCTGGCCCGAGACATCCAGAAAGCAATTCGACACACTCCTTCATCATGCAAGTTGTCATTCCTTTCCTTCTAGGCCTGAGCTGGCTCGCCAACGCTGCCTACATTCCTGCCCTGAGCACCAACAGCACTGGGATTGTATCTCGTGATGTTGGCGGGTACCGCTCGGTGGCATACTATGTGAACTGGGTAAGTTCAGACCATATCTATTATATCACTGGATGATACCGGGGAGATATAAACACGTCATCATCCAAAGCATCCAAACAGGAAGGCACGCTAATCAGACTATTATCCAGGCCATCTACGGTCGTAACTTCCAACCTTATGACCTTCCTGCTGAGCGACTAACCCACGTGCTTTATGGATTTGCCAACATTCGCCCCAGCACAGGCGAGGTCTATCTGTCGGACTCCTGGGCGGACACTGACAAGCATTACCCCACTGATTCTTGGAATGATTCCGGAAACAATGTCTATGGCTGTGTCAAGCAGCTGTTCCTTCTCAAGAAGAATAACAAGAAACTCAAAGTTCTTCTGTCAATTGGAGGCTGGACCTATTCTCCCAGCTTTGCCTCTGCCTTTGATACTGAGGCTGGACGGCAGAAGTTTGCTGATTCTGCTACGGAGCTGCTGAAGGACCTCGGCTTGGATGGTATTGATGTTGATTATGAGGTAAGTTTTCAACAGTTGCCATCTTGGAGTGGTTGATGCTTACGAATACTACAGTACCCTGCTACCGACGACCAGGCGGACAAGCTTGTCGATGCACTCCGACGACTTCGCGCGGTATGTGATCCTTATATGAATATCCATGAGCTCTGGCTAATAAATTCAGGCTTTGGATTCCTACAGCTCGGCCAACGCCGGAGGTTATCATTTCCTGCTTACTGTCGCATCTCCCGCTGGTAAGTTTTATCTCTATCGTTGGAATATTCCAAAATAGCTGACACAAGCCCTAGGCCCGACCAACTACCGCCAAGAACACCTGAACCAGATGGACCGGTACCTTGATTTCTGGAACCTCATGGCCTACGACTACTCTGGTAGCTGGGACACAATTGCCGGCCACAATTCCAACCTCCACGCGTCGACCGATAACCCGTCTAGCACTCCATTTAACACGGACCAGGCAATCGACTACTACACCTCGCAAGGGGTAGCTGCTAACAAGATCGTGCTGGGAATGCCACTGTACGGACGAGCGTTTACCAATACCGACGGCCCGGGAAAGCCCTACAATGGTGTTGGAGCAGGCACATGGGAGAACGGTGTGTGGGACTACAAGGGTCTGCCACTGACAGGCTGTGCCGTGACAATCTTGGATCAACCAGGTGCAAGCTACTGTTATAACCAAGGAAGTCGACTGTTCGTCAGCTACGACACACCCGAGATTGCGCGCAAGAAGGCGCAGTACATACAGTCCCGCGGACTGGGCGGTGGAATGTGGTGGGAGAGCAGCTCTGACAAGGTTGGCAGCGACAGTTTGATTACAACTGTATGTCATCTCCTAATTTTGATATCTGATTTACATTTTACTGACATACAAACAGGTTGTGAATACACTCGGAGGTGTTGGCGCTTTGGAGCAAAGCAGCAATCAGCTGCAGTACCCTGTCTCCAAGTACGTTAACTTGAAGAACGGCTTCCCTTAGACTATCTTATTTCTTTGGCTGTCAATATTTCAGAATTGGAAATATCTCGCGGACATATGGATTGGGACATTTATGGCTGTTTTGTGATGTGGACATATCCGGATCAGCCTTGATGGGTGATGGGATGTGCGCCGCTTGCTTTTGCATCTATCTCGTACACGATTTATGAAATGGAAAATAAAAAAAACACGACTTGGGTCGAATGTTGGTTGAATTGTACGTATAGATCGGATGTAGTACATATTAATTTGCAACAAGGAGTAAAATAGTAAAATAGCATATACAAAAAGATCAAAATTCCCAAATAGCTCGATCACCCCAAGCGATATTAATATAAGTCCGCAAAATTATTCAACTCTTGTTCTCTTGAGACTCTCCTGTTTGAGTAACATCGCTGATAGACCCAACAGACGGAGAGCTACTTTCCCCTTTGCCATCTTTACTCCGAGCACCCTCAGTGACAACCTTGTGACCTCTCAGCCCCCGATAAACATCACGAATCTGCTCAAGACCACCATCAAAGATCGGGTATAAGATAGCAACCAGCATACTGAGCCAGAGCCAGATGATAGCGACGACGACCCAGGCAATATAGAACTAGAAGAACAGTCAGTCAAGAGCAACGTTCAAATGTTTCAAGCCCAAATGGTAACACATACCTTCTTCCCAAACACATAACCAGAGCCATACATAGGCAACGGCCAAATAACCCAATGACCCAAAAAGGTCGCCGCAGCCCAAAACGCCGCAATACGACCCCACCGCTTCAGCTCTTTCTGATCCCCGGCACCGCTGCCTCCGTCCTCAACACTCCCGTCATCTGCACGAGAAGAGGCCTGATCATGATGCGCAGTCGTCAAATCACTATCTAATTTCTCAAGAGACAGTTTGACTTTCTTGAAGTCATTCCAGTCATAATTCTGCGGCCGGACAAGCGTAATCAAAACAGAGTATACAATGGGCGACATGCAAGAAGCGACTGTTCCATATAGACAGGGTAGGACTTGTCCCGTCGATGCGACGGAAACTTCACCACTAAAGTGCGACGCAGTCCCCAGCCAGACAGCCATACCTGTCGCAAGACCAAGGACCGGGGAGAGGATTGCGGCGGCTTTACTCTGGCGACGCCAGAGGATTGTGAAGATCATTGGGAAGATTCCGGGACATGTAACCACGCCTATTCGCGAGAAGAAAATTGTTAGTTTGAGATAGCAGATAAGGTGTGGGGATGACATACCCAGCATATACAATGTCCAACCTAGATTGATGCCCACGTAATGAAGCATGGTACTAAAGGCAGCGGAGAAAACAGCGAAGAAAATCACACCGAAGTGGCTCGCGCGGATCAGATCTTGATCTGTGGCTTTCTTATTGAAGTACTCGCGGTATACATCGAAGCTGAGGATCGAGCTGACGGCGATGACCTGCGCGGAGAGTGTTGATGTACACGCCATGAAGGTTATAAGAAGGACTGCTGCCGCGCCTCCTTTACCAGCAATGGTAATTGCCGCGTATGGGAGGACCAGACCATTGCCGACTTCCGTAGTTGTCATTCTCTGATTTGTGGTGTTAGTGGCATTTGTGAGATTCAGAGAGGTAGAGTGCTTACTTACCCTTGGGAATGTGGGGAATGTTGGGGTGTTCTCGAGTCCTAGGGCAACGGAGCTCATTACTGTTCCCAGGCCCCATGGGATGGCGAAGTAGGCAATGCCGCCAATTGTATAGCCTGGTACTACTGCAGCTGGGGAGGCCGAGAAGGCTTTGATGAAGTAGCTTGTGTCCATCTAGAGGGAGTTAGAATGGGATTGGAATGGGGTATGTGGCGTTTTGCTTACAATAACCAAGCCGAAGTTTCCAAGAGTGTGAAGGATTCCGAAAAGGATAGCCTAGAGTAATGTTAGGACCGGCTGGGAAAGTCATTCCCTTACTTTTGGGGTCTTACACTCTTCGAAGTCATTGTCAGATATGTCCCATCTTGGTTGCCCGAGACCGGGTGTCGTTGCGCTGCTGCTTGGACGAGCTCGAAAAGTTCACCCACAGAGCCAATCTGATCAGTCGAGAAAGCTTTGACGGTAAAATAGCATGCAATAATCATAATTATAGCCGTATGAAAATAATCGGTGAGGAATCTGTATGGCAGAGTTAGATGTTTGAACTTCTTAATGTTGAGGGAAGGGACCTACGTTGCTTTGATGCCACCAACAAATGTGTAGAGGGTCACTCCGACCGGCAACAAGAATGTCGCAGCAATAATATGCATTCCGGTGCTGAGTTGGTTAGCTAGTGCATCTCAATAGACTGAATCAAGCTTACACGGCAGTGATTACTGCAGCGGCACCAAGAAGCATATTGGCGCACGCAAAGATATTGTTCACCAGACAGAGAATCATGAACACAACATGTGCCACATGTCCTATACCCCCGGAATAGTGTTAGCAAATGCCCAGACAAGAGACCAAAGCCAACTTACCGTATCGAATCCGAACAACCTCTAGCGAAGTATGCGCTTCCGGGATCTTTCGCTTGCAGGATATTCCCAAAAGCGCAAAGAATACAATCATGGGACTACAGCCAGCTGCAAACCAGAATGGACCGGCTACGCCATAGTCATAGCCGACAAAAGATGAGCCGAGTAAAGCGGTTGACCAAAGCCAAGACTGAGATAATCATTTATCAGTTGGAGTCCAAACGGCTGGGGGAGAAAAAGAGAAGAACTGACCGATATCACGGCAGATGCGGTTAAGCCTGTGCGGACAGTACGGTTTGCTGTCATGAACCTTTTTTTGTATTAGTATTGAAGGAAGATTTGTGGAGGAACATCCATACATTTCAGTCTTTTCGTTGTCCTCTCCGGTGGTTTTCTTCAAGACCTTTGTAATGAGCATCATCACTGTTTGGTGTTAGTTGGGATACAGCAAGAATATATTGAAGTACTCACCCAGAGCAATAATCACACCGATAACGACAACAACAACATAGCCAACCGCCTGTGATAGAGGTGGCTGGACAGTCGAAATGCCATCGCGGGCATACAAGCTCGACATTGTGTAAGTCCCAGAGCCTACCCAAAGAGAGTTATCGAGAAAAATTGCCGTTTCAAACTATTAGTAGGACGTGGTGTTGTATAGATAAAGAGAGAAGAATAATAGCAATGTTACCGAGTACATGGAACAGGGACTATCTATGCTTAAATGATATTCATCTGTCCAGTGTACCGAGTCCCTGGATAGGGATATGGTTTGAGCCACATGCTGGAAGAATTGATATAGGGTCCACAATGGCTTGATTTGTGCTCGCGATGAGGTGCTTTTTCACGAGATTGGCGCGGCTAAAGGATGGTTTAGGTTTACATAGAGATATGTTGGCCGGGGTAATACATCCCATGCATATGACTTATTTAATATTGAGTTAAAGAAGAGGATAGATTGAATGGTCTGTCCTCTTGCATATGTATTTCTTATAGTTGAAGCATAAACGAAAATATTCAAGCTTAACTGTCACAGAAGGTGAACACCTACTCCGTAGACCAAGTATTGACAATCGAAATGATCTAATTCCCCAAAATTGAGTGAATCCCAAACTTTGATATTTCTCACATGCCCAATAGCAAGGACGTGAATTCGTAGGAACATGGTCCGGGGGAACGGGGGAGCCTCCGCGTAATCACATCACTCCGCCAATATTGTGTGTTGCACTCCGTATATAAATGTATTATTATATCTCTCGGGCGAGAGTTATACTAGGAATTAATCTGCATGCCGCTGCGAGTATAATTGCTTTTTAGCCAATGAAAACAGCCCATAGTGAGGATATTCGGCACGCCATCAAGGCCCACTGTGATGCTATAACATCCAAGTCCAGAGTGACGCACGCGGGGTTCTTCTTTTTGAATTTAGATGATTTCGATGATTAAATATAAAGAATATAAAGAAAATATAACCCCTCTTTTCTCGCTTTAGAAGGATAGTATTGTTTCTTTAATTGCTTCTAGCCTGCAATCCTAAAATGTCTACAACTCAACCATCAGATGCGACTAAGCCTCGCAAGTCGCTCATCCTCAATGCCTTCGTGGAAATGTGTACGTCGAAGCCCGTTTCACATGTGGAAGTCTCAATCTCTAACGATCAGTACAGGCAGCGGCCATCAATCGCCAGGACTATGGCGCCATCCCGAAGATGAGTCGCATCGTTTCAATGATGTCGACCACTGGGTCGAGCTAGCACAATTACTTGAGTCGGCCAAGTTCCATGGCATTTTTATCGCAGATGTGCTTGGTAAGTAGATCGAGTGTGATTTCATTCTAGGGGAGAAGTCTGACAAGAAATCTTTCTCTAGGAGGATATGATGTCTATAAAGGACCCAAAAACCTTGATCCTGCAGTTGTCTCCGGTGCTCAGTGGCCAGTGAACGAGCCATTGGCTGTTGTCCCCGCGATGGCGGCGGCTACGAAGAATATTGGATTTGGAGTGACGGTCACAACAAGCTACGAGCAGCCATATCATCTTGCGAGACGACTATCTACGGTCGATCATCTTACTAAAGGACGGTATGTGAATCTGGTACCTGTTGGGAGAACAAATCGCTAACTGAAACCCGTTTGATAGCCTGGGATGGAACGTGAGCCGCACTTTCAACTCGAAGAACAGGGACCCGAAAGAAATACATACTAACAATATCCTCAGGTCGTAACAGGATACCTCGATTCCGCCGCCCGAAATATGGGCCAAGCCGAGCAGCTACATGTACAGCCTCACATTCCACATATGTCTATAGCCCACTACTAACAAAAGGAATCCAGCACGACGACCGCTACCTCCTCGCCGAAGAATACATCAAAGTAACCTACAAACTCTGGGAGTCCTCCTGGCGCCAAGATGCCGTAACCCTCGACCGCGAGCGCGGCATCTACACCGACCCAGCCGGCGTGCGTCAAATCAACCACGTCGGCAAATACTTCAACGTGCCCGGGCCTCACCTCTGCCAACCCAGTCCACAGCGCACACCAGTCATCCTCCAAGCCGGCACCTCAAAAGCAGGCAAAACCTTCGCCGCGCAACATGCGGAGGCTATCTTCGTGGCAGGCCACAGCCCGGCCGTAGTAGCGAAGAATGTGAAGGAGATTCGGGAGCTTGCACAGAGCGAGTACGGACGTGATCCGCAGAGCATCAAGTTCCTCGCTCTTCTTTGCCCTATCCTCGGTAAGACGGAGGAGGAGGCTGTGGAGAAGTTCAAGTATTTCCGTAGTCTGGGATCCATTGATGGAGCGCTTGCGCTGTTTGGTGGGTGGACGGGGATTGATTTGGATAAGTATGGAGAGGACGAGGAGTTGAGACACGTCGAGAGTAATGCTATCCGGTATGTGATCACGCTTCCGCTTTTTTCAGCTTGACATAGACTGACTCGGATTTCTGTATAGCTCTGCTGTTGAGGGCTGGTCCAAGGCGACACCGGAAGTGGCTAAATGGACAAAGGCCACTGTCGGTCAACACATCACCGTCGGAGGGTTGGGTGCCACTCCTGTCGGTACAGCTGCTCAAGTTGCCGATAGCATGGAGCGATGGGTACAAGAAGCCGATGTGGATGGGTTTAACCTGGTAAGTTGGATTTCTTGAAACAATCCGTTGTATTTCGGGATATTTATTAACATTATTTGCATAGGCATACGCAATCAAGCCGGGCTCCTTCAAAGATATCATTGATCTCCTTATTCCCGAGCTCCGCAAGCGAGGCCTGTTCTGGGATGACTATGCTGTGCCAAAGGGAACTTATCGTGAGAACCTATATGCGCGGCCCGGCCAATCCGGGCCCCATGCAGACCACCCTGCTTCGAAGTACCGGTGGAATGCTGGTGTGGATGCTTCAGAGGCTGTCATTCCGGATAACTGAATTGTATACTTGCATCAATTACAGAATTTGAATTCCAATGATTCAACAAATAATTAGAACAATCAATTTTTAGACAGACTATCCGTAGACTACCTGCAAGGCCTGCACAGGACCTATTCTATGGACGCCAATAAAATGCAAATTTTGTACACAATCATAAATAACCAAAGCTCTAAGTCAACATATCATCGAGACGCTCACCAAGCACCTTCTCGATCTGCTTAACCCATCTGCGGACTTCTCTCTCAACACTCTCATCCTCGTCTTCCATAAGCTCACTGATGTAAGGCAGCATCTCCGGCAGAAGTGCCAGCCACTCTTCACCAAGCTGCTCCGTAAGGGCCTGTTCGGTCTTGAGGGCAGCGAGACGGGTGTGGGGGCTGTCGCCACCGGCGAAGCGGGCGTTAGGAGCAGAGGAGGGGCGGAGGTATTTCATCAGGGCGGAGTTCAGCTCCTTGTGGTTATCTGTGGAGTCGGCGGCGATGGCCAGTTCTGTGATTGTGGGCACGACGTCGGCAATGACCATGTTCGAGGTGGTCGTGCTGTTTGCGTGGCCGAGTTGGGCGATGAGAGGACCAGAAATGCTGGCGAGGTGGGAGGGGCTTTGCCAGAATTCTGCAGTAGATGTTAGTGGCTGTAATGAGCTGTATTGGGTGTAGAGAGGAAACGTACCATCTTGGTCATGCTCGAAGGACTTGCGGAGCATACGAAGGGCGGCCAACCAGAGGGACTTTTGGGCCTTGGATGGGCCCGTCGTGTTCAGGACACTGACAACGTTCTCCAAAACATAGCTGGAGTACCCGGTGACGATTGACTAAATGAGGCATTAGCGATAAATATTAATATTTGAAGAATTGCGAAACATACCTGGAGAGTACCAAAGAAGACCTCGAGGAACTTGTAGAAAGTCGTGAGGCGCGAGGTCTGAGCCTGTTCATCCTTGGGGGCGCCGGTAGTGGCCCACTCAACGAACGTGAGAAAGATGGGCCGGAACGTGCTGTCGTTCAGCTTGTAGATCATCTTAATAGTAACGTCGTTGAGCGCCGCTTCGGCCTCATCAATAGCAGTCGACTCGAAGATAGCCTTGTCGCCAAGAGCAATCTGTTCACGGCGCAGATCGAACGCCTTGAAGAGAATCTTCGTAAGGACGCCGATGTTCTTGGCAATGGTCGACTTGGGGTGCTTGTCAACAGCAATGGTGACAATTTCCAAGAGTTCATTCACAGCAATTGGGCCAGCCTTGACGGCGTGCTGCCAATTGCGATCAACGGCACCGAGAGTTGCGCCCAAATCCACCTTGCGGGCCATCAACCGCAGGGACTCCTGGCGGCTTTCATCGCTGCTCTCCTCAATATCCGCATTAGCTGACTTGAAGGACAGGAGGAGCATCTTGTCCAAATGGCCAGCTGAGATCATGAATGGCAGGTGAACGAAGAGGGCAGAGAAGAGGGTGAAGACAGCGTCGTGGAGTCGCGAGTTCTCCTTGCCAGAAACCAGACTCAACTCGAGCAATTCCAATGAACGCTTGAGTGTGTCTGGAAGGGCAGGAATCATGGCTTGACCCAGCACCTCGGCCATAGAGGCCAGGCACAGGATGCCCATGTAGCGAATGCGGTCATCGGATTGGCCGAGGCAAGATTCACTGGCAACCACTCTAGCCGCCGCAATGACCTTGGATGGGTCCTTACGGCCGTACTTGTCGGTGATGCGGTCAATGCATGAAACAGCAGCATGCTTGAGCAGCGTATCCGGAGACGACTCGACAATGCCAACCAGGGTGGGCAAGAAGTCGAGAACCCGGATCTGCGACAGGTTGTCGCGCTCGGGGTTCTGGCGGAGGCGAGTTTCAAGCAAACGAAGAACCTTGCGTCGAAGTTCATCGTTGGGACCCTGGAGGAGAACCTCAATGGTGTCCAGGAAGTCGACGAGAGACAGGGTGCTGAACAGAGAACCGAGGACCTCACCACAAGCCTGGCTGACGGGCTTCATGCTTTGCACAGCCTCGCCAATGCTCAGAACTTGCGTCAGGACTCGGGAGAAGCAAGCGCGGGACTGGTCAGCAACCTGGTCGTCGGACTCAAACGCTGTCTCAAGCTTAGACTTGAGAGAAGAGTGCTTGAACAAGTGAGCAAGATCACGCAGGAGATCAACGCAGATGCTCTGGGCGTCCCGTCCATCATCACTGCCAATTCCAAGAAGGACCTGGGAGATACCTGGCTTGGGCTTGAGAGAATCGCTGACCAAGTTCAAGTACTTGCTGTAGGTGGTAAGCTCCACGACAGGTGTAGTATCTGAGACCACACCAGTCATCAGAGTGAGGACATCCTTGTCGGTGGAGTATCGGTTAGCGAGCATTGCCAGGACAGCGAACAAGAAGTCTTGTGTTCCAAGCTTGCTGATCAAGGCATGGAAGAGTCTTAGACGGCGATGCGAGGGGATATGCTCGAAGGCTGCAGTGAAACTGAGCAGCAACTCGGAAGTTCCGGAGACAACATCCCTCTTTTGGTTACGCAGAGATTGGATGAGGGCAGGGACAACTTGGTCGATGGTTTGGTCAATGACCGAAACAGAGTAGTCATCATCCTTGCGCAGAACGGTAGTGCCCATGAACGTAAAGATCGGCATGACGCTGTGGAGAACCAACTCAGGCGCAATGACAGAAAGACTTCCCACGAGAAGAAGAGCGCCGTTCTGAACCTGCGGGCTATCAGTTGTCCGCACACAGTCCACCACCAGGTCGGCCCTAATGACGGATGTATCGAACCGCGGCTTGGCGGATCCCTTGGACGTGTTCACGATAGCCAAGAGACTTCCCAAAGTCAGGCTGAGCAGATAGCTCATGCCAGATTGGATCTGAGACTTGAAGTGGTGAAGAGCAGCGAGAGTCTGGAACAATCCATCTACAAGTTCGGGGTGAGTTTCTGGGGAGGAGCTATCAACGATCTCCAAGATGAAAGTCATCTTGTCCATCAACTTGCTAAGCTCTGCCTCATCCTTGACAGTCATGGCAATCATGTTGTTCTGGCTAGTACGTCTCCGCTTGGGTGCAGGGCCAACAGACTCAACATCGGTAATAGACACGGGAATCTTCTGGACAAATTGCTGAAGAACAGCACCGGAAAGCTCGACAGTGCGAAGAACATCTCGGCAGTTGTTTGCCAAAGAAGCGGCATTGGCCGATCCCGAAAGGGAGATATCGAGCAACTTCTCGGATGCGGCCAACTGACGGTCTTCGGGGATCTTAGCCCAAATGTGTTTGATTTGGCCAAAGCAAGCCGCAACAAAGGATGGGCGCAAGTTATCACCGGAGCTGACATTGGAGAGAAGGACATCGATGGCGTCCTTGTCTTTGGATGTGACAATAGCAGCAATCAAATGCTCAGTCTCAGATGCCACAATGCGCTCCTTGCCACAAATTTCCTCGACTTCCTTCTCTGTCAAGCGACCCCAATCCTCGAGTACGGAGAGAAGCTCACTCGTAAGGGTTGCAGTAGAGACCTTCTCCACGCTGTTGACCAACTTCAGCAAGCTAATCTTGGGCGCGAAAACTGGCATCTTGACAACATGAGAGCAGAGGAAAGTAAAGAGACTAAGGCGGAGAGACTTCTTGAGTTCGGATGCACCCGAAGCTTCGGAGAGAACGTTGCCCCGTAGGGTAGATTCCACCGTTCTACCAACATGGTTAGAGTCAAGGATAGACTCCTCCAATCCGGGAAGCAATCCCCGCTCCAGGACCTTTTGCGAATCCTTGGTGGTGAGCCATGCAACGCCCGTGGATTGCTTACCCTTGCCGTAGATTGCGTCGTGGGCCCATGGCTTCGAGCTGTCAGCGGCATTGGTGTTCTTTTTGTACAAAGATCCGATGATAGCCAAGACGCCAGCAGTCTCACGGCGAATCCGTTCGGAAGGATCCGAGAGGGCCACAAACAGGAATGGAAGTAGTGCCTGAGGATCAAAGTCTGCGGGTGCTGATGAAATAACAGATGATACGACGTTCAAAGCAGCAATCTTTGTTCCGATGGGGTAGTGGCCAGCAACAACTCTGATAAAGAAGGACAAATATTGAGGTGTCTTGGTCGCCTGGGACTTGCCCAAGATCGGCAAATTGGTGAAAAGATCGACATTGTCCTCGGAGTCCACCGCCAAGGCGAAAACGCGTACCAGGTTATCAAATTCGATGATAGACTGCTTGGAGAGGAACGAGTATGGGAACAAGGACTCTTTGAGCAGAGACTCCAGGGCCGGAGTAAAGGCGTCCACCTGAGGCTGATCGTCCGCGTCGATCATATCCACATCTTCGATGGCCTGTGCCACAACGGGGGCCTCGACAACGGTCTGAAGGTTGTGTTCCAGTGCCGAGATGTTGAACGAGGATCCAGTCATAGTCTTCTGGAAAATGGGTTGCAGCGTTTCGGACCGGTTGAATCCTTGAACCAGCTCAGCGAGCTGAGTCTGGGCATCCAAAGACATTCCGCGGGTCTCATCTGCATTGGAAGCTGCTTCAAGAACCAGGCTCATAGCCTTGGCAATCTCGTTCTCGCCAAGCATCTTGCGTTCAAAGACGGAGGCCAGAATTGCAAGGCGAGCATTGTCCTGCTTGTCAAGATCAGTCAAGCAGCCGGCAATGATCCCAAGCAACAAATTAGATGTCTGATATTGCGGCGCAATTTCAGAAAGTTGGGCGATAGGATTTTCGAGGCGCAAGATGCCCTTGAAGACCTTTTTCGGGATTGTGGCAGCAGGCTTCTGCTGTGCAAGGACTGAAAGGCAAATGAGACCTGATATCTTTGTATCTTCTGTCCAAGAACCCACAACGCTCTCCATTAGACCATCGATAACTTCGTTTGAGAGGAAGGCCTTCTGTGCCAGTACAACGCAGATCATATAGCAGCCGACGATCAATTCCGAGACCTTTTTCATTGTGAAAGCGTTACTGAGTACCGGCAAAATGCGCAAAAGAATATCTTCATGCTTTTGCTTCTCGGCCTCTCTTCTCCCTGAGCGAGCGCCATCCAACATTGTTGCGACGGCCTCTGTAACAATTCCGGCCCAAAAAGCAAGTAGTGCATGGCTTTGGGCCTGCTGCCTACAAACTTTCAGGACGTATTCATTTAATTCAGAAAAGAAAGCCTTGTTCGTCGCTGCGCTGTGAACAAGCGGGTGCCTCGGCGGATTAATGAGACCGTTCTTGTATGGAGTGAGGACTTTGAAGATTGGTATAAGAGTTTCCGGTAGAATAGATAGAAGGTTCAAAAAGAGTGGTGTCGTATGATACGGTAAGAACGTCAATAGTACGGCTGTCGTATTGAACTCGTGGATCCTGTCACATAAGTTAGCCACCACATCTCACGATCTCACGATCTGCACCTTCCCCTCACGAGCTTTCTCACCTGAACCTTCTCACAAGCCAGTCCACAGCTTTAACCGCAGGACTCAACTGTAGCCTGCCGCCAACCAGAGCTAGGAAAGCTTCAACCGCAGTATCCAGCTCCTTATTCTGAGGTACGTTCATCAGACTGCGGTCCTCCGCTTTGCTCTGCTCGCTGAAGATCGTGCGATCAAACTCTGCAAACCGGGGGTCCAACGAGCATAACTCCCGGAACCCGTCATAACAAATATCATAGATCGCATCAAAGTCTTGAGTGCCGGCGACCTTTGGGTCAAAAATAAGTGACTGTGAGTGTGAAACCCTTTGCGCCTTCAGGTCAAGCTCGTGTGTCGACTTGGCCGCAATTTGCGACAGCTGCGCGGCGAGAGACGAAGCCATGTTGAAGTCTCTTTTGGCGGGCTGTTCCGCGGACTTTTCTTGTTTTTTTGTATTGATGCTCACACAATTGCGCAGTGACCCATATCCCTAAGACTCCTGAGTAGTCTTTCTTTTTCTTTGCGAACCGAGGGCAGGCGGTTCAAATAATTTGAGGTAAGTCTTAAGCTTTGTTTCACTGAGAGCAAACGGTTGACTTTTTTTTTTGCCGGCCAGCCCGACCGCCCATCGGAGAATCGTTCTTCCGGGTTATCAGCCCGCGGCGCGCACTCGATAAGGAATATCGAGCCACCACCATGGACTCACCTGGGTCTCAGGTCAGTTAGCCTTCACTTACACCTTAATAGATAAAAACTGACCAGAAATAAAGGGTGTCCCGCAATTCTCCAGCTTCCGACCTCCCCCTACCTCTCCTCCGGCCGCCGCTACCGGCTCGGAACATGAACGTCGCCGTCGCTCGGGCCACCGTCAACGTGCAGACCGGAAAGAGTCTCCGCGCTCTCGTCGCCATGAAAGGCGTTCGGATGGTGGCCGTCAAAAGGCGACAGGTGAAGAAAGTAAGGAGCGCCTGAGTGGGGAAGGGATTGACAAAATTGACGATGTAAACGCTGCAAACGCTGAGGCAAACAAAGGGTTTGTCGTCGACAGCCTCGGCGATCGCGACAATACACGTTACGGCGTGGATCGCTACGAGGTCCCTGCGTACCATCGCAATGGCAATGGTTTCGTACTTGGCCTCCCGGGCCGGCGCATTGACTACGAAACCCGATATGACCAAGGTCCCCTTCTCCTTCTTCGCCCCGACTCCGGCTCCTCTGCAAGCACTGCAGCCAAGCCTCTCTCTGCCGGAACCCTATCTGCTTTGTCCATCAATCTTCCCATTCGCCTCCGGTCTGATCTCGCCAACCTTGCTGCTGAGACCCAACATGGACAAAATTTCATCCCAACAACTGTCCCATCTCAATCCGGCGTTGCGGCAACTGCCAACCTAGATGATGAGCAACCGTCTTATCGCTCCATCCATATCCCGGCTAAGTCCGAAGAACAGGCCACTGAGGATTTTGATGCGAACGCCTTCACTCGACTTGCTGTCGAAGCTGAGATCTTGAATCGCAATGCCAAGTTGAACAGCGCAGTGGCGCAACATCCTAATGATATCCAAGCATGGATCCGTCTTGCTGAGCATCAAGAACTTACTATCACGGGCGCGAGATCTGGCGACCGGACTTCCTATCACGACGATTTACAAGTTGTGGCAAGAGCCAAGCTGTATGTGTATGAAAGAGCTCTCAAAGCTAACCCACAAAATCCTGAACGCGATCACCTCGTGCTGGCCCGTATGGAGGAGGGTGCGAAAGTCTGGGACACCACAAAACTCGCATTGGAATGGGACGGAGTCCTCCGTCGCCACTCTGAGTTCATCACTGTATGGATTGAGTATCTTGACTACTGTCAGACTGACAGTCGGGATTTCAACTTTGACGGTTGCTTTAAGACTTATGCATACTGCTTGAAGATTCATTCACGCGTCGGCTTCGGACCGCAGAAAACGTTCATCAGATCATACTTGCTGCTCCGTTTGACCCTGTTTCTTCGAGAATCGGGGCACGTAGAGCTATCCGTAGGTCTGTGGCAAGCGGTACTCGAATTTACATGCTTCCGACCAGCCCATCTAATGGGAAAGAAAGAAGAGGCCCTAGTGGAATTTAAAAAGTTCTGGGCACCTGGACACATTCGGATTGGGGAGCCCCATTGGCAACCCTGGAACAGTGCACAAACCTCCCGTGCTCCTGCCAACGAGCATGTTTACACTTCTGAGGCGGATTCCCGAGACTTGTTCCCAACCTGGGCACATGCAGAAAGAGAACGGATGTTCAAAAACCGCATGCCGTCACATGCCTTTGATGAATCCAAAGAGAATGACGCTGCTCGGGTGGTCCTTCTTGAAGATTGCACGCAGATACTGCCATACTTCTGGGACTTGGAACAAAGCCTTGGTTCCCTAGTTGATGGCTTCTTGTATTTCTGCCATTTGCCTCATTTGACATTGCCTGCGAATATGCACACCAGCCGACTCTGGACTGGTGATAAGTTCCTGCGAAACGAATACATGGATGATCCTCGAAACACAATCGCGGACTGGATCACTTTTCAGAAATATGCCTCAACCACAACCGTTGTGCCTTTCGCATTCCCTCACCATACCTTCGTTCACACCACCGATACTCTTTTTGCCGACCCAAAGCTGTGGTTCTCCGCTCTGACGAAGTGGGCTGAAACCACCTCTCATTCTTCCTGTGTCATCGATCCCGAGTTTGTACTCTTGACTCTCCATGCCCTTGTCGATGTCTTCAGAGACAGCCAATTGGCTGAATACGCCATTGCAGTAACTTTCGCGTGTAACAACGCTCTGGGCAAAAAGTTCGGAAAGCGACTCTTGAAGGAGCGATCATCAAACCTGAGGCTTTACAATGCCGTTGCGCTCATGTATTGGCGGACTGGCGATCTTGACATTGCTCACAATGTGTGGTCCACCGCTTTGTCTATGAGCCAGAACTTTGACGCTTGCGAGCTCACTGACTCTGCACTCCTGTGGAACTCGTGGATTTGGGAAATGCTTCACGCTGGGCAAAAGAATCGAGCATCATACCTGTTGCAGGCCATGCCTTACAATCGAGTCCACTTGCTGTCATACGACACAGCTGATGAACTTGAAATCAACGAAACCAATTTTCTCAGGGTCAAGAAGGCAAGTTTTCATCCGTTGATATCAGTGAACGCCGTGCTAACTATCCACAGTGCTTGTTTGCCGCTCAGAAGAATGCCTTGAAGTTCAAGAAAATGCAAGCATACGCAGCTTACGCCGACTGCTATGCTATCGTCCTCTATCTCATGGGCGAGCTACTTGAAGAAGTCCTCGAAGTCTACAATGACGCCATCACTTCCCTTAGAGTCCTGGACAGGACCGATGATGATTTCAGGGTATTGGGCGGAGAATTGCTGCACCAAGCCCGAGCCCGAATCTCGTACCACTATGTGAAGAAGCAGAGTGGTCAATTCAGACCTGCCGACGTTCGTGCGCTGCTCCTGGATAGCCTGGAATGGTGGCCTCACAACACCATGTTCTTGTCGCTGTTCAAATGGAACGAGGCTCGGCTGCATATGAGCGATCGAACCCGCGACATCTTCGACGTCACCATCGGGGCGAAGGGCAGGGCCGCCAAGGATCTGCACGGGCCGGCCCCAATCTACCGTGTACCCGTCACGACTCACCTTTTCAGCATCTACGCTGAAATGGGCCGCCCTCTCACGCTCGGCTCGACCCCGGATTCAATCCGGGCAGCCTTCGAGCGAGCGATCGGTGATGCTGGCATCGTCCCGATCGGGCGAACCCCTGTACGGAAGAGTCCCTTCGAGCTGGCGAGCTCAACCTCCGCGCAGACCAGCCTCACTATCTGGAAGCTGTACATCTTCTACGAGCTGTACGCGGAGTACAACGTCGGCCGCGCCCGCGAGATCTACTTCCGGGCCCTACGCTCCTGCCCCTGGGCGAAGGAGCTGTACCTGCTGGCCTTCGAGCACCTGCGGGCGGACTTGACCAACCGCCTGCCCCCCTGCCGCCTCAACCGCCAGGGGGAGGTCAACCCTTCGGGGTTCGACCCTGCAGAGCTCCGAGCTCTGTACACGGAGATGCTGCGCCGTGGACTTCGGGTCCACTACCATGTGGAGAGTTTCTGGGCCGAGTAGGCCCAGAAGAAGCAGTTTGATTCCCGGGGGGGGGAGGGGATGGGGGTGTGGGAGGGGAGGAAGGGGAGAGAACAGTGGGGAATACAAGATGATGAACAGGTGAAGGGGGTGCTTCTCAGATCCCCTTCACCTGGATGTGAGAGTAATGTCAAATTCAACTGAGACGTGAAAATTCCATGCTTCAATTATGTAGTTGTAGTGAGGTAAAAGTGAGAGGTTCGCTCGAGATCCAAAGGGGTTTGGCCAGTACAGCAGTGTAGAAAGACTAGCGACGCTATAGAAGCTACCTAGACGAAGGCTATCAAAGCTACGAAAACCAACGTCTGTGTCCATTGCATGTTGCCCAGACACGACGTGTTGTCAGGGCGGGACTTCGGTCCGAACTTCCAAGGTTTTCCACACTGGAGTCCTGGATGGAATAAGACAACGCTAATCTCCTTACAAGTTTGTATTCGCGATGCTCATAATCTCCCAGACTGTGCCGGAATTCAGAGCCCTCGTTTTAGTCTAGGCATGTCTATATAAAACACGGCTTTGACCACATTTGATCACATTTCTTCCACAATCGAGGCGCCCAAAGCTAGCTGTCGGTCTATCACAAGCGGTACTTGAGCCCACGTGTTTTTCACGCATTTGGCTGAAAGGAAAGAGAGGCCTGACACAGTTCAAATAGTTAGGGGAACCGGAATACACGACGATTGGGAATATGCTGCCAGAGCCCGCCTATGATTTAGTGCGAGACGGTCCATTTTTCTAGCACTACAACTACTGAAGTGAATCATGGTTTTTTGCTTCTCGGAACTTCATTCGGCGATATGGCAGGCAAATAGGACAAAGGTACGGTTACAATAGGTCTAATATATGATCAGAGCCAACATCTCACTTAAAAACAGAGTAAATATCGTAATCGACGTAATACAGTCTCTATCTTGTTTAGATACATTTACGATTCCTCACTAAAGAAACGATTCTCGGGTCTCTCCAGGCCGAAGTGTTCACGCAGTGTCGAGCCCGTATAGTCCTTGCGGAAAAGGCCTCTCCGCTGGAGTTCAGGAATCAATCTATCCGTAACATCTTCCAGACCCTGCGGCAAGAACGGAAACGTGATCGTGAAGCCATCAGAAGCCTCTTCACGCAACCACGTCTCCAGTTCCTCGGCGATATCGCTTGGCGAACCGAGGAATGCCAGCCCTGAGTATCCACCATATCGTTGCGCAAGTTGGCGGATCGTCAGTCCCTCCTTCTTGGCCAGGTTTTCAACAGCCTCCCTGCTCGTCTTGCTCGCATTCGTCTCGGGCAGGTCGTCCGGCAACAAACTATCCGGATCAAAGTCACTGACATCCACCCCGAGTGAGATTGACAAAGAAGCAATGGCACTGTCGTAATGCACCAGACTATCCAATTTGAGTCTCTTTTCCTGCGCATCTTGCTTGCTATCCCCAACAATAATCATTGCCGCGGGTAAGATCTTCAATTGATCTCTCTTCCGTCCCGCCTTCTCCACTCGGCCCTTGATATCCGCATAGAGTGCCTTCGCGCCGTCAATATCCTTCGGACTGCAAAACACAACCTCTGCAGTCTCAGCCGCAAGCTGTCGTCCGGGCTCGCTTTGTCCTGCCTGAACAATTACCGGCCATCCCTGCGGTGGCCTGGCAATATTCAATGGCCCTCGAACCTTCAACTCGTCGCCAGAATGGTTTAGAACGTGCATTCTGGCTGGATCAAAATATTCTCCCGTCTCGACATTGCGAGTAAAGGCATCATCGGCAAAACTATCCCACAGCCCGGTAACAACATCATAGAATTCACGAGCACGCTTATACCGATCACCATGCGCCAGATGCTCATCGAAGCCGAAATTATGACTCGATTCCGGGTTTCCGGTAGTCACAATATTCCACGCCGCTCGCCCGTTACTCAGATGATCCAGACTGGCAAACCGCCGGGCGACATGATACGGCGCGTCGTATGTCGTACTAGCAGTGGCAGCAAGACCAATCTTCTCCGTCACGGAAGAGAGAGCGGAGAGCAGAGTAAAAGGTTCGAATGAAGTAACTGTGTGACTGCGCTTGAGAGCATCTACGGGCATGTTCAGCACGGCCAGGTGATCAGCCATGAAGAAGGCATCGAATTTAGCGGCCTCTAGCTTTTGGGCGAGCTGGGCGATGTGTTTAAAATTGAAGTTAGCGTCGGGGTATGAGCCCGGATAACGCCATGCACCTGTGTGCAGCGAGACTGGCCGCATGAAGGCCGTGAGGTGCAGCTGGCGGTTTGGTTGCGAGTCGGTCATCTTGATATTGATTTGGGTGTCGTCCTGGTTGAAGTTTCAAATCTTGCCAAGTTGGATATATACAAACCATTTAAAATCAGAATAGCTGTGATTATATACCCCGCTTGTAACTCGGGTCCACAGCTGTTGTGCCATTTCCAAGCAGATTTATAAGCCTCGCTCACTTGGACTAGATATGGCGTGCTTAGAGCTGCATATAAATAGCTGTGTAGAGTGCGAAGCATAAGATTACGGCTTGTCAAGTACAACTATCCCAAGGTGATAGCATGCTCAACAATATTTCCAAGGGTAGGTTAATTATGTTTTCAAGATATCGAGCATGGTAAGTCACCGTACAGCATTCTTCAGTTTTGTGCCCTAGAGGTTTATAGTTTTGTTAGCGCTGCAACAGATAAAACAGATTTTAATCTATGAATCCAGGGATATATGTAAATGAGCCGCACGCCTTAACAATATGTATGGCAGAAGATATATTGAGGGTTCCTTCATGTCCTGTACCCAGCTAACTTTGTTTTGATCGGTCTCAATCAATACTTGATTCCCATGGCTTATTGTACCAGGGTTTTTTCCTCTGGAAAGAGCGTCATAAAGGTAAAGAAACTACAACTGTACTGGCATAATGAGGACTCTGCATAGCACATCCAATAAAACAACATTAGACACCGGAGTCCGTGAAAAGCCTCGCGCAGCAACGAAGGTCCGTTTTCAAACCCACACTTGGGGACTTTGGCGTCTCCAATTCCTTAGTAGATAAGTGCAACAATTATAAACAATGCAAAACCACCTTCATCATTCATACTCTGCTTTCAATTTCTGGTCTCACTGCCAGCCGTTCACACCGCACATTGGAGCCTAATTTAAAAATGTGGTCAATTGAAGTAGCTTTTTGTAAGCATATGGCTAAGAGATCGAATTCGGTACATACCTAATGATCGTATTCGTCCTTTGCAGGTCTTCAAGCCTAGGTACTTGATTTCCGCTGCCACTTCTTAGCTTTCCCTTTCCGTTTAAACGCTCACCTCTTGCCGCTTTTTGCTCACTGAATAAAACTAAGCACCCGCGGACGCTCGGGAAATGATAAATGCACAAGGAAAACTACCGTTTACATAAGATATGACTAGTATCAATCTAATGGAGATTCAGGCAATCGGCCGATCTATTTAGGCGTTGGGCAAATTTTTATTTGATAAAATTCAACGGTCACAGAAGTGAAGATGTGGTATTTAGAGGTTATTACGGTTCTCTGTTAGGAAGTGTCATTGAAAGCTGCTAACCAGCCACCGAAGCCTAGGTAAATTAGTACACGGCGCTAGGGTTGACTATAATTGCTCGGTTTTATGCATTGTCCAACAGCCCTTTATGGATGATGAGTTCCCAAGCTATGGGTGAATCTCATGTACAAGGACTGATTCGTTTGTGTTATGTGACAGCAAATTCTTGCGTTTGAATAGTTTGGGGAACTACTCTTCGTTGACGCCAGTTATACCCTCGTTAAGCTTAAACTCTCGCAACCATTGTTCGTTATCTGCTGGTGTCTGATTCCACGGATCGTCACTAAACATCAGAGCCTTGTCAGCAGGAGTTGACGTTTTGAGAGGCCGCCGCGTAAAAGACTTACTCTTCGTACCATATCCAACGCGCTTGGTATTTGATCTCATCATCAGTGGGAATGTGGCGGTCGGGATTGCGGATCGACATTGCTCTTTTGGCGAAGCTGGATAGGTCTTTCACAAGAGCCAGATACGAGTTACCGCCATTGTGAAAGTGTACTCGCCCTGATGATGTCCTTGTACGTTGCTGCATGTTCAGTGTAGTATATACTGGATCAGCGAGTCGATCCGTCGTTGTGCTATCAGCGTTTCCAAGTAGTCTCGCTAAACCACTTTTACATGCCTGATTCGGGACAACATCGAAGCCAGATGCGACATCCGCTGTGCCCAGTAAGCTAGTTTGGCTAGTAACTTGAAGGGAGAGATCGGAAGTGAGCCCAGTTCCATTGCCGCCTGAATCATGCGCCGTCCCTACGAATGCATCTGTCGGCAATGTCGGGAGTTCAAGAATCTCACCCATTGTGTCGCGAGTGCCATTGAGTGTGGAAGCTGGGTACATTGGACTTCCAATTGTCTCCGTGCCTTCTGAGCACCCCATGCTTGGCAAATACACAGGACCTGGGTTGAGTTCAGGAAAGGTAGGGATGAAATTCTGGTTGGCGTTATCCATGCCGTCGGCAGCCTGCTGCCCTGCTCTTTCAAGCAGAAAGGTAATCCAGTTCACAGAGCCCCAAATAAGCCGTACCATGAAATCCATGAACCGTTTGGATCCATCCAAGAATCTGGCGTCTGCATGACTGATGACATTGCAAGCTTTTTCTTGTATTTCTGAGTCTGATAAGGCGAGACCTAGAGTCTGGTGCATAATGATAAAATTGCGCAACTCGAGCTCCAGGTTGCAATTCTCAAATATGTTGTTTTTCCCATTGATGCTTAGCTGGCTTACTCGCACCTTGCAATGATTGACTGGGCGCAAGCAAGCCCGCATTGTAGGTTCATCTGAGGACATGAATACATCCCGAAGCCAGGACGGTGCTGCCTGGGCAGGAACAGGCGATGATATTTCCGCTGCAAGGATGATGGAACAAGCCTCATATTGAAGTTCTGGGTCAGAGGGCAGACTGCCGTCACTATCAAATTGATTTTGCATATAGTACTCAAGCTCTAACTTAAGAAGCTCATATGAACTGGTCGGGGTCTCGGTAGGTCCTTGTACCGCAGAAAAGGGGAGAGGCGAGACTTGCTCGAAATGAATGAGGTCTGTACCCAATTAGCCACAATCAGGTCTCATGCCAAACCAAACCGAGGAATCACTCACAGGGAGGCATGGCATTTTCAACTATCTCCGACACATGATCATCAAAGCCCCAATCGCCCTCCCAATCAGCCATTGTTTTCCCTGTCTTGAAGTGTTGGCCCAAGTGGTTCGCACGATATATCCACGATGTCATGGAGATACCACAAAATCCGCATCGCGACTTGATGTCTTCCTTGCTGATATTCCAAGTTTTCATTAGCTCTTCTGAATAGTCTACGGCATGTACCAGCCCTAAGTGTTGCCGAAGATGGTCTTTTCGATAGAAAGTCCGTTCTCCAACAGGTCGTTCTGAACATTCAATCGCATTGTGATCTCGGAGATGTTGTTCATTCGGACTGGCTTCTCCACAAAAAGTACACAGTGTCCCTCTGTTGGTATCGTGTACTACTGACCCATCCCTCGAGCAAATCCATTTCTCGAAAGAGAGGTGTAGTGACTTTTCGTGTCGATGCCAGTCGAACTTGGTCTTGAAAGTTTCAGTACAGAACGTGCACTGGAACGTTTTGAGGGGCCGTGACAGCTGTGGAAGCCCGACTCTAAATTTTTCATCTCTTCTGGCACTGGTTCGCCTTCTTCTGCGCCGCAACATGTGCTTGAGAGGATCTTGAGACCTGAGTGAAGTGCGCTCACCGAAAGAATAGGCCGATGAGCCAGAGCCAGAGCCTATGCTTGAATATGAAGTTCCGTCACTTCCCTCCAAGGATGCGTTGCCCGAGAATGTAGCCGAGTTCTGAGAGCTGTAAGCGACGGACTCTTCAGAGCAAGCGGCGATGGCGCGTGATATGTCAGAAGCTGCAGCTGCTTCGTGTTCGGGCGGAGAGCTCTCCCATCGTTGAAGTGGATTCATATTTCCAAAAGGTGTAGGCGTAGGCGGCCTTGGAGGTATGTCGACAGAAGATCCCTGGGTCGGTATTGGATCGGAGGTTCTGTAAGGATTCGATAAGAATAACAAAGATCGTCGAACCTTGGAGCGTCGTCGCATATTAGAGAACCAGTTTTGTATCTGTTTCTGACTGAGGCCAGTGTGAGCCTCAAGCTGTTGTATATCATCGCTTGTTGGGTAAGGGTGATCTTCATGATTCGCGAACCATCTCTTTAGCAGCTTTAGGGCGGAAGGGTTAAAACGATTGCCACTCTTGGGGGGCAATGTATTTTTGGCAGGCCACAGCGTCGTTGAGGCTCCGATAGCATCGTGGGGTATATTCACGATGTCAGTCTCGGCTAAACGTGAGACCAGCTGTTCTTCTGCAAGCAAATCAATGTCGAGTCTCGGCTGGTACTGCACCAAGGAGGTCACTGCATTTTGCTCAGAGGTTGCGACATCGCCCCAGCTAATTGGTTCGGGACCTGCTGGGGAAGGGTCATGGCCTGGAGGACCAGATTCAAACTCGTCTACTGATGAGGGCTCAGCCATGGTCCAGATGAGTGATAGAGATGTCGATAATTCGGCATTAGGTCAGGATGAATCTATGTTGTATGATATACCGAACGTTACGTTTGAGGAGTTCTGTCGTCGAAGGGCGTAGATTCGACCCACTTTTCCTACAGATTAATCAACCATTTCCGTGGTTGCCTGAGTGGGGTAACGATACAGCACCCTCTTATTCGCTATATCGCGTCTGTAGCTTTCTTTGGAATTCATAGCCCCGCCCCGGATAATAAGAGACCCTCATCATCATCGTAAGGCAGGTGAGGTAGACGGTTCCCTAATAATCGAGGATGCTGCTCAAAGCGATACCCACATGTAGGTCATATCGACGTTTTGTGACTTCGTTTACTTTCTAATTAACAAACTCAACCTTGGAACTCGCCGGTACACGTACATAACTCAGATCGGTCAAGACTAGTTGGTTGACTCATGCCCTTTTGCGGTGCTGTCTGCAGACATGTTCTTGGCGCGTCCTGTAACTGTCAAAGGCCACTACATGAGTAAAATTTTGTGAATACAATTAGTAAGTGACCGATAATCAAATGTTAGTGGCGAAGTTGAGAAGCTATGTATTAAGCATAGATAATCGACAAGTCTGTGATTTGGTGTGGTACATTTTCAAGGATTGAGGCTTTCATCCCGCGCCGCCCTCGTTATCATGACAAGAACGATTAGTATACTGTCTTTGCTGGTGACCATGCTGAAAGCAGATAAAGCCGAGGACGGCCTTGACAATATGTGGGTCGGCCTTGTAGTTTCCTCCGGCGTGTTTTCAAAAGGCGTGTGCTCCCGCCTTGTCACGGTAGGATTTTCCAGGTTACTTGCTACCTCTTCCTGTCATCTCTCCGGCTCTCCAACTCAACAGATTTTGCGTTGGTTAGTACCGGAGGCTCCTTAGTCAATGAGGCCGGCTTCTGCTCAGACGGAGACAGAACGACAAGACGACATGCCCTCTAGCAACCATACATGCTATCCTGGCTCGAACTCCAGACTAGATGCTGTCACAGAAGGGGTCGTTTACGAAGCGGCAGAATCACCCGACACACAGCAGTTGCACAGACCGAATGACTCAGAGGACGATGCTGAGTGTATCTCACAAGACGGTTGCAACTGTCAAAGCCAAATTCAAAATGTGAGAAAAGATCTACTAGGTCTCTCTGATATTGCTGACGATACAACCCCAGAAGGGAAATGAGATTCAAAAAGTTGAGCTCTGCGATATGTCGATTAGCCGCGATCAAAGCAACGCCGTTGTTGAAAATCCTGCTAGTCGTAGTGTGGCGGAGCAACCTCCGGTGATGCAGACTCTCACGGATCTCGAGAATGGTCTTATTGGCTGGGATGGCGAGCGTGACCCGGAGAACCCCTTGAAATTCACGTCTGCAAGGAAGTGGCTGATCACCAGCATACTATCGGCCATTGGGTTTATGACTCCATTTGCCTCATCCATCATAGCCCCCGCGATATCTTTTATTCAGAAGGACTTCGGGGTCAACGATCTGACAAAGAGTGCTCTTCCAGTGAGCATTTTTTTGTTAGGTTATGCAGTGGGACCTCTATTTCTATCACCCTTGTCCGAGATATATGGCCGCTACATCATCATAACTGTTGCCAGTACCTTTTTCTGTGTGTGGCTGATTGGTTGTGCTCTTGCTCCTTCATTGAACACACTCATTCTCTTTCGCTTTCTGTGCGGTGTCGGCGGTTCTGCTTCTCAAACTATTGGAGGGGCCACGATAGCAGATCTTTTCCCTGTTCATGAGCGTGGCCGGGCTTTGGGCATCTGGTCACTTGGGCCGATCCTAGGGCCTTCTTGTGCACCTGTCATTGGTGGATTTGTTGCTGAGTCGATAGGGTGGCGGTGGGCTAATTGGATCACTCTGATTCCTACCTGTCTCATAGTGGTATTAATGGCTATTTTCAACTGTGAAACCAATCACCGTGTCTTGATCGAACGGAAGACAGCCAGAACACGCCAGCAGCTTGGCCGACCCGAGCTTCAGAGTTGTTTCGCCAATCCAAATATTCCTCGCTTGTCGAAAGAGGATATAATTCTTGGAGGTTTAATCAGACCTCTAAGATTGCTTTTTGGTTCTGCTATCGTGTTTGGCATATCTCTTTATATCGCATTTGCATATGGGTGTCTCTATCTTCTATTCAACACCATCCCCATTGTCTTCCAGGACCACTATGGTTGGTCTATTGGCATTACAGGCATCGTATACCTGGCCCTTTTGATTGGATATATTATCGGCCTGGTCATCTTTTTGACCATGTCTGACAAGACTATAGTCCGTATGACTGAGGCGAATGGTGGAGTATACGAACCTGAGATGCGACTTCCTGTTTGTATTTATTTCGCTTGTCTACTACCGATTGCTTTCTTTTTGTACGGCTGGAGCAGCGAGAAAGGCAGTCATTGGATCGTACCGGTCCTTGGGCTTGTGGTATTTGGCATCGGGTTTGAGTGCATCTGGCTGCCGACTCAGGCATTTATCGTCGATGCGTACCCTCAGTGCGCTGCTAGTGCACTCGCTGCTTTCTCAGTAATGCGAAGTGTAGTTGCTGCATTTCTTCCCTTAGCTGGACCGCAAATGTACCACGCCTTGGGGCTTGGCTGGGGAAATACTGTTTTGGGGTTGATAGCTTTAGCACTTGTGCCGGTTCCTTTAGTTATCTACAAATTTGGCAAAACCATCAGGAAGCACGAGCGGTGGAAGCTATAGGAAGATCAGGGATGTTCTCATATGCATATCATCGGTCTGGCTATCCTGATAGATTGCGAATTATAAGGGGTTGTTAGCTTTGTATGCGGCGTTGGGGCTTTCAAGCGGCATGGGTCCAGGGTTGGGTGTGGGTTAAGGAAATTGGCCGGATCCGGGATGGGCGGACGTCCTCTCTATACTAGTGATGGAGGAAGGCCAGATTAGCGTCAGTCTCAGTCTAGCAACTTATTTGTTACTAGACAAAGCTTTAGTGTATCCAAGAGTTGCCACCAGAAACTGCAGGTATTCTTTGATATCGATGAAGACTTAGATGCCCTCTAAATGCTCCCTATACGCACAGCCTTGAGCCCTGTTGATTGGATAATTTTGAGCTTCCATGCCGGCAATGATCCCTGCGTTATCAAATTTGTGCTCGGTCCGGCAAGAGTTGGGGGCCCCTAGGTCATTGCTATGATCCTCTAGCGATGTGCAGACACCTCTTCGTGCCTTGTTGAATAGCTCCTAATGCCGGTGCCTGCACCCCTCGGAGTCGAAGCTCGCTATTACCCATCATTCGCTGCATCTCGGGCTCTATAGCTGCCTGCGTCAATTGCTAGCGACGCTCCGTACGACCTATCTTAGCTTCCTTCTGCCACGGTGAAAACTGGGCTAGTCCTAATGCACTCTCGGCCCTCTTTCGAGCTGATTCAGCAGTTGATGCCTTGGGAATCAGGAATCAGTGGATGTTGAATGAAACAGATCACGCTAGTAAGATTCCTCTCCACTTTTACCGACACTGTTGAACGGGCGCCAAACATCACGGCCGGAAGGTGATGACTAACGGCGCTAGGTGGGTGCAAGATAGTGATGGTACTGGACGGTGGGCGGCGAAGCCCTCCAAAGTTACGGGTGGAAAGACGGCCGTTTCTGGCGCCAAAAGTGGTCATTTTCGGCGTCATTTTCACAGGTCCTCATATTCTAGTTGTATTAATTATAAAGTCATAGGGAAATAGTATATTTACACTATTTATTAAGGAATAGGCCCCTAATAGGCCCCTACGATAGGCTATAGGCCGGAAAAAAGCCTAAAGCCTATCGTGGGCCTAAAGCCTAGCCCATTCGTGGGTTGGGCTGGGTTGGGCTTTGGGCTTTGTGGGCTCTGCGGAAGCCTAATTAAGACTCCCATATTTTTATGGATGTTGGCATGTAGGCTCACCCCTGAACTGACCTCGTACTCCACCGAGTACATCATCTTGCAGAGACTCCAAGACTCGGACCTTGCTATGTTATATTCTGTAGGGTGTTATGTAGTTAATGATTGACTGGGGGTGGTGGGTACACAGTGGGGGGGGGTTGAATTCAGATCAGCCACAACACCCAGGGATGCTAATGACATCATCGAATTTCTCTTTCTATAGTATCTAATATAAGTAGGACCTACTTGCCTCATGATTCTGGGATCAACCTGGTCTCTGAAACTTCTACAGTCAATCAAATTGTTATATCAAAATGGCCTCGGTATGTAATCAACAACCATAATCATGACCTGGTGAAAATGCTCACTATTCAACGGTTCGTTGCTGACATTTTTATGCTACAAAGACAATCATTCGGTTTGAGAACCCTGAAGTATTTATTGATAAGCAAGAGGAACTCTTTGAGTAAGTCTATATACAGCATAAAGAATATTCGTGCAGCCATGCTAATCATGTTTTCAGGATCCTCGAAGAAGCCGGTTTCAAACAAGGGTCTTATCGAATACCCCCAAGTTTTTTGCCGATCATATCGCTTCCTAGGTAAATATCGCCTTGGCTTAAAAGGGGTTCTCAAAACATGAGCTGACGTATTAGTGACCTCGATGATGAATTTCTTGGCAGATTGAACAACTTGGACGGGGTGAATGCTGAGGTCCAGACAGAGGCTTAGATTTAGTCATTCCGTACCAAGTGGAGACGCCCGCTCTATCATCTTATCACGTCCGGATTCATTCATTCGTTCATCCACGTAAACGAGATGGCAATACAACCATTATGATAACAGTACTGCCGGAGTTACAAGGTGAGCCAAATAGGTTAGCATCGTACGGAGTTTTCCGGCAATCAAGTAGTAAGAGTATGGCTGTATAGCTGGTTTCGAAAACTACTGTAACTTACCGAGATATCGATGAAGTTGATTTCGAATAACTCCGAAGTGCGAAGCAATGTGCGCTGTTCCGAAAGTCGGCGAAAATGAAGTCTTGGTGAAGCTCCAAGCTGCGTCGCTGAACTATCGCGACCTAACTATTCTAAAGGTATGGCCTTGCAAGAGCAAAGCCGACATTCAACCTTGATTGATAGCGCCCCAATACGCCGTCAAATATCCCTTCAATGCTCCCAATATAAAAAACCATGTCTTAAGAATAGCATATTCTAGGCATGGATGATTTTTCTATTTAATTTTGTCTATGCCATCTCAACCTAGGCAACGCTTTCATTAGGGGTGCTATTTTAGCAGCGTCGGCCAGAGATATATATAGGGCCATAGTGCTTAATGCAAACACGTCGTTTTCCAATTCCTTCTGTTGTTGTATGTACATTGGAAGTCTGTTTTACCTTACACACCAAAATGAAGAATAAGTTTGTGTTCATAATTGAATTGATCAACATATTTGATGGCAATGGATCCAATGCAAACTGAATTTCTATCCACAAAGAATCGGGGAGACGATCTAACTATTAAGAGCAACCACGGCTAAAACAGACGTCGCGTCCTTCGTAGAAGCAGAAATCACATCCTCCGAGACTGCCCCTGTTCTCCACATCCCCAATCCCACAAAACGTCCATTCACAGAATAGTATGTGCCTACGCTGCGACTCTGGCGCATTTGGCGCTCTTCGTCCCAGAACCATTCGAACGACCGTAAGTTTAGCATGGGCTGCAGCATATATTGGGTCGCCAACGAATGGATGTCTTGGCTATCCATGCAGGTTAGGATCGACTGCCATTTCTCGGTGGAAAGGTTTCTTCCTAGCAGGATCCCAGCTCCACGGGCGTCCCGGGCAGGTTTGATTATATACTGGTCTTTGATCTCAGGGTTGGTGTGGGTGTGATAGAGGAGGTCTCTGAACTCGGCTGTGCCGGGGAGGACGGTGGGGATGATATGCTCCCGAAGGGTCTGCGCTTGTGCAGGAGACAATACCCGTTGCGTATCCACGAGGCTGTCTAGCTCCTGGAGGATGATGCCCAAGATGCGTTTATCGTGGGCCAGGAACACGCTCCGGGGGTCATTTCTGCAACACGCGGCAATGTGTCGCACCATCTCGGGGGATAGGGAGAAGAGCTCGAAGTCGTACAGCTGTAGTCCCACCATGTGCACTGGCTCCAACATCTCACCATCTACTTCCAGCAGAGATCCAGGGGGAGTTTTGATCGTGGGATCTGCACCCCAGACACAGTACAAGGTGAACCCGGTTTTGCTGGCTGCACTGGGCAGCAGACGAAGATCACCAGGCCTGACGGTTCTCGGCCTTGCCCCAGTTCGTTCTTCGATAAGACCGAACAGAGGGCTATCGGACGGGAAGGTTTGACTTTCCTTGACAAAGTGAATGGGGCCATCCGAGTCGAACAAATCAAATAGGCTCTCTTGAAGTACGTTGTGCTTAGTGGCTGGTTCGATCAAGGGAGTATTCCATGTGCTGCCGGCTAGTGCCTCATAGGCCGTTGCGACGTAGTGGAGGAAACTGATCGGAAACCGGCCGTTGATTTCACAGACACGAAATTCGGGGATTTTCCGGTCCGTAACTGGGAGCAAGATATCTGGTCGAAGATTGCCTTGGTTGCCTTGGAAGCGTGGCATGATACCATCTGCAGTCGCCATATCTACCCATTGCAAGAGCTCCTCGACATGTGCTTCCAGTGGCATTCGACTGGGTAGGTCAGCCTCCTTGTCTGTCCACCACCTTTCGATGATGTTATTCAGAGCTATGGCGAGGGCTTCGTTGAAGGTCTCCAACTCTTTTACAAACTGCCATGGTAAGAGTGCTGGGTGGGGATTAAGTCTTTTCGCGGCCGCGGGAAGCGCACCATACGGACGAACATAATCCGCCAATCTCTCCTGCAGTACCTTGTTTTCACGAATGCGAGTTTCTGGGTGAACCTGCTCTGGTAGAACTGGGCGTTGCGGATCCTGCGTGCCACTCAAGGAGATTTGAAGCAGCCACGGGGACTTTTTGGCGAGAACACTAGGTATCTCTTTTTCAACGATCGCCATTGACTATTCCACCGGTCAGCCAGTCTATCTCTGGCGCTGTCAATAAACTGCACTTACACTTTTGAACGAGGCACCCATTCTCATTTTCAAGAAGCTTTTGAAAGGCATTGTCTCTTTGGTAAAATAGCGATATATCTCCTTTCCGATGGGTCCCTCATCTGTCTCGAGAACATCGGAGAGCGTCGAGCGCACGATGGCCCATCCATCTTCTGCACCTTCCAGGCCGAGCGCATATAGCATGTAGCCGGCGTTATTTTGCAGAAGGGCATGATGAACCCTGTTCCATACTTCATTGAGGTCATCCGTGCATAGTCCAGCATCTACATCAAAGCCCTGCTTTTTTAGCGTCGGCCCATGCAGTTTCACTCCGGCTAAGTCTCGGATCGCGAACCCCTTGATCGCCTTCGACTTGCGACAAATGCGAGCGACGGTATTCTGGGCATGGAGCTCGCATCCGACACTATGGCGGAGCAACGGATCCAACCCAAGGCGGAAAAGGCATTTGATATAGCTATTTCCCATATCAGCTGAAGTTAAAATTCTTTGAAATGAACAAAACAAACCTCGTGAACCATTTCTTCTTTTCAACTGTCGTTTTCAGGTCAAACAAGATTTCTGCGTACGTCTGTTGGCTACCTAATGGCTTTTCCATTAGTGCCGAGACCAGGATGAGTGCCTCGTCATTTTCTTGTGCCTTTGGCACCAGGTTCTCCCTGAGAATACATGTCAAGTGGCGAGCTTCACTTTTGTCTTCCTGACTTCCAGTCACAGCAGCCACCTCTCCGAACAGCCATAGGTCCTCTGGAAGAATTTCCTTCATTAAAGCAGTCATACGTGGTGCTGCAGCTGCAGACCAACAAGGCAGAACTCGTAGCGCCGAGGTAATCTGGCATGCAAGAGAGAATTTCACGTCAAATTCATAACCAGTGATGGAGACTGTTCGGATAGCAGCATGCGCCTTTGCAGCACCGGGGACAGACTTGACGTGCTCTGCTTCTGGGAAGTAATTTAAGACCGCTGGCAGTTGTCGGGAAAGGCAAGGGATTATAACCAAGTCATTAGAGACTGGGGGAGCAACCCCTAAGCCTTTCACCAGAGAATGGGTTAGCTCCTCGAATGGTCCATACATATGAACAGAAGACCGCGGGATGAGGACCAGTGATATGCCTGGATTGAGCATATCAGGTAGATTCTCTGGTCCAACTGGTTCTAGCAGGTTATCGGCGAAGCATGTTCGATGAAACTGTATTTCGAATTAGCAATTATTGATCAAATCTGCCTTCGAGTGTGGATATACCGGATGAATCGGATGTCCTAAAATGAGAGAAGCTTCCCATTCCAGAAAGGAGGAATTTAGATCTAGCACTGGCTTTTTGGCAGCAATCTCCAGCCATTTAGCTTCTATTCATTAGTAAACTAACTAACAAGGTTATGAACTAGCATACAGACTTGACATGGAAGCGCAATTGCGTAGTTCGCGAGTAATTGCATCCTTTGTTGGCTCATCACATGCAAACGCTGGTGCGAAGAATTCAAACACAGCTCCAGGATCATTTTCTTGAACCCCGTGGTCTACACCATCCAAGAAGACGGGGAGTTTGAAATCATTCGGTCGCCAGTGATGAGAACTCAGGGGAGCCGAGAAAGAGAATAGGTCCACTTCTGCTCGTCGTGTCGAGTTGCTGCCTTTTGCAGTCAAAACACATGACCAACTCTGAGATTGAGGGGGTGGTGGTAGTAAGTGAATGTTCACCAGCCCTTCGTTGGCGAGTTGCGCAAGAAGACGCTTAGTGGTCTCGGCCATGGCTTGGAGCTGGGATGTTGTGACTGTCATGGAGTTTGAAAAAATGAATGTATTGAGTATGAAAAGAGAGATCTCAGGAAGTATGACTTCTTGATTGTGGTTCAATCTTCAAACACAGTTGACCGACTCAAATATGCGAGACCAATACAATAGTGTGTATTTATGAGGTGCATATGTAATTATTATCATTATTATCATTTTTTTTGGTAAATATCATTCGTAAATTATGACACCATTAATGAGCTACCTAGGTAGTGACGCTTGATCAATCAGTCCTGTCGATCGCTTCCAACCTTCTACTCTGCACCACTACCTTCGTAGGTTCTCGGTGCAACATTGTAGATCTCGGTTCGTACCTAGGTACGGAGTAGGCCCCACCGATCGCCCCACTGACTGAAACTCTGAAAAAGGCTAGTTCTAATGGAGCAGATCGACGGCCAAAAGCGTATGGTAACTTCCAAGTTACCTTGCCGAGTTATATACGCAAAAAAACCTGTTTATCTAGTAGGTAATTCCGACGGGTAGAGAGTGGGTAAATAGACCTTGGTATATTTATATAGTTAGGAACTACTGTATAATACTACTACTACATAGTTATGCAGTTAGAACAATGTTTCTTACCAGTCTCTCACCGGCAACCGGGATGTGGGTGCGTAATAAGAAGTGGAAAAAGTAGGATTGTGAAATTTACAAACGCGTAATTTATTTCAAGACCTACATACACTGGGCTCCACCCGATTAGGTAGTTTCTAGCATTCCAAGGTTGTCGGTGGAGCACTGTGCCTCGGGAGGTAGGCAGGTTTGATAGATCAAGTCTGCAGACCCCAGTCTGCAGCGCTCTCAACTCCCGCTCTACACCGCTGGGTACAATACGGGGTACATGATCTTCAATGGAGCATCTTCAATGGAGCATCTGCAATAGCATCTGCAATAGCATCTGCAATGCCTGATGTTTACCAAATCCACGTGTCAATCATCAGAAGATCTCATTCGCCATCAGCTTAAACATTCAATTTTTTACCTAATGGTTTTATCTTGCATGCAGGAGCTTTCAGCTCCACCTTGTCTCCCAATTTGCTCTGCAGAATTAGTGGTGGAACTAAACTGAGGGGAAGCTATACATTAGGAGCAGTAATCATCGCTCAACATTCACATCCAGGAGAATAGCTACTTTTGCCCCTAGTTTCAGAGATTTATATTGACGAAGATTTTGTTGAACCTTTGCTCATAATTCATAATGGGAGACATTGGAATAGACTCGCTGCCATGCATGCCTCCAATGGCACCCCAGGCGTTGCCGTTGGGCAAAGCCAATATGTTTCCCTCTGATGATGCACATGTAAGGAGATGAACAAACGAACCTGAAGGAAAGTACTGTCTAACCGATGGGAATCAGTCCGTCAGCGTGTCTCTTCCAACCTGGGACTCGGTCATTGGACTATCACGAAAAGAAGACTGGGTGATGGAGAAGCTGTCATGTAGCTATCCACGGTAAGTGATAATCTGTTATAGCAGAGATAATGAAAATGTTGATGAAGCGGACAGTTTTTACCTCAATAAACAAATCCGTGACCTTGTGGATGCTGTATTGCAACGACTTCAAATCACCGACAAAAATATCGGTTGCATGGTGTTCCACTCTCCCAAAGCTGGTCAAGGATGCGCTTCCCTTCTCCGTGCAGAGTCTGTGGAAAAGCAATTGGGACTGGAGTTGGTTCGATTCTTTATACCTACAGAGTCAAGCACTACAGAAGTTAGTGGGGCGCATTGGGCCAATTTCTCTGCTGTTGTTTTCCACAACGACCTGAGGAAGGCCGCCATGGGCTATTGGCGTGATACGGGGGCAGGTCTTTCCACACGTCATGCGTTATTCTGTCTCGAACAACTCGACTACTTGGACTCCGACGCCGTGAACCCTGAATTGCGGACTCCTGCACCCAAGAAAATAGAATCCCACGGCCAGCTGCCAGAGTATTCGACTCGGATGCAAAATGCGGAAGCAAGCAAGCAAGAGATTCAGACCTTCATTGCACAGTTGGCGACTTCAGAGCGGCCAGGACAGCCTGCTGTGGCATCTGGGGATGTGTTTCTCTACCCCACTGGAATGAATGCAATCTATTCTCTGTCGGAGAGTTTGGTCTCGCTGGAGTCAGGCTCCCAGGTGGCGGCGTACGGATGGCTCTACCCAGAAACCGTCGAGGTACTCCGACGAGGAGCGTGGAAGAACATCCTGTCGTTTAAAGACGGGACAGAAAAAGAATTGGATCAGCTGGAGAGCATGCTGCTATCCGGCCAACGGATTCACACTCTCTTGTGTGAGCTGCCCAGTAATATCAAACTCTCGTCACCAAATCTGCACCGCATCCGCGCTTTAGCGGATCAATATGGCTTCATTATTGCCTGCGATGACACTGTCGCTGGCTACGTCAATATAGATGCACTCCCCTATGTGGATGTCATGATGTCGAGTTTGACCAAAACTTTCAGTGGAAGTTCCAATGTGACTGGAGGAAGGTATGTTTCTGAACACCCATCCATTGAGTTCAATCATCTGACACGTTTAGCCTGGTCATCAACCCCAACTCCCGTTATCGCGCTACTATCCATGCTGCTCTCTCCGCCAACTACGAGAACATATATTTCCCTCTTGATCTCGACACGCTCTTGCATAACTGCCAAGACATTGCCTGGCGGGTGAGGAAATGCAATCAGAACACACTCCCTCTTGTCAACTTATTCGCAAAGCACCCCTCCATTGCCCAAGTGAACCATCCTTCCATTGACTCAACCGCTCATTTATACACGAGTCTCATTCGCAAAGACGGCGGCTATGGTAACGTCCTCAGCATTATCTTCCACCGCCCCAGCAGTGCAGAGCACTTTTACAATGTTCTAGACATCTGCAAGGGGTCCAGCTTTGGTACCAATTTTACGCTGGCCATTCCCTATGTCCAGCTAGCCAATTACTGGAACCGTGACAAGGTGCCTAAATACGGAGTGCCCCAGCATATTATTCGGATCAGTGTTGGGCTGGAAGACAGCGTGGAGCTGGTCCAGACCATATCCAAAGCTCTCGATGAGATTGTGAAACTTGAGTCTACAAGCGCTTGAATTTCCGATATGATGGATCAATGTTAACAGTTAAACCCTATTCCAAGCCTGTATTTCTGCATCCAAGAATAACCACCCAATGTACTTCGCTAATTCTTGCTAGCGGGGTGTATTGCGTATACCATCTACATATACCATTACGTCACTGCTCATTTCAGGAGGAAGAGCCTCTAATTAGTATAATAAGCAGTGCTCGCTGGTATAAAACATGAAGAATACTAGCTTAAAAATATCAGACTTCTTACGATAGGGGCCAGTCTATCAATCCAAAGCAGTACTCCGTACTCACAAAAATAATATTATGTTGTATACCCCCACCCCCCTAGTAACAATCCTGTCTATGTGGCTGTTACTAGGGGGGGGGTTTGTACTCCGTACATCAAGTTCGTATCGGCCCTTCGATCGACACTTCTTGCATGATTAGCTCCAACAGAAGGTTCCACTATGTTCCTTCAGCTGACTTGTAGCTTCAGCTCAAGTGCCGAACAGCATGACAAATAATTGAAATAACAACTTGGAAATTTACACGTGTGATTCTCTCAGTGTATTTTAAATGGACATCCCGAAATGGGATATTGGAGGTTACTCGGCTGCTTCTTCTCCCACCCCTCACAACAGCAAGATCCCTGCAAAACACATATACATATGCCTTGCACCATAGGTGACAACAACAATGCCTTCCATCCAACCTTTAAAACACGTGCCTAGATCCGCTGTTGATTTCGGGGTAGCAATCGACAATGTGGACCTGGAGAACCTGACCGGTATTGATCACTATCAACACATTGTGAGACCCCAGCTAAACGATTGAATAGATGATGACTTCACCATTATCCACGACGCTCTATACAGCCACCATCTTATTATATTCAAAAATCAACAGAATCTCTCCCCCAAAGCTCAATATGAGCTGACCAAACGTTTTGATCCGTCCTCCGAAGCGTACGGCCATGACAAAACCGCTCATCATAACATGCACAAATATTTCAAGGGAGTCCCCGACCAGCCCCAAGTCCAGATTAAGGGACACGGCTTCGTCGATTCTTTCATGGGCCTCCACGACATCAAGCTGTGGCATCCTCATCACCGTGATTCCCACCGCGAAGTGATTCCCGAGGACAAAAGCGACGCATATACCCGCTTCCATCGCTGGCATATTGATGCGGCGTTGTATGATCTGAACCCGCCCAAAGTCACTACCCTCATGGCGGTGCAAGTGCCCCAAGGTCGTCGCCAGACAATATTATACGATGATGGTTCAGGAGAGGAGCTGGATGCATCCCTCGCAACTACAGCGTTTATCTCAGGTGAGAATATGTTCAACATGCTTTCTCCGCAAGATCAGGAATTTGTCCGCACAAGCAAAGCGGAATACGCACCACATCCGTACGTTATTTCCCATAGATGTAAATTGTAACTAGAAGTAAGCCGCTGACCCGATGAACAGATACAGCTGGATCAAGCCCGCCAAAGGGCACCCCACCGGCCTAAGCATATATACCGAAGGCCTTGAGAAGCCCGAATCCGAACTACCCCCTATAGACCCTTGCAAGATTCAAATTCTGCCCATGGCCTGGAAGAACCCGGTAACGGGCAGGCTATCCCTTCAGGTCCACGCATGTGCAATTCGCAAGATCCATCTCGCCGATGGGAGTATTATCAACAACTTAAAAGAGGTCCGAGATATTATGTACCGTCTTCAACGTCCTGCAATCAGTCCGCAGTATGTATATGCACATGACTGGGAGGAGGGAGATATGGTGCTTTTCAATAACCACGGCATGCTGCATACCGTGGTGGGATCATTGAGACCGGATGATATCAGAATTTTTAGGCAGTGCAATCTTGCTGCGTCGGAGCCCCCCAGAGGGGCCGTGATTGTTTCTTTTCCACTCTCTGTTGTATACATCTAGCTCTTGAATGCGATACTTTTTTTTAATAAACTATCACTTAGAAAGTTCTGGCATAGAATCTCTCTACTCCCATTGGCATAGGTCTTCTTAGCCATATAGGCAGATACAAAGCGAGAAACGTCTCTTAAGGCTTCCGTCAACGTAACGGTTTCAATTTCTAACCTTAACAGGGAGAGGTGCAGGGCACAAGATTGCATGATCGGGACCAACATCTCACAAATGAAAGGCATAGAGAACGAAAGTTGTCTAAAAGGCGGTACTATAGCTTCCGCGCAATAAAACAAAACTGCGGGGCATCATCAGAGTCCACCTCCGGGGGTGGCACGAAAACCTCCATTCTCTCATCCACAATCTCAAACCCATTTTGAGCCAAGATATTCCTCCAACCAGCTCGAGAAAATAAGGTGTTTAGTCCCTCCTTTCCCATGAACTTCCTTGTAACAGTTACAGCACATCCATCGGCGTCGAGGCTGCGGACAATCTTGGCTGGATCATAGTCATCGGCCGCCAGGACTACCATGCAAAGGAGACCATTTCTCTGCAGCCAAGTTCCCCAATTCTGTATGATGCCCTCGATATCCTCTCGGTATTTGCCAAACAAGGCGCGGACATTGAAGATGGCATCGAGTGGCTGTTCGGTTGGGTGTTGGTAGGTGCGCATGTCGGCTACCTCAAAGGTACCCAAGGGCACATTCTCCTTGCTCATGGCGATCATGCTTGGCGAGATATCGATGCCCTTCACCTTGTGCCCTGCATCGCTCAGGGCCATTGACACGGGATTTCCTGTGCCGCAACCGGAATCCAGGATATTGGCTTTTGGGGGCAGGTATTCCAGGGCTCGGCTAATAAACTTCAGGACGACGGGGTCCTTCGCGTAGGCCTCCTGGTAAGAATGAATGATTGACTCGTATCGATCAGGTCTCGTCATTTTGAAGAGTAGGAGGCACCTGGGCGACGGATGGGGTTATTTTGGTTATTGGCTGGGTGGCAGGCTGGGTGAGGAAGCAGAGCGAGCAGAGATAGTGAGATCGTAAAAGACGACAGGCAATTGTTAAATATAAAGGATGTGGGAGGACTTGGTCTTCCCTGCAGAAATACATTACCATCTGTCATTCATTGTTCAGTACGAAGAACTTACTCTAACAATGTAGATTTCGCTGATCAATTACAACTGTTACTATTCTTGTTTCATAACAACAGAGTATTGTATTTTTATACTAATTACCGGCTCTCTCTCATGAAAGTAGCAGTGATGTAATGGTACTCCGTATATGTTGTATATATATGCATCGTATCTGCCATACACCCCACTAACCAGAATTAGTATATTCTTGGCGGAACCACATTGACCGAGGCGTAGCTGAATGGTAGTGCTGCTTGAGATTGAATATGTGATACGTTGAGTATGGATATAGACACGGACCGGTCTCGACGACGATTCCCCACATATATATGTGCTTTCCAAGCTCCATTAACACGAACATGGTACGTGCCGACGGGAAAGTCTCTCAGCTGAGCTATAGAATACTACCTAGGTATTATTGGATGATCTACTGCCACTCTTGGCGTCTGCATATAGCCACTGTCCTGCTGCAGGAAAAACATTTCTTCGTTTTTCCGTCATTATAATGGTGTTCAGACCATGTTTGAAGAAATATGTCTGCACCAAGGAGAGTGGATCCGTTCCTAGTCTTTATTTTCTCGCGTGATACCTTTTTGCTCGTTTCCCGGGGGATCCCGTAGGCTGCGTCCGGGTTGTCTTTCTTTGCTCCTGGCTCCTTGTCCCTTAGCAGCTATCACAGAAGATAAATACGAGACGCATTTTTTTCTAATTCAAGTCGCTGCTCGTTCAATTGCCCCAAGTTCAGTGCCACACGGGCGGGAGATCTGATCGGCAGTGATGACGATCTTGGTGAGAACTCCACCTGTACTACACAGGAGACGTGCAGCCCCCGGCAGGGAACCACTACAACATATGTCAAGGATGGCATGTCCGTAAAAGATTCAGAGTTTGCTATTGGCCCGGCTACTGATCGGGATTGGTTTGATGCGGACCGGTCAATTTTGGATATTGAGAGAGGACCATTTATGTCAGGGTTTGTATCTACTTCTCGCAGGCGCTGACGAGTTTGTAGGGGCTTCCCTAACGCAGTACTTGCAAGCAGTCGGAACGCGAGAGATGAGAGCAATCCAGTCTCTAAAACCACCAAAACAGGGTTGCCTTATTCTGTGGTCGAAAACTCTACCAACCCGACGCCGAAAAGAAGCTTACTGCTTTATCGTGGTACAAAAAGATCGTCGATGTTCTTACCCCAAAAGACACTTCCATCACCAACCCATGCATCTGACATAATGATTTACATGATGACAACATCTTCGTAGACCCACATAACCCGAAAAGATCACAGATATCATTGACTGGCAGTCTTGCCACGTCTCACCCCTCTTCAACCATAATCCCCACCCAGCTTTCCTTGACTGGGGTGGCCTTGAGCCTGAGACGCTCGATCTAGCACCCAGGCCGTCACTCTCTGGGCTTCCCCCCAAAGAACGATCACTGGCTATGGGCGAGTATACAGTTCAAAACGGGTTCATTGGATGGCGAAAACTCATGCATGTTAAAAATCCAGACTTTTATCGGGAAGTCGAATTTCGAAAGATGCCAGCGTACGGACTGATATTTCTTGCCCACCGCATGTTTGAATAAGGCGAGGCGCACTTCCTATCGCTTCTAGTCGATCTTAAGGACACATGGGCGGACGTACCTGGCGTCACTAGCGACATTCCATTCCCGTTTGAGTTTTCGGAAACGGATTTCGAGCGCATCAAACTGAATAGCGATGATGCAGTAGCAGGAACTGAGCTTGTGCCTGAGGTCAAGGAGAGAATGGGCGATTTGTGGCCCGACAAAGGCTTCATCGAACACAAGCGGTACGATGAATGCAAAGCTGCGCTCGGCGAAGTCAAAAGGTCAGATACTGGAGCAATTGGCTGAGAATGACGAGGAAAAAGCCGAGTACCAGCGTTATTGGCCATTTGAATAATCTGGCACTCTAGAGGCCAACTCTAGTTCTCTCAACTCCCATATAATGGTGTTAAGTCTACGGAAATACTTTTGCTGCCACCATGTACACATTCAAATCTGGCGCAACTTCTGCGAAAGGTCTCACAATGCGAATCCTTCAATACTTAGGTACCCATAACAGGCGAAGTATACAATTTGCACTAAAGCGGAAGGGGAAGCCAAGAAGTGGCAGATATTATTTTCTCTTACGTAGATAACTTCGATTTACAGAAGGGATCAGGGTCTAGAAGACCTATAATGGTAATTTATGGATACATTGAAACCAGACAGTATTATTCAACGAAAATTGTCAAGTCTATTGCCATATATTCCTACAACCCAGTATTCCCACTGGTACCCACGTATGTTGTGATTGCTTCTCTCGTGCTCCTCTGCCACAAGCAGACGGCTTTACCCCTCGCTTCAAGATGTAAGATCCAGTGTAGAAGGGGTAACCTAGAGAGTCCATGAGATCATGGAAAAGTAATTAAAAAAAAAGAGAGATTCGTGATTCATGTCATTCATATAAGATAGAACAAAAAAGGAAAAAGCAAAAGGGCACCAGAAACAAGACTAGAAGTGTTCCTTCCAGAATTTGAACCGGACGTCCTTGGTTGATGAAGATTTGGCCGCATCGCTAATCTGCATAGCAGCAGTATTAGGACCACAGAAATACACTCCGATCTCAGTGGTAGCAGCACTCTGCAGACCCGTCATGTATGACTGGTCCAACAAGCCAAGACGCATAGCAGTGAAAAGTCGCTTGAAGTCCGGACGACCGAAGTTCGTCCGACTCTTTAGCTCGGTGAGAGGGTCGAGGGCCTGACCGACAGAATTGAGGTAGATATTTGCAGCGGTGTCAGCGTCGAGACGCTGTGTGAGGTATGTGTGAATACGCAAGAACTCGGTGCTTCCCTCGCTAGCAGCCGCGTTGGCGGATTGGGCTTCGAGGGAGGATAGTAGAGCTTGGAACCATTCAAATGACGAGGTATCCTTACAGACCCAAATAAACTCTACACGTCGGAGTCGGCGAGGAGGGTTTGGACTTGAACGGAGATGCCAAATGTTCTTGAGAATAGATGCCCAGGGTGTAACACCGATTCCGGTGCCGATGAGGACGGCGATTTCGTTATCGAAGACGTCTTCTGCGGGTGCTCCATATGGTCCATCCACGCGAATTGCGGGCATGGTCTGTCCGTTCTGTAGGGCAACTTCGTACATGCCGTTGGGGTCGAGGCCTTCAAGATCTTTGGCTTGGGCCGGACCGCAACCGAGAGCATCTCCAAGGGCTCGAGTGAAATCTCCGACTTGACGGACGTGGATGCTGAGGTATGGATCGAAGGGGCAAGAGGTAATGGTAAATGGATGCCATTGGGTACTGGAAACATCAGGTACTTGGAGGAATACCCATTGTCCTGCTTTGTACTTCATGCTTGGTTTATGGAACTGGATTTCCATGGCAGCTAGTGTCATTGGTTAGCTGTGGTCAATTCAGCATTTGAGAATAAGAAGATCATACCATAAGGATGACGGATGACTTTTGTGATGACCGTCACACGCCGGGACCGGATCTCCCTGTAAAGTCGCTCAAAGAGATACAAAGCTCCGATAACCAGCTCCCATCTCCACCCTTCATAGCCAAGGCAATGATCCCAGAACTGTTGTCCTGCGAAAGGGGAGATCGGGCTGGCGGTGTCTCGCACAAAGCACCCAGTGGCGTGGGTGTAGAGTGCCAGCATAAATGGAATAAAAAGGTGATGCCCATACCAGAAGGTTTCATATGCTTGCTGGCGGATGCGGTGGTGTGCGGTGGTATACATGAGCATCATGCACAAGAGCATGACATGACCAGTGATACCACTTGCGCGAGTAAAATGGATGGCCACTGCAAGTTCTGGGCGGATTTGGTCTTTTTCGATGTTGTAGAAACTGCTTTTTGTTAGAAAGTAACTGCGACAAGCTGAATGAGAAAGCAGCTTACTTGACGTAGTGAGCAGCGGTGTGGATAGCTGTGAACACTAGCATGGAGTAGGCTATTTGTCGATGGAACCACGCCGACTCATCTAGTGGTAGCCATCTGATCTGTGGTCTCAGCCATCGGAGGATGTTCCGACACATAGGAAATAGAATCAAAGTGCAATCGACTGAAAGGACGAGACCTGCGCCTCGCGATATCCAGACTGAATAGCTAAGAGCATTCAGCGAGGCCAGCTTTGGATTTGATGCCTGCAGGTACCTATGAGAATGTCAGCAATACAATCCAGGAGCTGGTAAACGTCATAATACATACCATCCTACAGCAAAAATACCGATATGCAGACCCCAAAAGAACAAATGGAACAAGACCTTGGAAACGGTCAAGTCCGCCCTCTGCCACCAGGATTCTTGAGCTGCGGCCATTCTTCCTCGACTTCTTTTAGGAATGTCGACCAGCGACAAGTAATTTAGGCGATAATTCAATCAAAGGAGTGACGAGTCCAGACGGTTGACCAGCAACCCGGTAATATACACTGAAGTTCTGTCGAAAGCGAAATCTCCCGATCCCTTTCGCAGCAAGACTCCAGTGTCAATATTGACAGGTCGGTGGCTTCGGCGTTCGTCAACGTCGTTGTTTCTCCATGAACTTGGCGGAAATCAGGATTTTCCAGGATAACTTTCGCTTCGAACTTGAGGATCAGGCCCTCGTGGATTTGAAAGTGTTCCAAATACTATTAAACACCTCGTACTGGGAAAAACACGCTCGCAACTTGCGATAGTACTCAATCAAAATGTATAGAAACTGAATGTGAGTTGCGCGCCTTTTCGCGAGCGCTGTTGGCGTTTCGCCGGGGGTTTCCCCTGCACGTGTCCTCGAATACAAGAGGTTACTGGCAAACTTGAGATAAAATATGATATTTTATCGGTTGATTCAAGTTGCTCCAGACATGGTTGACGTCAATAGATGAATAAGGACAAGGCCGGAGGAGAGTTGGAGGTTCAGAGAATCCCAGTGTTGTGGTTTTAGCTGCAGGGGTGGGGGGCGGCCGATCTATAATTACATCGCTTCTGGCGGGCCCTACTCCGTATAACCGTCAACGGTAGATTTTAGTCCAATAGTTACGGACTACCCAAGCCTACTACGTCTGTGCTTTTGAAATTCTCCTAGGAATGGGTAGTGGAGAGAGACCAAGATAGGGAGTGCAGAGGCTAGAATCTTCGTCGCTTAAAATCCTCGTCAGTTTTTGCCTGGTCTCTTTCAACTGCTATCTTGGCTTATTCTTTCCAAGGCTTTCAAAGGTCCTGTTTATGATCCTGGACCCCAGTTTTAATCAACACTCTAAGAAGTTTGCTATTTTTAATGACTGTTCGTCGCAGGCACACCAATCATGACACGAAGTTTATACGCCCTACCTAGGTAGGAGTCTGACCACCGTGCCACGTTCCCCGCGATGAAGCTAGTCTGGTGGGAAAGAGGAAGCACACCCTGTTCAACCAATCTTGTCCGATTCTGCTTTTTGTTCTAATAATAATGGCTGGCTTGAACTGGTGGAAGCTAAACGGGTCGAAGCCGAAGCTCGAAAGAGATGACTGCCCCGAGGGTGGCAGGGAGGCTGGTAAGTGGGCATGAGGGACCGTGAGTGGGCAGCGTTAAACGAGACTAGGGAAAGAAGGTTGCTGGGAGATTGGCCTATTATAATCCTCCTGCAAGCGCTGTCTTTTCGTCACACGGGAGCCCGAGGGTCTCCCAGCATCAGTGGAAATACCTGTCGTTCGGTTTAGGATCCTTAGTGAGTAGACGTTTCGCCCAAATATAGAATAGTGATTGACTCGAGCTATGTTTCTCCATCAACGAAATTCATTTCCCGATGAAAGTCCCCACTTAGCACTGCAAGTTAAACCAGGCACGGAATTGCATCTGCAGAAGATGCAGAAAGACGGTGTGTTGCACTGAATTGGAATCAGGGCTACCGTGGTCATCTGATCTGGAAAGTTCCAAACTTGTCTCTGGTACAACGCTGAGACAGGCCAGAAAACATAGGCCTCGGTTGAAATCCTCAATAATAAAAGTACAATTTGAATGTCGATGAGACTGGAGAGAATGAAGGCCCCTGCCCTGTGCGTGCCATGCGTGCCACTGCAGTTCATCACGCCAAGCCCAAGCGCTGCGGCCTCTGATTTGCCGACATCCACTTTGCGATCCGCTCCGTCACATCCCCCACTCTCCAATCACACGGGCTATGCCGGTTCTTCAGAAGCTCAGGAAGAGGGGGTTGTCAAGGATTCGAGGACCTTCCCACCGATGATTGGTCTACCATGCTTGCATCTGTGCGGATCACGGCTTAGCCCTATTCTTCTTGCATGTGTACCAACCCCAAGCAGCGATTCACCTCTTTGGCGCTCGACAGTCACATCCTGGCAAAGTGTTCCGAGTCCTGGTTGAGTGCCAGAGGGGTCGCTTGTCTAAGTATAGATTCTTATACCTGGTCCCCGCCTGTAAGCATGCCACACGGAACATGCTGCTTTTGTTTCCCCATATGAGATTATGCTACCGCGATAAGCCCTTGCAATAATATCCACACTCCATGTGCTCTGGATTATCCAATTCAATAAACATCTTTATGGCTTGCTGGATCATATGATGAAGTGATCATCTCACGGAATCTGTGGAGCTATTATTTGTGGGTTGCAACATTTGTCCCCCAAGATTAGCTCCGCACTTGTCACTCAGACTAAAGTGACTTTATTTCCTCCGAGACCTTCGCTGGACGAAGCTCTACCACACACAACAACACAGTTCTCACACAGCCGAGCGCTCATAGTCCAACGCAATGGGCAGGCTTATCAAGAACCACTGGGGGCGGTTAATCATTCTCACCGCGGCAGCTTGTACGTTGCCCACTCCCAACTCCCAACTCGAGGCCAGCACTGACAGAACGCAAACAGACCAGGTTGCCAGCGCTATTGAGGGCTTTATCTGGCCCAAAGTATTCTGGGACTTCATCTCCAGGAACCTCGATGCGGCCGTCGCCCCGGTACCCGTTCTTCAAATCCTAAACCTCCTCATGGGACTCGTGGGTATAGCCTGGGAATGGCCTCTCAAACCACTTGCCGGCTCAATACCGCACCGCAGCATTGAAATCCGTCTCATCATATACCCCCTCAGCGCCCTCCTCGCGGCGCTTCTCTATCAAGGCACGGACCCTGCAATATATTATTTGATTGGCATTGGTGTTTATTTCTGGGCCTACAGTGAAGGCGAGGTATGTTCTTGCGCATATTTTGACATGGGATGTTCTTATGCTAACGAGAGGATGTATAGGTCGTCTGTCCGGAGCCTTGGACCTTGCCGAAACGGCATGGACTATTTAAAGCATAACAATGGTTCAGTCTGGTGCGTTGAGTGCAGCAGACGTGATGAAGATCATGTAAATAGCCTAATACATAACGAACTTGATGACTTGAAAGAGTGACCGTGCTGTATCATTAATCTCCATCTAGGTGGTGCGGTCATAAGGTCTATAAGATGTATGGGGAGTACCCGAAGATTTCTCCTGCTTGTATTATCATCTTCTGTAAATCTAAAATGTCATTTTCTTCAATTGACAATGACAAGACTGTTCTCCTCTCATGATATTTAGAATAGCTGAAAGTCATATGTCGATGCCTTGTCAACGAGGCACCAGCGACGACTCGACTGGCACGTGATGCTCTATCTATCCAAACCCAAGAAACACGTCATCTTGACAAGAATACTCACACTTACATCTAAAGATCCAGAAGCAGAAAATCCAGAAAATCCCATACAAATGCCTTGCGCATTGTTTATATGTCGCGAATGACCGTCGCGAATGACCTCAGGCTGCTTGGAACCCGATAACTAACCAATCAATCTGACTGACACCAAAACAAGATGCCTCCGTCTTCAGAAATCGAACCAAAAGTCGAGGAAGACGAGCTCGCCCTTGAATCAGTGGAGGATGTTCCAGTCAACAAAATCACCAGCTTCAATGGCAGACTGCAGCAATTCCTGCATAACGGGACCGCAGCGCACGAAAGCCCAAGTGCCTCTCGAACTACTATATCACAACGCCGCATAAACACCACCAAGACCGAATATAAACCAAACATTACCGAACCTCAACCAGAAGCCGTCATCTCGAGCCGCAAGAAAACAGTCCCACAGACAACAGTGGCAGCGACCACAACCACACCCACCCACCCATGCACCACCCGCTCACAGTCGATCATAACAGCAACGCCTCCACCCCCAATCCCACCTCGCCAAAGCCCAAACAAACGCAAGCGCAGCACAACAACCCCACAAATCCCACCAACACCCCCAATCGCCGGCCCCTCAGCCACAGAATCCCTCCTCCGCGACACAATCCCCCCAAACCTGATCCTCCTCCTCGTAGGCGTGAACCCAGGGGTAATGACAGGGATAACAGGGTACGCCTACGCACACCCATCAAACCTATTCTGGAAACTGCTGTATTCATCTGGGATAACAAGTATGCGCCACATACCGGCGGACACATATAAGCTTCCTGCGCTGTACAGCGTAGGCAACACGAACATTGTGGAGCGGCCGACGCGCGACGCGAGCATGCTCAGTCGTGCGGAGATGGATGCCGGTGTCCCTGTGCTCGAGGCTAAGGTTGCTGCGCAGAGGCCGGAGGCTGTTTGTCTTGTTGGGAAGAGTATTTGGGAGGCTGTTTGGCGGGTTAGACATGGGAGGGGGATTCGGAAGGAGGAGTTTTGGTATGGGTGGCAGGCGGAGGCGGAGAATATGGGTCGTGGTGGTGGTTGGGCTGGGGCGCCGGTTTTTGTCGCTACGACGACTAGTGGGCTTGCGGCGGGGATGAAGATTGCGGAGAAGGAGGCTGTGTGGGCGGAGTTGGGGAGTTGGGTTGTGAGGAGGAGGGGGGAGAGGGGGTTGGATTCTGTGGTGGTTAAGGATGAGATTTGATATGGGGTTTGAATCTTGCGGATTGCTGTTGGATTTATTTGTATAGATGTTGCCATACCATATACTATCATGAGCTATGATCATTACTTGATAAATTATTGAACGGATTTACGAATAGAATGTTCGAAATGAAGTTGTAAAAAATGTGTTTGTATTTATTTGTAGACGAGTGGAGTCGCTCATCATTCATTATCTCATGATATCAGGTGCAGAAGCCTGTGAGTACCAAGATGCAAACCCAGAAACGGTAAACACTCCCTGTAGGCCCATTCCAGAGCTGAAGATAGAGGGTGTTACATGACGTTTTCCGAAAGGGCCATGCGCCGAAGTGCCATACAAGGGACGATCGAGGGATATGGATATCTCAATAGAGGTCAAGGTGAGGGGTAAAGGAGGGGAGGTAGGTGGGCAGGGCGTGCTTCAATGAGACACCGACACCGGCCTGGTCCCCCCATTGGCCCCGAAAGGAGTAGAGGACAGATTTAGCGGCTACCGTTGGAGTCGTTCTTGCTTCCCTCACGCTCGCGTGCCTGTTTCAGCAAAGTTAGTATACAGAACTCCGCAATTGATTCACTGACACGGAACTGAAACATACCGTGGTGGCCTGGTATTCGCCGCCTTCTAGGATCTTGACCATGCACTGGTCATCTTTAGTTGTACCGAATTCGTTCTGCAGAGCGCTCTGGCTAGCGGTATCAAGGACACCTTGGGCTCCGTGGCTGCATCCAGATGTTAATGATCTGACGTGGTAATAAAAAAGCCGAGGACACTTACGAGTGAGTCACGAAAATCTTCCAGCCGTTCAGAACTTCAGTCAGGGGAACGCTGCGGTCGCTCTTCCACTTCTGGAGGATCTCAAGGTCCTCTACGAAGACAATGAAGTCGTCCGAGCTACCCTTGTAGAAGATCTTGGAGGCGGTTTCGTTTCCACGAGCCATGTTGAAAGGATATGAAGGTTGAAATTTGAAAAGTTTAGAAAGATTTGAAGATATTGAAGAGGAGGGAAAATGTTGAGTGAGAATGAAGATGAAAAGGTAAAAGCTGGTGGTTTAATAGCTCAGGTGGGAGCTCAGGTGATGATGACTGGTGACGTCACACAATGAGCTGATGCAAACAAAAGCAGCTCGCGTGTTTTGTTCTTACGAGGTACATAGCTCGTTTGGACTATACAATTAGGACAATTAAATCACAGTGGATAGCACTATATGTCATTGGTGGTTCTAGTTCCTCACTTCACTACAATTCTCACGCGGTGAGTTGCCAACTATTGCAGCAGTCGACGTCATAGTAGCTCCCCTGCCCGCTGTTGGATCCGCTCTGACGCCAAACGTGGGGATAATTCTCAATGAGCCCAGGCAAGTTGGGAGGATAAGAGGTTCTTCTTCCATTCCAATTAATAATTAGTTATAGTCCAAGCCACCATTACGTTTTCGGGTTAATTATAATGTCTCCTTGACTCCAATGCTCCCCCCGAATGTACCAGAACCATCTCAAAAAGATAACACTTGCCCGCCTACGTAACAATGGGAACTTCACTCAGCATCAGAGCGGGTCTTTTTCAGCTTCTTGGGTGCCAAGGCACTAAACAGATTCTTCGGAGACGACCACTTCTGGGGAGACGACCACTTCTTGGAAGACGGAGATGACTCGGAACTTCCATCCTGGCTCCGTCGCTTGTCGCTACGAGGTGAGGAAACCGACGATGCCGGATTCTTGGGTGAGCCTCTGAAAAGGAATGTCTTGGACCGCCGAGGCGTGGTGGGTGTCCGAGGCAACTCAAACTCGACTTCCTTATCCTCCCCTATCTCGCTGCTGCCTGCTGCCTCCTTGTCCATTCCCTCGTTCTCTTCGTCAGAGCGCACGCCGGTTGATCCTGTTCTTGAATGGAAGGTGCTGACGGAGCTCGACCGTCTGGTGAACCCTGGGCGAAGGCTAAGCCGTCTCATGATCGGACCACGTCGGAAGAGATCACCCCTTCCAAGCACCATTCCTGGCGATGGAAGGAGGTCTCCTGTGTAGGCATCTGAAATCAGTCGCTCCAGTCGGATTCGGTCAATCCGGCGAGCAGTCAATGTCAATGCGGAGCGGTCAACAGGTGCCTTAGGCCGTTCAATCTCGCCTTCAGCCTGTACAACTGGCTCTTCGGTGTGGCGCGGGTAATGCGTTTTCTTGATGACTACATGTTGGACGCGGAACTTGCGCGAGATTGCCATTGAATCCATCGATGACCTCCGCGCCATAGAAGACACTGTGTATTGAACATGCTCTAGAGGTAACAATTGGAGGGCCAAGAAAGAATGTTTTCTTGGCTCCCACGTCTTGGGCTGTGCCATTTCGACCAAAGCGGCGGACACTTTGAGAATCTCAGTATTCCATTGCTTTTCTTCCACTGCCGATGATGCACTGAGAACGAATTCATAGTTCTCATCTTGGTTTTCAAACAGGAGTTTCCATGAAAATAAACATCCGTAGGAACACAGTCCTGATGGGTTAGATATGCTTCGAGCATAAATCTCAGCGGAAAGTTACTCACCTCGTCCATTTTGAAGCGTATCAATCTTAAGACTGTCTAGGTAGACACAGGCCACTGCTTCCAGTCGACGCTGGTCATCAATTCCCTTGGCGAAGAGAAGGTAGCGTTGAAAAAGCACACAGACCATGAACTCCCCGTTGGTGGTTTCCGCCGTTTGATATGTGACATGGAGCACACCGCACATGACCAACGGGCCTAGGTCTTTATATATACTCTGGAGTCCATCCTGCCCGAAATATTCAGTCATATTCGTCTCATCAATGAAGATATTGTGCTGCTTACCGATTTCGAGATATCCACTCTACCCTGGAGAACGATTGTCTTGTGGATGCGATCTTTGTTGATCGGGTTTCCAGCTGCCAAATTGATCCGTGTTACCAGCACCCGCATACTGTCCAAAACTTGCTGAATTCCGTCATGGGAAGACGGACAATCACTGACAGGGGTAGATCTGAGCAGATCTTGTAGCACAAGGGGGTATTTGCACAGACGTTGGATGGGCTATCTTCTTGTTAGTCGAAACACCCACCAGAATTGACTCACACACCTTGATTAACAAATCATTAAATGTCATTGATTTGTTGTCCTCTTGTCTGCGTCGTTCTGTGGACGCGACCGATTTTGAAAGCGCCTCGATTCCCTGATCATATATTGTCCAGTTGGCAATTGACCGGCGTAAGAGAGCAATATCCTGTGTCAATAGTTCATAATTGCTGCAAAATTGTTCATACACAGGGAATGAAAGTGACTATAAAATACCCCGTCAGTGCATGCAATCCTATTTGGTATACCGATATTTACCAATTTTCCAAGTTCACGGGCAACTTCTAGTCCCTCTGTTGGTTCAGCGGTGAGTGCCATGAGACGCTGATTGATCGATGCCTTGAGTGATCGAGTCCTCAAGGATCGTTGCTGAAGTCCCTTTAGGCCGCCCAGATCAAGGGTCCCTATACGCTTGGTGATTCCCCGAGACGTAAGCTCAGAAGCACCTGCCTGTTGAGCCTGGGGTGCTGACATGGGAGATGCCGTATGAAGCTTGGTCAAAAAGCGTTCATGTATTCCGAGGATCTCCTGGATATTGTCATAGATCTCGCGCCTCGTGTCAAAGATCGTAAGGATCTGTGGGTTTACAGAGCACATCAGCATCAAACTAAGGCATAGAAATTAAGTCAATGGCTTACCCCGATAAGAGCCTTCAGACCAAGTACATAATCAGACTCAGTCTCAACAAGTTCTTGTAGGATATGGCGCCGTCTGGAGGCCCGTGTTTCCGCAGCTTCATCAGCTTGTTGACTTGAGGTTGGCCGAGAGCTATCACCAGAATGACGCACATCCGATAGCGTGCTTCGGTTTGTTCCGCTGTGAATAGTTGTCCTCGATCTTATCAAACTCTGGCTTCCAATGCTTGCTGTGGTTGTTTTTACTGTTCCGAGCTGCGATGAGTCGGATACACTCGACTGGTGACCTTGCGAGCCATGTGAAGATGAATCTGACCAGCCCTCCACGTACCGCCGTTGGATTGCGGGAGACTCATGTTTCCGTCCTCGAAAGCTGTCCATCCATTTCTTGAAAGGACGAGAAGTTGACTTATCGGTCGGAGTCACTCCACCGCTGCTCTCGAACTTTTCTTCGGATTCATCATCCAGCAGGGCTTGTTTCTCGATGTTCGCTTCGTCTTGGTCCGCCATGGTCCCAAATAGAGATCCCGCCCAACAAGATATAGGATTCAAGTTCCGAGGGCATGGAGAAAGAAGAGGCGGACCTAACCGACTGCTCAAAACAATGGGATCGAACTTCATGGCGAGGGAACAGCAACGGGGAGTACCTGCCTCGTCTACATCTTCGACGTTGGAAAGTGCATGTATAGAAAACAGGGGAAACTGCCACTATTCAGGCAGTACAAAGTAGAGATTGCGAATTTGAATCCCATCCATGTACGTCATGAGGTGAGGCAGCGGGATAGCTGGAATTGAAATAGCACATTTTAAATTTTATCTTTTAGTGTTGGAGCCTGTTTCTCTTGTTATGTATTAGAGTATAATGTCCTTGAAAAGTGAAGCTTTTTTTAACTTGAAGAGGCGAAAGTCGTATACTTCGAGCGCCAAGCATCGCCGCTTATATAAAATAGTGGGAGCTCCAGGGCTGCCCAGGTGCCACCCCCAGACCCACCTAACCTTCTTCTTCTCTCACTTTCTTTCTTTGCTCAAATAATCATGGACGATATTCATGCTCCAACTGTGGCCTCTGGACCGGCATCCGGGGCCACTCCTCGTGATCTGTCCAAATTATCGATGCCAGATCTGATGCTGGAGAAAGACCGCATCGAGGCGGAACTGTCAGCTCTTAGTAGCGTCCTCCAGTCGGTGAGATTTCATACCCGGAAGTTCCTATCGCCGTTTCTAACAATCCTTTTCATTTCAGCATGGAGTACGCATGACTTCATCTCTTACCACCTTCGACGGTTTCCCCCGTGATGATATCGACATCGCGCAAGGTACGCCCTTGTCACACCCCAGTCGGTCAGAACATGTCGCTGAAGGGAGATTATAGTTCGCACAACGCGCGTGCGTATTATCCACCTACGAAACGACCACAAGGAGGTGATGCAACTTCTCGAGAAAGGTGTGCACGCACATTTCGCCAGCCTACAAAATACGCAAGGCGCTGGCCCAACTACGAATGGCACCAACGTCCCGGCAGTTGTGCAATCGTTGACGAATAACACCGCTTTGGGGACACCGTTTGCCAAGGTCAATAGCGTGGTTTCGGGAAGTCCAGCAGACCAGGCGGGACTGAAAGTCGGCGATGCAATTCGAGGTTTCGGGCATATCAATTGGCTGAACCACGAGCGCCTTTCAAAGGTTGCCCAGGTGGTCCAAGAAAATGAAGGGGTACGTTCGGTTCTCTGCCCCTGCGTCAAAATACCAACATGTCTAACTCTCTTTCTCTACAGTGCCCAGTATCGGTTAAAGTCAGTCGGAAGGACGAAACAAATACCGAAACTACAACGGAGTTGGACCTCCAGCTCACCCCTCGACAGAATTGGGGCGGCCGTGGCCTGCTAGGATGCCACTTGGTCCCCTTATAAAGGGACACTTCCACTCAGACTAACAAGCACGGCCCGATTTTGCTACCACCTTGTACATTGATGATCTGTACTGCTCATGACTAATGCGAGACGTCTTTTCTGGCTGTTTTTCCACAGAATAGCTGGGTTCCTGTAAAAAGAGACTGGGAAACTGTATGCATCGCAACGGCGTTGAAGATAACTCGGCAGGCGAAGACCTGACCACCAGAATTTATTCCAATAAGCCAATAGGAGAGCAACTACAAGTAGAGCTCATCATGAGCATGGCCCCTGCACTTGTAATTAAAAATAGCCATTTAAAGTAGCAACCTCAGATATGTTTGCGCCGTGTTGACACTACGTCAGAACGCCTCAGGCAAACATCCACGTGACCCGCATCGACGGGGCAAAAATTCCATCCAGCGCTATTAATTCATTCCCCTTCTTTCACCCCTCCCTTTTATCAACAACCCGCCCCCATCCTTACGGCGCGAACTCTTGAAACTTTCTTTTCTTCAAGCTTCTCTCTAATCCATTTTCAATATGGCTGCAGCCGTCAACGCCACATTCAAGCTCGTCCTGGTCGGTGACGGTGGTACTGGAAAGGTAAGCGCATTCGAGGCTCGATATCTGATCGTTGATGGGCATGGGCTCAGAGTGGCAGTCATCTGCTCAGCGATGGTCATCTCATGATATTCATGGACACACTGAGCTGCTCTTTCGTGACTGCCCTCTGCCCCCGCGCCTGTCAACAATACTCAATATCTGCCCAACCGCCCCGCCTCACCGCGACTTCATTACTAACACATTGAATCCCAACAGACCACTTTCGTCAAGCGCCACCTGACTGGTGAATTCGAGAAGAAGTACATCGCCACCCTTGGTGTCGAGGTGCACCCCCTCAACTTCAACACCGTATGCTATATACCCCGCCGAAGAACCCCGCTTCGAACCGTACCATCCTGTGATCGTTTAAACTAACCAAACCTGAACAGAACTACGGTGCTATCCAGTTCGATGTCTGGGATACCGCTGGTCAGGAGAAGTTCGGTGGTCTCCGTGATGGTTACTACATCAACGGCCAGTGTGGTATCATCATGTTCGATGTCACTTCCCGTATCACCTACAAGAACGTCCCCAACTGGCACCGTAAGTGATTCTTTCTCTGATCGTGAACCGATCCAGATCATTTTGGACTAATCAAACTCTAGGCGACCTCGTCCGTGTCTGCGAGAACATCCCCATCGTCCTCACCGGTAACAAGGTCGACGTGAAGGAGCGCAAGGTCAAGGCCAAGACCATCACCTTCCACCGCAAGAAGAACCTCCAGTACTACGACATTTCCGCCAAGTCCAACTACAACTTCGAGAAGCCCTTCCTTTGGCTCGCTCGCAAGCTTGTTGGCAACCCCCAGCTCGTATGTCATTTTGTGCCTTGATTACGAACACGAGCGGATCGATACTGACATCATTATCTTCTAGGACTTCGTTGCTGGAACTGCCCTTGCTCCCCCCGAGGTTACCGTCGACGAGGCGCAGCTCGAGGCTTACCGCAAGGAGATGGAGGAGGCCGCCAACATGCCCCTCCCCGACGAGGACGATGCCGACCTGTAAATAGGTGCGCTCAACGACGGGTCCACGAAGTTTCCGAAATGAAAGTTGGGAGTCGCTATTCCCTGTTCTCCCCCACGTTCCCCCGAGTCCCATCGCACAACCGACGGGAGACAGGAAGTATACGACTCCCGGGGATTGCTTTTTTTTTAGTTTGGGTTTTGCACTGCAAAAGCAAAGTCTGTTCTCTCCGAAATCACGATACAATGAAAGCGGATGGGGGATAGTCGTGGTTTGAAGACATGCATTTTTTTTCCTTTTTGATTTCCCCCAACCTTAGTAGCTTAGACACTCACATCCCAATTGTCCTTTTTTTCCCCTCCCTGAAATGAGCACAGCATCCAAAAAAAGCATGTCCTCTTTCAACAAGATTTAAAACTTCTTTTTTTTTTACTCTGAATCGCTATTCACCCTCAAAACAGATACATTTAGATCTCTGAAAATCTCGTCGAGTTGAATACTAGAAACTACTTGAATCACGAGTAATAGAGAAGACATTTCCTAAACAGAATATCGCAAAGTTTGGCCTTTAGACATTATTGAAGAGCATACATAACGCCCTTTCCATGAGACAAGAGAACAACGCCAGGGTATAGCAATCATTGGCCTCCGAGAAAAACAACAAAAAAGCAAGTGATTTCCGCGCCAAACACCAATCAATTGGATATGGCAGAAAAATGAAATAGCAATCATATCATCGGACTATCTCCGGTTTTTGAGACCGAGAGCATCCGGCAAACAGGACAAACGCAATTAAGCATGATTACAAGTCCCTCACACCCTGTGTAATAGATAAGTGGTTAGCAAGAAGTCCAGTAAAAGTAGAAAATGAGAAAAGAATGGAGGTAAAACGTACAAAAAGATAAGCAAGCTCCCTCGCATCCAATCGGGAGACATTCATAGTACCGCCCTCATCGAGAGCACCACTAATCAGCTCACGTTTCTGGTCCTGGAGAGTAACAATGCGATCCTCGACAGTATTCTCAATAAGCAGACGGTGAACGAAGACCTCCCTAACCTGCCCGATGCGATGGGCACGATCAACAGCCTGGTCTTCAATGTACGGGTTCCAGAAAGGATCGAACATGATGACATGCGAGGCGGCGACGAGATTCAGGCCAGAGTTTCCGGCCTTGAGGGAGACGAGCATGATCTTGCAGGCGGGGTCATTGGTGAAAGCCGTCACGGCGGCGTTGCGTTCTTTCAGGTTCATGCTGCCGTCGAAGCGGGTGTGGTTCCAGCCGCGGCGGGCGAGGGGGACTTCGAGAAGATCCAAGAGGGAGGTGAACTGACTGAAAATGATGGTTTTCTCCTCTAAGCCCCGGTCTTCATTGGCCTGCAGGATCTCCAATGTCTTTGTGATTTTTGTGCTGGGGAACCAGCCCTTCTCGAGGCGGCGAAGGTATTTCTTCTTCTCGGCCTTGTTCTTCAAGGCGTCCTTTCGCAGCTCGGCCAGAGACTTCGACTTCGACTTCTTCTTTGATGTCCCATCCCCCTCTTCAGTAGAGCTATCGGAGTCATACTCATCACTGCTCGCTGTTGCTTCTGAGTCTTCGTCGTCATTGGCCCCGTTGATATCACCGGCTCCGGCGTCGGATTCGGGCATTGAGCTTGGATCGTGAACCTGCTTGAACGCATTGGTGTCGGTAAGCTTGGTAGGGTCCACAGGCCCTCGGCAGTTCTGGCACTTGATCACAGCTGGACCATCGTCTTCGAGATTGATGGCTCCATTTGCAGTTGCAGAGTCGGAAATGCGGATCCAGCACTCAGAGCACACATGGTGTCCACATGGAATGTAAATAGTCGCGTTTTTGACACTGTCCATGCAGACAGGGCAGGTGCCATCCTCTTCGCCGTCATTTTCTTTGATACGTTGCACTACAGCAACGCTCAGAAGCTTGGCATTGGCTATCTTATCTACCCCTGGGATAGACGGGGAAGGTTCGTTTCGGAACTCCTGCATGAGGAGGGGATGGCAGCATGCCTGCCGAAGACGGAGAAGGAGAACTAGAACATGGCTGTAGTTTCTACCCAGCGTCCCGGAGTCGAGGTATCGGGTAATCTGCCTTTGAGTGGTCGTATTGAGCTCCTCGTAAACCTGGCTTTCCCTCTCATCAAAGACAACATGGACCTTCTCGGTGACCTTTGGTGGGAGTTGCAAGATGGGCTCACCATCAATCTTGGAGGACTTTGTACGTCGGAGACAGACAGACTTGACTAGGACGCGTAGTTGCTTCATAACATCCTCTCCTCCCCAACCAGATTTGATGCGTCTCACGAAGTCCTGGATAAAATATAAATGTTAGGCGCCAAAAGAAGCATCAATAGTGAGCTATAGAGAGTACTGACCGTCTTAAACTTTGCTGGATTGCTGTAAGGCCGAATCCGGAGGAATCCCAATAGGGACTGGAAATCTTCGAGACGATTCATCATGGGCGTACCAGTCAGGCACCAGCGGTAGGTAGCATTGAGTCGACAACATGCGATTGAAGATTTCGCACTTGGATTCTTGATGTTCTGCGCTTCATCGACGATGACTCGGTGCCACTTGGCGGCAGGATTGAGAGGACCGGCCGCATTTTTGCGGTCTTGAATTATCGAGGCTTCTCGTCCTTCCTCTGCCAACTTTTCCGCTTCGAGCAATGTTTTGTAGTGCGCAGTGATGGTACCAAACGTCGTAATAATGACATCGTGCTTTTTGAGCTCCTTCCAGGGCCTTCGCCGTTGATGGTAGATCAAGACCGATAATTGGTGCCTCCCCGGCTTGACATGGCGCTGGATTTCGAGTCTCCATTGATCCATGAGTGCCTTCGGCGCGACAATCAAAGTCGGGCGTCGGTCTTCATCTTCGAATGGACGAGCAACCATCAGCGCGATCGCTTGAATAGTCTTACCGAGGCCCATGTCATCTGCAAGAATTCCTCCTTTGTGATTGCTTTCTTCTTTGGCCTTCATCCATCTTAGGCCGATCTTTTGATGCTTCATCAATGTGACTCGAAGCGCATTTGGTGTCTCATCATTGTCCGCTCTAGTTGCCTCCCGAATGTCTTTGATACCGCTGAGCAAATTCTTGATATCTTCGGGGAACTCTTTCTCGTTGTAGGCTCTATATTGAATGAGTTAGAATCAGAAATAGCAATAGCTGCTTTGAAAGAAAGATCCGGAACATACACTATGTCAGCATCGTCATCGAATATTTCGTTCTGGTTGCGAATCAGGTCAAAGGCCTTGTCAAACTTGTCAAATGCACCCGGCATTGGAGCGTATGAAGGCTCACGCGTCCAGGGAAGAACTCTGGAGGGAATTGCTGATGAGGGATATGACATTTTTGAGGGAGTCGACAATTGGGAGGGATATGCCATTTGGGAAGGATACGTCATTTGGGAAGGATACGACAATTGAGAGGGGTATGGCAACTGAGAGGGATATGACATTTGGGAGGGATATGTCAACTGGGAGGGATATGGCATCTGCGAAGGATGGGGCGCTTGTGAGGAATATGGGGATTTGGAATATGGCGAAGGCAGGTGGGGATAGTTCAAGGAATTGGATTGGCGGGCTGGCTGCTTGCCGTATCGAGAATTGAATGAATCAGCTGTGATTTCTTGAAGATCATCGTCGGAATTGAACGGAGTGAGTTTATTGAATGGGGCTATCGGGGCATGTGTTTGAGGGGCGTGAGCAGCTTTTGATGAAACAGGTTCGAGTTTTACCGGCTGGGTGCGGTCTGGAAGATCCCATGCATCCTGCTCATTGAAGCCCTCGATAGGGAGTTGACTGTGGTCCTCGTCAGCTTGGAGCGCGCGAGCCAATTCTGCGTCTCGTTCCATCTGAAACTCTGTTTCAATCAATTTCGCTTGCTCATCGCACTCTTCCCGGAGTTCCTTTAGTTGAGCTGCATCGTCACCAGCCGCATCGATCCATTCCTTGTACACGCGGTTATTCTCGGCAAGGCGGGCTTCTTGTTCAGCATCTATCGCGTCGAGTTGAGACTTGCGAGATTCAGGCTGCGAGGGGGCAATCCTTTTTGATGATCCCTGTATCGTGGGCGAGACCTGAGACAGCGGACGCTGGCGTTTACGAGAATTATCTGGAGAAGATTGTACCATTGGTGAAGCTGGCAGCAGTGCCGATTGGCGAGACCCGGCCGCGAAAGGTGAGGGCGCCGCAGAAGGCCAGTGAGGGGACGCAAATGAATCCCCGGGGATTCCAGTGAAACCATTCGACGCCATGCGTGGAGCAGCCGCAGGCGTCCGGACTGGCGGAGTGGGCGACAACACTCGTGGTGTCAGGGCGGCTGGAGGAGTAGGAATAGGAGAACCAAGGAGCGCGGCAACCTGGACTTCCATTTTTCTGATGGCATCACGAAGCTCGTCTGCTTCTGCACAATCACCCCGCGTTGCGAGGAGATCATCATAGATGTATCTGTAGGTATCGAGATCTTCTAGGAGATCTTTGATTTTGTCCTCCTGGGACTTATCGACGGGAGAAGCCATGGCTTAAGAGCGCCTGGCGCTGACCATGAAACCTTCCAAGACCAAATTATCTGACCAAATTCTCCCGGTGGTTGATGGCGTGGTAGAGCGGTGACGGCGATGGGTGTGACGGCTAAGACAAAAGGCAAAGTCCAAGATAAATAGAGCTAATGCGTCAAGTAGGCGCCTAGGATGAAGATCAAAGTGTTCTGGGAGAGTCAGTCAGCGAAACTTGGGTTCTCATCGGCAAACAGTTAGGCAGAAAGCGGGTGGTGGCAGATGGCACAGTGACGGAAGAGAAAGAAAGCTTAGAAGCAATTCACCGTACTGCGTCTCTATGCCACCTAATCCGGGTATTTGCAGAGGATGTAGACTTACATCGAGTACTATCGACGATTCACCGGGGAGAATCTGTGGATGACGGAGCGGATTTTAGGACCTCGGGAGCGAAGAGATGGCGATCGCAGGAATGAGAGAGCGCTCGTTTTTATAGTGCAAAAGATCCGATGGAGAAGGCACGAGAGTTGATGCTCTTTGCGACCGTTCAGCTGGCCCCCGGGGTCGAGATGTTCACCTTGCGGGGGAGGGAGTTGAAGTTCTCGCCCAAGATGTCATCATGTATCGCAGCGCATAGCGACCACTGGGACTTTGGTCCTGTTGACTTTTATTGCCAGCATAAAATTGGCCATCTAAAAAGACATCTCAAAAGACTCTCAGAATATGTTTAAAAGATATCTGAAAAGCTATCTAAAAAGACCTTAAAAAAGAGATCAAAGAAAGACATACCAATTGAAACATGTTGAATATCATCTTAAACTAACTAGATATTCAGATTATCCAAGTCCTATGTCGGTAGTTATAGAGGTCGTACAAGCGGCCGGCTATTCTGCTTCTATATAAATGACAAAGTCATTATAAGTCCATAGAAACTTCTCATCATCAGGTTGATATAACTATTCAAGTACTCTCAATTTGGATTTACATAGAAAGTACTTTGAAGAAGGCGGAGATATGAGCGGTAAAGCTTGAAAGCCAATCGGACCAAATTCTCAAGTGGCCGCTATCCAGCGCAGTGGTCGTGAGCACTTGCCAAAGTTCCACGAAGGGTCCTCTACTTGAGCCTCCTTCAGGCACTGTGGTTTTACTCATTGTGATATGTCGTACACAAGATTGAAGTCTTACAGAAAAGATTCTTTAGTAATATAGACATAAATACATAGAAGTATGTAGGTAATTCTACCCATTTCCCTGCGTCACTCCACGACCTTTTATTGATATGTAGGCGCGCTCTTATCAGCACGTGATAATGCGCGTCACGCGCCAAACAAGCCAAACGCAGGGCTATATCGCACTTGCCCTACTATCCCAATTTGGCACTCGACACCCAAGACCCCATGTATGTAGGCAGTTCTAGTTTCAGCCATCTCGGAGGAGAGGTTTCAACATTTCGATCATGACTGTGAGAGCTTGCTATGACTCATATGGTGCCTAGGTTAGAGGAGGAATTGTCGAATCGTATGTTATAAAACAAGTAGGAGTACAACATTCGACGTGCAGCGTAGGCTACAACTGGTTCCGATATCTAGACCAGGGGAAATATCCCTTGACAAGTAGCTGAAACGTAAATTAGGGGGGAAGATAAACGGTATGCATTATAAGGATATTCTGTATGTATATGTTGATTTGCAACAATAGAAAAATATCGAACTCTCCACTACTACTACCAACCATCTACGTGTAGTGCTCATCTTTCGATTAAGCTAGCTGCTGATTTGGTGCTTCTGCGGGAAATAACAATCGGTCATGGCATCAGAACAGAAACTGGTTCGACTGTGGAAGACAGAGCGCATTCGACAACTTATCACGAGCCATCTAGCAAACAAGGACCTCACTGCATGCCGTCTAGTATGCCGCAAGTTCGCTGTCTATCTCGCACCAATCCTTTTCGCAGACATCGAAGTCCGTTTTCGTAGTAGCACCTTCAACAGGCCATCGCGGATGGCAGCTCTCAAGCGCATTGGAGGACACGTCCAGGCCATGACGTTTAAGATCTCACACGATAGGGAGACCTTCTTACCTCCAATCCTGGATCCAATCATGGGGACAGAACAAACCTTCATCTACACACCACAACGGTGCCAACTTGGTGGCAGTAGGCCAAGGTATGGCAGCCGGCAAATGACAGAGCTGTTAGTCAAGCAGTATCCGCCTTTGTTTCATGCATCTACCAACATCCCCTCATTTGTCCAGGCATTGACGATGATGAGCGGCTTGCAACATCTGCGAATCTCCTGCGAGGGGCAAGTACCAAGCCATCGCTACCGCCGAAGTGTAGTAGATTATGCATTGATCTCATTGCGAATGGCAATCGAAGAAGCACCATTGAAAGATCTCCATACTCTGTCATTGTTATCAGTCCACCCAGGAGCGGTCCTTTACTTGAATCCAGCTCCGGGGTTTGGTGCGTCGCCTGCATCTTGCAAGCGCTGGTCCCAGATCCGCAAGCTCACAGTCCACATGACGAGCTTCGGCCATGAGCCAGGTCAACCGACAGACCACCTTAAACTCCTCCATGCGTACCTAGGAAGCTTCCCATCTCTGCAAAGACTGGTCTTTCGTTGGGAAGGCGAGAGGGGCCTCTCACCCCTGTCATTTGCAACGGAGCCGAACCTCAACAGCGCAGGCAAAGGAAAGCCAAGCCAAGCCTGCCCTCAGACGTACACGTTACCTTTACGGCCATTGAAGTTCCGACATCTTCAACAGATGGAGCTGGTCAATGCAACAATGGACGCGTCGCAAGTGGCATCTTTCATCCAGGAGCACCGGAGTTCCCTGCGAGAGTTCAACTTCAAAAACGTGGTGCTCCGCAGCGGCAATTGGGACGACGCGCTCGCGCCATTGACACGTATCAGCGGCAGCGAGGGGTGGAAGCAGGGCCAGCGCGACACCGACACCGTTGACGTGCCGATAGTATTGAGTCCAGCGGGAGTCAGCCAGAAGCAGTTGCAGAAGGCGATTTGTGCTTTGCAGCAACAAAAAGGACTGGGGACGCTAAGAAGCTTGGCCAAAGCGCGATCCCGGACACGCGAGCTGCTGTTGGGGAACCCGGATCATATGAAGCGACTGCTTCGATCTTCGGTGTTTAGTTGGCGGTGACGTCAAAGGCAAGGGGTTCGCAAAGTTCTGTTCCGAGGAAGGATTGGCATAGGCTAAGGCTAATGAGTGTAGTAGTGTCGCGGTGAATACCGCATTTGTGCAACTTTCAGGTCCCAATGCAACATAAGCGTGGTTAGTGTGGAGTCGGGAGGAGATTCCTGGGGGAAACTGTCAACACGGAGAAGACTGGGAGAGAGGACCAAGACTGTGAACGGTAAGAGAAATGCAGATCCTAGTCCATTCTAGGCACAATTCTACATAATCGAGAACAAAAAGATAAAAAGAATAAAAAGAACAAAAAGAACAGAAGAAGAATCACAGACACGAGAGCTTCCCTCGGTGTGGGGAAAATTGTGGGTTGGCCTCGGCACCCGTGTGACGGTGAAGTCAGTTCACATGCTCTGGCAGTTTGTCATTTATATTCGGTCATCCGCCTTTGTGACTACACCATCACCTTGTACTACCATATTCACCATGTCTCTCAAGAAAGGTATGCCCCCTTTTCTCTGACTATACCAGTCAAGAAGCTAATCAGAATAGATTCCCACCCCTCGTCCGCTGCCTTCGACGTCATCAACCAGACGCTCCAGGCCAACGAAGCCGACCGCAAGGATGCCCTCAGCAAGGCCAAGGCCATCTTCGCCTTCAACCTGAAGAACTCCAGTGGCGAGGAGGCTGCCTGGTACCTCGATCTTAAGAACAAGGGCGAGGTTGGACAGGGTCTTGCCCCTGCTGGCAACAAGGCTGATGGTGAGTCTACATTCCTGATCTGCGCGTTGCTGTGTGTTTCTTTCTTACATATGCTAATTTCCCTCCGTCGATAGTGACCCTCTCCCTATCCGACAGTGACTTTGCCCAGCTCGTTTCCGGCAAGGCCAACGCTCAGCGTTTGTTCATGGGCGGCAAGTTGAAGATTAAGGGTAACATCATGAAGGCGACCAAGATGGAGCCTATCCTGAAGAAGGCCCAGGGTGGTGCCAAGCTGTGAAGATTAGATACCCTTTTGAGAAATTATATACGAAATCCCTCTTCTACCAGGGCGCTTATTTTCGGCTTTTTACTTTCGGGATATTTTGGTTGTTCAACTTCGAGTATACAAATGATCTTAATATGTGCCGATGACCGCGATCATCGCTGGTTCGGATAGATGAATGTCAACTCTACAAGTCCCGCACATGTCCCTGTCTCGAAACCCGCCCCTGATCCAAAATCACAAAGTAATCCGCATCCTTGACAGCTTCTATGCGATGCGCAATCGTAATGACAGTAGACTGCTGCAACTCCTCCCGGATAATCTGTTGAATCTCAAGAGAAGTATCATGGTCAACGGAAGCAGTCGCCTCGTCGAGAATGACAATTGCGCTTCGACGAAGGACAGCCCGTGTCAGAGCGATAAGTTGCCGTTGACCTTGGCTAAGATTTTTTCCTCCAGCCTCAATATGCGTCCCAAGATGCCAGCCGTGCCGACTACACAGACGATCCAGGATTTCGGTGCACAACTCATCGGAATAATCTTCTGTCGGGTCCAGATTGAGTCTGATGCTACCAGGGAAAAGGACGGGATCTTGCGCGACGAAGGTAACTCGAGTGCGCAATGCTTGTGTGCTGACGTCGGCGATGTTGATACCGTCTATGAGAATGCGACCGGATTCAGGTCTGATGACGCTCAGAAGCGACATCGCCAGAGTGGACTTGCCGCTGCCAGTACGGCCCATAACCGCTGTGGTCGATCCGCCGGGGATGCGAAGAGAAACGTTTGTAAGTGAGGGGTCGAGATGTGGTGCGTAACGGAGAGTTGCATCTTCGAAGATAACGTCGCTACCGTAAGTCGGCCATGCAGCTGGGGGAGCGATGGTCCCAGGGGTTTCTTCTTCGATGTGGAGTAACTCGTCGACTCGCTCCACCGACACAAAGTCCATTTGAAGTTGGCCGTACTGCTTGCACAATGCATGTGTGGAATCGACGAAGTTGTTGGCAGCAATAAGCACGAATGCTACTAGCCCTGGTGTGGTATTCGTGTACAAAGCCAGAGCTGTTAGACAGAATGTTGAAAAAGCGGATAAGCTTTCAAATCGGTACATGAGCCAGCTCTGGAGTGACCAGTAGAAATGATCCATTCCCTGGAACTTGTCAACCACAGATATAACCCGGTTCTGGAACTGTGACTCTGCATGGAAAGCTCGGACGGTGGTCAGACCATGCAATAGCTCGCCGAAGTTGGACAATAAAGGACTTAGGGACACCATCTCGAGTCGTCGTAGGCTCTGAGATGTGGGAAGGAAACGGAGGAATACCAGGACAAAGGCAACTGTGAGAGCCAGGGAGAACAATAAAAACACCGGGGTAGCGGTGGCGATTACCAGGACGGAGGAGATCCAAGTGATTGCCTGGAACGCAATCACCTGGAATTGCTCACTAATGTTACCATCCACGACTCCAATATCAGAGGTGAGACGGTTCATCAAGCGCCCGAGGGGGATTGTATCTTTATATGTAATCATTAGTTAGCTTTATCCTGTTGAGTCAAGCTATAGAACTTACCCAAGTATCGGAAAGTCGCGTGGCTAACTCGGACCAAGACCCGTCGGAACAGTGACTGCCCAGCATAATACACAATGACCAGCATTAGAAGCTGAGCGACAAGGAGTGTAGCCGCTTGGAAAAAAATGATCGCAAAAAATGTCCATAGCCAGGGTCGCACATCCTCACGCGGAGACGGCAGTTGGACTATAGGGTTCGGAGGCATGCTTAAGCTCGAAACTGACCCGGCGCCTTGTGATGACCTCTCACTCCAGTTTGAGAGATCCCCTCGAAGAACAGTTGTCTGCTCATAGGCTTCTCCCCACCCTTTGAGGAACCATGATTGCCCAACAGCCATCAGTCGGTAGATTGCCAGGATCAGGACGAGAGTAAGCCACCATCGGTACTTTCCGGCCTTGATATAATTCCAATAGACTCGGGCCTTGACTCCCCCGTCTGCTCGATGCTCTTCCTCGATGAATTTATCAGGTATGGCAGCCGTCTCCTCCTCGAGGGTGGTTTCCACCTCTGTTTCGTTTTCATGGTCAATAAATTGCAGAGAGGACTCGGTCGGAGCAAGTTTGATGGTATCTTTGTCGTAAACAGTGGCATGTTTTTCACAAACGTTGATAATTTGATCTGCAATTTGACGAACCAACGTAGTTCGATGCGTCACTAGAACGATAGTTCTGTCTTTCATCAACGGCCCCGAAAAGCATTTGCGGACTATCAGCTCCGCAGTATTGTGATCTAACGCAGACAAGGGATCATCCAGAAGCAAGATCCGCGATGCGCTATAGACAGCCCTTGCCAGAGCGACTCGCGCTTTTTGTCCACCTGATAAACCAATGCCATTTTCACCCACAAACGACAAATCACCATGTTTGAATTGAGCAAGATCCGGGAGCAAGGCGCAGGCTTCCAGTGTCCGCTTGTACCGCTGGTCATGGTAGGGAGCGGAGAAGAGAATGTTATCACGAATACTCATGCTTTGTAGCCACGGGGTTTGCGCACAATATCCCACCATTTCGTTTGGAATATGCACCGAGCCGTCAAGTCTATCGAGTTCTCCTAAAAGAGCTTGCAGAAAGGCGGTTTTTCCAGCACCGACCTTGCCGGTGACAACAGTCAGTCCTTTGGGGATGGTGACATCGATATCAACAAGGACGGGTGAGATCTTTCCTGGCCATGCGAACGAACAAGACTGCATCGAGAGTGGTGTATCATTCGTCAGGGGCTCAGAAGGCAGATTCTCCTTGTCTGGTTCGGACATGAAATCCTCGATACGTCCAAGGGCAATGAAGGCATTGATAAGCGATGTGATAAGGCCAGGGATATCCCGAAGACGGGTCTCTAGCATGGTAAACAACTGCAATGCGGGAAAGATAATATCAATCCGCAGCTCATGCCCGGCCAAAAAGGTATATGCGTACAACGCAACCACTGGAAACACCCCACTTGCGAAAGCGTTGATAAAGCGAATCAAGATACTCCACAAACTAGTCACAATTCGAATATTCAACTCATGCTGTCGGGCCTCCATTACCTGCTGGAGCCAATGATTCTGCCACCCGTACCATCGCAGATGACGGATTGCTTCCACGAATTGCGAAGTTATTTGGAGTCTTGTATCCGTTGCCACTCGTCTGACCCGCTCCCAACGGAGGAGAGCTCTGGTTACCAGTGCATTCACGATCTGTGCAACTAGAACGGCTAATATTCCCAGGAAACAAGACGGACCGAAGAGTGTCCAGACAAGGAAGGTAGCGATCACGAGTCCTAGCGGCTTGTCAATCAACGAGTCAACCTCCCAGAATCTCTGCGCAACTTCATATACGTCTCCGCGCAAGAGATTAAAGATTTTGCCAAGTGATGCAGCTTCTTTGGCTTGTTTCTGTGGGGCCTTTGGGTTGCGAGAAATGATACGGTGCCAGAATCCCTCCACGGTTTTGGTTGGGGGTTGATGGCTCTCTTGAACTGTAGCCTCATCATTGATACTATTAATTTCCTCGTCGGATGATCCTGTGGTACCCTCGATCATCAGCCCAGATATGTTCTTGCGTGAAAGGGCTTTTTCATAGACCATCATGATCATTTCACCCCTCGACCGTTCATAGGATCTTCTTCCGTACCACAGAAGTAACATCTGAGATTGTGCAGCGACAAGTCGAAGAGCGAAGGACATCAAAGCATAGGTCAAAGGTACGCGTTTTGGTCGGGACGGGTCTTTCATGGCCTGCAATAGTTGCTGTAATAGAACCGGAGTAGAAAAGTCTGCGATGTGAATATTGTTAGCGATATATAATAAGAGAGGAAATCCGAGTTCGCATACCGCATATCATCTGGACAAGCGAGATGGCAGAGATGATAAAAACATCAATTCCATTGGCTCTCAACAGTCGACTGAGGACAGAACCACGAAGTCGACGAAACTTTTCATGTAATCGGCTATGTTGGAAGTCGAATCCAAGCAACCAGACATCTTGTTCATGTAGTTGTCTTTTGCACCCAGTTGAGATAAGCGGTGCCATCCACGACACTGTGAGGAACTGCCAAAGCCTTAGATTGTCTTCTGGTGTGCGGAAGTCATTGGATGGCTGTTGGCCAACATCGCTTATATCTATTGATGGCAGCGAAGGTTCGCGGAACGGCATTAGGAGGATTGTTGCACAGGCTGCTGCTGCCGCCGCTACGGCAATATAGCGAGCAACACTTTTGAATTTCGGGCATACATCTGGGTGAGTCGCTAAAGAAAGTTCAACTGCAAATGCTAAGACATAATACGCCAGCATCGAGATAGAACATGATCTGGGCCGCTTCACCGCGACCAGAATAGATGCTGTGGCCTAAGTAATGGTGTTAGTAATTGATACTCTCAGAGACGGGGGAGAACCGACCCATGAGAGAACAAGGACAAACGCCGAGGCGTCAATTTTCGGTGGACCAAATTGAACTGTCTCAGCTAGAAGCCCAGTAGCCGAAAATATAAGAAGAGAGACAGTCCATCGCAATGATTGCTTGGGCTGATCTAGCGGGAGTTCTTGTGTATCATTATCATGTTGCTCGGAAATGAAAGGAACAGTCCACTTGGGGCGCCATCGCTGGCAGAAGTATCCAAGTATATGGCTTAATGCAATAAGCAATACTATTATAGCCGGGATGAATGCTAGGTAGGGCAATGCACAAGGTGATAGCCACGCATTATGCGAGTCCTGAATTGGTCAGCCTGTGCGAGCCGAAGCAAGGGGGCCCATGAGTTCATACCCAGAATTGGTCACACTGGGATCTGGATGCACCTTGGACCAGGGGAATTTGATTCATGCTTGGTCCGAAGAGCAGTGCCAGCTCTTCGCGGTAGCCTTGGGGTGACATCCCTTCATCAAGCAACGTGGGGCTGGATCAATATTCATCCGCTTGGCCCGTGTCATCTATACAGGCAGGTTGGGCAGAATTGGTGTTCAGTTCTTGCTTGAAACATTATATGGAGAGTCAAGGAACCGTGTACTTGTTTTAACAGAGTCGCAATTAGAGTTGTTGTTGCAGGAAAACACGATGCCGACTCTCCCAGGCCGTGAACGGCCGGGCCGATTATCTGGCGGGATGATCCGCCGCGGGGCCGCCCATTCAACACAATCAATAATATGGATGGACCTTGCGTTGCCAAGCCAAAAAAAGACAATGGATTTCCCCAATACCACTAGCTTGTGGTACTGATTTCATGATTGAGGCGAGGCATCCTGACTCAGAAGAAGAAGTGCGAAATTAAGACGGCTACATAGCCCGCCTGAGAACTCGTGTTTTACTGTGTAATAATACAATGATCCCATGAATCTCCTGCATAGAAGAGCCATCCACGGCAAATCGCTCGATACTGTCTATCGTGTTCTTCTGCAGAGTATCAATATCCGGTACCAAGTGCGCCAAAGCTGGACAAACAGAGCCTAGGGTCAGGAGGAGAATAGAAGAGAACATCCTAAAAGAATCAGAGATCAGTTGACCTCGCGTATGAAGTGTTTTGTAGACGTACGTATGAATAATGATCTCCGCACAGAATGTCGGGCCCATTAGTCTCCGGGCTGAGGCATCGAGATACGCCCGACAATTGGCTATACTGGACTCGCACTGTTTGAGCACCATAGGAAGAACATCAGTCTCAGGTAATAAGTCAATTGCACAAAGAAGAAATGGTCTTGTTATGATATCCTTGGCGGAGTGGAAGCGGTGGAGCATATTGAGTTGAAGGCCAGTACATCGAGACGGATCGTTTATATCTGGTTTGATAGTTCCCGGTAACAGGTCAAACCAATTGTTGAGCTGTCGGTCAAGCTCTTGGGAGACATTCAAGATCGTAGAGAGCGATTGGAAGTCATACGAAGGGCTGTCACTTGAAGCTGGCTGTAGACCAAGGCTGCGCCTTGTCCAGTCACTTCCGTACATAGTGTGGTGTACTCTATTGAGCAGACGACGGACAGACAGCTCGGCAAGGAAGACGTGTGTTTCTTGGGCATCGTTATTTGCAAAGGTTGGGAACGGTGTCAGGTCAATTACATGTTCGATACCACTTCGTGGTAAATGGTGTTCAGCTATCAGATCACTGTCATCAATATCAGTATCAACGTGATTTACCCAAGATGGACCCAAGAAACAAACCACTCGGTGTCGAACGCTGCCCATGATAACAGAATAATGCTGGATTTGAGGTCATGATTCTCTGGTGAAGCTTGGCTTCTATCCAAAACAGATACTTGATCAATTTGGCTGAAATGAAACAGAATGGAAAAGAGCATTAACTAACCGGCTGTTCAAATACTGGATACTGGTAGAAGCCATATGGATCAGTTTCCATGATTGCAGAGGACGTAAAAGAAACCCAAAATATTTCGAAATCAGTATCAAACTCTGGGGAAGAGTGATTGTGGGACAAAACGACAGTAAATATTCGTTCATCAATATCTGCAACGCAGGTGAAATGAAATCTGCTCCGGGCACCCAGTATGGAGAGCTGGATTTTGTCGGGTCAACTTGCTCGAGAGCTGCAGACCCTAATGCAAGAACTGCAAGACATAGCGCAGAGTCACAATCAACACTCAAGCCGGCTCTAATATGGTGATCATAAAGCCCCGAAAATTGGTCTTTGTCAAGGATTGGCATCTCAACATGGACGTGTTTGAAATATGCCTCTACCAGTGGATAAGTGCTCGCTTCATCGAGCATGGGCAACTGACTCGCTGTAATGGTACCTGGGACGAAAGATAGCTGGTGCGGCATATGCCTTTTTGATTCCGCGCGTATGAACAGGTCTGGTGGAAACTCCCCGAAGAGCGTCTTTACTCTGTTCATATGCAGCATATATTCAGTTGTTGTTGTGTGACCAATTGGAATACTCATGGGCGGGATGTCATGTTCAGGTGGTATGAAAGAGGAGGAATTCGTACTGATAAGCTGGGAGATATCCGCCGGGTTGGGTCTCGAAGGGGACGAAATCAACATGGTGGAGGGATGAGAAAAGTCCGCTCTTTCATGCTCAGATGACGATGGGAACGTAAAACCACCACTTCGTGTTTCACCAGTCTGGGGTGTTTGAGGGAGCCTCGGGTGACTCCATAGAAAGTTCTCAATTGCATCAAGACGGCGGAAGAACTCTGAAGAGGAAGTTTCTCCTCGGGGCCTGTCGGAGTTTAGTAACATTGCTCAAACGTCGGATGAAATGGGGCTCTTACCTCGAAGAATCAACTTCATTATAAACACAATCAATACCTGAATCCTCACAGAGGCTGCAGGAGGGTATCGCGCCATTGCAGCGGCGTTTCCTGCTTGTCCGTCAACATGAGGAAACCCGGTCATGGGAGTAAGGGAAACCTACCGCCTCCGACAATAGTTGCATGCCAAAGAAGCACGTTTACGGCCGTTTTCCATATGGTAAAATTATATGGATTTCAAGGATCAAAGCTAGCTAGATGAACCGTGTTGGCGTTGATGTTGATACAAGGCGGGAAACTCCGCCTGGACCCGCTTTTGTCCCGCTTCCAAGGTTAGTCATCAGGGCGCCTCCCCGGCGCCAGGGCTGCCAAGTCTTTCAAGGTTGCGTACGTCGTAAATGAGAGATATTAAATTAACCAACTCATCAGCCCTTCCAGGATTGCTTTTCGATTTCATTTTGATTCATTTGAAGACTTTTCTCTGTCCTTGACATCTCTATTGACACTTCGCCCTACATGAGAGCCCCTCTCCAAAAACAGCGACCAGGCGACTTTAAAACAAACACCAAGGTCGTGTACCACTCGTTTTGGTTCTGTTTTTAGTAGGTATATATTATACAATCAAATAGGCGCCTAACCAAAATATTTGTCGTTAAGGTCATCACTTCAACTTCCATTATATCTGAAGCAGTAGACATGGCCGCTTTCGGCAATGAAATTATTGTTTCGGGCCGATCATCTTTCGGAAAACTCTCGGCTCCACCTGAGTTCCCCGGAGCTCTTTCAGAGATTTTTTCTTGGGCTTGGCCGGGGTTACCCGATTCTTTTTAGTCTTTGACACATATTAACAGTCTCAGTTTTGCCAAGGACTAGCCTCGACTTGAGTCGTGTGGAAACTCACTATGTTTGACGAAAAGTATGCCGCAGACGGCAAGGTCGATGGACTACCCGAAAAAGACCTGGAGAAAAAATTGGACGCGAAGCAATTGGAGCCCTTTGGAAATGAGGAAACAGCCGAGATCAAGTATCGGACTATGAAATGGTGGTAAGTTATTATTCTCTGCATAAACATTGTGAATTCGATCATGGAGATGGCTAATCATGCTTAAACAGGCACTGTGGAATGCGTGAGTAGCTAAATTTGAGATATCATGCACATCGAAATATTCGACTCCTAACATCAATTCCAGTCATGATCGCAGAGAATGTCTCTGTCGGAATTCTGTCTTTGCCATCCGCAGTGGCTACCCTCGGAATGGTTCCGTATGTATTTTCTGACGGCTTCGAGACCCTGTGGCTAACATTGTTAAACAGCGCTGCTATCATGATTCTGTTTGTCTCTGCTCTTTCATGGTATACCGGCTATGTCATTGGCCAATTCAAACTTCGTCATCCCGAGGTTCACAGCATGGGAGATGCCGGCGAGATCTTGATGGGTCCCTTCGGCCGTGAGTTGCTAGGTCTTGGCCAGCTGCTGCTGTTGATCTTCCTCATGGCGAGCAACATTTTGATGTTTAACATCCTGATGAATGTATTGACCGATCACGGTACCTGCACGTTGGTGTTTGGTGTCGTTGGACTGATCATCTGCTTTTTGGGCGCCTTGCCTCGCACTATGGACAAAGTCTACTGGATGTCCGTCATTTGTGAGTACAGTCCTCATCTAGTGCAGTCATGACACTATCCAACTCAGAGGAGAACTCAACTGACCGGTCCGAAGCATTCTTGAGTGTCTTTGTTGCGACAGTGTTGACCATGATCACCGTGGGAGTCGAGAGCAAAGGACATATCAAGAACGAAGCCACCACGGATGTCAGCTTCCGCGAGGGCTTTTTGGCAGTGACAAACATCATTTTCGCTTATCGTATGTGGAACACCAAATGATGCTGGTCATCAGCACCTGACAAAGCAAACCGAGCTAATCTAACGACCGATCTTATAGTCGCCCACGTTGCGTACTTTGGCTTCATGTCCGAGACAGAAGACCCACGCACATTCAACAAGTCACTCGCCATGCTTCAAATTGTCGATACCGTCCTGTACCTTGTTAGTGCACTGCTCATCTACCATTATGTGGGACCGGAAACAGCCACCAGCCCCGGTGTCAAATCGCCTGCCATTCTCTCCCTGAGCCCGTTGATGGGCAAGATTGCCTGGGGTCTTTCAATTCCGACAGTGAGTTCATTCTTTTAGTCCGCTTGTCTTCTGTATCCACCTTACTAATTCAATATAGACTATTCTTTCTGGAGTTGTCTTGGGTCACGTCGCGTGCAAATATATCTACGTGCGTATGTTCCGTGGATCCGACAAGATGCACAGCCGAAGCTTCCTGTCGATTGGATCCTGGGTCGCTATCTGTCTCGCAGTCTGGGTTGTTGCCTGGATCGTGGCCGAGTCTATTCCCGTATTCAATGACCTGCTGAGTCTGATTGTAAGTCTTATATCAAATCTCATTTGGCTGAGAACGTTGGCTGATGCAGAAATTACAGAGTGCGGTCTTTGGAAGTTGGTTCAGCTGTAAGATTTTCCCCCGTTTCCCATTATTGAATTTCTCGGGATCAAACAAATGCTGACTTGTGATTAGTCGGACTCCCTGCGATCTTTTGGTTCTATATGAACAAAGGCCGTTACTTCCAGAACTGGAAGAAGACTGTTTTGACGATTACCAATGTTTTGGTCTTGGCTATTGCCTTTGCTATTGTAAGTACCCTCCCCCTTGATTATGTTTATGGTGGCTAATCCTTTCTAGTGTGGGTTGGGATTGTGGGTGTCAGGAGTCGCAATTCACGAAGACTCCGTTTCCAGAAGTTGGTCTTGTGACAATAATGCGTGATTGGAGAGTAATGAACCTCGAAGGAAGACGCTTCTCCTAAAAAAGAAAAACCCCGACCATTTAGATCTGTTTGATTACACACCCAACATTTGTCTTATAGACCATAGCTTTCGAACATAATTTCATGATGCATTCCAGGCTTTCTCCCTTTAACGGTCAACTCTCTACAAAGCGGAACACAAAATATAAGGGATACAGATCTCAGTGAGCACTTAGAGCTGCTTGATGAACGGCTCACCCTTCGCTCGGTCTTGTTTCAAAGGATAATAATTCAAGCTAAGAAAAGCGGATAAGTGACTTGTATGATATCACGAGAAATTGTGTAACCGGAATCAGGTATAGATTTGAATGACAGTGTCGTCTCAGGATATATTGAAAACGTCAAAAAGTACAAGCAAAAGATACTACAAATAATAGCGGAAGTTTGGGTTCTCCCAGTCAGTCTCATCCTGATCAAGTGCAAGATCGAGCGCAAGAACCTCCTCGATTTCAGTCTCCTCGCGAGATTCAGGGTCTATTTTTACATTCTGCTGGTTGTCGCGTTGCTGATTTTGGAACTGGAATAGCCCACGCAAACCAAGAATAGCGACGAAGCCAATAGCCAGTGAGATCATAATCCCGACCCAGGCACTCTGCTCATCGTCAGTTTTATTCATCAGATATAAAGCTCAGTAGGAGCACTTACCCCGTAGTTAGGCATTTCATCAGAGAAGAAGAGGAAAGGGCCAGTGATATTACCAGCGCAGTTTCCAATAAACATCATCGCGGTCACCGTCGTTCTCTTGGTGTATCCAGCTACGTTAGAGGCAATAATGCTAAGGATAATAGGGATTCCGGCGGAATATGCAGGGAAAAGCCACATCCCAGCCAATCGAGCGATTTTCTTGCTGGGTTCAATCTGAGAGACCATAAGAGAGCCGGCTAGACTGATAAGCGATAAAACAGCAGCGGTAAGGCAGCGGGATTTGTGGAATTTTGTAACGATGATCGTGGCCAGAACCACCCAGATGAGAGTAAACACCGACGTGGGTAACCCAACGAGGAGCGTGTTGAAAGTCGAGTATCCGAACCCGGAAATAACAATACTTCCAAACTGCAGAAGGGTATAAATAATCAGCAAGGCTTAATAAAGCGGGTTTGGATATTCTTACACTTGTAAGACCTCCATTGGGGATGCTGGACGCCATAGAGTAAACGAAAATAAGCCAAGTTTTCGGGTCTATAAGTGCTTCGATGCATTGGCTTTTTGACCATTTATGCGAAACTGTAGTGTGTGACTCCCGCCGAGCACGTTCGTGGATGAATTTTGCCTCCTCTTTAGAAAGGAATCGGGCGTTGTGAGGGTTGTCTGGTAGGAAAATATAGAAGACAATTCCATATGCAAAGGTGACGATGCCGAATATGATAAAGATCCACTATACACCATCAGTTTAAGTCCAGGGAAAAGCTTATACCCAAGAAATGCTTAGGGGGTGAAGGGCAACATACCCTCCATGGTTCAACTGAGTTGCTGATATGGCCGATACCATACGTTAACAGCCCACCAAAAATAGACGAAACGCTGTTTCCTGCAAACCAGATTCCATGTCTAGAGGCATTCTCAGACCGTTTGTACCACAGACTGGTGAGCAGGGACAGACCAGGGCCAATTGTACTTTCAAAAACGCCGAGTAGGACACGAAGGGATACGAGACCGGCAAAGTTGGACGTGGCGCCATGGCACGCTAGGACGATAGCCCATATAATGCTATAGAGTTTATTGTCAGCTTTATATATGAGGCCTGGGAGATAGAAGTCGCCCACGTACAAGGAAACGGAGAGGAATTTCCCGATTGGAAATTTAACGAAGCATAAAGATACCGGGTAGGATGCCACCAAGAAACCAAAGTAGAATGAACTAGAGGCCCATGAATACTGATCACCAACAAGACTCTGGTTTTCTCGCCGTCAACAGTTATCCTTTCGCACGATCCGAGATACATACCAATGATTTCTGAATTCCAAAGATTGCAGTATACCCTAGCGCAGTCTTGTCGAGAAACTGAAGCATGTAGGCAACGAACATGACAGGAAGAATGCTAAAGAATGCATGTCAGTTGGACTCTGCTCGGATATTACATAGCAATGAGCAAATCTCATACTGCCAGTCGATCTTGCGCATCAACGCTTTCTCGTTTTGGTAGTCAAAGACCTCAGCCGCGTTGGCTTTAAGCACATCCTTCTCCTCTTCCATATCCGGATCTGGTTTATGGTCTTCCATGGTGCTTTCCAATTGAAAGCGAAATTGTGTGAAAGAAGTAGAGTAGAGTAGTTATGCAGATGTAATGTATTGTCCAGGGTATCAAGGGAAATACATGTGTTGAGCAGGGTGTATATATTCATCACAACCCCTGCTAGGTATTGCTTGGCACCCGAGTGATGTTCTATTAACGCCTAGATAATGAACGTTATCCTATCCCTGTGTCCAGATAAGGCGTCAGAAGGCGCGATTGCCCCAGCTGGTGACGATGATATCTGCAGCGATTCCGGTTGGTCCTCTCGGGAAATTAATCTAATATCACTTCGCTTAGAGATGGTGGGTCCAACTATGCCATCTGGGGTTACCCCGGGAAGGAGATCACTCCCAGATTCTACCTAGGTACGCATCAAGCTTAGGTGATAACCCTGAAGGTGCTTTACACCTCTCTGAATATGGTATTGTGCCAATTGCATATCTTTCCCCTATCGCATATCTTCGCCACAGCGCAATCATCAACAATCACTGCTGCCTTTTCCCCTAAAATTCGTTGAATAGGTGAAGTTGATTTCCTACAATCAATTATTCGCAGTCGGTTCCTCCGAGCTAGCGATTACAATGACGGAGGACGAATGCATGTGAGATGTTATGACTCAGTTAAGGGGAAATGCAATTAACGCCAATCCACGCTGCTCGCGATATTGCCGCATGAAGCTGCAGTGCTCTCAGTTGCCTAAGAAAGCCAAATTAATGGTGACGCGAGGATTAAGTGGGAAGAAAGGAAAGGATGATCTGTTATTGTTATATAAAGCAGCTACAAACGAACCAAAGGATAGTGATCACTCATCACTGGTCTTTTTTCCCAAGCATACTCAAATTCCTCAAGAGAGTGGGTGTGCGGCCGATGTGAATAATACCGCAGAAGCCTCACAGACTACCACTAGTAGTATACCAAGTTAGGTTAATCGAGATAATTGGCAAAGTAGCCGAGACAGCAGAAGGGGAGAATATACCGATGGCTGTCTTACCAAGATCTCTTTCTTCCAGTCACCACACTGCGGCTTATCAGGATTGGGGACACATGCCAAAACCTTGAAAATAGCCCTGGAGGTCTAAAAGAGGAAATATTAGTCTGTGTCTCACTTACCCGTCGTTAGCGGCAGTTGATTGCTGGATTCTGTTTAACCGACGAACTAGTTAATCACGCCATCCACGTGTTTACATAGTACCTAGGTAATGTGCTGGACCGATATAACCTCCGATATACCGACATTGGACCCGCATCCGTAATATAAAAGGCTATTCTTCGGTAGTTACAAAGTATAGGTATAGTATTTCGTTATCGACTTTATTACTGCCCCTATTACTCCATACCATGTCGTGGGAATCAATTGCAGCTACAAAGCGCCAGGCGCTCAAGGATTCGATCCCTGCTGAATGGGTGATCCCTACTGCCATCTTTCCCTCTGAAGATCAGTTGGATGTGACCATCTTTCCTCGGGAATCCGGATTTTTTACGGAACGCGAACTGGAGATCACCTCGACTTCTGCTCTGACGATCCTATCTCATCTATCTTCGGGATCATGGAGGTCGGAGGAGGTGACCAAGGCGTTCTGTAAGGCTGCGGCGGTAGCTCAACAATTGGTATTTGTTTCCGCCAAATACAATATGAACAATGCCTAATTTTGACCAAGACAAATTGCTTGTCGGAAATCTTCTTCGACAAAGCCATCACGCGGGCTAAAGAGCTCGATGTCTACTTCCAACAAACCGGCAAGACAAAGGGTCCCTTCCATGGCCTGCCTATTTCTCTCAAAGATAACTTCAACTTTATTGGTTATGATTCAACTATTGGGTTCACCTCCCTGGTTAACAAACCAGCTACCTACAATAGCACAATCGTCGATCTTCTCCTTGAAACCGGCGCGGTACTCTACTGCAAGACCAATGTGCCAACCGCCATGATGATATCAGAGTCTGTGAACAATCTTTTTGGCCGCACGGTCAACCCGCAGAATCGGAATCTCACCACCGGTGGGTCATCTGGTGGAGAATCTGCTTTGATCGCGTTCGGTGGTAGTCGACTTGGAGTCGGCACTGATATCGGTATGTACCAACGACGGAAATGCTATCGCGAAAAACAATGCTAATTGTTTTGCTAGGTGGCTCCCTCCGTATGCCGGCCGCCTGCACCGGCACCTTCACCATCCGTGCCTCCGCTGGGCGCTTCCCCAACTTCCGCTCACGCGCCTGCCTGGAAGGCCAGGAATCCGTGGTTGGCGTCAGCGGTCCTATAGCCAAGACTCTGGAAGAAATCGTTCTCTGGTCCACCACCATTATCGGCCTACAACCCTGGATTCGCGACCCGAAATGCCTCCCCATCCCCTGGCGGTCCGTGGAGCTGAAGAAGTCCCTCAAGATTGGTGTCCTCTGGAACGACGGATTCGTTTCCCCAACACCTCCTGTTGCTCGTGCGCTCAAGGAGACTGTCGATAAGTTAAAGGCAGCTGGCCATGAGATTGTCACCTGGCCGCCAACCGAACACATGGAGATGCTTATCATACTTGGGCGCTTGTTCCTCGCAGACGGAGGCAAGTCCGTACGGGATCTCCTCGAGCCAACAGGGGAGCCATTCCGCCCGGAAATGAAGCCATACGAGGACGCAAAGGAAATAAGCGTGTATGATCTATGGCAGGTTCATGTTAAGCGCAACGCTCTCTGCAAATCTTACCTGGATCGGTGGAATGAGGCTGGTATTGATACTCTTCTAGGTAAGGCCGCCCACTTCAGCGAGACAGCCTTCTTTATTAACCGGTTTCTGCAGGCCCTACGACGCCATACAGCAGCGTTGAGAACGGCAACTTCGCTTACGCCGGATATACATGTGTCTTCAACCTACTCGATTATCCGGCCGTTTCATTCCCCTGTGGTATAAATACCGATAAGGCTATTGATGCAGCATATACCGACCATCAGGCACTGAGTGATATGGATGCGAAGATTCAAAAAGATTGTCAGTGGCCCATACTTGGAGACTTGACGTATTCAAATACTAACAGAACCAGACTCTGCCGAGTCCGTACATGGCATGCCGGTTAGTCTGCAACTGGTCGGCCGCAGACTCGAAGAGGAGAAGTTGTTGGCGATGACGGATGTCATGCTGAAGGCTGTTGCTCTGTGAACCAAACCAAACAGTACGAACTCGGATATTGCGACTTCAGCATCAACACACGTGAGTTATGATTGAATGTGCGAAATCGAGACCATCGCGATAGATCAAAATAAGCCATTGTGGGCCATCCTTGCTGCTCGAGTACCCGTTGCACCAGGACGAGCGCGCGACTATATGGGAATGACTCTTTCCAACCAGGGAATCGATCTCCGTCAAGATAATTCTTGATGGGACTGGAGCCTCGCACAGTCGTGGCCGAATTATTGGTGATGACTGGCTCTCTGGGTCAGCTTCTGACAAGAGACATGTATATACAACTTGGTTCGACATATAGAATGTGCAAGTAATTATCCCCGACCGGCTTCCTGATTTTATCCAACTCATATAACAACATGAGAAAGGACCCCAATCCCAGACTGTCCTTAATACCAGTTTAATTGGCAATGTCTATAATCGTCGGATCAGCCCACTCCGATGGACGTCTCCGCTCAGATGCCAACGCCGAATCCCCCGCTTTGGCGGAAGTGTCCCGCCTCGCAGCCGCTCCCCACCTGGGAAACATCTGCACGTAGCTCCAAATCGGATTGCTTCAGACTCGCTGCTTTTAGTGATCGCTGAGGGCCTTCCCTTTTCTATAATTAATCGTTATACTCCAAATACCCCAAAAGGTTTCCACTTCTTGTTGCATTATCCTACCCACCCCAGTGCGAACTGTCTTGTCCTCCAATCCTGAGAACCGACTTGTTGCATTAATCTCTAGGTGAACACCGATTTGTCCTAGACACAGCCTTACAGAATCAATATGTCTGCCGAAACCCCAGCAGAAGCGAGCGAGGACCAGCGAGCCTCGCTCACTTCCCGAATCCTTCCTGTCATGACCTTCTCGGAGGGGTCAAGTCCCCTCACACGCCCCCTCGCTCCAGTACCCTTTACATCTGCTCGCTCGCGGGCAGAAGCACGATTCCAAGTTCAAGGGAAAGCCATAGTCACCGGTGGAGCAGGATCCCTAGGCCTAATCTCTGCACAGGCTCTCCTAGAGCACGGTCTTTCCTCACTGTGTGTCATGGATCTCCCCAGCACGTTCAAGACATCAGAAGAACAAATCCAATCACTAGCATCGAAGTTCCCCTCTGCCAATATAACCAAGATTCCATTGGACGTGACATCAATGGAATCAATCGAAGCCGCATTTGAGCAGGCAAACAATGCAATGGAAGGCATCGATATTCTTTGCTGCTTCGCCGGAATCCCCGGCTGTCAACCATCCCTCACAGTAACACCCAATCAGTTCAACAAAGTGATAGACGTCAACCTGAACGGATCTTTCTTCTGCGCCCAGGCAGCAGCAAAGCGCATGGAATCCTCAGGCAAAGGCGGGTGTATTTTATTCACTGCGTCGATGTCCGCCCATTATACCAATTTCCCACAGCCGCAAGCGGCTTACAACTCGAGCAAGGCTGGGGTTGCGCACCTGACTCGAAATTTGGCTGCTGAGTGGGCTGTTCATGGGATCAGAGTGAATAGTATTAGCCCCGGGTATATGAATACCATCCTTAATGCTGGGGATAGTTTGGCGGATGTTAGGAAGATTTGGGACTCTCGTTGTCCGATGGGCCGCATGGGGGATCCCGAGGAGATTACTGGGGCTGTTGTTCTCCTGTGTAGTCAGCGTGCAGGACGGTACATTACTGGTGCTGATATTGTTCTTGATGGGGGGACTTTGACTCTGTGATGATGTAGTGTGAATGTACATGATAGCCATGGGATTTGCATCTTGTTCTAGCTGTTTCTTCCCCCTTTCTATCATTATGAAATTTATGTCTTGTTTTTTTTTTCTCAGTCTTGTAGGTGTGCTTCTCAAAGATGTGTCTCCTTTTACTTCTCAAAACAGTTTCAGAAAGGCAGTAGTTTCTTTAAGGCTTATTCCTTGGATCTCTTAAATACAAAGGGACAACACAACAGCTTCTCCGTATCTTTAAGGTTGCCCCTCTTCACCGACAAACGTAACCTCCATCAATCCGCAGATCTGCACCAGTAGTATAAGTACTAGCATCACTAGCAAAGTACACATACGCCGCCTTCAACTCCTTAGGATCACTTTGGCGACCCATAGGAATCAATTTATTCCAACCCTCCTGAGTCTCCGCATCCACAAAGTCCCCCAACCCCGTATTAATGTATCCAGGCGAGATGCTATTAACCCGAGCGAAATCCCTCCACTCATTTGCTAGCGAGCGAGCCATGTGAATACACCCAGCCTTAGCAACATTATAGGAAGTCTGTTCCTGCGGGTAATTGGCAATATGTCCCGAGATGGAAGCAGTAATCACAAAGCTTCCCTTGCCACGCTCCTTGAAATGCGGGCCAACGGCCTTAGCACAGTAAAAGACCGAGTTGAGGTCCGCCTGGATAATGTTTTCCCAGTCTTCGACCGAGCCGTCCAGAACACCGGCGTCAGCAGTACGGCCCGCGTTCGCGATGAACGAGTCGATCCGGCCAAAGTCGGCGATCACGTTCGCGACCAGTTCTTGCACTTCGTTCCATTTCGACGTGTCGCATTTGTAGGCCTTGGCTTCGATGCCGTACTCCTCCTGCAGGGCTCTGGCGTTTGCTTCGGCTCCTTCGCGTCGCGAGAAGTACGTGATTGCGATATTGCCGCCCATTTCGGCACAGCCGCGGGCTGCTTCGAGGCCGATTCCGCGGGGGCCGGATGCGCCGGTGACGACCACGACCTTGTCTTTGAGACTGAATAGGTCTTTGAGGGAGCTGGCTTGGGGGATTTCGATAGGCATGGTGGGCGAGAAAAGGGAGAGATGTGTATGGGAAGATATAATGATTTGAGAATTGTTGGTTTGTGTGCTGGATTGAGGAATTGTAGAGGGATCTATGTAGACTTTATACCTTTTTACCATTGACGTGGCCTCGGATCCAACTTTCCTACCATGCAACTGTGCAACTTATCAGTCTCCTTTGAGATGTTGTGTCCTTCTCCACCCGGCGGGACACTCGGCGGCACGATCCCGCCAACATTTCTGTGGACACTTTGGAGTAAAAGATCTCTCAAATTATTGCTCATTTCAATAGATAAAATAAATTCAGAAAATAGCAAACGCATTAGGCGGGCTAGCAACACCACCAATAACCTAGACCGAGTCTGAATTAGCACAATCCCAACACAGCCAATAACCAAGAGAAACCCACCTTCAAAGGCATACTGGACAAGAAAAAGCTATAACGTCCACTAGCCTTACAATGCTCCGATAACTTCTCCAAATCAAACATCTCCCCGATAGGAGTTCCCCAACCCGCCAGCACCCACTCATGCAAATTGAAATTCGCATCCGCATGGGCACCTCTAATAGGCGCACGCTCAAAGCTTGGCGCATCACCAGCGACAGCAGAGAACTGATGATCCCATAACCACCGCACCATACTCTCTGTTGCCTCAACGCCGCTGAAATCTGGCGATGATCGGAGTGCCAGGTCTTTCCGCTGCTGGTTGTCCAGCTGGTTGTATGCGGCCGTGAATCCGCTGCGGATGAATAGGATGTCACCCTTTTGGAAGTCGAGGTTGTAATCTTTGACAACTCGTTTCAGGTTCTGGAGAGTGATGGTCTCGGATTTGAGGGCGGAGGTGGTGATTGAGTTTATGGTGGCCCATTCTGCGTAGTCGAGGAGGACGCCACGGCCTGTTATTCCACCATGTTCACATATGGCTATATGAGGGGTTGAGGTTAGTGATGGGTCGATCATGTATCTTAGAGCTGGTTCATACAGTGAATGCCAATTATGTCCGAGCTCTCTATCTCGTCTGTGGTATGTCCGTTATAGAACTGCCGGGACTTCTGGTTTGCTAAAACCGCCAACCAGTAAGCAATAATCTCGAACAATATATAGACCCTCAATAACATACCGTAATGTCTAAACCCATCCCACTGGGTAGACCCCTGGCTATTGAATGTCAGGATGTCATCATAAACACAATTTGGATTCCGAAGAACGAGCTCCTGCTTAAACGGATCACGATTGAAGCTAGGATGCGAAGGCATGCTCAACGGCCAATCAAGCGAGATTCGCACGCCAGTTTGAATTTCCTTGGCGGCTTCGACAACCCGCTCGGGGGTGAGCAGGTTCAATGTCCCAAGTTGATCATCTTTTCCAAATCGGCCCCAGGCATTTCCTCGTGGGCCTGTTGGGTCTAGTGGAAGGGATTCGAACGATATTACTGCGTCGCTGCTTGCTTTCGTCATGATTTTGGGTTGAGAGTAAAACGAGGCGTGTATCTTTATGTGCTTTTTTTCCGGGGTATCCGACCCCCTTATATATGAACCCCCAGACCCCCGGATCCCCCGCGCGCGGATATGAATCCGAGCGGCCATGCGATTTCCCGTGGCTTTAAGATATTTAGGTTTTTCTTGGAAGGATGTACACACATTTCATATTAGAGTATAAAAAATATGATACTCTAGAAGATGAAGTACGCAATAGTAGCAGCGTACGTAGCCAGATTGTCACCAATCGTCGCCAACGCAGTACCATTTTATTAGTAAAATAAACTATAAGAGATATATTAAAAGTTATTTAAAATAACTTACTCTAAAGCTATAATTATATATAGATTACTATAACTTTAACTTTAGTACCTTTTTCTGCGTATTTTAATAAAAAATAGTACGCGACATGACGCGTGTTCCGTAACAAGCTTCGAGACTCGTCCATATCGGGGGACCATAAATGTACCCCGGAGGTCTTGCCCCACGCTCTTTGGGAACGTCTATCCAGTTTCTCCCGAAGCTTTGGACTTCCCCATCCCAATCCTTCATCTCTTACAAAACATTCCGCTCGGCAACTCTTGAACAACGCAGCTCCATCGAAGCCATGAGTACCTCGTCTCCTCCTACTCCGCCATCAAGGGCCTTAATAGATGACGAACGAAGATTCAAAACTATTACATTACCCTGTGAGTGGGTGGAGGATTACCGCCCAGGTGGTTGTCATCCAGTCGTTATCGGCGACGTCTTCAACCGCCAGTACAAGGTCATTCGGAAGCTTGGCGAAGGCTCCTACTCAACGGTTTGGCTTGCCCATGACCTGAAGTAAGTTCATCTTTTACATTCTCTACCCGCGACGCTATATATTATCGTTACTCATTTCCTTTAAGAAATAGTGGATATGTCGCCCTGAAGATCCTTGTGTCGGAAATCTCGGGATCGACAACCGAGCTACGAATCTTACGCCACATCATCGAAGTCGCACCAGTAGAAGGGACCCGATATATCACGCGACTGCTAGGCGAGTTCGAACACCGCGGGCCCAATGGCGTCCACAAGTGCCTAGTATTTGAGCCCATGGGTCCGAGTGTCAATACGATAGTCGAGGAGCTGCCGCAGTTCAAACCTCGCAAGCGAGGAATGAAGATCCGCTATCCGCTTCGGATGGCAAAGAGTATCCTTAAGCAATCCTTGCAGGCTCTTACATTTCTCCACGAAAATGGTATCGCCCATGGAGACTTCCAGCCGGGAAACATACTCTTCACTCTTAACGATATCGACTCGACCCCTGAGGACTTGCTCCTACAAGAGGAAGATGTGCAAGCCCGGTCGATATCGCCCCCGGTACAGAGGCTAGACGGTAAACAAGATAAATGGGCTCCTCGATATCTTTGCGTTGCGCAGCCACTGTTGCCCTTTACCTGCTACGCCGAAGGGTTCAAGGTCAAATTATCCGATATGGGCGGTGGTCAGTCCCTCCCTTTTCAATCATTTGTTCCTTTCGCCTGACGAATACTAATACTAACACTTGACTGCCCTGGATAGCATATTTCTTTTCCGACCCGCCAACAAAGCCCGTTACTCCACTCGGTCTTCGAGCTCCCGAGTTGATTCTTACCGGAGCCGTCAACAATACCGTTGATGTCTGGAGTTTCGGTTGCCTTGTCTTTGAGCTCATCACCGGACAGCCACTCTTTTGTATACCATGCTCCGAGATGGAAGATGACGATCATCTTCTCTCCCTCACCGCCCAGCTCGGTGCCCTCCCCGACGAGTTCTTCAAGCATTGGACGACCTCGTCGCTCTACTTTACGCCCGAGAGGAAGCTCTTTAATTGTCAGCTTGGAGGAGTCGCTCCCGGGGAGGAACCGCTTATGGTGGAGCAGACGTCCATGGAAGAGTCCTTCGATCGGGCAGGCCCGGATCTCAATGAGGAGGAAGCCCACAAAGTGAAGGCGCTCATTCGATGGATTTTGCAATATGATCCCGCGAAGAGACCTTCGCCTGCAAAAATCTTATCTGATCCATGGTTCTGCGAGATTGACGTTGAGAGCGACTCGTCCAAGGTATCTTCAGTCTAGTATATTGCGTGGTCTATGTCATCCTCTAGACATTGGTACTCTGCCTATGGTCTGTGGTGTTGTGTTTCTGGGTTCGGAGCAATATGCAAGTCAATTTAGAACCACCTCAGTACCACGTACTCTAAGCCCATGGATCTGTTGTATCAACCCTGCTATCTTCGCGCATTATCGACCCCTCATGTGTGGTTTAGTCAAGATCCAGCTTTGTTGAAGACTACAGAACGTCAACATCGGCCACTAATCCCATTTCCATGTATGCCTGTCGGTGGGTCGGCTGTCGGCCCGGCAAGGTCGATACTGTTCGATTACGATGCCTCGCCGAGCAGTATCCCATTGAGGATGATCGATATGAGCAGGCGCTGGCTCGTGTGGGCTTATGGAGTGTGTCAAAGTACTATCGGGCCGAAGGACTCTGTAGCACATCTCCATTGGCTCAATTTGAGAATTCCCCTCAGTAGCATTTATAGTCATAGTATAATGAATTTATGCTTCTGTCTATTCTAATCATCCATTCATTTTGAGATATGTTATTTAAACCTATCTATAGCACACTCATCCCACACACTTCTCACACTTCTGACCATCCCCCCACTACTACTACACCCTTTACAATCTATTATCCTCTCCCACACGTACAATGACATATACGATCATGGAGTGGAAAATAGGGTCTCCCGTCCGCTCAGCCGTATGTTGTACTTCAGTCCCAGCCTAGTTATGACAAACCACTCCATCCAATGATCTGCATGCCACCTCCCTGCTGGCCCCCAAATATTACTCCCAACTATGATTGGTGATTCACTAGCTCTTTATTGCCGCTAGTTCCAGTTCAAAGGTTAATCCTCGTTCTTTGTCAAGCCTTTTCGATATTGTCAGCATCTTCATCCTGACCATCACCCTGTACAGCTGGCAGCGACAAGATGTTGACGTTCAGCCATCTGGATGCAGACGCATTCGAGAACCCGAAGAAAAACAACGGTCGGAAAAGACCCCGCTGTCGCGAGCCTTTGGCATGTAACCATTGTCGCAAATCCAAAGTGCGCTGCGATCGCAAGTCACCATGCAAACCGTGCCAAGATCGTGGAATGGGCACACAATGCACTTACTCCCGTTTCAAAAGTTCAACAGTCTCTCAATCAGCCAGACCGATGGCATCCCCTCCTCGCACAGAGATCGATCTACTCGCGTTCGAACAGTTGACACCCCGATCCTCCGATGGAGAGGTCCTCGATCCACTATCGGTCCTGCCCCACAACCTGACCACCGTTAGCCATGCCAATAGTGCCTTTAAAGGGTCGAACTTCAAAACAAGGCTGATTGGCGGCACCCATTGGATGGCCGCGTGCACCGATTTGCCTGTAATAGGGGCTATGCTGGAGAAGAGCGTTGATTTTCAACGGACGTGGAGAACTTTCGCGGAAGTCAAATCTCTCCTTCGCGCCGCAAATTCGGTACCAGTCGGGGTAAATGGAGATGGTAAGAAACTACTCAATCTCCTTCCCGATAGATCGACCTGCGAAAAGTGGATCAGGCGATTTTGTGAAACATATGGTAGAATCTACCATGTGATCGACCAGACCTGCCTGATGACCGAGCTGGAGAAAATACTGATCGCATGCGTCGACGCCAACGAAGTGCACGTTCTCAAGATTCTGTTGGTCATTGCGATTGCCATGCAGACTGACAAGTCAGAGCGACTACACGGGCGTCTACTACTGCACGAAGCGGAGAGCCGTATTCATACATCGACACGGTTCCAAAAACCTTGTATCGGCGTCATGCAGGCTTTAGTGTTGTTGATCATCATGAAGACCGTCACTGCCTCTGATACTGACAAAATTTATAGCCTCATAGGTATCATGGGGCTGACTACGCAAATGGCTCTGAGCATGGGCTTGAATAGGGATCCGGCCTTGTTCCCCGGTGTCGCTCCATACTACGCAGAAGTTCGGAAACGATTATGGGCGTGCTTCTTTCGATTGAACCTCGACTATTGCATCCGGAGTGGATCCCACTTTGGTATTCGACTGGAAGATGTGGACTGTCCTCTCCCGACCCCTATCGACCTTTCGACCCTTGACCCGGGATCCATGATGGAGTCAGGTATCTTCTTAAACCAAGCCCAGGAAGCAACGGACCAGGCTTTCAACATCGCTGCAATGAAGCTTGCTATAGTGAGAGCTCCATTACACCAGCGACTCTGCTCCACAACTCCCGGATTATCAAGCGAGGTACGGGATCGAATGCGCGCCTCGTTCAACAAGATCCTGCGTGAGTTGCCTCCGAATCTGCAAGCAGGAACTTCGTCAACCAGTCCAATCGAAAAGCTTCAGCAAGCCTTGTTATCAATGCATGGGCATAGCTTCATGATAATTATCACTCTCAATTTTGTCCTAGGAGTCCCGTCTTATAATTCACAGCGGGGCGATCTCTATGAATTATGGGACAATTCGGTGTCTATTCTCCATCAGTTGCAGGAGGTGTTACAGAGCGGCTCTGAGCTATCTAGCGTGGCCTACCATCTCCTTTGGACTGACCTTGCCCGCGCAGCACTGACTGCATGTTTGGTGATTGGTCGCTTGCGGAAGAATATCAATCTAGGGACATCCGTCTCCAATGGCCCCCAACCCACACTGGTCATCTTTCAACAGCTTTTACTGAAATATCTCGACTCTTTGTCGCAAATTCTAGCGGGAAGATACCAGCTAGGACCTGTTGCAGCGAAGACGAGACTTGTCCTTGGTGTCGCAACAACTATTACCTCAAGCCTGGTCGACGACTTTAGCGGCTCACAACACGATTCCAAGTTCGTCCAGGTCGGCATCAAAGCTGCCGAGGAGGTCGTAACCGAGATGAAACGTTCTCTGAAACAGAAAGAACAAGATTCAACGCTCGCTTTGCTGGGATTCAATACTGCAAGGACGTCAGCTCCACAAAGTGCCACCAGCCCTCTTATCCCTCTTGCGGCAAACTGGATGGACCATGCACAACTTCCAGATCACTTAATTCATACGTTGTTTCCGAGCGACTGCGACTTTTACACAGGCTCAGAATCTCTGGGTCTGGGTATGCAGTCCGATCTGTGCTTACCATTTTCCATGGCGCCATTCAAATTCACTTCACCGATGCAGTCCACGCCAGACCTCTTGTGGGAAGAGGTATAAATTTGAACCCCCGCATATTTTTCTTTATCTGCATATTAGACAAATAGAGAATAGAGAGTAGGCGCCACCGCCCCCTTTGTTTCTTCTTTTCTTTCTCGTTCTATTCTGCTCACCTTGACCTTCTCCTCATTGGCCTCCATGATCCCTTACTAGGACTAAATTCTCTTTCCGTGAATTAGTTATTTTACCATCAAATTAAACCTTTGTCTTGTTAGGTATCTTTAAATGGGACAGGCATCTAAAATGCACTTAATGTATTTTCTTGACTACACCAGCTATTCTTTGCTAGCTTTTAATCTAGTCCTTATCAAAATTAGAATGTGAATAACAATATGAGCTTTCATTCGGTATTTTTACAAATATAGCCCTGACTGAACAACTGGCGTTGTTCAGGTGATGGTCGGGCGGCCATGGAATAGTTTTTGTGGCAGTCGCTAGTTAATTAATTAAGGATGCAGATTTACAGTTTCTATTGCCTTCTCTCCCACAGCCATGATCTGATCTTGCCTCAGGCATGCTGACAAGTTCATCGTGTGCCCGTCTTATAAGCAATCTCAAGCCTTCTTCAAAGCGAACCCCACCTTTACCACGCGAGCAAGGATCAAGCACACACCTCCCGCCAAGATGAAGACCCCGGAAAAGGTCAACGTACCCCAGAAGACATCTCCCCCGGACGTCCGCTGGTGGTCCAGAATCGCACCCGCCACAGGGCTACCGATCAACAACCCCAGACCCGACGTAAAGAGGGTCATACCGATGTTGGTGCCCAACTTAGACAGATCGGGACAGAGGAAGGCAACTGTTGCGGGAAGGACAGCCTGGATAGAGCCGCTTGCCAAGCCAACAAAGACCGCAATGGCGATCAGACCCGACTGAGATTCCACGCTGATCCACGCCAGCATCAGGATACCGGTGAGCAGGACGGATGGGATCATGACCGACAGGTTACCGATCTTGTCGGCGATTATGGACGGCATGATGCGACCGGGGACCGAGCCCGCGTTCATGATGATCAGCATATAGAAAGACAAGTCCCGCGACATGCCGAGGTTGATACCGTACTGCTCAATGTAGAAGAATGGGATGTAGAGACCGATGAAGATGAAGAATGCAGCAAAGAGCCAAATGGCGAAGACGGGGTCCCGGAGTGCCTCGACGTTGATCAGCGGGCCTGACTTGCGAGGCGGAAGGCGAGGCTTCATAACAGCGACCGAGATGAGAAGCGTTCCCAACATGATAAACGACATAACTCGGACCGCCCAGGGCAGTCCGATGTGGACGATCAGACGCCTCAGCACGACGGGGTAGATGATACCTCCGATGCTTGAGCCGGTCGCAGCCAGACCAAGTGCAGTGGATCGTCGCGTCGAGAAATACGTGCCCACGATGGCAACACTGGGGATGAATGACATTCCGGCGCCAATTCCGACACACAGGCCCTGGGCCAAGATCAGCTGCCAATACTTCGTGCAAATCGAAGTCACTGTTGGATTAGCATTTTCTCTTGTCGTAAATGGGTGGCAACGACTCACTCATCATGCCGAACACCTCCAAAAAGACACCCAAGGTGATATCCGCGTAAAAATACCCAGCATCAAGAGCGCGTCCACACAGAACTCCAATCACCAGCATCAGAAACGCCTGCAGCGATCCAATCCAAGAAATCGAAGACTGCGACGAGTCCCTCAGCAAACCGGTACTATATTCAGACTGGAATGTGCCAAAAGTGTTCAAGAGACCCCAAGTGTTGAAGTTCAGGAAAAAGGCCCCGAGGACTTGGAGCCATGCTTTCGTGCCTCCATTGGGTGGTGGAGGGGGTCCTGCGGGCTTTGGTGGTTCTTCTGCTACTATCTCTGTCTTGATATGGCTGTCGAAGTTGGTTGTGTCGGACTCCACGTCTTTTCCGAACATGGAAGACATGGAAGACGGCTTGGAGGATGCCATTGGGAGATGGTATGTGATCGAACTAAGGTTGAAATTGACAGCACCGAAGAGCAGAGTGATGGAGATGTCAATGAAGATGTTTGAGTTCTGATTGCTACCAAGAACCTGTGGAAGAAATGGACAACAGCTGACGATGCGCCGAAATATATTGCCTGAGCGAGATTGTAATCGACAAAACCAATCAACTTGACCAAACTAACCAAATGACCCAAATCAAACGACATCCTCTTCCAACAAAGGACTGGCTGACTCGTAATGCCCAATCACCACAACAAACAAACATTACATTAACAGATCTGGAATCTGTCCAGCAGATTACCCCATTGGGAAGTGCACGATCCGGAGTTTAATTACCGAAAGGGGAAGTAGACATGGCTGATCGGGGATGAGCCTCAATTGCCCTCCGAGTATGACTACTCCGTACCTCGCTCCCGTTTCGGGCCCAACGGACTTACATTGTCGCTTTGGGAATAATATATTTATTTGTCCGGGCTGTTGTAGATGGACACACCCATGTGAACGCCTAACTTCAACAGAGAGGGTGCAGTAAATGCCTTATTAATCAAGGGTGCAAATTAAATATCACCACATTCTTATCTTACGGCTAGTTAACCTTGGAAGTACCTAGGTATCTCTCTACTATATCAGCTATTCGTAAAATTCGTCAAATTTCACAAGCGAGCGGCGCACCCATGCGAGTGGTGGCGCACCATCCTATAGTAAAATTACTCCTTATTCAAGTTATGAATATTATTAGGGTTAATTCTAAATTAAAGGTTAAAATATACTAAACTTTTCTTACGACTTGCTGTAGACTCTTAACGTCATCTTCTAGAACCCACACCAGTTTTCTCTTAGAACACCTTATGACCCTTCACAATACCGACTGCTTAAACAAGATTTTTTTCTCACACATAATGACTCTCTAGGTTTTACCTCGCCTTGTGCATGCGCCTTGAGGCTTGGCTTGGAACTGTCGTCATTTTATACACTGACAGAATTGTAATGATTGAGAGAGGAAGCAGTTCAGGATGGCTGTATTCTGAGTTGGTTCCAATTAAGTTATAATGATTCGTCTGCATTTCTTAGAGCTACGGTGACTAGAAATAAGTTCACAACTGGTCTTCCTCTACCAGTTTCAAACTCTATCAAGAGCTTCGCAACTTAGATTTAGTAAGCTTTTATAGATATACAATTATGTCATGGAATATCTAATATATAAGTAGCTAATAAGGCTCTCAACTAGTAAGAACTATCTAGAGATTCTAGTACTCTCAATAGAGTTTTATCCCTTTTTTCTGGCCATATCTACAGACCTACAGACTAAGCAAGGACGAGCTACACCGGAAAGAGGAATGAAATCTTATAGAACAAAAGAAGTAGCCCAGTAATGGAGGATCCAACCGTATACCGAAGTTCCGACGGAGATACTTAATAGTGAAGGCTATGGTGTGGTATCCTATACCTGGGGATATATGCGCAATGGGATAAGCCCGCATCGGATATACCCGAGGGTGTTGTTTGGAAGGTCCCCACTACATCGAAATGGCCTTTGTCGAGGGCCAGGGAGGTGATGCAAAAGATTGGAACTCGGTATATCTGGTGGGATTGGATGTGTGTCCCCCAGGGTCTACAGCACCAACTTGACCCTGGGCTATTCAAGGCGAAAGGGGAGGAGATCGGGGAAACAATTGTAAGCAAGTGGAGAGTTCCGACTTCTGATTCAACCTGTTTCGGCGTTATTTGATCCAGGACTGGTAGATCGCAGGGTATGCATTTTATTGCCTCTCTCCAGTGTCTGGTGCAGACTCACCGCCGACGGGATTCCACCAACTTTCTGTCATGCCACAACATAACCAGCCTTAACTTACAAGAGTGCAACGGAACGCGAGATTGTCAAATTTCTACGAGATGATCGACAATCTATCTGTCTGCTACAACTGATTATCAAAACATAATGTCGCACTTTTTCCCCAGGGCCGAGTATGCCGAAGACCAATCCTTGGAACGAACTATTCTCGCCACCCATGTCCTCAGCCGCGGCTTCCAGCTGGGCACGGGAGTCGGCCTGCTTAGTAGTGGTGCTGAAGCTCTCACCAAACGTCGATCCATTACCACGCCCTTTCTTCTCCGCTCGGCGGGTGTAGGCGGGGCCATAGGGGCCGGGGTTGTAGGAGTCGGCCTCATCGCCCGTATGTGGGGCCGAGACGAGATCGAGTGGAAAGACCGGAGTTGGCGTTTGCGGTACAACTCAGTCCAGTTGGCTATTGACAATTGGAGTGAACCGGCAGCAGTTATAGGGGCACTTACAGTGGCGTTACAGAGGCAATCGGGTTCTATGCTGGGGGGTTGGCGTGAACTCATTGGCGGTGCTGGCATTGGATCGTTGATTGGGGTCGTTGGGTGTATGTGTGCTACACGTATCCTCCCGTCACAGAACAGATAAATTTAGGATGGCATGCTGCCGAGAGCGCAGTAGGGGCACTTTGACATTGCGGCTGGCAAAGACCATCACTGGGTATTGTGTTTCAACATTATGAGATAATCTACAGTAACTATCCCAAGGCCAACTACGATCTCAGTCAATTCTGGTAATATGTTACGATACTCCTTGTAGATACCCATTTTCCTATCTAGTCGTGATTGAATTGGCTTAGGGAGTCACAATAGAAGGTCGACACAGTAAGGAAAAGCAAAATTTAGCCCAGACCTATCCTTGGACAGAACTCAAAAAAGTCCGCGATGGAATCGGCGCTCTAAAAGCTTTACTAGGTCGCCATATCTATGAGCATGTCCTTTCTGAGTTCCCAGCGGCTGTCAAAGATATTGAAAGACTATCGTTGGTGACCCAGAACGATCTGGAGCTTCTCGGCCCTCCCGTCAGACCACCATAGACCAAAGACACTTCTTGACACGCATCGCAACCGCATAGATGAGTCATAGTAAATTATGATAAGCAACCGTGGACAGCACCTGCAACAGTGTTTGGAAGAGAAAAGGTAGTAGGAATTCAAGTAGTGCCTACGCAACGCGGTCCAACTACAGTCCCTCCACGCCCTAACATTCACTCACTTGTATTTGAGTTTAAGATAGGAAAATGAATTCCCTCAGCCGGACATAGTGTCAATTTAGATGGAAATCCACCCTTCCCATGAATGATAATACATGGCACTTTCGTGCAGCTCTGGGCCACATCGCCTATTGTCAGTATCTAAAGAGCAAACGTATCGTTGTGAACCTTCGCAAACCACCGACCATGAGCACAAATTTCGGCAAGTTAGAATCACTATATTGATGGATAAAATCAACCGCGCCTGTCGAGAGATTAATGAAAACGATGGTGGAAGTTAATTTTCATTCAACAATGGCTGGCAGGATGAATAAAATTCGTCCGGAGTCAAGTAAGCCAGACATATGCACAACTGCCGTGTCTATTTCGGGAGAGAGCTTGAAAGTCCTAGACCAAAAGCTTCAGCTAGGGATTCTTATTGTTGAGTTTTATGCACAGTCGACAACAAACGCAAGTCCGCGAATATTAAAGCCATGATCAGTAGTTGAGGGATGGTGCTGCGAGCTACAGCGGAAAGAGGAATGAAATCTTATAGAAAAGAAGGAGTCGCCCAAAGTTTTGCTGCCGCAAATTGGACACTTTTCAAATAACGAAGACATTGATTATGTATTTATCTGATTGTTGTAAAATAATGTTAGAAAGTAGCAAGATAGAAACCGCGAATTAAAAGGCTTAAAGGGGGGTGGGATGATGCTACATGATCTTTAAGCCTTTAAATTATTTTCCATACGTCATCATAAGTCCTCCGCAGCCAGCAAACGTTGTTCAATGAATCTGCCCGAAGTTATGTGAAATTGCCAGAGCAACGCGCAAGGGGATGGAGCTCCCCACCACGAATCCAAACCCCCGTACAATATCATAAGCGTGAGACAATTTCTGTGTTCTCTTCTCATGATCTAACAACTGCGCCTTGATCTCTTAGCTCCTTCCCGCAGACTATTCACTCTTTCCCCATGTCTTTCGGTGGATCCCTGATGTTAAGATGTTCTAGAGTTTTGACGTCATGCGTCTAGTTGGTCCCACTGCCATGCAGCAGTAACATCAATGTAACCATATGGATCGAGTGCTGAACATAAAGATATCTCTGAACTGGTCTTCCATCATCTGATCAATCGAACACTAGATCAGGGGGCAGACGCGATTTTCTTTCATCGATCCAACTCAGACAACTTCGACAACCGGTTCCCTTCAACAACCAACTATGAGGCCTCTCGATGTCGTTATGATGTTCTATCTCGTCGCTTCCTCCAGCTGCTCGCCCAAAATCAAAGATCAAGTCAGCCTCCAATGGTCGATCTGCGATACGAATCCTCAAGCTGTGTTGATGAAGCTAGGCATCGAGGCCCGCGATCCAGACAAACTAGATCCGATCACCTACTATGATACCTCTCCCTCGGTTTACACACCCCAGGGACTTATGCTCCGATCCAAAGTTCGCGCTGGCAGAGAGATCACGGTGGTGAAGGTGCGATTGGCCGGACCCAAATCTCATGCGCTCCGCCACGCGAAAGCCTGTCGGTGGGATCGATATGGCAATGAAACAACCTTTGTATGTAAGAGACAGGCTCCCCTAAAGAGAGACCACCTCTGGAGTTCAAAGCAAAGGAAGATGGCGGAGGAGTTCCAGAGCGACATAGCCTGGAAGAAACTCGTTGGCTACGGTCCGCTCTTAAACCCCAAGTGGAAGGCGCTGCTCATCGATGGATACGGGGCTGTCTTAGACGACGTGGCTTTCCTGTCCTTGCACCTTACGGAGCTAGAAGTGAAGGTACATCGGGCGAAGGAGGAAACAGTCTATCAGGCCATCACAGAGCATCTTAGCGCGCAAGGAGTGGTGTTATGTGACCGGCAGGAGGGTAAGGCCATGAGGTTGCTTCGAGCGTTAGACAAGGTCGCGACGCAGGACAAGTCTCAGGATATGTATACTCACGATCTCTAGGTAGGAAAAACCGTGAATCCAAAGAATCTCTTCACAAGTGCACTGGAGTGTGGACGGACGAACCTAGATTTTCTATTATGTATCGTAAACCCCCAAGAACTTCCGATTAAAACTAGCTCTAGCGAGGGTCTGTACTTTTTGTAAAAAAGATATCAAGGCTAGTTAGAATGATGATCAGGCACAAGCTCCAAGATCTTCCGAGTCGAGTGCTGCATAGCCCTCCTCCCCCAAAATCGATATCCCTGGTCTATTGGCTAGAAGTGAATACTACTAGTAGATATATCTTTGCAGTCTTGGACACATTTTACAATTGTATTTTCGTTTTCCACATCGACGAAAAGATGTATCATGCGTGTCCGGAGATTCAAGGCTTATCTTGATTTTTGAGTGCGGGAGCAGGTGGGAATGGAAATTGTTGAAATCAGGGCTGTGTATCATTCAAGGTCAAACGCCATTAAGAGTTGGATGGATCTCGGTAACTATCCACCTTAGACTACTGAAACTGCATATGTACTGGATGATTGTCGGCAGTCGCGACCTTTCCCCTTTCATGAAAACTATGATACCCTAGAAGGTGAAGTACGCAATAGTAGCAGCGTACGTAGCCAGATTGTCGCCAACCGTCGCCAACGCAGTACCATCCTTCACAATCATATAACTTGTTCCAACAGTGTTTAGCCCGTATACCACAAGTCCACTTGTACTGCCCTCGACGCTGAAGATCATACTTTGGCAGTTTTCCGGAAGGGGGAATGTGGAGCAAGTGGTGCTGTAGTTGTTGAAGAAGCTGTAAAGTCCAGCCCCGTAGATGATCACATCCTTGGAATTGAGAATCCGAAGACCAAGAGCGTTGCAGTTTCCGCCGAGACAGCTACTATAGTTGGGGTCATTGAGAGCCGAGTTCGTAGGGTATGGACTGTTGGCTGCGTTGGGATTTGGCTGATAGTATCTGCGTGCAATTGGTTAAGACGGGAGATAAAGGGCAGTACTATTTATAGGATCACTTACGGAGTTTCTGTCTGCATGAAACCTCCCACAATCGAACTTGCCCCTGAGAACTGATACTGATACAGCGAGTGATGCTCGGACCCAGTTCCGTATCTTGCGCCAGTGTTAGTTATGAGAGAGCATAGTGCGGGATTCTCCGTCACTTACAGCCAGACATTCTTTCCTTCTACCAACAGACCACGACCGGTATAAACCGAGATCTGGGTATTAGTTGGGCTTTCGAGGTCATGATCGGCGGTCCAAAGCCAGACATTCTCCAAGTAAACACCACTGGCAACTTTCGTAATGTGCATGGACATGTAAGCAACCTGGCAGGCCGCAGAGACAGCTGCGGTCGTCGGGCACTGAGCAACCTGCTGCTTAGATCCTTGGAAGCCCCCAATTCGAGTGTGAACATCCCACATCCCAGAACCTGACGTCGCCGCCAAGTTCCACTCGATGAGTACAGCGCCCGGCGTGGAGCCCGAGGTGCTCACTATCATGTCGGACCATTCGACGAACCCGGATTCTCCAGATTTGCCAATTTGAACCACAGGGACAGGCTTGGTAATACTCGACCATACACTTCCAGTGGCCATGATGACAGAATATGACTCGCCAACAATCCGAGAGCCCGGTGGGACGTAAAGAGTGTTGGTAACTTTGTACGTTCCTTGATCGAAGAATACGATTTTACCTGCAGATGCGGCAGATGTCAATGCTGATTGAATGGCTGTCGTGTCATCGGTTGAACCATCTCCCTTGGCGCCTGCACTTCTAATGCTGACAAACGAAGCTACTGGTGATTGCGCATACTGAGGCTTGGACTTGGTAAAATACCTGTTCGATCCACCAGCAAGCAAAGCGCTAGGACGTGTTGGCGCAGTGAAAGAGCCTTGGAAGTTGGTCGGTCCGTTTGGAGTATATTTGTGGCCTTGTCCCCAAGCGCCAATAGTCGTGGAACCAGTCGAGCCAGCAAGGACAGTACCGCTGACGCCTTTGACTGCAACCGGGACATTGTTCAGAAGTATGTTCTCCAGAATAAGACTGCCAGTCGATAGAGTCGAGGTCTGCCAAGCGGTGTTGACAAAGGTAGGGCAGTTTTGGATGGTGCTGTCAAGGATATTGACCGAACCAACGAGCTGGGCCCCAGCACCTCCATTGCTGATTGAAATAGCAGTTGTGCAGTTAGACAAAGACAGACCTTGATAAGTCCACCCCCAGTCCCAGATCTGAGAAATTGCCGTCACTGCATTCGAAATGACCAAGTTCCGCATTGTGAATTGCTGGTTGCCAACATTCGCACCATAGAGGCCACCAGTAATTACCACATCGGTCATCCAGCCGCCAGAGCCTGGTATTGCATTAGTATAGATCAAAAAGAAATCCAAGTACTAGCATACCATTCTCAATGAAGATACCCTGGTGCTGCGTTCCAGAAGCAGAACTCATAGCAATGACAACATTCTCGATGCTGGAAGCTTGGGCAGTCGGCCAATGAATACCAGTCGCTGCAGTACCGGCAGGGATTGAAGTCAAGTCCAATTTCAAATTGCGAATCTGTCTGAAGAACACATTCGTCGATCCCCAACCCTGGTTTCCATCGCTCTGGTATTGGTCACCGTCAATCATCCCGAGTCCGACAAAACCTGCGGTTGCTTTTATTACGGGCATTGCATTCGGGTTGCCAATCAGCTGGGTGAAATAATAATCAATAATCGACGTTGAGATCAGGTACGTTCCAGATGGGAAGTAGACTATGGCGGGAGTGGTGGTGGAGGATTGTCTGCTTGCTGGGCCAAAACGACCACCGGCGCTTATGGCCGCATTGATGGCGGCCGTGTCGTCGGTCACTCCATCACCTATGATTGTTCTAGTACTTCTCGAGTGTAGTAGTGATTCTTGATTGCTCACCTTTAGCTCCGTAGTCTTTCACGTTTCGGAAGACTTTGTAGCCAGAAGGGTTCGGGTTGAAGGCTGCGACCCCTTGATGAGCGATGTCTGCTAGCCAGTACGCAGTGTCTGCTGCTGCCACCGCCGCAACAGCAGATTCGGCGTTTGCGGCGACCCTGGTTTCGAAGCTTACAGCAGCCGAGGCGACCTTCGTTGGAGCACCAAAGGACATATACTGCTCAAAGGGAAGCAGGGCAGAACTGACTATAGCATCCACAGCGGGGATCTCTAGTAGCTGCGCATTGGCACAAGCTAGCAAAGAAAGATACTTGACGACAGAAGAATAATACATCTTGACCCTGAGTCACTGAGGTAAGTCAGCGAGACGCGTGCTTGCGAGTCACTGGCTATAGGAGGGTGGGCCACGAGAGCCGGGGAAACATGGTTTATGTATGGCCTGGCTACCTGGGCAATTCCGACAATAGACTCGATCATATAATGCAGGCCTGCGCATGACAGAAAAGGGATGGGGCCAATGACCCTGCACCTTCAGCTGAAAGGAAAGCAAATTAAGGAATCCCACCCCAAAATACCACTCGAGACGGGGAAATAGATAGCGAGTGACTGCAGACCAGGGGTATCCATTGGCTATTTTTTCCGGGGAAGTCCATTCTTCTGTCACGGTGTGTTCTCTCATGATATGAAAGTTCCCAGGTGGAAATGACAAAGTGGATAAATAATGCTGATCTTTCCCCACAAGAGCTGAAGTTCGCTGCCATTACCTGTATGTCAGCCAATAGCCAATCGATGTCTAGCACATCACACCTTGTAGAAAGCCCAAGCTAAATGACTAGTTTGGTGTGGATGCTTCCCGATATGAATTGAATGTGACTAGTTGAGAATTCCATTACAGCCACTTTACGGAGTATGTGATTTAGGGGGTGTGTGACCGGTTGGTAAGAAAAAAATCATTCAGGGGTTTATGCTCATAACCTTGAAATTCAAGTCCTAACTCTGATTAACTTAAATGGAAATAAAGTCAGCAGACCCACGGAACATCACGCCCTAAGTGCGGGGGGATGAAACTGCCCAGGAGGTGAAGACTCAGGTACTTCCATCTTATAGGTCACACTCACCTTTGTTCGCCTTGACTCGAACGTTGTAATACTCAAGTGGCAGACTGAGATCGGTATGATTTTCCGGTCACCCGCAAGACGTGCCGCCCACTTAGCGGTTCTTGGCGTCTTGTATTCTGTGCTATATTGTGCACATGCATCACGCAGAATCGCTTTATATACTTAACTTTCTAAGAAGGCTCGGCGGTTCGGAACATCAGGAGGCACTTGAACCCACTGGCCAAACTGGCTATGCGCATAGATTCAGACTCTGCTTCACACAAAAGTAACCTCTATATTCTTTCGGGCTCCAGTGTACCTTGTAGTGTTGCTGAGGCGGATCTTTCTTCCGTTGGTCAACGCCGGCGACATCATGAAGTGAGCAGGGCCTTTATTTGAGCGCAAAAACATTTCCCATTCTCTGTTACTTCATTTAATAGAATATGAGCGGATTTTAGCACAATGAAATCATGATAATCATACAAACATATCACATCCCCCTTTGTCCAATGTGGGAAAAACAATAGCTTGTAACTCCATACAGTCCCAAGCATAGACCTTGGCTGCCAAGAAACATCACGTGATTGGTTCTTTTCCGCCTTGGATGCTTCCTGCAAAAAAAAAATAAGTCGTGCCTTCCTTCATTGCGTCGTGGGACATATCGAAATTCGAAGACAAATATCATCAGGGACAGTAATAAGTCCTCGATCTGTCTTCGATCTCACTTCTCCCAACTCAAAAGCTCCTTCGCTGTGCTGACAGCTTCCTGCGCGACGGATCGCGAACGTGTCACGGAACCGCGAATACCACCGGACAACCACATCAAAGACGTTAGAGACAAATTGGGTTTTGGTCTCTCCACGATTGACAATCTTTGGAGGGTAATTATCATCAAAGCTGTTGCTTTTTCGAGTGAGTGCGGAGTTGGAAAGAGCCTCGCCGTACACGAAAAGCTCCCTGCTTCGATAGCCGCAAGTGAGGAAAGTTATCACGGCATAATACCGAGGTCCAGTCTTGCATCGGGTCTGATTTAGCGCTTTAAACCGGATCACATAGATTTCGAAGGATACGAGGCAGTTCGCGCAGTTCGAGCTTGCAAGCATACAACCAACGGTGGTTTTCTTACGCTCAATATGCTGAAACGTGGAGCTCAAGGCCCTCAAGGGTCCAAAGAAGACGAGGGTGTTTTCGGGATGGCCAGCACCCCGGATGAAAAACCCCACCGGGCGACAGCGGCCCAGTTAGCCAGCAGAAAGTAAGTGATAACTGAGATGGCGGTGGATGACCACAAACTGACCGAAGATGTCTTTGAAACTTTTAGGATCAAGGATGTCCGCAAACGCCGGGCTCCGACCCCCACAACCGGTGGAGGCGCATCTGATGCGGCTTCATTCAACCCTTTCGCATCCGCGGCCCCGGCCTCAGCACCAGCACCTACCCAGTCGACTGGGTTCACATTTGGTCAGACTCAGAGCCAGAGCTTCCCCGGGGCAAGCTCGGGGCCCAGCCAGGGTGGAATGTTCTCGTCGGGCACTAACGGCCAGGCGGGTGGTCAGGCATCGTTCGGCTTCGGCGCGGGCCCTACCTCATTTGGATCTGCACCGTCTAGCAATCCGTTTTCTGTAAACACTTCATTTGGCGGAAATACCCAATCAAGTACCAATGGATTCAGCTTTGGGGGATTCAATGCCGGAACCCAGTCCACCACTCCATCGTTCGGTGGATTCGGAGCACAACAGAGCACAAGCACTCCAGCAAAGCCCGCCCTGTTTGGGCAGTCTGCAGCACATATGACTTCGCCTGCTGATGACAGCATGCAAACTTCGCCCGATACCAAGCCCAAGGGGGCTTCCATGTTTTCACCGAAGCCAGCCGCAAGTCCGTCGGCACTTGGCAATCCATTCTCAACCCTTTCAGGGCAGAATGCGTCCAGCAATCCATTTGCACCAAAGATAACTGCGACTGAGAAACCAGCCGACAAACCTGTGGAGACCCAGCCTTTCAAACCGCTCTTCGGATCAACGCCCGCCGCTTCGAAGCCTTCGGATGGAGAGAAACAGCAGCCAACACCCAGTAATCCATTTGCGAACCTGCCAGGGCAGGCTCCAACTAGCAGCACTAACCTGTTTGCCCCGAAGACAACGGCAGCGGAGCAGACTCCTGCGAAGCCCGCAGAGGCGGCAAAGCCTTTTGGTGCTCTTTTCGGGTCGACCCCCAGCTCTCAGCCCTCAGGGCCTACTGGCAATCTATTTGCGCCCAAGCCAGCGGTAGAAGAATCAAAGGCGAGCAATCCGTTTGCAAACCTGTCAGGGCCGAGTTCATTTGGCACTATGTCCTCACCGAAGGTTACTGGGACCGAAATTTCTGGAAAGGCCGCCGAAGCACAACCGTTCAAGCCCATGTTCGGTACACCTGCGCCAACGAAAGTTTTGGAGGCTGGAAAAGAGCAGATGACTGCACCAGCATTTGGCAATATGTTCTCGCCAAAGCCAGCCGCTGAGAACGCGGCTGTAAAGCCTGCAGCGGACCAGCCGTTCAAGTCCATGTTTGGTACACCTGCGGTGTCGAAAGTTTCACAAGCCGAGAAAGAACAGACTGCTTCACCAGCATTTGGCAATATGTTCTCGCCAAAGCCGGTTGCTGAGAGTACGGCTGCAAAGCCATCCGAGGACAAGCCGTTCAAGGCCATGTCTGGAACGCCTGTAGCTGAAAAGGAACAGTCAGCGGTGAGCAGTGTTTTTGCACCGAAGGTGACAAGTGCAGAGCAGACTCCTGTACCTGCAAAGACCTCACAATTCGGCTCAATGTTCGGGGCGTCTCCTGCGCCGTCGAAGCTTGGAGAAGAAACGACAGCCCAGGCGACACCTAGCAATCCATTTGCGAACCTATCGGGGCAGAACGCGTTTAGCAATCCATTCGCGCCAAAGCCGACGGAGCAGGCTGCAAAGCCCCAGGCACCGAGTACCCCTCTCTTTGGTGCAGGTACAGCAATTGAGACCAATAAGCAGAATGGGGATAATGAGGGCAATAAAGACAATAACATCGCAGCTCTGAATAGCTCCTTAGCTAACCCATTCACTGCTGGGCCTAAGGTGTCGGATGTACCTCACACGGAAGGTGCGACGAAAACTGCCACACCTCATGTGTCGTTCGTGCAGCCTCCACGCGACCATGACAGCTTGTCTTGTTTACCTTCTTCTTCCTCTTCTTCTCTCCCCTCCTCAACATCTACTGTTTCCAACACTTTCACTGCTTCAGACCCTGACAGTCTTTTCCCTCGACCTGATCATCCTGTATCAATTGACTATCCTGTATCAACTGAAGACTTTGACAGTATGCCGCTCAAACGTCTTTTCCCTGAGAAGAATCGGGTCGAGCTTCAGAGGCGAGCCGATTTGCTCTTCAAGATTGGCGTCTTGACTGAGTCGTTCAAGCGTGAGATCGCCAAATGCGACCCCATGAAAGATGATATTGACGAAGTCCTCATTCTTTACGCCGAACTTCGCCGCGAGCTTGGTGTCCCCATTGGGTCGATCAACCCCGCCGAAGAGGCCAAGCGCGCCGACATCAATGAACGCGATGCCGCTAAGGAAGCGCCTGATGGCCGCACACCTCCTCAGATCCCGACCCCTCCGAGCTTCGCACCTCCTGGTCTTGAGGACAAACGCCCAGCATCTTTCAACAAGCCATTTGGTGGATCTAGTACTTCCTCCAAGTTCGCCCAATCCTTCTCCGCCCCGACTCCTGCTCCAGCAACTACTTCTTTTGGCGCTTCTTCCGCCCCAATTGCTGGCCCTTCGTCCCCCGCTGCGGCTCCTGTTTCTGCTGCTCCTGTCGCTCCGGCTGAGCCCTCCCCTCCCACTACTGCCCCTGCTCCTACTCCTGCCACCCCATCTACCATTAAGATTCCCAAGTTCGGTGATGCGGTCCCTTCGACGGTCCCCTCTGCTTTTGGAGTTCCCAAGTTTAGTGGTGCAGCCCCTCCAACCACTACCTCCGCTATTGAAATTCCGAAGTCTGGTGATGCGGCTGCTTCGACCGCCGCCCCTGCTTTCCAAATCCCCAAGTTTGGTGGTGCAGCTACTTCAGCCGCTGCCCCTGCTTTCCAAATTCCCAAGTTTGGTGGTGGAGCTACTGGCGTTGATTTTATGGCCCAGTTCAAGTCAAAATCGGACAACACCTTAGCTGCAGCAAAGGCCCAGAGAAAAGCTGAAGAATTTGACTCCGATGAGGAGGATGAGGCGGAGTGGGAGCGCAAAGATGAGGAACGCCAACGCGAGAAGCGCGCTCAACTCGAAGTTGCAGCTAAAAAGCGTGCCGTTTTTGTCCCCGGCGTGGGTTTCAAGTTCACCGATGATAACACTGCTCCACAGAACGTTGAGGAGTCTGCCACATCTGCCGCCCCTCCACAGGACGACTCTGCGGGTACTATTAATGCCACCCCTTCTATCTTTCCTCCTTTTACTACTCCCTCGTCCGCTTCTCCTGGAGCAAACGGTGCTCCTCCTAGCTCCTCCATCGGCTCCTCGGTTTTCGGATCGTCCAGTAAGCCGGTCCCAGCCTCGCAGAACATTTTCGGCGGGCTCAAGCCGACCTCGCCGAAACGCAAGGCCTCTATGGATGGAAGTGACGACGAAAATGATTTGCCCACAAAGGTGAAGTCCTCCCAGAACATTTTCGGCGGGTTCAAGCCGACCTCTCCTAAACGCAAGGCCTCTGTGGATGAAAGTGACCACCATGATGATTTCCCCGCAAAAAAGACAAAGCCATCGCCTCCCCCTCCTTCTGTGGGCACCAGTATGTTTGGGCGGGTCTCCACTGCACCACCGCCGGCTCTATCGACCGATTCCTCCGCACATCCCGCGATGGCCACTTCCTCGGCCCCTCCCACTCAGCCCAACTCCACCACCACAGAAGATGAGGACGGTGAACCTGGTGAAATTTTCGATCTGACCAAGGGCAACGGCGGTGAAGAAGAAGAAACTGTTGTGTTCGAAGACAAATCCCGGGTTTTCAAACTCGAGAACAAGGACTGGTTGCCCAAAGGAACCGGTCCCGTCCGCCTTCTGAAGCACCCTGTCACTGGACGTGCTCGGATCGTCGCCCGTGCCGACCCAAGTGGAAATGTTACCTTGAACATTCTCCTGAAGAAAGAGTTCGACTACAAACTCACCAGTAACAGTGTTCAGTTCCTGGAGCCCAACGAGACTGGAACTCTCACACATTGGGCAGTTCGAGTGAAGCGTGAGAGACTGCAAGAGTTCCACCAGCTGGCCAACGAGATCAAAGACTAGATCTCTTTCCATCTTTTCTCCATATCTTCTCCATCTTTGTCCTTCCTTTTGGGAGTGTATGTTTATGTCCAAGCGCATGGCCAAGGTTGCATCTGCGTTTTCTATCTTGTGGTTCGGTTTCTTTTTGATCTCTTGCATTCTGTTGTTTTTTTTTTGTGCATCGACCCCTTGGACAAGGTTGGCCCGGCTTCATGCAGTGGGCCAGCTGCAAGCCCAATGGCATCAGCCTGTTTTCTTTTGAGCTCAGTTAGGGCCCGGGTGAGTATCTCCCTGGGCACCACGGGCTCCGAGTCGAATTTTCCTTTTTTTTTTGTGAAGATAATGGGGTCTACATTGTATTTCTGTGAAAATGAATAAAAAATTGATCTTTTTTCTACTTAAACATAGTAATTTCAAGTTAATCCAACTACGTCAAAGTTTATACATAGAAAAGTCCTTTTCACAAATTAACTTCCACCAAGATTTAAAGGATTCATCATACCATTCCTACATACATACGATATGTTTTATCTATCACCGCCATTCCTTCTTCCTTATTCCTAAGGGATTTCTACATGTACAGAGTGAGAAGAGAAGCCTATAAATAGGGGCTTCTTTCTAGATATGAAGAGGTTAGACAGTTTTACAATTCATTTTTGATAGTACCAAGTATTCACTTTGCAAGAGATATCCCATTTATTACATGCTATATAGTCCCTCAGTATACTATTTCAACAAAATCACTTGCCCATTCACCACATGACAAGTTCACAGACTCGACCCTTGGAGTCTGTTCATCAGTGCCCATATTGACATTGGCTTGTTGCTAAGCATACCGCGCAGTCATCCTATTCAATCTGCATCTCTTCTCGTGTCAAATTCGTCCATTGTAAAACTAAGCTTTCCAACGTCTCCTCTATTGGCAGTGATGGGTCTTTCTTTGCAGACCGGGGTGCCAGGGTGGCATCGAAGTTGGCCTTGTCATGTTCTGCGCTTGTTCTCAATTCACGGTTAGGAGACTTCATTCGGCGACACTTATGACTCGAGCCCTCTTCCGGTTGTCCATCTCGTCCTGAGGTCTTCCCTGTATCAGACACAGCATGTCCGAGCAAATTTTCATTGAAGCGAGTGCGAGAGCGACCTCGGGACGCATCATCATTATCAGAACAAGATCGGAACCGCTTACGGCTCACTTTTTCTTTTCTCTCATTTTCACTGGACCATATGCGCTCCTCAGACTTCTTGCGGTCTTTGTGCTGGGAGTGTCTGCCGTAGATTTTTGGTGCGTCATAGGGCGCGTCGGGGCTGACGGGCTGCCCGTAGTAGTGCTCAGCGGGGATGCTGTCCATGTCGCGACTCAGTAAAGACTGTAAAGACTGGAATTGAGCGCTCATGCGTGGGCGGGGTAGGCCGACGGCAGCAGCAGTGGGAAGTCCGGCACCCACGATTGGAAGAGCCTGTCTGAATCGACTTTTGGAGGGAGACCGTTCACGAGAACGAGAACGTGAGTGGCTGCGGACCTCTTTAACCAGGTCAGTAACAGCCGCAAGGGTCAATCCAGCGCCAGCCATGTGCTTGCGACGCTCAGACATGCTGCGAGCCGAGTCATCCTTCTCTCCATTCCTCCCCGAGCGACCCCGGCTAAAATCACGAGAACGAGCGCGACTGCGAGACCGGCTCTGGCGATCTCCAGCCTTTGACTTGCTGCGCAATGCAGCCACGCCAGCAGCCACGGCCGCGGCGCCGACACCCAGCTCGAGGAGAGTCTTCGCACGCGAGTGCGAGAGAGAGCGGCTACGGCTGCGGCTGTGACGTCTCCGGCCATGTCTGCTGTAGCGATGAGAAGAACGGTCATCTTCAAAGGAATGAGAACGGTGGCGGCTCTTGCTACGGCGGTAGTAGTCGCGAGCATGTGATGCAGCATTCACAGCGACTACACCAAGAGCACCGGCACCAACAGTTTTACCAATACGGCTGGCGCTATGGCTGAATTCGCCATCCTTTTTGCTGTGGCTGCGGAACAATTCAGCCGCGCTAGCACCCACCAATGCACCCTCTGCCAGGTGTCGACGATGGTGAGGTTGGTCATCATAATCGCGGGTATCCTTCCGGATGTAGACCATACTATCATCGCTGCTGTAATCCTGGTCCCGATTGCCGCCACGACTACCAGCCTGAGAGATGGAACTATCAAGGTCCAGCTTACGCGGTGAAATGTAGTCGTACTCGTGGACTCGATGGTGGCGATGGTACGGGTCCTCTTCGTCCTCATAACGGCGAAAGACATAATCTGATTCACGATGTCTGGAATAAGCATTTTGGCCTTTACGAATAGGTATTGATTGTCTTTGATTGGTGACGGCATCCGGGGAATACGCGTCCCTAAATTTGAAGAACGGGTCATCAAATATCTGGGTCGAAGCATGACCATGAGTATGTTGGAATAGAACAGCTTCCGCTGAATGTACATTCACAAGACCATTCCGGATTCTGAGATGTCGGTTCTGTTCCAGGCTATGTTGGCATGCGTCGATCTCATAGAATAGCCTCTGAACGAGAGTGTGATACTCTCTTAGCTCCACTGAAAGAAGGGGCGGCTGTTTGTCAGTCAAGCTTCTGGATGACTCCTGACGAGACCCATCACCATTATAAACACTGAATGCTTGGATAGAGCTGAGCTGATTGAATTTGGCATTGTTCGCTTTTTTCTCTTCGAGAAGTGTTTGAATCAGATTTCTTTGGTCAGTCAGAGTGGTTTTTACTTTCCTCCTGGGTCAGGGTTAGAGCCAAGGATTATAAGATATTCGAGTTAGGCATACTTGCGAAGCTCCCCCGCGTACATGATAACATGCAACATCAGCAAAGTGGTCGACTTGAGTCTCTCCAAATTGCTCTTGAATACATCGAAGTTCGGCCCGAGGAGTGCAATGGTTACTTTCCGGGCCCCACGAGCAAAGCGACTTTTTTCACCATCTTGAGTATGTTTTTCGATACCGTTTTCAATTTGTTGGAAGACTGCTTTACATTCCTTCAAGACTTCTTGTGCAATGCGAAAGGCCTGCTCCGAACAAAGCTTCGCCTGGTCGTCCTGCTCGAGCGTTTTGGCGAGCTCGTTCAGAATGCTGCAGGTGAGTGACACGTCGCAGGAAAGTTCTTGCATAGATTGGTTTGCGACCTTGACAGTCCGGTAAAATGTACAGAGCTTGACTGATAATTTGGCACCAAGGTCCGCAATCTGGAGTATGCTGGCAACCACCCCAAGAACCTCGAGCCCAGACATTATGGACAGATAATTTTTACAGAGTAAGTTCTTTGACTCATGGGGTTTATTTATGCCTAGTAATGTTGAGATGGCGGGCTGTGGTAGGCTGTGTGCAGATGCCAAGACAGCAATTGTTGGAGTGCATCGAACATGATCCAATCATTCCACTTAACACACGATTGAGCTGAAAGGGTTCAATCCGGTCGACTTGCTGATCCTTACCTTGTTTATAGAGCCTCATCACCCTGTGCGATGGCCCCCATGTCTCAGCGTAAACCCTGAGGCTGTAATTTTAAAAAAGGGCCGAAACCCCGGCGCTTAAATGGAACTAATTCCGCCTAGCCAGGAAACTGACTTTCCTTTCCAGAGTTCTTCCCTTCTCCTTTTATTTTATTCTGTTTCTAAAAAGTCACTCATTAAACCACCCCCCAGTCACTCATTCAAACTCCAAAATGAAACCAGTCACTCTTTCTTTCCTCCTAGGCCTCGCCAGCCTCGCCACAGCCCGCACTGACCTCGAAGGCTGCGTCTCCTCAGAAGTCATAGTCGAACACTACTACGCCAGCTACCTCTGGTACGTCCCAGACAGCGGCGAGATCTGCTCATTCCTCGACTGCGGTGGCGGCCGCGCACCCCCAAAGACCACCCAACCGGGATGTCCGCAATACAGCGGAACCGCAACGCTTACCCCCGACTACCTGGAGGGCTGGGGACCCAATGGCAAACAGGCTGCCTCTACAAGCACCGTGGCCTCGACTGCTTCGTCGACCGATATTGTGCTCGCTTCCGCAACGCAGACTTCTGAGGGCTCGGTGGCGTCGGACTCGTCTTCCGCGTCTTCTTCTTCGTCTCCCTCCGGCACTCAGCCTGCTGATAGCATGATCACGGCTAATCTTGCCTCGGTCGCTTCTTCTTTGAAGGTTTCTACCTCGTCGACCTCGGGCACTGGTAACGCTACGTCTACTTCTGCTGCCGCGACCAGCTCGTCCTCTTTCAATGCTGCCGCTACACCCGCCTCCAATGTGGGCGGTGCCGTGGCTGTGATGGCTGCTATGGTTGGGGCTATGGTCTTGTAATTTTAATTTGGTCATGTACTTATACCTTGTGAATGTTGGGTTATACCCAGCTTTGGAAACGGGAGACGGGGTCGAATATAGATAAATAGTTAGAAATGAAACTGTTTATAGAAATTGGAAAGGCCGCTTACCTCTGTTTCTTATGAACCCTCGTCGCCCAAGCCAAACTCCCCTTCCGGCAATGTGCAAGTACGTACCCGGCCATAGAGGAAGAGTTTGAGCCGCATCGCCGATCTGCACGACCCACCCTCTTGGCGAGACCCAGGGTTCTTTCCGCATTTGAAATCGTGGAGATGGTCCATCGCTGTTAGATTATGCCTCGATCTGCTATTTCTGGGCATAGAGGGCCTTGATATCACTGGCGTTGGAAACATGGCTTGAAGTATGGGCCAGTTGAGGTTGAGGTGAAGCCATGGCGTGTGTTTTTCACGACAAACTAGATAGAAGAGTGCTGGTTATACCATCTTGAGGTAATTTCTTTACTTATAGCGAGCTTTTGTGGTTAGGAAGTGGAAATAAATCATTATTACATTGAGGTCTGTACAAGTAGATCGAGATGGCCAAATCTCAGCAACGGACTCCGTTCGGTCCGCTGTAGTAGGCCTAGACATAGCCGACTATCAACTACATAAATTCCCCATAGATCGGTGGCATTTCACCAAAAGGGAACAACACATCGAGGGGACAATCCATCATGAAGTCGTAGTCCATCGGGGCGACAGTCGTAGAAAGGGATTTTTGTTCCAGTGCATCTTTCCTCCGCCGATGCACCTTTTTGATCATTTTCGAGCGGTTCCTCATCCTTCCAAATATCTCCGGCAATTCAGTAGTAGAGATGGAATCTTGTGCAAGAGCCTGTTCGACAAATGGAAGGTCTTCTTCGAGTTTGGAAACTATACGATCGACGGTTTGATCGAAGTCTATTATGCTTTCCACGTATGCTCGGTCCCATCCGGGATGGTCATAGAGAGAAAGTTGGGACAGGGTGACGATTGCCTTTCCGAATTGACACATTATGGTGAAAGGGAAGAAAGGGAAAAGCGCGGAAGGGAGAGAGTGGATATTTTGGAAGAAGGAGGTTGTCGATTCCAGACAGCGGAAAAGGAGATTCAGTTGCATGAGAGGATGATCGCCATAGTTGGATTTAGAGGGTTCGTTATGGAGGGCAATTCGATAAAGATGTATCTCTAGTGTGTTGTAATGAAGCTGTAGAATGGCTGTCATTGTTGTCAGATTATTGTTAAGTTGTGCGCAAAGACGATAACACAACTTACGAGAGTGTGGTAACTGGCTCGGGATGCGATCTTTGAGTTGCTTAAGCTCAGCCTCAAGCCATCTGATGCTTAGTCCAAGAGGCGGAGGCGCTGATGAGACTGATGAAGAATCGAGGTCGGTGTGGTATAGTGTGTGATGGATCCTGTCTGCGAGGTTCATCACTCGGACTAGCTGTACGAGAGTGGCATCGGTGGGATATTCTGCGACCTGGTCTAGAACATTGCAACATTCGTCCGTATATCTTGTAAAGCGAATAATTGGCCCCATGTCTTTCACACATGTCGAGAGCCTTTGAAGAATTAGCGTATGTCCAGCAATATTAAGGGTCATAGTACACATACATCGTAGTTAGATAGTAACATCCAAGATAAGTGCGTCGCTCTTCCAGTGTGCGAACCGGATTATGATGGTCCTCGTTCACAGCTTCCTTCAAATAAGTCAAAGTATTATTCAAGCTTTTCTGGTAACTCAGCTCTTGGTTTAGTCCCAAACTGAAAGATTGCGCCACGAGTAAGTGCACAAATGTATCAAGATGAGCAGTGCTTCGAACAGTATGGTGAGGCTCGCCCTCGCCCTCGCCTTTGAGCACATCGGGGAGTTGTTCCCTAGGTGGCGGGCAACGACTGACTGAAATGAACCAAGCAACATTGACAAGAAGACCCTGAAGCAGATCCAGGCTAAGTTCTTCTCTTATGACGATGTGCTCGGCCACATATTCTTTAACTGCATCCACAAGTTCTCGCTGACGTGGAGCGTTTTGGCACGCGACCATTGAAATATTCAGATAGAGGAATGGCTTCTCTCGGCGCAGTTCCTCTGCGGTGATATGCGGGGGAATCATGAGGAAGGGAAAGAGAGGGAACATTCGCTTGAAGAACACTTCCATCAACAGCTGGCCTTCGGCTGCACCGGGAGTAGCGGTTTTATCTTCAAACGTAGATGATGATCTCGTTGCTGGGCCACTTTCTGCCTGTTCCCTGGGATTTCGTTCCGAGGCGGCCAGTATGGCGACCATGCGGTCTAATTTAGCCTCGAGTGCAGCAACATCTCTAGATAAAATGTCAGGGGTCTCTTGGGAGGTTTGATAATGGTGAACACTTACGAGCCACTTGCGACTGATGTTCTTTCACGACGATGGGCTCCGGGTACTTGACTTCCACATTCTTTTCCCAAGCGACGACAACTAAAAAAAAGTTAATATGTACCAGTATGAAACCAACCATATACTTACCGTTTACAAGGACCATCGGTTTCCGGGAAACATCTTACTTTGGCCTTCGCACAGGTTAAGCATGCTTTGGGGTTACGGGTCCCGACTCCGTTCTCCATGACGTCTTAGCATATAGAAATGAGGCCGTGAGTCGGACCGAGTTGATGAGATAGAGGAGCAGCTAAATGATGGACATTTGAGTCAGATGTGTCCGAATGGGAAAGAAATTAAGAAGCGGCACTCCGCACTAGATCGCATTTCTATTGGTCAAACTACATCCCAGTGGGTCTGGCTACTATATCAGTCCCCTTTTTATGTCACCAAAGACTTGAGAATTCTAAAAAACGACTTATAAAAAGAATACCGCAAAGGTTCTTATATAATAATGCTCTAATTAGTTAAGTAATAACTAACTAACTATACATAAATATGCTTAACTAATCAATAATTAGCTTCTTCTCTCCTCCGCAGTTACCTCAATACACATCTTGCCCTATCCTAGACTTTGTGTCTTCCTTCCTCTTTATAACATAGCATAATGCTATGGCAACCCCGGTTTCCCTCTTGAATTAGTATTACTATTCAGCAGCTATACCACTATTCAGCTCGTCAAGTCTCGCATTCACGATACTATCTCTATATAGTTGCAGAAATCCAACCCTCAATTTTTGGTTCTACAATATCTAGGAATATCTTAGAAAAGTCTTGTTGAATGGTTTATAAATCTAGTTTGCGTCTTTAATTGTGATTCTTTTCGCTTGATTTTCAACGGACTATCGCTCTTACTACGTACCGCTTGCTCCTAGGAATACGACTTAGCTCTAGCGACCTAGATATCTGTAAAAACATTCTGGACATATCGGTGATATCTACTGGATGATGTATCCGCCCCTGGCGAAATTTATGGCCCTCTGTTTGCCTAAGATACTCTAACTAGCACTTATAAAATACCTTATCATAACCAAATAAAGTCTGATAGGTCTTCCTAGGAGTTCTCAGTCCTTTTAGGGCACCGTGGAACGATTATTGAAATGAAAATAGATACTAGGAGCTCAAGCACTGGTACCCGTCCGCGGGAACTGTGACTATATCAATTTAACCAGTTCGTAACAAAGTAAACGTAATTCCAACCCCGTGCTTTTACCAATGAACTTTTAACATTATGTTCATCTCACTACTTAAGTATCTCCGCCAAGGTCTTACTGCCTGGCTCTGGCTCTCCTTCCCCGTTTGTTGGGAGCTTCTGCGAAGCAAAGGCCAGAAACACTGCTTCCCAGTGCCCATCGTCGAATTTGAACAGCAGGGCTCCGTCCGAGTAGACACCATTGTCATACTTAGGAAGACTGCCCTGGTTCATATGAATATTATGGATACCCGATCCGAAGGAGGCCCCAAAGATAAAAGTAGTTGCAGAGTTGTCGGTAGAACTTTCAGCGTTGTCGATAGCATCATCGAGGATTGGCCTCAGCTTGTCCAAGATATCATTGTCAGGGCCTGGGATGTCATGCCACAGGACTTGTCCAGATTTAATATCCACAAGGTCCTTCGTGCGAAAAAAGTCGAGACCCTCTAAATCGGGGTCTTGTGAATGATAGTGGCTATAACGGTAATGGCGGTGATTTCGGTTTTCGTCACTATTAGAATCCTGGACTAGGTGAAAGCCTTGGTCCAACTCCGAGAGTTGTTTGGTGATGGGATGGGAGAAGTCGCGTGAAACCCAAAACACGAGGCGAGAATCTTTACCGTTCGATTTGACGTTGATAGCAGCCCGCCGCTCCTTCGACGAGCTATCATCGGTGAAAAAGAGCTCGATATGCGGGGTGTGTACTCCGTGTCCCTCGGCATTATATCTAGTTGGGCGGCAAGCCCAGACGCCGTAGTGGGGAACAGGCATGTTGTTTGAATTTTGAGATAGAAAGTTTCAGTCTGAGATAGAGGCAGCTTAGGAGAATTAAATGATCAGAATAAGTTTCAATGGATATCGTAACCTTACAAGATACGATCAGCCTGCTTTATAGCCTTGCAGGCCCTGCAATTCCTGTTATTGAACTCTGCGGGATCTAGTACTCGACCCGACGAATACTCAATCAACTCGTAGTGAGAGACCCAGTTCCATTTAGCTATAGAGAGCGGGAGGGTGAGGTCAGGTAATGCAGATAACCGATTGCGGCCAATCTATGTCGGGGATATACCGCACCACGACCCGCCGGGTTACCCGTTATGTAAAAATCGCTAGGACCATGGTTCGTTCCCGGCTGTTCAAACCGCGAGCAGGTGGAATTTGAGAACCCGCGGGGTAGCCCACGGTCAACCCGCTACTTATCAGGCCAAACTAATTTACAACGTATAGTTCAAAGGCCTAGAACTACTTTTATAAACAGCTATGTGCGCTACTCTTCAGTCCTCACGGTTGGATGATAGCAATAGGGCTTGGTTGCTAAGATGACCCTAAAATTTCTTTAAACAATAACACAGGAATCCTCAAGTCCATTGTTAAAGGTAAATAGACTATAATTATGATAAAGAACGCCTCCTCCTCGAGCATCTATACATGGTAGTTCCATCGCCCCAGCAAGGGAAAGCCTTTCTCGTTCTAGACTGAGTGAGCATGCTATATGCCAAGAAGATCTATCCGTGGGTTGGAATACGCCGCTAGAACCGTAGAAAGTGATTCTTGCTATTTCTTTTTACAAACCACCCGACCTCCTAGACAAGCTGTTTTCAGCGACATAGATTGCAATAATACCAACAAGGAGGAGCTCGATCCCTTTGGAAAAGGTTGGTTGGATTAAGCTCCCACCATTTAAATCCTGGAACGCACTAGTTTAACCATAGGCTAAAAACCGTGATTGGTCTCTTACGATAATATCTCGAAAAAATGCCGACTTTAAAAAGTTAGTTACGTACTAATATTTCCTATATTGGGTCCTACTGCTAGTCTAGAATGATTTTACAATAAGGTCTTTGAAATCTAGATCGCGTAGAGGATCATGACCTCATAGCAAATACATACCTAAGCTATAGGTATTTGACTTGGATTTTACCTACATATAAAGGACAGTCGCTATACTAGATGATTTAATATCCACGTCGAATATTATTTCAACTCTTACGATTGTACCATTGCACCCAGTAAAAGAAATCCCGTCTTTATCAGAACCAAAATGGTTCGTGGCTTTGCAATCTTGTCCTTCTGGTGCCTTCTTTGCGGGCCGACTCTTGGATGGGGAGATGTCGGTCATCGCACTGTTGCATACCTGGCCGAGCAATATCTCACTGAACAGGGCACAGAGTTTCTTAACAAACTCCTGCCTCAGAGCAAGCAGTTCGACATCTCAGACGCGGCTACATGGGCCGATAAAATCAAACAAAAGCACCCTAAGACTAAACCTTGGCATTATGTTGGTATGTTATAATCCTCCCTAGATAGAGTATCATTAAATGTTGATTGTCCGTGAAAATATAGATGTGAAGGATGATCCTCTAGGGAATGTCTGCAAGATATCATCCCTTCCACAGGAGTGTGAAAGCGGGAAAGGCTGCATCATCTCGGCCATAGGAGATATGGTTAGGCTCCCCTTTACTAGTGGTTAATGTGATCGCAATCTAATTATCAGTAGACCGTTCGAGTGAATGATAATAGCTTTAACCAAACAGAAGCTATTATGTTCTTACTCCACTTCTTTGGGGACCTTCATCAGCCCTTGCATGTGGAAGACTACGACAGGGGAGGAAACGAGGTTAAGGTCTGTTTTGACGGTCACAAAGACAATCTACACAGTATCTGGGACACAGACATGCCACACAAGATCAACGGCATCAAACATAGACTCAAGCATAACGATGAAAAACTGGCATCCCTAAAGTGGGCCAAGTATCTCGTTCAAAAGAACAAACACAGACCCACGACCGCTGTGGAATGTGCGGATGTTACCGACCCCCAGCAATGTCTCAAGCAGTGGACGGAGGAGAGCAATCGTTTGAACTGTGCTGTTGTTTTCAAAAGGGGACTTCCGTATCTTACGGGCGAAGATCTTGGAGGCGAATACTATGACGATGCGGCGCCGGTCATTTCGGAACAAATCTATAAAGCAGGTGTTCGTCTGGCGGTCTGGATCGATGCCCTTGCGGAGAAGCGTCGCATCAAAGAGGCGCTTGTTGTCCAGGGGGATCGGATGAGAGATCTATGAAGTCCATGCGGCCGGATAGTTCTGGGGTGGTCTCACGGACGGGATGGTCCTACGATGGTCCTACGATGGTCCTGCACAATTTGCAAATCAGAGACCAGGAGTTATGCCATCAAAAGTGGCTTGTATTTTTGCGTCATCTTTTATGGAAATTGTATTACAGATTTTCTTTTAATATCTAGTTGCAGAAATTCTTCATTGGATGGGAGACGGAAGCCTGTTATGCGTAAGTTTATGTTGAGGGAATTGGGTCTGGGCATTGCACACGACAGACAGTATCATCAGAAGACGTCAAAGTAAAGGGAGATCAGCGGACCAAAGCACAGATGGGCCCTAAAAGAAGGGAATGGAATGGAATTCTGGACGTTGCATTAGCTTTGATATCATCTGGTCAGCTTCAAATAAGCCATTCCGGCAGATTCGACCAATGAAGCAGAGGGTCATCTGTCGCAAGGGAATCTAAATTTACTTTGAAACCTTACCCCACGAGATCATCAGGCAGCCTTAAAATTAAGTTTGCCTACAACCGTATGCGACTACGCGGGGTGTTCTAGACTGCCAAATAATGGTTATTGGCATTCAATCAGGGTCTTTGTGTAAGATGATTATGATGCATCTTGTTAATCGCCAAGACCATCATTTTGAGGTTTTTGCGACCCATGTTTTTACGGTGTGGCCTGTTCTGTGTCCCCCCGCGAAGATTATTGTTCTTCCTTGAAGAAATCCATTAGACACAATAGCTTTACCATGGTACCGGTTGCGAAGGATGTCTGGTTTAAGATTTTAGACTCAATACTATATCGGCACCACTTCCTAAAACGCGGAATAGCGTTTTGGTTCCGATCATCCAAGGGTTAGAAGACGTCTTTAGCTTCCCCGAGCAGTCTGCTTTCGGCAAAATAGGAGCCTAGAAGGATCGATCTAAAGGAATCTGAAATATGAAATCATTAGGAAAGATTCTAATAGATGTTTAAGAACGCTTTTCGCTTTCATATATACTCATCAAAGCCCTCCAGCTAGCAACAATCTTTCATCTCATTTCCCAACGGCATAATACGCACCTAATACAATTTCAAAATTAGTAAATATTGTGTTGGGATTCCTCAAACCGGCTGAACGTTACATCAATAAGGTAAATACCTCAATGTTGAATCCGCCGAAAAACTATCGCCTTAGTACAATGGTTTAGGGCACGCCTACGCTAGGTTTAAGTAGAAGCTGGATGGCTAACACTGAACCAGGCCTTCCGAAAATAACAATCCTCTTTGAGGACAGTTAATGTTGTTCTGCCCCCCTTACCTTTCCCGGACGATCCAGATCCGCTCCATCATGACGCAACAAATGCTCAAGCTAGCAAGCTACAAGCGCATAATCCTTTGCGCCGACGGGACATGGCTAGCGTCTGACCAGGGCGACAAGTCTGCGCCTTCGAATGTTGCGAAGATTGCTCGAGCAATTTCGACCAGTGGTCCCGATGCCGATGGCAATATTGTAAACCAGATCGTGTCGTACTATTCCGGCCTAGGATCTGGAGATCTTCCGTTCCAGAAAACCGTATATGGTGAGTACTCAGCTCGAATGAGCCGATGACCATTTCTTGAACCAGTGTGGTTTATGTGCTTCCTGCCTCGTAGGCGCCGTCGGCCAGGGCGTAGACATCGAAGTGTGCAAGATCTATGATTTCATATCCAATAACTATGAGCCCGGGGACGAGTTGTTCTTCTTCGGATTCTCGCGCGGGGCGTTCACGGTGCGATCAGTCGCCGGCCTGGTAAGTGATATTGGTGTCCTCCGTGCAGTGCATATGTCGCAATTTGCAGAGATGTGGAAGGCCTACCGTGAGAATACGGACGGGCAGCCCTTCATAAAGACGCAGTGGTATCAGCAGAACAAGGACAAGCTGCGCTTGACGGATGATATTAGGATTAAAGTTGTTGGGGTTTGGGACACTGTTGGTGCTCTGGTACGTGACACGAGTTAATTGATACACACCTATCATGAGCCTAACCTTACATGGCTAGGGGATCCCTGAATGGCCGTTGGTAAGATTGGCCACAAAACTTGGTATCGCAGTAAACAAGCAGTACGCATTTCACAACACGAACCTATCAAAAAGTGAGTGATAATCGCAAATAGCTTACTATACCGGCGCTAAACAGTGCTTTCCCATCAGATCTGGACTATGCCTTCCAAGCCCTTGCTATTGACGAGCAACGGCAAACCTTCCCTCCTACCCTCTGGCACAAGACCTCTAACGCTCCGGCTAAGGATCTACAACAATGTTGGTTTCCCGGCGTTCATCGTAACATCGGTGGCCAAGCAGAAGATCCACCTACCGCTGGTGACTATGGAGAGATCGGCGACATCACATTTGCGTGGATGGTAAAACCCGTCTTATCCTCCTAAATGACGATTCTAGTTAACCCAATGCCCTTCGCAATCTAGGTGGACAATCTCTCCGGCATGCTAACCTTTGAAGAGGCCGCGATCGAAGTACTCCTCAAGCAGCACCAACAGGCGCTGGTCGAGAACTACACCAAAAACAAAGTCACAAACGGCTGGGGCTGCGGGCCTATCATTTCTAATTTCTCTGGGCTGCAAGGCGCGTTCTTCCGTATTCTTGGAAAGCAAGACCGCACGCCGGGCAACTACCCGCCGACCTCGGGTGACGGAAATGATCGTGACACGAACGAGTATTTCCATCCGATTGTCCGGATACGGAAGAGCAAACTCCCTGATTACAACCCAATGTCGCTTTATGGGTATTCCGCCGAGCAGTCTGATAGTGAAGCCGGCTGGATGTGGCACAAAAAGGACTTACAGGCAGTCCCCGAGTATGTGATGCACCCGGAGAAGAAGATGAGTGTGGTGGACGAGGAAGGTTATAAAACTACGAGTAGCTTGTCAAGGTTGATGTGTCCCAAAATCCTTCTGGCAGAACTTGATAGGGATAATGGTGTGACACCAGAGTGATCATGGGTCGGAAATGTGGCGTCTCAGGGGAATGAACGGCTAATTGACACTTTATTTTGGCGTTTGGATTCTGTATTTGTACACCAGATCGAATAGTACAAGGGTATTTCCAGGTCTTGATATCTAAATCTAGGAATACCGTATTATATAGTTAACTAGTTATGCACTCACTAAGCGCAGTCTGAGTACTTAGTGAGCATGACCTGAGTGCTCACCGAGCATACAGATACATATGTAGCTATAGCACCACCTCCCAATTAATCTCTAAGTGGGAATTGCCGCTGTTGAATCCAGACAAAATAATAAGCGTATCTACATGGAATTATTTAGAACCAAGTAGAATTCGCTCAAGATAGACCTCAAGTATGAACAATTTGAGCGAGTCATGTCGCGACTCTGCTTATCGGCGAAATGGCCGTCCCCGCAATTCGCAACCGCTCCGATATCATTCCAGTTCCCCTCATCTCTTCTTCTTCTTCATATTCTGAACATAGCTACGATGGCGACCTTCTTGAAAAAGCCCCTCAAATTGGCACTTGTCCAGCTCGCATCAGGTTTGAATTCCTAGACCTCCCCATATTTTCCGAGCTAACTAAACCATCTAGGAGCGGACAAGGCCGTGAACCTCTCTCATGCTCGGAGCAAAGTCCTCGAAGCTGCAAAGGCTGGCGCAGGATTGATCGTCCTTCCCGAGTGCTTCAACTCGCCCTATGGCACGAATTTCTTCCCCAAATACGCCGAGACGCTCCTTCCCTCTCCTCCCACGATTGAACAATCGCCCTCCTTCCACGCCCTGTCGGCCATCGCCGTGGAGGCAAATGCATACCTTATCGGCGGAAGTATTCCCGAGCTGGAGCCCTCCACCAAGAAGTACTACAATACCTCGTTGGTCTTCTCGCCGACGGGCGCCTTGATCGGCACTCACCGCAAGACGCATCTGTTCGATATCGATATCCCGGGCAAGATCCAGTTCAAGGAGAGCGATGTACTTTCACCTGGCAACCAGCTGACAGTCATTGATCTCCCGGAGTACGGAAAGATCGGCCTGGCCATCTGCTACGATATTCGTTTCCCAGAGGGAGCGATGATCGCCGCGCGCCAGGGCGCTTTCCTCCTCGTCTACCCGGCGGCCTTCAACACCACCACCGGTCCCCTGCACTGGTCACTCCTTGCTCGTGCCAGAGCTGTTGATAACCAGTCATATGTGGCACTCTGCAGCCCAGCGCGTGATCTGGACGCCGCCTACCAGGCCTATGGTCACAGCTTGGTCGCTGATCCCAGCGCAAGTCTTCTCTCCGAAGCTGAAGAGAAGGAGACTATTATTTACGCTGACTTGAATAACGATGCGGTTGCGAACATCCGCAGTGGAATTCCTATCTCCACACAGCGACGATTTGACCTTTACCCTGATGTGAGCGCAGGCCAGAAGTAAATGCGGGGGAAAATTTGTTAGAAATTATATCAAATTTATCTAGAGATTATAGTCAAAACCGCCTGGTTATTCACGACAACGTCATTAAATCAACCCTCCCTCTAAGGAAGTACCTAATGAATTTTGATAGTTGAACAAAGTTGTTATTGCCTGAGGCATCAATACCCACAACTAAAATATCATTGGCTGAAGTGTTGCCCCACTCCGCCCAATCAGACCCCGCACAGTCAAGCGAGACCACACTGAATTTCACTCGAAAATCGACCGCGAATTCTCCTTCTGACAATCGATCACTTCCGCCCACCGTCGACCACCCCTTCAGTCAGTCTACTCAATCACCACTCCGAAATACCCCTCTAACCTTCTCCGCAGAGATGTCCAACGTCAAGACCGGCAACAAGCGCTCGGCTATCGCCGATGTGGTGACTCGCGAGTACACCATCAACCTGCACAAGCGAGTATGTTGAACACAACCCTTTCCCAGTCTACCTGCGACGATTCGAATACGATTCAGTTCTGGAGGCATATATTGGACAGAGAACAAGAAACTTTTCCTGAAAAATGGAATTTGTTACGGAAAAGAATGTGTGTGGTGTGGGTTGGTGTGTGTGTGCGTCGAGGGTAGAATGGGAAACCAATCCCCCCTATGCCACACCACCATCCTCACCATGACCTGTGGAGAAATCTGCAGGTAGGACATGGCACTTTTGTCTTTTGTCTGCTTCGCGATAGAGACAGCCGAGAGGAGATCTTGAAAAAGTCTTCGCTCGCATCCACACATATCCGCACCCGGAACACAAAAGAAGAATTAGTTTTATGAAGTCCACTATGGCCGAAAGACCAGAAACATTCATCGCGCAGAGTTTTCTCTAGCAGATGGCATTCGGGCGGAAGACTGATTGCAACTTCTTTTCCGGAATTATAGATCCACGGCGTCAGCTTCAAGAAGCGTGCTCCTAAGGCCATCAAGGAGATCCGCGCCTTCGCTACGCAGGCTATGGTAAGTTTTGAGCGATGCTCTCATCTCCTTCCTGACCCTACTGGGGAATTAGTTTGCTAACATGCTCAACTCATCAATAGGGCACCAAGGATGTCCGCGTCGACCCCCAGCTGAACAAGAAGGTCTGGGAAGCCGGTATTAAGGGCGTTCCCTTCCGTCTCCGTGTCCGCATCTCCCGCAAGCGTAACGACGAGGAGAACGCCAAGGAGCGTCTCTACTCCCACGTCCAGGCCGTCAACGTCAAGGACCCCAAGGGCCTCCACACCACCACCGTCGATGACGCTTAAATGTGTCGCTTTTCGTTAGCATCTATGATTCCGTGTTCCCAGCTGGGGTGTGGTCGGGGTTTTACAAAATACAAAATACCTTTTCCCTTTGGGGCTTCCTTATACATTTGTCTTAGTATCGTAGTATTGGTTCTATTCTAGTCGACATGTCCTGCAGTATCAGAAACGACTACTCCGTACAGGAGAGTTATTCAAGGTCAGTCAATTACAGCGCCTAGTTCTCCACTTTCATGTAGTTTGGATCCCTTAGAGCCTAATGGCCGAGCCATGTACTAGTTCGTGCTCAGCATCAATACATCTCAATGTGGGATTCGGGGTCGTCATGCAAGTAAGTACCAAGTCTCTAGAACACATCAGTTCCTTCACGGCACCTATTGGTTTTGCCCGTGAGAGAACAACCGTTATGTTCATGGCCCACTCGATGATTTAATTAGGGCTAGGCTGGGAAGCCGTCCAGTCGATCAAGTATGCATTTAATGACTATAGGTCGAGTCTATACTCGTGGATCGTCTTTGCTTTTCTTCTTCTGGCACTGTCGAACACTCTTCATGCCCTCCCAGGGGATATCTGGGGTCTTGACGGTGGTCTGCCACGGACCCCGTGAGTGCTATTACAGTTCATTCACAAGACTCGAACGATCAAAGCCACCCGCCTACGAGAGAGATGAATTGCACAATAAAACAGAAGACTGATTGTTTCAAATGTCCAAGAAGTCATCCATTATGGGAATGGATGGGGTTCGAACGTGGATTCCCAATTAATGTGGACTATTTCTTTGGGATCCAAAGAATGGTTGGGGAGATAGGTATGTTACGAGAGAGTGTGTGCTTCGAGGTATTGTCAGATGATCCCATCTCCCATGTTGATGCTTGTTTCTATAGGCTTGCTTGTTTGCCAGTCCCAGGGTATAAATACCCTGCTTTTGATAGTTTGAATAGATCACGATTCTTCCTTCGCTCTCCCGCAATTGCCAGAAGACCTATGCATGGCATTGCGCAGAAAGCACCAGAGCAGAAGACTTCCCCTTTTCCAGAAGCATCGGTCCAGAAGCATCGGCTGGGCTGGAAGGGGAAATCCAGTTTGCTAAATCAGATCTGGTATGTAGGGTATATCCATATAGGTCGAAAGATGTGCATGGGTCTGACCTACTTCGAGGATGTGAGGAAGGCTATAAATCGACTGGGAGGTCAGCTGAAGAAGGATTATTTGTTCTTAACTGTTAGTTTAATCGAGTTTGAAGTGCCATGAGGACTAGCTGCAAGGAAATGCTCAACAATGCTAGACCATCGGGCATTCTATCCAGCAATAGGTTTTTTTCAGACACACTCACTCTGTATTACTTTTGTCGTCTTCCATTTCCTGTGTCTTCGTCAGACCGTTGCTTGCAACCTGGCAACGAGCGCTAGCAGCCTTGTGCTATGAATCCAATTTTGTTTCTTGTATAACATATTATGTCCTCTCATTCGTATCAAACCTGCTTGGTGTTCATCTTCATATTTGTCATGAAAGATTGGATACAATAAGGCTCTGTCCAATTAGTCTCTTGAAACGAAGGATTTTTTTTTTAATCGCCAATCACCAGCCCTAGGGACTTGAAGAGGATTGTGAAGGCAAGGTTAGTGGTCTTTCTTGGTTAATCCGGTACATGTGTCCTGGCATGAAGCAAATAGGTTAGCAAGTTATAAAGAAAATCACAAATACAGCTCAGAAGCTCAAGAATGAAAGTATAAATATATGGGCAGCAAATCTAAAAAGAGAACATAGGATAAAACTCCTATCGGCGTGTAGTATATATATATGTTGTAGTACAAACGATGGGGGAAAGCTCCAACAAGGAAGCATATATGCAGGTAGTGCATTTTTTTTATTAGCTTCTGCTCATGCCTACATGCTACATAACATCAAAGATAATCAAAATCCAAGCAGAGAACTGACGTTGAAACAGCAAAGCATCGAAGACCGTGGAAGCCAGGGCGGTGAGCGAGAGCTCCCCAAACTGCCGACGTGAGGACATCATATCAGCTCTCTTGCAGTCCGCATCAACCATCAACATCTCCAATTCCGTCCGAGTTCACCTATCTTCCTCTCTTAATCCAGCATCTTATCCTCTGTCAGTGACTTCAACTTAAACAGCACCCAGATCTCCACCATGGAGTCCAAGATCCCCGACTTCTTGCTCGAGCAGCAAGCACAAGGAAGCCCGGAGACACAACCCTACTTCCTCACCTTCGAAGACTACTGGGAGCGCAAACTATGGCACCAGCTTACAGACTCGTTGGTCGAGTTCTTCCGCATGCCAGAGAGTGCTCCGCATCGCTTAGCCCTGTTTAAGACATTCGTGCTCAGTTTCGCCGACCGGGTCAACCAGCTCAAGTTTGTCTCGCTGGGATTGATGGCAGCTACAGAATGCACAGGTTGGTGGTCCACAATCTAGTCCGGAAGCTCGAAATTATACCATGATGAGCATTCGGTTGCGTTGATGCAGGCTAACCATCTCCCTCTAGATGACCAAGAACGACTTGCTTTCCTCACATCTCTCGCTAGTAAGACGGATACGGCCGATACACAGGATGCATACGTCTACGCGCTCGCTGACGTGGCCAACGTCAAGCTGTCGCTGAAGGATCTGGAAGGAGCACAGACAGACCTGGCCACCTGCCAGCGGGTGCTAGACACGTTTGACTCGGTCGAGACCGTTGTGCACGCATCATTCTACAAAGTGAATGCGGACTACTACCATGTATGTGATTCTCAGAATCCTGTCTCTAGCTAGACGCCGCCACTCAAATTGAGACTAACACCCCTCTCCAACAGGCTAAGCAAGAATTCGCCTCCTTCTACAAAAACGCCCTCCTCTACCTTGCCTGCATTGACCTGGAAGAACTCACCGAGACCGAGCGCGCATCGCGCGCGTACAACCTCAGCGTAGCGGCCCTTGTATCAGAGACGATCTACAACTTCGGAGAACTCCTCCTGCACCCGATTCTGGACTCGCTGACCGAGACCCCGCACAACTGGCTCCGCGAGCTTCTCTTCGCCTTCAACCGAGGTGACCTGACTGCCTACGACGTGCTTGCCGGTAACATCAGCAAGAACAAGCTGCTGGAGTCACACCGGGTATTCCTGTACCAGAAGATCTCGCTCTCAGCACTGACGGAGATGGTCTTCCACCGTCCCCCTCACGACCGCTCTCTCTCTTTCCAGGCTATCGCGTCCGAGACTAAGGTGCAGCCGGATGAGATTGAGCATCTCGTTATGAAGGCTTTGTCGCTGGGTTTGCTGCGTGGATCCATTGACCAGGTTGCTCAGGTTGCACAGATCCACTGGGTTCAGCCCAAGGTTCTGGATATGAAGCAGATTGATGGCATGCGAAACCGTCTTAAGGAATGGGATGCCGGTGTTAACCAGCTCGGTCATTGGATTGAGGGAGCTGGTAAGGATGTTTGGGCTGCATAGATGTCTTATCTCACTTGTGTTCTGATCAGTTCTATTATAATGAATACAATGGTGTCGTCTTTTATCGTGGTTCTAGTATATTTGGAATTTCCGCAATATGCATGGGTTATTATTCAGTGCTCCATGTGTCTTGTTTGACTCGACATATCTACTTCATTTATCATTCAAAGGCAAGAAAAAGTAAAGAACATGACATTCATACAGTCTAGTATAACGAACCAGAACAATTCCATTTCCTGAAAAGAATATATACAAAAAATCTCCCCATCCCACCCCTAAAATCCATTAATCGAACACATCACCGCAGCAAAATTAGGCGTATCAATCCCAGTCCTATTATGACAACCTTTAGGTTGATAATACTGCTTCACCCCATCAAAGCAATCACAATCTTTCTTACTGAAAACAGCACAAAAACCATTCTTGAGTACCCACGACTGAGGTTTCTCAAGTTTGCTCGCATCACAAGTACTCCACGTGAAGCCATCACCAGTCCACCATTTACAAGTAACGCCCGTCTCGGTGAACTTGCTATTGAGGCCTCCATGGAGCGCCAGACAGCCCTTATCGTCGAGGAAATCTTTGTTATAGCCCTCGAGGTGGTAGTAGTCGCCCTCACAGCCTGCTTTGCTGTACAGTGTGATCTCCCACGGTGCGTTCCAAGCGTATTGAGATACACTTGGTTCAGGGGCGGCTTTTGCTTTTGCAGTAGTAGTACTAGTAGTTTGTTTGGTTGTTGTTGTGATTTTCGTGGCCTTAACAGTGTTGGTTCCGGTAGTGTTTGACTTGGACTTGGAGTTCGAGTTGGAGGTAGGTTTCGAGCCGGTGCCGGTGTTGGTGGATTGCTTGGCCCCTGCTGCCTTCGCATTGCCAGTAGTTTTGGATTTCGGCGCCTCCGTCGCCCCTTTCACGGTGGCTGTAGGACCGGCAGGAGGCGCACGGTAATTTTGGCAATAGATATCGGAGATACCACATTGACCCCAGAAAGCACACTGTTGGATTGTTAGGACTTGATCTAAAAGACGGGGTATGGGATATGGGGTTTACTACTCACACATTTAGACGCAGGACATGGGTTCACACCAGCCAGATCGGCCCATTTAGCCGGACGTGTTGTTCCAGGTACTTGTGGACCGCAGGTAGCTTGAGGAAGGGCCATTGGCATTGGAGGTTTCCCTGCGCTGAGACAGATAAAGTCGCCCTGGTATAGGTGCCTGCATCCGAGCCATGCCCAGGTGTTTTTATTGAAGCTTTCGATGTCGGCTTCCGTGATATCGTGTGCTTTAGCAATCAGTGCACAGGTATCATAACCCTGGATGATATATTTGAAACAAAAGCCGTCTTTCGTTGGCATGGGGGCGTCGGCTGTCGCGATACGGAGTAAGAGGAGCCATAGAGCAAGAAGGTCGATTCGAAAGAGGCTCATCTTGTGTAGACCTGGGGGATACAGGCATTTGTAGAGTAACAAGGCTCGTCATTCTTTATATAGATTGATTGAGAGAATTGTGGCCGTAAAATCGAGATTGGATAGAGGCACTGCATGAAAGAAACAGAACACTGTTTCCGAGTTAGGGCAAGAACCATGGGAATTGATCACGAACAATCCAACATTGATGCACTTGATGAATGTGAGATGTTAGTATTGTTCAAGGGCTAAACAAAGATTCGGCGAAATGTGTCGCATGGGATGTTTTCATTGTTCGCTCGAATTAGCCGTGCATGACCTCTCCGATATAGTATGTATAAAGTTAGGGCCGGTTTTTGTTTAACCTTTCCTTGGGCTGTTCCGGCGTCGAGTGCCAAATGTTCTTTGATCGTAATTAGCCATCGTGAGGCGATAGATGCTTGCGCCTTGGAGTAAGAATCAGAAATCGAGTCTCTTCTTTGAAGACAGGTACGGCGTGGCAAATGAAACATACCAAAGGGGACACATTCAGAGTATGTATTTGACCAAGAGTGGCAAGAATATGTACGTACCTAGCTACATTCTGTGTTCGCAGTCCATTGGTATATGCACCTTGGACGTCAACAGTTCATATTTGAACTCCTTGCTGCCAGCCTGTGGCATCCAGCTTCCTTGGTCCCTGTCTTTGTTTCTTTGTCTTGGTAGTTATAGTATGTAGATTCCTGGACTTGTATTTATTAATATCCTAATCATTGTACCACGCATGAGACAAACAAGTACAACAATATAATCAGAAAATCGACGACCCCAACAACACACAGCCAATCAACCAAGCAGGCCACCACACACACCAAACAACAACCTGGGTCCACATACCCCAAACATCCCAACCGAAAGCCGCCTGGGTGAGGACAGCCTCGACCGAGACTCCCATATACCAGCAGACGCCAAGGAGAACAGTTGGCGGGGAGACAAGGTTGAGAAGCACCAGACCTAGACTGGAAGTCGCTAAGCGGAAATGCGCAGAGCCCCGCAGGCGAGCGATGAAGCTAAGTGGCGCGCAGAGCAGACCAATCATGAATGAAAGGGAGAAGTTGAGGGTGGCGAGGGTTGAGAGGGAGAGACCTAGCAGCAGGAGGGAGAAGGATTTTATAAGGTGGTACTGTTGGGGGATGATTGGCTTTGATAGACCGAGGCCATTGGAGAGGATTGCGGCGAGGAGGAGGGGGAGGGTGATGTCCACGACCACAATTATGTAGGTGATAGTTGTGAAGTACTGTAGATTTGTTAGCAGCTATTATTATTGTGGTTGTAGCCTGGCAGATCTCACCTGGTGGAAGATATTATTGAAGACCCAGAGCGGGACAAGGCCGAGTAGATGGAGTCCGACGACAAGCGAGAGGGGTAGAGCAAGGTGCCGTTCTGCGATGCTAATCGACATGGCCTTCTCTTCGGTGGGTGCCTTTTCATTCTTGGGTTTGGCACTTGGTTTGCTTTCTGAGTAGTACCCAGTGCGCATCCAAAGGGCAATTGCCATGATGGTGAAATTTCCAGCAATCAGCATGGCACTGGGTAAATAGGTTCCAATGCTGACAAAACGGTTAGACTGCATGAGCAGGTAGAAGAAAAAGCTCTGGTGCAGGTGCTCCAGCAAGTTGTTTAAACTGCGGCAAAGAGACTCAATCGTCCGGCCCAGGGCCATTTCGTCCTCCCATCCCTCGCCCTTTGTCTGTAGGGTGATAGCGTCAATGTGGTACGGCATGAAGCTGCTGTGCGCGCCGGTGGCATATCCGAGACCCTGCTTGGTCATACCGCGGAACATGGTCTGCAGACGATGCTCGTAGCTGTCGTCGTGACCCCACATTTCCTGTAGATTGGCCCCGATGCCCATCTGGCCGCCTGCAATGGCTACAGCCGTGTTGAACAGATCGAGGTTGGGAAGTTGGCCATTGACTCCGTCATATACAATATGGAGCGACTGGAACCGGTGATCGAATGGGTATTCGATGACTAGTGCTCCTTGCAACGCTCCACTCTTTAAAGGAAGCGGCTGCACCGAAGCCGGGTGCATATCGTGGTAGGCATCAATCCAAGCCTGAGTACCGGTTTTGCTGTCTGGGGTAATTAGAAAGATGATATCCTTGGACCATAATGACCATCCTAGCATCAACTGTCAGTAACCTGGCTAGAGGAGCGCAACCACGAATCTCACTCTTGAAATATCTCGCCAATGTCAGAGCAAGAGTGACACCATTCAGGTTCAACTCATCATCAGCTGTCAGCCATGGCGCAACCAGCACAATTGCCTCCGTGGCATCACCGCGCGGCGCATGGATAATAGCATAAGTGTTCTCTCCCTTGTGCGTAATCCCAGCGGAGGTGTACTCGTATTTTTGCGTGGCAACTTTAAGGCCCGCCGCTTGCAAGATTGACTGCAGCTTGTCCGAGACCCTGTTGAAGTATCAGCGAATAGTCCAGCCTGTGCCGAGTTCATTCGACCTACGCCGCTGTCACTTCCGCCTCGTCTTTTTGGCCGCCTCTCGCTTGTCCATCATTCAACAATCCTTCCAATTCTCTCTTATAACCCCGGAAGATGTTCTGCTCGCTTCCCGTGAAGTACGCATGGACTTGGCCAGGCAGGAGCGCATTCTCGGAGATGTAGGTTTGTCGGGAGTACTCGTTCAAAGGTAGGAGAAGTAGCCAAACAACGCCGACAACAATGCAGAAAAAGGATAGGAGATTCGGGAGGCGAACGTAGAGGAGGTGGGGGTTATTCCGCAAGTTGCGGATTGCAGCTGGCATCTTGTTAGTTGGGGTCTCCGGTGGTGCCAGGAAGGACAGGTGGTATTCCAGCTTGTTTGCTCACATTTCAACGCCATTGAGTAATGACCATCGGGGAATTAGTTCCCGTGCCGCGAAGGCGAAGTCGTTAAATGAGTGGAATAATTGGGCTGAACTGTAGTCTTACAAGTCAACAGTGGAGATCGAGAGCTCCGTTGTTTATGCGCGGAGAAGTGGAATTTACGCCGAACGACAAAGACCGATAGTGCAAATTAAATGTGAGTATGCACACGCTATGCTATTATCCAATGCCCCCCGCCCCCCGAGTCTGCAACAATATAAAAAAACTATAGTGGAAAATATACATTAAAAATGAGAAGTGAAGAATGAATCAATGCCGGTTTTAGGCTCCCAGGCGTTGGTTGGAGCCCAAGTAGATCAGGGGTGTTTGGGTGTTGCTGGCGCCGGCGGGGTTGTTGTTGGTTGGAAGAACTCCATAGCGACCGAAGGTCTTCTGGTCGACGGATACGTAGTGAGGTAGGCGTCCCAGGAGGTTCAGCTTGCCCTCGATCCAGCGGAGGACCTTCTCAGGGGGCACAAACACCTTGAGGTATCCAAGGCCGACTAACGACAATTAGCAATGAAAAAAGGGAGCAGTCAGAGAAGGGAACTCACGGAGATATCCGACAAGAATCGCACAGAGATGACCGAGGAAGCTCACGTTCGAGATGAGGATGGATACAACGATACATGCGAACAAGGGTGAAGTCCAGGTGGGAATCTTGTACGGGCCAAGACTGAAGGGCGTTAGTACAATTGGAGTAAGTTATTTCCAAGTGAATCATACCTGAAGTTGGGGTGAGACTTGTAGGTCTTGATGGCTTCCGAACCGAGAAGCAGGAAAACCCACATGCTGGGTTGAAGGTTAGTTACCGAAACATTCAACTTGGTGACCTGAGGCTTACCTTGCGCCGACCACCGAAGTATTTCTGTGTAGGATAAACCTCTCAGTCAAGATATAAAGCCCAGCAGGAACAGTCGAGAGAGCTAAATTATTGAACATTAGTCAAAATGGCCACAAGCGTTGTGTTTAACCAGAGCACTCACGTCCAACAAACAACGCAATAGCAGTCAAAGTGCCATGCTCGGCCTCAAAGCGCTCCAGCAGCGGTGTAACCGCCAGAGCATTAAAGAAAGCATGGAAGAAGCCAGTATGGATGATGGGATAAGTGTTAAGTCGGTACACTAGTCAAAAGTCAGTATGCCGCGCGCAATATGCTCTTTTAACATGGAATCAAACATACTAGTCCCCAGATTAATCTCTTCTGGGATTAAAGCGCCCCATTGCACAACACTCCATATGGTTTGGAATTCAAGTAGCCAAAAGACCAGAATGATCAGCAGCACTAGTCGGGTGAACAGCGGTAGTCGGAGGAGGTATGATCGTATCCGGCCCGGATTGAAAGGCAACGGGGGTAAAGCGGCCGGAGTCGCCATGGTTGCTGAATGCTGATATTCGGCTTACTATCACTCTCGAGTAGAATAATTATAGTGACGAAACCACTCAGGGCGGCCGGAGTAGAGTTGGGCTGGCAAGTCGGGATATACCGCGACTTTGTGGGAGAGGATTTGCGGTCGGAGCCGTTGGGTAGAATTGACAATGTATTCGAAGGTCAGATGGCGGATCGAACAATTAATGACTGGAAAGAAAGATCAATCGTTAGATTCTGCTTTCCTCGCTAGTCGAACTTCCGGGCCGGTCCCAGGGATAACTCACAAGGAGCACGCGATCCTTGATGGGAATCGAAAACAAGGGACAAGAAGCCCTAGCCGGAAACGAGTAGAACTCCGAATGTCGATGTCAGAAACAACCTAAATGAAATATCAAACTCGAAGAGAAGTCAAGGGAGATCAGTCGGACCATTAAAGTGACTTGTTCGCGAATTTACGGCCCCGCGATAAAGACCAACCGCGCAACTATAGACTGGATGTGCCGGGCCCCGGCCCTCCGGGGGGGGGGAGGGTAAGTGGTGATGATCAATTATCTCAATTTACTCCGTACTGGCTTCCAGAATGGTCTATTCATCAGATATAAAAGGGTGCTGTATATTTATGTATCCCAAATTCCTCCAATTTATTTACAGGTGCTGGTTGAACCAGGCGATGGCCTGGCAGAAGGCCTGCTCCTTAGCCCACTTCTGCTTGGGGTCGCTCAGATCGGCGCGCACAGCGAAGCCGTGGCTGACACCGCTGAACAGGTTGATCTGCCACGGCTGGGCAGTCTTGATGAGAGTATCCTCAGACTCGTGGCGAAGCTGGGTAGTGAAGATCGAGTCGACCTCTGTTGACACACCCGAAATTAGCATCTGATGCTCCTTTTTCAAAACTGATATCTAGCAAACATCAACTTACCAGCAGCAGCGATAGACAAGGGGCCCTTAATGGCGCCGAGCTCCTCGTGGGTGACGAACGAGGGGTGCGCGGTGTAACCGACGTCAACCTGGCCGGGCTTGAGGTTGCGGCAGACGTACTAAATTAAGATTGTTAGCACCAGGGTTTGTAGGTTATATTTCTTAGATTTCCGGAGATGGCATCTTCAGATCTGGACTATAAGTACATACCTTACCGCCGAAGCAGTAGCCAACAGCGCCGATCTTCTTAACGCCGAGAGTCTCGCGGGCGTACTTAATAGTCGACTCGATAACGGGCTCGACGTTCGCGGGCTGGTGGTTGGGGAGCCATGCAGGCAAGTCTGCCTTGCCAGATTGCATGTCGCTGACACTGATCGCGTCACCCTGGAAAAGATCCGGAACGATAGTCAGGTAGCCATTGTTGGCGAACTCGTCGGCGAGGAGCTGGGAGTTGATGTAGATGCCGAAGATATCAGGCAGGAAGACAATGGCCTTATCGGGGGTCTTGTCCTTAGGGTAGGCGATATAGGTGTTGACTGAAGAACAGCTTGGTTAGCAAGGATGGCTCTGGGGGGCTTCGGGTGGGTGCAATTGAGGAATGGAGAATCTTACCTCCGTTAATATCCTTGGTCTCGCCAGATGGAGTGCCTTCGTGCTTGAAACCAGAGGCACAGCAGGCAGCGGGAGGGTTGGAAGCCATTTTGAGGTGAGAGAAGGTATAGAATGTAAAAAATGAAGTTTTTCTTAAGTTGACATCAAATTATAGAGGGGTACCCCGACTGCTTATAAATGTATCTCGGGGGTGTACAGTACAGGGTCAACCTAAGCCTTTCGCCATTTCAATAGATGTCATTTTCTTCCAATCAAACTGGCTCCTCGATTTCGTCTGTCTTATGACTCCACTTGCCCCTCATGGAGCTCTTGAACTCCTACCTCTTGGACTGTTATTAACATGTTCTCACCAGGACTGATCCTCCAGAGCTAAGGCTCAATGGTCTCGCAATGACTTTGGATACCTGGATTGCATACATATGTATACATGGCTTTTGCCCATTTAGAAAATTGTATGAGAGGGGATCTGATTGCCTTGCGGTACTCGGCACGCGCACCCGACCCGATGACGGTTCGGGGATAAGCTCTTAACTCCATGTATCTACTCCAACACTGTACAATCTTACTTGATTGAAGAGACAACAGTCAACATTGCATAGGAACACCTGTACTGCATGTATCTGGGAGATTAGGACATCTAGTCCCAATCAATCCCACCAACCATTATTACCACATTAGTCCATTCACACATTCAACGTCACAAAATATCATGTCCGACTGTCCTTCGCGGGGTATCTTTCTCTGCGGGGAATATCATGTCGCATGAAGAATTCACAAACAAAATGACTCCGTATATTCCAGCATGAAACAAAAACCTCAGAAGTGTAAAGGGGGTATCAAAGGAAACATATCACGGAATTTTCACTCGAAGCGGAAGTTTGGCCGTGAGCGCTGGGTACGCTTCATAGCCCAGGCCTTGATGGCAATTGCCAATACCTCATAAGCCATGATGAAGGCACTGAAGCCCAGGCCAACGGTGAAGGTGAACATTGCGTCCAGTTCGTAGTACTCCATCGCTTGAATCACATTACGGGTCTGGATCAACGTTAGTCATGCTCTTGGGTGACATTGTAAACCTTATGAAGGTTATATATGCACTTACACTCAACATGAAAATCAGACCTCCCGAGATCAGGCAGAATGCAGCGATGATCTCTGTCGGGGGACGAGCCGGGAGGTACGAGGTCGTTGGCTTGAGGTACAACAGAACGTATGTCATGCCGCGCGCCAGCGCAAATCCAACCAGCATGTTACCCCACTGCTTGTGTACCATAGTCGATGTCATGGTGGTCTGGTGGTGCGACCCCATCATCATGCCAAGCAACATAATGACTAGGGCTGGCATGGGGTTCAAGGAAACGCCCTGCGACTTCGGTGGCGTCCAGGCTTCATCCGAGGTACCATGAGCAGGGGCTTGGAGGACGGTGCTGTTGACCCAGTCACGGATGCAAGTAGATTCGAAAAGCATACCAGCCTATTTTAGATTAGTCAAATCGATTCCTATAAAGAGCCGAAAACAAGGAGATGAAACCGTACCAGACCGCCGCCGAAGAACAGCACGGAAATTGAAGCGTGCTCGAGATCTGTAGCAGACCATGGCTTGCCCGCGTTGGAGAGGTGCTCGAGAAAAACATTTGTCGCGCCATATAGGAAAATGACGAACGACTCTGTAGCTTCAGCCGAGGGAACCTTGGATTTCCAACCAACAATAGACGCAGAGGGCTTCTTGTTCCAGGCCCAGCCCAGATCTGCCCAGCAACCAATATAGCGTCCAAGTGTCAGGACACCATACCAGAAGAAGATACCACCCTTGATGAAGTGCGCTAGCCCATTGAAGATCTCCATACCCCTCATGATACCACCGTAAGTCACAGCCCCGCTCGCAATAGCCGCAAATCCGAATGGAAGAATGACACGATCAATGATGTTATACACCACATTCAAAACGTGGAGAACCCGGCCGGGAATCAGACCAGGGACAGTCTTGGACAGGAAGCGACCAACAGCTGTGAGATGAATCCAGCCGCGTTGAGCGGTATCCTTCGTTGGCAGTTCGTCTGGCTTTTCAAATCCATCGTATTCGGTAGGCGACCCACAAGACGACGATCCAGGGCTATGGATAGAAGACGAGTTCCTATCCGTGCCCTGGCCACTATCGCGAGACCAGCGGTGCTCGCGTATCGCACTATTAAGGCAAATATGCTCACTATCATGGTCAACAGTCGCGACAGGCAAGAACGCATCATGTTCATAAGAGGGCGCATTCGACTCGCCGCGGCCAGCGTAGGCAAAGAGCAAAGCGAGGACGACCTGGGCGCTGATAACACACGTCGCGACCCAGCCGAGTTTGTGGTGTGCGTTGTTCACATAGAGGTCTGGCGTCTGGCTGTTATAGATAATGCCGAGTAGGACACCGAAGGCGTTGAAGGCCAGAAAGAGGAATTGTGATGGAAGCGCGAGCCATGAGCGCGCGATGCTCAGCATAACAGCTATTCGAGAGATCAGTTTCTGTCCATTTTCTTCGCGTTCAGATCGCAACAACACGAGAGCCACTCACCAACAGGAAGAACGAAGCACCATCCCAGAACCATGAGGGCAATGTGAGCTATAATGGCGCTGGAGTGCTTGCTATATGCAAAATAGCTCATCGGACCATCGGTGGTAGCTTGCATCGCGGTGGTCGTAGGTTGCGGCGCGTCGGTGCTCGCCTGCATATCCATTCCCATGTCCATTGATTCATCGTCACCGTGTGGAAGCGCGGTTACAAGCGATGCGAGAAGCAGAGTGAAAGTTGCCGCCAATGCGACCCGAGTAGCTATAGGCCGCATTAGGACGAAGATGTGTTATATTGCAAAAAATAATGTTGTGTATGTCTGTATGTGTAAAAATGCAAGTGATTGTGGGATATAGAGCTCCAACCAGCCGAGGTCGAAGCTCTATGGAATCGTGACGTAGTGAACCTGTCAAACCGATAGCTGGGTTCGTAATTATTCTTGTTTTTCGTACTCCTCCAAGCCTAGACAAGACTATTTGGAGGCGTCTGACGAACTAGACTGGTCGAATATATGTAGTTGGAGTTGAAGCTGTAGGGCTGAAGTATGAGACTCCGCGAGGGAATGCAGTATATAAGTCCAGGCGGGGCAAGGAATGAAGTACCGGAAACTCCAGGGCTGCTAATAAAACCAAATTAAATCAATAAAATAATAAAATAAAAAATAAAAAATAAATAAAAAAGAACTGGTGTCGATTTCTAATGCTTTTGAGGAAAAAAAAGTGCGTGGAAAAACCAATACGATATGCCCAAACTCCCGAGGTATACTCCTTTTCTGCTTGTAGTATGAAACGAATTAGGTGTGCGATTCTTCCTGTGCAGTCCTTAGACTTTTAGGTAAAGGTGTCACGAGCTCCTCCATACTTTCATGGGAATGATGAATCTAGAGTTCTTGATAGTTTTTTTCTCCAATTTTGTTTAGCTCTTCCTTTTACTCGGGTGTCTCGGGAGCCTCTTAGAGTGTGGATGTGGACTTTGGTGACTTCACGAGTTTCGGGGGTTGGGAACTATGACTACATAGAACCCCAATATTTGGGACTTTTGCCATTGGAAAGTTACCTAGTTATGTATGTAAACCTGCATCTGATGCCATATATGTTGTACGATGTATGTTGTGCACAGAAATATAAGCGCCCTTGGCCAATGACGTAGTCGATCGTTACTCTATTTGGGCGGTGACTGGCCTAACCTTCTCAACATCTTTCTTCTGTTACGTACATTCGTTGTATACCTAGGCAAACATATAATGCCATGGGGTATTGGATGAGCATGTAAATATGCCAGCCTGCTTGGCTTCCAGCGCGACTATCTCAGGTTGACTTCCAAGGTGATTATCAACGTTCAAGTCTAACGCCCTTGTAGCAGATGATCATCAAGGATCTGTTCATCCAATCACCGAGAGCCATCATATGTACGGAGTACTTATGCATTCCTTGTCAGGTGCTTTCATACTCTAGACTAGACTATCCCTGTCTCGGCCTTCCGCGCTTTGTTTTCCGAGCCGCATTTTTGAGCTGGCCCCATCTTGGTGGGGTCATAGTCTGATGGAAACGGACTGCCGGACTCTACGCCCGGATATACGAAATAAGAACGAATTTTAGCGGAATTTCGGCACCTTGCTTTATTACCCAAAGAGGTGGTATTGAGGTAGTTGCGTCGAGGAGTCGCCCGCTTGTCTCCGTGAATACTAATCCGAAAGTAAGATCGCGGGATGGACCTCCTTGCACCACCGATACACAAAATTTGTACTCCGTACATCTCACGAAATAGCAGAACATAACTATGTACAACATAAAAAAATTGATCTATCCAAGCCACCAATATGTATCAACAGATACCCAATGCATATCGTCATGTGGTTTCCTATACCCTGGTCCAAGCTTGTACGATATACCAAGCGCCCCCCGCGCTGACTCCGTTCTCCATACTTCGTACAACAAAGCATTCTACTCTACCGCCGACGCCACGATGAAGCATGATCTCCCAGTAGTAAAGAAGCAAACGAGCACCTGGGCCTTAGCAGAAGTCGGGCCAAGAGCGAGGCCGAGCCCGGTCTTGGCGATTGGTGAATCGGCATCCGTGAGCATCCGGAGACATGAAAAAAGCTGAAATTTTACACCCACGCACCTGCACGTCCCTAGGATCTGCGTTGAATAATTGCTAATCTGTTAAGGTGGGTTCTTATGCCCGGAATGCAAAGTCCGCTTTACTTCCGAGCTCCGAGTCCATGTTGTAAGTATCCGTACTCCGTACGGTGTATATGTCTCCGACTGCCTCGTGTTTCTAAGCAGTAGGTGAGCCATGATGTGTCCTATGACTCATGCTTGCTCATGGCATAACCTTAACCTGCTGCCTTGCTGTACCCGGCTATAATCAGACGGTGTGACCTGGCACCATACTGCATGCTGATATCCAACTTTCGACACATCCACAGCTCCAAGAAATATTGCCAAGTTCGGAAAACCTGAGTATTCGGAAGTACGGCACAACCACTATCCGCACCCTGGCTCTGATCTAGCCGTTCCCCAGGGGTAATGGTAATGATGGGCGGCCAATGAGCATAGTGTGAATACCTCAAGATCCCGTGTGAGCAACACGGGCGCAACTCGAGCACGGACACCAATACAGTAGGGATTGGCTAAAGGCACTTTTAGGCTAGAAGTACAAGACGCTAAGCCACATGGTATACACTACCTCGGTAGCGCTCCGGGAGCCTTAGTACTAGCGAGGATTAGCGCATTCGCGTACTACCTCCCGAGGGCTCGTCTCGCAGCCATATAATTTGGCTTCAATGTCAGTTCAAATGCTGGTTAAGAATATTGACTAATTCTCCACCTCTTCCTGAAGTCCCTACCTAGGTACCTAATACCTTTCGTTTTCTTCCTACTTTTCAGTATTAAAAATTGATCTATTTGACTTGTGATATTAGAGAGAAATTATATTAGGAGCCTTTTTCGAAGTTTTTCGGACTTTCTTTTCGGACTTTCTTTTTGGACGTCTTTTTGGACGTCTTTTTGGGTATCTTCTTTCCCTTCTTAGTGTTATAGCTCGAAGGATGATTACATTATGGTGATACTGGCCTGTGATGGACTTTATCCAAGGCAACTGATTGTTCTCAACTCTCAGTTCTCTTGTGCACCCCCTAGGATCTCTTTCACCTGATCATACAATACTGTATCTTCCTTCGCCCACCTCCTTCCATTCGGAAAAACCGCCTTCCGAAGTATATTAACGCATGGAATCAGTGGCCGATAGTACTCTGTGAAGTAGTCATTCGCAGATCTCACAAATCCGCTTCATCGGATATCTCGCCTTTCTTCATACCAGCTAACTCCTCTATATCCATAAAGTTCCACTTGTCAAACCTTGCAACAACTCTTCCCTTACCTGGCCCGTCGTAGTGGATGCAAATCCAAAAGATCACCCAAAAGAATGATACAAGGTCATATATAAAAGAATGCTTCTCGTCTAGAAGCGAGCCAATTGCCATAAAGGCCCTTGTAGCGGTCTTTCCAGTTGCTCCTAATACACCGTCTCGCTGCTCTTTGATGGCTAGATTAAGATCAATTAAGGATGACAGCCACGAAGGGTTGTCTTTGTCCTCGTGGATTATAATATTATTGACTGATATATCTCGGTGAAGGATTCCAGCCTGTTACAAAGATTGATATCCTATAATACAACCCACTAACGCGGCAAGTAGGGCTAGGCGACTACTTACTTTATAAATTGGTTTACTACGTACTTCCCCAAGTCAGGCCATACCTTAGAAGCAAGCTAAAACCCTGTATCAAAATGTACAGGTGTGATGTCACTTTCACTACTTACTTTTCCGCTTTCCACGTTGTAATGCTCTTGACCAGAGTAGCCATTCTCCAGTGTGTTGGCGTTCGCACACATCGAGAATAGCCTCCTCTTACAGCGTCAATAAACACAACCTGCCTAGATCATATAATCACATTTATGAGGGCTTACAACGTCAATTGAGGGTGGTGAATTGGGTGATACTTTGGTTGTGCCGATTTATGACCGCCGTGTCTATTTATAAGGATACGCGGATACGTATAAACGAGGTAAGAAAATTGTATATATTCGATATCGTGTACCAAGCATGCCCCAGTATCTCAAGTTGTCATTTTCATGCAGACCTTGGCGTCCGAATCATGACCGTGACTTTTTCGACCCCAACCCCACCATGATCTGCGAGGTCCATGGTGAAGTCTTGGACGACTTGAAATCCATTCCGCTCATACAATGGTCTTGCTATCAGACTGCTCTCAAGATAGATGGGAATTTGTCTGCTATCCGCCTCGGCAATACCCCACTCTATGACTTTCTGCGCAGCACCTCGCCTTGAAAATCGCGGATCCGTCATGAGCATGTCCAAATCTAGTGAATTTCTGCATGAGCAATGTCCTTCTTGCTAACCATTTTGTTGGACCAGAGAAAACGAACGGTAAAAAGGTTGAGTGCCCATGAAATCTCGCAGATATTGAGAAAGGGCGTTTTGAAAGGTTCTCTTTGCTTGAGCTTCCCATCCTCCTGCAGCTTCTTGAGATGAATCAACACTTTGAGGATTGATGTCTGCTTCGTCTCGCCCAGTCGGATAAATTTTCCATTTCGCATAGGACATTATATCTCCCGTGAGTGGGTCAAAAACCTTTTGGAAATAGACATGAGGATCGTTTTTCAATAGCTCCAGGTTCTTGGATCGTGCCTCGTCTGCGGTTTCCGTTGAAGGTGCATACAAGATGCGAGCGGTAGTGGACGGAAACGCAGTGAGTTGTATCCGTACATAATCGGAGATTTCCGAGGCTTCTAGAGGTCCGATGGATAAGGACATGGAATCAATAATCGGTCGTGATGACGATATTCGGCAGGCTTCTGATATTGTGTCCTTCCTTTGGATAAATAGCGAGTAATAGGAAGAGAAGAAATAGAAATGTCTTGGTTCTCTTTGGATCCTTTATTTTGAAGTCTAGTCTACTCCGTACCCCGATTACTCCGAATGCTTCCCGAGATCTTCTTGCGGGGACACCTGCCCGTTTGGTGAAACGCGGGTCACAAGTAGTTATAACCAGGGAAACCACATGTTCGCCCTATCAAAATGAAGTCCGTGCGAATATGTCAGTTTCATTGATTACATAGTACACTGTTGTATAAGAATGAGTGTATGCCTTGCTAGTGGTCCCGTATAGAGCCCTGCAACAAATGAGCCGTCATCTAGATTGTCTACCTAGGTATGTACCCAGCAGAGGCATCGAAATGTACTTAGAAGTAGACGTGACCAGGTAATCTGGTCTGCCGACATCAAAGCCGCTACGAAGAATTCGCAGGCTAAAGTATAATCGGTGCACCTCACGAGGCTCACCCAGCCAAATATCAAAAGCTACACCAAATCCAGAGACAAGAATAGCCGTGCAAGCAGCACGCCCACCCGCATCCAGACCACGAGCAAATTGTACAGCAAGCCGGAGCAGAAGCGATTCCCAGAGAAAAATTCCGTCATTGAAATTGTTAAGAAAAAACCAGGATGAGGGAAATAACATAAATCCTCGTTTTTCAAGACACTCCATGCAACAACCCCAAATCCTCCCCTCGGAGCCAAGATCTGGTTTGATTCGCAACCCCGAGACACCGGACACGCAGGCCCGATGTCTATTCCTCCATTCACAAAAACATCAAAGACGCCATTTTTGAGCTCGTCTGAAACATTGCTCCACTGGACGCTACCGTAGTCGAGCCGGGTGCGTAGATGGATTTCGTGGATGCGAACGGTTCGAGAGGAGGGAGTCAGTTTTTTTGCTCGTTTAGCGGTACTGTAGGTTGAGAAACTTGTGGTTAGTGTTGTGTTTTTTGCAGTGTGCATGTGTGGTCGTAGTGGCTGGGCAGATTTGTCGATTGTCGATTGGATTTTCATGTCGGATAATGTGATTGTGTGGCATTCGAATGGGATCGGATAGGACTGCCGAGCGAGGAATTGAAACGAACCTTGGTGAAACCGATGTCGGTGGACTTCTCACGGAAGCACTGACGGCAGATGTTCATCTAAAACAATCCATATTAGCCACACAAGTCCATGTCACGTCACATATTGCAATACGCGATATGCTTGAGGGATCGGTTTCTCCTTACGCCGTACTTGCGGATCAGACCGGCGCGGTGGGAGCAGACACGGCTGAAGGCGCACAAATATTAGCAATTCCGTTCCTTCTATATCGATTTTCGATTCCATCCAGGCCTCCTCCAAGTTTCATTCTCGGTGTCGACTGGACCGTTCATCGGGGAATTGTAGTAGGGTAAACACACCATTCGCGGGAGCCCTTGCCGTACCTATCGAGCGAAGAGAAATTCCGGTTAGCTTGTCGCTCTTTTTCGAGATAGTGCCTGGTGTGTGCGTGGTGCGGTTTCGACTTACTTGCGGGGCCGGCTGTACCAAACGCTCTCGTGAGTCATCTTGAGGTTTTAAAGGCGGGACCTGGGAGTTGACGGGGTTGTTGACGGGACGAGGGTCGCTGGCGTTGGGCGTTAAGAACGGAGACAGGAGTTAGGGTTGGAATTTGCGTTGTGTGCTGCCCCAATGGGGAATAGGGCACGGGCCAACTCGCTTGAGTTGCGCTAGCTTTTTTGGTGGATCATGTGACCAATGGGCGATCACCACATCTTGGTGCCTCAGGCTGCCAGATCTTATACTTCAAGTATTTTCAAGGTTGATGCCTTTAGCTGACATTTCTCTTTGGGGTATGCTGTTAACAGACATTTTGACTTAAATCTAAAACTTTCTGGAGCTATAAAATAACAAAGACAACGTGGGCTACTCTTGTAAATCCAATATACTAGCCGTAGTGGCGGGAATTCATAACGTTATGTGCATAAAGCCACTAGTTCGTAATACAGCACGATCGACTGTAATTCTCTTTTGAATTCACTTACCCCGGAAATATCGAGATATTAGCAGCCATCATGTACAGCCAAAACAACTCACCTGCTCTTGAAATAAAGCCCTTCTGTCCCTTTCTCCATCCGTTCCTGAGGACCGGTGGCCATCTTCTTCCCCAAAGTCACGGGACAATTGGCCTAGACTAGATATGAGAATTGAGACAAAGCCAAGAAAGAGTGACACGTCAATTCGGTGATATATTTCGGGATAAGCAGGATAATCAGGATAATCTCGGGAAAGTGCATCGGGGGGTGCATATTGCCGTTTGTAACCATAGAGGGGTGCAGAAGAAGTTGGTGATTAATACCAAGAGACAAGAAGAAATAGTTAAAAAAAAGCCGTGCTCTTTTAACATATGCTCAGTCCAGAGAGAGCAGATACTGTAGAAAAGCAGGTCACCACCCTGATGGGGCACATTAGGGACGACAGCAACAGCGGCTGCAGTTACCCTTTTATCGTCCGTCAATACCCACTATAGAGGTAGCACATAAGCGGCTGTATGCTGATATAGAGCGGAATGATGTTTGCCCCTTAAGAATGGTGTACCTAGTGTTAAGACATATGCCTTGTTTGTTAGGCTTCCACTAGCTATTTAGCTAGCCTTAGTTCTTTGCAGAGAATACAGATTCCTTCTTCTCTCCTCTTCCCTTGTCACCTTGGAAGATCATATCTCCTGGGTAGGGCCTCATCACTTCTACATCTACCTCTCGTTCCGATATATTCTATATATATGTTTATTTTTCACCACATCCTCCCGGGGAAAAAGCGATCCCAGGAAGAAGAACCAGCGGTAGAGGATGCCAGCTCAAGAAAACATCAACGGCACGTCCAGTTTCAAGGTATCCGGCAACAGTTCCAGATCTACAGAGATCCGAACTATGTCAAGGTCCGAGGAAAGTGCTTAGTATGTTTCAACCGGCCAACTGGTCTTGATGAAGACCTCCAACCGAACCCTGACGGCATGCAATTTAGCCTTACTGTCCCAATTGCCGAAGCAAAACAAGACCCTGGTGGTCTGGTTGACTAGCCTGTTCAGGAGGGGATTCTGCAAATCCGTGGTGTTCGGAATCACGAACAGCAAGTATATGCTCGGTCAGTGCATTGGCCAGGTGCCTCGTGGTGGTGAGACATGATGTCGGTGCAAGAGCAGCTCTGGTGTCTTCTCATCGTGCCGGGTGGCAATATTCAAAAACAAAAAGATGGGCGACGTTGTGGTTGCAAGGGGATCATGCATGAACTGTTACTTCTTGAAGAAATCGAAAGCCCGAAACTGTTCATTCCGATGTGACCAGGTTGACTACCCTCTTGCCATATTCCAATTGTCTATTGGCGACTGGAAATGGGATCCTGCCAGTCCTCCTCAAGCTGCCACTTCCAGCCTTGATCTAGCACATGGCTGTCATCCTTCCGCTCCATCGCACCGTATTCTCATCGTTCTCATCAATTCGACGTCTACTAAAGGCCTCTCGGCGATGATCATCGATTTCTATCGAGTCCATGGCCAGGGCCCCTCGACTCGCCATCATGTTATCGTGCTCGTGCCTCCAAGGTCCTCTTAGTACCGCTGCGATGCGAACGCGCTCACACCTTCCAACGGCCTTTCGATTTCTTCATGAAGTCACAGTTCATGTATGAGCCTCTCGAAACCACGACACCGCCCACCTTTTTTATATTTGATTATTACCAACAGGCCCGATGAGAAGATACCACAGCTGCTCTTATACACACACTGACATCAAGCCTCATCCTCATTCAATCAAAACTCAACGCACTTTGCTCTCCTTGCTATCTCTCTGACATTGTCACCCTTCGGACACTACTGGCTCTGTTAAGCCATTCTTAAAACCTACCTACTCCGGCTTCATTGGAGACCGCAATGAACTCGAAAGCCACAAATTGGAACCGACGAATTTACTGTCAATGAGAGGGCTAAAGAGCTCTTGCTTTCCACTACGTTGATATTTTCAGTGCCTCGGGGTGGAATTGGATTGGGGCGGAGGGAACGAAGGGATTGGCTGAGGACGAGCCACTGGAAAGCTAGTCTTCAAGGTATTCGAACTGGTAGAAACTGCGGTTTCCCGCTTCACTTGTAATATTGAAAAAACTGCTCTAGAAGCTGGGGGAGGATATACAAATTGAAATGTGCTCCCATTCATCAAGATTAGCTGATATCCCGTGTATGTCCAAGTCTACAATAGTATAGCGATACTAGAATATGCGAAGGAATCAAGTGGCTATCGACGTATGAAACTGATTAATTGTATTGAAAGCCTATCTGTGGTCTGCGCACAAGAGATCTACTTCTTTGCCTTCTCAGCCCGGAGATAGCGGGCGCTGTAAAACAGGAGATAGGCATCCTGGCGGAGGACTTCCGCCACACCGGCGATGGTGACCTTGTTGTCATCCATCAGTACCCACTATAAAGGTAACTCATTAGCACGGACACAGACGGGACAAGGGTTATATAGTAGAACAAACCTTGTCGTGGTCAATACGGGTGTAGGCATAATAATGTCCAGAGTCCATTGTTCCTTGGTGGACGATGACGGTGGACAAGTCGTACATGTAATTCGACATGTCAACAGGAAGGTTGTCCTTTCTGACCGTATACGGCAGCATGTTCACAGACAAAGGGAAGTCGATATGACCATTCATTTTCTCGGATGAGTTCGAGGAGTGTTCATAACGCTATACGAAAGTCAGCACGCGCACATTTAAGGCAGTCAGAAACTCAAACAAACCTTCAGCTGCATGCAAAGCATAACAGGGAGTTTGCGGATCTGCAGGCGCTTCGAAGCCCGCTGGGGGGTGTTACCACACTTCTCACAGTGGTAAGCAGCATCGGCGTGGAGATCTTCAGCGGCAGTGAAGCTGTCCAGACAGCCGAGGAGGGTTCCAGTAGTAGAAGAAGTAGAGCGACCGAGCTTGCGCTTCTTGTGCTGAAGCTGGACATCAAGACTCAGATCGGCGATGGGGTCGTGGGTGTTTGTGGTTTGGCCGCATTTGTGGCACATGACGCTGCTGCGCAGTTCGCCGTAGAACATCTGGTGGAAGAAGCATTCGCATGTCTTATCGTAGCTGTCCACGTGTCCGGGAGTGGATGAGTGCAGTTCATTGACAAGGAATTGGAAGTATTCGTGGGCGTCTTGCTGGCGGTATCCACGCATCTCCTGTAAACTAGTTAGCCAGTTCTGTTGTGCAACTCGGACCTCGACGTACCTTGGATTTTTGCCAACCATGGTGAAGAAGTACGGCTGCAGAGACTGCGTCGTTTCTCTCGGCGCTGTTGAATTCCATGAAGACTTCAGCTGTAGCACAAGCGAGACACTCCTTGATCATGCATGTGTGGACGTCATGGCCACCTCCCAAGAAATAGGCAGTGAGGCTAGGGTCGTGCAGCAGGGCCTGCAAGATAGAAGCTTGATAGCACGTTTGACCCATGTTCCAAACACCACGAGCCCCGCGGATGGCGCATGGGTTTTTGTAAGCATTGTTCTTGACGTAGACCTCGGAGGCCGAGTCTTCGGCCCAAATGGATCGCCCATCTATCTGACATTAGTAGATGTCCACGAGTTGAATAATTTGGAATTGCCCGAGACTCACCAATGGCTTCAAACTTGCCAGAAGGGCCACGGAGTCTGTCCAGGGTGTGATCATAGATGAAATCGACACACTTCTCACAGAAGACAAAGCGGTTTCGGGACTCGATATCTACCACTGTGTAAGTATGGACAGCTTGATGAGTCAAAAATCATTGGCTTACAAAATGCATGGCCAGTCGCTGCAGTATGTTCTGCTCGCTTGGAACCCAGGCATACTTCTGCGCAACTCAAACAGTGATACTTCGGTTTGAGGGACTCCACAGTTCGGAGGCCAGTAGTTGGAACAGCAACCGTCTCGGTCTTTGAGAACGGAGCTAGCAATTTGTATTGCTTGCAGAATTCCTCTCTGAACTGGCCAGCAGTCTTCTCGTCTTTGGAGAGAATAGCCGCAAGATGTACTAGGGGGAGGTCAGCTGGGCACAGGTGAGTCACGGCCTTTCCCAATTCTTACCACATCCAAATGCTGCCTCAGAAAGAAGCTGGACAGAATCGAGGGATGCCATAGTGAGCGACATGAGTGTGGATGAGAAGAGAGAGTAAAAGAGATAGGGTGGAAGGGAGAAGGTTAGGGTTAATCAGAAGCACGATGCAAAGATATGTAGTAAAAACACGTTAATAGAAGTTCCAGACTTCTATCCACGTGGAGACAAGAAGAGAGGCTAAAAGAGGGTGTTCAAGGGAGAGAGAAAGGCCGGTTATAAAAAGACCAGGTACAGTCTCAAGGACTCCTCCTGAATAGGGCCAGCATTGCACTGTAGGGACAATAGATATCAACAATGTGATCAATCAGAGTATAATGGAACAATAAGACTCACGAAAGCAGGTGAATAGGGACAATAGTAGACGAACAGAGGGAAGCTATACAGTCCACAAAGGGTTGGAAATGACCTTATTCGACGTCACAACCGGAGATCAGATAATAGAACCCTATTCAACAGCAATGAATATAAATATAAAAGTATATTATCCAACGAATGGGGTTCAGGTTTCCCTGATGGTTTCAAAAGTAGTGGGGAGGTTGGTTTGCCATCGGGCGGTGGTTTTTCGCCTGATCCCGATTTACCGATTTACCGCCGGATAAGAGATCGGACATTTCAATGGCAGAAGGCAGAAGAGGCCTTTGTTTTTTTTTAGGATGGGAAGTATTTATTTACTATTTATGTATATAGGGTTGATCTTAATGTCGTACAACCTCTGGGTGACATATAATTTCATTAAATGGTCATTTCTAAGGAATCGTAATGAAAGGCAGATGCGCTAGCCCATTGCAGGTGAAAGCTACAGGTAAAGGTCCAGCTCTTGGATGCCAATAGTCAAACATGTAGTATGAACTGATTGTCCATAATCAGGCCATTCTAAGCGCTCAGACATACAGCTCTTTACCGAGTCCCAGTCCCTCTGCCCCGAGGGAGTGCGCTGGGACGAGCGCCGCGCGCAGTGCCTCGTGTAGTATACCGGCTGCTTGCTGCACCACGAGCAGTGCCACGCGACGATGCTCGTGAGCCCGCAGCATACTTGGACGTCGGTCTAGAGGAGGTGGTGGTGCTCGGGGGATTCTCGACAAAGGTCGTGTCCGTAGTCCTGTAGCGTAAACCTATTAGCTCAAGTGTCCTCCTGTAGCGGATTTGTCATATCGCTCTCTAGACTCACATAAAGGTCATCTCGCCGTCATCAATTGGTCGTGTTGGTTCTGATTCCGCCTCTGGATGGCTGTTAGCAACCCCGATTTTGATTCACCGCACCTGGGTAGGTCCCACAGAGAGCCCTTGCAATACCTTTTTCTTCTTCGTCCTGCTTGGCCTTTTTGAACGAGTCTGGAATCGGAGCCTGTTTCGAACGAATCAGCAACTCTGTCGCGCACTGTCACCACTGCCACGACTGTCGGCGACGCGTTTGCGACCATACCTCTGGGAAATCCACACAGAATGCATTCATATTCAATCCGTAGAGGAAACTGGCAAAACTCTCACTGAAGCGCGTCAGGCTCTCGTGCATCAGCTGCAAGTGCATGAAGTTGGCCTCGAGATCTGCCATCGAATCGGCCAGCTCGGCGAACTGCGGCTCCAAGGCATTGATGGCGGGTTGTGTGTATCCTGCATTTCCAATGCTATTTCCATATCCGTGGGCCTCCCGTAATGAAGAGCGCGAGTTGGGGCGTAGAGGGGTTGTGGGCCTGGATGAGGGTCTCGGGCGCGAGGATGATCGCGGTGCGTCCATGTCTGTGGTGTGTCTGAGAATGCGATCGGCAGTAGTGTCAATGAGAGATAATGTGCGAAGGATAATAGGCGTAGTTGCTGTTAGACAGTGGGTAAGTGGGTTATTGTCAGAGTGATGTTGAGTGGGTTGCGTTTGGGATTGTTGATCTCCCCGGAAATCTCGCACGCGACACTTCTATACTTGCAATTTTGAGATGAGAACTGGATTGTACAAAATATATATTAGACGGACTCGATGTAAATAGAAATTAATACCTCGAATTAATTTATCATCCTACACTATATACCTATAGTAGGGGATGATCTTCCCCGCATCGTCATATCCTTGATTCCGCTCTCACATTTTCTTCCCTCCTCTCTCCCAGGGCTAAGACCTAGTGCTCACTCATATCACCATATCACATCAATTATACTGCTTATGCGTGGTACAATCTTACGCCGTCTATATCCTTCGGCCAAGTTCCCTATCGCCCGGTATTCAGTCGCGCGACCATTCTCCACATACCCAGAACCAAAGAAGGCTTCATCTTTTTGGACCCTTACATTTACTCTCGCTGTCGTTGGAGGAGGCGCTTGGCTCCAGGATAGATACTTCAATCCCAAAGACACAATCCCTTCGCAGCCCCAGCTCCCTCAAAAACCCTTCCTCGGAATAATCGATACCCTCGCGACGATGCCCGCCGAACCCGCCCCCGGAACAGTCGGGAACCTCACCCCAGAGCAAGAAGTCAAACTGAAGGAATTCTGGGTCCTGACACTCAAAGTCTTCGGCCTCACACTCGAAGAACTCGAAGCGCCCCCATCCACCGCCACCACCGATGCCTCAACACCCGCCCCAGCCCAGGATAAGAAGAAGTCCAAGAGCCGATGGGGACTTTTTGGCCGCGCGGACGAAGACGACACGAAAAGCGATTCCAACAGTAGCCCCTCTCCCAGCATATCTTCAATCAGTATCGCCGATGGCGACGACAAGTACGGCCAGTCCAAGGAGTTCAAACAGGCGCTGGAGGACATGAAGCCCGAGGAGATCCGGACAGCATTCTGGAGCATGGTCAAGGGCGACAACCCGGACTCGCTGCTGCTGCGGTTCCTGCGGGCGCGCAAGTGGGACACCAAGAAGGCGCTTGTTATGTTGATTTCCACGATGCGCTGGCGACTGCTGGAAATGCATGTCGACGACGATATCATGTTCAACGGCGAGGCATCGGCTGTGAAGATGTCACAGGGGCTCTGATCCCAAGGAGAAGAAGAAGGGTGATGACTTCCTCACGCAGATGCGTCTAGGTAAGAGTTTCCTGCACGGTGTTGATCGCGCTGGTCGGCCCATCTGTGTTGTCCGTGTGCGCTTGCATAAGGCTGGTGATCAGGATAATGAAGGGTTGGAGCGGTTTACTGTTTATACCATCGAGACTGCGCGTCTGTTGCTTGCGCCGCCGATTGAGACTGCGGTAAGTATTCCGGTGTGAGGATTGTGTCTCGGTAGCTGACTCTTACAGACTATTATCTTTGATATGACGGACTTCGGTATGGCCAACATGGTAAGTTTCTCATCTTAACATGGTCCACGCTATATACTGATATCTCCCAGGACTACGCCCCCGTGAAATTCATGATCAAGTGCTTCGAAGCCAACTACCCCGAGTCTCTCGGAGCAGTGCTCATCCACAAGGCTCCTTGGTTATTCTCAAGTTCGTATCCCAGCATCCCCTATAAAGCACCCCTTTCTAACCCCAACCCAGGCATCTGGAGCGTGATCAAGGGCTGGCTCGACCCAGTCGTCGCAGCGAAGATTCACTTCACGAAGAACCGCCAGGATCTCGAAAACTTCATCCACCCAAGCCAGATCATGAAAGAGCTCGAAGGCGACGAAGACTGGGAATACAAATACGTCGAGGTGCCGGAGAATGAGAATCCCAAGATGGCCGACAAGGAAACGCGGGAGACCCTGATGGCCGAGCGCCAAAAGCTCGCCAAGGAGATCCAGGATACCACCGTTGAGTGGATCCGCGCCAGCTTCAAGAAGGAGACTGACGCTGCCTCTGCGGCCGAGGAGAAGCGGAACAAATTGATCGAGCAGCTGCGTACGCAATACTGGGTTCTTGACCCCTATGTACGGGCTCGCTCGCTCTACGACAGACTTAATGTCGTTCAGGGCGGTGGGAAGATTAACTTCTATCCTGATTCGGAGAAGAAGGCAGAGAGCACATCGGCATAAGCTGCGCGGAGTACATTAGTTGGGTGGTGTGTTAGATGTTGATTTCCATCTTACCTGAGATATTCCGAGTCTTGATTTTGCATGTTTGTAGCATACAGACTTGGTTCTTATTAACTAGAGGATATACGAACATTTTGATATACATTCAACGGAGCAGAGTCCTGGGAGTAGATCCAACTTGCCTTCCTACTTCAGTATTTCTAGTAACCCATCTACCCAAACTAGCAGCATAGTCCTTCCTTCTACAGAATAACGTGAAATGTTTACAGCTGTTCTCATGAGGCAAATAGAAACAGCTCGCTTTTCATTATCGAGTGCGTTGTCGCCTAAGCCAAAGCTATTTACATCTTCGATTTGATCTCCTCGTGAAGAGCCTTGAGCTTGGCCATATCCGTCTCCTGGGAAGGCCAACCAATGGTCAGACCCTCCTTCTCGTTGGGCTTGGGGATCTATTGTCTTGTTAGTGTATGTTCCAAAGGCGATTTCACGCGTAAGACCAAATATCCAAAAGATAGTAGAGCATACCATGTGGAAGTGGACCTATTAGAAAGGACTGGTTAGCACCCTAACACATATTAGAGATCCTCAACTGAAACTCACATGGTCAACGACCTGGTGCGCAATGCGTCCATTGTTCTGCAGGACATTGAAATCCTCGGCGCCGCTGGCCTTGGCAATCTTCTTCGCGACGGGCTGTCGGCGTACATCTCGGTTAGCTATGTCCCTGTTCGCCAATCCAATTCCGGGTCTGGAAGGGACCTTGCGGAAGTGCTCCCAAGGTCCCCAAGGCAATGTAATCGAATTCAATCAGAAATCGAAGACATTGACGCTCCTCTTCACCCTCTTCATTGTCCTGGGTTCTTCTCTCGTCAACTTACCAGGATCTCAACCAGGTCCTCGTCGGGGATATCGGTCAACTTTGCGCCGTGGAACTTGGGGATGACAAGCTGTGCATATTGTCAGTTTGGTATTCTTTCTTTTTCTTAATCATCGGTCTTCGATTGCTGAAGCTATCACCGTATTTCCGGCTCGCTGGTGGCCCGCCACGACGAATACGCCGGATGCGGGGAAGAGGAATCGGATGGAATAATACGCACCGCATGGCCACGGCTCAGCGGCTGGATATCGAGGAAAGCGAAGACCTTGTCGCTCTCGAAGATCTTCAATGAAGGGATATCTCCTGTATAGCCGAAAGAAGCATGTCAGGCAATCCGTATTTTGCTATGACGTGTCGACTTGGACAATGCGATAGAGAGCGTAGATATAGTCATGTAGACAATTGACATACCCTTGATGATCTTGCAGAAGATACAGGCAGCAGACGACATTTTGTAAAGCGTTAAATAAAAGCGTTAAATATGTTGTAGGCCTTGATAAATGATCTGAAGAGAAGCTCCAACGTTCGTATCCAAATCCAAATAATAACAATATGCGGGGTCGGAAGGAAAACAAATCGCGGGCGAGGTTCGAACTCCGACCCTCCAAGTGCAGCCGAACAGCCAAAATTAGCAGGGGAGGATATTATAAAGTAATTAGGAGAAACATACCTGAGGAGTGGGACAAATTAGTGCAGAACCCATTTCTTGCCTTTTACCAGAGATGGCCGTGATTTGCCCACAAAACTCCTCTCATAAATCTTTGGAAACACAATGACACAGCGGTCATTTATTTTTATTTTTGCTTTGATAATTAATCAATTACAGTGCCAACTTCGTACAATTATAGATTTGCAAATTTTTAGGAAATTGGTGTGCGTAGTAGGTAGATTTATGTACGTAGTTTTGGTGGATGTATATATAGTCTGAGGTTGTATGGCTCTCAAGACACTGATACTCCCAGACTTGGACATTGAGATATTAAATGATTCTTATATTTACTTGGTATCCCTATATCAGAGAGACATGCCACTGGAACCCTGTCCAAGAGAGAATAAATGGCTTTAATAGTATTCTCATTCCCCATGGCACTATTAGTCTGTGAGTGACTATATCGTTGCTGTGCAGTTATTATAGCTTCTGTTATTGTCCTTATCTGGGATGATAGATATAACAGCTATTCCCATGGTTTCAACATGCTATGCCCTTGTTTGGTCGTCCATGCAACGGGTCTTTAAAAGTAAAGCTGGTTGGCGAGACATATACATCCTAGAACAGCCCTGGTATAAATGGTACTGATGAATAAGAATGACGAATTATAGACTTAGCAGCAAGAGCCGATTCACTAGTCATGAATTAATTGCACGTAGAAGGATATAAAACAGTGATACTTGATAGACATGAATAAAGCCCGGGGAACATCCAATCACAGTCCAGGTGTTGTCAGATCAAACCTGGGATTTTCTCCTACAGAGGTTGTAGATATACTAAACCATAGATTTTGGTTAATACACCAACTTCAAATCGAATTAACAATCAGAATCCACTATGTTAGCCAAATCCAAGCAACTAAAAGAAAGAAAGACGAGAAAGTGATTCGTTAAAGTGGTGGTCCGTACTCCCGAATCAGGACTAGCGCAATAGTCCCGTGCGGTTCTTCCGACTTGACGCTGCGAAAGACCCTCGCACATCACCACGCCCTTCTTGGCAACACTCCGCTCCAATTAGCTGGTCTCGAGAGATATACCCAGCCAGAGACCATGCAGAAGTCTCGCACTATCAACACTGCCCTGGGGGCCCGGCCCTTTGTGCCAGTCCCGCGGGTTCAGCTTCAATTCCAGCGCAACCTTCAGGATGTCCGCATCACCCGGACTGGCAAGCCAGTCTTGAAGGTCCAAGGTGGCCGGTAAGTGATCAATTGTGCTGTGGTTAGGTTTCCTGTTCTTGCTTGCTGACGTGCTCTTCCTATAGTTCTTCCATTGGAGGTAGCTAAGCCTTTCCATTTTGATGCTACGCTTCGGTCCCGATATGCTCACACAATTTCAGGTCACACCGCGACGGTCTTTGGTGCCACTGGTTTCCTCGGTCGCTACATTGTCAACAAGCTTGGTAGGTTGAGGGTCTGCTGTACTGCAATTGGATCATGCACTAATGGCCCGCAGCTCGCCAGGGATGTACCGTTGTCGTTCCCTACCGTGAGGAGATGGCAAAGAGACACTTGAAGGTCACTGGTGATCTTGGACGAGTTGTGTTCATGGTATGGAGCCTTACTACCGTATATTTGGTTTGAATTGGAGGGTGTCTGACCCCAGTTTAGGAATACGACCTGCGCAACACCCAGTCCATTGAGGAGAGCGTTCGTCACTCCGATGTTGTCTATAACCTTGTCGGTCGCCAATACCCCACCAAGTGAGTGATAGTGTGTGGTATACATGAATAAGTGGTTTCTGACGACCCCAGGAACTTCTCCTACGAGGACGTCCACGTCGACGGTGTCGAGCGTATTGCCGATGCTGTTGCCAAGTATGATGTCGACCGCTTCATCCACGTCTCTTCCTACAACGCTCGCCGTGACTCGCCTTCCGAGTACTTTGCCACCAAGGTCAGCATATCTACCGGAACTATACAGGAATGAGAGTGCTGATGACATATAGGCATGGGGTGAGGAGATCGTCCGCAAGATCTACCCCGAGACCACAATCGTGCGACCTGCACCAATGTTCGGTTTCGAGGACAACCTGCTCCACAAGCTGGCCAAGATGGGCAATGTTTTCACCTCCAACCACATGCAGGAGCGCTACTGGCCTGTTCACGTAAGTTATTCTCCCGGGGTGGACAAGAAGCTGCATTGAACTAACCCTGTCTAGGCCATCGACGTCGGTTCCGCTCTGGAGCGTATGCTGCACGATGACAGCACCGCCGGCCAAACCTTCGAGTTGTACGGCCCCAAGAACTACTCCACCGCCGAGATCGCCGAGTTGGTCGACCGTGAAATCATCAAGAAGCGTCGTCACATCAACGTCCCCAAGGCCGTCCTCAAGCCCTTCGCCCACTACATCAACAAGCTTCTGTGGTGGCACACTCTGTCCGCTGACGAGGTGGAGCGCGAGTTCCTCGACCAGGTGATCGACCCGACAGCCAAGACCTTCAAGGACCTCGGCATGGAGGAGACCGCCGATCTGGCCAACCTCACCTTCCACTACCTGCAGGGCTACCGAAGTGCCTCTTACTACGACCTGCCTCCCTCCACGGAGCGCGAGCGCCAGGAGGACAAGCGGTACCTGCACGTGCTGGACGATCAGTAGTTTGTGTTTTTAATGTGTAAATAAGCCTTCCTAGACCAAAGTCGATTTCCTTTGTTGGATGAACGGTGCACGAACATAGTACATATACAGTAGACCAGTAGAGAAGCCCATAAACTACATTTCGGCTTTTATAAAACCCCTTGCATTCCTAGAAATGTCCAATATCAAAAACTCAATTCCCCAGAGCTCCCCGCACTCGATAATATCATATCAATCCCACCTCCAACCCTTACCTACATTCACCTCCACCTCCACCTCTACACCCCAGACCAACCTCCCACAATGCCTCCAACACCCATCCTCCTCCTAAAAACACAATCCTCTCCCCACGATGGCTACGAAGACTTCTTCGCAGCACAAAACTACACCCCCACCTTCATCCCAGTGCTAGAACACCGCTTCCTCAAAAACAACCTCACCCAAGTCCGCGACCTATTCAACAGCGGCGCATTCAACACCAATGCCTCAACGCCCAGAAAATACGGCGGTCTAATCTTCACCAGCCAGCGCGCAGTGGAGGGTTTCGCGCAGATGATCGAAGATGAAAAAGATGGTACATATACAACCAACCTGAACCCTTTTGAAACCCCAACTAACGCAACCCATTGGGCAATCTAGTAACCTTCAACACCCAAACCTCCCCACCCCTACTCCTCTACACTGTCGGCCCAGCCACAGCGCGCACCCTCACAACCCTCCGCGACAAACACCTCCCAGACGCCCTCATCCACGGCGCAGACACAGGAACCGGTGAGAACCTCGCACATCTCATCCTCTCGCACTATGATTCCCTGTACCCAACACAGAAACCAGCGCTCCTGTTTCTTGTTGGCGAAGTGCGGAGGGATATCATCCCGAAAACACTAATGGATAAAGCCTTACCGGTCGAGAAGCGGGTTGGCGTTGAGGAGCTTGTTGTGTACGAGACGGGCGTTATGGGGTCCTTTGAGGGGGATTTTGCGGATGTGGTAGGTAGAGAAGATGGGGATGTTTGGGTGGTTGTTTTCTCGCCGACGGGGTGTGAGGCTATGTTGAGGGTTCTTGGGTTGGGGCCTTTTGCTGGTTCTGGTTCTGGTTCTGGTTCTGGGGCTGGGGCTGGGACAAGGCGGGTCTTTGTTGCTACTATCGGACCTACGACGCGGGATCATCTGCGTGAGAAGTTTGGGTTTGAGGCACATGTTTGTGCGCCGAAGCCTAGTCCTGAGGGTGTGCTTGAGGGGATTGAGAAGTTTATGGGTGGGGTTTGAGCGGTCGATATAAATGGATGGGTGGGTGTATATAACTAGACGTAGAACTGGAACTATATGTATATAAAATTAGGATTAGGAGCTAGCAAGGTACAGTGCAGATGGTATTACGGCGCAAGTCAGCTGTTTTACTTGAACACTCATAATCACATTTCGAGTTGCCTTGCTATCTCTAACATGTATCAAATCACGCTGTCAAGTCAAAGTGCGTGCAGAATAGAATCCAACATCCTCCTAGCCAACCTAATATCATTTGAAAATAGTGAAGTCAGATTTACCGCATGATTTCCTCGTAGATCAAGACTGGGAGAAGTTAGTAAATATACAAAAAGACAAGACCAGAACCAGATGCAAAAGGTAAACTCACGCTTCAGCTGCTCCTTACTCAGAGCATCCTTGTTCTTGTCGAAATCGAAGAATCCATCGGGAATGGGCGGTGCAGTGGGCTCATCTTCGGGATCATGGTACGGCTCGAGGTAGGGGTGTTTCAAGGCTTCCTCGACGGTGATACGCTTAGCCGGGTTGAAAGCGAGCAGCTTCTCGAGCAGATCCAGAGCGGTGTCGTTGCTCTTGGGGAAGAGTGCGCGGAAGGGAATCTTCTTCTTAAAGGGGAGGGAGCGGATGTATTCACGGGCACGGCGGGATTTGATGCCGTAGTAATCTTCCATCGTGGGTGTGCCGAGGACGTCCAGGATGAGGGTCAGCTGGTGGTGATCTAGGAGTGTATGTTAGTCATTGTTGTTGCTGTTTGAAGGTAGAAGTGGAACCGTACAATCCTTGCCAGGGAAGAGAGGCTTTCCGCTCAGCATCTCAGCCAATATGCAGCCGACACTCCACACATCAATAGCCTTGGTGTATTCCTTGAATGTCAACATGATCTCCGGTGCACGGTACCAACGTGTGGCCACATATTCTGTCATGAATCCGGAGTTGTCGTCGGTGGAGGCGGCTGAACGAGCCAGACCGAAGTCGCAGACTTTCAGATCGCAGTTGGCATTGAGCAGAAGATTCGAGGGCTTCAAGTCTCGGTGGAGGACGTTGGCTGAGTGCATTGCCTTGAGCGCACGCAGGGTCTGGTAGATAAAGTATTGGCAGTGGTCGTCTGAGAGGTCTTGTGTGCGGATAACCCGATGCATGTCTGTTTCCATCAGCTCCTGCATGCTGTTAGTAAACCGGGCATATCCCATACATGCGCATCTTGTCTGATGGCGAGCTTCGACCTACTTGGATCAGATAAACTTCATTGAATCCCTCGTAGTTACGGGGCCTTTGAATATCCAGAATGGAGATAATGTTTTCGTGGTTAAAGTATCGCAGCAACTTCATCTCACGCAGTGTACGCAGGCAGAACATGGAATGGTCGAATGGCGTGATCTTCTTGATGGCAACCTTCTGGCCGGAGGGCTTATGAATGGCAGAGCTGTATGGGGTTAGAGGAGCCTTGACAAAACGTCTCGTACTACGTACCAGACGACACCATAGGCGCCTTCGCCGATAACATCTTGGATCTCATATTGGTCGGAAACATTGAAGGAGATCTTCCGGGATCCTCCCGCGGGAGGGTTTGGCTGACCCATATCGATAACGGTTTCTTTGATAGACTCAGCTTTTGGATGATTGTCAGCTTTCAAAATCCGTGGGATCCAGTGGAAAAAAGGCCGAACGCAGTCCATGGGAAATCAAACGGGTACCGGGGATTGAAAACAGTAAACAGTAAACAGTAAATGGAGAATCGCGCAAAATTTGGCGATTCAGAGTCCAGAAAACGCAAGACAGTAGTGCCAGAGGGTCAATCGCTCAAAAGGCTCCAGCAACTCAACCGCAAGTACCAGCGCGGGGGAACAAACGCAACGACAATGCACGGAAACCGGGAATTAAAGCTTACTTTCGTTTGCGCTGTAATCGAATTGGTTTTTCGGAACGATGCTCAACCTATCAACTGGATTGGGTTTCGAAGGTCGGCGAGATCTCAGGGAATGAAAGGCGAGGTGTAGAAAAGGTAGAGAGGGACCTGGTCGAACGAAGCTCTAGGTGGGGAAGAAGATGTGACAGGTACGGCGTCTAGACCCAAGAGACCGGGGTGGGATGCGAAGATCACAGGCTTAGGTGCCAGGACGGAAACACGGTATCAAGTTCAGAGCCTAAGAACGTGGCATGTTAGTGGAATTGACGGTGATGATGCTGGGGCGCATGGAGAGCATGAGCCAAGCCACGCTCCGAAGCGGGGTCAAGCTCTGATGCGGGATCACAACGGGCCGGGGCTGGATTGGGACTCACCTTGTCTCGCCTTTTCTTTACCAAAGCAAGGAAAAACAGAGAAGAAAGGAGAGGAGGATGAGAAGAGGTGAACCTGGAGAAACAGCGGGCCGTAGGGGACGGTGGTGGGGCAGAGAGCTTTGAAGCGGCTCCGGCAATTTGGTGGGTGAAACAAAGTGGTTCAAATTCAGAAATTCACGGAAATTGGCGTCAATTAAGGAAGAAAAACGGGGGAGAGACTAGGAGTGATCTACCTAGAGAAGTGTAGAGAGAGGAAGTACGGAGTAGAGAGAGGCATACGGAGTAGTGGTCTGTTACTGTTTTCCTTTCCCCCCCCCCCTGTTCTGCTTTCTCTGGTTTGATGGACGTGGAACCTTGGATCACTGCGACAGTATCTCCACAATTACATTACCGGTACCTGGTCCAGACTGGAGACACCCATATATTACAAAGTAGTCTGGAAGTACACTCATACAACCAGAGCGATCTAGGGATCTCCGCCACAGCGCCAAAGTCTCTCACATGTCGCGCTCTATGGACGGCGCTACTGCACCTGGCGAAACTTGTCACAATCAACGTTCCCGCTCAACCGCATAGGAGGTGTTGGTTTCATCGTGATTGGAGAACCCACCACTACTAGTTTCACTAGTCACAGGGGGTATCCTCTTAATTGGGTCTGAGACGGCGACTAAATCTCACGCAAAACAAGTGTAAGTCATACCTATATATGGAGGTCTAGGTACGGAATACGGAGTGCGGGATTGTAGGCCGTGCGATTTTCCCAGGCCGCTTTATGAGGGTCCTCAGGTTACTCACTTGTTCCAGGCTTACGCTTAATCATAATGAAGAGGCGCTGAAACGTTCAAAATAGAAACTATATGGACTGATTTAATGGCCTAGCAGTCTCTAGCAGTACTCAAATGCTTGTCTCTGTTTATATATACATGTAGACTATCACCGATCTTCAATATTCCCCTCAGTTTCCTGTTAAAGTTGTTGGATTTATAACAGTAGAACCAAAGGGCTTACCTATTGCCATTCTTCATTTGAGTAGGAGGTAGGAAAATAAAGTAACTTGCAATAAAAGACAAAAGGCGACGTCACACTGATCCTAATCAAACCTAAATAGTTGATTCTCCTGAGACAGATCGGACAGCTCAGCTCGTCCGATTAAACACGTATAGTTTATGCTACATATGACGGTAGATCCACCGTCGCTTGCTCCAGCATCTCAAAATCAGTGAATGAAATATTGCATCGGAGATGTCGCTTTAGTAGTTCGTGGGTGACGAAGCGCTCCGGGATATTCCCCTGCGCATCTAGGAAAGAGACACGAGGATTGGTATTGCTGATTCTCTGTAGCTCGTTCGCAAGATGATGGTGGCGTGGACACCTATCTGCACCCATCAGGAAGATCGTGGCATGAACCCAAGATAGGCTAAGAAGATCGAGGTGGAATTCTTTCATGTCTGTTGCTTCGCCGTCGAGTACGATAAGCAGTCTCAGTATGGGTGTTTGTGGACCAGCCTGCCACCCGTACATAGGGTGATAGATTGCTGTTCCGGAGTGCTTTTGGAAGTGGAGCTCCTTGGCTCTTTCCCAGCCTAACATCAGTCGAGTTTCTCCCCCGAATCTAATGTTTGACCATGTCTGTTCGAAATTTTGGTGGCTGATGTGGCCTATGTAGCGGGCCTGATCGGCGAATATGACCAGTTGATAGCCTCGGGTATTGTGGTCGTGATTGATCATTGCTTGGGAAAAGCGACGTATGATGGCCTTGGCGATATCTATTTCCTGGAGTTAGTATCTGATATAGATTAGTCGGAGGGCAATATGGTTACCTTTGCTCTTTGGCTGCTTGGAGGTGGTATAACCTGTAATGAAATGCTCATTATAATTCGGCTGGAGCGGTGGGGAATTCATAGACCCAGAGACCTCTAGGAGAATCATACTTTCGTCCGAAGGAGCTGCCGGCTCCCCAAAGGGCCTGAAAGGGGACATGGTCTGCTTCGAGTAAGTCTCGGAAATGGATTGAACATTGCAGATATCGTCGCGTGAGAAGTATTCCGTAGGTGTTCCAATCGCGGATTCCATTCTAGATCGAGCCATGCTCATCGCAGAGATAACATCGGGCTTCGTCTTATTTCCAACAATGCCATCTGTGTTATTCATAACCCAGTATAGACGTTCCTCGGCGAGATCTTTATATCCTCTCCAGCCCGGTGTGACCCCTCTCCACCCACCAACTGCATCAATAGTCAATCTGAGAGGGCTAGTCGTGGATTTTGCCCAAGCCGCTGGAATAGGCTCAAAATATCCTGCTCGGAGGAGATGGAGATACTGAATTGGGTGCCGGGCTCGAAGGTCGGCAATCTTTTGACTTATTCTGACTGCTTCTTGGTAGGCTGCCACGAGCTGTCGCCATTCTTGATTTGGCCATCTGCCTTGCTCCTCTTCTAGGATGGCCATGCGTAGCTCCCTAGTGTGAGTAGCTGCCCTCTCTGCCTTCTCCTCTGGCGTCTTCTTCGATAACATCTGTTTCAAACTACCAAATGCCGATGGCTTGGAGCCTTCTGCGAGAGGACCTGGGGGATTATTTTGATGAGTGAGCCCTTGTGCAGCTGCTTGCTGGGTATGAGACGAAGCTGTGGCGTCAGCCTCATTTGGTACAGAGGCCTCTAGTTCTTCGGTATCCCATATGGTAGATGTTGGCTCTTTTGAATCAATGGCAGCCTGTGCCGCAGCATTGATAGTTGCATTCAGTCGTACGATCCTTTGAAGATACTGGTTATAGCCGGACGGAGTAGGCTTCGCCGTATTGTAACTCCCGGGGGTTGTGACAGGAAAAGGCGAGGGCACACGGCTATATGGATTTTTCATGATGAGTGCCAATGAACGAGTGTCATGGTAGGCTGATTCACCTGCTCGGACGAGAAAGAGAGAGTTAGACTGCAACACAATTGATATCGTCAAATTCGCAGAACTGACCTGGATAGATGACTGCTTTGGACCACATTTCCTGAACAGGAAGCCGGGCAGACTTTCTGTCTTTGTATTTGTGGACGTCGCAGTCACAGTTAAGATATTGCGTGGTATGCTCTGGCTCAATATCAGAGTTGAAAATGTGACAGGCCCGCTGAATGCCTTGTAGGGCGGCCTTCATATCTTGCTATCAGAGCAGAAAGACGTTAACAATTTATCAAGTCGGATGGATTCCATATCGTACTTCATCTTTAGAGCGGATTTCGGCAGCTTCAATGAATGTATTGATGTAATGATATGCAACCCCGCTTGTTGCTGAGCGTGCATACGGTGGGGGGCAGTTATGCATATCAGCCCCAGCATCCATAGTAGGCAAACTTGGAGCTGTAGCCTCATTTTGGATCCCATAATACCGACCGATAGCATCGTCAATGCTTTCCGCTCCCTTGAATAGAGGTATTAGTATAGTTTGAAAGAGAAATGAACAATGGCTTCCAATGTTACCTCTAAAAACCTGAGGGCGGTCCCTTCATTGGCCTCTGGAGCGATGGCAATGAACTTTGCTATATCATCTCTCGAGGGTAACATGGCGGAGAGGAATACATATATTACTCTGAGGAGATGAAGAGTAGAACAGTAGGGAGCAGTTAAGTGTCAAATGTCGGGTCACCGGACAGAGAAAAGGCACTAGAAAGTGCAGGGAGATAGATGGCCCCTGTTCTCGTTACTACTTTGGTACATAGTGCACTAGACGACTACTACCCAAAGTACCACTAGACCTGAATGGGGAACGCTATCTTTTCAAAAATTAGATTATTTGATTTGATTGAGATCCGAGACAACGGGTAGCCCTGGAATCAGCATGCCAACCTCGCAGTTCTATTGTCTATTCCCTTGTATGATAGATGGATTCTGTTTATACCCTCCTATGCCGCATTCTTAGCTTGTCTTTTACTATTGAAGGCATTGCCTTTTTTTCAAGATGCAACATTATGTTTCTTTTCATTGCGTAAAAACCATCTTAAGCCTTGCCATTTCCCATGTGTGGGGAATATCATGGAACTATAAAATAAAGTGGGAAAATGATACCGTTAATTCTTCATAGATGCGATCAGCGTCTATCGCCTGTCAACTATAACCCAGCGATCTACTAGTACTAGATAATCCAAACATGCCCGCCGTGATAGAAACCCAAACGCAATCTTCCCCAACGTAATGGTACAGGCGGGAGGACTCGCGAAAACACGAATTTCATGGTCCAGACCAACCGGGCAGCTCCTCATTACTGCACGACCTGAGCGCAAATAGTCAGTGCTGACCGGTACTATGGCCAGAGCAGAGGGCTCAAACCTTCTCTTGCAAGGAACCCATCCATTGATCCAAGCTGACACTTTGGTCGGCACGGTCCTCAACCAGCATTGTCTGAGCCCAGAGACGCAGACCGGGTTCGCCGTCTTCGCGAACAACGTACAGGTGAGGCACGATCATGCTGCCCACACCCTTGGCCCGGTGGTCCCGGCTCTTCTCAACCACGGCCCGCACACGCTGGTTGAACTCGTTCTCGACGTCGGGGAGGGTTTGCTTGCCCACCCGCAACTGCGACTTGTCAGGGACGCCGAAGACATCCTCGATAAGCTGTGAAACAGCATCGCGGCCAACCCAGAGGAACTGGGTCTGGCCATCATCGATGAGGTACAGACCGTAGGGCACGAGGCGGCCCGAAGACAAGTTGACAGCAGGGGGCAGGAGGATTTCACCGGTCTGTGGATCAGGCACACCCGCATTGTCGGGCATGTCGTGGAGTGAGTACATTCTCGGGTAGACATATTGGATGAGGAGGGGCAGGGGCAGGGTCGACAGAAGGCAGAGAGCTGCGGACCGCATGTCCGTGGGGATCTGGGCGGATTTGCGAAGACCAAGCTAAAAAGAAAAAAATCGATTAGTATGGAACAGCTATCACAAGCGAAATAGAGAAAACTCACGTTCTTGATCATTGCAAGGAACAGGACAGGCAAGGCCCTCAAGTTGGCTGGGAACTGGAGGCCACCACCGCTAACGCTACCACCCGCAAGCTCCTTGCGGTAGGTTTGCAGAAGCTCCACAATCTTGGCCTGAAGAGCCTCACGAGCGGGCTCGAGGCCGCTGCTCAATGTGCGCTCGACGGCCTTGTGGCTGAAGAATGTGGCAATGGCCTGCTGGTCAGCCGAGGCGTAGATGTCTGCCAGGTTCTGGGTCGTTGGAAGGGCCAGGGTCAAGACACGAATACGACGTTCACCGTTGCAGGTAGTGTGAAGGACAGCCGCCTGCATGCAGACGACCGGCTTTGTAACCGTCTCATCAATGGCCACCTCGACCACGTAGGCCTGGTCACGAGGGAAGGCCGGGAAAGCGCAGAGATCGGAACTACGGTTGAAGAAGTTGCCGTAGAAGGTGCTCATACGCAGACCGGTGGTTGCGCGCACGCGGAGAACGGCCTCCAGACCAATCTCTGAAGAGAGGTAGTCAGAGAACTCACGGGCGAACTTCATGGCATCTTCAGTCCGTGCAGCGTTCCAGCCAGGGTAGAAGTAGGTTTGACCACCAGTGTAGCGGGGCAAGCAGCTCAAAGATGCCACATCTTGGTATTGCGATGAGAAGAGGAACATATCCACAGAGACTTGAGCTTTTGAACATTCGACCGCAAAGCTCTTGTAGAAGGAGTTTGCGGTTTGAAGCAGACTCGATTCCTTGCTGGTGCCCAGCACCTTCTTGTCTTCTCTCATAGTGAGCGCTCCGTGACCAGTGTTGGGCAAAGATGAGCTCAGAACGGTCATCTTTCCACCGACGGGGGAGATCAACTTGTAACCAGCTCGCAATGCAGCACCCATGGCACAGCTGTTGTTTTGGGTGTTCTGGAACATTTCCTGCAGCTTGCGGAGGAAGATCTCGATGTTCTCTCGGCATTCGCTCAGCGTCACCAGAAGATCACCAGGGATGGGGAGGAAAGGCTCGTCCAGATCACTGACAACTAACATCCGGGGCTCCGAGGACTCTGACTCGTCCCGGGGAATGCTGAAGTAGTGCAAGCTTGAGTCCACTGCAATAAAGCCGAGGCGGGTACGCCGGTCTGCGTTCGGGATGCGATCAAGGCTCTCCTGGATGGTGCGAGCGGTGGTGGCCAACAGACCGTTGGTCACCGATGCATAGCTCACATCGATCAAGAAGAGGTAGACCAGAGGTTGAGGTGGTCGGACCATGTATTCCTGCGGTGCAACGAATTCGACCATGCTGTGGTTGAGATCGGCACGCAGCGCACGATCGGCGGGCTTTTGCAGCGTAGAATCCCAATCGAAGGCTTGTGGCACATCGTTCGTCAGGTTGCACATATTACAACGCCAGCGGTGGCCATGATCGAGGAAGGTAACGAAGGGGTTGATATAGGAGCGGCAACGTCGGCATCGTGAGATGACCTGGTCTGGAATCACAGGAATAGGGTCCTCAGCGTCGTGAAGAGAAGCATACGGTTGGATGACAAGGGCGAAAGGCAACTTTGATTTCTTCAGAAGTGAGTTGGTTGTGGGGACAGCATTGAGCGTGGATCGCATATATTTCGTAGGGCAATTGGCTTCGGGCGATGGGTAAACACTGGTCTGTCAATTATTAGCATATCGACCACATGCGTAATATGGCATCTATACATACTCCCGGAGGCAAGATAACTGGAGGAGGGGGATAGTCCAGCTCAGCGACGTTGAAAGGTTGGGATCGAAGGTCCGTGGGGTAAAGCTGGTTGAGCTGGACTTGAGGTCGCATAGGGGCTTGGGCCACAGGCTGCGGGGGCGGCATGTGATGAGGCTCGCTCATGCCCATTCCGCCGAATTGCTGTGTCATCTGCGAGACGTCGGCGGCAACAGGTGCGCCGTATGATGGTGCTACGGGCTGCATCTGGCTGGGGTCCGCACCGTAGGCGGGTTGTTGATATCCTGCAGCTTGGGGCTGCTGAGGGTAGGCCCCGTAAGCACCCCCCAGCTGTGGGTTGTCCACCGAGCGCGGCATTGGCGCCGGAGCCGAAATCAAATGCCTCACCAGCATACGCTCTCTTCTTCTTTCCACCTGCGGCTGGTGCGGGCGCGCCTTGCCCTTGGACCGGGGACTGTGTGGGTTCTGGGGAACCGTAGGCGGGCTGGCCATACCCTTCCTGAGGAGGGAATCCCCCCTGTGGTGCTGCCATTAGAGTCGAGTAGGTTATGTTTAGTCGCACTTAAGGGTTGGGAGGAAAAGAAGGTTGCGCTCGTCACGAAGTCGGCGGGTGGAATCGATATGAGGAGGCGGGTGGTAACAGCTCCTGGAACCCCACAATCAGTTTCTCGTCAACGGAACAGGGTGAATCTGGTTGCGTACAGGGCAGGCTGTACCTTTAGATAACCCAGAAATATCACAAAAGGCAGTAGCGAGGCAAAGGACAGCTCACCAGAAGAAACCAAGGGAGTGTGGGAGAGGCGGTGATGATGGTCTACGGTGGCCTTTAGGTCGTGGTGCTCCAGCCAATCAGAGGCCAGGGAACATGTGACGAGAGGCGTGTTTTTATATTGTACGACATCGGATATTCAGTATAAAACGGTTTATATATCAATGTTGACTGATATATATAGAACATTTATTGTCATCGAGTTGATCTATATCTTTTTTCAGTTATTTGGGCTGGTCAGACATGAACACTTAACCCTCGGACCAAGCGCAGATCACATCCATAGATTATACCGTACTTTCAATTGTAATAATCAGACAAGAATAGTCGGCCTCTTATGCGGCCCTGTCAAGTATTTTTTAGTGTTCTCAGGTAGTCTTTTTAAATGTCTTTTTGGTGGTCTTTTTTGGTGGTCTTCTCAGATTCTTCTCTGTTAGTTTTCTCTGTTAGTAATGTGACTATGGGATTTCCAAGACGATCACTTTGTTCAAATTGGACCGGAGCAATTATATACACCCTTTGTGGTGCTCAAGTCTTAAGAATGTACTGTATAAGATATGTTGTAGAGCAACGACGCGGTTGCCCTGCCAACACCAACCACATCGGCTGCTGCACAAGAGAACTCCTCCACACGTTCCACAACCTTCAGTTCTGCATACACCAAGTAGTTAGCTTCGTTTCTTTGTTTTTTTTTTGTGGAGGACTTTATTGTTCTTTATTGTTCTTTATTGCTCTCTTTTTTTTGGCTTTACACTTCGTTCTAGTCATTCCTTCGGTTTCGTTTGGATTGAATCGCATCCCTGACGTCCAGGACCCAGACCATCACACGACAATTGAATGAACATCCCGCCACAATGAGTGTCCGAGTTGTCGCGCGTATCCGTCCCCTTCTCAAGTCCGAACGGGAGGCCGATGTGATCGTTCGTACAGGATCTTCCGCTACCGCCGACTCCAAATCACGCCAGTCAATACTTGGCGACAAGGGTGACAAGAGCGACAAAAAACTGGCGGCATTGAGGGACAGGGATAATGTGGTTCGGATTCCAAACCCTAAGAATGAGGGGGAGGAGTATGCGTTCCAGTTCAATGGCGTGTACGATGCGGACGTGTCACAGCAGGAGCTGTTTGATGCCGAAGGTGAGTTGCTGTTTCAAGCTCGCCAGGCCTTGGGTCAGTATATTGATTGGAGTAACAGTGTCGCCAACAATTAAGCATCTTCTCAACGGATTCGACGTGACCCTCTTCGCATACGGTGTCACCGGAACTGGAAAAACACACACAATGCGTGGCGGAAAAACCCTTGCGGACCGGGGTGTAATTCCCCGGCTCCTCAGTGGCATCTACAGACGCAGCCGGAAGATTGAGAAGGACAGTGAGGGAGAGACAACAGTGCAGGTTGCCCTGAGTTATTACGAAATTTACAACGACAAGGTGTACGATCTCTTCGAACCCCCCGAGAAGCGCACAATGTCAGGTCTTCCTCTTCGGGATAATGGCGGCAAAACTGTGGTTTGCGGCCTGAGCGAGAAGCCGTGTACCACTTTGAAGGAGTTCGAGCAGCTTTATGACCAGGCCAACATTAACCGATCCACCTCCGCGACAAAGGTATGATATTATGCGAAAAGCTAGGGTTTATATTCTCTTGCTAAACATCCGAATATAGCTCAATGCCCATTCGTCTCGATCTCACGCCGTTCTCGGTGTGAAGGTCACCATCACCTCTCCTGACAAGGTCCGCATCAGCACTGCTTCCGCTATTGATCTCGCAGGATCCGAAGACAACCGACGGACGGAAAATGATAAGGAGCGCATGGTCGAATCGGCTAGCATCAACAAGAGTCTTTTCGTTCTGGCGCAGTGCGTTGAGGCTATCAACAAGAAGCAGCATCGCATCCCATACCGCGAATCCAAGATGACAAGAATTTTGTCCTTGGGACAGAACAATGGCTTAACAGTGATGATTCTCAACCTCGCGCCTGTCCGGTCTTACCAACTTGACACCATTAGCTCTCTGAACGTCGCCAATCGCACACGGAAGATCGAGGTCCGGGAAGTAGAAAACGACCCCATGTTCAAGGGTCCGGCGCGGCCATCGATCCGGCCATCTATGGGCGCGCGGCAGCCTTTGCGTGCACTGACAGCTTCTGTGAACGTCAATATGCCGGCTCCCGCTGCGAAGGACTCGGCAGACAAGGAAGACGGCAAACCCGTGAAGGCATTCAGCGTATATTCGGATAAGCCGCAACCCAAACTTATTAGCCAGCTCCGGAAACCGGAAGCGCCGAAACGTACCTCGATCTCCAACGCCCCTTCCGGTCTTCCATCATTGAAGGCCGCTCGTCAGCCCCTGGGCGCGCAACCGGCCGCGCGTCATGACGACTTCTCGGCTGCTAGGATTGAAGAGATGGTCGAGAGGAAGGTCGAGGAGATCTTAGCTGTGCGGGCAGTGAGCGAACAATCGAGACAGACACAGGTCCATGAGCTTAATGAGCAGCTACAAAAGCGATTGGAACAGTTGGAGCAGCGCATTGAAGGCACAGAAGATGCGCGGGCCGAGGGTCTGTCATACCTGCTGATGGCTAAACAACATCAGGCACGCGGTGAAGACGGCTCAGCCCTTAGAATGTACCAGTTGGCAGCTCCCCACTTCCCCCACAACGAGAAGCTGGCAGGCAAGATTGCTGCCTTGAAGGAGCGGGTTCATGCAAAGGCTTGGGAAGAGAAACCCCATTCCCCACCCAATGGGAGGTTGGGTAGCATGCTCTCCCTCAAGAAGGACGTGACACAAACCCTCGGCAAACGCCAAGCAGAGAATAGTGCAGATGACTACATGCATCAGACTTATGCCGGCTTTTCAAGCGACGAGGATGTTCCTCGCCCAAAACACAAGAAGCGTGCTGCAGCCAAGCTCGGTCAGATCGAGGAAGCCCCCGAACTCCTTGATAGTGAGGACCCATCCATCTCTCCCCGAACTATGCATATTCTTTCCATCATCAACTCGCGGGACGTGAGCCAGATCAAATTGCTCAAGGGAGTGGGCGCCAAGAAGGCAGAGGCTCTTGTTGATTGCCTCTGCGAGATGGACCAGACACCATTGGATACAACTGACAGTGGAATCGTCTCAGACCAGTCCCAATTTCAGGTCAACAGCCTGGCACAGCTGAGCCAGCTGAAAGGCGTTGGGGCCAAGACGGTCGAGAACATGAGACAAGGAGTATTGGCTTAATTGCTGGATTTTTGGGCGGCATATACCGGAGCATAATGGCTTTTTCTTTCTTTTTTCATGCATCATCCTTCAGCGACGGTGCTATGGCGTTTTCGTGTGTCTATGCCCTTGTTACGTATTCTGTTCTGTCTTTTGAAATGCATCCTCGGTGCTTTGGGGACATCCTTCCTCATGGCACACTTTTGTTGTCATAGCCCTTTCATTACCACCCTTGATCCAAGAACTTTTCTCAAGTTTGTCCTTTCTCTACGGTTGCCAACCAGAAGATATGGCCAGTTAGGTCGCCTTTCTAGTATCTTCTCTAACATCATTTCTGATATGCTTTCTTGGTATATTTTTAGTATAACCATTCGGACTGCTTATTGGCATAGAGTTCGTTGCATTAAAGACCCAAACCCGTCAGAAGGCCCTTCTCTTGTAAACCAAGCTCCTCATCCAGTTTAGTCCACACTCTCAATCTAGCCTCTGGGTCATTACAGTATGATCTCGCAGGCCCCTCCCATATCCGATTGATATATTTCCCTCCACCACGCCCATTTTCCGCGCCAACGCCCTGCTTCTTAGGATCTGGTCCAAACTCCAAACTAGTAGCTGCATGAGCAATAGCCAATCCACCCTGCTGCGACGTGATAGCAACATAGCGCAAAAGCAAGTTCAGTCCGCCCGGGGCTTTGCCCGTGTCCTGAAGACCGTCCCATATACCCGAAGCCACAAAGCCGGGATGGACACCGTTGATTGTGATGTGGAGGTACTCGGGGTTCTTGAGGAGTCTCGACTGCAACTCTGCAACCCACATTTGAAAGTAAAGCTTATTGTTCCGATAATCATTGCCCTTCATGCCTGGTTCACCATTGAAGTGCTCCAGATCGAAAGATCCTAGATGGTGGAAGCAGGAGGTCGTGCAGATAACTCGCGGCTCGGCACTGCGAGCTAGAGATGGTAAGAGTCGGAGGGTCAGTAGTACATGGGATAAGAAGTTGACCTGGGAGGATTTCATCAGTGTCTATTCGGCTCGTATGCAACAAAAGTTTAAATAGGACAAGAGATAAACAGACCTGATGAACCAGTTGGAACCCATCTTTCGTCATACGATTTTGCTTGGTAGACTCCGCAAGACCGGCATTGTTGCATAGGATATCCAAAGCGCGGTCGCATTGCAACCACCTTTGACAGAAAGCTTCGACGCTGCTGAGATCTGCCATGTCGACTTGCCACCATTCAATGGTGGACTCATGGCCGTGCGCCGCGGCAAGCTCTTTACATTCGTTCACAGCGGCTGTTGGATGTAGTTCCCATGCGGGTGGCTCGCGGCAGGCGAGGATTAGGTTTGCGCCCCATGATGCGAAGGATTTTGCGGCTTCGAAGCCAACGCCGTTGTTGGATCCGGTGATAATAATCCATTTGCCTGTCAGATTGGCGCCGGGCACATGTTGGTCAGTGAGGAAGGTGATGTTCGCCCCCCTTGCGGCCTGTAATAGATCATATAATCCCGAGAAAATTGAAGCCATGTTAGGATAAGGGCTTATTTTGCCATGAAAGCTAAAGACAAGATGTAAGCTCCTGGGAATAAGGGTCGCCTTATAAAGCAACACTATGTCTTAGCTTAGGTTGGAAGCTAAGGCTTAGCCGCATCCTTTTGATTGGGATGGTACTTTTGGGTTACTTTTAGGTACCCGCATCAGACGTTGAAAACGTCATAAATTCTGTTGCCTGCGAATAGAATTCTCCCAGTGGATTTTACTCATTTCATCGTTTGGTAGAGATATTTTAGCTTTGGTGGTAAAGCTGGGGTATTGGTAGAAGAAGAGGAAGAAGACCCCGGGAAAGACCTTGTAGTCACATGTTATATTTTGCTAATTCTTTCTATCTTTCTATCTACAATACTATCTAAAGAGGAGAATATCTATAAAAAAAACATCTAAAACGACACCCGAAAACATCTTAAAGACCAAGAAACACTTGACAGGCCACATGTCTATTATACCTTGGTAAGTTTAAACCCACCAACAGCCCCCTGGCCAAAACGAACAAAATCGACCCAACAATCATAACAACACCACAGAATATCTGTAGCCGAGTATAACTACCATGGAGGACATCCGGAACCAAAGCACCTCCAATAGGAGTACCAGTCAACGCCGCAAATGAGATGACAGCAAAGAAAGTGCCGTTACGCACGCCCACCTGGCGAAGATCGGAGATCTGCGCGACAAGGGCTGGTGCAAGTGAGACAAATGCACCAGAGCCGAATCCGTATAGGGCGCTGAACAAAATTGCCGGGACATTGCCCTTCGATGGTAGCCAGAGGGCTAGGACGAGGATGGCCGAGAAGAACGTTGTTACAACCATCATGTTGTAGCGGCCGACTTTGTCGGCGAAATAACCTGGCAGCGTGCGGCCGAAGATACTATTTTGATATTGTTAGTTCATCAACTAGGTGAGGTATACGGACTAGAAAGGGAAAACTTACCTAGACGCATTCAAAATTGGAATCAGGTACTCGGCTAGATTGGAAGACATGCCATATCTCTCCGCCTGGGTAATAACAAAAGTGAATGGCAAGAACATGCCCCAGAAGAAGCAAAAGGCAGCAGCAAGTGTAAGCGCGAACTTGAGCTCAGCCAACGGCCTCACGAAACTCAGGATATCAAATGGCTTCGGGCGATGCGGCAATCTCGACTTCAGCGTGAGATTGGCGATACCCAACATGAACAAAATGAGGAAGGCGCAAATCCTCATCGCCCAGGGGAACCCAACTTTAGGAATCAGTTGGGTGACCATTATAGGGAAGATGACTCCGCCCAGACTGGATCCAGCGGCTGTTACGCCAAGGGCGAAAGCACGACGCTTAGCGAACCAGGTGCTGACGGAGTTGACGGAGGCGTTGAAGATGGCGCTTGCGCCGATTGGACTGCAGATTCCTTGAGCCAGGATGAATTGGTAATACTCTGTTGAGAGGGAAGCCATCATTAGGCCGAAGACGTGGAGGACTGTGCCGAGGAGGAGGATCCAGCGCGGGCCGTAGCTATCGAACATAGTTCCGAATATTGGGCCCTAGGGAGGATGTTAGGATGGCTCTTGGGGATATAGTAAACTGGTTCTGGGGCAATGGTATACGCACGCAGAAGAACATCATGAAGGTCTCTAGCGATGTGATCCATGTTACTGTGCTGGTGGAGAACTCGCTCAGTTGGTGACTTTGGTAGTATTCTTGGAAGACTCCGATGCCTCGATGATATTAGTATCTTGTCGGTTTCTTGTATTCAGACATAACATAGAACTTACAGTTGATCCAGCCGAAGCTGACGAATAGACCACAGAAAGCTCCTAGGACGACCAGCCATGCCTGCGCACCTCCATCAGGAGGCGGACCGATCACCGGTGTTGCTGGTGCTGGGCCAGCAGCAATTGACTTCTCAGCAGGTGGTTCGTCTTTTTCAGATGGTGCGAGTCCTTTTTCCGGGTCATTATTTCCATGCACACTCACAGCAGCAGTGGTGGTGGCACTGTCGATAGAAGGAGCAGTCTCAGTCTCATTGTTGGCCATCTTTTTTGGCTTCGATGAATGTTCGAGTTATAGACTTGGACTGCTTGTAATCTGCTTTGAGGTATTAGAATATTGCATTTTGAAACAAGACCGCCAATTTATAGATCCCAAACGAAAACGGGAACTATAAAATTAAAGAAACAAAATTGTGCGTCGGACAAGTTCAATTCAAAACTCACCTCAACGTCGGCCCAGCTGTTTGGTCCTGAAGCTCTAGGGCTGTTGCAGATTAAAATCTTCAGGGCTTCAAGTTCCGTTTAATTTTCAGGGATGCCAATTAAGCCTATATTTAAGGTGATATTTAAGGGGAAAATATTCGAATAAAATACGAAGCGGCCACTTCGGTCACTCGGTTCCTAGCTAAGTCCGAGCTACTTAATTATTATTTTTACCTGGGGGTTGGCGCGACTAGTCCAGGGGAAGCATGGTCGCTTTACTGCGGTTGGTCAATCATTCACAGGATTCGGGGATTGGCCTAACTGGCGAACCGATATTCTCCCGGAAAGCTTACCGGGTTAACTGCAGTGGTCGGACATATATGCGATAGCCCGAAGACCGAGGCGGATTTAGCTGATTATCCGGGATATTGCTCGTTTTGGAATAAAATATGGGGTCATTTGTATTCAAAACATATGAAACATATCATTTTGGTTAGATGCAGCTGAAATAACTTAATCTCTGATTTTATCCGGCTATAAATCACCAGTGAAATTGGATACTGAGCCTTCTAATAAAGCAGCCTTTGCCACCATCTACCAAGATGATATATCGTCTTTAGTGGCATAGTTAGTAATGTAGGGATCGAGGATATATCATGATTTGAGCGGATGCAACTAGGGATAGACGGGTTCTATGGATTAACCCAAGTATGGTTATGAGCAAGATGAATGATACCATAGTCGTCTACTTTGGATGCGTGCATAAGGTCGCGAGGCATGCCGAACCGATAAGAGTTATTGCCTAATCCTTGGTGAAGGTATTTGAAACAGGTTGCTGTCATGAAAAAGCTTCTGGATAAATTCGGTGTCAGACTCCTGGCCATTACGTGAAGGGGTGTGCTCGAGACGGTTGACTCAGGGTTATCAAGATTAGTGTGGTGCATGATTACAGTTTCTAGGAAATGGATCATCCGACTTGCGAAATTATCGTCTACCAGAATCCGGTTTTGCAGTTGCGTGAATCCAAGATTTCCCCGAACCTAAACCAAAGTGTGAAGATGTACTTATCTAACAGTAAAGGTAGATTTTTCTAAAATAGCTAAAGTAGGTTCTTTATTAGAACTATTCTTTAGAACCTTTCTATATGGATAGAGATAATATATAAAAGTAGGTTATTAACCTTAGGCCTTAGTAGATTTATCGGCGTTTCTCTTATAGTAGTTGATATTACCTCTCGCGAGGGGTATCTTGCTTGTAGGGAATTACTGGAGAGTAGGTAGTTACTGGGGAGTAGGGAATTACGGGAGAGTAAAGGATTACTAGGGAGAGGGAGGAAGTTTCATCTGGATCTGTCACTTTCCAGTACATTGCGACAAAGGAACAGGCTACAGACGGCTTTACCAAGCCACTCGGATTGATCATGTTTCGTCGATTTGTCGATCAATTATGTCTTTCGGCCAATATCAATCCAACTGATTAACCTACAATTTGATTTGCAATTTGAAAAGTGATAATACATCTTTACTTATTCAGGAAAAAACGAAGGAATCTGGGGGTATTTTTTATCTGATGATTCATGTGCCATTGATCATGGGGAGTGTTGATATCTCACATACGTCACATAACTCCTCATTGACTAGTTTAGTCTATCTCCTTTTCTTCCTGTCTTTTACATAGTTCTACAGCATCAAATATAAGCTATCGTACTCCTTCATGATCTCATCTACCCTGTAGATTCTAACAAAACTATACCTCCGGAGTATCGTCATCAGTAGTGTCGATCCTCAACAGTCATAGGGTGGTTATGATCCACTCTGAAAAGAATGAATTTCCTGCGAGATCGACATCTTGCAGCTCCAATCTAGCGGTGTGGAAGGGCGATGCACCCACCGCCAAGACCAGCGATGATTACTGTTGCTAATGCATAAATCGCTTGTGGATCTTGTGGCGCCTTATCTCATAGCTGATGCCTCTGAGCAAAGAAATAGTGGTGTGGCCACAGATGGATTCCTCATCAATTGACTTTTGGAAGCATTTGGTACGGTTCTCACATAAATGTTGTACATAAGAGGCGATAGGGCGGAGTCCAAGCATGGACTCGTCACCCCGCACGTTCTTAGGACCGTAGTGGTGGGATCTACGATCTCTCAGCAAATCTCGCGGACCCACCAGACGGCAATTATCGATGAAGTAGAGCTGGGCTGAGCTGAGGTGAGGGGAATTGAAATTTTAGCTGCCGCGCAGACACGCCCATATAAAGATAGCTAGATTTACCGGACACAGAATTAAACAGAATCGACAAACTCCTCTTGACTTACTCTGCCTCCAGAGGTTCACTTATCAAAAGCCTAACCATGGCGGTCCGGCTTGATGTCAACGTCTTTGATGGCAAGGAGGAAAAGGCCAAGAAGACCAACTGCGTCCCCCTTAAAGACTTCAACGTCTCCAACAAGACGCTCTCAGATATACGAAAAGCACTGATCGACAATGGTGGTCTCGACGCTAGCAGGTACGTGGACGTGGGAGGTGTGACGATTAAGAGCTGATGGCTATTTAGAGCGGGATCTGCATTCTGTAGTGCGACTGGCGCCCAGGTCAATGATTCCACATCATTTGCAGATTACATGGAGATTCTCTCCGAGAATGTTGGGGAGGAAAAGGAGAAACCCGAGAAAGCGGCCAATGTTACGGTCCATGATGTTTACATAAAGACGAAAGACAAAAAAAGAACCGATCGGAAGACAGAGGCAAAGGAGCTCATCAAGCAGGAGCTGAACTTGAAGCTGAGTGTATTATCTCGACTTTGTAACGTTGTGCGAACACGCGGAATTGACAATCAATACAGGACAAGCCCGAACTACTTCAGGCATCGTTGGAACAACTAGCGAGCTCCTTCAATCGCGCAGACTGGGTGGCCGAAGGCAATGAGACGTCTGTGTAAGTGGTATTCTCCCAAGGTAAGATGAACGGTCATTAACAAGCTACAACACCAGAAATCCGGCCGACATGTCTGAGAAGGAGTGGAACGCTGTCATCCGCAATAACAACCTTTTGAGTGCTCACCGGCTGGTCTTTTCGAACCTGGGGCGACTAACCGATGGATCGAAGAAGGTCAAGTTTCGCAGAATTGAGCGAGCTCCCTATAGTGGTAAGCGGCCCTTTCCGGTCTGTATTTGGCGGGAGGTGATTTTCTGACTCTTTGCTAGCCTTCGTTTTAAAGCCCAGGAAATTCGCGTCGCATGAGATCCCTGATGCAGATGTCAAGGTCGAGGTTAGTCTCGGCAACCCTTGGGTAATTGCACCGCAGTACTAACATGACCCCAGCAAGTATTCCACATCCCCCGATTTACTGTCGGAGACGATTCCTATGTGGATGCGTTCGAAACCAAATCCTCCACAGCATCAGCTATGGCGCGCAGTTCATTCTCCTCAATAGAGGCTGAAGCCTCCGTGTACGTCGCTCTCAGACAATTCCAGACATCCTCTAATTGCATAGCAGGGAAGGCGGAGCATTTGGTTTCAGTGCTGCCATCAGTGCTGGCTTCTCACAGAGTGAGAACAATGCTCTGAGCACGCAAAATACTGCTGACAGCAGTACCATGAACATCACTTACAACGTAAGTTTTGCAGCTCGATTCTTTCACTATCAAACGACTCATTGATGCCTTTCGGCTAGTTTCCTCGCGTTGTTCTGTATTTGGATCAGTTTGGCGTCGACCTGTCGCAAGAATGTGCGAGTGACCTAGTGGGTGTGAAGGATGCGTCTTCTCTAATCGCTTTCCATCATAAATACGGTAAGACTCGAATGGATGCGTATCCCACACGAGCAATGCTGATTAAAAAACAGGCCACTTCTTTGCCACCCGGATTGAGCTTGGAGGCAGGCTCTTTTCATCTGAAAAGTTCTCCGCCCTTGGTACAAAGACCGAGGATGAGGCCGCCACGGCCATGAAAATTGCCGCTGCCGCATCCTTCTCTTCCAGTTTTGTGTCTGGAAGTGTCAGCTATGGCCAGGAGAAACAGACAAATGCACAGAATTCCAGCTCCAATCGAGCCATGCAAAGCTCTATTTCATGGCAGGCCCAAGGCGGAGACACGTTACTTTGCAACAAGTAAGTTGTTTTGCCCCATCTCCTGACCCACACAAACTTACGTTCTGGTGAAGCCCTTCTGCATGGTGCCCGACCGTTGCTCCGTTTCATAATTGGAGAGTAATTAAGGTATTATCTGCATATTCTTTATGGCAATATTTGTCCCAATTCTGATACCCGATTACAGCAAGAAGATGTCACCCCGCTCGGCGACTTCATTGGCCAGATCCCCGGCTTTGAGGATATCCCAGAGAAGTTTAAGAGCATAGCGGAGGTTACAAGGAAAAAAGAAGTTGTTAGCTTCCGCATCAGCCTCCAAGACTACCAGAGAAACGAGAAGAACAAGCCTGAGTATCTATCACTGCATCATGCTTGGAAAATCAGTAAGCTCCCTCTATACCAGCGATGACAGTGGGTAGGAGGTTAACATTTTTAAAAGAGGGCGAGGTGGAAGAAGCATTGAGCAAGGTCCCGGACACCATCCTGGATATCTCCAACAACGGATACCCGGGACTTTCTATGGAGACGAACAGCTCGGAAAATGTCTTTGATATCGAAGTTGAAACGCTGCTGAACCAAGCCCCCACAGTAAGCCTTTCCCCAAATCGTCACAAATACAACTCTCTAATGGATTCGGGCAGATCGAATTCAAGAAACGGTACCACATCTACAATCGTAAAAGAGGCCTGTGGCTTCGAGCTTTCACAATCCCTTTCAAAGGCAAGGAGATCACTCTACTCGCTGCCGGTCCCAAGAACCAGGCGACACTCTTTGAGTTCCGGGATAAAAGCCGAGAGGGCCCGATGCGAAATGCCGACGACTGTAGCCTGGTGGTCTACGGGCCTGACGGGAGGCAGAAGGGTTCCATCGCCTATGCATTGGAAACCCACGGCACTTCCATTGGCGCCATGCCTTACAGTGTCGATAACGAGCGTTGGTTGCGTTTCACGAATTTGTCCATTGTGGACCAGCGGGATGTGCCCACATAGAGTTACAATTTTACAGAGCAGCTCGGCAGGTCTTCAGATAGACGGATTGGAGCGATGACAAGTCATGGAGGGACTCATTTTGTGCATAGAGTCAGTTGCTACTGTCTGAATTGAACAGAGATGGGTTTACTGACTGATGGGACTTGTGCTGCAGAACTGTTTCCTCTTGTTCGCTGGCTGCTCTTTGTCATCGTCCCTGCGGTATAGCTAGCTATCTTGTGCTAGGATTCGTCTTCCTCAACCCATCTCTCTCTTAGGGTCGCTCTCTCTTTCAATCGGATAGCCTTAGTATATAAACCCTTTTGCGCCTAGTGCCCTTCTCCGCCTAGGGTATGCTTTCTCTAGTCTATAGATCTTCTTCTTCTGTAGACATATATAATATCATCAAATTTGACCCATTTCGTCTGCTGCAGCTTACCTAACAAACGAAGAAGGGAAGAAAATATCTAAAAAAACTACCAAAAAAGACAACTAAAAAGACATTTAAAAAGACGATCTGGAAGACTACCATAAAAGGCTACCAAAAAATACTTCACAAGGCCGGATAAGCGGCCATCTAAAAAGGCACCATCCAGCCATTGCTGAAGCTTTGGGCTATTCCCGTAAAAGCGATAGAGCAGTGACGCCTGAAAGACGAGCTTGTGCCAGAAGTAAGAACCGTGCGAGTGGACTATGTCTTTTTTCTATTTCACTAACTTTCATAGGATGGTACAATAAAATAATGGAAGACTATGACAAGCGCCAGTCTAATATAATGCACCCTGATCTAGATCACTCGCTCGCGGAGAACGGGGAGACCAATAATGATACCTCGTCAACAAACCTTGGCCGTGGTAGTGTCGTTAAATCAGAACAGTCAAGCCCGAGCGTCAACCCTCTCAAGCGACGGTTTTCAAGCGGCGAAAATGATCCACAAAGCCCTTTGACAGAGTGGAGTGGTTCAGAAGGCAAAGCTTCTATCTCTGTCAATCGCGATATTTCGGCGTTGATTCACACAGGCGTTCAAGGGCCGTCTCGTGAGCAGCAATGGAACCCAAGCTCGGCCCTGTCTCTTGGAATGGGGGTGAGATTTCTACCTGGTTGTCAGATTCAAGAAGTTATGACTGACTTGACCTAGGTATTGCAGATCTCCAAGCTCAACGCCCCCGATACCTCAGTGGCAAATGATTTCCCCGGAGGCCACACACATCTGGTGAAGGCAGGCACAATGCCCCCGCCAAACCGACATATCCTAGCCTTTCAGTCTCCTTCGGCCGAACTCGTCTCAGTTTTACCTTCATTCGAAGTGGCATGTTTGCTTGTGGCTACCTACTTCGACCGAGCCCATTGGTTCATACTTATCTTCGATCGAGAGGATTTCTCCAAGAAATGGCAACAGCTGTACCAAAATCTCACGGAAAGCCCCATTGAACCCAATCTTAATCTTGACTTCACCAGCACATTGCTGATGGTCATGGTGATTGGGTTACAATACGTGGGTCCTCATCGAAGGCAACTCCTGGCAGCGCACAACGTTGATGCAGCGACCTTGAAAGACATCATCCTCGCCACTGTCCGGGCTAAAATGATGGATATCGTTTCCCTCGGCTCCCTGGAAGCGGTACAAGCCTGTGTTCTGCTTGGCACATACTACCTTTATCATGGGGACCCCGGGCTGGCCTGGCTGATCTGTGGCTGCGGGCTACGGATTGCACAAATTCTGAATCTGCATTGCAAGATAGACATGACCCCACCAGGTCTTCCATCGATATCATTCGATATGCGTCAGCAATGCAAAACACGGAATCGTAGTTGGTGGGCTATTTATGAGATGGAGACGCTTTTTTCAATGTCTTATGGATACCCTCAAGCCATTGGAGATATTGATTGCGATGTCTACTTGTTGGAGCCTATGCTCGTTGGAGACAACACAAAAAGTCAGGACCAAGCTGTCGTTGTTTCGTACAAGTACTTGAGTTCCAAGCTGTCGATTCTCACCAAGACCATATTGAACGAGATGTATGGAGTCAACTCCGGTGTACCACACGGGCAAGGCCAGCCATGCAAATTTTCGGGCTGTGCTTCGACACAGCATCACCTCGCCCACATGGCGTCCCACTTCGATGCTTCGTTACAGGAGTGGAAAGAAGCTATTCCCCCAAAGCTTCAGCTCGACGATCCCAGTGCCACATCAGTCAGGTACGCTTCCGTAGAGGAAATGGATCGGGATATTGCAGCATTATGCGGGGCAAAGTTCACCAATAATATTTATCAATTCCAAGCCCTTGCCCTTGAAATCGCATATCAAAATGCAAGGATTTTGGTCCATCGCCCTCTCATGGCATATCAACGAATCCCGAAAATCGGCGCTGCACCAAACCACTCTACCGGGCGTTTATACAAAGCACTAGAGTCGTGTCGAGACGCTGCTCTGAAAATTTCGGAGACTGGCTCATCGTCGATCTTCTCGTTGGCAACAGATACACATGCAGTCGCATTCATTGGCATCCAAACATTCACTGCCGGTGTCACTCTTTGTATATTGGCTAGCATTGAGCCATTGACAATGAAGGCACACAAGTCAAAGATGGGATTGCATCGATTACTGAATATGCAGCGGACTCTGGCTCCAAAATCGCAACTAGCTGCACAGGGACTGGCAATTCTCGAGCCGCTGACAAAGTTGGTGATGGAAAAGGAACTGAAACAGATGCTTGCACAGAATGATGGCCAAGCAGTCTTTGGATCTACTCCAGGAGAAGGAGAGACGCAAAGCCCGAGTGACGAGTCAATCAACGACTTTGCCAACTTTAAGTTCAGGGAAGATGCAACCATATCGAAGGCTTTGTCCGACTTTGACAGAGCGATTTCTGGCCGCATGTGTTCGGCAACTGATGCAGAAACCGATGACCCTAAGAGACAGCTCTTCCCTGAACGTTCGGACATAACTTATAGATTTGCGCAGCAGCAGGCGTTGATATGGGGTGGTGACTGTCTAGCCCGTTTTCCAGGCTTTGCCGAGTCCTGAATATTTCGGCTTCTTCTCGCTTTAGACTTAACAAGAATAGTCGGCCACTGTCCTTGAGAATGACATGATCTAGTTGGCTCGATGGTAGTCCTTTTGGTAGTCCTTTAAGATGTCTTTTTTGATAGTCTCCTCAGCTAGTCTTTTTATATGTCTGTTTTTATATATCTTTTCTCCCCCTTCTCAGTTTGTTAGCTAGACGGCAAAGGCTTAATTTGTGAGATGGACTTTTCTATGTATAACCTTTGATTTGTAATAACAAGTTCGCTTCCTTCAGGGCTCAATGGCCTGGCCTCTATGTGGTATTCCTCCTGCTATTTTTGGTAAATTACTGAGCAGTGTTTCGAAGCTTTCTCTTTCTACTCGGAGGGTGAAGGTAACAGGCAAAGCAAGTAGAATCTGTAGTTCAGAAGTAAAGAAAAAAGAGATTTGTCGGCAATTGCCAAGAAAAAAGAAATGCCCATACTGTACAGGGTGCAACGTGATAATCATCCCAAATGGAGACCGCTCTAGCCCGTACAAAACCCAATGCGAAGAGAACTCCTGCAAGTCGACCCTTTTGAAGCGAGTCTTTCTATTTAGTTTGTGCGAGAAACTTCCTCAATTTCGACCTTTCCATCTTTGCGGATCTTCGCAACGCTTTGGCTCGTTCCTCGGATTTCTTGCTCTAGTTCCTCGACAGAGCGCGTCAGGCCAGGGATATTGCTGACGGCCTTTTCGGCTTCTGTCTTTTCATCTGCTGGCTTATCCTCTAATGTTTTTTCGCCTTCGGTAGACCGAGGAGCGGGCGAGGTAAAGCCTCTAGGAACATTGGCGATCTCATTAGCTTCCTGTGCGGACAAAACATCGTTGAGACGAGGACCGCGGGATTGCACGAGGATGGTTGTGGGACCGTCAAATTGCAGGAAGAGCTAGACGACATTGTTAGTTGGTGAATATTGAAGGATAAAAATGGGGCTACCATACTCTATCTCCCCAGATGGTCATTCGAGACCAGGTACGCAGCTTGTGGAACCACTGCATAGTGGTTTTGTATGCCTTCGAATCAGACACGTCACGAATAATCTTGGCATTTTGTAGAAGTCTTGGTAGCGTCTTCAGACCCGGGACCTGGAAGTTGAGAGTGGTGGATTTGAAACGGTAGGGGCGAGGAGGGTTGGAGGCCATGGTGTAAGCGACCACATTGCTGTCGATCAAATATTAGCGACGTCAGACGTGTAATCGCGGCGGAGGGTCTTACCTGGGATGCGCAATGTACTGCTCGCCATCCTTCAATTCAACCGAGTATAGCTGTCCGTTTCCAACCAACGCTATTAAACCTCTGCCAGTCACTTCGGAGCTACCCCAATGAGACAAGCTCTGCGCAAATTAGCTTGGTGTTTCCTCTCGCGCGATCACAGCTCCACTCACCAGGTTTGCGTTGATAGTCGGCTTGATGGTCAGAGACCGGCCCGTCCATGCAAGCAAAGCCCGTCTTTGGGCAACCATCCAGTCCACGGAACCATTGACGTTCACAACGGCGAAGGAGGTATTGGGCGATCGAACGGAAACGAGAGCTGTGACAGGGGTTGGTGAGGAGACCTGGGGAATTGTCAATCGCTGTCTCTAGGTCCTCATCTGCGTCGCGCGTCTTACCTTCTGATAAAGAAAGGGCACTCCGACGATAGCCCTCCGGAAGGGTTCTAGAACGCTCAACGTCGAAACCACCTGCGCAGATTATGCGTTAGCATGACCATTCCGCCAGGATAACCTGATCGCCGGATCGCATACATTATCCGCCTTGCCGCTCAATCCAACCAGCGTTCCTCGTCGTGCATATAGGTTCTGCGAGGCCGAAAGCGAAACCGAAAGAAGCGAGTACGGAGCGCCGACAACATCGAATCGCGCATCTATGTGCCCTCATTGTCAGTGTCACAATAACAAAGCCCCGGGGGGAATTGCAATTACCTCGTGATTCAACAGAGCTGGGCGTGCTAGCGAGTGGCAGATTGTCGCCATTGACCGGAGGCACTCCCGAGGGCGCGGCGCGAATCTGAACGCATCGCGTTTGCCGGTGAACGCGAGGAATAACTCGAGTCCAGGACAGAGGCCGAACACCTTGGGGGGGCGCATGGTGTATGAAAAAAAGAGCGACGACCAAGTACCGAAGGGAGAATTTACGTCAGTTGTGACGAAAGGGAAATCGGGAAATCGTGGGCCCGAGAGCGATGCGGCCTACGAAGTACACAACTGCCCCTCGGAATTGCGACATTTGGAAGCTATATAATAAGAAGGTCTTGGATTACTTTCATTCTTATTTTGTATCTTACGTTTGCTTGACTATTTGCGACCATCTTGGACCTGCATCGAGAGCGACGGGTTTTTCTCCGAAGCCGGCGATTTCCCCCACGAGCTATCGGAGACATAGCTACCTTGCGCGTCAATCTTTCTTACTCGCTCCCACTATGTGCCCCTGAACCTCCTCTCGGTGACTCAAACTACTCCGGAGCTCAGAGAATATTATCCCAAGCGGCCATGCTGCTCAGAGCCGCACGATCGCCGTGCTGGCGCACAGCGCATTTCGCCCATCCGAGCTTCGCCGGCAAGCTACGAAGCACACGACTCAATGGAACACACCTCAATGGAACACACCTGCGTGCATTCACATCAAATAACAATTCATTATGGAGTCAGTCCACAAACAATAAAGATAACGAATCTGTCAAAACTACTCCTACCTCCGCCCCCGCTCCATCACAACTAGCAAGCGCCAATATCATCCAAAAGCCGGAAGATAGCGGCAATGTGAAGACCCCACCAAAGAAGGACTTGCTGAGCGAGCCTATGACTGGAAAGCAAGAACAAAGGAAGGCAGACTGGGCTATTATGAAAGAAATGGCCAAGTATCTGTGGCCGAAGGTAATTCCCGAGTGCTATTGGTATAGAGTAACAGGGTATTGACTATAGTTGGTAGAATGATTGGGGCACGAAGCTCCGTGTCAGCTCGGCACTTTCACTGCTTATTGGAGCAAAGGCAAGTTTCGTCTGTTATCGTATTTTTATTGAAATATGCTAATATGAATCCAATACAGATCCTCAATGTGGAGATCCCCTTCTACTTTAAGAACATTGTCGACTCTATGAATGTAGACTTTGCTACCCTTGGTGGAACCGCCTACACCGTGGCTGGATCAATGATCATCGCCTGTAAGGATGACAGCATAGCAAAGAAGGGACTTGTCGCTAATATGTTCTAGACGGTGTGACCCGAATTGGAGCTACATTGTTTCAAGAGCTCCGTAACGCGGTCTTTGCCAGCGTTGCGCAGAAGGCAATTCGGAAGGTGGCGTCAAATGTTTTTGAACATCTGTTGCGACTGGATCTCAATTTCCACCTCTCTCGGCAGACCGGAGGTCTGACCCGCGCAATTGACCGTGGTACTAAGGGCATCAGCTTCCTCCTAACCTCCATGGTTTTCCATGTAGTCCCCACAGCACTTGAAATCTCGCTTGTCTGCGGTATCCTGGTATGATTTGACAACGGATCTTCTTGTTTATATCTCACTAACGCGTTGTAGACTTATCAATATGGCTTGCAATTTGCCGCTATCACAACAACGACAATGATAGCTTACACGGCGTTCACCATAACTACAACCGCGTGGCGAACAAAGTTCCGGAGACAGGCCAATGCAGCTGATAACCGCGGAGCAACTGTTGCTGTGGACTCGCTCATCAACTATGAGGCCGTTAAGTACTTCAATAACGAGAAATTCGAAGTGGCACGATATGATAAGGCCTTGAAGAAGTATGAAGATGCATCAATTAAGGTGACTACCTCTCTGGCATTGCTCAACTCTGGTCAAAACATGATATTCTCCTCTGCGCTGGCCGCAATGATGTACCTGGCCTGCAATGGAGTTGCGAACGGATCCATGAGCGTCGGTGACCTAGTGATGGTCAACCAGCTGGTCTTCCAGCTCTCGGTCCCCCTCAACTTCTTGGGATCTGTCTACCGCGAGCTGCGTCAGTCCCTGCTGGACATGGAAACACTTTTCAACCTGCAGAAGGTGAACGTCACCATCCAGGAACGACCAAACGCCAAGCCGCTGCAGCTGACGCAGGGCGGCCAGATCCGCTTTGAGAACGTCACTTTCGGCTACCACCCAGACCGACCGATTCTGAAGAATGCTACCTTCACTATCCCCGCAGGACAGAAGTTCGCCATTGTCGGTCCTAGCGGCTGCGGCAAGTCTACAATCTTGCGTCTGCTGTTCCGCTTTTATGACGTCCAGTCCGGCCGCATCTTGATTGACGGCCAGGATATCCGCGATGTCACCGTCGACAGCCTCCGCAAGGTAATTGGAGTGGTACCACAGGACACACCGCTGTTCAATGACACGATCGCCCACAACATCCGCTACGGACGCATTGATGCATCGGACGAAGAAGTGCGCCGAGCTGCGGAGCGAGCCCACATCCACAAGCTCATTGAGGGTCTGCCTGATGGCTACCAAACTGCAGTTGGTGAGCGTGGTATGATGATTTCTGGTGGCGAGAAGCAGCGGCTGGCAATTTCTCGGTTGATCCTGAAGGATCCGCAACTATTTTTCTTCGATGAGGCAGTAAGTGTTTATCCCACCCCTTCGTCTGCTAGCCGAGCGGTTAGTTAAGGTAACTAATCACCCCCTCTCTAGACATCTGCCCTAGACACATACACGGAGCAGGCCCTCCTCCAGAATATCAACAGCATTCTCAAAGAGAAGAGCCGCACAAGCGTGTTTGTGGCTCATCGCCTACGCACGATTTCCGACAGCGACCAAATTCTGGTCCTGAAGCAAGGCCATGTGGCAGAGATGGGCTCACACCGCGAGTTGCTCGAGCGTAACGGCATTTATGCAGAGCTTTGGAATAGTAAGTCCTTTTTTCATCGCGGTCTGCAATCCTTGCTAACTCGATTTTAGCCCAGGAGCAGACGATAGCCCAGGATGTTGACCTGGAGCGGAGCCAGGCTGAGGATGATCAGCCTAAGGCGTGAGATTGAGAATCTGTAGAGAACCATCCAACATAAAAGTGTTAGACTACTTTTCTGTCGTACTCAAGGGCTACTTGTACATACCATCCAGATGTAAACAGCATCATGCATGCCTTCGGTGGTAGATAACAATAAGAATGATTATGCACAAACGACAACCTGGACGAGTCCCTCATTTATAGATTTCATGATTTGCTACCCTCAAGGGACATACACCATAGGTGTTGATCCATCCCTAGGCTGATGCTTGCCCTGAGAAACACGCCTATTATGAACGACATAAATAACAATCTGCGCCAAAGCACTCGCGATACCTAAGGATACCATAATGATCATGGTACGTAGGCCCGTTGAATAACTTGTTGATATTAGAAACTGTTCGGTATGGAATTTCGGATAATACTTCACTTACAATGGTTTGTCGTCCGCTTGAAAATACTGTGTCCCAACCATTAAACCGCTTATTGCAGACATAACCCACATTCTGCAGTCAAGCCTCTCATCAGCTCCAGTCAAGGTCAAAATAAGAAGATAGGAAAAACCCACGCGATGCTGATACTCCGCTCCCTCGGATCTCGACAGTTGATCTGAACCCAAAAGTTATGTATGGGATGGTATCCCACAGCTAGACTGTTCACAGCAGTCCAAAGTCCCCAACGTGACCATTTACCGGCATGGGGTTGGACCTTGAGAGTTACTACCAGGGCAATGAAGTAGCAGACTTGAGCAGTGATTACAGATGCACCTCGGAGGTTGGTTCGATCACTCATGTAGGCGAAGAAGAATACCACTCCAAGTGATACGAATGCGCCAACTGCGGCTAAAGCATTTGCTGCTGTTCTGTCAAATCCGAGTGACCTGTATAAATGAGCTTTAGATAAATCCATCTGTCACTGGCAGTGAATACTTACATGATGATGGACGGCGTGTAAGTGGTTAGGGGACTCCATGTCGAAAACACGACGAATGTAGAGATAAAGTGCGGCCAGCGACGATAGCAACACACAGTACGAGCGACAACTCTTAGCGGGATGTGCACGCCATACGCTGCCTCGGTACTTCCGCCATTGTCGTTTTCGAGTCGTTTTTGAAGAATCTCCTTCTCGGAATCCGAGAACTTGATAAGTCCCGGGCTCAATAATGGTCTGGTAAGATCGGGTGATCCAGGTAGGAATAGTGATAGGAGGAATGAGACAAAGATAGTGAATAGCCCCTCAACTATTGATGTGTTAGCGAATGAAGTCTTGTATTTAGAACCTGCATACTTAGGAAGAGCCACTGCCACCCTCGAATACCGTGTCGACCATCAAGAATCAAAATTCCCAAGGCCAAGATAGGACTAAGAGCGTTGCCACCAAACATGCCAAAGAAGAAAATGGCAACTCTCTTAGCCAATTCTCTTTTCGTATACCACGACGACAAAGTGTAGACCGCACCAGGAATATACCCTGCCTCAGCAAATCCTAAGAGCAGCCGTATAGCTAGGAAAGACCCTCGATTGCGAACAAATACTTGCATCGTAGCAAGTAAACCGAAGAGAAAGACCTGAGCCGAAATCCACTTGCGAGGACCAACCTGCCAAAGTTCCTATTAGGATCAGATCTTCCGGAGAGATGGTCTCGTACATACCCGTTGCAAGGCCATGTTACATGGTATTTCAAAGACCACGATGCCCATGAACATGAGCTGATTTCCCAAATTGATAGTAGACTGTGAAATGTTGATATCAGTTGCGAAGCCACCAGTCAATGCACTCGCAATGTTCATGCGGTCTAACTGGAAAACAAGAAGACCGAGAAAAAGCAGAGGCAGCACCGACATATCGATCCTTGGGAGAAAGAATGTCAGCGCTAAATCCTTGATACTCTGCCTATAGGGGTCATTGGTGATTACTTTCTGCGAGCCTTTTGCTCATGGATGGGATCCCATTCGGGCAATACGGTCACCGATGATGAAGTAGAATGCTCAGAGGGGCTACCCTTGAGATCTAGTTTCTCATCGTTCATTTTTATATCCGTACTATATTATTGGTTTTTGGTGGACTGGTAAAGGAGGACTTGTTAATACCTCACGGCGACGGGCGAGGTAGAGATAGCAAGCAGGCTTCAGAGATCCTCAAGTATAATAAACGATAAATTATAGACTTCATCGCTTAGTCTTATCACTGCTAGATATTTACCTCATTAGCCCTATCATAATCTATAATATGGCGTGCTACGATAAATCCCTTAAAAGACGCGCGCCAGAGCTCCAAAATACTTTAAACCACAATCCTTCGCTTGGGGCCTGCTGTCTTATTTCAACGGGATTTGAAGGGGTTTGAATAGCAATTTCCTAAATGAAGTTTCTTGCTTCATAACTGGTTGGCTCGAAGTCGTAGCCCCGCGACGCCAAATTGCGTGACAAGGCCCATAATCGACGACAGCAGCGAACCCTAGATCGGGCTAAAACACCCCAGATCGGCATTTGCAACGGGATTTCGCGCATGGCATCTATATATCGCAATTGAATCTCGGGATTATTCTATAGCTGTTTCAGTAGTCTATTCCTTTTTAGTTTGTTTAATTCATATCATGGTATCTGTTAAACGGGTTGCGGTCATCGGCGCCGGGCCGGCAGGAGCCATTGCGATAGATGCTCTGGCGCAAGAAAAGACCTTTGACATTATCCGTGTATTTGAGCGCCGCGAGGGCCCTGGAGGCTGTTGGTCCGTTTATTTTCTCTGAAGCTTCTTCGGCGATGACTGACACAAAAGCCCAGGATTGGCGACTCATCGCAGCCTCCAACGCTCCGCGACTTTGCATCTCTGGCGACAAGAACAGCTGATCCCCCACTACATATCCCCGAAATTTTGCCTGCGCAGACTCCAAAATCAGACCAGCCTCGATTTACTGAGTCGTCTGTTTACCCTTATCTGGAAACCAATGTCGACTTTCTACCCATGCAGTTCGCCCAGGAACCTTTCCCAGAGGAGCGCAGCGAGGTCTCCATATCCCATCACGGACCTGAAACCCCATTCCGAAAGTGGGATGTGGTTCGAAAATACGTTGAGAGTCTGGTGGAACGTCGGGGTTACGGCGACCTGGTTTCATACAACACCACAGTCGAACGAGTTGAGAAGGTGGGGACGGAGTGGAAAGTAACGCTCCGAAAGGATGGAGAGAAGAGTGACTACTGGTGGGTTGAGTGGTTTGATGCGGTTGTCGTGGCAAGTGGCCACTTCTGGGTCCCATATATACCCCCAATAGAAGGATTGGAGGCGTTTGAGAAGACCAGACCGGGCAGTGTACTTCACAGCAAACACTTCCGCGGGAGAGACACATTTGCTGACAAGGTAAGCTAAATTCTCACATTGCACAACTATATTATCTCAGGGTCATTGTGCTAACGTGATTATTCTAGCGAGTTGTGGTTGTGGGCGCATCTGTCTCAGCAGCCGACATCGCAGTCGATCTTGTGGAAACGGCAAAGGAACCAGTCCACGCAATTACAATTGGACATGCCGCTAACGGGTACTTTGGCGACGAGGCGTTTAACCACCCCAAGATAAAAAAACATCCCTCAATAGAACGAGTCTCGAACAGGACTGTGCACTTGACGAACGGCAATTGCATCACGGACGTTGACCACATAATTTTCGGCACAGGCTACAGCTGGACACTGCCATTCCTACCAGCAGTTCCAGTCCGCAATAACCGGGTCCCCGATCTGTACCAACACGTTGTTTGGCAAAAAGACCCGACACTATTGTTTGTCGGCGCCGTCGCGGCTGGTCTGACGTTCAAGGTCTTCGAATGGCAATCGGTTTTAGCTGCAAGGCTGCTGGCCGGCCGAGCTACGCTACCATCTGTTGAAGCGATGCAAAAATGGGAAGCGGATCGTGTCAAGGCTCGTGGTGATGGTGTGAAATTTACACTGCTCTTCCCAGATTTCGAAGACTACTTCGAGACGGTGAGACGTCTAGCTGGCGAGGGGGAGACTGGCAAGGGACGTAAGCTGCCCAAGTTTCGCCGCGAGTGGGTGAGGGCATTTTTTGAGGGCCATGAACGCCGCAAGGCTATGTGGAAGAGGTTGAACTTGAAATCTCGGGCTTTGATGAATACTGAGACTATCCAACAGGAGGTAGCTCGGCTTTGATACATATGCACCCATTCAATGGGATTCCACAACATCTCAATTATTTTGTCATGGCTAGTACCCACATATTTACATTTGTATACTATAGTAATATCGAATTGGCTTCTTCACCAAGATTGCCAACATGTTGTCGAATATGTTCTGATCGAAAATGCAAGATATGGACCTATTATGTTGCGTTGGACAAAAGTATGAAGCCCAACTGTGTTACATTTTATGTACTTCCCTGATACCATAAAGGCCCATCCGAACAATTCATTCTGTAAAGCGGCTGTTCTTGCGAATTCTCGCACCATACATGTAGAAAATATATCTAATGCAGCGGGCGATATTAATTTGGGGTTTTGTACACATGCGTAGAAAATGGACTCACGGAAAAGGAAACATCGCCACTGTCAGAAATGCGAGGAGACATGAGGCCCAGTGTATACCCAATTTATTGTACACTGGCCAAAGAATGAAAATGTTAGTATTGTCCGGACTAGAAGTTTCAAATCCTTCCCCTTACTTTGGCTACCAAATAGAGGGAAAACACCCGCAAACGTGGATCGAGTAAAGCTATTTGCTGCCAAAGCACTGGCGGCATAGGAGGGATAGGCGTCAACAAGGAATGTAAATATGCCAGAGTAAACGAGAATAGTTCTAGAGTAAACAGGACTCAGTTAGAATCAGGCTCACTTTACTTATGACAAAGTGCCCTAATTGTCCCTCTGCCATGTGAAAAGATTGCTCGGGGAGGTACATACCCTGCTCCAAAAAAGGCGCTTCCAATAATTGGCACTATCCAATGAACACTAGGATAGGTTGTCCAAGCAAATATAAAAAGGCCGATAGTGACTAAAGGCGCCCCTGCTATAGCTACCGATCAAGGTTCTACGATTAGCTAGCGGTAAGTCAAAAGAAACAAAAGACAGATAAATACCTGGGGGAGTCTCCATTCTGGAAAAAATCCAGAGTCATCTCCGTTTAGAGTTTGATGTTCTCTTTCAAGTCGGCAGTAGTTCCATCGCCAGTATGGATCAGAAAGCACGGCAAAGAACATTCCGATCAAGAGGCCAAGAAATGAAAGCCCACGCTGCCACAGCTCAAATCCATATACAGACTGGAAGACAACTTGAAAAGCACCAAAGAAAAGATAGAGAATCCCAAGAAGAAGTGCAGAGTAGATGCATAGGCATAAACACATAGGCTCCAAGGCTAGAAGCATACCAGGCCTGTATATAGATCGTAAAATCACTGTTTGTAGAGGAAAAGAATTCTTTTCGCTCGGTACCAACTGACCCAAGTTTGCAGTTTGCCTTCGTAATTGTTGTGCTTTTCGTCTCAAAAGTCTGTAGTAATCTGTCAGGCCGTCTTTCAACAAAACAAATTTCGCGTAAACGTACATGGGTTGATAAGTTTCCGGCACGAAGAAATATACCAAAAGAAGCATTGCAGCAGCCCAGCACAGCAGCATGTAAAAGGTCCAGCGCCTGTGTTCCATGGATTCAGCTTGTATGTTTTTACCTCTGCCCTCCTTAGCAGTGAGATTGAGACGTACCAATTAGTGTACTGATTGATAAATCCTCCAATACTGAGCATTGGTAAGTATATCCCACAATAAACATAAAGTGTCAACATCGTTCACTCACAGCGGCCCAAGTTCGGGTCCAATAAATGGACTGGCAGTATATACCATCATGGGAAGTGCTAGCTGGTGCCGAGGAAACATGTCCCCAATGGTACCTCCTGCAACACTTAGAAATGCACTACCGGCAAAACCATTGAGGAATCGCCCAATGAGTAACGTCTGTATGTTCATTGCAACAGCACATGGTATGAGCCAAATGAAAAAGAAAGTAAGTGAGTATAAGTAAATAACTCTCCGGCCATAGATCTGTTAAATGCATTAGCTCTTCCCCTTCGCATTGGTTTCTGTATGATTTACCTCAGATAAAGGACTGAATATTAGCGGACCGGTGCCTACAAAGAGAATATTGGGTGTTAATTTTGGAAGCAATTGGAGGAATAGTATCTTCGTACCCATTCCCCAGATAAAGAGTGAAAGACCAAGGGTGGCGATTTCTTGAGAACAATGGAACTCGCTCATAATTTGGTCATAAGTTGTTGAATATATGGAAGAAGTGCAAGCACTATCAAAAGTTTTTTTCATCAGTCACTGAACTTTGAATAAGTTAGATACACTCACACACAAAGCGAGCCCATGGAGACAGTAACAACAGTCAACCACTTTCTTCCTAAGCTCATACTATAAGGATGCATGGGATCATTATCATCCCATTGGACAATCATCGCAGATAGGCTTGGGTTTAAAGTGCTATTGGCATTGGAATTGGAATTTCCCGTAAGGGATAGCCCTTGGGGGCTATCATTTCGAGTTCCCATTTATAGCTGCAAATACGTGAGACGGGAAGATGAGTGCACGAGAATTCTGCTCTTGCCTTTGTTTGTATTATACAAATGACGGATGTCGTGTGACGTTGTGCATGAGCGTGCTTTGAATTAGCCAAGGTTAGTAATTATAAGGAGATTTCTAACCCACTTGGGCTTTCCATATTTTGACACACTATAGGAATCAAAAGTGTATTTTTCGCATTCGTCAGGAGAGGGAGTCGGCCCGAATGGAGGCGACTATCGGGCGGGGTTCGGTAAGAGTGAATTGGTTCGGAGGTTAGTGTATGTATGGCTTGGCTGTGAGTGGATCTCATCCATACTCTTTCTTGGTTCCTTTAGTGCCTGTCCCCGAACAGGTGGAAACTGACAGGAGTCGCCAATACAGATGACGATGGGAAGGCTACCGAAGAAATCGAGGGAGGATCTGTCAAAAGAGTTGGCGATTTTATAGTAATTATCAATCACACTAATCATGGTTAGGACCATCATACTGACTTCCTCTACGATCATAATGGTCTTGCGAGACCGGAGCCGTCTCACTCGAGACTTCATCGCAGTTACGCGTAAGCGGCCGACAGAGAGCCCTAAAGATGTGTGGTACGTATTCCCTCCGATGTTATCGGCCGCTTCACGTGTTGGCGCGATACCTTTCAGTTAATGTTACTATGCTTGTAAAGTGGATAGTAGGAAGGACCTTGGGGTAGAATATTGACATAGAAGAATATTGAAGATATCTAGTGGCTAGAGATTGTGTAGTAGAAATTATCGCCTTCAGTCTATCGCGTGGAGCAACGGAACGATCCGACGGCTAGCAACCAACATCTTACGATGCCATGGTTTGCTGATGGAATGGTAGGCTGCGATGAACTGATTGGTGCTCTAAGTGATTTCCATAGAATCCTATCAAATGAGATATTTAAAGATCAAAGAATGAACTCTTGGGGATTTCGAGTTCGTCCCCAGCGTTAGATGCTGACGTATGCGACCTCCTTTTCTTTCAGATGAGTTAATGAACTCAAGCTCTCATTCCTCTGCTTCCAGTCACCAAATCGCTCGCGGTATCTTTTCAGATACTCCCTAACTACTATTCGAAGAGCTGGGGCACATGAAGATAAGATTCCGACGTCGAGCTCAAGGGCTGATAAGATCCAAATAGAGTATGCAACCCAAGACTCATCGTAGGTATGAAAAAGAGTATATATATATCTGGTCCTAAGTGCTCCACAAGCGCAGATAAGCAAACCCAGAAGAAACATGGCCAAGACACCAATACGTTCCTTTGCCGGTAGACTGAGCTGAGCTTCCAAGCGATTGGCATGGGGACCAACACCACCCAGAAGTCCATAATTGTTGTGATAACACTTCCAGTGAAAAGGAGCATTTCACGATTCCCGCATTGGTATGGATAGGGAGGATGGAACAACGGAGGATTGAAATCATAAGAGGCTTTGATCGGACTGTTGACCCTTCAATTAGCAAGTAGAAAGAGGAAAATTGTAGCAGGACAGTCATACGACACGAACCTGCATCGAAGGAGTAAGCCCAATGTATATGCGATAGCTAGCCCGATTGCTAGCAGAATCGTAAAGTAGATGACTGAGGCGTAGAATCGCAAATCTTGATGAGCTATGAGACGCCGGTAAAATGTAAGAAACGATAACCTTACAAAGGTTGACGCCAAGCAGAAAAGAACGAAATTGACGGTGGCCAGAATACTAGCTCCAGGGTAGCACTTCGGAGGTAGATCCCATGCATGTCTGTCTAGTAAATATCTCCATTTACCCAACAAAACAGCAATGGTAAAACCGCTAGTTGGAACCTGAAGTAAAATGTTAGAATATGTGCAGACCGCTCAGTGGATTATCTAGATGTAAAACAAACCATTGCAAGACTGACCAAAATGTCTTCTGCACAGATACCATTGGATATCTTGATTTTGCCAAAAAAGCGAAGAGCCAAAGCAAATGCTACTAGAGTGTAGAAGACAAGCACGATAATTGGCAAAGCGGGGCCTTTGGTCTCAGGATGTGCATAATCTGGGGTAGGCCAGCTAACGACGACGCTAGGCGGGATCTCGATCATGATATCTTTTTATCGTATTCCTTGATATGGCAGAAGTAATTCAATCGACGGAAAAGGTATGAATCAAATTGTGTTGTGCTAGGCTTGGGGGTTGAATATAGGAAAGTGGCCCATAATTTCCATGGCTTGATTTGAAGTTCAGGGGTCCCCCTGACACCGCGGATTTTATGTGAGTTTCCTTAGGTTTGGTAATCAAGGAATTCGAAACCTTTCCGGAGAGAGGTCTAGGTGGCCAATATTCGAAGGTGGGTTGTCCAGACTGGAACCCTTCGTAAAGAATTCGGCCCGATTGAATGGGAAGAGATACACGTGATTCGGCGCGAATTGATTTGACGACGTGACAAAAGTCACATCTAGACGCCAAAGCCTCGGACAAACTGGAAGTCTAAAGCCAATCCCTTCAGTTCGATCACATAAACCATAGCATACTTACTTGCCGGGGGTATCCGAACCTCGGGCTCCAGATCAAGCCTGGAGTGGAAGTTGGGATTTTTATATCTGATAAATCATGCCAAATAGTACCCATTTTCCGAATAAGAAATCCTGTCCATAGCGGAAAGTGGACAGCACAGCATGAAATAGGGTTGGATTTTGCAAATCCCTCTCCGTATGGTAGCTGAGTGAAACAGGCGGTGAGGGAATTTGGTTCGGGCCGACTGTGTGATAGAAGAAAGACCGAATTTATGCAACCTATTCATGCGACAGAGATCATGGATATCCCCGAGATTCGAGAAAGCGGAGAAGATATGAGCGTTCAGCCACACTTATCTATCACTGCATGTTTGCGGTGTCGCGAACAGAAGGTGACTGCATGTTTATTCCGATGCCGAATATGCTTTGCTAAAAGTGAATCACTCCCAGCTCAAGTGTGGACGTGAACGTCCCGCATGCGCTCGATGCGAGCGACTCAACGCGACATGTAACTACCCGAGTCCTCCAGATCGCCGGGGTCCACGGACTCAACGCGGCCCCCGGCTTGTGCACAGGGCAACCGAACACAGGCGGGAACATACTCGCCCTCGACGACCTGTCATTCAGCGTCCTCGTAACGAATCTGCGTCGCAACAGACCTCCGCCTTTGAGCCACAGAGACCCAATAAGCCTCTTGAAGGAAATATACTCCCTCGTAGTGATGCTGAAGTGGATGACGCATCTGCGGGGCTCATACGAACTCCAGTACTGTCTGATGTACGCCCTGATACACAGGTCCACTATGCTAGAAATATTTGTGAACAAATGACTGATTGGTCTCCAGTCCTACCCAACTCAGCTGCGCATGATGAGTTCAGTCGCAACGGAACCAGCGTGCGCCTCAGACCAGCCACCTTTACCACCAACTGCCCTTGGTCTTTCTTTACTGGAAATATACTTTACGCGCGTATATAACGCACCTCTACTGTTTTATAAGCCCATTCTCTTTCAACAATATCTTGAGGGGGGGCTTCATGGAGCTCTTCTTAGAGCTTTACTTGCGTTAGCGACCCTGTATGTTACGCTTTATGCCATCGGTCCCTCTTGCTGAACAATTCAGCTAACACGGTGTTCAAGATTTCTTCAACCATCGCATTCAGACGATGAACACCATGCTGCAGGTGGGCCTGCGGAATTAAAAATTTTGAGCGCGTATCATTCTTGTGGACTCCCGTGGGCGAAAGCTGCACTGAGAGAAGCTATGACATTGGCCATGGACGCTCCATCCCTTATGATAATCCAAGCGCTGCAGTGTCTGCAACTGTATTGGTTTGGTATTGGCCAGCCTCACCGAGGCAATTTATGTCTTGGTAAGTTCTTGCGCCCATGACCAACCCTAACTCACATACCCAGGGATACTTGAGAATGCGGTGTTGACAAATTTACAGCACTCGCCTACCGTTCCTGCCACCTCCTTGGGTATAGCAAGAAGATTTCGGATAAAACTAATGATTCTGACGTGTCGCTCGAATCAGAACTTGGCCGTCGATGCTTCTGGGCTTGCTGGACATCTACAAGCATTGTCATGGAGCCAGAACCCTACATCAAATCATCCTGGCAAGAGGTGGCCATGGTGCCACTCCCAGGTTTAATTTCCAATACATCATCAGGTTTTAGGATAACTCTTAGTGAGAAAATGGATGGGGATTGGTGTTCAAGTGTCCTGGAATCTGGTACAAGGACCGATACTCCCCCTGGAGCTGCAGCACTCTTAATGAAAATGGTGGGCTTATGGTAAGTGCATGTGTTGACCCTGGGGACTTTAATCCGCCATGGAGCTCATTGAATGATTGTTTCTTTAGGGCAAAAGCCCAACTTTTGTGCAAGGATCATGCCTCTTCTCCGATTGCTCAAAATTTCGACTCGGGGAAGAAATTAACTCACCTGGCAACATCATTATTTGAGGATGCGGTCTCGCTGAGAAATTCTGGATATCAGAATGATTTGACCTCCGAAGTTGAAGTTATATTGCTCGTGCATGATGCCCTTTACCACCAGTGCCAAATGACCATACACTCGATGGTTGTGCCTTTGTTTTCGGGCATCTCTACTGACCCCAAAATTGACATTGATACGCAGAGACAAAGTGCAGAGACTGTCACAAAACACGCAGACCTATTTCATCGCCTATTGGAACCTTATCTCTATGGTCAGCGTCATGTTTCACACCTACCTCCTCTTGTCGGCTATGGTGCTTTTGTCGCAGGTATTGTGCTTCTGGCTACGGAAATTTCCTGTCAGAATAAAGAGGACAATGGACCTCCCACAGAAGCGGGTAAAAAGGGTTGCAGACTAGCTGCTGTGAAATCAATCTTGCACTTATTAGATAATCTTCGAGTCTATTGGAGGGCCTTGCAACGTCCGGTAAGTCATGTCTCTCTTATGTACCATCGATTTGGTATCGTGCTCTAAAACTAAAGATCTACAGTGGGAAACCTTGCATGCTGCGATGCAAACAGACCTTTCGAAGTATAAAAGACGACCCAGACCAACAGACTCACGAGGCAGTATGTCGGACACGCATGCCATTTCAATTTGAAATCGTAATTTTATAGACTAATCCCTGTTTAGACCAACCATCGACACACTTCAATGACCGCGGACCTCCCGAAATGTCCGCAAGAGTTAATCAAAACATGGATTTCTCGAATGAACAGCTGCAACTCTCAGTGGTTAACAAGAGTGCAGGAGAAGGATTTTATACCCAACAAAGCTCCCACCCCGCTAGTGCCAACGGCAATGAGTTTGAGGCTCCAGGTGAGATAGGAACAAGTGACTCATTGATGGGCCAGATCAATCTACCACACGATTATGACTGGTATAGCTTGTCTTTCGAGGAGGCTGGAGTTGAGCAGTTTGCTGGGCTTGAACCTTCCACCCTTTTCCAACAAGGTTGGAGCACATTTGGCTAGTTTCGCACCATTGCAGGGTTTACTTTTTGACTTTAAATTAAATCAAAGCTGAATTTATCTAATGTATGAGACTCTACAAAAGAGCAGGGCGATATCAACAATTTCTCGGATTGAATTACCTCTGCAGAACTTATGGTTGAACGTTGAACAATTTTCATATATTGCTACTGAAAACTATGCCCTGACCCATCACTCTGTAATGATTTCAGACAATCATTTGAGCGAAACTTATTATTTCGGGGGAATGATAGGCAAAGTGATGTAGTTGACATAATCCGATCCGAAATGAATGCAATTCTGACCTTTGAAGACCGTTTCCGACCTAGAGAACTGTTAGATCGAATTATCGCCTTAGAAAGGAATTTCTATGTCACAGCCGTACCTGTCAATGGAGTCGTCGTGACCCCAAAATCCAGTCCCTGCGGTGTCTCCCGAGCTCACTTCTAGAACTAACCGACCCCCAGTTTCAATAACCACATTTGTCGGCCATATCTCCACATCAACAGGGTACACCTCATTGGGAATCACAGGCAAAACATCTGTAGAATAGAAATCCCGATATGGTAGCCAAGAACGGTGTCGCGCATGCTGAGGATTGGTTTTGCGGAGAGACACACGGAGCCACCCCTTGGTCACAGGGACGGGTTCCCCTGCAGAGCCCGTATAGGAAATTTCTTCGCCAGACGGTGACAAATGACGCAGGCTGATAAACAAGTCCAAGCCAGATGGAGAGCTTCCCCATCGGTCCCTGCTGACAGAGACATTCAGGTGAGCCACAATATGTCCAGTAATCTCTGTTTCCGACTCGAAGGGCGCTGATGTGAAATTCAAAATATCAGAAGGTCGACCTTTACCTAGGGCTCTGTAACTTAATTTTGTGGCCAGTGGCTGCCCTGGTCGGACGTATTGAAGCCCTTGATCTGCTGTAAGGAAAAAGGGTGTGTATTCTGTCCTCGCCAATGGCCATTCACTTTCCTTTCGGCGAGTGAAACTTTTCTCTCCCGCTGGATTATTATACCCAACGTTTCCTTGGCGCAGAATTAGATCAACTGCAGGAAGTGCTCCTTTCGTTGTCCATCCCTCTCGGTCTTCTTCTTTCAGCCAAGGATCGAGGAAGCTTCTTTGGACTTCTACTTCTTCGGGATAGTAGAAGGGTAGATCGTGCCGTCCGACGATAAACCGCAGATATTTGAACTCAGATCCCGCCCATAAATACCCATTCACATTTCCTCGAAGATGTAACAAACTCCCCCCTAAGTTGGCCACGCTTAGAATGGGGACAGTGATATCTTCCAGGTTGAAGTTGAGGGCCGCTAGTTGTTCATCATCTCGATATCGCTGCTCATGCAAAACAGCTTTGTGTCTGTTTGCATCTAATTCATCGGCTGTGAGATCGCCCTCAACAGTGTCTGGGCCCCAGTTACGTGCTGCCCGCCCGGGTAGCCCGTACTGGTTCGGTGCGACCTGACGAGCGTACCACATGTCAAAGAATTTGTTCGATAGGATACCACCATGTCGCAAGGATTCATTATAGGGATCAGAGAATCCTTCCCATGGCACAATGGCCGATAGACCTCTCGGCTGGCGGGCCGCAACCTGCCATTGTGTGGCAGCATAGTAGCTGACGCCGAGAAGGCCGACTTTTCCAGAGGACCAAGGTTGCTGAGCAGCCCACTCAATCACGTCACAGAATCCATCGATTGCAGTCGCGGATTTCACGTCCAACACACCGGGAGACTGTCCGATACCGATTTCGTCTGCTCGCACGACAACATATCCGTGATCGGTCCAAAAGAGGGGGGTCGGAGTCTCCCATGCAGAATGCTCTGTCTGGTGCGCTGTGTCGACTTCTGAAAAACTTTTCGGATTGAATCTATTGTTTGACTTAGCGATATTGATCCTTTGCTGAATAATTGTAGTTCACATACTGCTCATAGGAAACATCTTTGCCATACGGACCATATGTCATAAGCACGGGGAACCGGTTCCCCGCTGAAGCTGCCTTGGGCTTATACACATTGCAGCGAACCACACCACCGTTCCCCAAAGGCACAGACACGTTCTGCTCAAGGGTATATAAAAAGCTCGTTGAGTTAACGGTTTGGATGTCACGGTATTGGTTGGGCATCTTGGTTTGGTTCCTCTGTTTCACGGAATAGTAAGCGGACGGTTTGTACCTCGGGGTGGTTCGAATGAAAGACACGCCTCCAATCTGTAACAAAAAAACCCACCTTAGCAAAGATCGTCAGCCTAGGAATCGAATAGATGTTGGGAGCAGAGCGAACAAGGAAATTTGACTATATATTGAATGTGCTCGGTGTTCGCGCAAACTTACCGACTAAACGCGGTCTCTACCAACGCCGAGCCCCGACTGCCCCGAATGCCAGCCGGTCCGAATCTACGTCTATTCGGACCGACTCCATAAGAATGAACCAAGTTTGAGCTCACTGTCACAGGATGGAAGGAGAGTTCTCCACGATGAGATCCGTGTTTTACAATCATGTGATACCCGATCAACTTCCTATTTCACCTTCCATTGTCCCCTCTATCAGGATCGGTCCTTCATAGTTTCCACCTCTTTTTTTCAAAAGCTTCCAAACCTTCCACTACCTGCTGCCAATGCTTATCAATCATTTTTTCAAATCCAACGAGTCCTTCAGCTATGAAGCACTTCGAGCTGCCGGCTATAGCAACTATGGCGGTGCAGATCTTGGTGAAGTGATAGCTATCTGCTCCAAGATCCGGCCTGGGAACGAAGAAGACTGGGTGCGCGAATGGCAGAAAGCTGCGGAACGTTCATTCTCTTATGCAGAGCACTCGGAATCGGTGCAAAACAAAGAAAGTGCCTACCATGGATACCTTCGCGCATCGAACTACTTCCGTACAGCCGAGTTTTATCGCCGAGAAAATGTCGACGAAGACAAAATATCACATTTCCTATATGAAAGATCGGAGACTGCATTTGTAGAGGCGATGAGGTTGTCTACATTTGCCTATGAGTCGATTCGCATTCCCTACGAAGGGACATCATTACCAGGATACTTTGTCAGTCCTGACAACACCAAAGCGCCACGACGCACAATTATTTTCAACGGGGGTTATGACTCAACAATGAGTGAAGGGTGGTTTGCGATTGGAGCAGCTGCTCTAGCAAGAGGCTATAACTTCCTCGCCTTCGATGGCCCCGGACAAGGTGCCGCTATCCGACGACAACATTTGCACTTCCGACACGACTGGGAGAATGTGCTCACCCCTGTTGTCGACTATGCTTTGACTCGCATGGACATCGACCCCAATGCCATAGTCATTTTTGGATGGAGCATGGGTGGATACCTAGTAGCACGAGGAGCTACGCAGGAGCATCGGGCCCGGGCTCTCATCCTAGATGATGGCGTGTACGACTTTGGTTCTGCATTCCGAGCCCACCAACCGTCCTTCATTCAAAGGCTGGTTGAAAACAAATACGACTTGATTTACAATGGGATATTCCACTGCGTGCAATCCTTTTCGACTGGGATTCGGTGGGCTTTGCGCAACGGGAAATGGACGTTCGGTGTGGAATCTGCTGCAGAACTGAGTCGCGCTGTCAACAAATACACTTTAGAGGGGATTAGTCAAAATATTGAGACACCGTGTCTGATAATTGACGCAGAGAATGATCACTTCCTGAAAGATCAACCAGAGGTGCTTCGGAAGAATCTGCACTGCGAAAACAAACTTGTCAGTCTGCGAGCAGACGAAGGTGGAGACACGCATTGTCACCAAGGAGCCTTCTTTCGATTGCATCAAGTTGTCTTCGATTTCCTGGAACCACGCCTGTCCCCAGATGGAAAAATGTAACTATTGAGGAAATGTGCTATCTTGCTTTTATCATTTCTCGTTACACCCTGGATTTTAGATAGCTCTCAATGCATAATCATAATAGTGCAATTCGTGAAATTTGTTCTGTCTTATGCCTGATAACTTCCACCTCTTTTCAGTGGTTATGGAGAAACGATGCCCAAGTCATAGCAGGAATTCTTCATTCGCCACAAAATTGGAAGATCAGATATTGACGTATGGTTACTGGCATACATATAATTAAACCGAATGACTATTTGTATCCCTGATAGCACCCCTCAGAGACCGGCCAAATTTTCATGGGAAAGCATGGGTGCCGAATCAACTTCACCATGCGAGAGGAAGAAAGCGATATAGAAGATGGAGCCAGATAAAAATTGACGTACGAGTCGGGTAGAAGATAAGCTTCATCAAGAGGAGTTCATAATAAGAATAATAATAACTGTGTGGCGCTATCTGCAAATGCATCATGGAACCCATTACATTCCATCCACTCTACTGCACTGGTGATCAGGGCAGATGTGGAGTAAAATTTATTGAGGTCATTCAAATCTGAGACTAGTGTCAGCTAACAAACTCGTGTAGTTTTGCGATGGCTGAAGCGAGAATCTACACTCTTCTTCATGGAACAGCTGTAAGGAAGTAGGTATTGTTGTACCTAGAAATAATCAGCCTGAGACGAAGATAAGCCACGGTAGATCGTACTTTTTTTGATACAAATCATTTGTGGATCTGCTACATTCCCACTAGATTCTGCCTGTTCGTCATAGATGTCATAGTCGTTTCCAAGGAGTTCCTGCATCAAGCAGGTGTTAGGTCTGAAGATCGGACCGGTTGAATCTGGATAAAGCTGTCAGGGCTGAACGACTAATGCGACAAGGCATGCCTAGAGATATTTGTGAGGTTTTGAGGGCATTGGATAGATCAGTCCATTGTCTGCGACCCTCACACCATCTCGGAAGAAGCCATCGTCCGTCGTTTTATTATCAAAGAGCGATGATTCACGCTGAAGTTAGAACCGATACATTGTGGCTGGGACTTTGGTGTGCACCGACAGGAATGAGACATGGCGCTGACTCTTTGGTCACATGAATCTTAGGAATCTGACCCCAAATCACCCTAGGGGGATGACAACCTTATAAGCAACTTCAGGTGCAGCCCAGGGCGGCTGCCCAGGTGGAGGGCTGGTCATGAGGTATCTAATGGGAATGGCACAGACCATGTATTAAAGCTAGTTAAACCCAGAGCCGCTATAAACGCTTTCTATTTTCTATCCTTTCTTTTATTTCACTTCTTAGTCGACTGGGCTTTGTTTAATATTTTCTGATCGAAAATTCAAGGTACGGATATCTCAAGCTTGGTGGTTGGCAACCCACCACCACCTTTGGAGCTCAAACACAAAGAAGCCAGCGAATCTGGAGATATACATCAAGTCTAAAAATTATCAAAATCTGACAGAAATATCCACAAATGACTTGGTCTATGCCCTGACTTTGGCACAGCAGCACAGTCATATGAATGTGGCTGCTTACATTCTAGACTGTGGTGTCCCTGTGCGGAATTACCACGTCGAGAGTGCCATTCTCTCGACGGATTATCAGTCTCTTAGCCTAGTTATGGCCAACGGCTATAACATCAACCAACCAATTTCCTGGAATATACCTTCACTACTTATGTAAGTTCATAGCCTGTTTTCCTTATTTATGGAAGCTGATTCTTATCCACAGACGGGTCATTTCACAGCCAGGGGCTCTGCGAGTGGCTACTCGAACATGATGCAGATCCAAACGCCCAGTGCGTTCTTGATATTACCCCTCTTTCGATCGCAGTCCAAGAAGCCCCGTTTGAGGTCATAAAACTGCTTTTTGAAAACAATAGCTCTATCGAATATGGACAGCTGTTGCATTACGCGGTACGAAGGAGCAATGTCGACTATCTCGAGGTCTTAGAATTCATTTTCGATAAACGTCCGTCCATCAACCAAGTGATATTTGAGAATCACCCTACCTCTTACGACTTACGAAAACCCTTTGGGATTTAGAACTCCTCTCCATGAGGCTGTTAAACTGGGTAAAGTGGATGTGGTCGAGGCACTTCTCAACAGGGGTGCCGACCCAGCTATTCCGGATGGAATAATGGAAATCGATCGAAGAGAAAGATCCTCCAGAGTGTCTGTTTATGAATAATACATTTTATGTGCGGTCAATGTACCATAGACCTGATCTATCTTTAGGTTCTATTTGGCGCCCAAGAGATCTGTATCAATAAAGACCCTCCAAGTCTAGCATTTATTACGTGTTTCCTTTTCCTCCGCTACCCGCAGATCAACGGCAACCAGCAGAACACTTCGGCGCAATCGTACTCACTCAGCATTAAGTTGAGCGGCAGGCAGAAAATGCTTTACGTCTACATAACGTCGCTCAGTGCCGTCAAGCATTTTGTTCCTTGGTGAGGCAGTGAAGGCGTTATGTACTGTACTGAGGATAAAGCATGGAAATAAAACAGGCGGAAGAGAGCGCCGGTGGATGTTGAATTAGGTCGGATACGAATAATCTGTCTCAAGTTTCAACTTTTCCTGTCTCTTGAAAACCGCACCTTTTTAAACAAATAATTTCGTGTCCGTCGCATGGCTGAGTTACCTTCATCTTGTGACTCTGTGGGGACCCGCTGTGTGACTTCTGATGAACTTTCTGTAGAATTCGTTGGAATTGATGATTGCAGTGTACTCACGGGCTCCCCCGAATTATCTGACAGCTGGGTGATATGCCCTTCCTGTGAGATTGAGCTCGTCGATACAACACTAGGAGGGGCTAACATTTCGTTGGTGCTTGATGGATTCTCCATTCGTTCTTGTTCGGTACCATGAAGGATAGTATTGGGTAGCATCTCTTCGGGATCTTTGCTAGACTCATCGGGCCAGTGCATTGGTAACTTGCGACTATGACCGAAGATGACAGCACCCTGATCGTCATCTCCACCCAAGACAGGACTGGCAATGCGGTTTGCCAGGCGTCGGAAGTTGAAACCAGATGGAAGCAGTATTTGTGCTCGATCACATATGTTGTGAGATCGTGAATGGCAGTGACAGCTTTCAAAGAGTTTGTCTGGGTTGTGCCAAAGTATATCATCGACCACCCGCACAGGAATGTCTTCCCAATCTCCCCATTTGCGGATTATGGATTTGAGATCTGGGATACAAACAGCCAGGTGATCAGCTCCCTTTGGCATTTGGCCCCAAAAGCCGCAAGGCGTGCTTGGTGCCTGTGGGCGAATTATCTCACCAAACCCTCGGCCAAATAGAGTGACTGCATGAATGGCTCGAGTGAAGTCTATCCAGCATTTTCCAGTGGACTGGAGACCGGTGATCTTCAATAGAACCGGATCAGCACCGGTGGCGACATCCATGAAGTCGAACCCTTCCAAGTAATTTCGAGGCCTATACTTCGCCTCTAGGCCGGGCCGCCCAGCCCTGTCCATTTGATAAGTCAGGATCTGTTCCAGGAAGTGATAAATCTGTTCAACTCGGTCCTGGAGTAAAACGTGTGTCTCCTTCGTCTTGCTCACTTGTTTTGGAGAATCAGGAGCCTCAGTGCTTATTTCCTCGGATAATTCCCTTTTGTGTGGGAAGATTGGCAGTTCCATATTCTGTTGATCGATCAAAACTTCGATAGCTGAACCCGAAGCATACTCGCATGTCGGTCTCTTCAATTTGTCGAGATGAAAAAGTAACTTGGAACCAATCTTACTCTGCCGATCATCTTCGAGTGAAGCTCTCACGAGATGAAGTAAAGCACTTGCCCCATTGACAAGCCATGCTCTTCTGTCGCCGACGTCATAGAAAATAACAAACTTGGAAGATATGTCCTTGATCTGTTCAAAGTAACATCCGTTTCGCTTCAAATGCAGCGGTATGTCTTTAACACCGATGGCAAATGAAGCCCCAACGCTGATGAATTTTCCACCTGATATGCTAAATCTTTCAAGATTACACCCTGCATGAGGCTCACGACGTCCCGAGGGTCTAATATTGTAGTCCGCTTGGTGTGATCCTGCAATTGTTCAATATTAGCAAGACATTCCATTAAATATAGAGTGTTTGTCTGGCTTGAATTAGTACCTGCATGGTTCTGCGCTTTACTACACCATCCTAAAACATGTCGCAGGTGTTCAATTTCCAAAAAGTTGATTTTATCCGCCTTGACAGCTCCAAGCTTTCGTACCCGGGAGTCGACATACGAAATGCGACTTCCATCCTCATTGTAAAGCAAGTGCCACAATATGATGCCGCCAACTTTTTTGGTCGGGAAGAGAAGACTAGAAAAGCTCTTGATGTAGAGTTGTCCGTCAAAATTTGTGACACGCCGCGCCTGGATCAGGCCCGCCATCATATGCAGGGAAATCTCAAGACCGTTGTCATTATTGGCTCTGAAAAGGATAGGAAATCCTTGGACAAGAACTGGATTGTTGAACAGTCCGTGCCAACAGATACCATTCTGGAGAGGCTGCTGGTATATATGCTCCACATGAAAGTAGAGTTCATAGTGAAAGACTGCATAGGGCTCAGAGCCGTCTATCTTCTCAGCTGATGGTTGGCTCAAGACTCTGTGTATATACGGCGTACAGAAAGCAACCCCGCGGTCAAAGGGCGACGAACGTAGGGCTGAGCCAAGCCAAGCAATTTGCTCGCCAACCTCGGCGATAAAGTCAGCGGTGCCATAGACTTCCACCAGAGTCTTAGAGTTTTGTAGATAGATAGCAATCTCCAGGTCCCTTCGAAGGTGAGCTAATAGTTCCAGTATAGTAAGTATTACGAGCTGTCCAGACAGAGTAGCAAATACCCACATGCATTGAAATGGCCAGATCTATCAAGAGCAGCGGACTTCAGGGCTTGCAAAATCCATGGACCTGAAATAGGCCAAGTTTGATCAAAGTATTGGGTAGTTGTTGCTGCTTGAGCACCATCAGGGCCTCCGGTGAGGGTGATTGCTGTTGCTATTGCTTCGTCGGCTCTTTCACGGTACTCTTGCTGTGCGACAAATGCCAGAACATCCCAATCAACGTTGAAAAATGATTTGAATGTTTTGACTGGCTGTGATCTACTCACTTTGCCAGAAGAAGGAAGGGTACCCAAAATTTCTCCTCTGACAATAGAGAGATTGTCTGGATCTGCAGTCACGAGATGAAGCTTTCTTTGAAGTCGTGTAAGCAGCCACCGAAAGGCCCGAGATTGCACTAACTGTTGGTGGTCTATACTCAGGCCATTTTCGACGACAGTCGGATTTTCAGGTTGGGCACTTATAAGTGAAATATCATGGTTTGAAGAGGATGCCAATTCATCATGGACAAAGTCACTCTCCGATACTGGGGGTTCTAAATCCTCTGGAATTCCCTCAAAGTACCTGTCAATAATCTCTTTGTTTGACATGATGTCTTCTTGACTATTTTCCCGTTGTTTGGAATGCCATTTCTGCCGAAAAGATGTTGCGATCTCCCTTGCTGCTGTGTTAACCTTCAACAATAACGATGAATAGGCTGTCTGATAAATGGAAATCAGCACTCACTGGCGGTATTGACGAATAAAGACCATTGCATCTCGAGCTACTTGTGACTTGATTTCAAATTCGAGCTGCATCGCAAAAAGTCTTAAGAGCTCTTCTAAAGCACCTGAAACCCTGTTCAGGGCAGAGACATCGGGCAAATCCTCCTCCAAATGTTCCAAAAGAACATCTGAAATTTCGGAAATGTATTCGTCGGCGGACGTTACGTCAGTGCGGGCCGAATAGATGCTTTCCTCATCTGAGACTTCGCCAGTTAAGTTTTCACTAAGGTCTGCGAAAACCTGACTCATCGAATTTGGCGCTGTCTTCACATTCGTCGATGATTCGAAGGTAGGCTTGGTTGATGAATATGTTCCATGATTCCGGAAGCCCCGGTCGAAAATGGAAGCTTGATGCATGCTCCCAATACTTTCATACTCTCTACCCTGGCCGTTGACATCGACTCCTCGCTCGAGCAGCATCTGCACGATCTTGTCATATCCCCCAGAACATGCAGCCTGCAGGGCATTTCCGTAGTCTCCACCGTGAGCGTTAACATCGGCTCCGTGCTCTATTAGTATCTGCGCAATCTTGTCATATCCTCCAGAACAAGCAGCCTGGAGGGCATTTCCGTAGTCTCCACCCTGAGCGTTAACATCGGCTCCGTGCTCTATTAGTATCTGCGCAATCTTGTCATATCCTCCAGAACAAGCAGCCTGGAGGGCATTTCCGTAGTCTCCACCCTGAGAGTTGATATCGGCTCCGCGCTCTATCAGCATCTGCGCAATCTTGTCATGTCCTCCAGAACAAGCAGCCTGGAGGGCATTTCCGTAGTCTCCACCCTGAGCGTTAACATCGGCTCCGTGCTCTATTAGCATCTGCGCAATCTTGTCATGTCCTCCAGAACAAGCAGCCTGGAGGGCATTTCCGTAGTCTCCACCCTGAGCGTTAACATCGGCTCCGTGCTCTATTAGCATCTGCGCAATCTTGTCATGTCCTCCAGAACAAGCAGCCTGGAGGGCATTTCCGTAGTGTCCACCCTGAGCGTTAACACTAGCTCCGTGCTCTAACAGCATTTGCACAATGTTACCATGTCCTTCGGAACAAGCAGCCCGTAGGCCATTTCCGTGGTATCCGCCTAGGGCGTTGACATCGGCTCCGCGCTCTAAGAGCATCTGGATGATATTATCGTGTCCTCGGGAACAAGCAGCCTGGAGGGCGTTTCCGTATTCTCTACCCTGGCCGTTAACATCGACTCCTCGCTCGAGCAGCATCTGCACGACCTTGTCATGTCCTCCAGAACATGCAGCATGGAGGACATTTCCGTAGTGACCACCCTGAGCGTTGATATCGGCTCCTCGCTCGAGTAGCATCTGCACGATCTTGTCATATCCTCCAAAACAAGCAGCCTGGAGGGCATTTCCGTATTCTCCACCCTGAGAGTTGATATCGGCTCCGCGCTCTATCAGTATCTGCGCAATCTTGTTATGTCCTCCAGAACAAGCAGCCTGGAGGGCGTTTCCGTAGTCTCCACCCTGAGAGTTGATATCGGCTCCGCGCTCTATCAGTATCTGCGCAATCTTGTTATGTCCTCCAGAACAAGCAGCCTGGAGGGCGTTTCCGTAGTCTCCACCCTGAGCGTTGACATCGGCTCCATACTCCAGTAAGACTCGTATAACATTCTCGTGTCCAATCGACGAGGCCCACATCAACGGACATGAACCCCCACTATCTGCTGCATTTATATCGGTATCCTCTCTAGTAAGCAGACGGCGGATCACTTGCTCATGCCCGTTAAAGGCTGCGAGATGGACTGCATTCATGGTAGGCAAGCTTGTATGTGGCATCATTGTCTTCCAAAATATCGGAAACCACAGCCAGAATCGGTTTGTAGTGGTGTTGTATAACTGGGCCAGCAGGTCGTTCGCTTCCTGGTTCATAGACGAAGCCATATGTCTCACATGATAGGGCCAAAATACTGCTGAGTATTCTAGAAAACTTTGATAGTGTGAGCTTGTCTGAACTTGATCGTCGTTTAAATCCTCCATCGATAGGTATCTCATACAGATATGAGCCATTTGGTCCTCAGTGTCGCTCACGGTGAACGAGTATGCGATATTGAGTTTGTTCAAACTTCCGTTTCCAAGGAAAAACTCTCTTGCAGTCTGATGAATGAGGTAGATCTTGGAGTTATTGGTAAAGACAAAAAGTCCACATAGACGACGGAGTCTCTTGCCTATCAGCGATGAATCAAGACCAGCTTCCGCTGTAGTTCGTGATTGTGGAGAGACGGCTATACCCAGCGCCATAGCCATTTCCACTGTTGTCAAAGGACGCCGTGCTGCAATGATGATCTGAAAGACCTTTCTCGCAGTATCCGATTGACTAGAAGGGACCCGACCAAGAATCCTTTCGTATGCCTCATTCACTGAAGGGGGTATCATTCGGATTGATTCATTGGCAGGCCGAAGGCTATTCTCGAATATAGATCGAATATCGTCTATAGCTAGATATAGCCATAAATAAGTGCGGTGTTCCATTTGAAGAAGCTGTTGCTCGAGTCGCTGCGTTATATCCTGTGGCAGTCGTGCAGTCTCGGCTAGCTCTTTAACTCTTATCTTCACAACAATATCGATCTCCTTGTGGATTTGGGAATTCTCTTCCTCTCCCTTTAGATGTAAATGCGGGAAAGAGTCTGTTATCGCTGTGAAGTGATTCTGGATATGGTCGTAGGGGCGACTAGTGACTAAGAATTTCAAACAGGCATCTTGTGTTGATGATGATGACTGGCGTTGAAATAAATCGAGCTTCCCAATCAATCGACCCTGATCAACCTCCCGGCATTCATCAAGCGCATCCAATATACAAATCGTCTTGCATGATGCTTCGGCCGATGTGGCCGTTACAAAGATACGCCAAAGCTCCTCAGTCTTGTGTCGGAGCTTGTCCCCATTCTTTACCCAAGACGGTATCGCATGGTCCAATAGATACGGCCGCTGGGTAAAGAGCTGATGGAGTACTGAGCATAGCGCTGTATCAAGATGATCCTGTTCGTCATTGTCCTTGAAAAAAAAGTAACATATCACCACTTCTGGACTAGAAGCTTGCAAGTAGTCATCGATAATAGATCTTGCTAGTACAGACTTTCCGCATCCCGGGTCGGCTGATATCCAGAGGAGATCGTTACTGCTGCTCTCCCACCAACGAAGGTATTCGGAGTTCTGTAGCACCCATTGACATGTTCCTTCTGCTCGTCTTGGATTGATGTTCTTTTGCTCTGCATAATTACAAATTTTGAGAGCTGCGTAACAATGTTGTTGCTGATCTGTGAAAGCTCCGGTGACCCGCTCATGATGATGTTGTTCGTGTTGATTGTATGCTCGGTCTAGGCGTTGGTTCGTGCCCCTGATTTCGTCCCTTGATTCGTCTATATATACAGAACCATATAAGTAAGCCGGACTTGATTTAAGATTAATATATGTTTGATTTCACTTACTGCATGTATCCACCGCCAAGCTTTCTTGTGAAACATGGCTTGCACGGATATATCCTAGTAGCTCTTTAGCATATGATGCCGCTATCATGGCTGCATACCCTTGCCACTGCTTGTTTTTATGCGAATCAGCGTAATCACAAATTCCACGGATAACGAGACAAGGAAAGTCATTCATCAACCCAGCTGCCTCCGTCTCAAAGCACAATGCTCCTGTCTTCGACCTCAGCTGCTCCCTAGTCTCCCCATGTTTGATAATAGAATTTCCGGACGCAATGATACCATAGTGAGGTTGGGGATTTCTATCCTCGCGTTCACTTCTTATCTCTTCCCATTCCACTAGACATCCATTGCAGCTATTCGCATTCACAGGATGATCGTGCTTTGCCTGAAATAGTCGATCGCACTGTGTAGCAGGTCGGCCGAAACTTTTCCGAGTTTGTGCGGTACTTCCAATCGCACTTTGGAGATATTCCAGGTAGCGGGGTTCATTGATTAGCGCGGCAGCTCTCATCGCGCTAAGTGCAGTCAATAGTGCCCTCGGAGGACTATTCAACGAGCCGGTTCGTTCAAAATCACCACCTGTAACAACTTTTCCCATATCATATTGGATCACCCCACCATAAGTGCCCTGGGGGTGGCTGATCACGACATCGCCGAGGCGAATGTCATGAGCAACCGAGGGAATTCCGCTCCCAATACCGACCATCAATCCAATCCGAAGTGACTTGGAGAATGTGTGAATCATATTAGTCACGATAGTAGTGGCTGAGGTAGTTCCGTATTGGCCTCCGGAAAGGCAGGCGATCACAACATGGTGTTTGCCAATTCGGCCCAACGTGTAGGTATTTGTGTCCGCTGGATCTTGCTCCTCGAGAATCCCAAAATTCTCGTCCAGAATTTCAGCGGCAGCAGCGGCTTCGATCGGGAGGGCGCAGATCCAGCCAATCTGAAAAGCATCTCGTGGAGGGCAGGCCATATTGAAGGCCTAGCGTAGTTGGTTGGAACAAAAGTTCAGTGACAACAGTTATTAAAAAACGTTGAGAATATTCGGGAAGTTTGATGAATCGTTGACTCAATCTCCAGAAGAGAGGAGCCTCATGGCATGGCAGAGGGGAGCAGGCCCGTCACCGGCGCAGCTCCGCCCCAGCTGAAGGACAGTGCAGCAGCGCGGCAAGAGATAAATTGCTATTGGCGAAAGGCGCCAGCCCGCTGTCTAGCGCGTCCCTCGTGTCACTACTATGGTCCGTGAGCCCCAACCGAAGATATCCGACACGACTGGAGGAAACATGATCCACAATATTTATTCCATGGTATTAACGAAGATGATTGACCTCTATTCCCGTTTGGGAAAAACGTTGAAGGCGCTCACAAATCTGCGTCTTGCTCCCAATTACGAAGATGCGAATGAAATCGATTTCTAGAATTGCTGCTCGAATGCCATAATCATAATGGCATTAATAATCGTATATTGTAGGTTGATGTTTAGGTATTGACGCGATTTAATAGTTATTCATGGACGTGTCCTTCAATGGTCCGTCAGGAAGTTGAGGCGGCAACTATCGATAAATCTTTCATAACTAGTCAATTGTCCTACAAGACCTGAATCACGTGCATTATGCAGGACCTGCACACACTCCAACCAAAAAGCCAATCTTACAAGTGTTTAGTAAAATATGACACTGTAATTTTGCTGTCAAATACCGCTCAATACATTCAAGAGGGAATTTATATTGATATCTGTCAAATAAAATTTGGCACTAATGCCTTGGGAGTGGGTCCCGAGAAACCAAAAGCGGTCGTCAAGGAGGAAGCAAATTTCGCTAGTGACTGTATAGCTCCATGGGGATAAAGAGAAAAATCTAAATATTTGCAGGTAATCAAGCAAAGCCTTGCGAATTCCTTGCTGCCTGGATGCCTCAGTACGCCATTACCTTGACCACTGAGTGCATCACTACTTCGTACAAGGACTAATTAATCCACGTCACCGAAAATGCACATAGTTCTGTTTGAATCAAATATCGACAGGTAGGCTGCATGGATTTCCAAAACAGGAAAGAGACTGTGTGTTGTCAAGTCTGACATATACCCCGGAGCCTCAAGCCAACTGACAAAAGCCCAATCATTATCCAGGAAGGTGACGACCTTGGCACTGCACGTATGTTCATGCCTACATGCAGCTTTTCAGACCTCTTTTTGCCCTCTTTGTGGTTCTTTGTGGCTTTCAAGCCTTTGTCCCTTTGTCCCCATGAAGCTATTTAGAGAACTTCATGGTAGTATGGAGTAGTTAGATCATGATCAAAATCTTATTGCACTTCTCTCACTTCCTTGCTGCATTAGACACGCAAATTATGCGCATCACGGTGTATTGTCAAGTCTGACGTGTCTCCTGGAGCCTCAGGCAAAGGGCCAATCATCATCCAAGCAACGCAACTACCTAGGTACTGCGCATATGACTGACCAACGAGATACATGCTCCCCTGTTATATACCCCGTTGTTGCCCATTGCTGTGCCCAGTTCTGCGCCCAGTCCTATTCGCAATTGTCAACCCCGCACCACGACCTTGGAAGGCATCTTGGTAATCGCTTCCAAGGTGGTTTCCTCTATTATAAATACCCTCATTATCTCCCTACAACATAGTGATTTATTCTCCAATCACTTCTACTTCTATCCATCAATCTTTATCATTAACCAACCTTTTTCATTGGAACATAGTACATTATGGAGGGACATCGTGTCTTTCCTTTCCTCCCTTCGGATGAGGAACTCCAGCTCTTCGAGGAGAAGATCAAGTATCGGTTCACCGACCGTATTTGGGCACGGAAGGCACTTCAAACCTCCAGCGCTTTCAACGAGGATGGCAATAAGACTCTTGCCATGATTGGTGACGCAATTCTCCGCTTGGTTATTGTGGACCATGGTCACCAGGAAAAAAAGACGCGAGGTAAGTATTTCGCCCACACTGGCTACTTTATTTCACGGACTTATGATTTCGGCTTTGATTAGGGGAAATATCGAATATGATTACCAGGAAGGCCAGCAATGCCTATCTTTCCGATCAGGGATTTGATCTCGGCATTGGCGAATTTATCATCATGAACCCCTCCCAGTTTGTCATTGGACACAATGTCATGGCCGCCACCATGGAGGCGATCATCGGGGCAGTGTACCTCGACTGCAATCAGCAGATCCAGCCATGCGCCGATGTAATGGCCGCTTTGGATCTTTCTTGGACCGAGTGAACGCCAATCACCTGCTACGGTGACATACAGAACCCCCCGACGTGGGGGCCGGCGGGGACGATTACAGCCTGTGGGCATTTTTCATTCGACAGTGGGGTGGCTTGCAATGACCTGCATGCCACAGCACTATTAAATGGGTCTTTCCCATGCCTGTATTCGACCCCGCTGGATCCCACGCCGGGGGGTTCTGTACATTTCCGTGGTCTAGAATTGGCTTCTCTGAGGACAAACCGAGAGAGATTGTGGCGGGGAGGATGAGAATTGGTATGGATTTTGAGAACTAAGGAGAGAATTGAAATATCTGTTGCACTGATTCTGGTATTATGATCGCTTTGTAGTCATTGCTCGAAACACGTATGTTTTAGGCATGAGCCGTCTCCCCCGTATGTGTAATTATTTGGTCGGCTTAGAGCACGGTAGGCTCCGACAAGGCTTTCAATAGCACAACTCTGACTGTGGCAAGTGTCGACAAGTTTATGAATGCTGATGCACCACCAGTCATTACATTAAAGTTGCTTAAATTGAACTGGTAAACGAGACAGTGAATTTCTCAATTTCAAAGGTAACAAACTGAGAAGTGGTGGTGGCCTTAGGCCGCAGGTGATGCCTCACGCATCAACCCGTCGTTGCTAGATAGATAGGCGGTTTGCTTCCTGTGGAAATTAACTCTCTCCCTCCTTTCCCTTTGGTCCCTACATAGTAGAGCCCCAAGACTTATATTTACCTTTTAGATTACTAAATGACTCTTTACTTGATTATAACTTGACAACACTCACGAATAGAATAATACCTTGGTATAGATCTATTCGGCGCTCTACCTAGCACCGTTCCTCGATACCCCGAAAGGACCTATCCTACAGTAAGACCTATTAGGCAACAGTACGATTGAGAGAACAGATCCTCGACGCTAGCCTGAGAAGCATAAGGCAAGTATAACCCGGAACCCTTCTAACCTAACTGTGACCAGTTTGTAGTGCGTGACAGTAGGTAGGGTCATTCCCTCACCATTTTGAAGGCATTTGTGCAAATCTTAGATTGTCCCTTATAGACCACATGATGCACGTTAATCATCCGATCCCGCAACCTTGCGCTGAGCTCATGTGTGAAAATCAAACCCCGTCAATATCAGCCACATTATTGAACTGACCCTAAATAGGTGCATCTTGTACACAATGTTCTTAGTAGTGTGAGATCTCAATAAAATCAAATGAGTTGAAAGATAATAAAGCTATGGCCGTGATCGCTTTAATCTACATTGCAGCCTGTTGAAACATGGCTTGTACGAGATCACTTCGTTTCTCGGGGGAGGACGCAATACCTAAATAAAGATTAGCCTAAGTCTTGTACAATACTTGGGTATGAAGGCTGGTCCGACAAATCACGACTCACAGATGGCAAACTCATCCTCTATTCCTCCAAGCTTAAGATCTGCAATTCTTTTGGTGAAGTCTTGAGAGTCGAATTTGTCCATGTTCCGTGAAATCTTGAAATATACCCATAATCTTTCGGGAGGAAATGTCATGAAGAAGTCTTGCCGGCTTTCGCGAACAAAGAATTTTTCTCTATCTGTAAGACGAGAAGTTTTGAGAGCTCGATCGACCTTAATCCTCAAAAGCTCTAAAAGGCCAGCTTGGTGGACGTCGTTCCAGAAGGTCCTTTGGCTTGCTCCTGGGCATAATAACGTCAATTTAGGAAGGATCGAATGCTCATACCGGCTATCATACCTGGCTTCAAAAGCAAATAAGCTCGAGGCAGTAGTCTTTCTGTCCCCAGATTCTTCAAAAGCCCGATTCCAACTTCCAGTGCAACGATGGATGACATATGAATATGACCTTGGTCAGGCGGAAAAATAGGTTCAATAATAGTTTTTCTGCAACTGACAGAGCTCCCAAGATCACGGCAAATTTTCTCTAGTCTGGTTAGGTATAGGTGACGTTTCTCAAGGGGATCGAGGATAGCTTTCATGCCATCGATATCCACTTTGAAATAGTTCTCTATGTTAGCTTTCAGCGATGCTCGAGAATGACAGACAATTGATGAGGTGGCATGCGCTTCTTCTAGGAAAAGATTGTTGATAAGTGTCGTATGACGTGATGGAAGTTTGAAGCACTGAAATTGGAACCTATCGGTCTCACGAAAGGAAGCACGCAAAGAGGTCGCGGAGGTTATATCTGGCGCAGCATATATAGCGTGACATGGTTGAATGGGAAGATCTTGCAAAATCGATCCTGCTTTGTCCGGATGGAGATGTTGAGATTGAGTAAACACTGCAAATTGTTCCCGTAATTCCCGAAGTCCATCACTGTCCTGGCCTTGTGAAGGAAGAAGGTGACTCCGTAAGACAATGATAAGCTTAGGGGACAATGGGGCAAAATTGTGGTACTCGGTGTAGTTGCTCTCCACCTTTCCGGTAATCGGATTTATTCTCCTTGTCGACGGACCTTCAAAGATGCAATACGCATTTTGAGTCAACAGAAATTCATCCGCCGAGATAGCTGGCTCGCAGAAAGCGATGAAACTCTATATGAAATGTAGTTCCATCATCATAGCGTCGTCAGGATACATTTGAGTTTTCAGAGTATCCATCCAGCTCCTTGCGGAGTCCATCTTAACATCCAAGAACCGACGCAAGTTATCAAACCACACATCACGCGGTCTTTGAAATCCACTGGATTCCATATAACTCAACATTCTTTCCCGGTCATCCTCCTGGTACTCATCAATGCGGTCATGGTTATACCGGTCGAACATGCCCGAATTTCGATACTTCATCAGAAACAAGAATTTTCGTAACCTATCAAGCTCAATCCGATTGAGTTCGAGGGTCAAGCTTCGAGAAAATTGGTTGTGTGCGCGCCGAATAATCTCGCTCACTTGACGCTCGAGATCTGAAAACTTGGTAAGGATTCTCATCGAAACCGGGGTCTCGATACATGTCGACGAGGGCAAACTCGGTCGAAACTGGTCGCTGAGTCAAAACGGATCTTTCAAGATCAATCTTGTTCACCAGGAAGTCAAGACGCTTTCTGGTTTTCTTCTTTTTACCCCTATTTGCCGGCCCTGCTGGGGGTTGATCTTCCGGTGCAAACTTTCTCAAGATAAATCGAGGGATGAAATGGTGCTTTTGCTTTGATGGTGCCATCTTGGGCGTCAGTTTGTCTCCTTCACATTATTTGCTTAAATGCGAAGGGAATGCCATTCCATCTTATATGCGAGTGCATTAGGCGGCACTTTGACTTGCAGGTCCGTCTTCAGGCAACTGTCTTTCCCCTTGTTCAAGTTCGCTCTTCGTATTCCCGGCGGGTATTCATTGGATTGTAAGGTCTGAGATGGACAGCCACCAGCGCATGTTCAATTAAAACACACAGACCAACTGACGCTACTGTATCGGGCACCCCTGAATTGACCGATTCGCGTCCTTGCCGCTGCCAATGTGCAGGGGGTCGTGTCAAATAATTGCGGAGCTGGTAGATCATCCAGTAAACCCGGCGGTTATGGGGCTCGGTCGTCCGCATCATTGGTAAAAATGGCTCATCTCCAGCATCAGCATACCAATGGGAGTAAAGGGAAAGGCAAAGGCAAAGGGAAAAAAAAGGAAAGGGGGTTGATAATGATATGATTGGTGCAGGCGTTCGGGAATAACCATAGGTACCTACCTAGGCACATAGGTACGCTCAGCCGCTTTGGTTACCCCTCCAAGCTGACATATTCTTATACTGAAACCTTGGAAGAAACCAGATCTCTCTGTGATAAATAACTTCACAGAGCCGATCAATTGTTCATCACAACTATGTTGCAATGTCAAAAGTCTTTTCTCATGAACACTACACTGTGGTGTGGATCTCTACGCTGAGAGTAGAGCTGGGCCCCGCGAAGGCTATGCTGGGTGAAATTCACGAACCTCTCGCTCATTCCAGAGCCGATAACAACATATATACACTAGGTAGAATGAATGGGCATAATGTGGTGATCACCTGCTTTCTGTTCGGTGTTTATGGGACAATATAGTATATCAGGCCATTCGACTATAAGAACATTTAAGGCTGTTTCACGGCCACTTGATAGTTCTATCCTTTTCATAATACTAACGAAAATCCGTAAATTATCCTTAATAGATGACAGTAAAGCCCTAGAGCGAATCTCACCCTTTTCTCGGTTTCATCTAATCCGTATAACAGTCTAACCTGAGCGCTGCTGCCAGGTTAAAACCCACGTTGGCTTAGGTTCAGATTTATTCTTCTTTGTTGATAGACTAGCTAGATGTCAGAACCGACGACGAGTATAGAACTTCTTCACAGATAGAGCGCACGGAGTAAGCAATTGTGCATAGTCGACGAAAATTGTTCGCCGAAGTCTGACGCCCATTCTCGACTATCGAACTTTCATATGTCCTTCCCCGTCTCATCCATCTGTCTTGTCCCTATAGGATTGCGAGTGACTAGAAAATACCCCGAAGCAAGGCCTTAAGAAAACCATCTTTCTTTGCAGCAGACTTTGGAAATATTTTTCTAGTGTCGATAGTGTACTCTCTCAATGCCTTAGGACCAGGAAAATGCTTGACTTTCTTTCCTGTTCTTCGGGAATCAACCAAGTCGACTAGATTGACATGGACCTTCGCAAGAGCCTTCTCGGATTTAGCATTATTATATCTGGGGAAATTGGAAGATGTAGTCATCACCTTTCGGCACTGAGAGATACTCTCGATTGGACTCTGAGTTTTCACCTCAACGCATAGCGCCTGCCAGTTCTCTAGCTTTGTCGCGTCGGTACCGAAGTGAGACTCAAATTGGGATACGAGAAATTTCGCACGCTCTCTTGTGTATTTTTTCGAGCCTTGGTTCCAGTTCATTTGATATGCTAGGCGATCAAACTCGGCGATTGCAAAAGCTGAGTTCGCAGTTTGAAAACCTGGGAAGCGAGAGAAATAATTTGGGTTTTCCATCTTAAACTCGACTGCTGTAGTGTAGAAATTGCAAGGTAGATAGGAGAGAAATAGTTCAGTCGTAGCATTTAGCTAGGGATCTTGCGGAATTTAAACCTGAGTCAATCCAATGCATTATATATGTAGAACTTCGCCCCGGGCTTCAAAACCTGGTTGCCTCACTTTAGAGCAGCACAGTGACAGGGGTCTGTAGGCACAGCACAGCAAAATGTATGGCTCACAACTGACAACAAGTTATACAAGCCTCGCGCATCGGCGGTACCGGCGCTAATCAGATTTGTAGAGATCTTTTCATTTTTCATGGTTTGAGAGGAGGAAACAAACTGACGGACAGAAAAGAAAGGGCTTTTAGATAAAGGTCTTATATAAAGGAATCTTTTAGTTTGTTCCAAATTCTGTTTTCCATTACATATTTATTCGCCGAGTGATCTATCTCAATGTTGGGATGGGATCCTGGCCACCCTTCAGTGTTCCAAAGTCATGCAAGTGCCATCGGCTAAGGTTGGCCTCAAGGCAGATTTGGTTTCCAACTGCGCAGTTTATCTGCGACAGCATTGGCGTTCAATAGGAGCGAGAGTGGCAGGCCTTAAGCAAAGGCGGACATACTTGAAGATTCAATAACAAACTTGCGGCAGCCTACCCCATGTGGCTGTATAGTAGTCTATTGAAAGGCACAAAATGGTAGAGCGGAGCATTATGATGATATTGAACTAATGGAGGGGAGGATTCTTGAATAGTCTCTCCCAATGTTTTTATATACCCGCTTCATACTGCCCCGACCCATCCCCAGTATACTTCTGTAGTTGAATGAAGTCAAACCAATTGGTCTGCTTATTGTGTGGAGATACGGGTTTCGGAGATGAGAGTTTCCAGATGGCCAATATCCGGGTGCCGCCTGGGTGAAAGAAGGAGGTGAGCATTTGGGTGCTGGATGAGAAACAACCAGTTACGTGGACCTTGACTGAATCCAACATTCATTATTATCGGATGGCAACGTCTCATCTGATGGAATCTGCATCTAGCCGCCTCATTTCATGGGCCACATACATATTCCGCGCCACAAGGCATCTTTAGGGATACATGGAACAAACGCTCAATCCTGCCCCTTACCGCTGTTACTACTTGTGCGCGTTTTTTTTACGATAGGTCCTTGCATATCCATTCTAAATATATATTATTCTTTTTTGGCGCCATCTTTTCTTGTTCTAAATGATTCAAGCCCCAAAGTGCCTTCCACTGTAGTTGTTTGAGAGCGCTGCGGGGTTTGGGCTGCGGACTTGCTCATGTGGCGCTTATGCATGGAGGCCACTTTTCTTTCCCCCCCGCCAAATTCAGCCTCGCTTCATAATCCCGACACCTACCAACCATTTTAGCCATAGCATCATTATGCATATAACGCGAGTCAGTGATAAATTAGCAGCACAGCCACTTGGTCAGCAAGGTGGCCGGGGGCAAAGCATTGTTTGGCGCCCACCTAGAGTGACATGCTAGCTTGTGGGAGGTTGAATTCCCCTGAAAGGGCCGGTTAAAAATTCCTCATTGGGCACGAGATGACCCTATAAGAACAGAGAGACAGCAACGCAATAATCTGCAAATCTGCAATGAAATCCCCAGGTGGGAGGGGAGATTGGGGGCTCATGTATAACGCACGCATAGGAACCGGTGGTGTTAAACCCAAAGAGACCTCCACTGGAGTGGTCAGCTATTAGCTTATGTATCCAATAATATTGCGGCATTTCATCAATCCGATATGGTGGGATTTTTTGGGTACTAAAGCTTCGTATATGTGCTGCTATTGTCTAAAGATGTTTCGATTACTACTTGAGATCGGAAACATATTGACAGAAATCTAGCAGTACGACAATGTATGGACAAAAACAGATAACTAACTAAAAATGACAAAACCCGCTCTTTCAATCTTAGTATTCGACAGATAGTAGGAGGCCTAGGGAAGTTATCACGCCTGATACTTGAAGCCTCTCGCTGAGGCAGATACAACGCAAGTCAGCTATAAATACTTGGAATTAGGAGCGAAATCGAACAAGAAAATTTCCAAGGAGTTTGGAAGGCAGGGTCCTGTTGACGGAATGTATGTCTAACTACATGCATGGCAAACTTGAGCGGATAATTCTGCTGTCAGGGTTTTCAGCAACCCGGGACCTTTACCGCGATATTTTTGGTTTACACACGACGGTTTTAGCTAGGTATTGAAATTAAATGATCATTTGCGATGCTTTCATAATGGTATATCATTGGAAAAAACCTCAAGTTCGGAAGCCCGGCTCGCATCATGACTCGGTGATGTCAAGCATATATAGGAGCGCATTTCGCCTCGGAATAAATGGATGACGACGGAAATGTGGATATCAAGAATAAGATCCCTAGTTTAACAGGTAGAAAGTGGATTTCCTTCTCACGACACACGAAGACGATTTGCGTCTCCTGTGTCAGCTCGACATAGTCGTCGTTTTGCTGCCCCCGGTCGCTGCAGAGTCGGTCGACATTTCAATGTAGAGCGGTGAAAGTCAATGATCAAAGCATGCTCAAGCTCCGAGGGCTTTGATTTCCTTGTTCGATTTGTGAATCTAACGCTGTACTCCCCTCCCCCCAGACATAACGGGCATATGAAGTGATCTAAAGGAGTAGACGTAAACGTCAATTGACGCTTGGTCCATGGGCCTGGAGGCCGTCATGGGCAGACAGCAGTTGAGCTGGACAGTACCTTTTTTCTACTTTTCCCCGGCCCGATCTACTGTTGATGAAAGGATCAAATGATCAATGAAACACCGTGACAGTCGAGCGGACTTGAGCCTTCAGGAGAAGTATAATTGTGATAACAAATATCCACTCCGGGGAAACCTCTAGTTATATGCCCGAGTTCTGGCTACCATACAAAAACAGAGCAAAGAAGAGCACACCGTTATCCTCCTTCCTCCCTTGCGTTCCCAAGACGTTCCAATACTACCACCCGTAGCCCAGACTGAAATCTCCGTTTAACATGTTGTTAGAGCTACTAGCTGAAGGGAGAGAGAAGAGGAATCATGATCTGTTCAGTCTATCGAAAGCAGGGGATTTATACCCTGACAAACAAAGACAGGCTCAGTCTGCAAACAAATGGAGACATCAATGGGATGACCGACATTGTCTAACACATGTCATTTTTTTTAAGTTGAGCAGGCGTTGCCGCGGACGGATAGAAGCGTCAATCAGTTTTCCATTAACGTTTCGGATGGAAGCACTAATGCCTGCAGATCAAGGTACTTCTGCACGCATTCCTTGTCGGCGCATCCGTCTGCAACATCCCCTAAATACTAGAGCGTCCTAACAAATCTTGACTAACACAAGAGGGTCTAGAGTCACTTGGCTCATCCCCTTAGAATTGGTGTCCAATTCCGCACCCGCCATAGCTCTTTTAGGCCCAGTGCAACTTGTCCATCCCTTGATAGTAGCTGACGTCCGTCTCTCCATCTTCCTTTGGTGTGTCGACAGCCTTCGAGCAAAGAGGGTGGCATATACCGATAGCATTAGTCAGCGGTTCGTCACACTCGTTTTCAACCCTATAGTGGTGGCCGCTTCGCAAGTATATTGCCTAGGTCGTAGGTCACCAACCAATCGCCGGCGGGCTCATGCTCAGGCAGTTTGAGCTCCGGGTTATGCCTATTCATTCCCTTTGCAAATAGCACCCTAGCATAGGGGGGGTCAAACACGAATGTCGTTTCGCCGGTCACAGAGTTTTTCAATTCCGCAGTAGCCGAAATCTCGTCTATAGCGACGTACTCCTCCGGGTTCGGCACAGTTGCCTTCTCGATTTGTTCCTTCACGTGCTTTGCAGTCTCAGTATCGAACCGGGTGTCGATAAAGTATAACTTGTTTCGGCCGGCCGCTGCCACGTATGGAGTATCCGGCGCCGCAACCCGGAGGCCATATCCTGTTTTGATAACCTTTGGTACGTAGCTGCCCCGATATTCCTCTTGGAAGGTTGGCGAGCCCTCGCATGGTCGGAACGGGTTCAGAAGCATAGTGATTAATAGTAGAAAGAGAATTGTAGTATAGGAACAAGTTGACTAGGTATTCTGCGTATGTTGTTTCTCTTAAATAACCTGTCGAGGACTTAGCGGCCAGAGGCATATGATAGAGAATCACTGGCGGCTTACCACGTGCTAAAAGTCGACATCAATTTGATATTCGAAAACATGAGTATCTATTGGCCACCGCATTGCTGCCACAATGCTACCGTTGCAGACCAGACCCCTGCATAAGTCTTGACATTCGGACTTCGCCGGACTGGGTGTGGGAGGCCACGAGGTTCAAACATGGTGCGGTTGCTGCAACAGTATTGATGTATATATTTTGAATCGGGTGAACTTCTGAAAAGACAAAACTTAGGGAAGAGAGGACAAACAGCGGGGTAAGGAACCTGCCCAATTCGCCCCCTGTTACTTTTCTGTCGCAAACTACGGCTGAGCCCTTGACTTACCTCCAACCTCCACTTTCACCTCTTGGGATCGAAATTATTCTGCCCCATACCACAGTATCGATTGTTCTTCCACAAAGTGCTCACTCTATGGCTCTCTATCCGTTTCCTTTGACATGGCCTTTATTGTGCCTTCGATTTGATGATTTACAACCTCGCCTGCGCCCGCCCTGATGCTCTAACCATGTGACCCGCTTCTTTGTCTCTACCCTTGTCGCGGCTTGGTTGCCTGTTAGCTGTAGGTGCTGCGCCCTGTCACTATTATCCAATGGCGAAAATACCTCATCGCTGATGGTTATAAGCACGTGTCTAAGCCTGTTGGTCTAGAGCTAGTAGTGATTGCCCATTAGCACACTTAAGCCTTTGATCTTGAGAATCCTGTGCGGGTTCGAGAACATATCGATCCCGCAATCCGAAGCGTAATACCTGTCTGGTTGCTAAGCAAATGTAGACAACCTAAGAATATCGATAATAATTTTGCCTAGCCGATGCGAGATATTATAGCGTATCTTATATTCCAGATTTATAATATACTTTTCGAGATCCGACCCAAAATGGGTTCTGCCGAAGTCTACCCTTCGCTAGTAGCCACAACAGTTTCATTGTGACGCAATGAATAATAGCAAGTATACCAAATGGAATGTCAAATTGTTGACGCCGGTGCTTTTTTGATGGGGCTGTAGGGGCAATTTACTAGAGGGTGGTTATCCGATACGGCTAGGGTGTTGCGTTTTATTGATGTACAGGTCAGGCTGTGCTCAGTGAGCAAAAGTGGCGAGGACCTGAGCACTAAAATGGGAACGGAAAGCCAAGCCGTGGTATAGGAAATCCGGTACGTAGGTAGTGCGGGGCATGATTATAGGTCCTCTCGAGGGCTCCAGGGCTACGTACAGCCCTGAAGGATTTCCTCTGCCACTTCTTGGTTTTTCATTTCTGTTTTTGTGCTGAGGCCGGTCTCTGAGAGCATGCATGGACGCGCCTTATCTCCAATTACCCCGGATTGATGTTCAAGCGGGGATCCGTCCCGTGGTCCGTCCCGAAGTCGGGACTCCAATAAGGCAGATTGATATTCAGGGGCTAAGACCGGATGACCGCGCTAGTTGAGCAGACAGAAATAATTGCTGCAGTTGGGAGTACCTAGGTATTAGGAGATGGCGTGATTTGGGATGGAGAGTACTGTTTGTTCGCACCGGTATACCCGTCTACAGCAGTCTCCAGTGCGCCATAAATAATTTTCCCATAGTAAAATTTGACCGCCTAGCTTACCATCAGTTTTTCATTATCTGCTTATTACCAACTCCGTACAAAGCCTTTCAATCAGCCGTTTAAATCTAATTTTTACACTGATTTTACGAGATTACTCTCCTTTAACCAGTGGGTTGCCATAGAGTGAAATAAAGAACTATAATACCGAGAATGGGAATATCTATACAGTATGGAACTTAAAATAGAAAATTTAGGTAATATTAAGAATTCAGGAATTCAAGTATAAATTCAAGTATGAAATTTAAGCATACAAAATTCAAGTATACTGCAGGTAAAATCAGTTATGGCGCACTGGTGGTTAGAGACTGCCATAACCCGTCTATTCTCGGGAGGTTATCGGAAAAGTATTGAAATACTACATATGATCTACGAGCTGAGGCACTTAGATAGGCTGCTGCCGTCTAAAGATGGATCACATGCGGTGATTTATCGGATTGGCCTTGCTCGGTTCGGGATCTGTCCACGCCGATCAGCCATGCCGATCACGATCAATATAAACCCAATGTAACTCTGCGTCCATTTGAACACCTTTCTGGTAAACATCATCATCCTTAAATTTTCACCGAGATCAACTTGAAACTAAATTCCCGAGGTGTCCGCTTGTTTGTTTGGAGACCTAATTTCCGATTCGCAGCGTGCAGGGCGAAGTACCTGATTGAAGAATATATAAAGGGGCTGAATTCCCAGAAGATTCTGACGATCACAAAATCACAAAATCATACATCATACATTATGTTGACATTGAATGTTTTGACTGCACTGTTGGCACCAGGTGTGCTTTCATCTGCTTTGCCTGCTCGCGATCTTAATGCACGTGCCGAGTCTGATTCTTCTGCTCTTCAATCCATCCTGAACAACATTGGCGCCGGTGGGTCTGCTGCATCTGGAGCATCTGCCGGCATTGTGGTAGCATCCCCATCCAAATCGGACCCCAATTGTGAATCCCCCCAAAATTGGAAAGATAGGGATAAGAACTAATAGCTGCTAGACTTTTATACCTGGACTCGTGATGCAGCCTTGACATTCAAGGTCTTGATTGATGAGTTTATTGCCGGAGACAGCTCGCTGGAATCTACCATCCAGGATTACATCTCTGCTCAAGCGAAGCTGCAGACCGTGTCTAACCCATCTGGTGACTTATCTGATGGATCAGGACTTGCAGAGCCCAAGTATAACGTGGACGAGACTGCCTTCACAGGTGCTTGGGGTCGTCCTCAGCGTGATGGACCCGCTCTTCGAGCGACAGCGCTGATTGCCTATGGCAACCATTTGATTTCGAACGAAAAGGAGTCCGTCGTCAAGTCGAACATTTGGCCCATCGTGCAAAATGATCTAAGCTATGTTGCGCAATACTGGAACCAAACCGGATTCGATTTGTGGGAGGAGGTTCAAGGCTCCTCATTCTTCACTATTGCCGCACAGCACCGCGCGTTGGTGGAGGGCAGTGCATTTGCCAAGGCGCTGGGGGAGTCCTGCGATGGATGTGATTCCCAGGCACCTCAGGTCCTGTGCTTCCTACAGTCCTTCTGGAATGGCAAGGCTGTCGTTTCCAACCTGGCCAACAATGGCCGAACCGGTCTTGATGCAAACTCCGTCCTTGCTTCGATTGCAAACTTCGACCCTAAGGGTACCTGCGATGACGTAACCTTCCAGCCTTGCTCTGCTCGTGCCCTATCAAATCACAAGCTATACGTCGACTCGTTCCGTTCGATCTATAACGTGAACAGCGGCAAGGAAGCTGGAACTGCCGTTGCTGTTGGACGTTATGCCGAAGACACTTACCAGGGCGGCAACCCATGGTATGCAACCTTTTCTTTTCATTTGACTGACTTCAAACCCTGCTAACATCTCCAGGTATCTGACAACACTGGCGGCGGCCGAGCAGTTGTATGACGCTCTCTACCAGTGGAAGCAACAAGGGTCGCTGGCCATCACCGAGACCAGTCTTCCATTCTTCAAGGATCTAGTTTCGTCTGCTGCCGTCGGAGAATATCCCAGCTCTTCGGACACTTACTCGTCCGTCACTACCGCGGTCAAGAAATATGCCGATGGATTTGTGGCTGTCGTTAATCAGTACACGCCCAGCGGTGGAGCTCTGGCCGAACAATTCGATCGGGGCGACGGCAAGCCGACCTCTGCTAGTGACTTGACCTGGTCTTACGCGGCGTTCCTGTCTGCTGCTCGGCGCGAGGCTGGTACAGTGCCCGCTAGCTGGGGCGCGTCGAGTGCCAATAAGGTGCCCTCGCAGTGTGAGGGAAGCTCGGCCAAGGGAAGTTACACGACACCATCAGTTGGCTCGTGGTAAATATCAAGGGAGAGGAGGGATGGGGTCGACATCATCTGGTTGAGCGAGGCTGTACATCTTGTATCTAATTTTCTCAGACCCAGATGCATCTGGGATGAGTCGAATCGTGTGTGGGATATGTGTCGCGCTTTTGTACTAAGTCGGATCTCAGGAGTCGTTCTCAACGCGATGCAGCGTTGGGATGCTGTTGGGAAACTTCGAATTGTACGGAACATATGATCAATTATCCCGGGAAGTCCTCAGCTGCTGCTCGCTTTATTTCACCTTGTATCTTTAACCAGCGTTAAACCCCAATTGAAAAAATATTTTGTTTACCTGAAGAAACTCCGCACCTAAGCTTTTGGCCACTCGGGAGAAGCCCACACCAGCGATCACTAATTTAGTGGGACCCTGCATATCGGTGAAATTCTAATTGGCTACATACTATGTATGTAGTCAAGTATGCTTCCAGCTTCCTCTGTACACCCGAGAAGACCATCCACTACGAACAACTCCATACAACGTCCCGCTTATCTCTCTCTATTGACCGGATCCTCTTTCGAATCCATAATAGTATTCTCCACAGATCTTGCGAAATTCCAAAGACGGTAAGTCACTTCCGGTTTGGCGAAAAGGAAATTTTCGGAATCCTGAAGGCTCCGAACCGCACACTCCCGAGTAAATCAAGTATAAATAGAGCATGAACAGAAAGACAGAGAGAAATTTTTATTGCTCCATTCAACGGCCTCCAAATCTTCACGGTCCGGACTTTCTGCAATCTCACCGATCATCTCACCTGCTCAGAACATCGCAATGGCGGGAAAGTACCTTTTGACCGGAGGATATGTGGCGACCTTGGACGACTCGCTTGGAGACTTCCCTAAGGGTGCCGTGTTAGTTGAGCATGGCATCATCAAAGCAGTGGGAAAGGTCGAAGACTTTTCGACCACGGACGCTGAGATCATCGACACGACCGATGGTGTGGTGATCCCCGGAATGGTGGACACTCATCGTCATGTTTCTATGTCGCTGACCCGCGGCATTGGAGCCGACCAGCCCTTGATGCAATTTCTGTCCAACACCTACCTTAGGTGGCTGCCCGCTACTGGAGTTGAAGATATGCATCTTTCCGCTCTTGTCGGCGCGCTCGAGGCGCTTGATTGCGGTGTCACAACAATCATTGATACGTGCGAGTCCTTCCACTCTAGAGAACATGCTGAGGCCGAGCTGCAAGGACTTAAGGATTCCGGAATTCGTGCCTTTTACGGTTACGGCATGTGTGATGGCGAGTACAACGGAGTACCTGTCGGAAGAGACGCTTGGAAAGCTCGTTTGGACCACCTTACCGAGATGCATGCAGCCAACTCGTCTAGTGAAAGCTTGGTCAAGGTTGCATTACAACTCAGTATTCCCGGTACAGTTCCCTTTGATCTGACGGCGAAGGAGATTAAGCATGCGCAAGAGCACAAAATGCTGTGTTGCTCTCATTCGTGCGCTCTCAAAAACTCTGTCATCTGTACCGGCCTCGACGAACGTGCTGATAATGGACTGATGTTGCCGGGTCATGTCTATATCCACTGCACAAACCTCTCTGAACGCCAGATGACTCTTATCGCCGAAAGTCAGGGCAAAATCTCGATTGCGATGGAAACGGATATGCAAATGGGTATGGGCATCCCGCCTATTAGGGCTTGTATCGAGCACGGTATTCAGCCATCTCTCAGCATTGACACCACGGCCGCCGTCGCGCCGGATCTTCTGTCTCAGATGCGTCTGGCTTTGCAAACGCAGCGATGCCTGGACCACGAAGCCTGCCACGTCCAGCGCCAGGTTCCTATGAATTTGGAATACACGTGCCGCGATGCCTTGATTTGGGGAACCCGCAACGGCGCCGATGCAGTTGGTCTAGGCGACCAGATTGGCACGCTTTCACCCGGAAAGCGCGCAGATATTGTCTTCCTCTCGAACAAGCGCTTCCTGAGTCCCTCGGCGTATCCCCTTGGTACTGCTGTCCTGCACTCCACTGCTGCTGATGTTGATACCGTCATGGTTAATGGGGTTATCCGGAAACGCGATGGCCACCTTGTCGGACATGACGTTGAGATGATCCGCCAACAGGCCAAAGCTGGGCTGCAACGCATTCTGGGAAATCTTGCGACAATGCGGCCAGAGATGACCCAAGAGGAAATCAGCCAGTATTTGGTGGATGCTGAACGCTCGTCCCGCGTCAACTTGGCGCAGGCCTATCTCGAGGATGCTGGAGGTGATGGCTTTAGACCAACCTAACTCAAATTGCGGTATTCCACGAAGTTTTGAAAATTGCTATGATAAAAATTACCAGACACAGCTTTCAAGAACGAGCTCTTTGATGTGTTTAGCATAAATGCCTCTTCTTCCATAGCTCAGTTTTTTTTCCTTCTTACATAGCACCCACAATACAGCATTTCCATGCACTCCTTTCTCACGGTTCCTGAGTAGGTCCCAAAGATGAGGTTACTCGGGCGGTTTTCAAGAAAAGATTGAGGATTGTATGTGCGTGCCTATTGCTAATGTGGCTATCTTCAAACGGCGGCGTTTGACTCGTGTAGCAAATCCCGTATCGAGGTAACTGTAATGCTATATAGAACTTTTGAAAATTGAACTTCGAATCAATGCAGCATATATACATTACAGCGGCTGTACAACATCACCTTGGTTAGATACTACAAATTCTATGATAAGTCACTTCCGATGAAAGAACACTGGGTTGATCAAAACCCTGAACTGCAAGAAACATACAATTCCGTTCCTTCGCCTCAATTAATCTCAGCGGTGAACTGGACTTGAAAGATCACGTACTAGCAAATGTCAGCATGTCCTCACTTACTGGGGGAAAAGATGATTCCATTTGAAATTGCAAGGTAGACTTGAAACGCCACGAATGCTTCGTTGTCGGTAATTCCGCGAGAGGACTCACTGATATAATTACAGTTATTACCGCGTGGGTTTCAGAATTTCAGGGCTCGAAGTAAGGGGAGTTCCTATAGAATATTCCATGGTGGATCCATATCCAATCAATCGGCATCATCCCACATCCCGAGCAATCCGTAAACCCTGGAAACTAAGCAAAGCCTACGGAATAGGAAGACCCAGAGTGTTTCAGATGATTTATCGGCATCAGGACCTCGGTTTCTTGAACCATGATTGTCAAAGATGCCTATTAGATGCTATTCTAAATGAAGTTCATTTTCGATAGAATAGCGGGAAGTAAGTCTGTGTCTCATTCTGCTCCAAACTGTTTTCGTTATTCTGTCTAGTAGAAGAAGGCTCGTCGATAGCTCTGGGATTACATTATTTTAAACCTCCATATGCCGCTAATCACCCTGCTGTGGAGCGAGAGTACCCTAGAATCAAGATCGGGTCGACAACTTTGATTGTAGATTCCAGGGCAAGATTAGTGAGCCCATTACAACATCAATTGTGGGCCTATATTCCAAATATAGGACATATCGAGTCCTTCTGTGGATGCCCTTTATCCGTTCGATACACAACCAAGACAACGGGATGATACCTGAATGAGCCGAGCTTCGGATCAGAGAGCAGTGCAAAACTTGCGTATTTCTTGGCATCTCAATTTTCCTGGCCTTAAGTTAAATAGAAGGTCTTTAATTCCATCTTGTTCTTCTTTTTCTCTTAGAACCATACCTCACCTCACCGTCTTCGAATTCGCCTGTACTTTCCTACATAGCTCCATGGAGGACGCAAAAGACCTAAGCAGGGATCATGCTCAACATAATGTAGCTCACAAAGAGCCAGTTGGATTTTTTGATCCCCGGATTAGGGCTGTCAAACGCCGTGTTTGTTACCAATGGGCCAGAACAGGTATACCTTATAGAATTCTCAATAATGGGATGAATGAGAAAATTGCTGACTATCCGGTCCTCCAGTCTTGCTCCTATGTCTCGTCATTCTCAGCGTCATGTCCCTTTTTTGGGCATCTCAGTTCTGCGTCTCACAGAAAATGGGCAATTTGACCGTCTGGGTAGTTGACTTTGATGCTCATCTTGACGGAAAAGAAAATCCCATCGTTGGACCAGCCATCGTGAAAGTAGCCTCCATGGCTATTTCAACCCCGCAGAGTTTAACATACAAGGTTAGGTCACCAGCGGAATTTGACTACGATCCTCGGGCACTAAAGCAAGCTATATATGATGAACACGCCTATGCGGCTGTTATCGTAAGTCCAAACGCTACCGGTCTTTTGTTAAATGCAATAAGAACGGGAGACTCCTTCTACAATCCAAGCGGTGCAGCCGAGCTCGTCACGATCAGTGCGCGTGAGCAAACTACGTACTCGAGTTACATTCAGCCAGCACTCAACGACTTCGAGCGTGAAGTGATAGCCTACTTTGGGCCTCGCTGGGTGGAACGACTAGCAAGCCAAAACAACACTTTGACTCAGTTGCTACGCACTCACGCCCCGCAGGCCGTCAATCCTGCAATCGGATTCAAGAGAATTGACCTACGACCGTTCTCACCGGCTGTGGCCGTACCCGCTGTGACCGTGGGTTTGATTTACTTGATTATTCTGGCATTTTTTATCTTTCCATTCCTGATGCCAGTTCACATGCAACTTCTGAAAGGCGATCATCCGCCGTTGAAGACCGAACAATGGGTACTTTGGAGGATACTATCAAACATTGCAGCATATTTCTTCCTCTCCCTGTGTTACTCCTTGGTATCATTGGCCTTCCAGATACCGTTCACCAACGATCCGGCTCCTGGTACCGAATCTGCTCAGAACCCGAACGCATACGGACGTGGTTCATTTGTCGTTTTCTGGATGTTGAATTGGGTCGGAATGGCAGCCCTGGGGTTTCCATGCGAGAACATGGCCATGGTTCTTGGAGCGCCATATAGTTCTATTTTCCTGATCTTTTGGGTAATTTCTAACGTTGCTACCGGCTTCTATGCTTTGGATCTCGCGCCTTCGTTCTTCCAATGGGGGTACGCTTGGCCCCTGCACCGCAGTAAGATTCACTGCCTTACTCCTACGCAACCTTTCCCATGTCTCTAACATCTATACTTCTTCAGTTGTCGAGGCCCTACGTACTTTTTTGTTTGGGACCTATTCACGCATCGGGTTGGACTTTGGTATCTTGTTCACATGGATAGGTGTCTCGATTGCTTTCTACCCTTTGGCCAACTACATCATGCAGTGGAAGCAGAGGCGGGGAGTCTAAAAAGAGGGGAAACTTTTAGCAGGTGGCGAAATAATGTACCTGGTGTCTTCTATCCTTGGCGGCACAAAATTACTTCCTTCGAGCTCCATCTAACAATATCGGGCTTGGCTAGCGTGGAAGGCGACCCAATTAAACCGAAAGATTAAGAAATATTTAGGCATGGAGTGGTTTTCGAAACGAGCCTCGTAACGCCCTAGTAAATTAATTGACACAATTATTTTTGGTCTCCGGAATTTCCATTCTCACTGGTCGCTCACTTCGCTTACACGTCTCAGCAGGTAGTTGAACGGTTGCAACGACTGACTATCAAACCCACTGAAGAACTCCTGCGAGTCAGTCCGTAGAAGTACCTTAGCTATAAGCCATACTTCGTTCGCACAGGTCATGAAGCCAGCTAGCTCCACCTCTTCTATGCTGATTCGGGACATCAGCCTCTCCCATAACAGCTTCCATCTAGACAACGCTCTATGCAAAGGAGGCAAAAGTTGCTGCATCGTTCGGCTTGCAAAGGCTGAGAAGATTACCAGGTGCAACCCTATTAAATCATAAGTCCAGGACACAGGTTTGACCGCTTGTATTGGATTGGATCACAAACCGGATATCACTATAAAGAGCCCAAAGACCCCGATATTGTTGAATGAGGGATTGCTCGGTCCATCCCAAGCACCATCCATGAGAAGATCTATGATCTCGACGAGAGAAGGCGAACGCGGTGTGTTCGCCAATGATGACGAATAGCTATGGGAAAACATGACCTCGTTGCAAGGTAGATCTCCAGTTAATTCTAGTATTGTGATCATTGGAGGAGAGCGCAAGCAGACAACAAACTGGGAGTCAAGCAGCAAAATATAGGCAGCAGTCCTGCGCCGCAGCGTTAGCTATGCAAAAGCCAGGGTGTGAAGCCAGAGTCAGTGGAGAGGCGATGCCCACCGCTGCTGCATCGGATGAGAGGCCATTTACCTGATCAGTGATTCTTTCTGATAATCCGACGTCCTTGCTCCGGCCAGCGGCGAGTTGTCATGGTGCCTAGACGAAAACAATGATGCCGATCGCGCAGCTTGCACCAACATGGGGAATCGTTGGTATCTTACCCTTTGCCGAATCTCGGGATCATTTCGGCCAATTTGCAGATGTAACAAAATGACCGCGGCCTTCAGGGCTTCGTGACGCTCTGACATGTGCAACTCCGAGGGAGCGAGGTTCTTGTATCCTGGTTTGAACACTGGCAAGCTGAACAAATATGCCTCGGCAATGTCAAAACAATCAACAGCTAGGTAGTAGGTATCTCTGGGATAAGAGTGCAGCGAACCTCCCAAGAAGATGGCCAGCAGGAGTGGCACCGTCGCATGTTGAGCTTGGAAGGTTGGAAGATGAAGGATCGGGCAATGTCTGTGGGAATGTTGCACGTAGAGATGTGCAAAAGCACTCATATTCTCTGCCGAGAATAAGTCCTGGCCAATGGCATTCTCTAAATGGAGCCTCGACGAGCTGCAGTTGGCAAAAGGCGTCAATTCTTGGAGCACTTCTTGACTGCGCTGCGCGAAATTTTCGTGGGCCTGATGATTTGTGAGCCCAACAGGAGCTCTGTGAGTCGTCTCATGGTTGCCCAGCTCAATATTGTCAAACCACATGAATGGACAATAATCCAAGCCGTCTTCATACAGGTTGTCTTCGTCTAGGTAGCACTCCGCGACCTCCGGGGGGATATTGGGAAGCTCACTCAGCAAAGGCGGGCTAGGAGACTTGGTGGCTTCTGCCCGCCTAGTATCAAGCGCCGGATACATGTCCAGGAATGTATTATTGATGTCATAATAGTTCAGCAGGAATGGAATTCGAGCTCTGATTAGCGTGTCTGTGAAATCCATAGAAGGAGCTGGTAGGTTCCCTGCTGCATTCACGTCGGTGACTCTCACTTCCTGCTCAGAAGAAGGTACTTCCCGCAGGAGCTGCTGGAAGGGAACCAAGACCCGAGTATACGCACATGATAAAGCATTGCTTCGACAGTGGCCACATGGGTATTCGTTATCACAAGAGGATTTGTTGTGGGCGCAATTATCACAGGACTTTCGCGGTTTTCCCTTCTTCTCAGTTTGTGGAAGGGGCCGACCACGTCTTTTCGGACATGCCTTGGCATGGCGCCGAGCAGTGTCCCTATCCAGGGCTTTCTTAGTAAGGGAAGATTCCCAAGGGGCAGTTTATACAAACTTTCGATGAAAGGACTGTTCGCAAAAGAAACAATCATGTCTTTGATTAAGAAAATCTAGGAAGGCGATGGGGGGTCAAAACAGTTACAGTTATCAATCTTGGGAGAGGCTAGCGTACGTGACGCCTCATGTCGACGTAGATGTGTATTTGTAGAAAACCTCGTGAGGCACTTCCTGCACATAAAAGGGGCAACCATGGCGCCAAATTGAGCAAGAGAGCAATGACGACAATAATCAGGTATTGATTTGTTTTAACACTGCTGATTTGATGAAACTTGGACGGCTTTTTGTTGTCAGTCAGTACATGGCGGTTTTCACGATGATCGGACGCTAAGCGAATGCCGTGTGGGATATCTCCGATTGGCTTAAAAAAGTGGGATAATCCCTCTTTTGGCCCACTAGTTTACTATAATCTAAGTACATATATGTACCTTTCAGTCTATTTCTCCCAATGCCAACAATATTTATTTGACGCGAACGCAATAGAGCCGTGATGATTGTGGGTATGTTCTATGAATTATGTCTGCTTGGGGCGCGCTGTTTACTTCTACAATCCAATACCTCCCACCCGCTCCGTCCTCAAGAAGAAGTGTGCCTAGTACATACCCACAGTCCAACTAGAGCTACAAGGATCGAACTCAGGATGATTTTAGTGTAAAGCTTATTTCAAGACGAATGCCTCGGGTAGAGTGGAAATCCCCTATCAGCTCCCATAGACGAACGGCAAAAAATATGACATTTTTGCTTAAAGGGGCCCCCTCACCCACTGGGAAGCAGCGAATATCAACTACTACTCCCGTCACCGCACATCAGGCCATACCCTCTCTGTTTCAGCCAAAATAATGTCTACAGCCACATGTGCCTGCAATGCTGTTCGCATTGTATATACTATCGGTCCTGTTGGAAAGGCAAGCAGGCCATGTACCCACACCTCATTCCACAAAGTACTAACCAAGTTTATTTTGACCAGTCTATCTGCCACTGCCTAGAATGCCGCAAGTCAAGTGGTAGCACCCACGGTCTCAACCTAGTGGTCCCAGGCGCTGGATTTCTCGTCAAGGGCAGCCCATCAAGCTTCACCTACGAAGCCAGCAGCGGCAATAATGTGACTCGTTACTTTTGCCGAAGGTGTGGGGTTAATCTGTACTCAGACGGTGCTGGGGCGCCAGGTGTAAAGTTTGTCAAGGCCGGTGCTGTGGACGATCCGCTGGTGTTGAATGAGTGTAGACCCGACACAGAGTTTTTTGTCAGTCGTCGGGCTGCGTGGCAAGAGGGGATTTCCGGGGTCGAACAAAGGGATACTATGTAGATATAGTGAGAACCAGATGTCCTAGGTATACTGCGACATCTCCCGTCCATGGAGCCTTGGGCGTTTGGGATCTTCGGGTGCCCGTCCACAAGGCCCAAGATGCCCATGTTTGCATAAAGTCACCCAAAATGGACGCATAACCTGCTGACATAGCAGAATAAATAACCTTGGAACCTTGGAACCGTTATTTACACATGTTTTGCTAACTCATAAGTAAAATATCAGTGTTAATGCACAATATCTGTAAATCGTATTGAACTTTTTTAATATATAATTAATGCGAGTAAGATTATAATGTTTGAAATTGGGTGGTATTTTTATCAATATTTTAAATCGTACTGTCATAGTTGGAATATATATCTGAATCACATTAGTATACGGATATCGTGTATGAAAAGCTCCTCAAAAAACCGACTGTTTGTACGAAGATTATGTATCCTTGCAATGTGAAATCAACGGGCCAAGGGATTGGAAAGCTCAAACAAACTCGGTTGACTCTACGGAGTAAAATAGGTTGTCTTATCGTTGTTTGCTGAACTTCGCGATTCCGTACGGATTGGGAAATTAGCTCAAGCAATCGCTCCTCAAACAATCCATATGGAGGCTAGGTGGGCTTCTTGGCGCCAAAGGGTTCTTCTAGCCTCAAAAAGTCCACGAGTACTCCGTACTTCTCCACATTATATTTGTGTTTATTGGAACCTTGGAATATTTTGAGTTAATAAACCAATAGTAAAACCTTGGAGCCATTAGTTCCCAAATAGGCTCCGCTCCTATAATTGCGTTTACAGCACAGACCTTGAAATTGACCACATTGTACTCCGTACGGAGTCCACAGGCATTCCATAGAGATTAGGGTATCCCCCCAAAGCACAAGTTAATGAGATAACAGACGCCCATATCCACTTGTCAAATGCATAGTGTAAATGCGTGATTAATATAGCGGGTCGAGAGGTCTGTGCAAACAGAACATCGAGAACGTTGTCGCGTGGTTGCTATAAACAGGAACATTCTACTTTGAAGCTGATGGTTATGTATAGAGTATATATTATATTGTCTGACTTCAGTTCTATTTATTCTATATCCTACTAATCATCAAAAAATTAATACAGATAAAGTAGAATGGTAGGTAAGATTTATAGATGAAACACATACGCATTGTCTAGCCTCTCCGGACCTTGAGGCGCTAATTTAGTCGACTCCCCCCCACACCCCCCTTTTCTTTTCTGCAAGCCTTCTCTTCTTCTTCTCTACTACACTCTTTATGGGGAATTGTCTCCTCTCTACTCTCATTCAATTGATTTAAATCTCTACATTCTTTAACCCCCGCTGTTCCGCTAGTCCAATTATCCATTCCAGACCCTGCACCTTCCCGGGACACTCCTGCATATCTCAAGTCTCGGCCTTTGGACCAGCGCTTACTGAAACCACTATCGTTATCAAGTAAGCCCAACCTCTTATTTATATCAAGGCACAGGACATCCATGGATTGGGTGTCAATGTTGATCATCACGGACTGACCCATGGTTCTGAACAGGAACGTCAATTTTTCCTCCGGCATAGCTCCGCTCGCATTACGTTCCACCACGTGGGATCGTCGCCTTCTATATCCAGCATCTAGCATCTGGCAATCCCTCCAGGAACAAGTTTCAGGACCCCAAATCTTCAGCATATCCATCGCTGCATTTCAACCGTCACAATGGGTCTCATGGATAAACTACAAGCCAGTACGTCCCACAACTCCCGAAAAGCACCCAGCAACATGCTACCTCACTGCGGAATGGCGGAATGGCAACGCGACCTTGAAATACTGGGAAAGATAAACTAACATCGAAGCAGAACTCGAGCTCTACCGCCTCGAACAGCGCTATGCCCGCCGCAAGCATCGCAGCACCTTCTCCACGGGCGCCCAATACGTCGACGGCGAATATGTCTACTCGGGCGCGAGTTCGCCTACTAGTACCGTCTCCAAACACTCCACTGGCAGCTGGCGCCCATCAGGATGGGGCAGCGGCAGCCAGTCATCGCGATAGTGAAGGACATTTCAAGTCGACATGCCTGAGCGATTCTTTTTCTTCTACTTGTCTTTAGCATTTTCACCCTTTTTCTCTCCTTTCTGAAGACCGTTTCTTCTGTTTTATACCTTTGCGTGATGCTTCCGCGGAGTTTCGACGAATTCTTGTACAGCCACACACCATGTCTGTTTTTGTTTTTCTTTTCTGGGATGGTTTACTTCCCTTTTCATCTCAGTCTTATGATTCTATGTGTCAGCGGGAAAACATGATCGAAAAGTTGGGATCTGCTTTCTCCTTTTGGATTTTGATATCTCCTGCGATATGCCTGCTTGGTCATGTACTGCTTCTCATCTTCGTCTTGTTTCATACCCTTCATCTACTTGGACTTTGATGCTCATACTCAACATCTGAGATTGGAATCATTTATCTCTGAGATTTTTCTTACTCAAATACCCAGTAAAAGAATAGTCGGCCGCTCATGCGGCCTCTGTCATAAAACTAATAATCCGATCTATTTAGCCAAGATGATATTAGGAGGTAAAAACACTCCGATGTGTTTCTGGATGTTGTTTTTAGATGTCTTTTTAAATTATGTAAGGCTCATTCTCTTTACCCCCTTTGTATACACCTAAATAGACATCTAAAAAGGGGGCGCTCCAGGTACGGAGTAATCAAGACCTATTTCGAAGGTTGGTTTCGGTTCTTTGTTCTTGGATTTCTTTCATCTTGCTCAAGGATTTCACCACGCATACTGCACGTAAAGATAATCATACATACGGAAAAGCATTAAGTCCATAAAAGCATACGGATAAGGCACTTGCAGCTGTACTGGATTTATCTTCAGAATATAGAACTGGAAGGCCTAAGGCGGTAAGGCTCAAGTCCGCGGAACTTACGTCACACCACCGCTCTGATCTCTCCATCTCCACACTGCCAACGCATCTCCCTCATCCTGTGATTGCATTTTTACTTGAGACTACGATCGAAAGCTTTCGGACGATCTGGGATTAATTATTTGCGCGATTTGTCATCAGACCTACCACTCACGCTCGACTTTCGAGCTCCTGACCGTCTCGCGAACACCCACCGTGCTCAGATACCCTCCGATCACCATGAGCAGTGCTTAGCCGACCATAACTGGGGAAAGATTGCAGCATAGGCTGCTTTGAGCGATGGATCAAGCAATCCAGCGGTTATTGAACGACAAGCTCTACGATAGGAGGAAGCAGGGAGCTTTGGAGTATGCAGCTCAGTTTCATTTCTCCGCACTTGAAAGACCCCATACTGATCACCGTTTATTTACGCTAGGCTCGAGAAAATTGTCCGTGACGCCGTTTTTCAAGGAGAGCAGGAGAAAATACAAAAGATCGTTGAACAGCTCTGCCATGACTATGCATACGCCGTGCACCAACCCCATGCCCGGAATGGAGGTCTGATCGGATTGGCTGCTGCCTCGATCGCACTGGGATCGGTGAGTGGCTATAACCAACGACTTGGAGGGCGTCTTGACTGATACATAGGATATAGGAAGGAGTTGCGCCGTACTTGGGTGAAATTGTGCCGCCTGTGCTCGCATGCTTCTCCGACCAAGATGCGCGAGTGCGGTACTACGCATGCGAGAGCATGTACAATATAGCCAAAGTGGCCAAAGGAGAGATATTGCTGTTCTTCAATGAGGTTTTCGACGCGCTGGCTAAGGTGAGGGGTGTCAAAAAGTTTAGGTGAGGTATCGCATACGCTAACATGCAATTTAGCTTGCGTCCGATGCGGAGCTATCAGTCAAGAACGGTGCGGAGCTTTTGGACCGCCTGGTGAAGGATATCGTGGCTGAATCGGCGGCCTCGTATGTGTCGATCCTACAGCTCTCTGAAAAGGGACATCCAGAATTGGAGAATCAGGAAGACCACGAACTTCCCATGGCGTTCTCTCTGGCACGATTCATTCCTCTGCTTAAAGATCGGATCCATGTGATCCAACCGTTCACTCGCAACTTTCTGGTCTCGTGGCTTACCCTTCTAGATACAATCCCCGACCTAGAGCTCGTGAGCTATTTGCCAGAGTTCCTGGAGGGATTGATCAAGTTCCTTGGCGGACCCAACAAAGACGTGAATATTGCAACCCAGGGTTTGCTTGATCGGTTCTTGTCGGAGATCAAGAGGATTACCCGACTTAAAAAGGGGATTGAAGAAAGCAGGAAGGGTCAGAAAAGCAACAGACAGTCGGTCAACAGCGATGCGATGAGCAACGCGACGGAGCAAAATACCCAGACCGATGGTGCCAGTGACGACAGGGATGACCTTGCCATCGCAGACTCGGCCTCAGATACGACCCTGGATGATGAAATCGTTCAGGCCGATGGAGATTGGATCCCGGGACAAGATGTACAAATCGACCACCCCAAAATCCTTAATATTCTCGTCGGATTTGTCAACACCTCCTATGGTAAGAGTTCCTTCATCTCTCTGATTCTCACATGCTTACGTTCGTTTAGAGGAGGAAATGCAATTGACGGCCCTTCGTTGGCTTGATTCCTTTTTCGAGATCAGCCCTGAAGATATTCTTCCTTTCGTTCCGCGGCTGTTGACTCAGGTACTCCCAGCCATGTCCAGTGGCTCAGATCAAGTACGAAAAGCAGCAAACCAAGTTAACACGTCCCTTGTCCAATACATCTACTCCTTGTCAGATGATACGACCGAGGAAGCCCAAGCGCCACCGTCGAAGATCCCTTCCACTACGGCCAGCAGGGAAACCATAGAGCGGAGGTCATCAACTCCCGGAGTCAGGCCTTCAGAGACAGCGAGCATTGACACAAAGAGACAAACAGCACAAGATAATTCCATTGCGGCTACACCACGTAGTAGCATTGTTTCCACCCCGGTGCCTCCTGCTGACCTTGATTACGCTGCTGCTGTCAACTCCCTCACTCTACAATTCCTCAATGAAAATGAAGCCACTAGAGTTGCGGCCCTTGTATGGCTCATCATGCTCCACCGTAAAGCCCCGCGGAAGGTTGTCGCTTTCAACGACGGTACCTTCCCAGCTTTGCTAAAAACGTTATCCGACCCTTCAGAGGCGGTTGTAACCAAAGATTTGCAGCTCCTTTCACAGATCTCAAGAAACAGCGAGGATAGCTATTTTACCTCTTTCATGGTCAACTTGTTGCAGCTATACTCTACAGACAGGCATTTACTCGAAGTGCGCGGGAATCTGATCATCAGGCAGCTTTCTATGAACCTGAGCCCGGAGCGTATCTACCGAACTTTGGCAGATTGCCTCGAGAAGGAAGAGGTGATGTTCATTGCACACTTTGGAAATATTCTATGCTAACATATCATCAGGATCTCGAATTTGCCAGTATCATGGTCCAGAACTTGAACAACAACCTCATCACTGCGCCCGAGCTCTCGGAATTGAGAAAGCGCTTAAGAAATCTCGATTCGAAAGTAATACCCCGGGACGCCTTGTCTTGCATTCTTGAAAACTAATGGATCCTTTAGGATGGTCAAATGTTCTTTGTTGGGCTTTTCAGATCGTGGTGCCACAACGCTGTCTCTACGTTTTCTCTCTGTCTTCTTGCCCAGGCCTATGAGCAGGCATACAATCTCCTCCAGATCTTGTCAGTATACCAGCTCTGTCAACCCATGATAGTCTGCTGACAAAACCATCCACAGTGCCGAATTGGAAATGACAGTTAATATGCTAATCCAAATCGACAAACTGGTGCAACTACTAGAGTCGCCAGTATTCACATGTCCGTTTCTTTCCATCATCATAACCCGAGTCCTAGAAGCTAATCCCAACAGATCTCCGCCTCCAACTCCTTGAACCCGAAAAATACCCCTTCCTCTACAAATGTCTCTACGGCGTCCTCATGCTCCTCCCCCAGAGCTCCGCCTTCGCCGCCCTCAAGAACCGTCTAAACAGCGTCAGCAACATTGGTTTCCTCCACGGCGGACCCCGCAGGTATGGTCCCTGCCCCCCGCATCCTGTCCCAGGGTTTACTAAAACGAATTTCCCTAGCACTACCCAAACAGCCCCTTCTTTCGACCGTTCCACAGGCACCCGCCTGAAACCCCGCGACGAGAACTCCATCCGCTGGGTCGAGCTGCTTGACAAATTCAAGTCCGTCCAGGAACGAGCCCGTCGATCCCAGGGCTCTACCCGCCACTCCTTCGACCAGTCTGGCCCCCTGAGCAACCCCTCTCTTACAGCTGCTCTCTCCGTCGCCGCTGCAGACCGTCCCAGGGACCGGTCTAGCCTACCCGATGCTCCGCGCGGCGCTCCGGGCCCTAGTAACGCTGCTGCTGGAAATGCTGGGCTGGGAGGTCCCGGTCCTGGTGCCGGTGGCACCGCTGCCACGCGTGCATTGGATAACAGTGCGGCGAAGGGTGGGTCATCTCATAAACATAAGTCGAGTCTTCCCAATCTGGGGCGGCTGGGTATTGGAGGACGCAAGTCCAAGAAATAGTTACATGGAGAGCTAGAGCTGGGACTTGTCTCCTTCATAGACCTTTCTTTTTGTGTCTTGTACTTAGCTGGATTGTTTCGTTGTAATCATACCCAGGATGCTTAGTCTATGAATAGCTATCGATGGTTCTCAATGGCATCACCTTTCTTAACCTCTCCCAAATGTACTTGACGCTTTGGTATACGCTTAGTTATCTTTGAGTATAGTATTCTCAATCTTCATTTTCTGGCAAGATGTAGCTCTTTGTGATAAAAAAAAAAAACAAAAACATTGAATTCGTTCTATGGTCATAATTGTCCGCTTCCCAAATGAATACGCTCCAAAGATACAATCCGACCCAATACTGTAGTAAACTCCGAACCTGCCCAAGTATGCCAAATAAGTTTGTATCAGTGACTGATGTACTGGAAAACAGCCGAAACATCCTGCTCACTGGTCTCTTGACGAAGAAGCAGATCCTGGATTTGGTTGAGCGGCCCCTTCTCACCGGTATTGACAAAATGGTTCCACGAACTAGTATCACCATACAGCATGGCGGGGGCTTTGATATATTGCAAGCCGTCAGGTCGACACCGTTTGCACTTAAAGGTGTCATGGGTGTCACTCCGGGTATCTGGTTTGAACTGGAAGAGTTCGCGCAGGGAGTCGAGGGAGAAATGTCGCTCGACGTCTTCTGCGGAGTCCACGACACACGATGAGAGGGACTGTTTGTGAGACTGGCGCTGGAAGATCTTCTCTTCGATCGAGCCTGTTGCAATGAACCGGTAGACGAAACAGTCTTTCTTCTGTCCGTCTCGCCACACTCGTGCTAGCGCTTGCTGGTCAGCGGCTGGGTTCCAGTCCGGATCGAATAGTACCAGTCGGTTGGCGCCGATTAAATTCAGTCCACATCCGCCGGCCTTGCTACTCAGGAGGAATACAAATTCCAGACCGTCGGGGTCATTGAACTTGTCGACTAGCTTTGTGCGCTTTTTGATGTTCATGGTGCCGTCGAGACGCAAGGAGCCGTAACCCCGCGACCGGCAGAGCTTTTCGAAAAGATCTAGGGTCTGAGTGTAATTGCTGATGAGGACGATTTTGTCGTTGGTGTCTTGTCGGATTCGGGCTAGCATGCGGTCGAGCACCATCATCTTGCCAGAGTACCAACTCTTGACTTCTCTATCGCGACCTCGAGTATCGGGGGGTGAATAGTCCTCGGGGAAGGCGTGCTCGCACCCTGGAAGGTCGTTCGCTAGATCAAGCAGATCCGGATGATTGCAAAGCTTTTTCAAAAGACCAATTGCTTTCAGCGGCTGACTCCCTTTTCCGCGAAGAAGACTTTGAATCTCCGGGCTCTTAATGAAGTGGTTATACAGACCGCGCTGGAACTGTGACATGTTGCAGAACACAACATGCTCATACTTGACAGGCAAGTATTTTGAGAGGAGCTCATTGGTCCGGCGGATAATGAACTTGTTAACAACCCCAGAGAGCTCCTGTAATCGTTCATCTCCCAGCTTCTTTTCTGCGTCTGTGCCTGCGGCATCCCGACCCCGCAGAATCGGTAGTTCAAACCTCTTCCGGAAATCGGCTTGGGAGCCGAGTAGATTCGGGTTCGCGAAGTGAAGAAGAGCGAAGTACTCAGACAGATCATTCTGGATAGGTGTTCCAGAAAGAATCACTCGGCGAGTAACATTTAGTTGATTCAAAGCATTCCATGTCAAGCTTTCCTTGTTTTTCAGTCGATGGCCTTCGTCACATAGAAGAAGTCCGATCGGGGTATCATTCAAAGTATCCGCATACATACGGAGTGTCTCGTAGGACACGATAAGGACAGGCCTGACGATTCCACGCCCTGATGCAATGGCCCATTGCTTGATCTGGGTTATTAACTCTGCTTTCGTGGCCTTTCCGTCGATCGCAAAGGGTGTGGTGGCATCCTTTCCAAGCCATTTTACTGATATGGTCAGTCGAGCTAATAATAAGTAGAGTCTCACGCATAAACTCACCCAGTTCGTTGGCCCAATTACCAACCAAACTTGACGGACATGCAATCACGCATTTCTGAATGGTAGTTTTTCCTGCCTCTGAGGACTGCTTGAGTAGCGTCCACATCAATGCGATGCATTGAAGCTGTCTTCGTTAGAACCAAGGTATGAAAATCGGGTTGGCCAAGCTCACAGTTTTACCAAGTCCCATGCCGTCTGCCATGATGCATCCATTTGCATTTTTGTCAACCAGCCCAGTAACGCATCGATAAAGGAACTATATGTAAGCGTACTGTCAGCTTTGCTCCGATAGCACAGCTTATCTCGGGGCGCAATACCTTCACACCCTCGACTTGATGTGGCCGAAGCACTTTGCACAGTCTCGGATCAATCACGACAGGCACCTTTGGCCTATCTTCCACATTCTTTTTGAGCCCCAGAATGTCTGCTAGACTCTTATGCATAATTGGCTCGTCCAATGTTGGCGTATCCTCTGTCGGTGCCTCTGGGTTTTTGGGCGCAGGTTCCTCAGCGACGTCGTCTACTGTAGGGTCGTATAAAACAATCGCAAATTCCCCACTGGGGTCATGCAGTGGCTTTACCACAAATGTCGCACCTCGTCGCATCCCCAACGTCGGAGCCACCCGACCGGAACTGTACTCGCCGGTGGCTTTGTTGATGAAGGGAACCTGAAATCGTGACCTGAACGCCACATCTTTGTCCTTTGGTTTGTACGCGGGAAATTTGTTGGCCTCTCTTGTTTCCAAAGCGAGTCGGTCATCGTTCGTGTATGGCTTCTCCTCTCCATCTTCCACGCTTCCATCGGCGTTGGCATAGTTGACCTTTCGTCTCTTTCTCGATGGTTTTTCGGATGCCCGAGTTGGTGTCGCGGTCCCAGGACATTTGAATGGCTTTACGAGTCGGTCGATCGAGTTCTGAGAGTTCACGGATTTCGGTTGTAACGGAGTCTTGACGCTGTCGTCGCCACCGGCCGGGCGTTGTCGATACCTTACCAGCATGTCAGCACAGAGACTCGAAAATGATTAACACGATTAACATGAGGACTTACATTGGTCCCAAAACAGAAAAAACAAATACACCAAGCTCCTGCTGTACAATAATCCCAAAGTTGTTGTGAGGCAAGCGCGAGTTATCGACGCGTCGCGCGTTCACCTGAGGCTCCCAAACACCAAACTGCCGCGTCCCAAAAATAACTGACCGCCCAATGGGGTATGGTGGTCGGAGCTTCACGTGGGGCGTTATTTTTAGGAAGTCACGTGGTCACTACTTTGTATACCTGAACATCAACATGGGTACCTCTCGCTGTGTCACTTGTGCTGGCAGCATTTATTGCGGCACGTGGAACCAACTCTCAAGATGCCAAGTCTACCTTTGCTAAGAGGAAACAGTATATCCCTCGAAGACGCCCTAACTGACGACGACAACATCCTGCACCGCTTGGACTACCCGCAGAAACAGGAGGAGTTCTGGTCGTACCTACTCGCCCATAGAAACGAAATTGAAAGAGTGGTTTCATTTCATCTCCGTGCAAAGCATTGTCAAATCGCTGACTAAGCTCATTGGTTATGTGGGAGCTACAATGTCTGCATTCCAGTCTATACCAACCTGCCATCAGAGGAGTGTGTCCTTATTCGAATTCCGCTGCCTTACAAAGTTGGAGAAGAGAAGATTCCAGGAAATGTCGATGAGAAATTGCGCTGCGAAGTCGCCACATACATTTGGATACATGAAAATTGTCCCGCCGTTCCAATTCCCACCCTCCAGGGGTTTGCATTTCCAAATGGGCAGACGGTATGTGAGTGTATACTCTCTATTTTCCTCGGAAGGCTAACTTTAATTCATTGGTTTGCTGAAGAGAGCTGCATGAACTTTTCGTCTCGGTGGCGTTGGCGCATCATGCAAACCATGCGACCATGGGTTGGGTTTCCCAAAACCTGCCCATATGTGGGTTTCAAACCCAAAAATGTGTTGAAAACTGGATACATAATCACCAGTTTCGTGAAAAACGGTCAAATGCTCTCCAATACCTGGGCAGATCACCTTCTGAGCGACAAGGAGCGAAGGCAGACCCTTTTCGGTGATATTGCGAAGATCATTCTTTCACTCAATCGCATCAAATTACCACGAATTAGATCCTTAACTTTGGATGACGATGGCCTGATCGAGTTAAAAATCGACCCCTGACATTACGACTCCAAACATTCGAAAATGAAGGCATCCCCACGATACCAAGGGATTGTTTACTGGTCTGTGGAACCATATATTTTGGATCTTTTGCAGCTCCACGACAATCGCATTCGTCATCAGCCAAAGGCTATTCATAATCTGAAGGACGGCCAGGAACAATTCGCGGCTTTAACGATGATGCGTGGTCTCTTGCCTCAATTCATTTCCCGTCAATACCGTGATGGGCCATTTGTGCTTACGCTCACAGATCTCCACGCGAGTAATATCTTTGTCGATTAAAATTGGCATATTACGTCCTTGATTGACTTGGAATGGGCATGTTCTTCTCCCATTGAGTTACAAACACCGCCTTACTGGTTGACTGAACGATCTATTGATGATATTGAACACGGAGAACATCTAGATACTTTCCAAGAATTCATGACTGAATTCATAGATGCCTCTGAAAAACAGGAAAAAAGTGTTCAGACTTCCGATGTTTCTCAGGCCGAGATCATGCGGAAATGCTGGGACAGAGGTAGCTTCTGGTATTCCCAAGCTGTCAATAGCCCAAAAGGTCTCCTTCGGGTGTTCAATGAGCATATCCAACGCATGTTCTGTGAGGAGCATTGCACCCAGCGAGTGTTCGATCGGACTGTCAGTCCATACTGGTCTGTCGGGGGTGAAGAATTCATTCAAACGAAGGTGGAGCAAGAGGCGGAGTATAAGGATCGACTCAGGAAGCGGCTCAGCGATTGTGACCAAAATTGCTGACTGATTCGTCCGGACAGAGGGCTCTGTTCAAACTCACTATCCTTCTTCTTCTAGCTAGCTCGGGAATAGATGAGGTGTTTGGGTTATTGAGGCAGAAATCTTGCAGGCTTAGAAGGCACCTGCCCAGGGGCTTTCTAGTTATAGCTGAGTTATTGGTGCTCCGGCCAAAATTCCCTCAGGGACAAGAATTGCTTCTCTGTGATCTTCGACGCTGAATGGATCATCAAAGGATCGCTCAAGTGAACGTGTGCCACGTTACATCGTGCCGCCCACGTAGGCCGCCCAATCCAGTCCCTATGGACCTTGTCGTTGGTGTTCGAGTTCGGCGGCCATTGTTGATCTTCGAATTTGGTGTCGAAGGGTATTGTGGTTATCAAAGTGTGGAGGATTCGGTGTCTGTGATTTTGAGCAAAATGCATGATGGTATGAGAGCTGATATTGATGGTTGGAGAAGTGAGAAACCAAGGAAGAAGTGAGCGATTTTTGTTTTGCTTATCACTCTGGGGTATAATAGTATCTTGTTAAATGGAACAAGATGTCCTACTTCCGTGTCACCTGGTTGACTGGAGACTGGGTCTGGTCCAAGGCTCCCGCCAGCCAGATGAAGGCGTTCCTCAAATCAGACAGATCCACCAAACCGATCATGACAACAGTCGAAGCTGTCCCCGAAGGAAAGCGCTGACTAGCCTCTCGTCGGCACCTGCCCAGGTGGGCCCGCGGGCATCTATCAATCATATCTAATATCCCTTGTGTTGACATTTTCAACTCATCCTTTTGGCGTTCCTTATGCCGTTTCCCATATCCTGTTTCATCTGCTAGAAGTGCAAAAATAAACGACAGGAAGCAAAAACTGAAATTTCAAACTGATAAATTGAAAGAAACAGGGCGGTTCAAAATCGTATTATCGTGACATACCCAATAGACTAAAAGCGTTGGTTGTTCAATCTAATTCATCCAATTTGACATTGCTATGTTTATATGCCAAGGGAAGGTAGATCATGAAAAGAAGTTCTTCTGTGTTATGTCCAAAGTAAAAAGACTAGCTAATATTGAGAGAGGTATCAAACTCAAGGAAGCAAACAGAAGATCATGCAAAGATGACTCTAATACTTTATCACTACCAGGGGAACTGTGTTCCATCCCACACGCGCAGCTGCGCACCGACCGACTCCCTCGTCCCCTCGTCAATAGTCTTCACGAGACCGCCGACGCTCTCTTCGATCGTTTGGAAGGCCTTCTCAAGACCAACGAGCCGGGCACCGGTATTACCCATATCAGTTTGGACGAAGCTACCCATTCATTAATATTTCTGCGACACAAGGACCATTCGAGTACAGCAGACACATACCCAGGATCAGCAACGAAGCTCACAAAGTCCTCATTCTCGAAGTGAATCTTGCGGACAATCCAATGCAACATAGCCTTGCTCGGGCCGTACGCGGCACTTGGGTACGGGCGCTGCTCCATGCCGCCGATGCTGCCCATAGGACTGCCGACTCCTACAAACGTGGGCTTCGTGCTCTTCTTGAGTAGCGGGTAGACCGCTTGGTAAAGGTAGATGGGCCCGTAGGCATTGACCTCGACGTGCTCGCGCACCACGGAAATAGAGACCTCGTGCACGGGCGAGAAGTCCTCGGAAATTCCCGCGTTAGCAATCACCACGTCGAGGTGGTCGATGCCGTGCTCTGTCTGGAGGATCTCGACGGTAGCAGCCGGATCGGTGGGTGACTTTGCGTCGATTTTTACTACTATCAGGCTAGAGGAGTCGCCTTTAGAGAGGGATTGTAGCGACTGGGAGGAAGCAGCGGCGGGGTCACGGACGGCCGCGATGACCGTGGTGTTGGGGCGAGCGAGGAATGTCTCGACTAGACCACGACCAATTCCGCGGCTAGCGCCAGTAATCAGATAGATAGTGTTGGTCATGATAGTAGATTTGTTGGTGAATTCAAATGTTGCGATGGCGAGGTTGAGAGACGATAAAGGGTGGCCTAAATAAGCAATCTAGGTAGGGGTCGGCTCTAGTGCTGTGATTGCTAATGGCCCCAATGGCCCCCACGACAGCGATTATAGCGATGACAAATGCGATGCATGGATTGTAATCAGATTTGACAAATGCAATTGTATTCTGACAAATGCGACTTGGTTAATTTAAAGACAAACGACAAGGGACACCATGTGCGGTTCCCGAGGTCCCATTCGGGAAAGATATAAGCCCTAATCATCAGGTGTAATTAATTGCTTCATACATTGAATTGCTTCCAACGATACTATATAATCTTTGATATGTATTGAGTTAGGTACACATATTATCAATATCTCTGATCAATCCCTTCAGGCTCTATTCCACTCAGAATGACCATCCGCATCCTTGTAGAACACAGAGGCTGGAAAATATGTACTTTTGACCTATCTGTGTACTAACGTACTAGGCCCGTAACATATATATAGAGTATGCCTACATACCTCCGGATGTCTCTGCTTCCCCTCAATCATATTCCTTCCCTTAAGATACTATCGTCCTATATCATGCCCCCGACCATCCTCGTCACCGGAGCCACCGGTAAACAAGGCGGAGCGGCAGCCCGCCACCTCCTTGCCAAAGGACTACAAGTCCACGCCTTGGTTCGGACAAAGTCCAGCGCCGCCGCGCTTGACCTACACCATCGCGGCGCCGTCCTAGTCGAGGGCAACTTCGACCAACCCGAGCAACTCCAATTGGCCTGCCAGAACGCAACAGCAGTGTTCCTAAACGTACTACCCTCGTTCCGAGGCGATGGTGCTGAGCTGCAACAGGCAACCAACATCGTGCGCGCAGCTCGCGCATCCGGCACGGTCACGACGCTCGTTTACACTAGCGTCTGTGCGGTCGACCAGCGGGAAACATTCCCCGGATGGCACGATGGCACTATGTCCGGCATTCTGAAGGGGTATTTCGAGAGCAAGGGTGCTATCGAGGACCTCGTGCGCTCAGCCGGCTTCATGCACTGGACAATCCTTCGTCCACCCGTCTTTATGACAAATTACCTCCCTCCTGGTGTGAAAGGCTATTTCCCCGAACTGGTGGAATCACGTACTCTTCGCACTGCTATGGCACCCGAGAAAAGGACGATGCTCATTAACCCAGATGATATTGGTCGATTTGCTGCTGCTGCTTTTATTGAGCCGGAGCGTTTCTCGCACCGTGCTATTGATATTGGGAGTGATGCCTTGACGGCAGAGCAGGTGGCGCGGGCTATCTCCGAGGTCAGTGGGCGGGAGATTGTGGTTGACCATATTCCGCGCGATCTGGCAGAGCGTCTGGCGCCCTTGAATCCTCAGATTGACTCTCAGTTATGGTTCTGGGAGCGGCAGGATAACATTGAGCCGCGGGAGCTAGAGGCCGAGTTTGGGATTAAGTTAGCTACGTTTAAGGAGTTCTTGGCTGCGAACCAAGAACTGGTGAGGCAGACGTTTGGGTAGATCCATGGATGAACTGGATCAAGATTATCGCTGGTTATACATGGAGAAGTCGTCTGTACGTTTTACGCTCTGCTTCCTTCAGCTATTCTTCCTCGGACTTATATTGTGCATCGTAGAGTCATAAGCCCGGCATATCTACTCCGTAGAATAGTAGATTTGGTTAATAAATACAATGCGTGCGGTGTTTTATATGTTTCCTAGAAGTATTTTTGTATATATGCTTTTTTTATTATATATTTTGTTGTCCTTCTATATATCACAATCTGCCAAGAATGCATGGCGGCAGCACGCAGCAAGATGACCAGCCGTGGATAATACATTTCCTACATAGCTCGAGGTAATAATGATTCCCATGACCGCTAGGCGGCCTTAACTCAACCCATTCCGGGCTACTGAGACGATTATACCTATGTCTGTTTCGATGTGTAACATTATCCTACGGGACACGACCTGTCGTTTCGATAAGATCGCATACACGGGTCCAGGGCGCTGCGTCGGATGTCAATATGCGGTAGACGGCGGATTTCTCGAAGTTTAGTAATTCTAGGAGAAAGACCAAACGCAGACAGGACTCTAATAGCATAATAGATCAACCGCGAAGCGAGTGAGTGAATTGAGAAGCATCGCGACTTCGTTAGAAAGGAACTGTACCGGGAGCTCAGCCAGAAGGCGACGAACTACCGACACCATCACGAACTACCCGATAGGGCAAGGTTTGTGGAAGCGCATGAGTCAGGGAGGTTTATTATGAGGGAGATATAAGTTGATTGATAAATGTAAAGAATAACTGTGCATGCAGGGATGAACAACGATAGGGGTAGAGGGTAGTTAGACATTATTTATAACACAAAGATGTCTTTACAATGAAAAGATACCACGGACACACTCTTTATTTAGCGATACACTCTCCGCTAAGCTTTCCTCCGTAGTGTATCGGGGAACTGCAGGTCCGTAATCCAGGATAAGGTCTATCTGCCCCGGGCCGCCCCGGGGATGCCCTAATGGTAATCACCTGGGCACTCGCGCTCCCCGGGCACGTGAGGGGTCACCCCACTATGGAAATCTGGGGATCTTCGGATCATTGACGTTTGTGTCAGGTATCTCCAATCTGGCCCTTAGAGCTGAGATTTCATGGCCACAGACTTTTGGGCTGGCTACATCAGCGGAGCCATTGGGATTATCATCGGCAATCCTCTCGACGTCATCAAAGTCCGGCTGCAAGCGGGAAACTCACATGCAGATGCATCGTCGGCACAACTGAGCCGTTTCGAAAAAGCAAGCTCTCTTGTTCGAGGTCCGTGTTGCACCGATTAAGTGATACCAATAACAATTAATTGACCATCTATATAGGCGCTGCTGCTCCGATCTTAGGCTATGGAGCTCTCAATGCTATTCTTTTTGTTGCTTACAACCGATCCTTAGCAGCATTGGACGGGTCCGTAACCGATCCCACCAATCCCGTGGGGGTCTCGCCTTACAAGATTTGGCTAGCCGGTGCCATGGGCGGACTGGCTAGCTGGTCCATCTCATCACCAACGGAGTTCATCAAGTGTCGGGCACAGCTGGATCGCCGGCCAGGAGTTTCCTCGTGGGCGGTCGCCAAGGATATCTTCCGAACGCGCGGTTGGAGGGGTCTCTACTTTGGGGGCGGGATTACTAGCGCCAGGGATTCAATTGGCTATGGATTCTAGTATGGACCTAACACGCCACCCCCGGATACCCCAGTGTATCAATTGAGGGATTTAGTGCTGACATAGCGCAGTTTCTGGTCCTACGAACTTTGCAAACGATTTATGACCTCTGATGATGATGGTTCACACCAGGCCGCTTTGAAGATCCTACTTTGCGGTGGCATTGCCGGCGTTGTTACTTGGGGCTCGGTATTTCCTTTGGATATGATCAAGACACGACTGCAGGCACAGACAATTACAGATCATTCGCCCGGGACAATTGAGAGCCAGTCTCTACTACGACCACAGCGCCAGACGTTGAATTCTTTACAAATTGCGAAAGAGACATATCGCGCCGAGGGTATCAAGGCATTCTATCGTGGCCTTGGAGTCTGCAGTGTCAGAGCGTTCATTGTGAATGCCGTTCAGGTATGTTTTCGCCATGTTGTTATCACAATCGATTAAACAACTAACATCTGATAAAAGTGGGCGGCATATGAATGGTTGATGAAGAGCTTTAATAATTCTTGGGACGCACAAGTGAAAACACAAGAGCCCATAACGGGCCTGTAAATATGTTCAACCTGGAGCGACCACCAAGCTTAGAATATAGAAGATCTGGAACATATCAAAACATTAAAGCCAAGCTACGCAGTTACCGGAAGCCGAGTTAGGTTAGATTCTATTTGGTATTGAGGGATTTCTATTGGAATTACTCGGTAGTATTGCTAGTAAGGGGGTAAATTTCGCCCAGATGCCGTTTTCGCCGATGGTCGGCGGTTTCAAGTGACCCGCAAAACGGAAGAGCGAAAACCCGGCGAGTATCGGCAATATAAAAAAATTGCTTCACTTGAGACTCCACCGATATGCATGAACGGAATGAGGAAAGTCAACATCAGAACGAGTCTAGATGTATTGTCCTGGAAACTTTTGTGTGTCGATTTGCGTATGTCGATTTGCTGGAAAGGGTATCGTGGTCGCGTAGCAAAGGTTTTGATTTTTATCCCAGAAGGCGAAGCTCAAGCTTCGATTCACTCCTTCATCTCGTCGGGGTTTTCTTCGCGCTTGCCGTTGTCGACGAAACCCAGTCCGATCGCACGCTCGGCAAGCAATTGGCTGTGAGGCTCATCGCGCAGGATACGAAGTCTAAAAAAAAAAATGCGAAGCTGGTCAGCGATGCGACAGAAGACATGGTATCTAAATACACTCACCTCCGCTTGTGGTTCTTGCCCTTGGCGTGCGCCTTGAGGTTGTAGTCGCTCTCAAACCATTTGGAGCACTCCGTGCAGTAGAACTTGCCTAGACCAGGCAGATCTTCCACATCCTTCGAGTCCTTGTACTTCTGGAGGTGACGGGGAGTCTTGATATCCGCGACGACTTGATCGTAGTCTCTATGAGTGTGTTAGAAATGAACGCCAGCGATAGGTATAGGCACAACCCCTAGGGTAGACGTACCTAGTGCGGCGCTTGTTCTTGACTTTCCGGAGAGCACCCATTGTTACTGATAGCCGAAATACCTCGGAGTTGGAGCCGAACAATGGTATCAAAATAGATGCAAGGGAATGAAAATTGGTTATCACCGATTTCCGGAGTAAACGGTGAGGAAAGCGGGTCAAAGAGGCTATGGACAATAGCGAGGTTTGAGATGAAATTTCCGCCGATTGTGGGTCACGGGCAACGATTGAAACGCCTGAGCGCTGATTGGCTGGTGATCAGACACGGCACCTTGGCGGCGATGCGGGATTGCCATTCGGCTCACCTCGGCTCAGTGTGATTTCGTCACCGTACAACTGTGTATTTAATGACGTTTGCATGAGGTATGTTGTTCCGTATATCTAGGTACATAATTCAAGTTCAATACCAAGTCTATATGTATAAAGTACATATGTAGCTTTAGGTGTAGGATATAGTGATGGAAATACTGTTCAGAAAGCACTCTACTGATAGAGCATTACATCGTACTGAGTAGCATCATGAACTAGTAAACACATGTTGATCATTGGCTGAATTCATACATATGAAACCCATAAAATCCACATGCGTCAAGCTGCCCCTTTGCCGGTAGCACGGGGTACAGGCCGAGAGAGTTACATGCCCCAGGTGAGAACACATTGACCTTCCAAAGTCAGCCCTTTGGTCCGAAATGGGGGAACTGGGCGAAGGGGCCTTGTAATTGGAAACTCCGTGATTGGTGGCCGAGTTATATCCGTCACATGCCTTGTATCGGTGTTACGTTCCCGGTACATCCCATGGCAACCACAAAAGGCCACAGATGTTGAATATTGGAAGTTCAGATGGGAAGAGAATATGGATAGAAAAATAATCGGGCAGTATATCCCTTGTACAGCTCATCATCTAGCATTGTAAATATTGAGTAAATATTGAGAATTCTCGGCCATAAGCAGCGTCTATCAAATTGCCCAGCCCTTCTTACCATCCATGGATCGCATGCGGCAGGCTTAGTCCAATACCAGCGTATTGTATCGCCGTGGTAACAGCGGTTACGGCTCTACTCCCGGTCCCCGTAGAATCTTTCTCCCACTCAAAACCAAGCTTTCGTCCTCTTCTTCCTTTTTGATCTCTTCCTCTCTCATTCTACTCTCCACTCTCATACATACTTTGGTGAAGGTGGTTACTAGCTCTTGGATGTGCAATCCCATCTCATAGAGCTTCCATCATGATCTCCACCCGCCTCGCGCGCGCTGGTGCGCTGGTACGTCTTTCTCCCTCGGCTCATTATTGCCACATGGCGATCTACCTGAGTGCCAGTCTTGACTCTTGATGAATGGAAAACTAACTTGTGTTCTCGACTCTAGGCCCCCAAGTTCCGTCTTGTAAGCAGCGACCTCATTGCCAAGCTTCAGCTACACGTGGCGTGGCACATATGCCGACGTGCATGATAGCTCGGACATGGCTTAGACATGCAGTTACTGACTTTTCAATGTATAGCTTGCCGGAACCCGGGCCTTCGCTACCGCCAATGACCCTCTCGACAAGAAGGTCGAGATGACCAACCAGGAAACTGTGAGTGGCTGCCAGCCTAGCGCCCGAGAACCGGGCGTGGAGTACGATTCCAAGCAATAGCGACTAACATATTACATCTCAGGGCCACTACATCAACTACAAGAAGATGTCCGAGAACCTCGACATCGTCCGTTCTCGTCTGCAGCGTCCTCTCACTTACTCCGAGAAGGTCCTGTACTCTCACCTTGACGACCCCCACGGCCAGGACATCCAGCGTGGTGTCTCTTACCTCAAGCTGCGCCCCGACCGTGTTGCTTGCCAGGATGCCACTGCCCAGATGGCTATCCTGCAGTTCATGTCCGCTGGTATGGACCGCGTCCAGACCCCCACCACCGTCCACTGTGACCACTTGATTGAGGCCCAGGTTGGAGGTGAGAAGGATCTTGCCCGTGCCAATGACATCAACAAGGAGGTCTACGACTTCCTTGCCTCCTCTACCGCCAAGTACAACATCGGTTTCTGGAAGCCCGGTTCCGGTATCATTCACCAGATCGTTCTTGAGAACTACGCTTTCCCCGGTGGTCTGATCATCGGTACTGACTCCCACACCCCCAACGCTGGTGGTCTCGCTACCGCCGCTATTGGTGTCGGTGGTGCTGATGCCGTCGATGTTATGGCTGGTCTCCCTTGGGAGCTGAAGGCCCCTAACGTCATTGGTGTCCGTCTCACTGGTAAGATGTCTGGCTGGACCACCCCTAAGGATATCATCCTTAAGGTCGCCGGTCTCCTCACCGTCAAGGGTGGTACCGGTGCCATCATCGAGTACCACGGTCCCGGTGTTGAGTCCCTGTCTTGCACTGGTATGGGTACCATCTGTAACATGGGTGCCGAGATTGGTGCTACCACCTCTATCTTCCCCTTCAACGACCGCATGTACGACTACCTGAAGGCCACCAAGCGTCAGCACATTGGTGACTTCTCTCGCGAGTACGCTGCTTCCCTCCGTGAGGATGAGGGTGCTCAGTACGATCAGCTCGTTGAGATCAACCTCGATGAGCTCGAGCCCCACGTTAACGGTCCCTTCACTCCCGATCTTGCCACCCCTATCTCCCAGTTCAAGGAGGCTGTCAAGACCAACAAGTGGCCCGAGGAGCTCAAGGTCGGTCTGATCGGTTCTTGCACCAACTCCTCTTACGAGGATATGTCTCGCGCTGCTTCCATCGCCCGTGACGCTCTTGACCACGGTCTCAAGTCCAAGTCTCTGTTCACCATCACCCCTGGTTCCGAGCAGATTCGCGCTACTATCGAGCGTGACGGTCAGCTCCAGACCCTCGAGGAGTACGGTGGTGTCATCCTTGCCAACGCCTGCGGACCTTGCATTGGTCAGTGGGACCGCAAGGACGTGAAGAAGGGTGAGGCCAACTCCATCATCTCTTCCTACAACCGTAACTTCACTGGCCGTAACGACGCCAACCCCGCCACCCACGCGTTCGTTGCCTCTCCCGATCTGGTCGTCGCCATGACTGTTGCCGGTACCCTCAACTTCAACCCCATCACCGACACCCTCAAGGGCAAGGATGGCAAGGAGTTCAAGCTCAAGCCTCCCTCCGGTGACGGTCTTCCCGCTCGCGGCTACGATGCTGGCCGTGACACCTACCAGGCTCCTCCCGCTGATCGCTCCAAGGTCAGCGTTGCTGTCTCCCCCACCTCCGATCGTCTCCAGATCCTCGCTGGCTTCCCGGCCTGGGATGGCAAGGATGCCACCGACATCCCCATTCTGATCAAGTGCAAGGGCAAGACCACCACTGACCACATCTCCATGGCTGGCCCTTGGTTGAAGTACCGTGGCCACTTGGACAACATCTCCAACAACATGTTGATTGGTGCCACCAACGAGGAGAACAACGAGGCCAACAAGGTCAAGAACTACTTCACCAAGGAGTACGATGCCGTCCCCGCTACTGCCCGTGACTACAAGGCTCGTGGCGTCAAGTGGGTTGTCATTGGTGACTGGAACTACGGTGAGGGCTCTTCCCGCGAGCACGCCGCTCTCGAGCCCCGTCACCTCGGTGGTCTCGCCATCATCACCCGTTCCTTCGCTCGTATCCACGAGACCAACTTGAAGAAGCAGGGTATGCTTCCTCTGACCTTCACCGATCCTGCCGACTACGACAAGATCAACCCCGAGGACAAGGTCGACCTCCTCTGCACTGAGCTCGAGGTTGGCAAGCCCATGACCCTCCGTGTCCACCCCAAGGACGGTGGCGCCGCCTTCGACATCTCTCTCAGCCACACTTTCAACGAGTCCCAGATGGAGTGGTTCCGCGACGGCTCTGCCCTCAACACCATGGCCCGCAAGGCTTAAACTGCCTTTCTTCCTTCTGTCATGACTCCCCAACAATAAAACCTTCAAGTGTTTCGGTTATGACCGAGACACCTGTGTAAACTACGTTCTCTGGTGTGTCGAACAATTCAGATACATGCTTCTGAAAACCACGGTGTGACACGGCAGCCATTAGATTGGTTGTCTATTGCCCATGTCCCTTTCGCGAGCAAGATACGAGGAGTTGCGCTCTGGGAAAAATTATGAATGAATTTGTGTTTTTGTAGGCCTGATTTCTCGGCCTTGCGTTGATTCCCGATATCTGGGTGGGCTCAATGGATATACTCTTTTTTTGATTTTTACATCACTGTTTTTGTATGTTAGGAATGGCATGCATACACAATTTCTTTTTGTTTTCAAATTGATCCCTTCGTAGGTCGTAGATTCATGTACAAAAGTACGTATTTCAACCATGTCCGGCATAATAGACAGACCATGGACGTCCCACAGAAATACCGTGGGCGCCTCGGACAGATCCAAAGATGAGATAAGCTTACCGAGGCACAATTTCTGCCCCGCGTTAGTTGGACTTCAGTATAAGATTGACTTGGACGCCATCAGATCATTTTATTCCGTCATTGGGTTCGCAAGTTCACCGATTTGGTATCTTCTCAAGTTCACCTCTACATCTCACCACAAAGCATCTATCCGCATCAAACAAGCCTAGAGCATCTTGAATGATAAGTCAACCATCAGTTGACCACTGATTTGCACTTCTAGACCTAGATATAAGGACCAGGTTGTTGAGGATATTCTGCTTGCCATCTACTATACCCATCTCATCTCGAAATATGGCGACCCAGCTCGTCCAACTCCCAGAAGTGGAGCGCCTCAGTGCATCAGTCGTGAGAATTCTAGGCGGAAATCCGGGGAAGGTGAGTGCATAGATGCCATGATGTCACTATAGTACGACAAGCTGATCAATAGCACGCAACGCAATACAGTTCACACTCCAAGGTAAGCATCACACTCCATCCCAACTGAGAACACACACCCTAACCATATACCCAGGCACAAACACATACTTAATTGGCCGCGGCCACCAACGGATCTTAATAGACACAGGCGAAGGCAAGCCCTCATGGGCAGCAAACCTTCAATCCGTGCTCGCAGAAGAAAAGGCAACAGTGCACCAGGCTCTCCTGACACACTGGCATGGCGACCATGTCAACGGGTTGCCAGATCTGCTCAAACTCTGTCCCCAGGCTCAGATTTTCAAACACCAGCCTGATTCCGCTCAAACGGATATCCAGGAGGGCCAGGTATTCTCCGTTGAGGGTGCTACCTTGACAGCATTCCATACGCCCGGGCATACCGTCGATCATATGGTGTTTATGCTCGAGGAGGAAAATGCTATGTTTACGGGTGATAGTAAGTGTGGTTCTTTTACTCCAGCCCTTCTCTTCCCCTCCACTGATAAAAACCATGATATACAATGTCCATCGAGCCATATCTAACCCAAAACTACAGACGTCCTAGGCCACGGCACAGCCGTCTTCGAAACCCTCAAAACCTACCTCAGCAGTCTCCACCGGATGCGCGACCGCGTCTCCTCTGGCCGGGGGTACCCCGGACACGGGGCGGTGATCGAGGACGCCGGCGCGCGGATCACCGAGTACATCAAGCACCGACAGCAGCGGGAAGACGAGGTCCTGCGCGTGCTGCGATTTGGAAAGCTTGATGTCGCGGCTGGCGAGTCCTCGCCGGAGCGCAAGCAGACGTGGACGCCTATTGAGTTGGTCAAGCGCATTTACCGTGACGTTCCCGAGTCTTTGCATTTACCTGCTTCGCATGGTGTGTTGCAGGTGTTGATGAAGCTTGAGGATGAGGGAAGGACGGTTCATGATTCGGACTCGGGGAAATGGAGTCTTGTGAGTGAGAAGTCGGCTTTATGAGATGTATAGATTCCGACATAGTTACATATGTATGCATAGAAATGTCGGTTGTACGGTCTATGGTTTTTATTATCTTTTTGTCTTTTTTTAACTATAAAACTGAGAAGCGTAAAACACATGTAAAAGACATGTAAAAAGACATGTAAAAAGACATGTAAAAAGACATGTAAAAAAGACATGTTAAAAGACACATAAAAGACATCTAAAAAGACGTTAAAAAGACACCCCAAAAACACATCCAAAATACATTCGACGTCAGCACTCTGTCACTCATCTTTCTGACTGGCTCAGGCCAGTTGCACGGTCTGCCAGATGCGGAGTCAGAATGACCACTAAAAAGACCAAGGATCTTCTCTGGAAAGATCTCTTTTAAATCCAAGTTGCATGGAAATATAGAAAGAAATACTTTTCCTTGCTTTTCATATTTTTCCACAGTCCCTCATGTGAGCGATATTGAGGTCCACCGGTAATTCCAACAATTCCAAGAGTGACGTTCGCTCCGGTCCCCCGCTTTGCTCTCACCCTCTCACCTTTTTTTCCCTCTCTCTTCACAGTCGACTTTTTGTTTGATATTACTGCTAGCAGATATCTACATATGGAGATAGATTGCTAATCTGGTGCTCATTCGGAGTAAATATCCCCTTGTTACAAAGGTTGGTTCATATTCGTCATGATCTCCAAGGGTTTCCCCGCCTACGAAATTGACTCTAATCGCATGTTTTATCGGAACTACAGGAGCCCGGCTTGCCCTGTCTACACTAAAGGCCCTTATTCTAATCCCATTAATCACATCCTCCGTTTTCGCCGGCATCCGATCCATCACCATGCATTCCGTCGAGCCCAAGAATGAAGCTCGCCTGCTTCTAGTCTCCAACCGTCTGCCGATCACAATCAAGCGGTCTGATGATGGGAAATATGATTTCTCAATGTCATCAGGAGGTCTGGTCAGTGGTTTGAGTGGCCTCTCAAAATCAACCACCTTCCAGTGGTACGGCTGGCCCGGTCTGGAGGTTCCAGAGCCCGAGATCCCCGTCGTGAAGCAGCGCCTCAAAGAAGAATACGGCGCTGTACCGGTCTTCATTGATGATGACCTGGCAGATCGACACTACAATGGGTTCTCCAGTCAGTTGCTCTTGTTCCTCCCCGCGAAGTCCCTGGAATATACACTAATACTTCGTTATTTCGCATAGACTCCATCCTCTGGCCTCTGTTCCATTACCACCCTGGCGAGATCACCTTCGACGAGTCCGCCTGGGAAGCTTACAAGGAAGCGAACCGTCTTTTCGCGAAGGCTATCGCGAAGGAAGTACAGGATGGCGACCTGATTTGGGTTCACGACTACCACCTGATGCTGCTTCCTGAGATGCTGCGCGAGGAGATCGGCGATAGCAAGAAGAACGTGAAGATCGGTTTCTTCTTACATACACCATTCCCTAGCAGCGAGATCTACCGAATCCTCCCCGTGCGCAATGAACTGCTCTTGGGTGTCCTACATTGCGACCTGATTGGCTTCCACACTTATGATTACACGCGCCATTTCCTGAGCAGTTGCTCGCGTCTACTGTTAGTATACCCTGCAACTGCACGGCGTGGAGTTTATATCTAATCGAATTAGGGGTCTTGCAACTACGCCCAACGGCATTGAATTCCAGGGCAAGATTATCACATGTGGAGCTTTCCCCATTGGTATTGACCCTGAGAAGTTCAAGGAGGGATTGAAGAAGGAGAAGGTCCAGAAGCGCATTGCCATGCTAGAGCAGAAGTTCCAGGGCGTGAAGCTGATGGTCGGTGTTGACCGTCTTGATTACATCAAGGGCGTGCCCCAGAAGTTGCACGCGCTCGAAGTGTTCCTCAGCGACCACCCAGAATGGGTCGGGAAGGTCGTGCTTGTACAGGTTGCCGTTCCCAGTCGACAGGATGTCGAGGAGTACCAGAATTTGAGGGCCGTGGTGAACGAACTGGTGGGTCGGATCAATGGAAAGTTCGGTATGTATTCTGGCTTGGTGTTTTGAACGAAGCTAATTGTCTTTCAAGGCACGGTCGAGTTCCAGCCTATTCACTTCCTGCACAAGTCCGTCAACTTTGACGAGCTCATCGCTCTCTACGCCGTATCAGATGCCTGCATTGTCTCATCTACCCGTGACGGCATGAACCTGGTTGCCTACGAGTACATCGCTACCCAACAGAAGCGCCACGGAGTGTTGGTGCTTTCTGAATTCGCCGGAGCAGCCCAGAGTCTGAACGGCAGTATTATCGTGAACCCCTGGAACACCGAAGAACTGGCAGGCGCCTACCAAGAAGCCGTGACCATGAGCGACGAACAGAGGGCTCTCAACTTTGCCAAGTTGGACAGATACGTGTCCAAGTACACCAGGTGCGTTTCCCTGTCACCCTGCCAACCAGGGCATATCCTTGTTTCTCGTATTTCGTTTCAGACTGACCATTTTCTAGCGCATTCTGGGGCCAATCCTTCGTCACCGAACTCACCCGGATATCAGCCCGCTCTGCCGATAAATTCCAATCCAAGAAATTGGCGGAAACGGATGCAAACGGAGCCGATGTGCCACCCACGACGCAAGACGCGTAATAATCTTTGATCTCTTCCGAGACATGTTGTTCCCAGTTTCCTGGTGCTCTGCAGTTGGAACGGGTCTTTCAAATGAAACTTAGATGGCCTTCACGAACATGGATGAGGCGAAATGTATTTTCCTAGAGGTTTCTTGTTGGTTTCTGCTTTTTCTTTTCTTTCCAAAATTTGATTTCTGTATACAGGTTGGGTTTCCTTCTAGACCAGACTTACATGTATGCTACAGAACATAACTATCGGGCTAACCGAATTCCGACCCGGATTAAGGGTTCCTCCGACTCAGCGGGAGATCCGGGCAGAATGTGACTCCCCATATGGCCGTTATCAAGGAGACACAGCGAACATAGCAAACGAGCCAGACTGGGTCGAGTGTTCCCGGTAGAGTTTCTCTAGGCTGTCACGCGCTCGGTATTACTCTATCTTTACTTTTTTTTCCCTATGGAGCTGCCTCATCACTTGTAACTAGGACTTGGTGGTGTTTGGGAAGCTAGACGGGTTTAACCTTTGATATAACAGGCCCATTTTACTTGGTGATTAAAATAGTATGTCTTATTTTTGTGCAAAGTGTTCCTCAAAGAAAACAAGGCCATCAGACCAGTCACGTGTATGATAATTGATGCTCTATGGGTGCTCTATGGGTGCTCATTCCAGCCTCAGTAATACCCAGTCTCCAATCAGTGAGCAAATCTGATCGCTCAACTGCCGTAATAGAAGGCCTCGCTTTGATCGTTTTGGAGTCCTATCGCTAATTAAGATGACTTTAATTCGACAATCCTTTCGGAAACTCTCCCACCCTGGATATTTGTTGTGTCCAAGGCGGTCCTTCTCCCAGGCCACCTCCCTACCATCGCCTATAGAGGAACAAGGGTCTTCTTATGATCCCAAGAAAATACTACGTCACTCGCATCGAGGAGACCGTCGGGTGGTACCATATCATTTCAAAGCTCAGCTGGGGTGCTAGTTGCACAGCTTGGCTGGCAAAAGATGTTTCTCGGTTGGTCGATTGATCAGATTTCAGTATCATGTCTTTCCTAACACCGCAAAGCTGGCCATGGCAGTCAACCAAATACATAACCTTGAAACCCACCAATCTCGGAGACGAGGAAAAGAAAGCGACAGAAGAAGAGATAACAGTTTCGCAGCATATCGCTGCCTTGCATTCTGCTCACGATAGCCTACGATACGTTCAACTAGTCAAAGAGTCATTCCAGGTGCAAGGACATCTCGGATAACATGCTTGTTTGGTCTTCGAACCATTACGAGAGCCAATTTGGCTTCTTGGAAAACACTTTGGGAGTGTTGGAGTGCCTCCAAACGTTCTGAAGCCTTTTTTGAGGATCTTACTGCAAGGTCTAGACTTTCTCCACTCCGAGTGTCATATCATACTCACTGGTGATTTACTACCCCTCTTCCTTAAGCCTCGCTATTTCATTGACTCTCTAACTGGCCGCAGATCTGAAAGCTGATAACTTCCTTATTGGCTTTGAAGACGCTAATGTTCTCCAACGATATGTCCGCCGCAAAGCTCGATCCTGCACCTCACGTATTTCGGGATGAACGTTCTGTCTATCATTCCAGACCAGACTTTGGACCAATAACGAAGGGGACGGGTTTATTAAGAAATCTAATAGCTACTAGACTTATCCCGTTACGTTCTAAGAGACACTTCTATATCTTAGAAGAACTCGCGAGCTAGACTAAAGAATTAGAATCGGACGTCGTATCCGAGGTCGGCGAATAGCTAGATGCTAGTGGTATATAGAAGTTCCTTAGCGAGAGGATTTTGCACTATAGGAAAATGGCCGCTATTATCGCACTTACGCGTTTATTTCTTCGCTTTAAATTTCGTTCCTCGTTCAATATAAGTACCTAACGAGGCATATATAGGCTTCAAAAAACTAACGAGTATAGACCTCGCCACTAAGTGCATTTGCTTCGGACATGGTCCGGCGTTTCGACGCCAAACTGTTGAGGCTGCATTGTGTCTTAGGAAAACCATGGTCTTTTGAATCTCCGTTAAATTTCAGAAATAATTTGGCCTTAGGCCGTCGAACCGTATTTTCCGTCCATGTTAATCATAACCTTGGAATCCACCACGGTAACAGCATTTCACCAATCAAATTCGAGAGGACTGTTCAGGATTTACCAAACATGACAAAATACTGGGCCCATTATATTGGTAAATGCTTTCTATGATTAAGCGGAAGTATTTAATCTTGTTCCAACGACTTGTTGCACCAGCAGCATCGGCGATCTAGGCTATGTTTAGTGGTGGCCTGCTCTTAATAATAACCACTGTGATTCGTCTAGAAGTCTCTGTAAAATAATTTTGGATTTGGCGTAGTCTCATGGCGGTGACGCACTTCATTTACTTGATATTCAATTTCTAAGTTTTTCGCTACTTGGAAACTGCGTGTGGCGGAGTGCCACGTTCTTGGGGCAACCAGCGCAATAGAGTTTGTGGAGAATTTGGCATATAAGAGTAGGCGCCGCTTCGCAGCTCACTTTGATACTGCAGTATCAACGAGCCGCGCCCTATTGACCCAACTTTTGTCTTCATTCTAAATAGGCGTCTATAATCATGTGGGAATTGGAAAACTTCTTTTCTATCACTAAAGTGAACTTTTCCATCGATCTTACGACTTCTTGTCACTGCGCTAGGCAAGCAATACTTGAATTATGGCAGGTGAAACGGGGCCGATCCACGTGTCTCGCGCTATCGCTATGACGATAGCAGCGTTTTTCGGTATCACCTGTTATAACGTTCTGGAGATTATGATCTCCATTTTCATGACCTTCAAGCGTTACCGAGGGTTATACTTCTGGAGCATGCTCGTGGCCACGTTAGGCATCTTACTCCATGCTATTGCGGTCCTACTCCGCTTTTTCGCACTTGCCCCTAGCTTCCCTATGGCTGTACTCATTGTCATCGGCTGGTACGCCATGGTCACGGGCCAATCCGTCGTACTTTATTCCCGGCTGCACCTTGTCGTCAGCGACTACCGTCGGTACCGATGGGTGTTGTATATGATCATCATAAATTTTTGCGTACTGCACATTCCGGTTTCCATCCTCTTCTTTGGCAGCGGTCTAGGCCATTCAAATTTCCTCGGCCCGTTCAATGTCTATGAGAAAATCCAGCTTGCTGGATTCTCTGCCCAAGAGATCATTATCTCTGGGTTGTATATCTGGGAAGCTTCTCGGGCACTCAAACCGGTTCTCGCGCGCGACGAACGAAGTGGCCATAATGTCATGAAACATTTGATACTCGTCAATATCATTGTCATTCTTATGGATGCTTCGCTTCTTGCGACCCAATATAGCAACAATTTCGAAATACAAACAACGTATAAGACCGTCGTTTACAGCGTTAAGCTGAAGATGGAATTCAGCGTGCTGAACCAGCTGGTCGCCTTTTTAATGAGCAATCGCGACATGAACGTATATGACAGCCAGCAGACTTGCCTGGAGCCCAACAGAGATGGAATGGAGCTTTTCGTCACACCCTATCGTGGCTTCCATCCGGCAAAACAACCCCGACGCTCAGCTTGCAACCTGCCGAGTGAGAATAGAATTCCCTTTGAAACAGGAACTACAGTACTGGACCCTATGTCAACAATACAGGAAGAATACCCGTCCTCTACAGATGGTGAAACGTTGTCTTCTGGTGCGGTGTCCACTATAGGAGGGGTACTATCGCGGCCAAAAAAATCTTTTATATACCCAGCGACAGCGTGACAGAGCTTTACATAGATCTATTTCTTTTCCTCTTGATGAAGAAACAATTTGTGAATGTTGGTTGGGGAATTTGATTTCGAATGCTACTATGTGGGATTACCTCATTGATTACTACCTCAATCGGGTACTTGGAATCCGAAGAGGCTGAAGATGAAATTTATGTGATTGTGCTGAGCACTCCCCAGCACGAGCTTTATTTTAAATGTGCTGTCGCTATGCCCCTCCGCCTGCTGCCGCCTTCTCAGAACCAGGTTTGTATGTAGGTGCGTGTCACATGGGATTTTAGGGTTTTAGAGGTTTGTTTCGAGTTTGGACGGTATGTATAATAATTTAACGACCTAGGACATTTACCCACACAGCCACAGTAATGACGGCAAGCCACAGCTTCTGAAATTTAAATGCGATTAAGGTAATGTTGAGCCATTTCCCGTCCCGGTATGTGTATTTCGTCAGCTTGGAACACAAACGGATTCAATTTGGTCAACGAGTGTGTAACAGCATGTGGAAGCCTTGTTTATTTTGCCTGGTTCATTTTGTGATGGCTAGAAGATTGGGGAGAAATAGGCTGTTCAATAATAAGATTTGAGTAATAAATGGCTCTATTGACATGGTATGCTCAACAGATTTGATGAATTAAAAGTGACCTCCTTGGACGTATGATCAGTGAGATCAGAAAAGACAGATCGCTTGCGTAGATTTCTTTAACTGCATCTTTACTCTGTACTCATCGAACAATTGTGAGGATGACACTGAGGAGCAGTCATACGATCGTGGTGAGGAGGGAATGTGTGTTCCGCCTCAGTTTACCTGGAACTCGTTTGATGTCAGCGGGTGGTAAGGGTGCTCGCCATCTGACTGCCATGTTGACTTGAGTGGTTGTGATCATTTTCTTGTGCTAGTTATGTATGTAAAGATCGAATAATTAGAGACTGTTAGTCTTAAGGCTCGATTAGATCCTCTCTAAGCAACCGGGAAATCAGATCACGATTGATGTTCACGCTATACTTTCTTTTTTCAATTCAACAAACGGTTAGATGGCTGGTAGCTATGTCCAACCGAATTGAAAATGATGGGTCTGTCAATAGGAACGGACAAACCCTCTGTCTAGCAGATAATAAATGGTTTACAAGTGGCCAGTGGTGACGATGGAAGGTTGATATGAACTCATTTCTAGTTAGTCTTACTCCCGTGATTAGGGCAAAGTTCCTTTGCTTCCATGTAGTACCACAATATCCATGGATATTCATCCAATTGACAATCCTAATCCTGTGATGATCATAACATTTATCAATCATATAATAATTCTTGAAGCTATTCACTCTCCGGGCAAAAAACCGCATTGTTGTGATGATCCCAAAAGATCTATGAGGGCCGAGGTAGCGGTTGGAACGGAGTTGAGAAATCTGCTTAGGTGAAGTAGACACTCTAAAGACTTATGCAAGCAGTAAGAAGTGCAGATGAAATCTATACTTATAAATATACTTAAATATGAGGGTTTTGCTATCAAATTGCCCAGTTACTCCTGAGTCCGTCCAAGTTGACGTCTTTATACTAGAGTGCAAACAGTGCAAACATGCTTCCCCGAGAAATTCTCGAAATCCTCAACTGCAAACACCTCAAGCTCGCAACCATTTGGGCGGTCACCATTACCACAAACCATCCGCGTGCTTGACCATCTCCCATCCCTTGTCCTCTCCAATCCCATCCGAATACAATTGGAAGAGCAACCGCCTGCTCCCCTATCAACAATGGCACCAAGCCACCTCCTGCGGGCAACAATGCCTCTCCGAGCCTCACTCACGACATCTCTGTCCCTGACACGCCCCTCAATCCTCCAATCAACCACATACCTCATCACGCCCCTCCGCAATGCCTCAACAACCACCCCAACCCCCACACATCCCAAGACTACCGGCACAGAAACACAAGCGCCCTCCCGACTGCGCAACTACGCCTCCGAGCTGAAAACCGGCACCGTGGTCTCCGTCGGCCGCATGGACCGCACAGTGGGCGTCTGCCACCGCCACACACTCTGGGACCGACACATCCGCAAGTTCTACCCACAGGAAACGCACTACCTAGTGTCCGACCCGCGCAACTCCCTCCGCGACGGCGACATAATCGAGTTCTCGTCCGGCGCGCCCAAAAGCCGGAACGTGCACCACGTCGTCGAGCGCATCATAACCCCTTTCGGCGAGGCCATTGCGGACCGTCCTGCTGTGCTGTCGAAGGAGGAGCGTGAGGCTGAGCGTGAGACGCGCTGGGCGGCCAAGTATCTGCGTCGTGAGTCGAGACGACTTGGTCGTGAGGTGGATCTTGTCAAGGAGGCGGCTAAGGCGGGTGTTCCGGTGCCGAATGGTGAGGTGCTTTCTACTGCGCAGTTGATTCATCGCATTCATGCGGAGAATGAGCGCATCGGGAAGGTTAAGAGGATTGTGCAGGAGAGAGTGGCCGAGGATGAGAGGATTGTGCAGGAGAGAGTGAAGGAGGCTGAGCAATGAGCTGCTGACTTTTACTGAGAAAGTGGCTTTTACTGAAGAATTGTACGTTTAGCTCTTTTTGGGACGGGCTTCAGTATTTGAACTGTCGGATTTGTCCTTTGGCCTCCGTGGTGTTGCATATCGGAGGTTATGTACTGTATTATACCGCTTCAATCTATTTTCATTGGCATTGTGATATGTTGTATTCCTGGGATGGATCTTGCAACCAAAGATAAGTCTAAAGTATGTATGAGAAAGGGAAGAAGGAGAGGAAGGACCCATCAATATCAAAATACAAAAAAACCAACAGTGCACATCATAAACACCGGTTTAGCCTAGACGAAGCTGTCTAGTCCAATCATTTAATCATTCGTAAACAGAAAGAAAGTCACTGGTATCACGGAAGAATAACCAACTCCTTTACCCAGAAACGGCAAACCGTGCCCGTCAAATCCTGAACCCTTCAGCTTGAGGCACCCCAGCGAGAGATGTAGTGGTCCCTCAATGAATTGGGCATTGGGGTTTATTTATCTCAAGCTTTCGGTGTTGCCCTCATCTTCTTTCCCATTGCTCCTCGTTCGGTGCTAACTAAAATCGATCATGCCGCGAAGACCCGGACTTTGAGATCAACACTGCCAGTTGCCAGGACACATCGAATGGACATCTTTGTCGCGTTAGGGTCTTCTTTTGCTTTCGCCCCATTAGGCGCAGCCTCGGCACCGTTCGCACCCTCATTTGCACCGGCATCCTTAACCAAAGGCGGCGCCCATCGAAGCGAACTGATGAAGTGGTCGTGGGCCACGATCGTGCGCACACACTTGCATTCTTGTGTGAGATCCCAGCACCGCATAGTCTTGTCGTCAGATACTGAGAGAAGGTATTTACCACCGGGATGGAAGACCAATGAGCGGACCCAGTTGTCGTGGCCAACAAGTGTCTTGATGCAGTTTCCGCGTGTATCCCAGAGACGGATAGTCTTATCGCGAGAACCAGTAGCCACAAATTCGGCAGACGATGATGCTGGTGGTGGCTTCTTTAGCCCCGCAAGAGCTGCGAAGTGAGGGTAACTTGTTGGCGGAGCGAAGGCCACACACTCGATATAGTGCTCGTGGCCTAGGAATGTTGATTTGGTATCACCAGATGAGATATCCCACAGACGTGCAACTCGGTCATCTCCACCAGAGAAGAGGAACCGGCCGTCTGGCGATGGTGTAACATCTCGAATCCAGTCTCCATGACCCTGCATGGATTTGACACAATATCCAGTTGTCACATCCCATATGCGCAGTGTGAGATCGCGAGAAGCTGAGACTAGCAGGTTTCCTGACATGGGAGACCCTGCAGCTCCAGAAGGAATGAACCGAACCGCTGAAACGCTGTGATCGTGCCCTGGTAGCGTTCGAATGTTCTTATACTCGTCAGCCGGGTCCCACAATTTGATCGTCAGATCTGACGAGCATGATGCAAGAAGTGTGCCTCCGCGCGGTCCACCATAATCGACATCTAACACTGCCCTGGTATGTCCTTTGATTGTGCGTTCTAGTTCACCCAGCTCCCAGTCCCAGATCTTGATTGTGGTATCATCTGAGCCGGAGGCCAATGAAGAGAATATTGGATGGAAAGCCAGGCACGATACTGGCGAGCGGTGCGATTGGAGGTCATGGCGCGCTGGTGCTCGAGGCAGCCAGGAGACTGGGTCTTGGTTTTTGCGATTCAGAGAAGTCGGGGTTGCGGTGTCCAGCTCAGACTGGAGTGAAGCGCATCGTGCTTCCAGATCCATAATCTATACCAAAAATAGCAGGTTAACAAGAGGAAGGCTTGTTGGTATGCTCGGTCCTCGCACCTTTTTCTGTAACCGGACTACGCTCGTCCATTTCTTCTCCAAGAGCCCTTCATATTTCTTTAGTGTGGTTTCGTCGACTCGGATCGAGTCGCCTAGTTCTTCTCGTAAAGCGGCGGAGCTGTGGTGCAAATTCACAGAGGTGAGGTAGGCGATTATTCCTTTATGTCTGTCGCAAAACACCATCAGCGATCACCCCTAAATGAACCAGATCGGGTCACATACAGCTCCTCCGCCTGACGCGACGTGAGAAGTTGGCTCATGATGTTATATGTGCTCTCTGCTCTCCCTGCTTATCCAAATGCGCATGCACCAACTTGGTCCAGAAAACTGCGATGGAGGGGAAGTGGTGGGAGCGGTGTCGGCGACTAAAGGGGAGTTGGGGGGGGGGGGGGAGTTTGGGAGTTGTCGAGTTGGCGAATTGACGAATTGATCCAAAAGAAGTAGAGGAATTGAAGAACAGAGAGAAAGAAAAGAAGAGAAGATAAACATGAAGAGCAAGTTGTGATCCACCGCGGGGAATTGAAAACAATAACTCGCCAAGGCTTTTGTTTACTTTCCTTCAACTTCAACTGTTTATTTTCTTTAACCCCGTGTGTTTTGACTATCTCCCCATCCCTGTCAATATACTTGACACTTTGACTTAGATAATTCATGTTCTAGTCGTCAGTGTCTTATTGAATCAAGACAAGTCTGTCTTTGATACCCTTTGGGCATCAACCCAACACAGTATGATCATCTGAACCCCCCCCCCCGGAGACATCCCCCGAGACCCCCCGCAACACCAACTCAGAACCTTGTATATATTTCTCTGGAACCCTCTTTGATGCCAGGCGCACTTCTGATCGGGCCACAGCAGAACGTGCTGACTCCTTTCCTTCCTAGAATCTGTTGATAGTTCCTGTCCTCGCCCGTCAGAATGGCTGAAGCCACAGAGGACTTCTCCTCCTTACCCTTGCCCGACCGGTTCGCTCACAAGGTGCGCTCATTCCTGCATAACCAGTCCGAGCGATATGATCTCTGAAAAGTCTAACCCCGATATACAGAACTGGAAAGTCCGAAAGGAGGGATACGAGGAAGCGAAAGCGCAGTTTGAAAAGACGCCCGATGAATCACACCCAGTCTTCGTGCCATTCATACAAGATCCCGGCCTGTGGAAAGGGGCGGTTGCAGATTCCAACGTCGCCGCACAGTCAGAAGGTCTTGCAACATACTGCGCCTTTTTGAAATTCGGAGGAGCCCAGGCCTGCACGAGGTGCGTCAACCCCCGGTCCCAGTCGCGACGGACTTCTTGGTTCACCCTACATCCACTGACAACATTCCCATTTACAGGACCCGGACATATACAATTGGCCCAATTGCGGAGAAAGGTCTCCCATCTACACGACCGGCCGGTAAAGCTAGCGCCCAGGAAGCTCTTTTATTATGTGTTGAATTGGATAAGGCCGATCCGGTGATCGAGGAGCTACTACCCATACTATCACACAAAGTACCCAAGGTGGTCGCCGCCTCTCTCGCCGCCTTGACCCTCATTTATCACAACTTCGGCTGCAAGATCGTCGACCCGAAGCAAACTTTGAAGGCGTTAACAAAGGTTTTTGGTCATGCTGATAAAAATGTCCGCGCGGAAGCACAAAACCTAACCGTGGAACTCTATCGGTGGCTTCGGGAGGCCATCAAGCCTCTGTTCTGGGCCGATTTGAAACCTGTGCAACAGGGAGATTTGGAGAAACTATTTGAAACTGTAAAGCAGGACCCCACACCGAAGCAAGAGCGATTCACTCGGGCACAACAAGATGCCATGGCCGCGGCCAGCGCTGCACCAGCAGGCGAGGAGGGTGAAGAGCCAGCCGGCGACGAGTTTGATGAGGAAGAGGATGCGGTGGTTGTTGATGCCTTCGACCTGGCGGAACCGGTTGATGTCATGAAGAAAATCCCTGCCGATTTCCATGATCAATTGGCCTCGTCAAAATGGAAGGACCGCAAGGAAGCGTTGGACGCTCTCTATAACGTTATCAACGTTCCCCGGATCAAAGACGGCCCCTACGATGACATCGTGAGGGGATTGGCCAAATCCATGAAGGATGCCAACGTCGCGGTCGCCACGGTAGCTGCGAACTGTGTGGACGTGTTGGCCAGGGGCCTTCGCAACGGATTTACCAAATACCGAAGCGTCATTATGGCGCCCATGTTTGAACGTTTGAAAGAAAAGAAGACGACTGTCGCAGATGCTTTGGGCCAGGCGTTGGATGCTGTCTTCACCACGACAACCCTTACGGATTGCTTGGAAGAAATCTTTGAGTATCTCAAGCACAAGAACCCACAGATCAAGCAGGAAACTGTCAAGTTCTTGGTTCGTTGCTTGCGCACAACCCGGACAGTACCAGCCAAGGCAGAGCAGAAAGCGATCGCTGATGCCGGCACAAAGCTATTTACCGAGTCAGCCCCGGCAATCCGCGAAGGAGCTGCTGAAATTCTGGGTACATTAATGAAGATTCTGGGTGAACGGGCCATGAACCCGTATGTCGATGGACTTGACGAGATTCGTAAAACCAAAATCAAAGAGTACTTCGGAACCGCCGAAGTCAAGGCCAAGGAACGACCCAAGCCTATTGTGGCACCCCCAAAGCCCGCTGCCCCGGCTGGCAGGAAGGTCGTTGGCAAGAAGCCGGCAACGGGGCTGAAAAAACTAGCCCCTGTAGCCGCTCCGCCTGCCCCAGAAGAACCCCCGGCCAGGCCTGCAGCCAGAGGAATCCCTTCAAAGCTCGGTGCTCCGAAGGCCGGCGGCCTTCCAACTCCTGGATCAGGTCTCAAGCTGCAACGGAAGCTTGCTGGTCCCGGAAGCACTGCGTCGCCATCAAGACGAGTTGCCGCGCCCCCAGAAGAGGATGTGGCTCCCCCACCAGCCGCTCCCAAGTTCGGTCTTGGTCGTGGACTTGCGGGTCGGCCCATTGCCAGACCGTCAGCGCCTGCTGAACCTGCCCCTGCCCCTTCACCTGCCGCCAACGCTATGGCGGCAGCCGAGCGTGCTGAGTTAGAAGAATTACGGGCGGAGAAGGAGAACTTCAACCGAACCGTGGAAGATATGAAGTCCGAGCGTTCAAGGCTCAACTCAACGATCACTGAACTTCAGAACCAGAATGCACAGTTGATTGAGGATCACACCCGCGATGTCTTGAGCATCAAGGCGAAAGAGACTCAACTTGTTCGCGCACGGAGTGATGCGGAAACCGCGGAGGGGAGTGTTCAAAAACAGCAGAGAGAGATCGAAAGATTGAAGCGTGAACTCGCACGAGCACTTCGCGCGTCTGCCATAAGCCCACCTAACGCTACATCCGACGCAGGAAGCATGGGCATGCCAGACACAAACTCCATGTATCAAGACCACATTGGCAACGGCAATGCTGCTTCACGATCTGGTCTTCACATGGGATCCCGATTCGAAAGCTCGCGTCCTCGAAGCTACGCCTCTGCTACTCCCAGTGAGGAGAGGGAGAGGGAGAACAATGGCATGGAATCACCAGGACCCAGCAGTCGCAATGGCGGCCTAGGCCGACGCAACTTGAGCCCTACATATGGCTACTCGGCCGTTGGTAGCCCGACGCGCTCATCCGCCCGAAACTCCAACACAAATTTCACCGAAGACGACCAGCAGCAACCCAGATCTTCTGAACCAGCAGAGAACTGGAAGCGAGCCGCGGAAGTCACCAGCCAACTGAAGGCGAGAATTGAACAAATGAAGGTGAGTGGTTTTTTATCCGAATACTTATGTCTGAACTGGCTAACAAGCATACAGGTACGCCAAGGGCTTTCACGACCTCCTCAACGTTAATGACCAAATGACCGCGATTACGCTTATGCCTCGTCCTTCTTCATACTATACACCTTTTTCGCTTGCTTTTGCTTCAACTCGTGTCTTTAGACGGGGTTTCTCAGTGTCATCATTCATATTGGAAAAAATCGGCGGTGAGCATCTCTGGTCTTCTGGGAGCATAGGGCTGGGCTTTTGGGGTTCTTTGTACTTTTTTTCTCTTATGCTTTGGCGGTGGACCTCTGGATCTTACTGTAATTTCATCATACCAGCCTTGTCTTCTCTTATTTTGCGCTTGAGTATCGGTTCCCGATATTTAGGTTGTCTGATGGTGTAATAAACCTGTTTGTTATTACTATCTTCCTATTTCTCTCTCTCTCCTGGATACTGTTTTACATGTATGTCAGCTCTATGTAGACTAAAGTCGGCGTCGCCTTCTAACTGGTCTGAGGCATATATGCCCCTCAATGATGTGACCGTAAGTGATGGAGTGGCACTAGTGGACGGAGTATAAAACCCACTAGACTACCCCTCTTCCACGTGTCTCACTTCTCATCTCCTCTATCCTCTCTTACCACTTTTCTTAACAATTCAATTCAAAATGGGCTGGTTCAGTGGTGAGTATCCCCTTTATACTTCCTTGATACCAACTTTCCACTAACTCCCATCTACCTAGACGACTCCGACCAGGCTCAGGCCTACAACACCTACAACGGCCAGCCAGAGCACGATCCTTCCGTGATCCACGAGCTGATTGCCGGTGCCGCTAGCTACGAGGCAGCCAAGGCCTACGAGAACCACGTTGCTGAGAACGGTACATATACATATCCTCCCCCTCCCCTCTTTTGGCCATTCGATGAATAGAGCCAGGCCTAGAGGTACAGAAAAGCTAATGCTTCTTCTTATCTGTACTAGGCGAGCCTGAAAGCCACGCAAAGGCCAAGGAGATCCTGGCTGGATTTGCTGGTGCCTTTGTCGACCGTGAGGTTGAGACTAGGGGACTGGACTTCATTGACAGAGAGAGGGTAAAGTACCAGGCCAGAGAGCAGGTTCACGATGCGTATGATTCCAATGGCAATCAGTTTTAGATAGTGAGTGCATATAGGATATGAATATATTCTTGCACCTACATATATTTCATGTAGCATGTGTCGAATATGTTGTTCAGGGGGAGTTACCCCTCAATTTCACCTACTATATATATATACTATGCAGCCTACCCGGTCTTGTAGTATTCTTAAATCTTTAATAAACTGCCATATGGCCTGCTTCTTCAATGCAAGACCGTTTGATAGGAGTATGCAGACGTCTTTAAGATATGTGCCAAGACGGGGCTATCTTTTAGAAAAGACTTGGTATTCTTGGCAGGTGTCGCAGATCCCACACAAGCGAGAGGCGAAGAAAAATCTCGATTGAGCGAAATAGCGCTAATCAAGAGGTACGCCGATCAAGAAACTTGTCTACCATCTGTACATGAACTCTCTTACAGACTACAATTAACCAGGTCATATATTACAAAATACGAAACAGACGACATGAATGCCTAGTTCTGATGGGACTACAGAGACCATCAATAGATTGAACAGGTAGAAAAATGCATTCATGGGTATCTGCAGAAAAGTGGTACATGGGGCCATTGGAGTTCGTGAGAGAAAAATGTGTCTTTTTTGTTAGAACAGGATCCAAAAAGGGCCAAAGGGCTCTTTCGCACCCATCTAAAGCTAAAAGAATTGGCCGTCAATAGATCGTCAAAGCCTTGAACACCTTGTTGTTTCCCATCACAACTTATTATTTTTGAGATCCGAGCGCTTCGATTAGAAAACGATCCCGTCAAACAGACATCAAAGGAAAAAAAGCTGTAGTTACACAAGCTTAATTTAAACCTTGATGGCGGCATCGAGAGCCTTCTGCTTCTTCTCGATGCGGGCGTTGGCCTTGGCGCCCATGATACCACCACCCCAGTGACGGCGGGTCTCCTCGTTCTTGTCGGTGTAACCCTCCTTGATGGCGGAGAGGAGCTTGGCGAACTCGGCCTTGTCCTCAGCGCGGGTCTCGGTCAGGGCGAGAACGGCGGAGGTCTTCTTGTGGACGACTGTGCCGAGACGGGCCTTGCCCTTGACAATGGCGTAGGGGACACCCATCTTGCGGCAGAGAGCGGGCAGGAAGACAACCAGCTCAATGGGGTCAACATCGTGGGCGATGAGGACGAGGGAAGCCTTCTTGTTCTCAACGAGTCCGACGACGTGGTTGAGACCGTACTTGACGTTGTAGGGCTTCTTGGAGACATCCTCCTTCTTCTTGCCCTCGGCGACGGCGGTGGCCTCCTGGACGAGACGCTCCTTCTTCTCGGCCTTGGTCTCAGGACGGTACTTGGAGAGGAGCTTGAAGGTCTGGGCAGCGGTGTTGCGGTCGAGAGTGGCCTGGAACTGAGCGATGGAAGGGGGAACCTTCAGGCGCATGTTCAGGATCTTCTTCTGGCGCTGAAGACGGACATACTCGGGCCACTTGACGAAGCGGGCGAGGTTGCGACGGGGCTGGATGTCCTGGCCGATACCGAAGTTGCGAGTGCGCTTCTCGATAAGGGGGTTCTGTGGAAGAAAGGTTAGGATCTCTCCAGAACTCAATGCACTCCTCAAGTGGAAGAAGAAAACGTACCTTGGCAGTCTTCTTGCCAGCACCAGCCTTGCCCTGGGGGTAGGGCAGAGCGGCGGTCTTCTTTCCGGACTTAGTAGGAGGCTATCATTGAGGAAGAAGATCAGCGTGCTGTTCACATATTGCTGTATCTTCTTTGAACTCTAAGGAGAACATGAGCCAAGCCGTGTTACGGGCATTGACTCCATGCTTCCAGCCAAAATCATCACACGATGCGCGACACATCTCTTTCGAGGCTGTGCGCGATCGGCGGAAATGCTTAGATCAAAGATCTGAAGCATAGCGAATGTCGTGAGACATCGCGGGAACTAGAAGAAGTCTCTGATGTTATCAAGAGACAGTTTATGTACTCACCACCATTTTGTCGACTGGGATTGCGCTGATTGACGGTTGACGGATGAGAAAGGAAAAAGTTCGTGTGGATGCAACTTATGAAGTTTCTGTGGGTCGCGCTAGCGCACTCATGTGACCAGGGCTAGGGCAAGGCGCTAGGGCAGATTTATGTTTCCACGTGACATAAATCACATGACATCGAATATATCTCGAGATTCTGGCAGCAGCGATGGAGGGTACCTTCCTCAGTAACCTACATATTAGTCTTGTGATCTCATATAAACACCAGAAATAAAAAAAAAGTTCCCTGATCTTGAAAATTCCCCTTTAATCCCTTCAAAACAACTTGACATGAACAGAAATGATGTCGAAATACAGCCTTCCATTCGAATGACAGGACGCTAATCATCGGGGGCACGGAAAGATCGGCCCTTGTCTACTCCAACTCTGAATTGGTCATGGCGCCTTTCTTCAGGGTTACCTGTGGACTCCACACCTGGTCAGACCCTCCCCCGATCTACATTGATCCATACATGGCGATTGTATGCTGCGTTATAGAGCTAAACTAATACTGTATCGCAATATAGCAAACCTTGCAAGTATACGCTCAAGGGGAGCACTCGAAGATATGAATGATTCTGGAATCAAGCTGGTGCAGTTCACTCAAGTCCGCGACTGGATTGACGGCCGTTATAGCTGGGCATGTCGCTTCTTCTTTCACGTGCCATACGTGGATGACAACGGCAAGAATACGCATGGGCCATGCGCAAACAACCAGCCATACTGCTTCTGCGTGGGTGAACAACAAGTGGAGTCCTTGAGGTTAGTGGAGATCCCACTTTGAGGCTTCTTTCTAAGGGCTGGGAGCTAATGTCTCGTGTGGATAGTCTTCTTTGCTGTCCGTTCGTTAGCATCGATCCAGTGGCAGACTCTACCTGCCCCACAGGCTTTTTGCTTTTACCAGAAACATTTTACCAACCAAGCACCGCAAGAGTCGCAAAATGACTCAAGAATCCTTTTTCAAAAATGCTGCTCAAGCAACAGTGTATCATTCGACAATACTTTCGATTGTTTCACCCTCTGGGTATACCAGGCCAACAGCACCCTTACTCCAATCGCCAAGATGACGGATTCTCTCAAACTCTCCGCCTAGATGTTATTCTTCGTACCTATTGTCAGATTCGGGGCTTTAGGGGTCTTCCCGTGAATATTTTTTGGGACAAGTACATCATGCATCTCAACTTGAGCTTCCGGGAAAAGAGCCTGGCTGGGTTTCCCGATGAATCTACATTCCCAGGACAAGTGGCAGGAAGCCATCAGCAAAACCATCCTTAGTTTTGCAGTTCGTTCAAGGACTCTCGTCACCATCCCATTTTACGTCGATGTCAGATACGATAGCGATGGAAGCTGGAGCAGAGCTACCAAACGACGTAAATTTGTCCGCCGAAAACGCATATCTCGCCAGGAAGCATGACAGGAAAGGACTGAGGCACTAGGTACCCGGCCGACTTCGATCAGAACGGCCACCTCCGCGCGACACGCATACCCGAAGAACCAGCTCAGTATTTCAACGCCCACGGGTCAGAGCTTTAGCCTGAAGGATGAAAAAAGATGGGTCCCAAAAATCCCGTCTCTTGTTCGAACACCCGGGAACCCACAGCCAAATTATACCGAAAGTTATTTCAGGGAATAGAGTGCACACACAACTGTCAAAGCTCGCCACAAGCGGCATTTTATGAAACAGTGCAGATGAATCTTTCTCTTCGACCCAAGCTCTACCCAACCGGATTAGACCACATGCGGCCCTTTTATCGGATGGGTGTCTTTATCTGGGATGAGTGGCAGAATATCATTTTCGGAGATGGACCCGAGCATGGAGGAAAAGAGAAAGAAGAAGGCAACATACTCGTGAAAAATCCGGGTTTACATACATCGAAGAACATATGTGTATTTGGCTTTTACAGAACTTCACAATGTACAATCACATCACTCAATATATCATTCAAGGGCATCAATAACCGAAAAGTCTAAAACAACGAAAGCAAGTCCAGAATGCGTAACCAGAACGCCTGAGATAGACCAAACCGAACGCAATGGTCCTTAGATCTATCACTATGCAGGTCATTTAAAGACAAAACATTTGTCCTCCATAGATCACCTCCACGCCCCCAACCCAGGCAAAGCCCCACGGCCCAAACTAGTACTAGCAGCCTGAACAGCCTTCTTCTTACCCAGCGATCCCTCCTGGGCACGCACACCAGCAATAATCTTCTCAATATGCGTCTCAACCACAACACCACCAACAATCATCTCACCGAGCACAGCATGCAAAGTCTCATAGCCGAAGATAAGATCCAACTCGCAGACATTCTCGAACATGCGATCCAGCGCCTCGACAAATACCTGAATCAGATCGATCAGAGCGAGCGGGGATTCAGTGGACGTAGAGATCATGATGAACGACAGCGTTGCGTAGGTCCGGTATGTGATCTGGGTGGGGGTATCGGAGGGCCCGGAGGCGGAGGAGCTGGCGCCTTGCGAGAGGAGAGGTGGGAGTGGGAGGAAGTTGCAGGCGCTTGCTGGACGCTGTGCGACTAGACGGTATATTTGCGCGATCAGAGATTGCTGGGTTTGCGTGTCCTGTTTCTGGGGTTAGTTGCGGTTGTTCTGCGCGGGTGTGCGAGTGCTGCGGGGTTCGACTCACCAGCTGTGTGTAGAACTTGGTCAGCCGAGGCTGGCCATTATTATTGAAGACGAGGACTGCGTTGATCATTTTGACTGGTGAGGTATAGAACAACCTTCGAAGTTGGGGAGAAGGTCAGTCTTATCTGGATGCGCCGATAGCTGATGATGCGGTCTTGGCTCGGGCGACTTGCCCCGTGCGCCGATCTGGAGAAATCCATATCAACTCTACTTTTTTTTATTTGGCTTTTCCTTGACCCTTTTTCGGGTATTCGAGAGTTATGATGAACTCAATACCAGCATGCAGGAACTCTGCATCCAGTATATCATTATACACAACCATACGAGCCCTATCCTCAGCCTCGAATCCCAATTCAAAGCGCGAACTCAAAGACCTCACCCCGTCCGACCTCTGCTACTACTGGGATACAAGACCCCCGAAAGATGAGCAACTAGCCTTCGCCGATAAGGTCTTTACTCCGTCGCGCCACTCACCCCTCAAACTCTGGTCCGCGGCCAAATTTCGCACAACACCATTTGCATCCGTCGAGCCCGAAGTCGCATTCTTAGGTCGCTCAAATGTCGGCAAGAGCTCACTACTGAACGCAATAATGGGACAGGAGATATGCTGGACATCATCGAAGCCTGGTCGAACGAGGGAAATGAACGCGTTCGGGATTGGTGGGACAAAGGGCGGCGAGTCGAAGGTTGTGCTGCTTGACATGCCGGGATACGGAAAGGCGAGTCGGTCTGAGTGGGGAGCGGAGATTATGAAGTATCTCCAAGGGCGGAAACAGTGAGTTATGACGCCTGTTCCACGTGGAACATGAAATACATGGAACAAACCTATCCATCTATGGTATACGATGACTGACGAAGATATTATAGACTCCGTCGCGCATTCCTCCTCATCGACAGTACGCACGGCATCAAGCAAACAGACGCCGAGATCCTCAGACTATTCCGACACCACGCAATCCCGCACCAGATCATCCTGTCCAAAGTCGACAAGTTCCTCGTTAGACAATTGAAGCAGATAAAGACCGGGGTCACGCCCGCCAACATTGAGCGGTTACAGCTCCTGCTCCAGGGTATCAAACCCATTGTCCAGCCAGACCCGCGGGCTTCGGAGGGGCCTGGGTCCTTGGGTGAGATTTTGACTTGTAGTGCTGAAGCAAAGATTGGACCTGGCCGGGCGCTGGGGATCGATGCCGTTCGTTGGTCGATTTTGTCTGCTGCTGGTATTGATGGGAGCTTGCAAGGTGGCCGGCTCGCTGTACCCCCTGCTGCAGAGACGCCAGCTACTTTGTCGTGAAAGGGCATGTCGTGTTGTCCAAATTCGAAACTATCGTCGAGTTTTTAGACTTGACTCCTTGGTGCGGCTTGTCAGGTCCGATCAGCCCTTCCCCGAGCGCATGCATATCTTTGGACTAGAGATGAGACTATACATCTTTCGTTCCTTTTCTGGGGCCAGGATGAGATATCCGGCTTTTCCTGAGCATGATAGCCAATCCTGAATCGGGCTTGCCCAGCTGTCGTACGCCAACACGCTAGCCGGCATGGGTCTACGACAGCATATCTAGACCGCCAAGTAACACTACGGTTCCTGTTCGAAGCATTTGAATGCTTCGCTAGAGCCAGCTGCTGTAAGCAGAATACCTATGTACTATACCAATGCAATTACAATATATCCTGAATACCAACCCAACTCATGACAGAATTTGCGATCAAGATCATAATCAATCTATTATAGGCAGTCCGATACGGACAAAGCAAGGCGAAAAATATGTAAAAGAATCACCTATCTGGCAGACAACAGAATGGGAAGTCACATAAGCATCAGGCAAAGACAAAGAAAACGTATCGATGACGATGCATGGGGATAGGCAGATATTTGGGAATACAGAATGATAGAAACCTTCACATAAGAGATGATGAAAAAGATATGGGGGAAAAAAACAACGCCTGGCCCCTTATCGTAATGCTGCAAGACCAAAGAATGCCGACCACGCTATGCAAAGGATATTTGTTCCGATGGAAGACGAGAGCTGTAAGGATGGGTATCGTAAATGGGGAAATAGAGTGAGAAGCGAAGAAAAGACAGAGGAAAGGAAGTAGTATAAGGAGGATGGTTGTCGGGTGTTGAGATATTGATCGAGGTCGAAGAGAAATGCGGCCTATGCATCTCAATCAGACAAGTCGTCATCATCTTCAATTCCGCCGAGGACCTCCTGTCCACGTCGGTTGACGACAATGCGTTTCGCAAGCTTGCTTTCCGGGACTCCATCCCGTGCAGCACCGAAGTCGAGAACCTGGGTGGAAGCAATATTAGCATAAAGGATCGGAAAGCCTCATCATAGAACACTTACTTCGATATAAGTCAAACTGTCACGTTGCACCGCAGCAACACATCTCCGGTCATTAAACTTGACCTGCCACACGCCACTGAGGTCTGTGAGGAGGTCTCGAACACACTCGCCGTTTCGCACATCCCACATCTTCAGCGTGCGATCGGACCCGGAGATGACCTTCTGCCCATCGTGCTGGAAGCAGGTGATGGCACCGGTGTGTGCACTCAAAGTGTTCTTGCAGTGGCCGTGGACAGAGTCCCAGATTCGGAGAGTGGAATCAGCCGCGGCTGAGACAAGGAAATCGTGCTCTAAAGCGAGCAGACCAACGAGGGAGGTATGGCCTTCGAGGTTGTATAGGACGGCTCCATCGTCTAGTGACCACACCTTGACCATGTGGTCCATGGCTCCACTGATGCAACGATTGCGCTTATGGTCAAGAACCACGCTATACACTTTCATCGTGTGACCCTGCAGAGTGTGTAAAGTCTGTCCGGTGGAAATCTTCCAGACCTTCACAGTGCAATCGTAGCTACCACTTACAAGGGTATCACCGTGGGCTGCAATTGCACGAACAGAGTGCTGGTGGCCGGAGAGCACACGCATGAAGTATGGGCAGCTAGCGTCATCCACTGTAGGACCACTCTGATAGTAGACTGGATCACCGGATTTGGGAAGCTTCCACACCCGAAGGTTCGAGTCACGAGACCCAGTAATGATCAATGGCTCTTTAGGCATGATCTCAGGCTGACCATCTACATCTCTACCTACCTCGGTAGGCAGGACGATTTGCAAGCATCGGACGGTGGAGGTGTGGCCGTGGAAGATCTGAGTACACCTAGCCCGCTCGATGTCCCAGACTCGCACTGAGCGATCGGTGGAGCCGGAGACCAGCGTGTTGCCATGATATTCAAGAGCCCATACTCCACCTTCGTGGCCCTCCAATGTTGCCTGCAACGCACCTGTTTTGGTGTCGTACACGTTGATGTTGGTGTCATCGCTTCCCGTAAGAACCTTGTCGGCGTCAAATTGCAGGCAAGTAACAACATGGCGGTCATGAGCGCGGAAAGCGATATGTTGCGGCTTGACATCCGGCTGCATCCATCCCTTGTGGATGGCAACATGGCGACGGTAGAGGACCTTGAAGAGGAACAGCCCACGAAGAGATGGTAGACCGACTTCAGCATAGGGCACTGCCCCAGCTGCAGCGTTGGCAGCGGCGTATGGGGCCTCGGACGCGGCAATGTCTTTCCTCCAGTCTGGATCGGCGATTTCTCCTCCACTGGATGAGACCTTCCGCTTGGCAAGCTTCCGGCTTGAAGCACGCGTGTTTGCTTTCCGCTTGCCTTTTCGGTTGATTGGCAGAGACTCCAGAGGGCTTCTGCTGCTGGGACCCGCCATCGAAGGGACAGGGGACGCCTCCATATCCGCCCTGGATAGAGCCACAACGCTGAGATCTTCCTCGTGATCTTCAGGGCCGCTGGACAACTGCCATCCCCATCCCTGTCTTATAGCCCGTTCTAGTTCTCCGTCTGAGAGATGATATCCATCCTGGTCAAGGAGGTTCTTCCAGCTCTTTTCATCGGAATTCGTGATGTGTCTCCACCTCTTAGACACCTGCGCAGCACGGCACATAGTCTGAACGTCAAGATACTTGACGATGTTGAGACTGAGCTCGAGCGGCAGAAGAGCCAGGAAATCGCACTTCAAAGTTGGATTAACCACATCGGCCACGAAATGGAGAGTAGGTTTAGGGCATCTCCGAAGAAATTGATACATGAGATACGTTTTGACCTCATCAGGCACCGAATCAAAGAACTCCAACACCTTGGGCATATCTAAAAGCGAGGAAGGTGACCGTGAGTTTGCGAGAGAATGGCCATTTACCCGAGTCTCATCTGCATCCTGAAGCCGCAAAGCCCTGGAAAAACGCGAGACATTATGATCTAGACTGGAATCCGTATCAACGTCAAGTCCTTCTGAGTCAAAGGAGGATTCGCCATGGAGGGCATTCATAGCAGCGACCGGTGAGAGACTCGGGCTCGGGAGGCACATATCTTGCGCCATGGCATTGTCTATTGCCGATAGTTGAGACATTAGCTCGGGTCTTTCTTGGGATGTAGATTCCTGGGTTCCATATGTTGTATCCTGACCAAATGAAGCCGATTCAGGTGCAGTTGAACAGCTCTCATCCGCTTCAGTGGCCTGAGACTCTTGAGTTGCAGGGTTCGAACGAATCCCAGACAACGCATTCTGCAAGTAGGAATTTTGATTGGATGCCTGCAAGCCTTTAGCTCCGATTTCAGAGGAGAGAGGTGACGGCAAAGGGGGTTCCCTGCGCGGAAACACTGAACTATGAATTCTCGGTCTTGGGGCCGCATTTTCGCCAAGTCCTCCCAGGTTGCTTTCGGTGTCTGGAGTGGCAAGGCCAGCGGCAAGATGAGTTGATCCCACGCCACTTTGGCGAGTGCGGCGTGTGATGGGCTCAGAAGGAACCCGTGACGGACGAGTTCGTGGAAGAACAACCGAGGGTCGAAGATCGAAAAGTGTGACGGGGGAGACGGCACGACGGCGAGTGTTGAAAGGGTGACTAGAAGGTTGACTCGCTATTCTCGGAGGGGTCAGGCGCCGAGTGGGGTTCTCGCCCTCGGACATGAACGAGTTCACGGAGCGAATCTGGCCATTTGAAGATTTCAACGCCTCGCTTTTCTCCTTGTACTATATATTATTATACTGTGAGCATTGGAACCAACGAGACCGAGAGGGTAGGATGAAATCGTACCTCAGCAGCAGCATTTGTGGTGTCCTCGGGCTCGTTGAAGATGATTGACTTGTCACCAATCTTGAACTTGAGGTTTCTTAAGGCCGCTGGAGTGGGAGATGAGGCGAGAGGGTACTGTCGGGCATCCAGATCCTTGACGGCTCGCGGGGGGTTGATTGTCAAAGGTGGGAAGGAGGTGGTCGTGGTTGTGGTGGTGGTCACCACCGTAGTTCTGGTAGTAGGGGCGAAGGTGAACTGTCCGATAGCCGCGTTTGCGTTTGATGGCCCTTGGCCCAGCTCCTCTCTTTCGTCCATTTCGCGTTTTCGAGGATGAATGAATCGAGATCCGGGGCTGTGGGTCGAATGGGAGGGTGCAGATGCGGACGTGTCGTGATCAGTCAAAGTCGAGTCGATTTCAGATATTTGAAGGGAGCTGGGAGCATTTGAAGTCATTGTAAAGCAAGCTCATGTGCAGAGGACAAGGAACTGTATCCCAGATTATCTTTTTTTAGTAAAACACCCCCTCAGCACGGTACACCAGCGAAACCATCGATGCAAATGGCATTCAGCACATAGTGTAAGAACCGGGGATAATCAAGTGTTAAAGACGAGGGGGGGGAAACAAAACACAAATAATGGAAGCAAGGAAGCAAAGGGAAGGGGAGAAAGAAACAGTGGCGGCTGACAAGGAGTTGGGGCGGAGAACAACATTTATTCCGGTTCCCGTAGGGTGGACGATGTCATGGCCCGACGTGCTACATTTCTGATTTTGGTTTTTTTCATGATCCTTTGCTATTTTCATAGAGCTTATTTATACATATATTAAATATTCTACTTGACTACTGTCTATCGATGCCAACTTCAAAATCATCCGAGCGTGAAACCTGGAGAAACGCCCCCTGGATCTGCTGTGGCAGAAATCATTACCAGATAGAGGTGGGACCGAGGATATGACAATATGACACTCAGATAAGCAGGTTTACGTTCCTTTTGCCTAAACCATCTACAACGTAATGGATGATATATACACCTAGGTATTTGCCCCTAAATGATACATATCATAACCTATTCATCCAAATCAAGTTCTAACTATCAGGTTTTTGATTTGCTATCGCCACATATCACGTGAAGTGGGGGCGTGCCCCGGGTGGCTTCTTGGCACGAGGTATCTCATTGTTATGTTGAAGAAATTATCTACCAGGGGGTTATTGGGCACAAGACACAAGGCACAGGGGGTACGGAATAATCATCTTGCAGTCTGTTGTCCCTTACTACATACTTACTCTATGCAAGTCATATCCTACCCAGGTGGGATATCCACCGGCCGATATCTGCAATGTCTCGGCCGCCCCCACATCTATTTAGGGTTTGGTTGCTTTTACGGTACTGCGACTCTTCAGCCCTGCCTCTCATGATATCCTTGGTTGATAATTATCTCGCAGTATTACACTTGACTTGACAGATGACAGTTTGTATGGAGAAGAGGAATTCATTTTGACGTTGAATCACTCGGCCCCTTGTTCGCTGGAAACTCGATAGGAATTGCTGGTGTGGAAAAAGAAAAAAAAAAGGATAGCTAGATTATTGTGGCCCTAACACAATGGAACCATAGGCTCTATGCCCACCTGAGCAGGTGTAGCTATGCTTACATACTTGGCCACATTCCTGGAGGGTGGCCGTTACTTCCAGTGTCTATGAATAGACTTGCTGATTCACAAGATGTTTCAAGATATATGGTATTCCTTTGTTAACGTCTACCGACTGAAGTAAAAGAAATTTCATTCTTAGAGCTTATAGTTCTAAACTTTTCTCTGTACTTCTTTGTCTAAATTCCGCATAGAAATATACTATCCTCGTCTTCTCTTATTATGAGGTTCAATTCCTCGTTTTCGGTCTGTCATAGTCATACTGCCAGAATCATGCCTCGCTCTAAGAAAACTGTAGCTTTAAAGGCTGTCTCCGAGTCTGGGGAACCCCAGTCCGAAATTCAAACGGATAAAATCCACCGGTTTCCCGTGATCGTGAGTAGCCCTTCGGATCAACTATGTTGAATCAATAGCACCCGAGATGAAACCAACTCTTATGGTATAACAGGAGCAAAGCTTGGAGTTGATGAAGATAACACTACACATGACCGTAAGTCAAATTCCCTACGAGGTGTATGCTTTTGTGGCTGTGATCTAATATGCGTCTTATAGATCGCATCGCTCTTATTTATGCGGTTAGTCATGGCCCAAATAATGTACTATTCACGTTCTGACATATAGAATTCAGTGGATTATTGCCCACGAATGTCTTCAGCGAGCGGATTCTGCGATCAAACCGCTTCCACGAGCGGTGTAACTATTCCCATTTTGTAAATGGGAAGAGCAAGGGCAATTTCGCACGTAACCGATCGGAATATGTTCCCATATGGGTGATTGAAAGACACATGAGCGACGAAGCCGATCAACTCCTCGACCTTCTAGTGAGTCCCTCCACAGCTTTATGTTTATTGAGTAGTGCTAATATCCATCTCTTCTAGGAGAATGGCATCTTTGATGCTCTACTAAGAGGCGTCCTATATGCCGTCCAGTTTACAGTCATTGCAAACAAAGACTCGCCAAATAAGGTTCTAGAATCTTACACCTTCACCTTCCAAAATTCCGGTGAGCGCGGCACCGCAGATCGCCTAACCAACGGCCCAAGAATGGATTTTGTCAGCCCCCATGATGACCGAGCGAACATGCGTAATATGATTTTCGACGGGAAGGCCCTCATCCGACGATTGAGGACGATGTGTGCTGAAAGCCCGGCATTGCCTAGTATGTTGACTCTATTGTTGCCATTTCCTGGTGTTGCCACTCACGAGTTGAACAGACGAGCGCAGCTTGGGGATACACGTCTTCTACAAACCGGAATGTCCTGGACCTTACGATATGCCTGGCTTTGTTGATTCCCAAGACGACACCATTAAATATCCACGGACTTCGTACTGGGAGAGGACGAGGCGCTTTTATGGAAGCGTCGACAGCGGATTTCACACGTATGTTTCCTTATTTTGTTTCTTCATTTGCTTAACATTTGCTTTTCAATCGGGGCTCAGCACTAACATATAGAAGAGTCGGCTTGAGAGTAAATTCTCTTCTTTCTACCTCACCCGGTGGCGAGGCTCACTTCCCTTCGGCGGAGGAAGCGGATGACCATGCAGTGCTCCGTTCTGACGAGGTCGGGATTCCCACACCTGCTCAAATGCCGTTGGACGTAGTTGGGGAGATATATGTCTTTACGGATGACAGTACTGCCAGTGACACTGATGGTAAATATATTCATCTTTGCTTCACCTTGTTTACATGATGACTAAATCATTCATTCGATACAGACGCAGTACTCTCTAAGATAGAGCTCAAAGCTCTCTATTACATGCCCGCTGCGGCCGCCTCGATAGGTGGAAGGGCGAACAGTAGAGAATCACGGCGATATGTCAGTTTGCCTTTACTACCACTCCTATTCAAAGTATTGAACGAGTGCTGATTTCCAATAGACGGAGAATAGAGTGGAGGGCAGAATCTTCTTCAAGCAAGAAGACGTAGAATCCTGTCAGTCTTGGATGCACAAAAAGGCTCAGTCAGTGGCTGAGTCCGTCGAGGCTGATTTAGGCGACTTCTCAGAAACCGATTTGCTCAGGAAAATGGATGACCCTGATCGCTCGAGAAAATCCATGGTACCTTTCAATTGGTCACAGGAGGAAGATTATGCAACATTTCCCATTAGCCGCGAGGGCATTTACCTTTCTATGGCTCGTCAAGAGTCTCGAAAAAACTTTTCCCCGCCTAAATACATTCGTCGCTTGCAAGATGCGGGTTCAAAACCCACTGTCAAAGCGAGGACGCTGCACTATGTCGAGAATCGCCAGGGTGCTGTCAAGAAGCTAGACGAGGAGAACAAAAAGAATCAGCCTGGGTCAAGTGGAGGCATGACCAAGTATGGGCATAAGGATTGGCGTCACTATCGGTGTGAGTGCAACACTTGGAACTTCAAGCCCAGCAAGTCTGTAAGTCAAGAAGCTCTGCTATCAAATAAGTCGTCAGTTCTAATCAATCTTGGAAGGTACAATGTGCCAATTGCAAGGACTGGCAGCACACCCTGTGCTATGGCTATTATTCAGCAAAGGACAAACGAATTCCAGATATACACTACTGTTACAGCTGCTTGATCGGATACGACTTTGATGGTAATCTGATGAAAGAACTCATTAAGCTTATCCGAATGCGCAGAGCAGTGCAATTTGTCCTTATTGAGGGGGTAACACCAACTTTAAATTGGCACCTAGCTGCACACCTTAGTAAGAACAACTGCCATTCATTCTTCCAAACATTTACCTAATATCATCTAGACTGCAGCGACGACGAGGCTCGTGCAGCAGTCCACGGTCTCCGGAAACTTGGCATTTTGAAATCAGCCGATATGAGGAAGATGAAAAAGTACCATAAGACAGGGAGCTCCAAATTCTGGCTCAATAGGACCATCCCATCCTGCAACACTATTTACAGTGAAATATTGGACCCGATGTTGCTCATCCGGGAATATGTAAGTGACTCCATACCTCCGCGACAAGGATACATGATTTAATTACCGAGAAGTATGAAATATCGCCTCCTATCCCCCAGCCCTTGATTCGCTCGCATTGGTCTCGGTCTGGTATACCCATCTTGTACACTCACATGAGTGAGTCTGCTGAGTGGTATGAAACCATCGACCCTCGCTGGCAACCTAAACTTTGGGAGCGGGTGCGCTCTAACCCTTCTGCCAATGGGTATTTCTTCGAGGGACAGACCTCAAACAGCGTGTGGAAGCGGATGTTGGATTCGTTAAATGAAGAAGGAATTGAGGATGATGTCGTTTCTCGGGGGTTAAGAAGATGAAGCTCAGATAGAGGAATGATCGCAGTATACAGAGTTCACTAGTGTTTCCCAAATTTATGGATACCCACTTCTTCCAGAATACTGGGTTGTTTCGAATCAGCACAGTCCAGAAGACTGTAGTTTTTCATGCACATCATATTAGAGTAAGTAGATACGTAGCTAGCTTGACGGTATGAAAATAGAATCCCTGCGATGGAAGCTCTTCTATAGTTATTCTTTCATATAACTCTCCATGTTTTATTTTCCTCCTGCTTCTTTTGGCCCAACATCCTACCTACTTGGATATGCCAACCAGGGGTTTCTGTGCATTTTTGTGAATTTTTGAATTTTTGTCCCAAAATGATGTAAAGACTCAACATTTGGAAAGTGGGATGTGAAATGTGGAGGAGAACACTGATTTCCATGATTTTGGTTCCATGATCTGCATAGAAGACAATAGATCGACAATAGAGCGTATCCCAAACCCTGGAACGAAACTAGGCTATTGGAGTCGACTATTGGCGACCATCAGGGGTTATCCGCCTGACCATTTGACCTAGACACCTGCCAAACCACTAGCCTGGATTCAATAGCGTGTTCCGTTTACTGGTCTTGGGGTAAAATGTGGCGTACGGAGTATTTTTATCCTGTTTTTCTAACGGTTTTTTGGACGTGTTTGCTTTTTTCTTCGATCGCCATACATAGTACTCCGTACATATGTACTGTTGGTCTGCACGCAATTCATCGGAGCGAGACCGAAATCCGCTAATCACGTATAGGGAGGTTGATCGGCGGTCGGCCAATCGATCTCGGGCAGGGATCTCGATCTCAGTGAAATTGCGCCCCCGGAGTATCATCACTGCTTGTTCCGCCTCGTGGGTCTAGGATGCGGCACATGGGCTGGGTTGCAATATAGAGTTTGTTTATAGTTTCTGTGCCTCTTGGTTTTTTGAGAGATTACTTCTGTACCATGTTCGGTACTGACTCTTACAATATAGGTCCCCGGTGTAGAGCGTCTTCGCGACTTATTCATAGCCATTGACTGTCAAGCTGTCAGCCGCAAACGATCAGATTAATGTCTCAGTTCGTCCCCGAGCGGCACAAGCGAAGGTTGAGTTTAAAGGAAGAGCCCACATGTAGGTCGATCATTACCAGTTCCTGTGGGGGCCTGTGTACGTGCATATGCGAAGGCTACCATGGAAACGCGAGTATTCTTAGTCGAAACCTCACTGGCTCAAGGTCCAAGAGGGTGATTACGGAGGTACACGGGCTGGTATTTGTCACCTAGCCCATTGACCTCGGGAGTGGGGCGGGCCTCATCTACAATACTGGAGCCTTTTGAATAACGAGATCTCAGAGGACTTCGCTCCTGCGCATTGGGCCGGTGTACGATCGATTTGTCGATCTGGGCTCTCAGATGCGACCGCAGGTGAATTGGTGCAATCGCTCAACTATGGATACTCCATAGTTTCTGGCTCTAGCCTTGACTAGACTCCACATTCTGGCGATAGCTCCGTATGATTAGAAAAAAGCATCCATGCCAGTGGATAGGAGGAGGTGATTGGGTACCTAAATGAGTGGAGCATATGGAGTACGGAGTAAATAATTCCAATTAATGACGGCAAGGATGTTAGAAGGATTTCGTGGGAGGCGTCGATAGTGTAATCCACGGAGAATAGGGAGAAAGCCTATGTTGTACACCCACGTTCTTCAGGTTCGGGGAGTTGATTATTAGGTTGATGCCGCAGTAAGGGGTTAAATCTCCTAAAGGGAGATCCAACAGTACGGAGTACTCCCCCGTACATGACCAACAATAATAGTGTGATGCAAATGCGTGTTATATAACATGATATGTATACCTATGTAGGATACAAGGTAACTAACCCCTGAGACCAAAATTCACTATCACAAGCAACCTTGGATATCACGTCCTATTGCCCTCCGTATTCCATACCTAGGTGCTCCGTACAAACTATTTCTAATCTCTGTCGATCAGCTCTTGAGATGCCGTGCTCCACTCCAAATTAAAATTGGAATAAATGAAACACTGCTTCTCAGCCTATAAGGATTTTGTTCAAGACATCTGTGGAGTCTCCCCCTTTAAGGCCCATGTGAAAAGGGAATCCTTCTAAATTATTTGCCTGGTTACTCTCCAGGGCTGTACAGGCCGTCGTACAACATACAAAAAACTTCCCAACCCCATCTTGTCCCGCATTTCGCTCGGATCTTTTATTTTACAAAAGATTATACCTGTTCCCTTCCTCAATCCCGAGTCAATCCTTAAAACAACAAACATTTATTTCTATTTTCAGGTACGTTAAGGCTCAGTCCAATTTCCCCTAGATTGCAGACTTAATATAACTAATTTGGTGGAGTAGATTGGAACGGAAGCGAGAGGATACTTGAACCACCTAAGACCCCCCGCTCAGGCCACATATTTTGTGCACTAGGAGCCCATAACCCCATCGCATCGTACGATTTCATGAGCAATTGAACTTGCCATTGCCTCTCCCACCATGGGACACCGAGAACTCACACCGGTCCATGTGCCGCTTCGAACATCGAGTCGCAAACCGGCACAACACGACCCAATGAATACCCAGGAACAGTCCCGAACCGACCGGCGAACCTCGAAAGCCCAAAGATTTTTCGGAACCGATATCTCACTCCCCACGGAACATGGCGGGTGGCAGGAGCCTCCAAATGTACGCCGACCGAGCTTTGTTAAGCCAAATAATGCTCCGAAACAGAGCACCGGCTTCGTTCCGTTTCCGCGCTCTTCAGACAATAATCTGATTCCCGATCAAAACCTTCGCGTACGGGCCTCATCGCCTCTGCTAGGCCATGACTACCGATCGCAGGAGGCTGCGCCGCCGCTTCCCAAGCCGTCGAAAAAAGTTCACCATTCCGGTTCCTCATCCACCCTTTTCTCCTACTTCAGCTCGAAAGAATCGACCAAATCGATCAAATCGACCAAATCATCCAAGAACCAAGGACTCCAGCCTAGAGTACGGCACGAACTCGGCAGTGAGCCACAAGTGACATACACGCAGGCTCAAGATCCACCGAAGGAATCCAAGCGGAAGATGCGTCCTCCGAAAATTGATCTTTCCGTCTTGTTCCCGAAGCCGCGGAATCCCCCACCACAAACACTTCTGTCCCCCCACCGAATGGTCAACTCCCCCTCTCCCGTCTCTACAGTGGTCCCGGATACCTCTTTCAACAAGATCGAAAGGATGACCGGTGGTACGAGCAACTCTACTACGAGGAGATATGTCGACCCACCTCCTCCTCGCCGATCTTCGATCACCAAAAACGACCCACCCAAGCATGGTGTGGATAATTCGGATTTGCCTTCAATCGCAGAGAGCAAAAATAACGAGTGGTTAGAGCAATCACTTGAGAGGACGGTAGGAACGAGTGAGATCGATTTAGCCCTGGATAGATATGCGGGGCGACGATCACTTTTGAGTCGCTCGAGCATGTATACCACCAGCCGAGAGCAGTTGCATCCAGAACAGCAACGCCCCCAGGAACCTCGGGAGAGCTCGAGACGTGCTCACAGCCCCTCTCGACCGAAGGAGACGTACTTGAGTCCTGCCTCATGTCCAGACCCAAGGCGTGGTCGAGGCTTGAGCACTTCCCAGGAATCTTGGAAGACCAATGAGTCAAAATCAAAGAGCGAGAAGAGCTCGTTGACCAAAAAGAGCAGCAAAAGTACCTTGAAAAACAAAGATCTGCGAAACACCAGTATGCTTTGCCTCTCCTCTTCCTCAGAGGACGAGGATGACGAGGACCAAACTCCAACCACCGAGTCCAAGCGCAATATGAACAAGCCTAGAAGAGACAGTGTGGCTACTTACGACGAATACGAGCCCCAGGTCTACACGGCTTCCACTGCCCAGGCAACCACTGCCACGGCGGTAAGACGCTTTGACCGGACACTCTCGACTAGCACCCGTGGCTCCCGCCAAACCGAAAAGAGCCTGCCAGTGCCAGTAGCTCGCCCACGAAAGGTTTCTCAAACCTCGAATGGCAAGGCTTCTCAGACAACTGGACGAACCACCCAAACTCACCGTTCGAGCGGAGTTCCCACTATCCCGGATGAGATTCTGGCGCAATTCCCACAGCAGCCTCTCCGCTCCCCCGCAGAGTTGAAAGAGTTGAACCGGAGGAGTCGTGTAATCGCTGTGACCCGCCAAGAGCAAGATCTTCTCGAGGCGATGCGTATTCGAAAGGGCAAGGTCACACCCAGTCTGTTCAATGCTCACGGAGCGGACCGAAGATCACTGGCCTCCGGCCCACCCCGCGATTCCTTCTGCGGATCTGACACCTCATTCTTGCGTCTCAGCAATGTATTCCCGCCATTCGACGTCCGGTCCGAAAAGGGTGCTACCCAATACAAAGATGGAACGCCCTCCCAAAGTTCGGGTTCGGATAGTGAACGGAAACCCCGCACTGCAGTTTTCTCTTCTCGTGCCAGTGGGGAGTATTCTGAGAGCTTACCCTCCCCTTCTACCAGCGGTGCTTCGCCGCTGACCCCCACATTGCCAATTCATCGTTTCTCGCCGCTTCCCTCCCCGAAGCCTCCCCCAAGAGGACCCCCGCCTGCCATCCCCGAAGACCAGAAGCAGCACACCCGCCGTCGCACAGATAGTAGCGAGGCTATCCTGTTAGATGATGGCGGTGAGCCAAAACGCAACAACGGTCTTCCTCTCTGGTCTTTCGACTTTGATTGGAACCAGGAAAGCGCCAAAATCGCTTCTGTGCACTGATCGCTTGGCCCCTGATACCCAATACTCTCACTCCACCCCTTACATTTCCTATTTCACTCTTCTCTTTCTCTGTATTCCTACTTGGTTTAATCCTCACAGTCTTTCCTACATTTCCTTGACTTGATTGCATCTTGCAGCACATTGCTCCAAGCTTCTGTTTACCCAACCACATAGACCACACTTGTCCATTTCCTACATGACCCACCCTCTTGTTTATTTCTTCTCACTATTGTTTCATTACTTTTTGAATTAGCGTTCACACGCGGGCTTCTATACCTGCTATCATGTTTTACTAGGGTGGTTTTCGTACCTTTCTTACGATTTCATTATTTCAGGCTCACGACTGTTGACATTCATATTCTCAATGATCATCAATTCATCAACCCAACCTGTGCAATATTCTTGTCCGATTCTCCACCTAGTTTCTGCCCCAAAATAGCGGCCTAGCATAGCCTGAGTCGGATATCGCGGTGCATAGTGATCACTAGGGACTTTGGTCCTATCGGCTTTTATGATTCACCGCTCATATTTCTTAGAGGTAATCTCTAACTCGATAGAGTGCTTGAATTGTTATATCAACCTCCTATCGAGAAGTTTACCTTTACTAATTTACTGACTTATATGGAAACAAAATAGTCCGACCTCTATACTTGACGATATAAGACTTGGAGAATCTGAACATCTTGTCTTTTATAAATTTTCTATAAATATTTGTTTAGTTTCTTTTTGGATGTCTTTTAAGTTGTCTTTTAAGATTTCTATAAATGAGGGTTTAGAATAATAGAGAAATAGACACTATTGACGAATGACGACATGCGAGGAATAACAATGGGGGCTGTGGATGGGCTGGTGGAGAGGCCCTTTGCTCGACGTCATCGATCACAACACCTCTCCAGGTTAAGGGGCTGGCCAAAATCGAGTCCAAAACAGTGCAAATATGATATGAGATTCCCAAAAACAAGGTACTTGTATATTTGTACACACCATTTACCTATTGCAGAGACTTCCAAGGTTGAACGCTGGCTTGTGACTCTACAGCGATCCACACCCTGACCGCCGACCTTCTCGTCTATAACCCCAGATTATTGCTTCCTGAGCACTCTACCATCCTCCGTTCCTTTTCTCCTTTAAGTTCTTTTTTAAGTTCTTTGAAGTACCCTCCTTCATACAGTGGAGTCAGCCGACGCCCATCCTCTCCTTCGCCTCCCAGCCACCCACATCGCCTGCGATCGCCCTCGGGAAACCCTATCGAGACCTAAAAGGGAAGATCTCCAGAACAACCCACACCCCTGGTTCGCGAATTGGGACTTTGCAGTTTGCTCTACATCGTACCACACTTTTCTTGTCGCTCCCTCTACTGAGCCCATTTACCACATTCACCGGACTAGGGATTGCACTTGGTGCCCCTTTCGCGGATACGTTATCCACTGTTTAGAGGGAACACGCGACCTACTACATAGTACTTCGTTATGGGAGATCGCGCCCAACGCCAGCCGTCTGGCCTGCGAGCTGCGGCCAATATTGCGCCATGGATTTTGGTATGAGCTTGTTGGGCATTACACGGCCTTTGCGGTCTTGGGGACTGTTCGCTGACTTGCCTTGGTTTCTTTCTAGTTGACTGCGGAGTCGACTGCGTTTGTGTTGGTAAGTCATTCTGCGCAACGTGGAAATTCTTGTGATAGGAATAGGATGGGATGCTAATTGTATTTTTACACTGCAGCTAGCTCATTATTCTCGAGTCATGCCCCCCGCCGGTGGTAAACGCTACCTGACCTCTACGGCGGTCTTCCTAGTCGAAGTGGTCAAGCTGGCCATCTCCCTCACAATGGCGCTCTATGACGTCTCAAAAACCGCACCACCCTCCATGCCCGCCACCTCCCTCTTTTTCTCCCTCACAAGCGCCGTGTTCTCGGGCGACAGCTGGAAACTCGCTATCCCTGCCGGGCTCGACGTCTTGTCCAACTCCCTTCTGTACATTGCGCTCTCGAATCTACGAGCTGCGTCGTTCCAGATTACATTCCAGCTAAAGTTCCTCACCACTGCGGTCTTTGGTCTGATGCTCCTGAAACGGAGCATCCCTCCCCGCAAGTGGGGCCTGCTTTTACTTCTCATTGTGGGCGTGGCGTTGGTGCAAATCCCCGATGCTAGCCCCGAGCAGATGCTGCAGGATGATCATGCTAGTCACCATTTCCCTCGATCATTGGAGGAGTGGAGGGCTGTCAAGCAAGGTGCTGGTTCTGGGAGCAGTTTGCAAAAGCGGTCTGCAACATACGAAGGTATCGAAGAGGATATTCTGACCGCTGACCCACACTTGAACACCGCAATTGGTCTCCTTGCGACCATCGGAGCGTCTTTGGCTTCTGGACTTGCGGGTATTTATTTCGAGAAAGTCCTAAAGGATAGCGCGAACCATATCTCGCTGTGGGTCCGCAATGTGCAATTAGCTGTCTACTCCATTTTCCCGGCTCTCTTCATTGGAATTGTCTTCCGGGATGGCGAAAAAATCGCTGAAGATGGCTTCTTCCAGGGCTACAATTGGGCGGTGTGGTCTACCATAATCATCCAGGCCTTGGGTGGTATCGTTTCTGCATTCTACGTCAGCCACGCGCAGAAGGATGCAAGGAGTTTGGCCACAACTGCCAACATAATTTTGAGCATTGTTGGAAGCATCTGGCTATTTGACTTTGAGGTTACTGCAAGCGTACGTCCCTTGCCCTTTTAACACTTCCTAGCATCTATTCCAGCTCCCCGCCCCCCGACATGAACATTCCGAACAAGACTGACTGGGACATTATAGTTCTTCCTGGGCTCGGCTGCAGTCCTGGTAGCAACCCACTACTATGGAAACCCCACCTTCAACCCTGCCATGGGTGCCTCGCGTCCGCCTCCAATCCGCGTCGACGCGTACGAAAAGGACCCCGCAGGTCCCGAGGGCTCCCCCGTGGCGCCTCCCAACGACTTTTCTATCAAACTTCCAACCTCACCCTTTCTCTCTGATGGCATTTCGTCATCCCGTCCCACCTCACCAGTACCAGGCCATACTAGAGTAAGCTCTAGCCGGAATGCAAGCGCGAGCTATTTCGATGAGAAATGATTGCTGTAACTCGCTATGCACATTGATATTGGCCTACGTGATGAGATGCTTCTTTACGGGAAATGATTTTGGATACCTGATAGATGCGGATGTAAGTGCGGTCTTGAAGAAAGCCGCCCACCGCGACCCTTTTTACTATTATTGATGCCGCTCCTAATTTGGAGCTAGCTACTCTTCGATGTCCAAATTTGCATGTCCTCTTACTGTGAAGATATTTGCCGGTGTTGGCTCATGTATGCCTATATACGAAGCAATGAAACACTTTGATATACCCCACCATACTTGACAATTCCTATTCTTGCTGGTTTTGAAAAGGCACCGCTACAGTATATTCATATATCACAAAGGTATGGGGTGGTCCAGTCCACGTGCTGTCACGTTATCGGGATCATGGACCTTGGAACAAGACACTTTGCAATCCATCACTGCAACTCCCACATTCAATCCCAATCATTAAGAGCGCATCTCAAAATGCGAAGAAACAATCAGACCACCAATCTTAAACCCTTTCAATTGCCCTCTCAGAGGCGCACAAATGCCTCCTCCCCGTCCAAGAGTAGTAGAACAGGTATCATCGACCAGAGACTCATCGAAGGTTCCCATCAGCTGCAACACAGCAGCCCATCTCCCAGAAAGCCCTTCAATGGCCTGGCATCATCAGCTCATGATGAGGACCCTCAATTGGATGCTTTTGGTAAGTCTGCCGGCTTATCATCATGGCGGGTGCTGATGGAAACTAGACCTCGAGCTCCTAGCCTCAGAGGATAGAGAGGAGGCAATTCAAGATTCAGGAATTGGAATTCCTATATCTACGCCACTTCAGGCGTCTCGTCAGCCTGGTCTACAGCCAGCACAATTCTCTCGGTTCTTCCAACGTGAGTTGTTTGTATATGAGTGCTGGTGTTTCTGTCTTGTTGGTTTGGCATTGACAAGTAGTAGCAAGCTCGAACATCGCTTCTTCTCGGAATGCGTCCAGCTCGTCGGACCCTGTACTAGGGCCTCCCTCGAGTCCGCTGGCTTCGTTCCTGCAGAAAAAGGATGGAATGCGGATGGGTCAGCGCGGCCAAGAGACAAATCGTTGTCCATACCGTGATGAGACCAGTCAGTCTTCACCGCAGGAACCGATAGGTCAGCTGAGCCCCGAGGCTTTGACTGGCAATAGACAACGTCTATTCAGTAACATCCCGCCCTCTGTGCGGGGAATCGTCCTCGTATCAGTAAATGACCTACCGGAAAACTACCGCTCGATGTTTCCGTTTCCTCTTTTTAATGCAATTCAATCAAAATCCTTCCAGTCCGTTTATAATAGCAATGAAAATATCGTCCTGTCCGCACCAACCGGCAGCGGCAAGACAGTGGTGATGGAATTGGCCATCTGCAGACTCTTGAACACCCTCAAAGACCAACGCTTTAAAGTCGTCTATCAAGCACCTACAAAGTCCCTCTGCAGCGAGCGCTTCCGAGACTGGCACTCCAAGTTCTCCAGCCTGAATCTCAAGTGCGCAGAACTGACTGGAGACACGGACCACATGCAACTGCGCAACGTCCAAAGCAGCCAGATAATCATCACAACGCCCGAGAAGTGGGATAGCATGACTCGGAAATGGAAAGATCATATGAAGTTAATGCAGCTTGTGAAGCTCTTTCTCATTGACGAGGTGCACATTCTGAAGGAGACGCGTGGAGCTACGCTTGAGGCTGTGGTTTCTCGGATGAAGAATATCGGATCGAATGTGCGATTCGTGGCGCTGAGTGCTACTGTTCCTAACTCCGAGGATATTGCTACTTGGCTTGGGAAGGATGCGACAAACCAGCATGTTCCTGCGCATCGGGAGCATTTCGGCGAGGAGTTTCGTCCTGTCGAGTTGAAGAAGGTTGTCTATGGGTATGCGTCTAGTTTGAATGACTTTGCATTTGATAAAGTCTGCGGTTCAAAGTATGTGGCCTTTTTTTTGAAGTCTTGTTGGATCCTTTTCTGTTTCTATCTCTTCCTTCTTTCTGAGTTACTCGTTTGGTATACTGACTGGAGCTTGAAAAGGTTACCCGAAGTGATCGGAATGCATTCATGCCAGAAGCCCATCTTGATATTCTGTTGCACACGGAACTCATCGCTCGCGACGGCGAAAGAATTGGCTCGGCTTTTTACATTGACGAATCCACCCGCCAGGCTTTGGAAAGAACCCAAGAAGCGTCTCGAAGCTCATAACGAGGATCTCAAGAGTAAGAATCTGAGCTCTTTTCTAGACTCACATGCTAATTAGAAGTAGCAACACTTCCTGCTGGTGTAGCATTTCACCACGCCGGTTTGGGCCCGGCTGATCGCCACACTGTTGAGACAGGCTTCAGAGAAGGGCACATTAACGTCATATGCTGCACATCTACACTTGCAGTTGGAATAAACCTGCCTTGCCACCTCGTCATAATCAAAAACACTGTCAGTTGGCAAGATGGAGGCTGCAAGGAGTATTCAGATTTGGAGATGATGCAGATGCTCGGCCGCGCGGGCCGACCTCAATTTGACAACAGTGCGACAGCAGTCATACTGACCAGGAAGGAACGTGTAACTCACTACGAGCGACTGGCTCAGGGGTCTGAGAGTCTGGAGAGCTGCTTGCATTTGAACTTGATTGATCACCTCAACGCTGAGATTGGCCTGGGCAATATCTCGGACGTCGAATCGGCTGTCAAATGGCTTGCTGGTACATTCTTGTTTGTGAGACTTCGTCGAAATCCGACGCACTACAAGCTCAAAGAAGGTGCAAACAAGGAAGACGAGGACGAATTGCTTCGCCAGATATGTGAGAAGGATATCGATCTCCTTCGGAAATGTGGTTTGGTCGAAGCTGAGAGCCTTTGTTCAACCCAGTTCGGCGAAGCTATGGCTCGGTACTACGTCCAGTTCGAGACCATGAAAGTGCTATTGTCGCTGAAGTCAAAAGCAACCTTGTCTGAAACTGTGAGTCTGTTCTTCTTAGATTGCTGAAATAAAAGAACCTCAACTGACATTACTATTCCAGCTTAACGTGATCGCACAAGCCGATGAATTCCGCGAGATCCGCCTCAAAGCCGGCGAGAAATCACTCTACCGAGAGATAAACCGTGACCCAGGCATTCGTTTCCCCATCAAGGTCGACCTGGCTCTCCCAGCACACAAGATCTCACTACTCCTCCAATCCGAACTAGGGGCAATCGAGTATCCCGATAATGAGCAACTCCAAAAGCTCAAATTCACATTCCAGCAAGACAAGAGTTTAGTCTTTGCACATGTCAACCGACTAATCCGCTGTCTGATCGACTGTCAAATCGCCCGCGGCGACTCAATCACGATCCGCAGTGCTCTTGAACTCGCCCGGAGCTTCGGAGCAAAGGTCTGGGACCACTCGCCTCTCCAAATGAAGCAGATCGAGCAAGTGGGAGTTGTCGCAGTTCGGAAGTTGGCTGCGGCTGGGATTACCAGTATTGAAGGGCTGGAATGTGCGGAGGCTCATCAGATTGAGATGGTTCTTAGCAAGAATCCGCCTTTCGGGTCAAAATTGCTTTCGAGATTGAAGGAGTTCCCCAAACTGCGGGTTTCTGTAAAGATACTTGCAAAGGTTTGCAATTTGTTATGATAGTAAATATTATTTTGCTAACGTGCGATACAGGACGTGAAAATCAATCGTGTCAATCTCCGCTTCAAGGTTGAAGTCGCGTTCATGAACGACAAGATCCCGACGTACTTCCAACGTCGGCCTGTTTACGTGTGTTGCTTGATAGAGAGGTCCGATGGCCATATGATCGATTTTAGACGCATGAGGTGAGATTTTCATCCAGTTATTTCGTTATAGGCAAATGCTGATGCCCTTCCAGTGCAAACAAGCTCCAAGAGAAATTGGAATTTGGACTCACCGCGGACTTGACGAGTGCGGACCATGTCATTGTGTGTCATGTTATGTGCGATGAAATCGGTAAGACTTTTGAACGTGAAGAAAAGCGACACTTCCTTCTGCTTTTGTCTTTGTGCATCACCTATATTCATACTGACAATTTTCCAGCGGGGACAGCGAGAAAAGCTGAGCTCGGGCCTAACCTGCCAACTCACCTCTTTGCTGCTATGCGAGATAAGAATGCCAATGCTCAAAATACTGAAACCTCGAACCTACCATCTCGTCAACCCAAGGGGAATTTGAATTCCAAGGATGCAGAGAAACCGAAGACCAACACATCTCGAACCCACGAACGAGATACGACTGGTATCAAGACCAAGCCTCGGCGGGACGCGGACAATTTTGATGGCGATGACCTGCAACTCGATGATTTCCTCGTTGCGAATGAACGCCGCGGCAAAGCGAAGGAATCTACAAAGCCACAACCTCAACAGTTTGACGACATATATTGGTTCTCGATTGATTCAACGCCACCGAGTCCAGCCAAGGGAGTGCCGAAGGTCGCAAATTCACGAGAAGATGACTGGGCGGTGGATATGGACAAGCCAGAAGACGAGTACGAACCAGTCCGGCTTGCGAATGGCAAATGGGCTTGCAACCACAAATGCAAAGACAAAACAAGGTTTGAGAGAATCATTGCTTTCTTTATTGCTAAGCTAATAATTCCAGCTGCAAACATTTCTGCTGCCGCGAGGGTTTGGAAAAGCCCGCGAAGCCACCAAAGCGGACCATCCCCGGGACTCAAAAGGAAGCCGGTTTCAATCAACTCACTATCTCCGCCAGTATCACGAAAGCACCTCCAACCACTAACTTGAGTTCGCAAAACCAAGTGGCCAAACAACGCGTCACGGGGCCTAAGAATGACGATCATGTTTCAAAGGCGAAGAAGATGTCGACTTCACAAGCTGGACAGAAGAAGATATGTCGAGAAAGGTCTGTCCTTTCAGAGAAGGACAAGAACATTCCCTCGTATAAGAGAAAGCGGGAAAAGAGTCCTTCAAACCCCCTCTCCAGTGATTATGGCGATGAAAACTTTGATGATCTACCGTCGCCATCGCGTCTTCTCAGGAACAGGGGATCAGGGGTTGCAACGTCGGTTTCTCCAGTGGTGGATGACCAGGCGAAGAGCAATATCACAGATGTTCCGATCATTGAGACGAAGCCTACAGACCCCTCGTCCTCGCCCTCTGCTTCACGGCCCGATCTCCCTCGAAAAGACCAAATTAAGCGATCAACTCCCAAGCCCCAACACGAGATAATTGAGATCCCAGATGACACACCACCAGACTCAACGGAGTTGCCAATGACAGTAAACAAGAAGTCTTCAGTCAAGCAGAGCACATCGCCACTCACAACAAGATCAGAAAAACCCCCCAACCTGAAACGGAAGGCGAGCCAAGACGAAACTCAAACGGAAGAACACAAAAAGCGGGTGAAGGAAAGCCCCTTTGTTTCCGCTTTACAGGTTCACGCTTCAAACACTTTGAACGATGAACAACCACTGAGACCTGAGCATCCTACGTCTCCTGTTTCTCCTGCGTCTCCTGTCGCTGCTGTTTCTCCTGTGTTCGGCGGTCGAATGGATTTGACTGCAGCATGGCACGACGATGGCATTGATCTGCTTGATGAGTTCAAGGATATTATTAAATTTATTTAAACGCTCGAGAATTGCTGGTAGAGTGGTAGGATTTTTGTTTTTTTGTTTTGTTTTTTTCACGCATCTCCAGGATTTCGTTTGCGTGGCGGTAGGTATGGTGCTGGTGCTGGATTACTGCGAACTGGTGCAAGTTGCGACTTGTCTTACTTCTATATACAATACTGGGGGCCATGCTATATTGGCATTTAGAATTCTCAGCTTGAAATATTCCTGAAAGAATTCCGTTGCTTTGATATTCTCCGATGTCTCACTCCAAGTATGACTCCAAAACACTGGGCACATTGGACCATTGTTGACTTCAGACATCCATCCCAATGATCTCAAGTTCCCTTTGTCCTCAAATTTATTCTTGATTATGTGGTAGCTATGGGTGACCGGCCCGTGCCTGAGAAGACACTGGCGGAGATGTGGGAGTTTCTTTTCGATGTCGATTGCATCATGTATCACGCTTCTTGATCCTTTTTGCTTTACTTCCCTCCGTTGATGCATTTTAGACCACCCGTGAGCAACAGGATTCGAATCCGTGCCCCCTAGATTTCAGAAAAATAGGCCCCACTCTGCCGGCAAAAAAAAAAAAAAAGAATTGGCCCGAACCCGGGATTGAACCGGGGACCTCGCGCATTAATGCTTTGGGTGAACCCCTGGAGATACTGTTAGTAATTGAAAGATGAATTGACCTCAGTAGGGAGTGCTTACTAAGCGCGAATCATACCGCTAGACCATCCGGGCAATTGATGAAAGAAGACAGTTATCTAGAATTCAAAAACACCTCACCCCATTCATATGCCTCTAGTGTCTCAGAAGACTGGACTCAACCCTTAATGAACGGATACTAATTTGACGGATTTATAGAGACCCCTAGGGCCAAATCTTCCAATATCTGCTCTTAAATTGGAATTACGAATGACGAACGTGAAAAATAGGCAAAATTCCAGTATCAATGTCTTGTTCCATATGGCCTTCTGACCTCTCTACTTAATCTATAATTCCCATTATCTAACCCGTGGTTGGCCTGTGGTTGGCCCGTATACCATCCAGTAGGTCTTCCAATGTTGTTCTTGATATTAGGGACATTGTATTTAAGACAACAATACGGTGTCATTTTCTGGTTGTCGTAACCCTCGCGGCAGATATAGCGAACACTGGAAGTCCGTATTATGCCGGGCTAATAAATGTCCTATTGGAGTCCTATGCTAATTTCTAGTGGGCATCAAGGTTCTTGAATGGGCTCACCTCACTCTCTCTTGATCATCAAAACCAGGATACGTTTCTAAATACCAATCTTCACCTAATGCCTAAGATATATATATCTTACATTACGGCTTAGAGCCTGGCTATGAATGTCGAGATATAGAATAGAGCACATACCACCGCCTAGCTCTATATATTGCACAATAGGTTAAGCTCAATATAGCAGCCCTCGTCGTCTATCCGAGGACTAATAGAAAATCACTGAGCTAAATCAGAAAATTAATATCCCATTGAACCTACAACATACATGGCAAGGCTACAGATCACAAAGATAGAACTCTTAGGTAAATGGCCTCGGCTTTATACTATCAATACTGATAGAGACTAAAAGATATTTGGCGCAAATTGGAACGCAGAGTAAAAGCTCCACTTTCAGGTTTCTCTAGGATGTTAGAAAGACGCAGAACCTTCATTCCTCAGTGTCATGGTGACCTAGGCCACCTTATACGCCCACATCAGTCGCCTTACTCATTCTCGTATTTGCTGAAGATCTTGTAGCCACCAAGGGCACCTTCAGTGTCGGCCTCGGAGCGCTTCTCTTTCTCTTCGTAGCTGCTGAAGATCTTGTAACCACCCAGGGCACCTTCAGTGTCGGCCTCGGAGCGCTTCTCTTTCGCTTCATCGTAGCTGCTGAAGATCTTGTAGCCGCCTAGGGCACCCTCGGTGTCGGCCTCGGAGCGCTTCTCTTTCTCTTCGTAGCTGCTAAAGATCTTGTAACCACCTAGGGCACCTTCAGTGTCGGCCTCGGAGCGCTTCTCTTTCGCTTCATCGTAGCTGCTGAAGATCTTGTAACCACCTAGGGCACCTTCAGTGTCGGCCTCGGAGCGCTTCTCTTTCGCTTGCTCGTAGCTGCTGAAGATCTTGTAGCCGCCCAGGGCACCCTCGGTGTCGGCCTCGGAGCGCTTCTCTTTCTCTTCGTAGCTGCTGAAGATCTTGTAGCCACCTAGGGCACCTTCAGTGTCGGCCTCGGAGCGCTTCTCTTTCGCTTGCTCGTAGCTGCTAAAGATCTTGTAGCCACCCAGGGCACCCTCGGTGTCGGCCTCGGAGCGTTTCACTGAAATGGCATTAGAGGAGTGAATCATTAGTAAGATGCCAGGATATTTACCAGGAGCTGCAGTAACTAGGCCTTCCGCCGCAAGGCAGCCGACGACAAGAACCATAGCCTTGAGATGCATTTTGATTGACGTGAACAGATCGACAAACTTGTAGATTGGAGGTGTGCTTGGTTATGATAAAAGACGAATCACAGTTTACACGCCTTGGACAAGTTAAATATATACATGAGGTTTTGAGCCTTCGTTAGGGCTTACTATGAATGATCATCCTCCGTAGAAGCGATAAATATTATCATCGTGTCTCCCTCGAGTAGAACTACAGGTATGCACGAGTGTTGGCGCAAGGTAATATGACAGTGCATTATTGTGTTTATTTTGCTGACGCTGATAATCCCGCCTTAAGCTCCACTAGCCTGACAATGCATAAGAGGAAGTCTGAGTCTGGAAAATTGAATGCACTAGGCCGAGCCTTCGGTACTGTTACAAGGACTTGTCGAAGTAAAATCCATTTTTTTTTGGCAATTTCATGACGAAAATAGCTAGGCTGTACAGCTAAAAACTGGAGGCTTGGCCATCCGCACTTTTGCAAAGACCTTTATCGAGTGAGTATCTATCTATGTACAAGGTTGATTTCCTCTACCACTTCTTGGCGTACTTTTCCCGTATTAGTGCTTCCCTCTTGCCGCTTTTTACTCACTGAGTAACTCTGGGCACGCCCCTTGGCCTTAGTTACCATAATTATTGAACTTGTTCACTGAGCATCACCTGATAATTACATAAGCCGGATGACTCCTCACCAAGCGTCACCCGTGGACCTGAGCAGTCCACTCGTGTAATTTATTGTTACAATAACAGTGCCAAGCGCCCAATACACCTGCCGGGTATTGGTGCGCCCCAGCAGATGCAAGATTTTCACCAGATGCAAAATCTAGAAATTAGGTATCTTTTGTATGACTTACCTATACAAAAGGTACTTAGTCACCCCGTAGGCATAACATACATCATCAACAGATACGCCCGGTTCCTAGGTTGTTCTCTATAACAACAAAACCTCTGCAACCATGGAGCCAGAACCAGCCTCCCGCTAGCCGTCCCGAAGTATACTAATCCTAAATCTGTAAAATTAGTAAATGAGCTCCTATAGTGGACATTGTAGGATAGTCTATAAAAGCTAGACTTACACTATGTAATTTGGATCCTAATTGTTTTTGAGCCAGACTTGATTGACTCTCTAGACTACCTTCCAAGGTGTTGTGGAGGACGGGAACAGAACAAGATCGATATCCTATAACAAGTATCAATTGCAAGTAATACCCGTATAGTCAAATTGCCTCGCCTTGTATCGAAGACCTCTTTCCTTTTTATCTTCATATGCCGGTATGAAAGCTCCAATTCTCGCTCCAGGGAAGAGATATAATTGGACAGCCAGCAAATAATGACTTTAAGCAATCCCGGTATAAAGCGGTGATGATCAGTCTACCACAGAGATGAGACTATTCTAATAATATCTTCCTAGTAAAACTGTGGGTTAGGGATTCAATCTTCTCGATGATTTCATCCGCTATTAAAGATTTTTGGATCCACTGTTATACGTTTAGCGCTCCTACCCTAGAACGAAAAGAGGTATTGATCTAGACTCACGCTAAAGATTTCTGTCCGATCCTCCAGTGCGACGCTTATTTGCAGTTTCTCTTCGAGGCCACTAAAGAGTCGCTCTACAGATGACATAACCGATTTCATCACTAGTCGCCCATTTTTACTGAGTCGTCCTCAGGTAGAATGAATGTACTAACGGATAAACTCCTTGATAAGCTGGTGATCTGGAGCTTTAGAGTCTACACCATTTCTGTAGCCTCTTATTCCGTTTTGTTTAAGGAAGCTGGAAGCGGGTTAGTTTTATTTTTCCAACTATGATTCTACGTATCATAGTTACAAGGAACCTTACTCCTTCTAAAGTTCTGCATATTACAGGTATATCCTCTTAGTTTTGGGTAATCTCTTGTCTTTATCTCGGATAGCATTTTCGTCTATATACGCTCCGAAAACGTATTCGCTTTTTTCTAATCGTCTACGGCGTTTCTCTTTAGCGACATTGTCTTGGTAAGTAAAGAAGGGTTTCCTACCTATGATTAAGCTATTGCCGAGAGAAACGATAAGATAGAACTGGAAACCCTAAGTAATAAAGGAGAAGGTGAAGACAAAATCTTTTAGGTGGTATAGCGATAGGATAGACCTCTAATTTGTATCTGAGCTTTTAGTACGGGCAACCCTAGATAGATAATTAACTATTCTCCTACCACACCACCTAACATGTAAGCCCGTGCCTTCCTTTTTTACGTCATCTCATTTTAACAAGTAATATACGGGGTGGGGGTGAAATTAGAGGATGGAGCAATTTTAGAAATGGGCATGGTCAGGGCCATCAAAAAGCACCTTATAAATAAACTGCATTATGGGGGCCGAGTGCTCTTTTGGGATTGACTGAGCGTGACTGAGTGCACAATAGATGCCTTTGACAAATCTCCGAGTAATCAAACACACTCACTGAGTGCCCACTAAGTGTGATTGGCTGCCTCGCGTAATTATATTGAGCAGCTCACTGAGCTTGAGCCTGGACTGAGATTTACTCAGTGAGTCTGACTCTGAGCGCCCTCATAAAAGCGGCGGCAGCCAAGATAGGCAGAGAAAATACACTATGTAGAGGTTCCTAGGTATGTTGTACGAGATTCCGTTTTCTTTTGTCATCGGGTCCTTCAATAAATGCTGACCATGCATATGATACATCTTAGGATATGTTCGTTTGGCGACACCGCACGGGAGACGCGGGTCTACTACATGCAATGTAATCAATGACTCCGCTGTTTAGTTATTAACGGTGGTTCCAATGCATTCCACTATGCAGTTGGTACTTCTCTTAAGCTTGCTGTCTACTCTAAACATTTTAATCATGATCATTATATCAGAAGCGTGCTCAACACCTGAAGTTCTCAATTATGGAATTTCGCAAGAGGGCTTATCAGCGCACTCAGATTCTTGCTTCTATATCCGCACCACCGTCCAGTAATAATTGAGCCACTTCGTGATGGCCAGCCATGGCAGCTAAGTGTAATGCCGTCGAGCCACATTTATCTTGCATATTAATAACATATCTGTCATTACTGAGACTCTGTACCATCTCAAGATCACCCAACTCGGCTGCGAGATGCAACGGCGTTTTCCCGAGAGTATTGACCGACCTTCGGTCTGCACCTCGACCCAAAAGTAGACGAACAATAGATAGCTGCCCATAAGCGACAGCTTGATGTAACGGAGTATTTCCTTTCTCAAGAGGTTTCGTGGGCAAATTTTGGAATTCAGACTAGAGATTGAGACTCAGTTAGAACATCAGTGTCTAAAGCAGCCTTGATATGAGACCGATTATTTGAAGATGGTGATTGGAGGGGACTGGTTTGAGATTATGTAGCTGAGACTTTGTAGATGCACCATAGAAGGTAAAGATAGCTCGACCAGCAATTGAGTCTTGTAAATCTCGAATCGTACCTCTTGACAGGAGCCCCGACCCGAGGAGGCCAACCAAGAATCCTGTCGCCTTTGATCATGCTCCAAGAAATTCCCGACCATTTGAGTGACTGAGAAATCCGTCACCATTATGGGACTTTCAAGTCCTTGTGCGTTGCCTCCGTTGCCATGGGTATTCTCTATTGAGCCCGGGGGCACAGTGGAAAGAACATTTGTGACTGAATAGGCATCAAAAGTGAGCATCTTAGGATTCGCATAGTGGTGTCGTGACTAGATACAAGCATACCTTGTTCTTGTACTTGTTCTATGGAAGGTTCAGCGTTTCTTGATAGCATCGACCCTTTTGATCTTTGTCCTGCAACAGGGGTCCAAGATGACAGTTAGAATTTCAACCCAAAACGCCAGGGTATAAGTCTACCACTCACGATGCTTACGCTGGTATAAGCGATTTTGCTTCTTCCGACGACTTTCTTGTCCGTCTTCTAGATCGAGAAACAAAGGGTTCACGTGGTTATTAACACTCGCCAAAGTGTGGCCATTTTGTACATGGCTGAAACTGTTGTCGACGGATTGAAACATGTTGTTAAAAGGCTGTATACTAATCCATCAGACGCAACGCGGGAAAATGATCAAAGCATCACTCCATTACTCTAAGATCGTCGTTAAAACTGCGGAGTACTTATTCTTTAATTTGACATCTCATTCCCGAGTCTTACCTAGGTACCTTATTTAAATAGGCCATCGGTTAGAGTTACGTGAGCCGCCTTATCGGGTTAATCCCCACCTGGATCTGGTAGCCTTAATGTGAGGATGATGATCACCCAGATTTCTACTATAGCCCCACACTAGTTATTATTGGCTAATTTTGGTATGTAAAAGAAGATGCAGTTTTTCCGGGCCCAACCTCATCTACACAACGTCTGCCTTGGACGTGTAATGGGACTGGCAACTCGAATTCAAGATGGCATACGTGAGATGGCCAGGCAACCACAGTCAATGGTAAGCTCGTCTCGCCAGAGCGTAAGTTAGGCGGATCTTGCTCTATATTTGGAGAACACAACGACAGGGGTATTTTGACAGGATGAAACGATTACATTGCGCATGCCGGTTCACCGTCGGAGCACCGAACCCCTCGCGCAGTGGCGTTGAAAGAGGGGAGAGTAGGGTGATCATCTTCTAAGATTCCGATCAAAGTCCAATCCTTATGAAGGTAATCAGAAGGACGGCCGATTTATGTACGAACATCCATTGATAGTTAACTAGTTAGTTATCTGTTTTGTGGCCTGATGGATCAGGCACCCGCGGTGACAGCACCTGTTTGCTAGCTAGTACAACATAGTTAGATCCTGATTCTCCTCTCTCTCTCCTGTCTCCCATCCATCCCATTTTGATAGGAATCACACGTAGTCTTTCTCTATCGAGATCTTCAGTGGCGATCCCTAGAATATTTGGGGGCCGGGTGATGTCGACATGTGCCAATAGGGCCTTTGGGGGCTATTTTAAGGTAGCACTTCAAGGTAGGACTGGAGGATGACTGACAGTCCTCGGCAGCGCCAGGTGCAGGGTTGTAAATAATCGTGCCAAGCCCACCCACACCTACACACCCGGTGTTGGTAGGGCTTGGCACGATTGGTGAAGCGGTTCTTGGCAGGATTAGTGAAGCGGTTCTTGGCACGGGACTCGACCGAATTGGGACTAGTGCAGGGAAGGGGTGTTTACAGCTGTTTTCCGGCCTGTGACATCTGCTTCTGATTAGTGAGATTCCGTTTAGAAAAGACGTAAAAAGCAACATCCTAGGCACCATCGCACTACTCCTTATTGGGAACTGCAAGGTGTGATGGGCTATTCTCAAAGTGGGAATCCCGGTGCTTATACAGATGCGGGGCAGATATGGAATGCATGATTTTGATACCTCTTACTATGTAGGTATCTAGGTATGTATGTCAAGTGCTGACTATGCATTGGCCAATCACGCATCTGGGCCTTTCGGCCGTAAAATCTTCGAATTATCTTTGGATTTCGTCAGACTACTGTCCAAGTGCCGGTCATAGTTAAAGAGGCGGGATGGAATTTTATTTGGGATGCACATAGCTCGGTACAATTAGGTACTATGTCGCTAGATATTGACGACCCAGAGGCTTCACTGATCAAAACGGAGGCTTTGAGCCAGTCCGACAGAACTAATAGAAGGCAAGGGCTGCAACGAATTTTCCAAAGTCGGTCTTTTTGCTTGAATTGCATTTTCACATTCTTTAATCTATTCTTCTTTGCATGTCTCCTAAAGGGTACCTCATATTCGGCTCCAAGCTCAGAATGCGAGCCTTCATTGATATACTGTGAGTTTGGGCTGAGAGCATTACTTTCTTGTTTATTGACCGATTTGACTAGCACCCGCAAGAGATGCTGTACAGCCAGAGAAGAAGGTCATCCACGTGGAATTAGAGGCTGAAAATGAATACAACGGAAAGCCAAATCCATCCAATGATGCCGCATGGACAAGATTATTCAAAAGTAAGTCTCAAGCGAATCTCAACGAATACAGCACTGATCAGAAACTAGATGCAAACATACGGCTTAAACCACATGAGCTTGAAAAAACAAAGAGAACCTCAATCGAGCTGGCAGATGGCTCAGGCGATTTCTACGGAACGCTTGGTAAGTTGATCAGCGCTTCATATTGGTGGTCCTATGTATTGACGATGGCCACGAGCAGATATCTACCACCAGCTACACTGTGTGGTAAGTACTGTGCAGATAAGTACCATTCAGCATATTTTTGGCTAACTCCTTGAATAGAAGTATATTCGGGAGTACATTCACTCAGAATACTATAACCTCAAACCTACACCAGTGTCAAACATAGATCATGTTGGTGAGTATCATCTGGGCGGGCAGTTCTCCGTGAATATCCAATACTGAACCTTTGCGTAATCTAACTTTGAAAAAATTCGGAAGATCACTGCATTGACATGCTACGCCAAGTCATTATGTGCCGAGGAGACATTGCGTTGACAACTTACAAGTGGATTCCTGACTACAGTCTTCCATGGCCCGACTTTGGATTGGCTCATGAATGTAGAAACTGGGAAAGCATCGATCAATGGGCCAGTGAGCGAGCGATTGACGTAAATGATTACAGTTTGATTGTGCATCCTGAACTAGGTAAGAAGTTGACACCCCAACTGTGCGTTGAAAGAGAGACTGACCCGAAATTCCCTCCAAGGCCCATCTTTTCTGGAGGCTGATTGGAACAGAACAAAGAATGGTACCTAGAGGTCTTTTGGACAAGAGGAAGGTACATATGTGAAACAGATATTAGGATGGGAAGATTCAGGTATCGACGAGTAAATAATTGGCTACGCGAGATATCAGTGCATACACCGCAAACAATATCCACAGACATCCAAAAGTTTTCAATAGGCACGTTGAAGCTAGAGCTTGTGTGCCGTTAGTGGAAATTGGGTCTAGTCGAGTGATACATCCCAGGCTAAATAAAGATGACGAATGAACGTCTTGGATTAACGAGTAGTGGCCTTCATACCCTGGAAATCTATTTATGTTGCCCAGATCCAGTTGCAATGCATAACACTTGAGAAATTTTTACTTAATCTCTAATTCTCCTTTAATCCTCCCAAAAATGACGATGGCCGTCAGTCTCCTACTCAAATTCTCCTTGATTCTGTCGCCTCTAGTCTTCTTACTTTTCATTTTCAAAGCCGATCTTTGGAGTGCATCTAAGATACAAAGATCACTCTGTGGCGTGCGCTATCAAGAAAGGCCCCCCAACATTCCGAGAGAGTTTACAACACAGCCTGCGTTGGAGGACTTATCGCACAAGGGAGATGAAGCATGGGCGACGGAATTATTTACCCCCCATGGTGGGTTTCTGGTGGTCCGCAGGAACGAAACTACAAACGAGAAGTGGGGGGTCTCAATGTTCCATGGATTGCACTGTCTTCAGATGATTCGCAGTGCGCTTCAACAGGCAAGAGAAATAGAGATTTCCTCCATACCAGGGGACCATGGGGGCCATCATGAACATCATTCAGAACACTTGGAGGAATCCCATCTGCAACACTGCTTCAGCTACATTACTCAGGTGAGAAACTCATCTCTTTTTCTTCAATCAACTAATGGATCAACCCATTGCGGAATATTCTGACATAACGACTGGTAGTCTTTGATGTGCTCCGCTGATGACACGATCGAGCCACCACAAGAGCATTACGATAGTGATGGAAATTTAATCGATCTGAATGTTGACGGTATGGGATATATGCATCAATGTCGTGATTCACGCCATATTTGGGATATTGTCCGACGGTCGGAGGAAGTTCCAATTAACAAATGGGACTGGGAAATCAACGATACAGTGGAAAGTGTTTTTAAATCTAGTTAGAACCTTGAAGTTCGAATTTAGGTGTTGACTCTTAGCTGTATAAATTTGAAAAGGTTCAATTTATAGTGCTTCCATCTACCCAATCTAAATGTATCCATTACGTGAACCTCCTACTATCCTAGGTACCTAGGAAAAATAGATTACTATACCTTCTATTTGATGTAATGCTGTTAATGAATCTGCATCGCATGATGCCATCAAGTATAAAGGCTGGAAGTATGTTAATAGCGGTGGGTTCCCACAGTGTCTTATCTCTTATTTTGAATGACTTGCAAATATTGTCGTGCGAAGTGAATGGTGGTTATGCCAGGTCAAATCCTCCATAGTGCGAAGTGTTGCCAGTGGTCTGTCAGCTTACTATTCTGCCCCATGTGGATGTTCGGATGTATATCCTTCCTGCAGTGAGAAAAAAACCAGCTAATGCATTGTCAAATTGTCTGAAATGCAATGTCATCTCCATAATGTGCACACAATCCTACCTCGTATCTTTCAACACGAACTCAAATTACGCCGCCACCTGCATGAAGGAAAAACCCCACCTTTTTGCAGAAAACAAGAATTGAATTGCGGGAAAGCTATCAGTCAGCTAGGGAATGATTATAGTTCATTATACAGAACATCGTGCAACTAGAAATCTTTCAACGGGCTAAGTATTTATTTTATTAGCCTGTCAAAATGCCCACCAGGTACTTCGCTCTCCAGGACGTTGAGGCAAGGCCCAGTATTGATGAAAGTCAGACTGCGGACGTCTATGAGGATGGGAAAAACGAGTCAAAAGCCTTGGATGGGGCAAGAAGCTCAAAGACCTCTATCATTAAAAGGCTTGCCATGTTGAGTCTATTCGCCAGTTATACTGTTCTTATATTTGGACTTGGGCACGCCTCGATAAAACCAGATGATCTGCATGCTCAACCTTCAGCGGCACTGCCCTATATTCAAGGTACTGTTCTCACTATTTGGCGTGATTGGAAGCTGACATATTTACAGAAAAGCACCTCCAGTCACTTCCACGATTGTACGATCAATCAATCACATTCAACGGAACTCTGGACTATCCATCAAAATTTCGAGGTGCACCATCACCAGATATTGATCGCGCATGGGACCGTTCTATCAATCGTAAGCATCAAAATCATTCAGGATAACTTGAATAAATAGTAAATTAACGAAAAAAAACTTACTTCGCAATATAGTTGGAGCAGTGAATGTTTCATTGTCTGATGATGATATGCGACTATTAGGTATGGATCCAGATACTTCAGTTAAGCTGCCTCCTGAGGATGGAGGCGCATATCGACTTCATTTTGAATTTTCGCATCAGATGCATTGTGTGGTAAGTTCCCCTTGCTTTTTTTCCCGCATACCCTCTCGATTGACAACAATGGGTTCATCTTTGTCTAATCTCTTTTTTCCAGAACTTTATACGGATGTGGACATATCAAGACTATTACAAAGAAGAACAGGCAGAGTTCTCGGATAGTCCATCGACACAGCGCACTCACATCGGTGCGTTATCCAGTTCTCGTATTAAGAGCTTTTCTAATAATCAAACCTAGACCATTGCATTGAAATGCTTAGACAGTTCGTCATGTGCCATGCGGATACTAATCTTGTTTCTGCGAACTGGGTAGCCGGGAGCAACTCGCCATACCCCAACTTCAACACTAAACATACCTGTCGGAACTTTGATGCAGTTGTCGATTGGGCATGGGACCATCAGATAACCATCAGACCACCTTCTAAGCCCGAAGGGGTAAATACACTGTCATTTCCACCATAAGACAGTGTAGCGCGGTGATTATGGGCAAGGAAGAAGAGAAAAGAAATAAACTCTCATCTCTCTACACGGAGCGCTAGAAGATTCCGGGGTCTTATAAGTCACATTCATACTCTGATAGATTCAAATGATTTCCGTGACACCTGCGTAATGATCCTGGCGTTGATGGTATTCACGGTATTCACAAAAGACAAGTTTGCTCTTCTAAGCTTGTAAGTCGCGAATATACCTAATAGTTTCCGTTCAATCATGCCGTAGTTGGAGTAACCCTCACAGCAGATATAGCGACCAGGGCAAGTCCGTATAATGCCGCTGCAAATAAAAAAGGAAGACCGAGCCATTTGTCACCGAGGACCATCCCCAGATGGTACACCCCTGCCAGCAGTGGCCCTGCCACTAGCGATCCAATCGAGCTCATCACACTGAGAAGTGTGTAGATTGTGCTCAATGATGTTGGCTCAACGAGGGAAGTTACCAATGTTCTCGCCGTGACAGAAAACGACGATCCTAAACCAAACACCACAACTCCAAGACTCAGCAAGATTAAATTTGGTGCCACAAAAATAAATAGACAACCCAGAAGCATCAACAGTGCGTTGACCTGGGTAAGTATTTTGTCTCTCCTGGCCATCTCCCATCCATGTTTGCGATCAAGAAAGTCGGTCACGGCGGGAAGTAGAATAAATAAAGATATCAGGTTAGAACTAGCACGAAGTGGTAGGACGTATGACGCCTGTCAAAGAAAAAAGGTTGTTCAGCATTCACAATTGACCCATAAATATAGAAAACAACTAGTGAACATACCTCGGCATATGATACATGGAACCTTTTAGAGATATACTGCAGCAGCAGTCCAAAGGCGTGTGTTCCTACAAGTATGACAAAGAAAGAGACAACAACAAGTGCCGCATTCTTATTCCGCGAGAGCTGCTCATAGAGTTCTCGGATTCTTTCAGAGACATACCAGGTACGAACTGGCCGCTGCTCGTGGCATGAGGTAGAAGATGACTCGGTCTGGTTTTGGATTGCAGGGAAAAACAACACTCCCCAAATAACTGAAATTGCGGCAATCACAGAGGACGCGAGGAACGGTATCCAAGGGTTTCTTGTCATTAGCGCCGCACCAACCGGGGGTGCAATCAGCTCTGTAGCCAATATAACCGCTGTCATTTGGGAGAAAACAGTCGTTCTGGCGCATACGCCCTTAGCAAACGACATATAATCGAACTTTGCAGTAGTCATACCTCTTTTTAGCAGGGGTGATACTAGCGACAGCCGAGAAAATCAAGGACGTTGCGACCTGCGGTCCTCCCCCTAAAATCTGCCATAGGGCAGAGAACCAAAGAGCACGAGTGGGTAATGTGGGGTAAAACCAGACTATAAATAGGGTTAGAATGTAGAAAAAGTATATGCGACTGCGAATTTAGACTAACAAACCACTCTGCTCCAGTTGGAGCCCATGACACTGCCAAAGAAGGCCAACAAAGCGACCGGCCTGTATCCAATCCAGTCCGCTAGCATCCCATAAGGCACCGCCAGAAGTATTGCTATTCCATAGTCAGTTTCGCTGTTCTCATAAAGAGGGAATCGTAAAACGCCCGGCTTTTACAAAACAATGGACTCACCAGGAATAGTCTCGAACGTTTCCCTCCAGCCGTTCAACAAGGCAATCTCCGTCTGAATAGGCTCAATCTTGCATCTTTCTGCAGCAGAAAGCATAGTGTTTACAGCAGACTTGGCATAATAATCTCGGCACACTATGTCTTCCAAGATAGCGACCTCGGCGACCTCACCCAGATTGTTAGAAAGGTCGAAAAGAACCGCGCCGCCGCATAACAGCACGACTGTAATAATCCAACGGGGGTAAACCGGTTCTTTAACCAAATTTGACTGTGCTGAGCCTTCTGGTTCTTGAAGCAGGCTTGCTGATTCATCGCAAGTGGGGTCCCTTGGTGACGGCATGATCTAGGTGAAGAGCAAGCACATCGAGTAGGATAGGAATTTGTTATTCCAAAGTTCGCGCCCCCTTAATTGCTTCTTACTCCCGAGTCTAACCGGATTTAGATGATGCTACCTAGGTACCTAGGTAATGACTCCATGGAAATTAAGCATTTGCCTAAGATCTGGGTTCATATGTGGGGCAACGGGTCTATGCGGTTTTAATTATTATTCCCACCATGATGATTCCAAGGGTTATGGTTATTTTTGATGTGATCACCGTTTACTTTACATAAGTGCGCCGACCCATGTATCGGTACTCGGTACTCGACGGTGATAGACCAGAGTCAATGGGTGTGCAGGGATCCAGATAAGACTACTATGTAGACAACAGAGCCGATTGGTTACGGCGACTGCGCTTTCATTGCAACCTAAAGCAAAAAGAGGTCAAGCCAGGTTAATTGCCCATAGAGAACCACCTCCGCTTTGAAAGATTTTCAACTTCCTATATCTCTCTTTCCACCCACCGGGTCGCTCGATATGGGCGACACATGTGATCGTGCCGACAACGTCTTCGGACCCACAATCCGGGGGTGTCGAGATGACACCGACTTCACCCTGTTATTTGAACAATCTTTCTTTTCACTGCTCCCTGCTTTATGCTTCATCGCGTGCTGCGTCTATCGGTATTTTGAACTTGCCAAGAGAAAAAGGGTATTGAAAACCTCCCTAGACTGGCTGATACTTGCAAAAATTGTAGGGAACCCTTCAGGGCTATATCGAGGACCATTCATAACCTAACTGAATTCTTTGCTAAAATAAAGTATTAGACCGCAGTAGCCACTCTTGGATGCCTGCAAGTGGCGTTGATCGTTCTCTACACCTTACCTCACAGCAAATTGACCCGGATTTCCTTGCCAGCGGCCTGTCTCGGCTTCCTAGCCACGCTGAGTCTAGCCGTCGTGTCCTACCAAGAGCACCATCGCTCACTTCGTCCATCCTTTTTGCTGAGTGGATATCTTGCAATTAGTACGCTTCTAGATGGAAGTCAAGCACGGACACTATGGCTCAGGGGAAGCCATCGGCCAATTGCGATTGTGTTCCTTGCAATTGTGATTTTCAAACTGATCACCCTTTTCATTGAGTCGATTCAAAAACGTCATCTGCTGCAAAGTCCTTACTCTCGTTATTCTTCCGATGCTCTAGGGAGCATTTTCAATCGGAGTGTATTTTGGTGGTTGAATTCACTGCTCCTCCGGGGGTCCTCCCACGCTGTTCAACAACAGGACCTTCCGCCCCTGGATCCGAGATTGGCATCAGGGAATGTCGGCATTCAAATGAAATACGCCTGGCAGCAGTGCAGAAAAACCTCCAAGTACAGCTTAGTATGGGTGACATTAAATGTTGCTTATAAACCTGTTCTCCATGTCATCTTTCCCCGAATCTGTTTGATTGGCTTCAACATTGCTCAGCCACTTCTGATCTACCGGGTGATCTCATTCATAGATAAAACGACAAACGACCAAACTCAGTTTGTCGGTCAAGCACTGATAGGTGCCGCACTTCTGGTATATCTAGGAATCGCAATTTCCACAGCAGCCTACAAGCATCAAACCTACCGATGCATTGTGTTGATTCGCGGAGGGCTTCTGAGCCTGTTATATAATCAAACCCTTCATCTTTCAGGATCCACGCTGGCCGACCAATCTGTACTTACCCTCATGAGTGAGGATTTTGATCGAATCGCTGCAGGCTTTGAGAATTCAGATGTAATATGGGCTTCACCTATTGAGGTGGCTTTGGCGCTTTATATTTTATACAGACAGATCGGGCTTGCTTGCCTTGCACCTGTTGTTTTTGTGGTTGGTAAGTGCAAAGTATCCTCATGTAACGCATCGCATCAGTCATTAATAAACCTATGCTGTAGTGTGCGCTGCGTCTGTTTATACATTGTCAAAGTGGGCAAAGGTTGCGCAGAACCTCTGGATGGACGCCTTGCAAGACAGAATCAGCTCGACATCCTCCTTTCTCAGCAACATCAAAAACATTCGCATGTCTGGCATCTCGGAATCCTCATCTGCCAAAATTGACGATCTGCGTGTCAGGGAGTTGGAAAAGTCCAAAAGATTTCGACAAAATGCTACCATCGGAATGACTGTTGGTGTCCTCCCAGAGACTATCGCCCCTGCTGCAGCCTTTATCGTTTACGCCCTTATCGCTGGAAACTCCGACCAAGGCGCACTTAATCCTGCGAAAGCATTCTCGTCATTATCCCTCATCGGTCTAGTCAGCAAGCCCATGTTGAACTTCATGTATGCTTTCCCGGTATTTGTTGCTTCTTTGGGTTCTTACGATCGGATTCAAAAATACCTGTTGACGGATCAGGATCACCAAACTTCTTCCTTTGACAATATATCCAAGCCCCAACAAAGAGAATTTCGCACAGAAACCACTTCAGATGCAGAAACAGTACAACTCAATGAATTGAAGTACACTGGTCTGAGCAATCCTTCCAAGTCTTTGATCCAAATGGAGAATGCTTCATTCTCTTTCAAAGCAACCGGAGACCCTGTTTTAAAAAATGTCTCTCTCAAAGTCAACCGAGGCAGTAGTTCTCTACTCGTGGGACCAGTTGGAAGTGGCAAGAGTGCCTTGTTGCTTGCCCTCCTTGGCGAGATTGTCCAAACGGAAGGGGAAACGGTGAAACAGCCGGAATTGGGGATTGCATACTGCTCCCAAGAGCCATGGTTGCCAAACCTCTCTATCCGTAATCTCATCCAAGGACCTTCAGATTTTGATGAAACATGGTACCAAGAGGTGATTAATGCATGCTGTCTAGACACGGATATCGTCCGTCTACCGCAGCAAGACATGACTACTGTTGGAAGTAAAGGTGTGCGTCTCAGCGGGGGTCAAAGACAGCGTATCAGCCTCGCAAGAGCTATATATTCCAGGAAGCAGCTTCTCCTGTTGGATGATATCACCAGTGGGCTTGATGCTACCACAGAGAATCAGGTCATTCAAAAAGTATTGGGACAGCACGGTATCTGTCGGAAGTATGGCTTGGCTGTAGTTCTTGCAACACACAAGAGTGAGTTATTCTCATGCGAAATTTTAAGGTCTTGCGGCCTTCGCTAACAGCCGCAGTGAATTTAAAGTCCAACGTGGACTCTATCATCACGATTGATCACGACGGCTTAAGCGTGAAAACTCAGCCTTCTGATCAGGTACCTACCAATATGGAAAGTGACGTCCCGATAAAACAAGATATTGCTCCTAGCCCTCCTGGACCCGATGTCTTGGAAGAGCAGGACATCGAAGCCAGTCAAGCACTCGCCGATGCATATCGCCGGGTTGGCGACTCTAGTCTTTATCTTCTATATGCAAAAGAAATGGGCGCGGTTGCCGTCATATTAGTTATTTCTGCATCAATTGGCTTTTGTTTCTTCAGCAGATTCCCAAATATCTGGCTCGAGTGGTGGTCCGAAGCAGAAGTTCAGGACCCAGAAAAAAGCAGCACCCGATACATCGCTGGCTATGCAGGCTTTGGAGTCTCATCGACTGTCTGCTTCTTTCTTCTCTACTGGATTTTCATGGTTGAATCCGTGCCTCGCACTTCAGTTCGTTTACACAGAAGGCTACTGAAGGCTGTCACTGCAGCCCCTCTCGCATCTCTTGTTTCAATTGATACCGGAGTTATATTAAATCGTTTCAGTCAAGATATGTCTTTGATTGATATGAGACTCCCAGGCGCAATGATACAGACACTAGACGGTGTTCTTGATGCGATTGCTGAAGTTGTGCTGATCGCGCAATCATCCCCATGGACCGCATTGACCTTTCCTCCTATCTTCTTGATTCTTTATATTTTACAGAAGTTCTATCTACGTACCTCACGCCAGATTCGATACTTGGATCTTGAAGCCAAATCGCCCCTTTTCTCCAGCTTCCTCGAGACGTGCGATGGGATTGCTACAATCAGGGGATTTGGCTGGCAAGAAAATTTCCGTCAGCTTAACATGCACCTTACCGACGAGTCGCAGAAACCATTCTATCTCATGTACTCCATTCAATGCTGGTTGACGCTTGTCTTGAACCTGGTGGTGATGGGAATCGTCGTCGTGCTTGTCGTTTTGGCAATTGAACTGCGCAACACATCCGGCGGTGCTCTTGGTGTTGCGCTCAACAATGTTTCCGCTATCAGCGCGACGTTGGCATACGTTATTGAAGCCTGGACTTCGCTCGAAACCTCAATAGGGGCATTGGCTCGACTGAAATCTTTCGAATCCGAAACGCCGTCCGAACACCTTCTTCAGGAGTGCTATTCTCCCACAAGTGCTTGGCCCTCTGAAGGAAGAATTCAATTCGTCGATATTGCACTAAGCTACCGGTAAGTCGAAGTGGCCACGTTCTTTAACCCTGTATCTTACCCTAACATAGTACTTAGGACCGAGTCGGATCCTGTAATCCAGGGAATCAATCTAACGATACCTCCCGGTGCGAAGATAGGCATTTGTGGGCGCTCAGGAAGGTATGTTTAGGTCCTTAGCTTAAGCAAAATAGCCGCTGTCTCTAAGTAATCTATAGTGGCAAAAGCTCCCTGATATTAGGCTTACTGCGACTGAACGAGATCACGAGAGGAAGAATCCTAATCGACAACCTCGACATCAGCCAGCTTCCTCGAGAGACAATTCGACGAAAACTCGCCGCGCTACCCCAAGATCCACTGATCTTGCCTGGTTCAATTCGTATAAATCTTGATCCTTTGCAACATCATACTGACGAGGCCATAATGTCTGCACTTTCGCGGGTCGGAATGGTAAACTGGGTATTATCCAAAGACGCGGGCTTAGACTGTCTCATTCAGAAGGAAACACTTTCTGCCGGCCAGCAGCAACTGATTACTTTTGCGCGAATCTTGTTGAAGCCGAAGCCGTCTCCCATTCTACTCCTCGACGAAGCTACTTCGATGGTAGACGTGCAGACGGAAGCCACGATGATGAAATTGATCCGAGAGCAATTCCAAGACAGTACAGTCATCGCAGTGGCCCATCGACTGAACACAATTGTAGACTTTGATCTCGTGTTAGTCATGGACAACGGGGCCATTGTCGAATCCGGGAGACCCGCTGAGCTTCTTCAGAACCCGGACAGTTGGTTTAGTGGTTTATGGGTCAAACAAGTCCAGGATGGTGCTCGGAGTGTTACTGAGATTAGGTCCTAGTCTTAATATTATTGACATTGTATTCAAGATGACACTCCGGACCCTTCAGACTGGCTTATCATCCTCCCCTTTGACAGATTCGTATGTCCCTCTCCCGAAGGTCGGACTCATTAAAAGGGGTCATAGGTTGGTATATGCTTCGCGATGCGATTGGGGAGTGCGGGTCATCCATAACTGTATCATTGGGGGCGTGGGAAACAGACCGTCCCACCTGAGGCTCAACCGTAATCCGGTCGCCATGACAAGAAGAGACTGGGATTTAATCGCGAACTTCTCGAGGCTTCAGATCACTGCCAACCGGTGTGTCCTTTTTGACAGAGTAATGACTACTCTCCCTCGTGAAACTTCAAGCACGAAGAGAAGAAGCCTTCAGTTTCAGTCATATCTGGTATTCGGTGCTTGAGAAATGGGCGGTCCAATCGAAAACAGGGTTTTATGAGTACGTGTCGTCCGCATGAATTAACTGTGACGAAAAATCTGGATCTGTCGGAGGTGCGACTTGGGACAGGTTGCAAAAGTCTTTCACAAAGATTTATGCATCTTCGACGATGCCTTTCTTAATCTCTTTGATGATAACCGTTATCACTCCGATATTGCCCGCACTGTCTATATGTCCATCAAGATAACTTTGCTCGTGAAACTCTCATTGAATCGCTAAACTGCCGTTCTGCTTGGCGAGCGTCTCTGTAGACCTCTCTCCTAATAGGTTCTCTTTGTTTGATTTCGGTAGTGGAACACACTTATCTGAACTTCCCGCCATATACATATGTACGCTGTAGGTTAAAGATAGTGATTTCAACGTTAGCGATGCCACTATGTACTTAGTGACACGTGCAACCTTGGAAGTTACATACCGCTATAATACTACATATTGTAGTGGGGGACATAGTGCTCACTACGTATTAGCCTTGCCTGCCCTTCCTTTCTTTTTGCAGTTTTGTTATGTAAGCATTGAGATACAGAGGTTATGAAGTAGCAGATAGTTACAGATTGGCAACACACTCTCCTACACCTCTCTGAATTCACTTCTTGGACTGCCGTCCCAGTTCTCTTTGTATGCCTCAGTTGGTATGACGCTGAATTACGAGTGCTGAATCGACCTGTATGCCAGAGAGCATACTGCCTAGAGCGTTCCCCTCTTCAATGTGTACTAGGCTATGTAGTATGTAATGCCCCGATAAAATACTGCCCCGCCCCCGCTCCCGGGATGCCGAACCGCCCTGTGGATACTGCCGGCCCCGGTACGTACCGCCCTTGGGGTATAAAGCGAAGCCTCTGCCCCAGAAACCTCTTCTTCTTTTTCCCCAGCTTTTCTTTGCCTTCTGGCTTGGATCAAGTGTAGTACCTGTTCTTACCAGTTTAACAGTTTAATCGCTGGTAGTCCTGCCACCACAGGACACCCTGATTATTCTAGTATTTGGACCTCGCAACTTGGCCTCTGTGCTTGCATACACCTCGTTGCACTGTGTCACTGGGCTTACACTGCCCCCAGTCGACGCGAACCCTCTCCTTTTTTCATCAATTATTCGGCTTGCCCGGGTGTTTGGAGAAGAAAGCTTGTGGAAGTGCCATCATACGTAGAACCCCATTTGCCTCTCTTGTTGATGTGCGATCATCAATCAGTAAGTATCTTGTCTCTCCCGTCGACTCTTGTCTCTCCCGTCGACTCTTGTCTCTCCCGTCGACTCTTGTCTCTCCCGTCGACTCTTGTCTCTCCCGTCGACTCTTGTCTCTCCCGTCGATGCGTCATCGTCAACCTACGAGTACCTCTGCCATGACACGCTAACCAGCTATGCGCTAACCAGCTATGCGAACCACCTAGGCAGTTGTCACACTTACAAGCAGCTTCACATACGTACCCCTATCCTTCAACGGTCACTCCCATGCCTATCCTTTGGCTCACTACACACCGTCAGAAATCCACGCCTCGACACGGCCAGTGCCTCTTCTTCGACGCACATCTCAATCCGCCGAAGACAACTTCTTTTCACGGTCCACCACGCTCAAGTGCGATTTCAACACTCGTGACCCTCACTTTTTCAAGCTCCTTATAGGCCAATATGCCCAGCATGATTCCAAAACTGTGACAGTTCCAGAGTGGACTCAAGTCTCTCGCCACCTCTCGTATGTCCACGCTACAATTCATGGGTCTATTAAACCCTGCATCAGCACCGTGCCAGACGATCACGTCGCTTACCAGAGTCTTCATAGGACCTTCACGGCTCACCTTACAACACAGGCTTCGAGAAGATCTAAAACTCTTGCCCCTGCCCCCGGCCCCAAGATCAATGTTGAGAAGAAGCTGAGTCTTGTACTTGGCATTATACCCTCGGGTCCAGCACCAGTGAAAATAGCCCAAGTTCATTGGCGTTATCTGCCATAGACTGGCTGGCGTATGCAGACCACCATAGAGCACAGGAGGCAGTCTCCGTTGACAGCCATGATTAGACTCCCCGTGAATTACCTGTGTCTCATATCCAACTTGTCATAGCTTCTTCCCTTTGATTCATTAGTTCCAATGTCAGAGATCTTGCACCACATTCTTTCTGGTATACATTATTCCTGCCCTTTCAAATTGGTTAACTACATATGTAACGCTGTTTTCAACGACTCCCTTCTCAAATACATAACCTGTTTAATAACCTAGATTTAACCGCGAGAATCTCCATGGGTTAATGTTAGTGGGATGTCGGATTCCACAGCCTAGAACCTAGCTTTCTCGACTCTTCAATTGACTCATATTGCACCATGCACTTTGACTTCTCCCACATAGTAGACCTATCCTAACAAGATGACGTTTAATATGTTTTTCAAGATATCTTTCTATGCGGTCTATCCTTCCTTGATATTATATTTGAAGTACACACTACAATATCCTGTTGAATGCCTCCTCCCATTCTGGGCTTTATAGCTGGAAAGCTGGAAAGGTGGCTAAAATCATAACACGTACAGATGACTTTTCTATGTACATATAGCCAGGAATTTGTGCATTGTGGAACAGACTCAACCCGTGAATGCGGGCGTGAATATGAAGACGATTATTGTATGGTCTATACCTGAGGCTAGACAAGGTTATGTGAGGATTGTGTAGGTTACCAAGGGGATGCCATAGTAAAATACACAGTCAGTGACAAAGGCTGTCCAGATAGCATTTAGACAGTGAATGCAATAGTAATTCTCTGTATCCTAGTAACCTTGGAACCCTTCCAAGCCTACCAACACTACTACCCAGTGTTAGTCCACCCCAGCGAATACCAGATTGTCACAAAACATAAAATCTAGAGATTAGGCATATTTTGTATGACTCGCCTGTACAAATAACACTTACCAACACTAGGTAATAGCGTTGGCCCTTGGCACGGTGTTCCAGAAGACCTTGGTTGGGTGTGATGAGGATGGTTGCTTGTAAAAGCAGCACACATCAAACTATACTATATGTATGGAATGAATTGAATTTATACCAAGGCGATACTGGGAGGTATCGGCAGTTGTAAAGCTGTCTAATCTCTTCATACGTGGAATAGAAGACCATACTTATAGACTTCTTTGCCGCCTCTGTGATAAAGGCCCTCATTTGTTGAATCTGAAACGGAATCAGAAAGAAGGACAACAATGCCAGATCCCATTGACTGAAAGCAGCCTAGACTAAGATGTTTGCCTACGGTACAAAGACGACGCAATTTATAAGTAGAGAGAAAGGCGCAAGCGGACTGGATCGACAATGTTAATCTCGCTCATCTTGCTGCCATAAATGGTCCAGATTCTTGGCAAGTTGGAATGTCGGCCTACTAGAGCTAGCTTTGAAATCTCGATTCCATATTTATTATTGATCCTGTGAATTAACTAGGACTCTCAACAGCTTAGCTTGTATGAATAATCATTTGCCTAAGTGGGCATCCTTTGTGAATAGCCAACCGCTTTGGAGAGGCCTCCAGATCTGTCACAGCGGCTACTATGCGTTTCTACGAATACCAACACGATCTATGGATTCGTATGAATACAACTTGGGTGACACGTGCCCATTGCCAGCGCGTGCCCATCCCCCACGTGCCCGTTACCCGCGCACCTGCCCGTTACCGGCAAATACTGCCCGGTATTCCGCCCCGGGATCGGCACCACCTCGGGGGTATAAAACGAGGCCCCCCCCCAGAACCTCTTCCCCTTTGGGCTTAGACGGCATGAGATCAATCAAGTGGAGTATAACCCTTTATCCTCCCCCTTTGATTACAGGTAGTTCTGATGTATAGTTTGCCGCGGACTTGCTCACCAGAACTACCTGACCATTCTAATATTTGGACCTCGCGACTTGGCCTCTGTGCTTGCATATGCCTTGTTGCACTGTGTCACTGGGCTTGCACTACCCCCAGTTGACGCGACTCCTTTTTTCATCAACTACTCGGCTTGCCCGGGTCTTTGGAGAAGAAAGTTTGTTTGATTCCAGTCTAGTCTCTCAAGGCTATGTAGCTTCTTGGCTTTCTTCTCTTCAGTCGACTTGCATTGTACCATGCACTTTGACGTGTCCCACATAGTACGCCTCTCCTAGCAAGATGCCTTTGAAGCTGTTGTTAGATGTCAAACTCCGTAATCTAAGGACTTGGATTTATCAAGAATAAACCATGCATCTCACGTCCCTGTAGGCCTTTCTTTAAAAGAAGTCTTTCAATATGCTGCCTCTCTCATTGATGTCACGCTTAAAATAAAGTGATTTGTGTATTGTAGAACGAACCCATCCCATGCACACGGGTGGGGTTGGAAGCTACGGAGTACATATACATACACCTCTACGAATGCGAACGAATACGAGCGGGGGTGCACGTGCCCGTTACCCGTCCACCCCGTGTTCCGCCCGAGCCGAGCGGCAACCAGCGCACGTGCCCATCGCGAGCGCGTACCTGGTTACCGGCAAATACTGCCCGGTATTCGGCCCCGGGATTGGCACCGCCTTTGGGGTATAAAACGATGTCTCGGACCCCAGAACTTCTTCCTCTTCTTCCCTCTCTTCCCCAGCTTTTCTTTGCCTTCTGGCTTGGATCAAGTGTAGTACCTGTTCTTACCAGTTTAATCGCTGGTAGTCCTGCCACCACAGGACACCCTGATTATTCTAGTATTTGGACCTCGCAACTTGGCCTCTGTGCTTGCATCCACCTCATTGCACTGTGTCACTGGGCTTACACTGCCGCCGGTCGACGCGACTTCTTTTTTCATTAAATATTCGGCTTGTCCGGGTGTTTGGAGAAGAAAGCTGTCGTCCAAAAGCTCTTTGGTCACATTGTTGTCGTGGAGTTCCGCTATGTCAACAGACATATTATGCTGTCTCGACCCTCTACCTGTTGGCTTATCTTTCCAGGTTCTCGACTGGATGATACAATTGCCAGGATGATCTGTTTACTGATTGTCTAGACTTCTTGATCTCGATCTCCATGTCCCATCGTTCGACCTCATCTTCTAGGACCCATAGGTCGTCTGATACCAAAGACCTGGTTTCTGCGTATGGGGTTATCCTACCCCCGATCAACGCGACCCTTCTTCATCGGAAGCAAGTTGTCACTAGGTCGCATCCTAGGTAGACATTGCAGATCACGATATACTTCGCTTGGACCCACTTTGTCGATAGGGAATATTCCTACCTGGTCGCAATCGTCGTCCGTCAAAGCTTTCACGTGCCATTCCAACTCTGGTTCATCCTCCGTCATTTCCACGGTCCATTTCCTTCTTGGATTCCAAGGTTCTTCCAAAGTTCTTTTGATTCTTCGCGTGTTCTTCATACCAAACATGCTTCGAGCCAAGCGCCAAAACACTCAGCCTTTGGAGGATTCCTCCGTGGCCCCCGAAACATTCACCGACAGCCTCCCACTCCCAAAGCTGATCGCTTTCGACCTGGACTACACCTTGTGGCCGTTCTGGGTCGACACACATGTCAGCGCCCCTGTCAAGGCACGCGACAATAACTCCCGTGCCGTAGACCGGTACGACGAATCCCCCGATTGACATTTGATCCTTTTGAAACCGAGTTCTAACCCCGCATTCCTTGTCTCAAATAGATGGGGAGAGTCCTTCGCCTTCTATCCAGCAGTCTCGTCCATAGTCTACGCCTGCAAACATCGCTCGATTCCACTGGCTCTCGCATCCCGAACCCAAACCCCAGATCTGGCGCGTGACATGCTCAAATCCCTACATATCATCCCCACCTTCTCCGATAACCCCGCCGCGAACGCTAAGACCATCCGCGCCCTCGATTACTTTGATTTTATCCAGATCTTCCCCGGGAATAAGACATCGCATTTCTCGAAAATTCAGCAGACGAGCAGTGTGGCTTATGAGGATATGCTGTTCTTCGATGATGAGGCGCGGAACCGGAACGTCGAGACGGAGTTGGGTGTCACATTTTGCTTGGTGCGCGATGGGATGACCAGGGAAGAGGTCGACCGGGGCGTTCGAGCTTGGAGAAAGCGCAATGGTATCAAGCCAGAGACCGCTGAGGAATCATGAGCTCCATTGGGTGTCTTATCCGATCCTACATTGGGGGTGTTGCGCTTTAGACTTGGTTTTCGATATTAGATACCCCGGCTCGGAATATATGACGAATGCATTTTCCTACACTATACATTTCAATGTCAAGTTGAATAGTAACATTTGAAACTATATTGTATACTTCGAATCGTCTATCTATGGATGGATTCATGCTGGCGTTTTATCGAGCTGACTAAGAGACGTACCCCAAAAAGCGGCGCCAGCTAGCTCCAAAACAGGAGCACCCTGCTATCATAGATCTCTACAAAGACACCGTCTCCAACACAAACCACCAAAATGGCGACCCTCAAACCTCCAACAAATACCCACCGCTCCTCATCCTCCTCCCACAGCTCCGGCCCACCAAAAGCCCCCCTAAAAGCCGACCTAACAGCCACAATCGCCGACACCGTCGTCTTCCAAGGCCGATACCCCGTCACCATCGGCGCAGGGACAGTCATTCACCCGCGCGCAAAATTCTACGCATACGAGGGCCCAATCGTCGTTGAGGATGGCTGTATAATCTGCGAGAAAGTGGTGATCGGCGCTCCACCGAGTTCATCTCGCTCGCCGTCACCGTCTAGATCAGCAAGCCCATCCCCAAGCACAACACCCACCGAGTCTGGGACGTCGACGCCCGAGCCTAGGAAAGAGATATCGACGCGGATCTCATACTTCGTTACTGTTGGTCCGTTGGCGACGGTCGAACCCGGTGCTCATATTCATTCTTCTGCTACGATCGAGGCTCTGGCGACGATTCGCCGGGGCGCGGATATCGGTGCGCACTCGAAGGTGTGTTCCGGGTGTGAAATTGCCGCCGGCGGATCTGTCGCTGAGTGGGTTGTTGTATATGGGAAAGGACCTGGGATGCGGAGGAAGAGAGCTCGTGGTGTCAAGGGGATGAGTCCGGCTGTTGTGGGTGCGGCGCAGGTTGCGCAGACGCCTCTGCCTGGTCCTGCGCCGGCGGGTAAGGTTATTGAGGATGCGAGGTTGATGGTCCTCCAGAAGGAGAGGGAGGTACTTGGGAGAATGCTTGTTCCTGCTGCTGGAGGGAGAAAGAAGTGATGTTTTTTTCTCGTTTTGAACTTATGTTCTTCTGTGTCAGACCAGATTTGGTTTCTTGCATATATTCGTGTCTTCTAGCAGCTTATACCCCAGTTTTCGTTTACAGTGGTTAGTCTATCGTGGGTGGTTACAAGGATAATGCACGAGATACCTTGCAATTGAACTCTAGTATCAATTGAAAGTAGGAATAGAAACCCGTAGGAACGCCACACATTCAGTAGATACAAGACAAAAGAAACAAAACTGCTTTCTGGATAGCAGGTTAAAACATGAGAAGCAATGCGCCATATGGCATAAGCAGATCTAGAAACCCATCCATGAACGGGTCCACGCCGCATTTGTCAATGAAATCGAGAATACATTAATTGAATGGAAAAAGACAAACGAGGATTTCTGCTCAAGAAGAGCCTCCACCACGAGGCTGGGGCCCACCACCACCTCTCTGTCTCTTTCCACCACTTCCACCTTCGGTGGTAGTGTCGGGGCCGTCATCACGAGAACGCTTGTTGCCCCCAGGAATGAACTGACGGGCCGAAGCACTCAGGTTCCCACGGTTGGCAGTAGGGCTCTGAGCCTGGGCGACGTTACTTTGATTTTGGTTACCACCGCGGCCTTGTCCACCACGACCGCCACGACCTCGCTGGAGGCCCGGGCCGCGCTGGTTTTGGCTCTGGCCATGACCTTGACCTTGCTGCTGCTGTTGATCATGTTGTTGATGGCCGAATTGCTGGCCACCACCACGTCCGCCACGTCCGCCTCGTGCAATAGGAAGCCCGGATTGAAGAGCTCGCATCAGACCAGGTGGGTTTCCAGCGGGAGGTTTGCTGGGAAGAGTAGGGGCCGGCTGGTTTTGATCGGTTTGCTGAACTTGGCCGAAGGGATTGGCTGGCGCTGTGGGCTGTGCCTCGCCTTTCTGGGGGGCAGCGGGTTCGGAAGGTGCAGTGGGAGGCGCGACTTCCTGCGTTGGAACATTCGGGGCTGCTACAACAGGGACAGAGGCAGGGGCAGGGGCCGATGCAGGGACTGGGGCCGAGGGAGCTGTAACTGGGACTTGCGGCGCAGCTAGAGTTGGAGCGGGAGCAACGGGTTGGACTGGGATTGCTGCTGGTACGGGCGGCTTAGCAGCCGGAACCGCGACCGGTGCAGGCCGGGCAGTCTTTGCAATTTCCCATACTTCCACAACGGGCCTTTGAGGAGTTTCCGTGGCAGCCTTTGATACAACATCAAGCTTGGCATTCGCAGTTCGGAATCTGGTGTCGAGCATGCTGAGACGGGCAGCGGTTTTCTTTTCGACGAGTTCGACCGCTGAGCTGACCTTCTCCTTGATTTCATTCTCATGGGCCTTGACCAAGGCCTCCCTTTCCTCGGTGGACTTCTGTTGCAGTCCAGTCAATGCGGCTTCAGTAGCACTGGAGGAGGCTTGGGCTTCTTGTTGGAGCTTTTGTTGCTCGCGTGCCACTTGACCACGGATGTTGTTTCGGACGATTGTGCGAATAGTCTCATGCTTCGCGACCAGCTCTCTTGCTTGAGCATCTGTCAACTCGGGAATAGTAAATCCGGCAAGCTCAAACGTCTTTGACGGAGTTGCAGGGGTTGCATCTGGGCCCGCACCCGGTGTTCCAGGTACGGATTGTTCACCGGCGGACAGTTTCTCAATTTCTTGACGATGAGCAGCCTTGACCTCGTTCAGCTTAGAGTTGTACATATCCTTAAGGCGGTCGGCACGTTCCTTGATCTTCGCATCTTGTTCGCTGACCTGTGCCGCCAGAAGTCCATCCTTCTCTGCAAGAGCTGCCTCGAGACGCTGGATCTTCTGCTCAAGGGCTTGTATCTTTTGAGCGTCACCAGGACCAGGGATTTCGACAGTCGCGGTTGGGAATTGTGAAGCCGGGGTAGCGTTGACGGGGACTTCTTCTTCTGCAGCAGGAGCACGAGCAGGAGCAGGAGACACATTGGCTGGCGCCTCTCCCACCTTGATCTTCAGTGCCTCCAATTCATTCTTTGTAGTCTGAAGTTCCGCTTGGATGACCTCCTTCTCCTGCAAGGACGCATTGAGCTCGTCTTGCTTGGCTTTGACACGCGCGCTAAGGTCCTTAGAGCGTGCCTTGAATTGCTCTGTGAGCTTGGATCGTAAATCTTGTGCACGTTCATCGGAATGCTGCTTGAGTTGCTCTGGGAACTCGGCGATTTGAGCCTGAAGGGACTCCATCTGAGTCTGGAGAGCTTCCCGCTCGGACACGGCCTCTGTCTTTTCGTTCTCAAGGCTCGTGAGCTTCTCCTTCAGCTCTTGCATTTCAGTAGGATCGACACGATCGTACTTTTGAAGGATGTTCTGAATACGTTGTTGGTATCGGTCGCGATCGGCCTGTAGAAGCTGCATTTCTCCATCCTTGGCTTCACTCTGGCTCTCCAACTCGTGGATTTTGGTCTTGAGGGGTTCGATCTCCTGAACTAGCTCATTCTCGCGAGCGATCTTTTGATCACGCACGGCCTCGGTTTGTTTCAGTTGGTTTCTGAGAGTAGCGTTGCTCTCACGGAAAACGTTGAGCTCGTTGATAGTCTCCAACAGCTTGCTGTGATTCAACGCGTTGTGATCGCTGTCGGCCGCAGCACGGCGCTGCTGCTCGAGCTTGAGGCGGGTCTCATCAAGCTGCGACTGAGTGTAGTCGAGTTGCTGGTTGAGTCGCTTGCTTTCCTGGGTTGAAAGGTGGTATTGAACCTCGACAATTTCTTTCTCGCGACGCAAGAATTTGATAACCTCCTGTAGGCCTTCGAGATTAGGGGCGGCCTGGTCTCCCTCTGTCTCATCGTCCGAAACATTCATTCGGTCCCGCTGCAAGGACGAAATCTGGCTGGTGATATTTTCGAGCTGGGTGTGAAGCACAGAATTCTGGTGAAGAACCTCCTCCCGACGCTTGTGCAGTTCAGAGAGCTCGCCCTCGTACGTGGCACGTTGCTCCGCCCAGCTTTCCTCCTTCTGAGACAGATCCGTTTTGTAGCCTTCGGATTGGGTTCGCAGCTCAGCGATGTCGAGCCTGAGCTGGTTGCTCTCTGCACGAACAACCTGTAGATTCTTCGCTGCCTCGGCGTGCTTAACAAGCTCGGTCTCGTAGTTCTGTTGGGCATGCTTGGCGATTTCGGCCTGCGCGTTCAGGTCCTCCTGATGGTACTGCGCAGCAGTGACATGTCGTTCGTTGTCGGCCTTGAGACGAGTAATATCCGACTCGAAGTTGGCCTTCTGCTCTTCCAGACGGCGCGTTGCCTCCGCTTGCTCTTCGCGGAGCTTGGTCATTTCAGTGCTGGAGGCGGACAATTCAGCTGAGATCTCTTCAATGCGAGTTTCGAGGTCCTGGATCTTAGTATTCTTCTCCTCCACAAGACGATCGGTCTCTTCACGGTATTGCTCCTGTGTCTCGGTGGCGGACTCTAGACGTTCTTCACTGGCTTGGCTGATGGCCTGGTAGTCTTCAGCCAGTTGTTTGGCGTGTTCTAGTTCACCCTTCACCAATTCCAGGTCCCGTTTCAGTTCGGAAACTTCAATTGAAAGTTCCTGCTCCCGAGAAAGTCCGCTTCCTTCACCAGGCTCCTGACCCTCAGTAGGTCCCTCGGTGGTACCGGCAGACACGCTTGGTCGCGAGTTCAAGACCTGAAGACGCTCTTCGGCACTCTTGAGCTCAACTGCAAGCTCATCTACACGGGACTGCAAGTGATCCCGGGTGGTCTTGGCGGCAACCAGCTCTTCGCGGACTGAGCCCAAGCTAGTGACCAGATCATCAATTCGTTTTTGCGATGTCTCCTGCTCATACTCCCGGCGCATGCTAGCCTTTTTGGATTCCTCCACTTCATCATTGAGCTTGCGCTTTGTCGATTGCAGTTCGGTTTCGAGTGACTCGACGCTAGCTTGGAGTCGGCGTCGGCTCTCGGAGTCGGTGTGTTCACGCTCGTTGAGAATAGTTTGGAGGTTTGCGTTCAATGAGTCCAGACGACTGCGCTCGTTCCGCAAATTCTCGGTATCATCAATGAGCCTCTTCTCAATATTCTTCCAAAGCTCCTTCTCGGCCTTCAGGTTGGCACTTTCTCTCTGAAGGCTCTCAACAAGACCCTTGGCCTCCACGAGGTCTTCAGCAGCTTGCTGGGTGCGCAGATCCTGTCGGTTTGCATTTTCGAAGAGAGCAGAATAGCGCTTTTGGATCTCGGTATTCTCATTCTTGAGCATATTGAAGTTACTCTGCAAAAGCTCCGCACGTTGGGAAGCAGCAGCAAGCTGGCTGCTTGACCGACTGATATCAGACATAAGCTCACTGTTCTTACGGGACAGCTCATTGACCTGCTGCCGCAGTGCTTTGTGGTCTGTCGTCGTTTCTTCACGGAAAGTGTCGAAATGGGCTTGAACCTTGCGGAGCAACTCAGCGTAGTCAGGTCCTGATGTATCCATGGCTCCCTGAGGAGCAGCACCAAGAGGCATGGATTGTGAGAAGACAGACTGGTCGTCGACGGTTGGCTTTCTGTGCATAAGCATACTGCGGAATGTGTCGCGCTCCTTGACGTAACTCTGCATCTGTGCGCTGAGGTTCGCAATCTCATCACGGTTTGTCTGCGCACGGATACGCAATTCCTTCAGCTCGTCGATTTCTGCCCGTCGAGTAGCTTCCTTGGCTTGCGCCTCTTCGCCCTCCTGCTTGTCACCAAGCTCTCTCAACATTCGTCGGAGAGTGTGATTCTGATCCTGGAGTTCGTGAAGATCCTTGAAAGTTGTAAGGTGCTTGCTGATAAAGCGGCCAGTTTCATTGAGATCCTTTGCCGACTCTTCCACTTCACCCCGAGCAATTTTCTCGAGCTCCTCGCGGTCGTATTCTTCGCCATGTTTGGCAACAGCAACCTCAAGGACGAGAACCTTGACTTCCGCACTCAGATCGCGGAGTTGCTGGCGTAGAATGTCGCCCTCGCGAGCCAAGCCCTCGACTTGACCTTGCCATTTTCTGGATTCCTTAAGGGCGGTGTCCCGTTCCTTTCCGGCTGCTTCGAGGAGAGTAGACATTTCCACAACAGCATGATCGAGACGAGTTTGTTCTGCTCGTCCCTCCTCAATTTCGGGTCTGGTCGAATCAAGTTCAAGAACCATCTCGTCAACGGTATTGCGGAGTTCCTGGCAGGTTCTCTGCTCAGCTGCAAGAGCGGTGCGCATTCTGTCGTACTCGGAGTACATCTGCGTGACATTCATACCACCCTTACCGCGAGATGCGCGGGGGAGAACGAGCCAGTGGGAGTGCCAGCACGCATGATACTTGATCGTAGAGGTGTACTGGGTGCACCTCCATTAATAGAGACAGCGGGGCTTGCTGATCTTCCTCTGGCAGGTTCGGACTCAAGCTGGGCAACAAGTGCCTCGAGCTCGCCAATTCGGCGCTCCGCAGCTCCCTTATCGTTGGACTCCGTCTCAAGCTCCACACGGAGACGTGAGATTTCCTGCGCTGCATCATCCTTTGTCTTTTCGAGAGCAAGTTGGCATTCTTGCACCCGTTGCTTGGCGGTCTGGGCAGCAGATCCTTGTAGCTCGGCCAATCGATTGGAGCTGTCAAGTTCGATGCGGAATGACTCGGTTGCCTGGATGGCTTCCTCCTTCAACTGATGAATGCTAGCCAGAGAGGTTTCGTATCGCTGCTCTGTTTCGTCCAGGCGACTCTTGAGGGAGTTCTCACTTCGTCGAAGAGAGTCAATTGTCGAGTTTGCTTCTTCAGTGTCACGCTGAAGCTCCGAGATCCGAGCTCCCTTTTCTTTGCGGAACTTGATGTATTCAGCGGATTTTGTCTTAAGTTCGGTCTCGAACCATTCGTTGTTCTTTTTGGTGAGATCCAGTTCTTGTTGAAGACTCTGCTCGCGGAAGCGGGCGCTAGCAGAGGCCGCATTGGCACTCTGGAGACTTTGCTCCGCGGTGGAGAGTTCACGTCGTAATTCGATGGTCTTCTTGTGCTGGAGCGAAAGCTCCTCTGCCAATTTATCATAGGCCGCAGATTTCGATTCGAGCAAGCCCAGTGTGTCTCTGTTGGATGCCTCCAGAGATGCGATACGCGCCTTCAAAGATGTGGTTTCGGATTCATTAGACGTGGACGAGGATTTCAGTGTAGAGATCTCTGTTTCGAGTGAGGAACGGGTAGTTTCTATTCAATGTTAGAAAAGAGCTCATCAGTACCAAAAAAAGACAGATATATATACCAGCTTCGTGCAGCTTTTTCCTCAGATCTGCGACCTCCGCGTGTCCCTTCTCCACACTGGCTTTCAGAACCTTGACCTTCGACTCATTGCTGCGCACAGAATTCTCAAGCTCTACCTCCAAGCGAAGCTTGTCGGACTTAAGCTCGTCAAATTCATGAGCCTTTTTATTGATTGATTCTAAAAGTTGATTGACAAGCTCCACAGTCGGGGCCTGCCTTAAGGTCGTGAGCGTCGATTCGGGAAGCGCATAGTGAGAGGATAGGTAGGGTAGTTGAATGGCAGTTTCCGCCATGTTGTCGAACGAGCAACAGCACAGAGCTGTCGTGGCGGAGAAATCAAGAAAAGTAAGTATGAGCGGCGCAAGCTAGAGCTGGGTCCTCGAGGACGGGCGCGCCGTGTACTGTTCAGAGACAACTACACACAGCGCTGGCCGAGGGACCTCAGGTCATGACGATGTGAACAAAAGAGATGTGTGTCTTTTGAGGGGAGACGAAGAATTGAACGAAATGGTAATTGGAAGAACTGGTGGTGAGGTGACTTCAAGGGTGTCTGAGATCCATTTCCGCGCTTTGGGTTGAGCTCTAGGCACGTGACATTCTTTGTCTGGCCAATCTTTTAATAGCCACTCTCCTCGAAGCTTCACTGCTTGGCTAGGCTGTCCTCATTCTTTACCAAGGTCTTTTCAAAGGTCTTTTCCGGTGTCTTCTCGGGTGTGTTGTCTTCTTTTCTTTCAGACAACACTCACAGTACCTATGCCAAACCCAGTTTGAATCCTCCAGCTCGATCCAGGCAAACCAAGTGGTTGTCATCTCAGCTCCCCTTCATTCTTCTCTTGAGTCTCAGCGATATCCGAATCTTGTCGCAACCATGTCGTACCTTCAGAACCAGCTCAAAAGCTTCAACGCTAGTGTCGTGGAGTCGGCAAACCGCATGCCCACGCAGCGACGTGTGGTCAGCAACCAACCGGTCTCTGCCAGCAGTTCCCAGGTCCCATCATCCGCACCGACCCCGTCATCCTCTACCGAGATCAAAAAGAAGCGTCATGACCCGGACATCGTCTACTCTCAGCCGGCCAACACAGGCACGGGCAAAGATATTATGACGCAAGTGCTGTTCGCGATCGAGCACATGAAGAACAAGAACATTCCGCTCAGGTTCTCGGATATCATCTCATACCTCTCACTCCAGCATCGTGCTCATGACCTGGGCTACGTGCAGGCTCTTCGGAGCATTCTGCAGATGCACGAGAAGGTTGAGTTTGACCCGAGCGGCGCGAACGGCGAGGGCACATTCAGGTTCCGCCCACCTCACAACATCCGCAACGCAGAGCAACTCCTGAAATACCTCCAGGCCCAGACTACTGCGGCGGGTATGAGTGTTCGCGAACTCAGGGAGGGCTGGCCCACTGTCGAAGAGGAAATCAACCAAATGGAGAAGGAGGGAAAACTGCTCGTGACTCGAAACAAGAAGGATGACCATCCCAAGATGGTGTGGCCTAACGACCCGTCCCTAATCGAACACTTCGACGATGAGTTCAAGCAGATTTGGGACAAGATCAAAGTTCCCGATGTGAATGTAGTGAAGGAAGAATTGGACAAGTTCGGCATCACACCCACCAACAAGAACAAGGTGCTCGGTCCCCGGGTCATCGCACCGTCTAAGAAGTCCAAGAAGCCACGCCGAAGTGGCAAGACCACCAATACTCACATGACGAGCATTCTCAGGGACTACTCGCATCTCAAACGATAAGTGAGTTGTTCAATTATGCAGCAAGGGTCTCACTTTACTCGTTGCCACACCAGAAGTTGCTTTGATATTATCATTGCGTTGCATTGCTTTGGGCGTTTGGGGGAAAATGCATGCCGCCTCATTCTCGCCGCATGGAAACTCATTTCTTATTTTTTTACACTTGCTTCGACAGCATTGACATTTGTACACTACACGCAGAAAATGATAGATACCCAATGAAACAAATTAATCGATTCCTCACAACCCCAGCTACCTACCTATATACCAGGGTTCTTATGTGCAGCCAGTCAGTCCAGCTTCTCATCGAAGACGCAAGTCTAACTATATGCATCAATTCGTCTAAAAAAAAGGTATCCAAGAGAAGGCGTAGTGATGTACAAGGTACCCAAAAGCACACGACCCAACAAAAGCGACCTGAACATAACAACCCGTAGATCAAATGCAAGCCCACCGATCAATGCTTCCCATTCGCAGCAGCACCAGTACCCTCAACACGATCCAAATACAGCACCAAATCCTCAATAGTACACACCTTAATACCCCACTTCTTTCCAAATTGCAAACACCCATCCCGACGCATCATACCATTATTCCCCCCAATCTCCGCAACGCCCTCAACAATCTCCCCATCCTCAACAAGCTCAGCAATAACACCAGCCGGCGCCTTTCCAGCAAGCTTACAGAAATCCACAGCAGCCTCGGTGTGACCCGTTCGCTCGCGCACGCCGCCAGGTCGCGCCTGCAGCGGGATGATATGGCCGGGCCGGCGGAAGGAATCGATTTGTGCCGTGGGCGAGGCGAGCGTGCGGCACGTCAGTGCGCGGTCCTCGGCGGATATACCTGTCGTCACGGACTCGTCGCTAGAGTCGATTGTGACTGTGTACGCTGTGCACTTCGGGTCGGCGTTCTCGGTTACCATTTGTGGGAGCGCGAGGCGGGTAGCGAGGTCCGGGGTGATGGGGGCGCATATTAAACCGCTGTGTTTTGAAATTGTCAGTAAGGCTTTCTGAATGGGATTGGGATTGGCGCATTTGTCTTCGTGGATGTGCCATTGCGGGGAAGAAGGACGGGCTTTCGGGTCTTCATAGCCGACTGTTCCTCGTCGCTGTCTTAGGTTGGGTGGCGCTCTTACCTCGTATAGCGCACCAGGAAGGCCATCTGGGCGGCTGTAATGGATTCGGCGGCGATGATTAGGTCGCCTTCGTTTTCGCGGTCTTGCGAATCGAGGACAATGATGAATTCGCCATTCTCTGTTGGTCTTCGTTAGCTGTTTGGTCGGGTCATACGGTGTCGCGAGCAGCTGGATGCACGTGGTGGGTGGTGGTGAAGGCGATTGCGTATGTGGGAACATCACTTACTAAATGCTGCAATTGTATCCTCAATTGAGTCGAATTGGTGTGCGATTTCTGTGGGGGAAGGCATTTTGATTGCTTTTTTGCCCCTCACTGCGGAATTTCGAGGATAAGTAGTTTAGAGTGTGCAGGGGTGCAGAAGATATGAGTGAGAAGAAGATGAACAATTAATCAAAAGGAAAATTCGAATTGTTCTAGAACCAAGAAACAAGAAGAATATTGGAGACTGAGTCACTGGCTGACAAGAACATTAGAAATGCCCGTGATATCGGCGCGGGGGAGCCGAATTGCGGGCCCGGCGATTGCTAAGCCTCGGAAGTCTGGAAGGGGCAACTATTGCCCTCCGAGGTCTAGGAATCTCATTAATTCCGAGTTGCTCTTGAATTGATAGCTTATTCTATAGATGGCTACCCATATATAGGTACATACCCATGTTTCTGACGCTCTAACCCACTAGAACTGGGTATGCAAATGCAGTAGTTATAATGAAACTATATCAGCCAAGCCCTCGATTCCCCATCCAACGGACCTCATCTGCCTGTCTCTCAAGCGCACGGCGCATATAATCGCCATATCGCTGCTCTCTCTCCCAATCGTCACGCCGTCTATGCCGCATCTCTTCGCGTGTAGCTTCATCGACCTCCGCATGCATGAACACATCGTCATCATTGTCAACTTCTTTCTTGTCAACCCCCATCTCATAATCCGCAGGAATGGAAAACTTGAGACGACCAATACGCTCTCCAGTCCAGATAAGGAGCTCATCTCCAGTGAGATTCCCACCAGTGGGAAGAATCTTGCGAGCTACCTCATTACTGCCCGGCGATTGGGAAGGCCAGAGCCCACGCGGCTGCTGGTCTTCTTCTGTCTGCGGGGTTGGCGGTTGGCTGCGACGACCGAATGGGATTTGAGGCTGGGAGGTATTGATATTCCAGCGCCGGACCTCTGAACGACCATTTCGCTCGGTCCACTTGATATTCCCTTCGGCGTCGGAAAAGACGATGCGATTCCCATGCGACCCCACGGAAAGTAGTCTGGAACTCGCGGCGCTTTGACGGTTCTTGTATTCTGGGTTGAAAGTGGATGTAATGTTCGAGGGGCTGTGGTCTTCTTTGGGTGCTGGTTTGAGATTATAGAGCTCCAGCGAGCCTCGTCCATTATAGTCTCCGCATGCCACGACGGAATGTGACTCTGGGTAGGTGGAGTCTGAGAAGACGGGGAATCGAGGCGCTGGTACTGAGGCAAGACCACACAGCCGACCGCCGGAGTGGATTGTGGTCTGGAGCCGAGGGAAGTAGCGGCGGTCATAACAGAGGATGCTGGGGAAGCGCCCTGCAAGGAGGATTGTATTCACATGAGGAGCTGGCGGGTGCAGGATGGAAAGAGGGCCAGGTTGGAAGAGCGGCGCGTAGTTGGCTCCTTCGTCTGAGGGTCCTGGACTGCGTATACGGGTAGGTGGCTGTCCATTGGATTGGAGTTGGAACAAGGGCGAATCGGAGTGGGCAAAGGAGCTTGGGTTAGCTACCTGCTCGCATCGCGAGCTGATTGCCTCTTCCTCCTCGACGGCCGACAGCCTGGAGTCATAGATCTGCAGACTGAGCGTAGTGGCTAGTGTCAATGGCACTGAGTAATCTGTCTCCTGAGAAAGTGCGAAAATCGACCAAGGATAGCGCTGCTGCGAAATCACTTTTAATGTCTCCAGATCGACTTCATTAAGGACATTCCCAACTGCCAGGTAGGCTCTTTGTCGCAGAGAATCAACGCTAACTCCCTCGCCCAGATTTATAAATTCCAATGAAGTCTTGGAGGGAGAATGATCTCGACGACCAGACAGGTTCGTCAGGAGAATGCCGGGTTCACTGACCCCAAGGATCTTGCCTTTACTTGCTTGGGAGTCAGCTGAGTGGGAATGATTCAGATCCCAGATGCAGACGCTGCCATCTTCAAGCGGGGCAATGATCTTGTTCTGCCTGGCTGAACTCCAGTCTTTGAGCAGCCCCATGCCTTTGACCTCATAGGACTGCCCTCGTTTTCCTTCACCCTTGCGGAACGAGGGCTGCTCGACCCAGGATAAAGATATGGGCCCGTGGCGAGCAATATATTCCGAATACCAGTCCACATGTTCCCCCTCAGCCGACGAGTCCCATTCCGCTGCTGCCCTCGCCCTCTCAGTCCAAGAGAATTCCCTAGTATCATCAGAGTCTCGGTTCGGCGGCGGGGCAGAAGGCTGAATGATATCGCGCAGCGACTCCTGCCCTAGGGTCGTCAACGAAGCAGTCGTGTCGGAAATTAGACTCTCCGGGGGTCTGGCAGCGGCGCGGGCAGCCTGCCGAGCAGCCCATGACTGGTCATAACAGTGCAATTTCCATTGATTATTATCACGGGCGATATCGAAGAACTTTTTTGATATGCATTGGAGTTGGACCTTTTCTCGTGGAGCGAGGTCTGGTTATCGCAGAGCTATCAGTTCTCGGTCGAGACGGTGCGGGGAAGATCCGGGGCTTACGGTCGATGATTTTGGACAGAATCTCTACCGGCAGCTTATCCATGGAGAGGGATCAACCGCATTGAGGGCAGTCTAAGGAGGGGAAGTCAGCCACGGGGATATCGGCCTCTTTCTTGAACAGAATTCTAGACTCTTTTTCTGTCGGCCTTTTCCCCCGCGATCTGCACTCCAGACCGTCACGTGGATTCAATTGGTATGGGATAAGGACCGGGCTAGATGCAAAATTGATTGAGTGTACGTGTAAGTATAAAAATGGTGTATCATACATTGAGTTATGGGCTTGTGATGTTTGGGGCACTGTTGAGATAACTTCAAATATTCAGAATAAACCCGGGAGACTGTTCCGGTATAGGATCCACTGGTTTTTATAGAATTTACTCTGGAGGAGAGAACATTCCGATATATTCCATAGCACAGCCACTGAGCTAAAAATGTGTGGATCGGACTGCCTTATAGGGATTCGTGCTTGATATCACATGCTATATATTGAAAAGTACTACAATCAAAAAGACGTGGCCAGGCCTCACAAGCGGCCAACTATTCTTGTCAAGCACATCAAGATAAGTTAAAAACATAGAAGCGTCTATTGCTAAAGCTATATGCATCTTGGAAATAGAAAGTATTTGAATGATATGAGGTGTATATCTTTTCCAACAGCCAAACTCCAGTCCGGCCCAATTTCCCCCGCCATCAATCAGTCATGACTCGTACATTTGAAAATAAATTATGTTGGCAAAAGGGTAAAAGAAAAAAACAGAAGATAACAGTTCACAGAGGTAGGGCAGAGAAACCCTACTCGTCCGGTCTAAAGACGGCATCTTTGCAGAGGATGGCCACCTTTTTAAAGAAACGCCGCCATTCAACCGGATCACCTTTGATTTTGACGAATTCCACTTCAAATAGCCCCTCTGAGACACACTCAATAAGCACCTTACCTTGGAGCGGACACATCCTACCATCTTTGGCAATCACCCGAATCATGGCAGAAGTATCTCCAGCACTAACAGCAGGGACACTCGGAACTGGAACCCCCAGTCGGTGAAAGGCCTCACAGATGAGAGGCACGAGAAGCTTGAGTTCCCATGCAGAATAGAAACGCGTCATTGAACGCGAGGGGATAATATCCTGGAACTTTTGTGCGTTTTGAGTTCGGCTCACAGGCACCGAGGGTTGCTGTGAGAACTGTGACATAGAAGGCTCATCCTCGAGATGGCCCGCAATCGCTGCATCCTGAGAGGCAAACTTCTTCCCAAAGGGCTGGGTCGAAGAAAAGACATCAGCATTCTGTGGACCGTCCCAGTCCATCAACATGCCACCGCCCAACATCTCTGGTTGGGTCGAGGAGAACCCTGCATTTGCACCACCTTCATCGCCATCCATGTCCATGGGGTCAAAGCTGCGACTCGACCCCTTCCCAGATTGGGAAAGAGGATCTTGGCTGAAATCGATATGAAGCGATTCAAACATCGATGTGGCAAGATTAATTGGGTCTCTCAACTTGCCATCAGTGGAGAGGAACTTGTTTGCACGGGTGTACCAAGGATGCCTTCGGACATCCTCTAGCGAGAATCGCTTTTTGGGGGTCCACTGTCAACATGCCACGCAATAGTGATAATGTAGCGGCTGGTAACTTCTGCCAGAGCTCATCTGTAGTCCGCGCCTTTGTCGCAACATATTCGTGATACTCGAAGCTATCGTCTGTCGGGCTATCCCACGGCGTGTTCCCGGCCAACAGGACGAAAAGCACGATACCACAAGACCAAATGTCAACTAGGTCCGGATGATACCCAGCCCCTTTGTTCTGACCTCGAGTACTGCTGCTAATTACCTCGGGTGCAATATATGGGGGACTGCCACAGAATGTGGTTGAGAGTTTCCGCGTTCCCTTGTACTCGAACAGCGCCGCCAAACCGAAATCGGCGATCTTGAGACTCCCGTCGCCGGTCAAAAGCATGTTCTCGGGCTTGATATCACGATGACCGACGCCCTTGGAGTGCATAAAGCCCACAGCACTGACAAGCTGTGAGAAATAGACATGGGCAACATCCTCGCCCACACCCTCGTCAGCCTCGATCTTATCGAAAAGATCCCCGCCTTCGGCCAACTCCATTGCGATCCAACGCCACACATCGTCCTCGCCCGTCTGATAGAAGCTGATAATATTCCCATGGCCCGAGACGTGTCTGTGTACCGTGACTTCAAGTTGTAATTGTCTTGCGCTAATCTTCCCATGTCGCGCGGCGTAATCTTTGTGGATGTACTTGACGGCGAAAACGGGGTTATCTGTATCCAATGGGCAGGCTTTTTTGATACTAGATGGATCAAACCGAGTCAGAACTGAATGTTCGATAGCATGGATCTTGTTCTTACCATGCATAGGCACCTTGGCCGATGGTCTTGGACACGATGCGAAACGGCACATCGTTCGGGAGCGGGGCCAGCTGCGAATGCTGCATTTCGAAAAAGCCCACAGGGAATTTAGTGAATGTGATTGGATGCAACAGGGATATACACAAAGGGACAGCAAGTAAATTAGGATTAAAAAGGCATAACGAGTGGGAAATAAGATAGGTTGAGATGTCGCGTCGAAGCAAGGGTAGCGAAACGCGGGACAAGACGCGGACCACTTTATCCTGATCGGGTAGTCTGTTGACAAAGGCACAATACAAAGCACCTAGGTAGAGGGTGATGGAGGGAATAACTTCACTCTATCTGATATGGATCAGTATTACTCTATACTAGATATGCAAGTATACTATCTATGCTCTATTATTATACTACATATGCTATTAATACCTTGAAACTGCAGACCCGCAGTTGATTTCTGGACGATCGCACTAACTTTGCCAGATCGATTATTTAATTATGTTTTGAACTGACTGTATTTGTCTTTATATTCAGTTAATTATGACCTCATGTAATTTATATTTATATTCGAGTATAAACAGAAACACATTTCCTTTCAAGACTGGAGTGGCTCAAGTAAATCACCTAAGCGGGGTTCGCGTTGCCCGGGGCGTCTAAGGGCCGAGTAAACAAATCCTCTATTTTTCCTCTTCCTCTTTGTTCACTTCACATAATAAATCCTCTTTCTCACAACCCAACCCTCCTCTCTAAATCTTCCTTGCATCGAGTTCACCGTTGGTCGTTGTTACGGATCCGGCGTCATTCCAAACCCTCGTGCTACTGTTACAAGCATTCCACAACCGGAAATCCACAGACCATTTACTATTCCTTAAGAACCTCGATTGCCTCACCTCCCAATCCACAATGGACTACAGCATGGAAGACACACAGAACTCGGCTCCCGAAGCGCAGCAAGCTAGCAAGCTGAACCCCTCTGGTCAAAAAAGCGAGACCCAGAGCGTGACCAAACGGTTCGTCCCTTTCAGCACCTGCAAACAGCTCCACAATTCGTTTGCTACTTGGGGTACAATATAGCTGACCGGATCTCTTTCATCCGTATAGCCTGCAAGCCGAGCTTATGCAACTCATGCTCTCGCCCTCGCCCGGCATCTCCGCCTTCCCGGACGCAGACGGCAACCTCCTCTCGTGGACAGCAACCATCACCGGTCCGACCGAGACACCTTACGAAGGCCTCACGCTGAAACTCTCCTTCGCATTCCCCAATAACTACCCCTACTCTCCCCCAACAGTCCTATTCAAGACTCCGATCTACCACCCCAACGTCGACTTCTCCGGCCGCATCTGCCTCGACATCCTCAAGGACAAGTGGAGCGCCGTCTACAACGTATCGAGTGTTTTGCTCAGCTTGCAGAGCTTGCTGGGTGAGCCTAACAAGTAAGCATTTGCTCGCATCCTCCGTAACTTCCATCACCGCTAACATTGAACCAGTGCGAGCCCCTTGAACGCCCAAGCAGCTGAGCTTTGGGACTCGGACCAGGCGGAATTTAAGCGCCACGTCCTCGCCCGGCACCAGGACCTGGACGAAGAATAGACTGTTAGATTTCATATCTTTTTTTCATTCTGCATCGGCGTCGGTTGGCCCTGTCGCCCACTCCATGGGCGGTGGGATCGTGCTGCAAATGCATAACGGGCCTGGTTTGGGCCTGGGAGTTTCTGGTTTGCTTGGTTATGTCATTTTCTATCTTTGCTCTTATTGTTACTACTACCTCTGAACCTCCGCATTCAGGTACAGGCGTGAGAACCCCTTGCCCTTGAGATCCTCGGGCGGTTCCCTCTGGTTTCATTTCTTCTGGTCATTACTCCTAGAGCGGTAGATCTATTCATTGTCGGCGTCGTTGTAGATCAATCTGATCTTGTACACTTCGCTTCCAAGCTTGTATGGTACAATCCTCGCTGTCTGGTATTCTCCGCATAAGTATAGAAGACTCGCTTGTCTAGGCTTCGGCACAGTAACTTCCAAGTTTCGCAGGGGTATAGAGGTAGGTGAGTCCTATATCATATCAAGGACAGAGTCCGACTACCTACGTATGTACGTAGCCGACTATTCCTGCAGAACTAGAATTGGTTTTGCCAGATAATTTAAAGTCCATGCTATCAGGATTGGACAACCCCATAAATAAATACTCAAATAACCCTATGAAATCAAACAGCCACCGCCCATATTAGGATTCAGGTACCTAAGTGGAGGTACCGAAATACTGCCTCTCATTGGTAATCAACAAGCCAGCAACCGTCGCACTGGTGAAAGTACTAATGGCTCCAGTAACCATAGCGCTGAATGCAACACGCGACACGTCCCTAGCCCGACCAGGGGCGATCTGCGACAGCACACCAATCTGGTTACCGAGGGAGCCGATATTAGCGAATCCACAGAGCGCGTATGTAACGATGAGGCGAGAGCGATCGGAGAGGTCCTTGTACTCGCTGTTGTGTTGGAGGGCGTCATAAGCGACGAATTCGTTCTGTGGAGGGTTAGAAGAGAAAATGATTGTTTGTGTGAAGATGGGAAACTTACGGTAACAAGCTTGGTACCAATCAGCTTGCCAACTTTCAGCAGGTCCTTGTCACGGGAAACACCGAGTAGGAAGGCAATCGGGTAACAGATGTATCCGACGATCAGCTCGAGGGTCAGTGGGGGGTCGTTGATGTTCAGGTATCGGCCCCACCAGGTGAGGAGGCCATTTACTAGACCGATGAGAGCGATGATGCACAGGAGCGTGGATGCGATCATGGCAGCAATCTTCAGACCAAGCCAGGTGCCGCTGGTGAATGCGTGGAGGGCATTGGCGGAGCGATGTTCCTCGTCATCGGGGACGACGACACGGCCTGCAGTGAGGGTTTCTTCCTCCTCGGGCCAACGGAGCTTCGAGACTGCTAGCGAGGCGGGAATACTCATGACACAGGCGCTGACCATTGCCTGTGGGTTGACACCGATGCTGATATAGGCGATTAGGACACTTCCGGCGATAGTAGCGAAGCCGGAGCACATGACTTGGTGCAGCTCAGCCATGGTAAGGTGGGCGATGAAGGGGCGGATCAGCATGGCTGATTCTCCCTGGCCGATGAAGGGAGATGCGGCAGCGACAACGGCTTCGGCACCGGAAACGCGCATGCTCCAGAAGAAGAAGACGGCGAACTTGCCGATGAACCACTGCAGGATATTGTAGTAGTACAAGAGCTGAACAAAGGCGACGAAGAAAATGATGGCGGAGATGACGCCGACGAGGAAGAATTGCCCTGGGGCAAAGCCCTTGTCAAAGTAGTAGAAATCCTTGCTGGTCAAGAAGATGACTCCGTCGGCGGCAAAACCAAGCAGATCAGTTGCTAGGCCTGAGATGAAGTTGAAGATGTCGTATCCTGCAGTAGTGCGGAGCACGAACAGAGCAATGATGAATTGCGCCAGCATGCCGACAATGACGGTGTGCCAGATGATCTTCTTGCGGTTTCGAGATGTGAGCCATAGCCCGAAGATGAAGACTAGCATTCCAAACAGACTGACTGCACGGTTGGCGCGGGTGTTATCCTGTGATTCTTCAGACACAAACGATCCAATAAGAATCACACCGATGCATAGCGCGGCGGCACTAGGTGTTCTCAGCTTCCCGGGAATCATGCGCACGAGAGGGTGAGCCGTATGATCCCAGGCCCAGTGCATGGGCTTTGACACGATGCTAATGGGAACATAGAAGAAGATGATTCGCAGCGTGATGGCAAGATAGAGCAGGAATGGGATGAGCCATCCTATATCATGTCGGTGTAGTATCAGGCCGGCAATCCACCAGCTAGGTGAAGAGTATGTGTGTAAGCCTCGAGTTGAGTCCAGGGTATACAGTAGCACTGTAATCTTAGTAGAATCAAAGTAGTTCACTTACCCGGTAAACAGAAGCCAGACCACAGCATGAACCATATGCCTCCATTGTTTTCCCACACGGCGATACCAGGTGCGCTTGGCTGGGAGGTTCTCGCCCGCTTCCTCGTCGTTGGAATCCTTGCTGCCATGGTCCAGAGTTGTTTGTTCAGGCACAATTCCTTTCTCGAATTGGGTGTCTGTAGAGTAAACCACTTCATCCTGACGTCCCTCTTCGGCGTAGGCGGTATGATGTTGATGAGCATGGTGATGCTGATTCTCTGGATCCAGCACAGGATCTACATGATGCATAACATGCGATCCCGCAGGATCAGCTTCCTGTGTCTTATCCATCACAATTCCACTCCGATCGCAAACTCGAACGTTGGAAGGCACGAAAATGCAAGCGCCCGTGACAAATTTAAGTTACAATTAAGAGTGAAACTCAAAACACCCCGAGATTCGACCGCCTGAAATTGTGCACGAGGAAACTTGGACTTTTATAATAAACACGGACACAGGATTAATTAGGAATCTCCCGTTGGTAAAAAAAAAATTTTTTGCCTCGAATCCTGCTGGGTTTTTTATTTATTTTATTTACCTACATATTATACTTTCTGGGGAATGGGAGATAAAAGAACGCCCAAGGATTGGCAGGCACTAACCATCGGACCATCTTCCCTTCTCATCCTGCTTGGCTGCAAGAATGCCAATAAACGGACTGACCGACGGTGTACAGCGGAGGTCCCGTCTCGCCTGGAACCACTAGAGCCACCTGCAGCCACATGTAACCACATCCACGGCAAAGATGATAAGACAGGGTGACATTATCTTGCCACAGCGACCCCTGGCGTCTCCCTTGATTGGTGGTGTAGCTCAGGCTAACTTGTCTGAAGTCCTTGGAAAGTCTCTCCGCACCGGGTAGTTGTGGAGCAATATGGGTCGTGTGCTTAATTTCCCGAGGTCTTTCCGCCGAGCAGACTAGCTGGGATTGAGATTTCTCCAGTTTCTCCAGGGGGTTGTGATACCCGAGCGCTTGGAAGGAATTGGAGGCTGAAGATGAAATATACACGTATGTACGGAGTACCATGTAGAACATGCTACACAGCGTGTGTGATTTTCATTGTGGGTTGTCGAGTCCCACCGATGTCTGAATTTGCCTCATACCAGGGTTAATTTAGCGTTAAAAAAATGGAGCACAGTGCGAAAAGTCGATAAGCAAGGTCCGAGATACACACGTGCCCTCAGAGATAGTCCTCTATTTGTAAAAGATAGGCACTTCAGGAGACACAGCTTGGCATTCTCGGTACGGGAAAAGCGCGTGATCTAGAATGAATTCCAAGACCTTCCAAGGTTTTGATATATTAGGCCAATCTGTGATTGTCAGGTTGTTGCTCGTGACATCGGTAGCCCTCCGACTCCGAGCCCTGATAGTTACGTAATACATAACTGGCCCACCCCTGGACCCACAGAGCTAAGGGAGGATACCAACCATGGAACGAGTCTGCACATCCACGGGTGGTCAGCTGCCGGCATACATAAATCTCTTCAGGCCACCATACATCAGACAGCGTCTTGAGACCAACACATTGGGAGACGATCTCGGGAGATCGAGCTATCTAAGCCACCTGGCCTAATCCCCGCAGTTGAGCCCCAAGCACTACAGCACTGTATACTCTAAAGACTTCAAGGTTTGTCGGAAATTGATATTGGGCAGTGCCTAGGTAAAAGCAGTGCTTGAGTAACTTAACTCTAGCCAATCACCCGAAAAACAACTCCAGAAAAGAGCCACTGATCATGCCTACAGAGGAATGAATGAAGATTGTCACCCATAGCGGACGAGTGTTAAAGCGACCGATTTCTGACTGCTATGTTTACCTTCGTATCCATCTATAAACATCGTCTCAATACAGCTCGACACTTGACAGACTTCTACTGCCGCGAATACCCTCCTGCCACCTAAAAGAGCACATACAATGCATTTTCCAATTGGCTTTCGTATAGTTGATTTTTCTCTGGTTATATCAAGGTCACTACGGACAATGTTTCACAAATATTTGTTTCATTTTTTATCTTTCAAGGTTCTTTCAGTTTGATCTTCGTTTCAATTTTACCTATGTTTCATTTCCATCTCACACCTAAATGCCTTCCAACGTGTTGTCTCTTCGCTACACAAGCAATCGACTCTCGGAATACTCACAGAGAATATTGATTGGCATGGGTTCGACTTTCTCCATCGAGCAGATGAAATTGAAAGAAACATAAAGTTGAGGGTCCACCGAGAACCACGCACAAGAAGCCACGCACGTCGTGACAGGCAATTGAGTCCTGATCAAGTGGGAACCAAAAAGGAATCACCATCTCATCCATCATGACTTTGAAAACATCTGGTGCAATGTCACGGCATTGACAAAGTCGTGGTAGACCTGGTCCATCAAATCAGGGTCTTCTTCATTGATCGTGAGGTTCGGAATAAACGCATGGCACCGATGATTGCCGAGGACGGCCCTCTTGAAGTGGCAGAGCTCTTGCATGGGTGTCATCTCACCAACAAAAGCAGTGTAGTCCTCAAGGGCCTTCTTGAAACGCATCACAAAGTTGTGAGGATCTCCTTTTTGTAGCGGAGGTTGACAAATTTCTTAAACCGGTTGTAGGTAGCATGGTGTGATGGGTTCCAGTACCATCTTTTCAATTCAAGATAGGCCTCACGAACATTGGTAATGTGAGAAACCATAGAGAAAGTCTCAGGTCCAAGAGTAGATACAAATTGTAGGAAAGCCCGGTTGTTAGCCCTTTCCCACTTCTCTTCGCCGTCTGCGTGGTGCTTCCGCAGCTCCAGATTCGAAGCGACAATTTGGATTGAGCGAGCTTCTATGGCCTCTTCTGTGATGCAAGCGTCCTTTTCTTTATTACCCTCGGCTTCTTTGAGAAGTAGGGCTCTGACGCTGCTATGAGATGGGTCTTCGTAGACCGGAGCGGGAGGCATCTTGATCTCATCCCTAATCAGCTGCACATAGACAGGGTTGTTGAAGCCAAGGATCATGAACATCTGCGCCTCCCATACCCTCCAGTTGGACTCGCCCTTCAGCTTAGGAACTGATTTGGCCATGTTCATCTCGTTCTCGCTGACTTTGAAGTCAAAAATTGGATTTTCTTCGGAGGATGTCGACATGGCGGCGACTGGAGCAGACACAGTCGAGTGCTTTAGCAGCTGTAGGCAACGGAGAGAGGGTGTCGCAGGTGCAAAACTCGCTTTGTGCAGAGAATGGCGCGGTTTGGGGACCGACGTAGAGGGAAACAAGCTCGGTGTGACAAGACGTGCCAGAAGCGTAAAGATTCCGATAGCTATCGAGGTTGTCAGCGGAGCTCAAACATGGACACTGATGGGCGTGACTGACGAAGTGACGGCCCCGGGGCTCGAGGATCTCACGGCGTGATGCGTCGCCACACAATAAGCTTTGAACGCAATAGGTGTTGGTTAAATGAAGCAGACTGCGAGCAAGGTACTCACAATCTGAAGATATGTGCTTGAAAAGGCAAATTAGGATAACGCAGTCTCTGGGTGGGTGTCTAAAGGAAGAAGACCGAGAAGAAAGCGATATTGGAAGTCCTGGGGAAATATGAAGTAGGGGAGCAAACAGGCCTACATAGTGGGATCAGATAACTACTGTCAACATATCTGATTAAGTACGGATTTGAGTTTGTATAGAGCCCTGGATGTGTTGATTTGTTTTTGTAGTGCATGTTTTCTATCTTGCGCTCTCTAGGAGTTCCCTGCATGACAAATTATCATATCATTTAATTCTAAGTCCTGGAAGCAACTGTAGATGACAATTCATGGTCAGTAACTTTATCATTGGGTAGGCACACTAGAGCATACCATATCAAATAGACAAAGGTTCTTAATTGCAGTACTTGGTGAACTTGTTGACAGTGCCACCCCTGACACACACGCCGTTACAGCATTCGCTGGCGGCATAGCAAGGGCTGTGAGCTAGTATCACATGTAGAGTTAGACTCGTATTTCTAACAAGAGGAAGAGGACTAGCAGAGATATCACGATCATGATAAAAACATACCTCCTTTGCAGCGCTTCTCAAGAGGGTTGGTGTCCAAAGCAGGTTCGGCGTTAGGCACAGCAGCAGCATTGGCGAAAGCAGCAAGAGCAGCAACAAGGACGACGTTGAAGAACTTCATGGTGATTTTAATTATGATTTTCAATATTTCAAACAGGTTTGAGAAGGAGAGATGGCAATTAAAATGTTATTAGAGGAAACGAGGTTCAATTTATATTTTGATCTGATAATTTTCTGGCCCCCAAAAACCAGGCCATACATCCGAGGTCGGCTCCATATATTGTCTCAATGGGCTTGTTCGTGTTATCTGATCTTACGCCAAGCTTATGGCCCCCATCACTCTCCTTCGCTTCATTGCGGGTCACCAATAGCACCAAGTTAGTCAAATCCTTCAATTTACCCAGCTTCGTTCAATTGGTCCCAAGGCCCGTATAACCAAGCTAAGAATATTACTCGGTAGCAACGGCTACTTGCGGAACATCTTTCCAGACCGAGAGATTTCCGTGGCCCTCTAAGTTGTTGATAGATTGGCCAAGGCTGTATAAGGGACCATCCGGGCGACAATTCTATCTATACAAGAGTTTGGTTACCGTACTTTGCTCTTCAAGTTCTCGAGGCCTATATGCCCAATATCTTCTTTTCTTGTTAAGCCAACTTCGATGCAGGGTATTTTGGAAGGCTTGAATGTCCATGTCCCCATATGCTCTACATGTAATTGTTATATAGATTGTATTAAAGTCATTAATTAAATGATGCTAAAAAGAATCATTCGCTAGGCCACCCACCCGCCATTGTCTCTACAGGTCGCTCTATGAGACTCCAAAAATCTCCAAAAATCTCTTACAAAATCATTCCATTTTGGTGATTTTTAGCGACAGCCATACAGACCAGTCATAAATACATGAGCCATAAGAAAATGTTAGTAGTCGATGGCAACTAGAATTCTCCACTCTATCCCCGGGGCCGATGTCTCTCCAGACAAGTCCCCTTTCTACAAGCTAAAAGGAGATCTGCCACCTCGTAGTTATGGCGCCAGCATGCAACAAAAAGAGGAGTAGATCTAAACCGGCCACCTGGAGCATTGATTTTGACTTCTGGGTCAGAAGTAAGGATTGCGTTGACCACTGGCACTAAGCCGAAGGATGCGGCGTAGTACAAGGGATGTGTTGCTTCGATGCTTCCCACATCTGTGTGTGGGATCAAAGTCTGTACCCACACGCCAAAGTTGCCTCGACGGGGGAGGCATTTTGTTTCGAAAAGCCGATTGACGAGGACCCGGTCCCGATCCTCGAATTGGCAAGACGCTCCGTGGATAGCCCAGAATTGGGCGGCATAACCCAGAAACGGATATGCTTCTAGACGATCCGTAGCTGAAGCTGCAGATGATGTGTACCCGGGTCGGAAATTATCGAGGCAGAGATATGCAAGGCACTTCCGCATGACGATTTGGTCGGCTGTGGATGGATCCAGGCTGAAGAAATGCACTCCCGAAGAGCGAATCCACTCTGACGTCAGAAAGCCCTTGATGGATGAATGAGTAAGTGTTACGTTTCCCGATCGATCTTGGGTGATCAGCCCTTGGCAGATCTGAAGAAGCGCATGTGGAGAAATCAACCTCATGTCGTCGTTCAAGGCCGTGGATGTCTCCTCGAGCACCACCGCTTCGTTCAGCTCGCGAAGGGTAAGGGGCCGTTTCGTAAAGCTGAGCCACGAGAGAGCTTCATGAACAAATTTCCAGTCACTCGGAGAATCCTTGTCAATATGTCTCCGTACGTCTCCCGCAATGTCCCCGGTAGTTCTCGCAGTGCCTCCCGCACGGACTTTTCAGTTCTTTGCGCGCTCAGATTGTCAAGCGAGAGCCGGGCCCAACGGAATCTGAAAGAGTCAGAATGTGGAAATGTTTCCTGGACGGCATACCCACGATCCATCGGCACCGTTCGATAGAGTAGTCCGAATTTTATTTTTCAGTGTTGTGCTCAGTTGCTTCAATCCCTCCTCCTCCAACCTGTAATAAATAAATGCGTCAATATCAACCCGAATGTTTTCTGTATTCATGTTCACTATCTTGGCATGAGCGGGAGAGATCACGTCTACCGTGCTGGTTATAAGGATTCGGAGGTTTGTCGACAGGGACGCGATCCTCTGAAGAGATTGCTTGATCCGCTCTATGTGTTGACTTTCATTTATTGCGTCGATGAGGATGACTCGTGTCCCATGAGAGGAATACTTGACTATTGCATCTTCAAGAGCGTTAATGTCGATGGGATGCCTATGTGCCTGGCCGTTCGGAGTCTTTTCGTAAAGTGGCCGGATGCTTTCCAATATCGAGGGTATCGTGTCAGAAAGCTGGGCAACGAGCGAGCCCAGGATGTTAACCGGGTCTTGAGACGCGGTATAATCGAATTCACAGTAAAAGTATGCCAGAGAAAAGGCACCCTCTGGCGGCGATATTGCAGTCTAACTCGTTGACAGTTTGTGCACTATATGATATCAGTTAAATCACCCCAAGAAGCTCACTTAACATACAAAAGTGTGGTTTTCCCGGCGCCAGCTTTGAATGTGAATTTAGTGAACAATCTCTCAGGGGTTGTGGCGTACAACTTACATTTACCCTTGAGGAAGAGAAACTTCATTTGTTTGTCACTTCTCCACGGCCACTGCTGTAGAGGCCCATCAATGAACCATCGCCCCGTTTCAATCTCGCGATGTTTTGATTCTCGTAGGCGAGCACTCGCCGGACTGACAGGAGCCAGCCAACTGAGAAGACCGACCTGATCCCGCTCATGGTCCCGGATCGTCAAGTCTTTCTCCAAGGTGACTGCCAGACGAATCATCTCACCGTGAATGTCGCGGTTCAGAGAAGCGCTGTCGTTAGTAATAACCAAGATCAGCCATGACTTCACACTTTCCAGGCGGGCCAGATGCGTCTCAAATTGCTGTTTCGTAAATGGCCATTCCAACTTTTGTCTTAATCGTTTTAACTTGGTCCCTGATTCTTCGAGATCCATGAGCAGGGACTGGAGGAACTCGCTTGTGGTTTGCAGCACGCGTACCACTACCTTCCAGTCGAAAGGCGCTGATGCATTTGATTCAGAAAGCTGGGGTTCAAGCTCGGTCTGTGCAGGTAGATACTTCAGTATACCTTCCAGGGCGAAAAGCTCTTCGCTCAATCTTTCAATATCGGACCTCGCGCCCCTCACAGCTTTGGCGTAGTCTATCAGACCCTTGATGGTTTTGCTGACATCTGCAATGAGAGATATTAAACCAACGGCTTCGGCCATGATTGGGGAGCATAGGTCTAGGGGTATATGCTGATACTAGCTCCGAATAAGCTATTTCCTAGTGCCGGATGAACTGCTAATAACTAGGTATATGGTATGAGTCAGGAGGCGAAAGACCTATGGTTTGAAGATATCTTGCACAGTAGATGAAATGTGGTGTGTTGTTTGAAATTTCCAAAGGTGGATGGACTGCGTAGAGAATCTATCCCGTCTACTTTAATTTATAGAATTGCCATTGACGCAATCATGATACGTTGAACCACGATGTGAGCTGAATGGAGCAACATAAAGATCTTACAAATTAGCTAGATGGTCGACTTTTGTACAGGAAACTTTATTTGGCGGCTTGAACCAGATATAGAGTGCAAGGTCTAGATTTAGTAACAGATTAAACTTTTTCCTGATCATCTGCCGCATGGGAGACTAGATTAACTTAAGAATTGAGTTTGGCTGCAAATGTTCACCGCCAAGAACGGTAACAATAGAGTCTCAGTGGGGAGATTTACAATTACAGGGTTTGGAAAACAATTCATGGTGGACCTCCCTCTATTATTCATAGGGGGCTACCATAAAACGCAACTTTAGCATCGTATCCGCTACCATGACGAAGTTTCAGGTCAGAGATCGACAAACCTATCTTAAGGTTACAGTCATTCTCGAAATCGGCTTGACGGGTACACACTCAATCACTCTTTTCTGGCCCCACTGCCAAGACATTAGCGCGGATCAATCATTCAACGGGCCGCATTAAATTGGGGGACATCGTACGGGGTGATCGACGGGGGCAGCTACAGACAGATTGCCATCAATACTTAGAACCAACTCACTTAGTATACCAAATGGCATCAAGTCTTCAACCATGTAAAGCATGGATTTATTCGTGAGATGGTACTGAGGTGATCACTCACTACGCCCTAGACAGCATATACTGCTGAGTGCAGTGGACGTTCGATCACAATTGTTCATTCCAATCTGCAAATCTTCGGTGCTGTACTGTCGTACAAGAGCACTGAATATTGCCCTCTGTAATATGCTCTGGATGTGAGAGCTCTGCTACTGAGGTAATTAATACACACACAACAGGCCACCTTGCTGCGTCCGACGTTGCGTACAGCTCTCTTTTGAACACAAGCATCTGGGGTCATCAGATCAGTTGCTGCAAGGGGAACAGCGATTAGCCAGCAATTTGAGACCGACGATCTCTGAGGCTTAGCTTATGGTTTATTCTGGCTGATCAAAGTTAAGTTACCAGTTGAAACCAACACAGGTCTACTAGAGGTAGATAAGTATGAAATCTCTACATTCTGGAATTAGATTAAGTAGTTAAGATATGCCAAGCCTGTTCGGGAACTCACTAACAGGTCTCTTAGCCAAGGCCAGCCCCTCATTTGCTGGCTTTTTCTCTTTTTTATATCCCCCCCTCCAGCTGCTCGAAGAATACAATTGCTATGCCGGGATACACGACTCTCTACTCCAGAACCCCTCGCTCTTTCCTTTTCGCCGTGGTGGCCAATGTCGGTCCCGGCGGCACCAGCCGCTGCCTGGCCGTGGCCTACCGCCAACACCACGACGAATATAACTCACAGATATCCTGGGATCGAGTGCAATGTATGGTGACCGACACTCTTGCGCTGACCGAAGTCCTCTCGGATCCCACGAACCGCGCGCCGCTGGAGGCTGAGAGGGCGCTCGCGGAGGACTGGTATCGTCGGTCTCAGGGCCGGGAGCCTCCGATTCATGAGCGGCCCAGCGTACCCGACACCGCGCAACCCCCGTTCGTGCCCTGGTACAAGCGGCGTGAGCCAGGGCAACAACAGCCCCCGCTGCCGTGGCGGGATGATGCGCCTAGCAAGTTTCCCTTCACTGCGACGTGTGTTTTGCTGGCGTTGTTGCGCGATACTCGCGACAACCGCACCCGCCCCAGCGACGTTCAGTTTCAGCCACTATCGACGCTGTTCCGGGCCGACTGCATTGAGTATGGCCTGGTTATTCTCGACATCTCTGACCTCGACAGCGGCGTCAAGTACGGCATCGTTGCGTTCCCCATGAACTACATGGCTGAGGTTGAATACGGCGGCGAGATGATCGGCTGGGATCCCGTCGAAGACCCCCAACCGGAAAAGGAGCCCGATGTTGTACTCGCAGACCCGCGGCCTCGAGAGCTGTTGTCAATCTCGCAGTGGGTATCGAAGCATTACTACTGGTCGGGCCTGGAGAAGGCGTCTTGCATCCTCAAACTAGAGGAGAGGCCGCTGGCTGATGCGGTAGCCTTGGATTGTACGTCTGTTCACCCGAATGATTTTGCAGGTGCTGACAGGGGGAATAATGGTAGATATCTGGCCACCAGAGCTGGAGGATCCGGCTCGAACATCTTCAGAAGGTGATCTCTGGCGCTATTCCAGGTTAACCCTATCGATCACATTTGCTAATCTCTCCAACAGACTTCAGACATTCAAAGATCGCCACCCAATCCCCGCCTGATATGGTAGGCTACACCATAGTAGACCAACCGCCGCAAAATGACCCCGTAGGCATGGTCCGCACCATTGATGATCTGCTTGTTCTCACCCAGGAGCCCGCCTCCGGTCCCCTCGAGAAAGAAGCGCTCGCCAACCTTCAAGTACTTGCCCAGTTCCGCGAGCAGCTGCGGCAGCGGCTCGAAGAGGTGCCAGAGAGGCTCGGCTCCTCCCAGATCTCCAGTCATGTGCTGCGCGTGGCATACGCTGGATGCCGTCACCTCAACTGGGTGGTGTTTGGAAACCTGCCGCCTCGCGTGATCGCGGCCGCCATTGCATCGGATGAACTTCAAGGTGCGTCTGCGCTCAGCCTCTGCCTCAATCCGTTCCAGCTGGTGGGAGATGAGGAAGATGGAGAATCAGACCTTGGTGACCTCGCCGCGGCCCTGGCACAGTCCACGGCCCTTCAACAGCTCTGCTTCTTGCAGCAGCCGGACCGGAACAGCGACGATGGCTCCGCTCATCCCTTTTCGGAGCTGTCTTGGCTGTGGTCGAGGGCATCAAGTGAAGACTCGGAGTCGCTCCGGCTGAGAACCATCCATTCGACCTCCGCTTTGTTAAACGGTTTACGCGGCCGCGAAGTTCGAGCAATATCCTCGCCGAGGAATTTGGGTTCTAGCTTCACCTCGGGCGCTCAAGTCTTTCCCATGATCCATCTGTTCACATTTGTCAGCCCCCAGCGCGAAGATGTCCGGGACGCAGCTGCAGACCACCACGTCGTCCACCCTGCTCGTCCCGGGTACAGCGGCTACTACTCCATGGATAATACTGGGTTAAACGCCGAGAGCTTCGCTGTCCGATTCCTGGTATACCTCCGGTCCTTAGGTCCGGATTCGGATCCCGACAAGGCCATCTTGCGAGTTGCATCTCATGGGGCGTTCTCGTCACTTGCTTCCATCGACGAGGACGACAACAATAACAACAACGACCCCCGTCGCCGCCCCGGGGGCCACCGCCGCGGCCACCGCCGCTCCAGTCATGGCCAGATCAATTGGGTGTCAGGCCAATCCCCGCTGGATTTGTCAACGACGAGCTAGCCCCCGACGACCCGTCCCGAGTCCGACTCAGGGAGATGCCCCCCGGGAGCTGGGTGGTTCTTATGGATCGACGAGACCGCCGTGGCCGATTCAGCGACGACGGCGCCTTCTTACAATACTCTTTCATCAGAATCCGTCGACCCTCTCCAGAGACTGCCCCGAAGCAACAACAACAACAAGAACAACAAAGACCGGCCCCTGTCTCTAGTTCAGTCGAGGTGGTCGGCGGGCTGACCGACTTCCTGCGCGAAACCGTGCCAGAGACTCATATTGCCACGTGGGAGAAACGGCTCGAGGAGGTAGAGAGGGATTTGGTTTCAGCTTTGACTAGACCGAGCCCACCCAGTACCCCGTCATCGATGGAATTCTCACCGGGGGTGAACCCGATTGACGAGGTGTTGAGGCGCTTGACTTCAGCTGCAACTGAGAGGAGCGCAGACAACGCCCCGCCAGAGACTGATCTTTCCACTGGGGAGGGACTGGTCGTGGAGGTAGAGAGGGAACGCTGCATCGGCGTCCGCGTCATGGCTGAGAGCCGGGTCCACACTTTACTGGACCAGTTACTATGATTTTACCCCTATCTCTAGGCTATCATTGAGGCCTATATACCCGTAAAAATCACTCTCTTTAGGCTATAGGTCCCTCAAGATCCCGTCACAACTACCCTCTCAAGCTTACCGCTTAAAGACCCGCCTCCTTCAGTCTAGCTCCGAAAGGTTACTCGTTTCAATGGCTAGAGACCTTCTCCCTAAAGAATCCTCCTTGAAAGTTCAAGACTACTTGCTGAACTAGATAGATGAGATGATTATTCCTGATCGTCTCTCAGATCACTTCTTCTTATCGATAATTAAAGTTAATAAAGATGAGGAACTTTTACGAAGACTCGCTGTAAGACATGTTATGAGCTATTGGGGGGACTGTGAGCTAGTAGAATATATATATATATCACTAGGGCAAAAGAACAACGGAATATATAATAAGAAGGCCTTGACTGACTATGCTATCTTACATTCTTCAACATCTAACCTGTACATGATTTTCCCTGCAAATCCAGCCATATATGACACAATATATATAGCCTTACATAATGTATATATCTAGTTAACTATCTCCATCTTCCCCAACCAACGAACCTATGCCTCACAATCAGGAACAGATAAACTCTCATACAACAAAAGCCCCGTAATGAACGACAGGTCACAGTGCCCCGAGCACGGGTTATCCTCGTCCTGGGGGTCCAGCTTGCGCGGGGTGTACTTCTTGCCCGCAATCTCGATTTGGTAGCCGCAGCCGTCGAAGAATTCCGGCCCTTCATTGACAAAGGTCATGTCGGTGCCGCATTGATCGAGGGCGAAGTTGTTATTGGGCGCGTCGCAGATGTCGGGGAGGAGCCAATATTGCCGTCGACGATGAAGACACCGTAGCAGTGGGCGCCTGGAGGGGGAGAGTTAGCTCGTCTATAAAAAAAATGAGGCTGGGGGAGAGGGGAGAGGAGAGGATGGTCACTTACCCGCCCCATAGGCGCTATAGGAGTAAACGGGGTGTTGCCCGGAGGGCGTCACGGTGGAGCCAACACAGAGGTCTAATGGGAATGTTCCTTCGGGGGGCTCTGGCGTCTTTGTTGGGGGGCTGCCGGTCGTCGTCGATGTTGGCTTAGGAGGCGCCGGGGGCTGGCCATGAGGGTTCTTCGGGTCCTTGGGATCATAGTAATCCGGGGGATGAGGAATCTCCGGGTGCAGATCACAGTAGTATCCCTTGCAAAGCTCTCCGCCGCAGTTAAAACTCATGTTGATAGTCGCCTTGCCCTGCCGGTTCTTGTTCTTGACATCATCCTGGACGTCGATAAGTTGCGCAATGATTTTCTCGTTGGGATAATTGAACCAGTCTCCCACTTCCCTGGTCGGTTGCTGGGTGGTGACCACGACCAAAGTGCACGTTGGACACACGCCAAGTCGATTACCGACCACCATCGTAGCAACCGCAGATCCATGTTTATATTGATCCGTAGGGGGGAGTCAGGCCCGAAGCTGTGCTGAGAGTCCAGGTACTCGATGTTCCTACCCACGAACTCCTACAATCCCATCCATTAGCCCGACAGAACAGTAAATTGAGATGGAGAACGTACCGGGTACCATTCCAAATGCCGTCCTCGCGCAGCATGTACACATAGGTATCCATCGCGCTAACCGAGTCGTAGGTATACCTGTAAACATCGCCGTTGGATGCCTCGGGGAAGTAGCTATCGCTGCCCGGAGAGAGCCAGACACTGTCTTTGGCCAGGGACACTTGGGATTGGGCCCAATAGGGCGTATTTCGGGCCACGCTAAAATCGGTCTGTCTTTTGTCGTGCCGCATCGTGTCGTTCAGGGGGTCAAATTTCTCTCGCAACTCGTTCGATGGCTCAGGGGGAGGGGGAGGTTCCAATCCTGGGGGGTGTCCTCCACCTCAAAGGGAAATCCGGTGTTGTAGTTTGACTCCTCGTAGTAGTATGCGTACTCGACATCGGGCTGTTCCACTTGTCCGTTAGTTCTGATTCACAACCTTCACGGGCGAGGGGGAGAGACTTGCCGACTGCCTCAGAGCGTCCATGGTATCTTGACCGAGCATGGGAATCCAGTAGAACGCCACCCAGCGTTCCGTAGTCAGTCCCACCTCTACGTAGTCTTTATACCCCTAGAGCAGGCTCGGAATCGAGCCTACGTTCTCTGGATCCTTGGGGTAGACGATGGCCGGAGCCGGGCACCCGGCCGCAGGCGGCTGATATTCGCCGCCGCTGCTCGACGTGGGCTCGCAAATTGGTGCCTTGGTGGTTGTGGTCGACTCCCAGTCCGTTAAGGAGCAGTCGTATACGGTTTCGCAGGCGGCTGAAGTGGCAGTGACCGTGGACGTGATGGTTCCGACCAGGGTCTCCGACTTCAAGACCGTCGTGGAGCAGAGCTTTGCCGACTCGGTCTGGCAGGACGGCTCGTCGCTGTATGTGAGCTTGTTGTCCCGGCCGACGCTGCAGATGGCAAGTTATGTCAGTGAGAAGGGCTTCTTTGTTCTCTAGGAGGGCAGTTTCTTACGTGAGTGCGGCCATGGGGGAAGCGTCGGTTTGATAGTCCACTTGGGATTTCCAGGGGGACCGAGAATATCTGGGGGAGGCGGACCACTGAGGGTGAGAATCAAGAGATGTTAGTTCCTATCCGATACACGTAGTTTTCATTGGGAAGAATCAGACTCACGGTGGGTAGATTCCGGGAGGGAGGGTCCATCTGATCGACTTGAACCGCCCACCAAGGCATATCTGGACATCATTAGCGTGGAAGCAATGTTGGATGACATATGTGCAGGACATACATTGAAAAACCATAGCTTGCAGCTCGTAATGATCCCGCCGGCGCCATCATCATCATCATCATCATCGTTGTCGTCGTCATCATCGTCATCGCCGTCTTCCTCGTTGACGGGCTCGACAACGTACGGTGGATATGTTCGCCAAGTAGGCAAGGTCGTCGGGGCTGGCTATATCTTTTTTGGCATCAAATTAGCCCTTTCAACATATTACAATGCTATAGATAAAGAGTAGTCATGAATAGAACTAGATTCCTTCGCCCGCGTACCACTCTAGCACGCGGAGGCAACCCTCGAGGTAGACCTGGCCTAATGGTATCTTTAGTTTCTGGGTTACAGGAGCTCTATCTTAGAGAGATGATATTTGGATATATCAAGTCAGTCGATAAATTTCTCTAAAATTTTAAGAAATAGAGTGCTGGTTAACAACGTGGATCAAATCCACACCAGCTTGCAAGAACCCCACGTTCCACGTTTTGTAGACATCGCAGTATTGCTCCCTCATGTTGATGTAAAGAGATGGTCCGGAACTCCGACTTTGATGGCGAACTTGATTTTTCCATAGATGAGACCCTGCAGAGCCTGACTTGCCCCGATTGTACATCGTGTCGTGTTTTTTGAATCAAAACGCCACGGCCCTTTGAGTTAGAGGTCTTCGGCTGTCAAAGGATATGGTCCAAGCATCGTTTGAATTGAAGTCAGGCATATGATAGGTATCTCACACACCAAATGCGGCTTTGGAAGGCACTGCAATTCTTATCTCTTGGGGCATTTCGTAGTAGAGGATAGTAATGTTGCTGTAAAAGCTTACCAGGATAAAACTCCGCTAATCTTTTATTCTGCGTGTCTTCGTAAGAGGCTTTTTCTGTATAGCGAAGTAGAAGATATAGACGCGGAGACAGTGGCTGACTCTTGCTGAGAAGGAATTCCAGAACTTCCTCCTTCCTGGGTCCGAGGATGGCGTACTAGGGAATTAATTAGCAACTAAGCCTCTTCTGATAGACCTTCCTCTATTTAGGCGAGAATGAGCTCAAACAATTCAAGATCCCCTATCAGATATTTGAGGTCATTGGTATATCACGAAACTGGCTCCAGCAATCCTTGATCGTAATTATATATTCCGTGGCTTGGACAACGCTTGCGAACAAGAATCTTATTATCTTTAGGGTTTAAGAGCTTATCCTATAGCTAGTTCTAAGAAGTATAAGCGCTACTAAAATTATAATAATTATTATCTAGGGCCTCTCTAGTAGACTTCCGCATAGCTCGCAAAACTCGAAACCCGACCCGACCCGACCCTTAAAAGGGTCGGGTTTCGACCCCGGACCTCGGGCCCAAAGTTGGGCTTTGCGGAAACCTACTCTTCAGCCTTTCCTAGAGGTAGACCCCATGAATCCATGATGTGTAGAAACGCGTATAAGCACGTAACTAAATAAAGCGCATTCTAGCTTATGGAGCATAATAGTGCGTGGGAATTTGAGGATATAAGGCTATTCCTAATTTGTAAGAAGGCGGTGGAAGCCATCTGATCAATAAAACCACTTAATTCAAAATTACCGCTAATCACGACTAGCGCTGCCGGGCAAGGGGATAGCTGATTTTGAAAATTACTGTATGCAAGGATGCACCCTCGTCACGCTAAGCGATCGGACCGTAGCTCCAAATCGCCATACAGCTAAGCCACCCCCTCGGTGCTATGGCTGAGTGTTTTGAGGAGAGTTGCTGGTAATAAATTCAGGCCTGAGTTCTCTTTGCTTCTCACCATATCTCATTATGGCCACTCCTAACCCCCACCTTCTCAATGCCTTCATGGCTGCAAAGAGAGAATTCCTGGCATCGCAAAAAGACCGTTCGCTGTTTGACCGCATCTCCAATGCCACTTCCATACAGGAGATCCATGAATTTGTTATGCAATTTCAAGCTCAACAGAGTAACACAACCGGAATGCGGTGCCTACGGAAAATAAATAAATTTCTGCAAAAGCTTGGCCAATATTCCCAAGTGATTGAACAATTTGTTCAAGTCAAGCCAGATATTTTAGCGTTGATATGGGGGCCGATAAAGCTATTGCTTCAGATGGCGAATGCCACAACACAGTCCTTCGACGCTATTGTCGATACAATGGACATCATCGGAGACAAATTGCCTTTGTTCGAGAACTACACGATGCTTTTCGAGGCGAAGGATCGGGTTAAAGATGCTCTGATATTATTCTACAAAGATATCTTGGATTTCTTTGGCATCGCTTTGAACTTCCTCAGTTTGAAACGTGAGACCCCCATGGAATGGTATCTAATGAGGAGAGCTAAGAATTATAGATTGGAAACTTGTTTTCGAATCTGTCTGGCCAAAGCACAGGAGCAAGATTGACGTCGTGGTTAGCAATATAGAGCGCCATAGTTTCCTCCTACGGGATGAAGTCAATCTTGAACATATCAGTGAAGCCCATCAAGCTAGAGTTATCGACTTCGACCGCTGGGCAGCAACTTTCGAGTTCCAGGCACGGCAAAATTATAACGAACTTGAGACCTTTATTTCCCCAAGATTGTACGATGACGAACTGGATCGGTTCCAGAGGAACCTGTGCGAGAGGACAGGACGTTGGATCCAAAGGGACAAAGCTATAAGCAAATGGCTTGATCCAAATGATACAACAAATAGACTTATTTGGTTACAAGGGATACCCGGGGCAGGTATGTTAAGGCAGGTGATTGGCAACACTTGGATGGAAATACTGACGCGGAGATGCTGCCCGTAGGAAAATCATACCTGTCTTCCATGATCGTGGAAAAGGCCAAAGCTTCGCGAACGACCGTTTTATTTGTTTTCCTGAGCTATAAGCAAGGGGAAGTTTCCACAATATCGATTCTTCACTCCCTGATCTTCCAACTGGTCATTGGCGCTGAGGGATTTGACGAAGCACTTAGAGAGGATATGAGGATCAAGCTTTTCGAGATTTATCGGTCAAGCCAACGGAACCTAAAGAGCAACACCAAATTTGCCCGAGAAACGCTATGCAGCCTCCTGAATTGTGTAGGGCCAGCTCATATCATCATAGATGGACTAGATGAGCTCGCCGAAGGCGAACGAGCTACAACCCTTCGTGAGATTTTATCCGTATTGCAGGATGCACTTGAAACAAAACTGTTCATAAGCAGCAGAATGGAGGATAACATTTCTAGGATCATGAGGAAAACTGTTCATAAAGCAGTCCGCGTGGACGACCAGAACGGCGGATGTATTCAATCATTCGTCTCGATTACAAGTCAAAAATGGCTGAGTGAATCAGATTTCGATGAAGAAGCTTGCTCAGCAATTACGAATCTCCTATCTCTGCTGGCAGCTAAGGCTAAAGGTATACCAAAATCAAACAGTGCTTTTTCAACTATTAATTCTCGATCAATTAGGAATGTTCCTCTACGCGAAAGTTGTCATGGACAATGTCCAAATGTGCCACAATCCTGAATCAATTCGAAATGAGTTAAGAGCTTTACCCGAGACTCTACAAGATGCGTAAGATAATCGCCCCCCGAAACTATCTGTATACTAAGTCCTTTTCCCCAAGCTATGCTCGTGTTCTTCAAAGGCTTCATGAACTACAACCCGCAACAAGAGAGCTGTCTCGACGAGCACTTGGTTGGATAGGGTGCTCCCCGATTCCAATCCTAATACAAGAACTTGCGTTTGCTCTAGATATGGTGGCTGAGACCGACGTACAGCTGCCACGGAATACAGGGTCCCTCAATATAGTTCAGCTCTGCGGTCCCGTTGTTGAAGTATCAGGAGACTATGTCCACTTCGTGCATTTCACTGTGAAAGAGTAAGCTCTATTTGTTGCCCTTTATCCATTGAGGAAGGCTAATGGAAACAGATACTTGTTTTCTTTACAGTCACAAAGTTTTGTGCGGATATTGGAGGCAAATCTTGACATGGCTACAACATGTTTGAGATATCTTTGTCTTGATATATTTGACTCTGAGATTGAGCCAAGTCATATAAAAGAGCATATTCTGTCTGGTGCATATCGCTTATATTGGTTTGCAGCCAGTCAACTTCTGCACATCCTCCAAAGATGCTCAAGGCTTATTAGCAACCAACCTCTACCCACCCCTCTAATAGAAGCATTAACTCTGTTCTATCAACATCGAGAGAACATGAGCTTCGATCGAGCCAAAATTGGCCACAAAGGAGCCACGGTGGACAGTCTTCCAGAGGCTAATGAGTTTGAAGCTTTCAAGGAAAAGCTACCTGAAGAGCATCAATTTTTACACAACGCCCTTGGACTACGTCGCCTCGATGTTGGGAAATGGAAACTGGACGAAGGTACCGTCCCATTGCACTTGAAACTTTTGCTATAAATCAAAACCGATGAAATAAAAATTCCTTGTGCTAACCCGGAAGCCTGGATCTAGATGATAAGTGGACAAATAATGACCCATCCACATTGTCAGAAATTTCGATCCAAATTCATGGACAATTCGAAGCTCTTCTCTGTACGACACTGAATCATTCAGTCAATTGCGCTTGTGCCAAATTGCAGCAACATTACGGTAAACGTCTCTTCAGATGCGATTACGCCATATGCCAACCCCAACGAATTGCGTTTGAGAGATTTTCCTCGCGTGAAATACACTGTGAAAACCACGATCGATCATACAAGTGCTCACACCCTGCGTGCGAATTCTATACCCTCGGTTTTACCTCTCGAGGACAATTGGATAAGCATACAGAAAAGTGCCACCGTGACACTCAGCCAAGAGTCATTCGGTTTCTTCCAAATCCAGACCGGGATGAACTTGTGCCGTTACTATCGGACCTCATCACCCTCGGACTGACTGCCGAGGTGCAAGCTTTAAGTGGGCGTTTCCACTCCTTAGATCCCCTCAGTCAGCGTACTCTTCTTGATCAAGCTGCCTACTCTGGACCATTGCCGATGGTACAAGCTCTATATATGGCTTGTGATGAGGAGGCTTGTGACAAGGAACACCAAAGGTACAGAATCCTTGCTTCCATGGCCTATGATTCTCTTTTGGGCGAGAATGTAGAGGTCTTAGAGTGGCTTAGCCACAAATTCGCCAACACTTGCATGGATCAACATGGACGGCCTATGACGAGTCATCTGAGTGAGTTCTTTCTTTCAAGTGGAGCAAATTCGGATTCTCCAGAAGTGTTCCACGTGTGGAAAAAATATGTCTCACATGCCGTCTCCACCAGCCAAGGCCATCCAGAACTAATCATAATGAAGGAGGGGTTCATCCGGAGCATAACAAATCCCATCAAACAGGAACGACTGGCAGGGTTTTGGGAAGAACTCATTCGTTGTGGGAATTTGACCAAGCCTCAATTAGGCCGTGCGTTGAGCTTAATAGCTGCAACGACTTGCTCAGTTTTTCTGGCGAAGGTTCTACTTGAGGGCGGAGCGGAAGTGGATTTCAGACCCGCTGCAAGGTATGGAAAGGAATCCACAAAAAAAACGCCGTTGCATCTTGCCTCTAGGAAGATGACAAGAGAAGCAGCCGAGATGATGAAATTGCTGCTTCTTTGGGGTGCAGATCCAAACGCAGATGCTAGGACTTTTTGGTCCCACGCTCGAACGAAGCGATCAGATGAGAAAAAGGATGGGCCAAGACGAACAGTTGATATGGAGAGAGGAACACAAAAGATTGAAAAATGGCTGGGCATGCCATGGGAGAAGTTGGTAGAATGGGCTCAAGAGCAGCGATCTCAGAATATCAAACAGAAAAGCACATCTAAAATCTAGGTAGACTTGACGCCAATGCTCTCAACTTAATTAATCAACCGCCCTATCGTTAAACCAAGGCTTGTCGTAGATTCTATATTATATATTAATAAAAATAGCGCGGGAATCAACAAAGTCTCCGTACCTGTAACCGATTTTCATTTGTGATCATTTGGGCTGAAACGTTCCCAAAGGGTTCCCGTGCCATTTTTAATTTGGCCTGTTGAATATCCTGAACGTACTAATTTTTAATATATCGTTTAGTAAGAAGCATCGAAAGGACAGAAAGGCTCGGACGAGCAAAGGAAGATCGGCTAACCCACCATTTCAATAGAATCTTTGACGATGTAGCGAGTTGTCACCACATCTCGAGTTTGTCCCATGCGATGCACCCGGTCGAGGGCCTGTGCTTCAACCATTGGATTCCATTGAGGTTCAATGATATGTACACGGCAAGCTGCTGTAATATCAACCCTATTTCAGAATAGACAGTAAGTATATTTGAGTAGTCACATCCATGGCCGTTGGCGTACCCCTCGGCAATACTTCCAATGCTTGCAAGCATCACGGTGCACTCTGGGTCATCATGCAGCCTTTTGAGAGCTAGAAACCTTCTTTCAAGTGGTGTTTGCCCATCTATCCGCTCGAACTCGAAGTTATTCTCCCGCAAAGCAACTGCGATGAGGTCTAACATTTTTGTCCAATAGCTAAATATCACACTGTTGGATACACTGCTTTAGCTTGATATAAGGATTCCGGTGATGCCACGCTTACCTTTTTATCGGTTTCTCGGAATCACTGGGGATGTGTTCGTTTTGTTCAGCTCGGAGATTGTTGATTAGAGCCGTAACTTTCGAAGATGGTAGGCAAACATTGCTAGAATTTTGTCCAAAATTCGTGACAGCTAGCGGCAGAATCTGTGGGTAATGATTGCGTGAAGCTTCCGTGCTGGATTGTGAGTCGTTCTCCCGTAAGTCGAGATCATTGGCGAAAGCATCTCGGCTTCTCCACAATTCCAACGAGGAAGAAGATAGGAGTTCTTCGCCGTGGTTGCATATCAGCCTCAAACAGTTTATTAAAGTAAGAATATTACCCCACCCCCCTTTGTTGAGAGCTTCGTGATGCACGGTACTTCTCGCAACTAGTGAAGATGCTCGAATTTTGAAAAAGCCATATAGTAAGCGCTCCGAGGTATTTAGTTCCACCAAATGCTCCTTATCGGTACGGCGAGGAAGTTTTAACTGATTTCTCACATGTTGTTTTGTTCTCCTTAGGCAAGTTGCAGCAACAAGCTTTTTTAACCGGTCAAGGCGTTCAGTGTTGTTAGCTTCGGTCCAGATGTAAGAGCCTACCCAATAGGCAAATGCAGTTTTTCCAGACAAACCAGTGAATGGTTCCACCCCGATAAATGACAACAATGCTCCATAGTCATCCATCTGGTTATGAATTGGAGTCCCAGTGAGACACCACCGATATTGAGCGCGGATTCCGCAGACCGCTTCGAATGTTTTTGATGAGCGATTCCGGATATGGTGAGCTAGAATTGATTGTGTTAGCAAGCTTATACGGTTCATTATAATCAGGAAAAAAAAGAAACAACCTTCATCAAGAACAATACGTCTCCATCTTTGGACCTCGGAGAATAGATGACTATTTGCCCGATTACTGGACCACTCAGATTTCAGAGTCTCGTAAGTCGTAATAACGATGTCCTTGGTCAATATATCTGAAGATAGCTTTCGTCGATCAGAGCCGTGAAAGACAATGCTTCGGAGCTGCCCAGGGTGAAAGTGTCTGTGGTAAAGGTTAAAATAAACTCTTATAACAAGGCGACAGAGAAATACCGATCAATCTGCTGCTGCCAACTAGAAATCGCTTTTGCTTGTCAGCAAATTCGTTTTCTTTTTCCAAACGGAGCAGTGTTGTTACTGGATAAGGTTGTGACGACAAGTGTCGCACGAGGAGCTCCGTTTTGATGTTCAATGGAATCAAGATGCCACGCAATGAGAGCCAATACGCTCAAAGTTTTTCCAAGACCCATTTCCTGTCTGTTATCAGAATTAAAGAAAAATTAATTATGGAATGACCGAGCGTACATCAGCCAATATCCCGCCAGAAAGAGGCGGCGGCGAAGCCAATCTTGTTATTCCAGTGATTGCATGCCGATACCTGTATATATTAGAGATTGATCTCATGTTTTGCAGAGACTGCATGTGGTTTACCTTCTGTTGCCATCTGAACCTTTAAGAACGTCCCAGAGAGACGGAAAACTTGGCTGGTCAACAGGTCCCAGCTCTTTTTCAGCCATCATGGACAGCGCCTTCATTTGGTGCCTCGAGTGAAGTTAGCTAAGAAAAGTTTCATACAAAGGTTTACGCACTCTTGAAGCTGTGTTTTCAGACGTAGACTCGGTCCAACATTGGTATATGTGGCTGGCCCACTAGCGCTGTCAAAGGTTTGAAGTACCTCATTCATCTGTTTCCGGTCCAAGTGATCACCACAATCGTCAGTATATGTGAGTCTTGGAGAAGGCTCCATAGTTGTGGATCTTAGATCGGGCATCTCGAACCCGGGGGGTAGCAGGAACTGAGGGTTTTTGTAAGGAACACCGTCATCAATCTGGGATGGATGTTGAAGATAAAGACTGTCATCTGACAACGAACGGCCTACTGCGTCGAAGTCTGTCTGTAGTCCATATATGACAATGTGCATTTGGACCTTCCTAGGCTGACGGCTCGAAGACTTGATACCATCCCTAGGCTTTTGAAGCAAAGGGGAAAGGGTTATCGTAAAATTTTCAGCAAGTCGGGTCAGCGTTTGTGACTGAAGCAGACCGATATATTTGTCTGATTTGGGGAGATGGAACTTGAGCAAATCCCCGTGTATTCGTGCATTGACTGGGACGGAATCTCGAGCAAGTTGTGGCAACATGAAGGCAGAAATATTCATTATAAGCTACCCATGTCAGCAACTTTCTGTATGGAGATAGGGATGGGAGATATTGACCATGCCGAAACAAATATTATACGAGGTCGTGCCAAGTTTATCGGAGAGAGATACTGTTTCCTGAACTCTTGAAAAAGAGTTGGGAGGCTGCACCGTAGGCATGAGAATGGAATCAAGCTGTTCAAAGTCCACATTGATTGGGTCGAGTTCCATTGAAACATCCTCCAGAGTGATGTCTATTAAATCGGGAATGATTCTAGACTGATGGACCTTGGTGGTGCTATCGATATCATCGAGATCAATGTTTACGCACGAGTCATCTGACTCCCTTACTAGCGGCTGCCTCAATCCAGACGAAGGCGAATCTGAATGGCTCGGTTCGAGCGCATCTTTCAATCGCGCTATCTTGCTCGCTGACTCGGACCCTGCATTGATGGACTCCCTTCGGGGTCGTTTATGCTTTCGTTGGCTCGGAGACATAGTAAAATAAACTAATGTTTGTTTTGCTGGTTCCGTCTGCAATTCATTGTACGCTGGCCTGGAGAGGGAAAAGGGATGTGGAAGTGGGCGAATTTGCACAGCCACACGCGCGAGCGCCTAGCGAGGGGGCCAAAACATCGATGATTTTACCTACCATCATTTCACCCTTTGTGCCGCACGCGTTGCCCTACAGCGTCCCCCAAAAGTCCCATTTAACAACAATTTTCACTGACTATTGGCATATTAAGACGCTCTTATCTCCCCGCAAAGCCTGTCATGAGTCGGTTCGTTACCGCTCGAAACCATACCAACCACTTCCGCTATCGCGATTTTGAAACAGATCAACCAGTTTGGAAAACCTACCTGACTACTAAGTTTGAAAGCTGATCGGTGTTTTGTCAATGCTAAAGCTGAATGCCGCGTGTTGCTGCGTCTCGAGCACTCCCTCTTTATGTGAAGCCCCACTAGGAAGATGCCAAATACTGCTGCTACTATGTAGGATCTCCAGCAACATCATATGCAACAGAACTCATATTCATTTCAGTTATAAAAAATAAAGGATCTAACGGGTATAGAAAAAGGTGAAATATCATAAAGCCAAGAAATGAAACAAAGTATTTTCATGGCGGGCAGTATAATGTGTCTCTAAACCGAATAAATACAACACAAGCAGGAATCAAATCGTGCAGAGCGCCAAAGCATAACTGCTAGGAGTGGGTGATTTGCGACGAACCTTCTTGAGGTTCACATTGATCTCTTAGAACACCATACCCTTGACCTGAGCAACCTTCTTCAGGTTGATGTTCTTGATCATGATAGTCCACGCGAATGCCAGGACCATCACACCCACACCAGCAGAAAGCATCCTAACTTGGGTGTAGCCGTACGCTTTCTGGATGCCTGCTCTCATCTGAGTACCGGGAGCATAGCTCAACTGTGTCTCGACATCTTCATAAATCATCTCCAGGTCTGTCAAGTTTGGCAGATACCACGTGAGAGCCTTCTTGTATGTGTTGTTCCAGATTGCCATAGAGATAGTGAGACCTGCGGAATCACCGATGGTACCAACCACACTGAGCAAGGCAAGGGCTGTAGCGACATGCTGGTGATCAACTGCAGCGAGAATAGCTAGCTGCTGGACGATGATAAAGATCGATCCGGCAATGGATATGAAGATTTGACACATAACCTGGTAACCAACACTCTGGCCGGGACGACGGAAGTAGATCATCAAACCCTGGGCAAAGATGTATAGAGGAACGGAAATATAAAGGAGCCACTTAAAGCGACCGGTCTTCCGGATCGACCATCCTACAAAGAACAAAAGTATACCGGAAACCACGTCGAACGTATTGGTGATATACCCAGCTTCGGCAATAGTGAGGTCATTAACTACTTGAAGGAAGTTCGAGAAGTAGTTGTTCCAGCAATAGTTCGAAAGCTGGTATGTGGCATCCAAGAGACATGCCCCAACGACGGTTCGGTTGGTGAGGAAGGAATAAGGTAATAAAGGTGTAGGAGCGATGTATCTCTCGTAGAAAGCAAAGAAGAAGAGCATCGAGAATCCGACCACAATCATGGCAATGATATAATCTGTGCCCCAGCCGTTGGGAGCCTCGCTAGCGATGTCAAATGGAAGCTCAAATAGGACAAGACCCGCAGTAAAGATGAAAACTCCGATTACTAAATGAGATATTAGTTTTTGTAGAAAAGTCAATTGACAGTTTGGAATACTCACAATCGAATTCAAGAGTCCAAAACCAGACGCTTTGAAGGAATGAACGTCCACTGTTCTCTCTGATAACCACAGCATTTCCCTTTTTGGCTTTTTTCAGATTGAACTTTAGGACGAAGAACAACGGAGCAGCCACGATAGGGAAGATGATAGCAAAAGTACCATAGGCCCATCTCCAGCCAGTATGGGCGTAGAATAGATCCGCCACCTTTGGTCCAGCAAAGGCCGTAATAATGTATGGAGAAGACGTGAAAGCGTATGCAAGAGCTCGGTTTCTCAACTGCGAGAGATCGGCGGTGATGACATCCACAGCGAATCGCATACCTCCAAAGCCGATGTAGTAAAAAACCTAAACTAGCTATTAACATTGGATTCATAATTCAGGGATATTCTCTTACGTTTGCAGCGCAATAGACAGGGAAACTGTTGCAACAGGCCATAAGAATGAGGCCCACGGTGGCGCAAATCGACATTACCAGGAACCCTTCGGCTCGACCCCAAGTGTCCACCATCTTGGCCACTGGAAGGAAGACGGCAGCGGAGAAAGCATCCGCAATAGCGGTAGGAAGACCAGATAAAGAGTGTTGTTGGAAAGAGCTAGCCACATAAGTGCTCAAGCTGCCATCAATTGACGATATCCAGGCATAGGTGAAGTAAAGGAACCACATACTATTGAAGTATAACATTAGCGATAGTTCAGAAGAAGCCCCCGGGAGGTAAATCAATTTACTTGATGAAAACGAAAATCAAGGACGCTTTCGACCAGGTCTGAGCGACGGCCTCAACTTCCTGGATACCATGTTGAAGCTCTTCATAGGGCACACCGGGTAGCTCAGCACCATTGTTTGGAAGTGCCTCTTCGGGATGGGTGACTGGCCCATTTGACTTCTCTGCTTCTATTGTGTTTCTGTCTGTATCGACCGAAGAACTTGCAGCCTCATCACTGTCGACTTTCATTCGATGGAAGACCGACCGGGCCCTTTGCATCAAAGGTCGAAGCGTCATGACAATGGATATGAAACGCAAAATTCCAAGAACTCAAACAAGTTGAAGGTTTCAAGAGTATTTTGGAACCACGAGGGAAAGGCAAGTTAAAATATAACATAAAACATGCGGGATTCCCACATAAAACACCGAAGTCGGCACATTAGCTAGCAGTGTTTTGAACGCTCATATGTGGGTCAAACCGACAATCCTTTCCTCCTATATAAAAAGTGTGACAACATACGCGGTATAAATATAATGGAGTCCAAACATATTCGTTCAGTGCGTGGACCCTTGCTCCACTGGAGCCACAGACAACCCGGCGTCGGCCTGTGACAAGATCTAATCAGATCGCCAGTGGCTGAAAGATCTTTACCGCATTCAGTTACCTTCATTGAGACCCATTCGGGTCCATTCGCTTCCAACGTCAGTTCAAGCTTCGTGTGGCTGCTTGGAAATTTATTATGGAACCTTGGCATTATGGGCCAACAATGTTCTCTCCAGCAACCGGAAAACGCGCATCGAAAAAAAATCCTGGGAAGTTATCAGATTTGCCAAGCCTTCGGACTTGATTATTTTCTATTATCTGCGTTGTGTGCATGGGTGATAAACGCTTAAAATTGATTTCTATCCCCTTTCCTACATAAAATGAATGCGTAACTCATCAAATCCGTTTAATCCAGTCCCAGATCAACGTGATATATCCGTACGATTGGGGCTAGATTAGGGAGATAGTTCAGCTATTTGGCTATCGAGTCAATTGTGTGTATATCATTGTAGACATGGGAACAGCTTAAGATCCCGCCGAATGAGAAACTCAGTACAAGCCTCATGGCGTAACTTAAGGCGCTGGCCGTATCTCGCGATTATCCCTTGGCGCCCCTCGTTGCCCCCATTTTGAACTCTTTTTGAAAGTTTCCAGCTGGGGTGGCAAGTGATACCCAGGGCTTTTATGGCATTAGGAATATTACTGCATATCGCGGTTGTTGTTTCTTCTGCTGGCCTTAATTTTCACGGTGCTGAACAAGTACAATCTTGATAGATTGAAAAAGCGATCGCCCTTCGCGATCGCGATAAAGACGTACATGGTATAAGAAACTCTACTTAGAAAAAGTAGAGTAATTTGTCCTTCTGTCTGGAAAATGGCTTCTCATGACTGCTTATTGCCTGTGAATTTCGAGTCCATCCAACTGCTCGACCATCTTCTCTTGTTCGTCAAGAGCTATTTCAATACTGGCTGGTACTGGAGCCGATGTCATCGATTTGCCCTTCGCTTGAGAGACAGGAACTTTGGTTTTCCTGGAGTCGATGCTCATGGCTTCTCGTGGTAGCGGAGCATCTACATGCCCGTCTGTCTCCGACGAGAGTGGAATAGAGTAACGATCCTCCGGGAACACAAGCAGGCTTCTAGGAAATATCATCGATTCCCTCCCCTTAATGAATTCGATGCAGAGATCTTCAAGGAAATCTCGCGGAAGTTCTCTTGTCTTTTTTCAAAGCGCTCTGTGCTGGACCTTCGCACCCATATATCCACTGCGAGGCGACGCATTGGGGACTGAGCTAAGGTATTAGAATAGATGTAATTGATTGTATCGACGCCCATAAATCCCATTGGCAAAGTCTCGGTCTTCCTCTTGCAGACTACCATCACAGAGTTCTGTAACTCTGCCATCTTAAAATCGCCAGCCAAAATCCACAGCCGAGTCAGAAAATCCAATTTCTTGCTCTCAAGTAACTTAATACAACCGGTACCACGGTACATCCAAAGAATGAGTTGGGCAAAGACTTGGGGATCCTCTGTTGGGAAAGAAATAACCTCGTCTGCGAGAACCAGGTCATAACGGTGTTGAAACAGGCTCTCAAAGTAAGGCGAGCAGGTACACAGTAGCTCCAGGTGGACATCGAATGGAGTCTTTGATACTCCTACCTCGATTTTCACAACACCGCCACTCAGATCGCTATTGCATCTGGTCAATAATCAAGACGTAGATTGTCGCGAAATCACTTACGCTTCGACTAGATGACTATCCTTATCGATTTCACTCGGTCCCCAAGATTCCATATTTACTAAATTGAAAGCGAGTCAGATAGCAATGAATTAAACCAAATTCGTTAGATGAAAATTCTTGTGGCTACAAGCAAGGGGAAGAAGAGGAAGAAGAATCATGATCTATTCAATCTAGCAAAAGCGGGGTATCTATACCCTGTAGACTACATATGTACCGGATAATGCCTGGCACACTCGACCTTTCCCTTTGAAAGCCGTTTTAGTGCTCACCTCTTGCCGCTTTTTGATCACTGAGTAAAACTGAGCACGTCCCTGAGTATTCTGACTTGATCACGGGCTATTATATAATCAACGTGATCTGCTCACTAACTAACTAAGCATCACCTGATTAGACCTGGCTAGGAACCGCGGGTGAACCTCACGAACCTCAAGGAGGTTCACCCACCCGGAGGTTAAGGTTCCATGACCTAGAACCTCCGGGCGGTTCTATCTTGGACCGAACCTCATGGAGGTTACCCGCGGGTGAACCTGAGGTTCAACAAGCATAACAAATAGGTAAAAAACGTGACTTAGGGTCAACTGTATAAATTATGTAGAAATAGGCTGTATTCTCTCGTAATTATAAACCAAAACTTTATTAATGTATGCCCTCATAGGAGGATTTAGTGCATATCATAGGTTCAGCTTCGAATTAGGGTTTCAACTTTTAATTATCAATGGTTTATATTATATCTATAGTGTAGTGTCTAGTTATAGTTCTGAAGAGTCAAGATTCAAGGAATCAAGCTATATACCCATCTAGTAGTCTCGACTTCTTCCGTATTCTTGTAACGGGCCAAGGCCACATTGAAGCCCGGGCTCTGCCCGTGCAGGCATCGCACCCGATACTGCCGCGAAAGCAAGGTAGCCTTACTGCCCTGGAGGACACTATATACTATAGTTGACCGCCCCTTTGTTTACAGTTCTCTAAGATTTAGATAAACAGCATGCAGGCACCGTTCAATTGAATCAATTCAGCCGTAGCCCTTCACAGGCTATTGGCTTCCCGGCGCCACCATACTTACTACTAATACAAAATTGGTATCAATCGATGGAGTAGGGAGTTACAATTTACTTGTAACTATTTAGAAGGCTGTGGCCCAAGGCGTTGTGGTGAAATTTCAAAAATTAGATTTGCGCAGAAGTTTTTTTTTTTTCCATCTCTCGCACATAACCTTTGGTATGCCAGACGTATAATGGGCTATCTATTTGAAGCGAGTCCAAATATCCGACGTGTTGCCCGTTCCATCCCAATGGAGCTTTTTTACATTCTCGCTATCATCTGCGTTAACCTGCGGACTACCCTGCTTGCTGCCTTGCTCTGTCTGAAGCCACCAGTGGAGAAAATCGTCTTTGCTCATTTCGGTGTATAAAATGAAGGATTTATGTCGGTCGGCGCCAACGCGTTCGAGGGCTATAGGAATAGGAGGGGGTTGACTCAATTGGGTATCAGTAATTGAGGTAAGGGTTTGCTGGCTGGACGATGGGTCCAGCGTGAATGCATCATCCGGGATAGGGTATGGAAAGCGTTCTGAGCTGTCTCCCTCGTAGACCGACGAGGAATAAATGTCAGATAGTTGAGACCCTATGGTATACATAATTGAGAAAGGTAGTAACTATATAGAGAGAGTAAGAAGTGAGACTTACATTCTTCCTTTGCTACAACTAAGAGAAAGAGGAAAGTCGTTGGCGTTAGAAACAATTGAGGCTGATAGATCATAAAGTGACTGCTGATCTATGGTTTCTAGTGATTTGATTGGCCGATATTTGCTGCAGCCCGCAGATGGCCCATGGGCATTGCCCATGGGCCGCCCATTTCCCGCGGAGTTTCGCTGACTTGTAGTCCCCCCGAGTTTTGGTCTGATGTTTTTCACTTTGCCCTGTGAATTTCGCGTCAAAAGCGTTCAAAAAACAAGATGGTAGATAAATTGTCAATATATTAATTCACATTTGATGGGGAAAACACCTAATTTACTAAAAGTAAGCGAAACAATAATTGTAAATGCATGATCAGAGTACTCAGGACAATACACTATAGAAATATATATCTTCAACGCATCTCCAGAGGAACAAGTGCCTTTTAGGATTATTTGACCCCAACAGGTGATATTCAACTTCAATAAAGCAATTGGTATGAAAATGATATAACAAATAAGAATACAGCGATATTTACCAATTTTTCACAAAAGATATGCTTCGTTTTGGACATCAAACACTGTATGGACCATGACGTGTGTAAATAAACGGTATTTAACTCGCTGAATCAGCGATTTATCCATCCTATTTGGGAAAGTTGTGCACTGATGGGCGGTTGATGGGCGGCCCCATGGGCGCCCAACCATTGCTATCTGGCTTCTATGTATTCATTTTCTGCTCATTATATCTTATAGAACACATTGCCCTCAAACAACCGACGTGCGGTCCTTAAAACTGCGACTTGTCTCACATGAATATCTCCGTTTCCATTCAGACCCAACATTGTTTCAGTCTGCATAACACCAGCAGGGTGTCTGATCCGTACTGGGATAGGGCTCGCAATTCTCTGCCCCTCAATCTCCATTCCATGTTTGGGGGAATTGTTTCTCGTCGGTCCGTTAGCCAACTGCCACGCGACAGTCCCGTGAATCGCCATCGCAGCTCCAATGCACACAGCACCCGTCATTTGGATACTCGGATGCGGTTTACCCATTGAAAATGCGAGCACGTCTATGTCCGAGCCTTCGTCGGCGGGTGGAGATAGAAATGCGATTTTTGGTGTGCCTCGAACAATGCTTGCTCTCTCCACATCTGGAGCTAGGCCAAACCGCACTGCGCCTTCTTGTCGAATGTCTTCGGCAAGGGAGATGAAATCGGCGTCAAATGCATCTGGTCTTATTGGGTGGCCGTTCACCTTTAACGAGCTAGAATCGACGAGTACAAATGGGTTTGCCGCGTCGACAAGGCTGACTCGTAGTTGAATGGTACCCAAATGCTTTGAATCAATGCTAATAGTCTCCTGTGTTGCGCTACTTGGAAACATCTTCCCAGTCATACTCCCTTCAGGATTGAGAAACGCGACCTTGAGGGGACTTGAGGTGCCCTCAACGCCGGGGATGTGGCAAGTTCCATCCTCTCTGTACTTTCCACTCGGGGATAGCTGGACCGTTTCCACGATCGTTTGTTGAGTGTTTGTGTTGAAAATACGGACATTGATCTAATCCCGAATTAGCAGACGAAAATATGAATCTGCCGAATCTTGCTCACTTCACTTTGGCCAGCGATCGCTCCTACAAGACCTTCATCTAATGCAAAAGGGCCCACTCCAGATGCAATATTCCCACAGTTCCCTGTTATATCAACCTTCGCCTGATCAGGGGCAACTTGGACGAACGTATAGTCCACATCGATACCCGGTCGAGTTGACTTCGCAATGACTGCTACTTTCGAAGTTGTCGATGTAGCTCCGCCAATACCATCAATCTGTCGACCGCCAGCATTGGATGATCCCATTGCTGATAACAAAATAGGTCCCCACTGTTCCACTTTCTCGGGCAAATCCCTTCGGTGAATGAAGAGGCCTTTGGATGTTCCTGACCGCATCCAAACTGCGGGCAATGACCGTCTTGTTGGGTATGGAACATATTGTTTCAGTGGAAAGGGATTCGAAACTGCATAAGTTTCTGCAATCGACAATGTTGCTGCTGTAGTCATGATGGTTCTTGAACACAGGGTGCTTCGCATTGATCACTCGCTCTTGCGACCACACAACCCATGGCGACCAACCAAGATTATATATGATATTGCATATCTGTTCCCAACTGCAACTTTGCAGTATCGGCATTTGCTCACAACTACCGATCGACCCTTTGTACGCGTTGTGGGTCTCCGTTCCGCGGGAAGTTATATCCCGTGGAAGAAAGTCTCCATGGCATCTCTGAAGCGCTAACCCGGTACCATGGCACATTTTTTGTCTGGGGCAATATTTCCCCGGATATTCAAATCTGGAGCGGGGTGCGTTTAGACATAAAACAACCATAGCAGGATGTGGCAGAACGGCAAATGTGGGAGATTTTCCAAATTGATCTCACATATATCCGTTCAACATGGCACTTACAGCCCCAATGGGGCTAGCAGCTACTGCTCAAAACAATTCTCGTGTCTATATTCTTGCAATTGTCACCTCAATGGGTGCATTTCTGTTTGGTTATGATTTGGCATTCATTGGAACGTCAATTGAGTTGGACCCGTTCAAAAGGTATCTAATGAAATGCATATACTTGTTTTAAATTTGGACTAACTTGCTCAAGGGACTTCGGACTAGATGGCGCATCAGAGGCCGTCCAAAACGCATTTTCCGCCAACATAGTGTCACTACTTCAAGCAGGATGCTTCTTCGGTTCTCTCGCGGCAGCACCTGTTGGTGATAAGCTGGGCCGGCGGCTAGCTTTGGGACTTGGTGCCATTGCTTTCATTGTGGGATCAATTATGCAGACAGCCTCAGCTGGTAACACAGCTGTCATGTTCGTGGGAAGAGCAATCGGCGGGGTAGTAAGTACAACATCCGATTAAATGCCTTCTTAACTTGGGTTATTTGATTCGCTAACCTTTGACAGGGAGTTGGCTTCGCTAGCATGCTGGTGCCGTTATACACAGCGGAGTGTGCACCGCCAAATATCCGAGGTCGGCTGGTTGGAATTTACGAGATTGGTGTTCAATTAGGAACATGTCTAGGTTTCTGGATAAATTTCGGCGTCGATCGCAATATGGCACCCACCTCTTCGCAGTGGATGACCCCGTTCGCATTGCAGCTTATTCCAGGTGGTTTGTTAATAATCGGCTTGGCTTTCATGCCCGAGTCACCGCGGTGGATTGCCAAAGTCCACGGGAAGGTCCGAGCCATTAAGACACTTTCACATCTTCGTGGTCTTCCCATTGATCATTCAGCCGTTCAAGAGGAGGTAGACGATATCTTGCATCAGCTAGAGCTTGAGCTAGCGGATAGTCTGGGAAATACCCGTGCTGCTTGGAAGGAGCTCATGCAGCCCGGACTGCGCAACCGGGTCTTCCTCGGTGTGATGATTATGGTTTTCTTCCAAATGTGTGGATCGAACTCCATAAATTACTACTCTCCGCGTATCTTCCGATCAATTGGGCTGCAAGGAACGCAAACAACACTCGTTTCAACTGGAATTTACGGCATTGTTCGATTGGTGGCAGTCTTCATTGCCATGTACTTTGTTGTCGACCGATTCGGCAGGAAGTCGATGTTGATTGGCGGAAGTATCATGATTGTACGGTCCCCGATGGTTTATTTTTGATTTTACGATTTCTGACATTCTCAGGCTATCTCAATGTGGCTGATCGGGGCCTTCGTCAAAGTCCAAAGTTCAACCACAAATTCGAACGGATCGCTTAGTGGAACTTCCTATGCAGCGGCGGTGTTCATATTCGTCTTTGCTGTCTCCTTCTGCTTTAGCTGGGCTGGCGTGCCTTGGGTGATTTGTTCCGAAATCTATCCCTTGCGTGTGCGTGGTTTGTGTATGAGCATATGTGTTGCCACGCATTGGCTGTTCAATTTTGTCATCGCAAGAAGCACGCCCTATATGATTTCGAACATTGGATTTGGGACCTATTTTGTTTTTGCTGCTTGTATTACACTTGCGGTGCCATTTGTTTGGTTTATGGTTCCTGAAACCAAAGGGATGAAGTTGGAAGAGGTGGACGCTCTCTTCGAAGGACGAGGTTTGATTCCAAGGAGGCAACTGAGCATCACCAGGGCTGATGACACTATTGATGATAAGGAAATGTTTGAACAGGTTGAAAAGGTCTAATTGCCGAATATTACTATCGAATTTGCAATTTATAGTCTCCCTTTTTGTTAGCGCTGGTTTGTATATTTTTACATATATATTCGCGGCAATTATATTCCTCCCTACCTGTGCCAACACGCCGAAAAGAAGAACCCTTATTCTTAATCCTATCTAGCAGTCTGGTGGTAGGTTCCGTGAATTGACGACATAATAGCGAACGCTGAAGGCATGAAGTCCCTTAGACCCATATCGTCTCTCGATCTCGTTTGCAGTCCACAAATTCGCCGTTTTGCTCTGCCCATACGCCTGCATGGCGTCGAACTTGTCGTCAAAGTTAATGTCGTTGAAATTGACCGCAGAGAACTTGTGACCAGTGGAGGAAAGTACAAGTACTCTTGAGTGGAATGACGGCGTGGATGCCGAGAGTAGAGCGGGCATCAGGAGGTTGGTCAAGAGAAAGTGCGAGAGGTCATTCACTCCAAATTGAAGCTCGAAGCCGTCCTTCGTGGTCTCTTTGCAGGTCATCATGACGCCCACGTTTGTAACCAAGAGGTGGAATTTGTTATTCTCAGCCAGAAACTCTGCAGCACAACTCCGAACGCTGTCGAGAGACTCCTGGTCAAGGGGAAGAAGGCGGATATTTGGAGACTCTGCGAGTTCACCAAGGGCCATCTTTGCCTTTTGGAGATTTCGTGCTGTTAGATACAGTTTTGCGCCCGTCTTCGACAAGGCCTTAGCTGTCTCGACTCCGATACCCGAAGAGCAACCTGTGATCAAGATCACCTTGTCCGCCCACTTTCCAATGAGGCCTTACGTCTCGGACAACCTGTTCAGCCGTTGGGCGCCCATCCCCTGGGCCGCTTGGGTGTGAATAAGCTGCAGTGTATCGAGATGCCATGGTGACAGTTTAGGTAAAGTAAAGTATGCGAAAAGTAGGTTCTGACGAAGACTTTGTGGTTCTTGCTGAGACAAGATGAGCGTTGACTGGCCCCTTTATATATTCATGGAAAAGAACGAAGCGACCCTCTGATTTATGGGGCGAAAGCTTTCGTCTCAAGGCGAATGCAAGAGGCATTCTCGTGAATCATATTGCCTCTTCGTAAGTGGAGTAGAGCACCTTCAGAAATAAATAAAGATGGTCCCCATTGGCCGGATTACCTCTTAAGGTTGCGCTAATGTGGCTGGGTGACAGCCCCCGCACGATAACACCACAGGATATGTTCAATTTCGTCTCTATGCATGCACTTTGTTGTTGAATACGGAATGGATCTTCGGCGTAATCCATCGACATATGCCCCCGCGCAAGCATCCCTTCTGCAAGGTATCCCCCTACAGGTTGGATTCCGGCTGGAGGATGACTGGACCGGGATTACCAATGCGAAAAGAAGGAAGAGAGTACAGAATCGTTTAATCAAGAGAGAGAGTCGTAAGTCCGCCCTTCCCTTGTCAAGTAACGGTATCTCACTCCATCTAGGTCGGCGCAAGCGCTATGCCGCGGAGAACTCGGAGAACTATGACCCACCGACAGCAGCACTGATACCGGTTATCGGTAACTGCATAACCAACTTTGCGTGTCTGAGGGAGCTTTACAACCTTAAGATTCATTCCGAAAAGATGAAATGGGTCATTCGTCAGCTGGAATGGATATTTCATGACCGGTCCTTGGCCGGTTCGCCCTGCACGGAACTTCTTCTAGGCCTCACACAACTAAACCTGACCCGGGCTCTGATGCATAATATCGAAATCCTGGGATATCAATCGAGCCTGATGCACAACGAAGCGTTGTCTCCTTTCTGCATCGCTGGGCCCTCACAGGCCGACAATGAAATAGTTTCTCTGCCCCCTAGCCTGCAGCCTACTTCCAACCAGCTCTCGACTCCACACCACCCGTGGCTTGATCTATTCCCTAGCCCGCAAATGCGCGATAATTTGATTGTCTTGGAGCCTTTGTTAGATGAATACGGGCTCTGTGGAGACTTATGTAAGTCGACAGAAGGAACGGCGGGAATATTAGTCTGGAAAGACCCTTGGGATCCGACTGGCTGGGAGATAACAAGCTCTTTTATGTCTATCTGGGGCTTAACAGTCCAAAATTGTTGGGATCTTTTTCGATCTACGAACTATTGGCGTCTGAAACGGGAAGAGAAGCTATTATTCTACATTCCCTCAGCTATTTGTAGCTAAGCTGACCCCTGCTTGATAAGAAATCACTGCTTCTTTCGAGTTCCTAGGCTTCTCCCGTGTAGATATGAGGCCTGAAATGGTGGGGGGGTTGCATGTCGCGTTTGATTGGAGGCTTGGAGGCTCGAAAAGAAAAGAACATAGAGGCGGAGCTTCTTATATATCCTGACTCTACAGCGTCTATCCACCTTCGTAGTGGTAGTGTATCGTAGCCGATGTCGAGAATTATACAATTTTCATATTCAGCCGTGGGTATCATGTATCACAATAGAACAATTCTAAAGTTCCAATCAAAGCTTTAGTACCTAGGAGTTGCACAAATTGAAATCCTGGCAATTATCATGTCCTAGTTATACAGAACACTATCTTGTATAGATCCATTAAATCCAAACAACATGTCATCATCAATCTGTGCATCAATATATGAACCGATGTAGCCCGGCATGACAGTCGGGGCAAGACCACCGACTGTACCTAGATGATTTGCAGAAATATCAGAGCCATAGGCTTGCTCACAGAATATCTGCCCATCATTTTGCTTTGCGTTTTGTCGAATGAAGCTTTGAATAATCATATCCATATCCAATTCAGAAGCTTCGGTCTCCGGTGGCGTCATTTGAGCAGGCAAAGCAGATGATTCCAGAGATTCAGGGTCAAGATGAGGCTGGTTTTGTAAATCTTCTATCTGCTCGTTTGAATCATGACCAGGTCGGGCATCACGTTGACGGTGTTGACTACCGATATCAACTTCCATCCGTTCCATCAGATGCAGAATCACATTTTTGGCACGGCGGACAGCCCAGTTTGTCTCTTGATTCTTTTGGAAGATATCAAGACACGTCCAGAGATTTGAATGCGCTCTACTGCCACCTCCTCGTTGGGCGGCGACTCGAACATGAATCGTTGCGGCAACATATGTCGCGTACGAAATCAGATAGGGGGCGCGTCTGATGGAAAATGCCTGGTCGTAGGCTTGCAGGATAATGATAATGCGAGCTGCAGCTGCAGTGCATATTGTGAAGGAGCTGATAGCGACTGATGGATCTGTTATGTGAAGGTGACCTTCGGCCACAAAGGGTCGGTGGAGAAGAATGAGGAGGACGTTGTAGAGTGCCAAAAGAGAAAGGACATGAGGTGGTGGTGTGATCTCTGTTGGGGAATTTCCAAAGCGTAAATAATCCGGCAGGTTCTGATACCAGGTATTCAACTCAGAATCCAAAGCTTTTAAAGTAGTGAGTAGTTCCTGAGGAGACCGATTCGAGCTTCTCTCCGAGTAAACCTTGTTCAGGATACCGTTCAAAATCAACGACAGTTTACAGAGCTCAGTAAATGTTGAAACACTGTATGCAGGTGATCCCGGATATGACTGCACATCTGTATATGCGAACGGTTGCCAGTGTTCTAACTCTTCATAGTGGTCCAAAAATGTCAACGAGACCTTTGTGTCAAAGTCCTGTAGACTTGCTGGACGGCCTTGATAAAGTGACTGGATTTTGTCGACAACAAAAGCACCCCAAAAGACTCGACGGCGTATTTCTATATCCTCGTCCGAGAGACGTCGCATGTTGCTGAGTATAGTAGCATCCACGTGCATACCAAGGTCGATGATCATCCTAAATGCCGTACCCGCATAAAGCCACGCAGCACTGCGTTCATCGCCTAACGCAAACAGGGAGCTAGTCATCACTAGCAATGCCTGGATAGTGGTGATTTCACTTCGATCCAAAGCGCTGCCCAGCAATTCTTTGACTCTCTGTCGGAATGTCCATCCAGCAGTGCGGACATCATCGGGGTCTCGGCGAACCTCGGGGCGATTGCTGAATTTCGATGCGCCGAAGTAAATCGCGTTCAACAGGAGCTTGGAGAAGTACGGACCACCGGTGGCCATATCTCGCATAAAAGCCGGGCGATAAGTGATCAGGAAAGAATGATGCTGGCGATTCCAATGCAAAGATAGGAGGTGCATTCCGAGTTCCGGATCGACTCCATCAAAGTCTAGCTTACCTTGTCGCAAATTCAATCCTTCTAGTTGTCCTGCTCAAGGTTAGTGTAAGAAGAACTCGCGGTGAAGGAGGGACTCACTTTGATAGGCAGACTCTCCCATCAACTGCTTGCGAATATGCTCCATCGGCATCTGCGGATCCGCCGACCGAGGATGACCAAGTCGATCTGTCGGCGCATCGTCGAACAAAGTGCTCGTAAGTCCGTGGTAACTTGAGTCGCCATTAGGCGAGATGAATATCCTCGATACAGCCGATTGAGACCGGTCGGCATTTTGTGAATTCGGAATATCCGGAGGTCGCGTTTGTTTTGGCTGCTGGGATGGACTTTCTGTGGCATCTCTTTGATCCTCAGAACGTGCATGGCCACGTCCTAGGTGTTGTCGAAGTTGTTCATTTTCCGCTTCTAGTCGTGATAGCCGAGCGTTTGTTGGTCTTCGGTTAGTTAGTGATGATCACTCCAGGGCTGTCTGTGCAGATATGCGCAAGCGGATAATTAATGACCTACCTTGGTCGCTCAGGTCCAGGTACATATGCACATTGTTGTGCATATGTCTTGCAGTTGGAACACGGTCTTTCGCTGTCACAGCGGAACTGTTCCACAGTTAGTTCCACGGCGCTCAGAGCTTTGCGATTTACTTGCCTTCCTCCGTCGACAAAATGAGCAGGCCTTTGCGGCCCTCCGCGGCTTAGATGGAGATTGTTTTTCCATGATATTCTTGAGAGATTCGTCCACGGAAGAATCGGGTGATAAACGAGAACATTTGAATTGCCGCGGCAAGTCTCTTCCCGTTCCGTTCCCTGTTCTCCGCCCCCACATATCAAAGGGGTCAAGGGCTGTATAAGTTGGAGTTTCCGTGACTCCCCCTATTCGTCAGAGAAACGGATATTTGCCGTACCTTCTCATCATGGCCAGCATTGCTCAGTCAGAAAAATCTGAGCTACATAAACCGCAAAGGGTAATTGATCTGGTGCTACCCAAGTACCTCGGCTAACTGATCTTCCAGATTCATACACCCCAATGGGTCTCCCTAGTGTCTGGAGGAATTGCAGGCGGAGTGGAAGCAGCAATAACAGTGAGTGCCATACCCATTCTATGTTTGTTCGGCGATTAATATCTGGCAGTATCCATTCGAGTACTCAAAAACTCGCGTTCAGTTGTTAGACACCGGCGCTGTTAAGACGTCAAATCCTTTACGTCTCATTCTTCAAGTTGCCAAGCAGGAAGGTGTTGGTGCACTTTACACGGGATGCTCGACTCTTGTTATTGTCAGTTATCTAACATCTCTTACATTATCCCATATTGATAAAATGTATAGGGAACCACAGCGAAAGCTGCTGTGAGATTTGTATCGTACGATACTATCCGCAATTCTCTTGCCGATGACCGTGGCGTTCTGTCACCTGGTAGAGGAATGCTGGCTGGCATGGTTGCAGGTGCCGTAGAAAGTGTCCTCGCAGTGACACCAACAGAGAGAATAAAGACCGCATTGTCCGTGCCCTAATACTGATGACATGGCACATTGAGCTAACTGCTCTGTGTAGAATCGATGATGCAAAAGGGGCTCGTCAATTCAAGTCCAGCCTCCACGCGACTAAGGTGTTGGTCCAACAACATGGTATCACCGAGCTGTACCGAGGTCTAGTGTCCACCGCAATGAAACAATCAGCCACATCAGCAGTCCGTATGGGGACATACAATATGCTCAAGGAGGCCACCAAAGCCAAGGGCATTAAGACAAATGTGTTCACGACATTTGGAATTGGTGCTGTAGCTGGCGTGGTTACTGTCTACGCTACACAGCCTTTTGATACAATCAAGACGCGGGCACAAGGTGTTCAAGGTGCTAGTATTTCCGAGGCCTCGCGGAGTGTGATTCGGGATTATGGCATTCGCGGATTCTGGAAAGGCAGTACGATGCGACTGGGCCGTCTGCTTTTGAGTGGTGGTATTGTATTCTCGGTCTATGAAGAAGTGTCGGCCATCCTGTCAGGGACCCATAAATAAAGTAAATAAACTGGTCAAAGGGCAAAATGTCTTATTAATATCAATCTCCCGTGGACTGCAGAATCAGCCAAAGCATGATCCCATAGAATTCTTCAGTAGTACAATCGTAAACACTTTCAAATGGTAAGCACAACCTTTCCTCTCCCCTCAAACCTCCTATTAGCATAATAATAAGCCATTCTTACCCTTATAAACGGAAAGCTAGCAGCAACAAACGATTTCAAAAGCCCCCGATTCACCAAATCAGCCAAAACACTCAAAGCCTCCGCGCTTCCCTCAACGATAAAGAACAACGCCCTCACTCCCTCCCTCGAGATCCTACGCTTCCGATGCTCTTCCACAAAACACCACCATCCCTAACAAACCTCTAATACCTCTCCAAAACACCACCACCCACACAATCAACAATAACATCAAACTCACCCCCAATCGCACCATACTCAACAACCTCATCAGCACCAAGCCCCCTCAAAAACTCCCTATTCCTCTCATCCGACCCACTAGCAGCAAACAACATAGACCGTAGCCAACGTAGCAAGCTGCACCAAACAAATCCCTACACCACCCGCCGCCCTAGTGACAAGAACACGCTTTTTACGCTTCTCGCCGTCCTCGTCTTCCTCGTTCTGGTTTTCAACTACTCCCGCCGCTCCCGACGAAAGAACAAGACCAGCATGCACAAAAAGCGCCTTATACGCCGTCTACGCGCTCATCGGTAACGCCGCCGCCTCTTCAAAGCTAATGGCCGGTTTACGTACAAATTCACTGGTTTTAACAAGAGCGTACTCGGCCTATGTTGAGCCGCGGTCTGCGTGCGCCATGCCGAACACTTCGTCGCCGGTTACGAAGATTGAGTCATTAGGAGTGCCGGCGACAATGCCGGAGAGGTCGTGGCCTGGGATTATATATGGCTTGGCGTATGTTTCTGGCCATATAAGCTGGTCGCGGATTATGGTTGTTGCTTTTATTTTGATTAGGAGGTGGCCTAGGGTTGGGGTTGGGATTGGGATTTTGTCGATTTTTAGAGGGCTGTTGATAGGGCTGGGTTTGTTGTGGAATATGGGGGGTCGGATGGTGAAGGGTGGACTCGTATTGCTTGCATTTTGATAGATTGAGATGAATTGACGACTTTCTGACTTTACGTGGTGAATGTATGGCCTTTATGTGTTGATGAGGTTCGATGTCGGAGATGCAGGCAATAGGCTATCTGGGACGGGTAGAGCCGCAATTCGATCGGACCACTGAGCGGACATTAAATTCTGCAGTTGAAATAAAAGGAAGGTTCATTAACTACATCAAGTAGTAACAGGAGGCATGTATGAAAAAAGGAATCTATTTACAAAATCGCAATGAGGGCTGTACACCCAAAAAAGCGACCAACATATGTAGCAGTATGTACCGGATTTTAGGCCGCGGATGTGAATTTCCCCATCGGGGTCCCGTCCTCACTGAGACTCTCAAAGCACAGGGTGACTACTTACCTATATACTTGATTTCCTCTGCAACTTCTTGGCCTTCCCTTTCCGTTATAGTGCTCAAGCTTTGCCGCTTTTTGCTCACTAAGTAGATCCGAGCACGCCCTAAGTGCCCTAGTCCGCTCACTAATTATTACATAGGCACACTAATCTGCTCACTGAGTGCTCTGATTTGCTCGCTAAGTTCAGCCTGAGTAAGCTACATCAATAAAATATAACACGCTAGTTCGTTACTTGTACCCCTTCACTTTTGGATGGCAACCCGCGTCCCATCAAAAAAGGCCTGGCATTCTCAGTATGATCTTTAATCCTGGTGAACTAGCTGCAATTAATTACGCCATAGCGGAGCTTGCTACTCGGCAACCCAATCAGCATTATCATTCTATACTCGATGCTCCTAGGATCCTTTGTCTACTCGGTCCCACGATTTCCTAATCAGGCTTTGGAAGAATACCGGAGCCTAGGATATTGGATCAGTCTACCTGAGAATCCCCAACATATCCCGGTACAGAAATTAACCGAGAAGATCTCTAAAATGCGGAGATCATACACATTCGCAAGATGCCATTGATGCAGCCATAGGCCTAATTCACGGCTGTAATCGCGTTACTCAAGCTCTAAAATATTCCTTGCATAAAGTTGGCATAACATCCTTTGCTGGCAAGCTCTGCAGAAAACCCCGAGTATGCTTTGGGAGCAGCTGTGCTACCAGAACGACAAATGGAATGGCGAACACCTTTCTCTATCTTCTATGTAGTGGTAGAACGACCCAAGCCACCGAGGGTACCAACAAGCAGATTCTATCAAAGTTCGGGCAAGGGTAGAGCTAGGGGTCATTGTCGGCACGCAAGCCTGACTATTGGAGATTTGATAATTCACATTTTGCTTCTAATGGCATCAATTCATTGAGTGAGAGTTCTCGCATTTAGTGAGAAAGATCGCTCGCCACCCCGAGCTTTCTATTTTGTAGCCCACTGGTGCCTTTCTGGGTATACAAAAACAAGAGCAAAAACGTAAAAAGGATTTCTTGAGAAGTAAACGCTTCTACTGGCTGTATCTTGCCTCATACAATGCTCAATAAAATCCCATTCAGTGTGGCACTGTACCAGTGGCGACGATTCCCGTAGAATTGATCTCCATCTGATTGCCTTTTCCGTATAAGTCCTCCAGATGCTGTGTCAGTGCGGGAGCAAATTGAGCGCCGCTTTGCTGACGTTGATTTTCGGTCCAGAAACGAGACATGATAAAATTCAAAGGACCCTTCAGCAGCGCGCTAAATTCCGATATTCCCTGAGCAATCGTTTTTTCAACAGAAGTGACCTGAACTTCGTTCAAACCTCGGTTCCGAAATTGCGTCTTGACCCAGGTGGGATCCTCCCATCTTCCATCTCCCATGGCTCTCATAAAGTCTTCAGTGGATATTTGTGGAAGGTTCCCTGGCAAGGAAGCCGCCGCCGCATTGACATGATCGATCCAGCCAACTATCGCGAGTACGCCAATTAGACTTTCGAACTGCAAAAAATAAGCTCTTTCGATGACTTACAAGATCCCCAGCATACTATAGCAATTGTTCCCCCTGGCTTCAATATACGAAGTGCCTCTTAATCCACGTTAGAATCGACAACGTATTCAATCTATATGAGCAAAAGGAACAAAAAATGAGAGACAACTCGTACCGTCCAGAGCTGCTTGAGAGTCAGGGAGTGCCATGAAGACTGATTTTTTCCCGTTAACTGTATTTTTCGCATTGTCATGGAAATATTCCCGCTACCTACTAAATGCGCCAAAGACGTGGGTGTACTGGTCTTCAGGGAAGCCTGTTTTCAGGACGTCAGAGACCACCGCGTCGGTATTTTCCCAGCCGCTTTTCTGGATCCGTTCTTGAGTTGCAGCGACCATCGAGCTTGACAGATCAGTGCACGTCAAGCGCCAATGTTTTTCAGATTGGCTACGAAACGCATCATGAAGGGCGACCGCGACAACACCTGTGCCACAGGCCTGGTCAAGAATGGCGAGTGGTTGTCCAGCAGTAGAAGCTACACCCGATTGCTTGACAAGGTCTATTGCGTATGGCAGAGTGGTCTTTTCGGCAGTTCGATAATCGGAAGCCATTCTGCTCAGGGACACGGTATAACAGAGTGTAACGTAGAATGGATTGTTGTGTGGAACAATACCAGAAGCCCGGCGAACCTGGGGCTTTTATATCTAAAAAAAAATACCCTAAGGTACTTGAATCCTGGTGTCTGAGTCTAATTCGGACCTACACCAAAGCATCTGAAACTGACGTAGTGGCTGCCTAATTTGGCAATTCACTACCTAGAAAATGTCTCCGAATAAATCTCCGGGCCGTAACCTAGTCTGACTAAGCTGACATAACAACCTTGGAACCTCAAACCTCAAGGGGATATATTATCGATTAAAACTACGCTTTCTAGAACAGCACCAAACTCTCCCGGAGACTTTTCCTCGGAGACATTCTATAGAATTATTCGTATCGCTGAACCTTTTGGCTTATAAGCAACCATTCCTCGTAAATTTAATCATTTTTCTTTGCTTTGGGTGCATGCGAAATCTGGTGTCTCTGTGGTAGAACTTATTTGCTATTTCCATTTAATCTTATCATCGCTCGACGTCCAGAACTCCCGTGATGGAGTCAAAACGTATTATCGTCGTGGGAGCAACAGGCAAACAAGGAGGCGCTCTGATTAGAGCTCTTTCATCCCCGACCGCCCCCGCATTTCATGTCTATGCTCTTACCCGCAATGCATCCTCCGCAGCTGCTCAACGGCTTCGATCCAAGCCGAACGTATCTGTCATTGAAGGAGATGTCAACAAACCATCCACTATATTCGCAGCCATACCCGGTCCTGTATATGGTGTTTTTTGCGTCACGAGCCCGGATCCGTTTAAACCTGGATCTTTTGAAGAAGATCAGGCTATACCTCTCATCGACGCCTCGATTCAACACGGTGTGCATCACTTCATTTTCTCATCAGCCGACCGTGGTGGTCCAGGTGTCTCAGAGCATACCCCGACCCAAGTCCCACATTTTGCGACGAAGCTACGGATTGAGCAATATCTCAAAACCACAACTGCATCCGCCTGGGAGAAATCTGGGGATGAACTGCGGCAGCAGATGTTGTGGACAATCCTGCGGCCTGTGGCGTTCTACGATAACATCATGCCAGGTTTCATTGGCCGCTCGTATGCGGCCATGCTACGCCAAATGGGTGACCGGAGCATAGCCATGGTCGGAACCCAGGATATTGGCAATGTCGCTGCACAGGCATTCAACGAACCAGGAGAGTATGGAATGAAGGAATTTTCGCTGGTTGGGGAACAGTTGACGTTTCGAGAGATCCAGCGGAGCTTTCGAGAAGTGGTAGGATACGATATACCAGAAACATACGGTCTATTGGTGACGATGCTCAGGTGGGCGATCCCGGATTTTGGAGATACCTGCAGATTTGTTGAGGACGGCGGATATTCATGGGACTGTACAGATCTTGTCAAGGAGCAACGCCTGTTAGATTTCGAAACGTGGCTGAAGGATGAGAGCGAGTTCTGTAAAACCTGAAGGGAGTATTACATATTGAAAACAATATATCGACACTTGTACAGTGAGCTCTCATGATAAATGATCCTTATGACGATGATTTTAACACAGGAATAATAAACAGATTTATGCAAGTGAAATAGGAAACCCTTGGCAAATTTATGCTAGAATGGGGGTATATGGGACACGAGATCAACGACCCTCATTCGAAACTTTGCCTAGAATATATTTGATGAATTCTGTACTTAAATCCCGCATTGTGATTGTTTCAGTCCAACAAGCTATGTTTTCTTCCAGAGTCCCCCACTTAACCCAATGCACTTGCCGGGGACATGTGTTGAAATTAATATATAATTCTACCGCTAGACCATAGCAAAAGCCAAGGTATATGTTTCGGAATGCTACATACATTATAGTTATCCCTTAGGCTATGTACGGATAGATGCGGGTAAACAAATCAGCTCATCCGCATTTTCTATCCAAAACCGTTTCTACATCTGTAGTTTAGGCCAATCAAAAGAAAGTACATATGTAGATAGAATCTTAGGCAACCAAAAGACGAAAACGGATAAGGCGGGGAGCGTAACTTTCCCCTCCCGACAATCCGGTCCACTCTGAGCCTCGATGACTCTACAACCATTTGGAATCTCTTCAAAACATGGCAAATACAGAGAACGAATGGGAACTTGAGGAGGGTATCCCTCAGGTTGGGGATCCTTTCATCCAACAATATCTGAAAGGACGCGATGCTTTAATTATGGAAGAAAAAAAGCGACGTCACGGTATTTCCCACTCGAATCAAGTACAAAAATACCATATCTAACTCTTTTTGTAGATGCAAATCTGCGCAAATCTCTATCACCTATCGCCGCCCGGGCGACGAAGATTGTGTCGCAGATCCGAGCTCAGGAACAGAACGAGCTGTGGTCAAGTGGATTGGACGATGCCGTGGCCCACCAGGCGGATGAGATCCTCTACCCCGGTGTCATGTTCAATCTGGCCAAAGGCCGCATGGAGACGACTAAACTATGGAAAATCGTGGAAAAGATGCCAAAGGGGTCCCTCCTGCATGCCCATATGGACGCCATGTTCGACATCAACTTCCTAATTGACCAGGCATTCTCCACTCCCGGCATACACATGTTAGCGCCGAAGCCGTTGATCACAGCCAAGGACTACGAAGAAGCGACCGTGCTTTTCCAGTATTCCTCGCAGCCTCTAGAAGCATCCGAGGACAAGCCAAGTATTTGGTCGGAGAAATACGAGGCCTCGTCGTTGATCTCGATTCAGAAGACCGCCTCCTCTTTCCCCAAGAGGGGAGAGAAGGGCTTCCGGGAATGGCTGAACAACCGATGTGTCCTTCTGCCGGAACATTCGTATCACCACCACCACGGAGTAGACGCAATTTGGTCTATCTTCACAAAGACTTTCCCCATTGTCGGCTCTCTCTTGATGTACGAGCCTATCTTCCGTGCCTGTTTGCGCCGGTTGCTCGGACAGCTTGCCGAGGATGGAATTCGATACGTGGAGTTCCGCATTGGATTTGTCTTCGAATTTCGGAAAGAAGGAAACGACAAACCCGAAGAAGACTACTTTGAGTGGTGTCGTGTGGTGGAAGATGTTGTGGCTCAGTTCAAACAAACGGATGAAGGGAAGGACTTCTACGATCCTCGCATTATTTGGACTACGCTCCGGTGGTTTAGCAATGAGGCGATTGTCAATAGCATGAAACAGTGCATCGAAACGAAGCAGGAGTTCCCCGCTCTGATTAGTGGGTTTGATCTTGTTGGCCAAGAGGACAACGGAAGGCCGCTAGTCGACCTTGTGCCGTTACTATTTTGGTTCCGAAAGCAATGTGCGGAAGAAGACGTCGATATTCCCTTCTTTTTCCACGCTGGAGAATGTCTGGGCGACGGTGACGCGACAGACCACAACCTATTCGATGCTATCCTTCTTGGCACTCGACGAATCGGCCATGCGTTTTCGCTTTACAAGCATCCTCTGCTCATTGATTTAGTCAAAGAGAAGAAGATCCTCGTGGAATGCTGCCCGATCTCGAATGAAGTGCTCCGCCTTGCTAGCTCCATCAAAACCCATCCTTTGCCCGCGCTATTGTCCAGAGGCGTCCCCGTTTCGCTGTGCAACGACGACCCCGCAATTCTCGGCCATGGAAGGAATGGATTGACGCACGATTTCTGGCAGGCTTTGCAGGGACTCGAAAATGTGGATTTGGTCGGCCTATCAATGATGGCCCAGAACTCCATCCGGTGGAGCTGCTATGAAGACCAGTCGACCGCCGAGTGGAAAGCTGGCATTCAAAATGGGGTAATGGGGAAGGGGATGAAATCTGAACGTCTGCAGCAATTTGCTTCGGATTTCGAGAAATTCTGCGAGTGGATTGTGCTGGAGTTCGCTGAATACGATGCTGGGGACGATTGAAGTTCTGTCATGTTGATCATCAAAGGTTATAGTTACATAACTAACTAGTTAACTAACTAGAAAGTCGTCTGCATAAAGTATGCTTTTTTCCCCGCCTTTTTCTGCCGTCTAGCCAACAAACTGAGAAGGGGGAGACAATATCTATGAAAACAGACATCTGAAAAGACTAACTGAGAAGATTCCGAAAAGACCAAAAACGAACACAAAAAAGACACCTAAAAAGACACCTAAAAAGACATCTAAAAAGACATCTAAAAGACCATCTGAGAACGAGTCACATACATAGTAGCCTAGCACGAACAAACATGAGAACACGAAAGCCGTTTTCGGTAATAGTGCAACTGGTGTAGGCCAATTTTTGTAATTATTGAAGTGAAATGAAACATATCACAAGTCAATCAGAAGATAATTGGCCAAATCTGTTGTCAATCGGTGAGTTGGCACGTCGGCGCCTGACTCGGGTCACTTATCGCGCCTTTATCAGGTGCCCGGAACGTCATTGTTGAACATTCCCCCCTTCACGACTTCCCCATCCACTCCGCTTTGTCGGAGCTGGCTGCTTTATTGTTTTTGTTAAGCTATTTTCGATGATACGAGTCCGCATATGAACGAGCCCTGCCCCGGCTCTCAGTCACGATGGCGTCGTACTTCATGCCATCGTTCTTCCAGAAGCGGCTCCTCAAATACGCCCTGTCTCGCCTGGGCCTGTTTGACACAGAGGCCTTGGATCCAGATAACCTAGGCATACGCTGGGGACAACGATCTACCATCGAGTTGAGGGATATTGGCCTCAAACTAGAGGTGAGTGGGTGCGGCGACCCTCCGCGGGCGGCGGGGCGGCCTTTCGTGATCATCGAACGCGACCCATGGAGCAGTGCGGGCTGACTATTTACATCACGAACTAGAAATTATCGACTCTACTCAATCTTCCTCCGTCGTGTGAGCTGCTCAGCGCCCGAGTTCAGCTTCTTCGAATCACTCTTCCCGCCGATTTCCACAACAGCGGGATCCTGTGCGAGGCAAACGGCATCGAGGTACATATTCGGTTATTGTCAGAGGAGTCGACGAAGGGGCGACACGGAAAAAGAAAGGCGAAAAGGATGACTATTCGGCGGTGCCCACACCGTCTGGTCTTGCGGAGTCATTCCTTGAGTCCGAGCCAAAGGAGGAAAGGGAAGAGCTGCAAGCCGCAATATCGTCACAGTCCCAGATCCTGCCCCACGACCCGTTAGCCTGGTCCGCCGATGACGATGACGATCTCGGTCTTGGGAGTGAGACTTTATCACTGCCGAGCTTTGTGGCCGGGTTCTTGAAAGGCGTTGTGGATCGACTCCAACTCAAGATAAAAGATGCAGTTGTGCGAGTGGACATGGAGCTGAAGCAAGATGGAACGTCAAAACGGCAACCCGAACATAAGCCTGACCTTGTCGCAGGTCTGTTGAGCGTCGGAGAAATCGATGTACACGGAGTATCTGAGAAAACTGTTAGCCCGGAGGAGGGTCTTCCATTCCGAGAGGGGAAGCGGCTCATCTCAATCGCCGATATCAATGTTGGTTTGGTTTCGGACCCCTCAGTGTTCTCAAACTACTCTAGGTTTGCCGCTCCTGCATCTCCGACGACAACTATGCGGTCAAAGGGCAGCCAGCCGTCAAGCAGAGCGCCATCACCCTCTCCATTGGATCGCTCTGATGAGGAACCCCTTTCTATGACCCAATCAACCATCTTCGAGCCGCCGCAAGCTTTGGGCAATTCATTGGAGGCATCTACATTTTCCCATGGTCGATTCTCAGACGTCGACTCTGAGTCAGGTAGTCACCGTGGTGGATATCTGGAAGATTCTCAAATATTTGGAGATGACCCCTTCCAAGACAACCCGGGGTACCTAGACTCTGTGATTGACACTCAGTTCGATGATTTTGATGACGAGCAGTCACCGGTACTATATCCCCAAGAAGACCGACGGGACGGGAGTGAATGGAGAAGCCACTTGTCTCATAGCCCACAAAGCTTGTATCAGAGCCAACCGGTGGAATACTATGACGAGCCCTTAAAACCCTCTGAAAGCTATCATTTGTCCCAATCTTACGACACACATCACAGCCAAATCGGCTCTGAAATTGACGAAGCCACGCCACCCGCACAGCATTACAATGATTACAACGAAAATGAACATAACGAAAGATCACAATTTAGCGTATCATCCCATCCTTCTAGTACATCTCCTCCACGCTCAGAGCCTGACAGCACGGGCTCACGAGAAGAAACCACAAATACCGATCTCAACGAGTCCAAGCTTTTCTCCCACGATGAAGCGCAAAGTCTTTACATGAGTGCTATCAGCCAGGATCCGAGTGGGAGCTTCATGCCACAAATCCCAGGGGCATGGGGTTCGTTCGATGGTGCATCCCACTCCCGGAGTATTCTTGATGACCGATCTAAAAATATCGCACCTATTGATCCGACACAGTCCACCCAGGTTCAAGATGAAGCGATTTCAAGATGCACGGCCTCATCAGAAGACAACACCACTGAGCAGCATGACCCGGACGACCAATCTCAATCTCAGACATTACCCAGGGATAGACCCTCAGCTCCATCATCTCCTGGGTTGCACAGAATCAATGAAATGAGAAAGTCGGTATTGACAGTTGACAAGATTTTGCTGTGGCTCTCGCCTCCTGATTCCGAAGAAGAAGTGTCGGCCGAGCCGTCACCTGTGTCACAAAAAGAGAACGCAGACAGCGACCTGAATGAATCCACAGTTAGCTTTGGGGACTCTGCACCCGAAGAAAGTCTACTTGCCTCTAGAGCTTCCAAATCTACGAGGTTCGGAAGAGACTTTGTTGAGGCACGGGCTGAGTCAAGTGCTGGAACTGAACTACCTGAAATTGCTGTGGAAGTGTTCTCTACATCCGTACATTTCGATATTGCAATTGGTTGGCTTTTAACCAAGATAGGACAAAAATTGTCTCATGTTCTTGGTACGGCTGAAAAAGATCCGTCTGAGAAGCAGTCGCGAAAGGACCAGCCTGCGCGCACACCTCCTGTTCATCTTGTCGTCCATGCTCTTTCAATAAAATTCATCGAACGTGTTTCGGGGCATGTACATTCGTCCGACAATAGTGACTCGCCTTTGTCTCCTCCCTACAGCATGGAAGATGTGATTCTTCGTCTTACTATATCTGGTCTAGATGCTTGCCTTTCAGCTCAAAGTACAACTACCAAGCTGAATCTTGGCGTGTCCAAGTTTGCGTTTGGGTTCGCCTCAGACGATATCATATTCTTTGATGAAAGATTGAAGATGCGTGAATCTACGCGTGATGTTTTATCCCCTTCGCAAGGAGATATTTCTATCTCTTTGGTCAAGTCGGCAAATCTGGCCAAAGTTGACATCTCTACGCTGCCTCTCCACATAAATCTCAATGTACAGCGCCTGGAAGAGGTCCTAGGCTGGATGGGTGGCCTGAGCACCATTCTCGAACTGGGAAGTTCCATCTCGTCAGTGTCAACAGTCAAAGGCGGCCCGCCACCCTCCAAACAGCGCCCCCGTGGTGTGCATTTTGAGACACCCGCCCCAGTTATTGACACGACCAAGGGCACGTCAGCCCTATGGAAAGTCAATGCCCGAGTTGGTGCCATCCTGTTGGATGTTACTGGTGAAACTCATTGTCTTCAACTTACTACGACCGCCGTCAAAATCGTCAGCAGGTTTGAAGGGATTGGTGTTCAAATAGACAAGGCCAAAATGATTGGACCACTTTCAATTGATGACGCTTCATCTGATACTCCCGCCAAAATCACGCTGAACAACATCCGCCTTGAATTCCTGTTTGCCCCGAAGGAGGTTGATCTCGATCGTCTTTTGACGTTGATTACCCCGTCCCAGGACAAATTCGAAGTGGAAGATGATATCATGCTAGACACACTGTTGCGCCAGCGACGACAAGGATCTGTTCTTCGTGTGACAGTGGGGCGCTTGGAAACGTTCATTTTAGATACAAGTGGGCTAGAGCCTCTCTCGTCTCTTGCTGTCGAGCTGAGTCGGCTTTCCAATGTCACCAAGTATTTGCCGGAAGACGATCGCCCTGGTATTCTCACTTTGATGCTGGTCCGTCACTTCCATGGACACGTCCACGTTGGTGGAGAAGTTGGAAACATCGACAGTCAACTTACAGATGTCGAAGTTGCACACATTACCATGCCTTCGCTCACTGCGGCCCAAATCGGAACGATGGCCGTCACTCGGAATAACGACGAAGAGCTGGTGGGGCATGCTCTGTGGCCCCCGAACAAATATCAGGACCCAGACCAGTCCTATCCGCCGGTCCTCATGGCTCGTTTCATACCCGATGAGATGGATCCTACCTACAAGATCAAACTGCACAACCTCCTTGTCGAGTACACGGTGCCATCAGTGGCAGCCTTCCTTGGATTGGGTGGCGACAAGATGAGCGGAGATTTGGCCAGTAGTATGGTCAACTCTATCGCCAATCTTGCAGAGCATTCAATGCCGTCACCTTCGATGACAGGGCGATCGATGGCGACTGAATCCAGCTCCTCGACAAAGCCGGTCAAATTGGCAGTTGTGTTCAGAGATTGTGTTCTTGGCCTCAACCCTCGCAATTCTCCCGCAAAAGGCCTTGCAGTCCTCACCAATGCCAAGTTTGGAGGAAGTATTCATGAAGACGAATCTGCCGAAGCATCGTTGGATATTAGGAAAGCCTCGCTTATGATAATCGACAACGTGTACCATGAGGATACGTATAACCTACACCAACGGGGCTCAGTCGTTCCCCAAGACACCCAGGTTCAAGCGTACATCGATAAAGGCTTTGTTCCTGTTTCTTCCATTTCATCGGCAACTGCCGGTGTCAAGCTTACCAGCGCTGAGGATGGGACAAAGTCTTTGGACGTAGAGCTGAGAGATGACCTGTTGATCCTCGAGACCTGCGCGGATTCAACTCAAACGCTTATCAGCATCATGAATGGCCTTCAGCCTCCAACTCCACCAAACGTCAATATCAAATATCGAACAGAGGTTATGCCCATCCAAGATATGTTTGCCTCGTTCACCGGGGACGCATTTGCGGCTCATCCCCCTCTTCCCAACGATGATCTGGCAACTATCCCCGAAGAATCATCCATTGAAGATCATGTGACCGACGAACTTGAATACGTCAGCGATTTCTATCCCGTGAAGGGCGCCCTTGGTGGTGTGGGCGTTGAAGGCATGGAAGCGGCCTCCGATGATCTGCTGGACAGCTTCCATTCCCAATACCAAGTATCTTCCAGCTTGACAGAATTGGACTTCCAAGAGGACCATTTTGCAAAGAAATCAGCTGTGGGTGGAACCGCTCATCGGTGGGACTCTACCCAGAACACCTACGGGTTCACCAATGACACCAAGCTCGAGCGGAGTCCTTTGCGTGTGCGTGTGCGAGACGTGCATTTCATCTGGAATCTCTTTGATGGATATGATTGGCAGCGCACCCGTGACACAATATCCAAAGCTGTCAAGGATGTGGAAACCAAGGCCACAGAACGCCGTTCCAGGGGCTCACGGATGTCACCTTCGGTAGAAGATGAAGAGGAGTCTGTCATTGGCGATTTCCTCTTCAACTCCATTTACATCGGTATTCCAGCCAACAAAGATCCACGGGAACTCCACCGCGAAATCAATCATGACATCGATGATTTCACTAGCGAGACTGGCAGTTATGCGACAACCACTACCGTAACTGGGGCTGGAAGTCGCCAGGGCCGGTCAACTTCTAAGAGGGAGAAGAAATTGCGCTTGCATCGGAGCAAACACCACAAAATGACGTTTGAGTTGAAGGGTGTCTCTGCTGATCTGATTATCTTCCCACCTGGCTCAGAAGAGACTCAGAGTTCGTTGGATGTGCGGGTCGAGGATCTGGAAATCTATGATCATGTTCCGACATCCACATGGAAGAAGTTCGCAACCTACATGCGTGAGGCTGGCGAAAAAGAGAGTGGAATGAGCATGGTTCACCTTGAAGTTCTGACTGTGAAGCCTGTGCCTGAGCTAGCTGCATCTGAAATTGTTCTCAAGGTTTGTTAACCCAGTTATAAATTACTCAGACCAGTTTCTAACTTGACTCCTAGGCAACTGTTCTACCCCTCCGGTTGCATGTTGACCAAGATGCTCTCGACTTCATGAGCCGGTTCTTCGAATTCAGAGATGAGACCGCCAAACCCTCTGATACCCCGGGCGATGTTCCATTCTTGCAGCGAGTAGAGATAAACGCCATTCAAGTCAAATTAGACTTCAAGCCCAAGCGGGTCGACTACGCAGGACTCCGCTCCGGCCGCACAACTGAGTTCATGAACTTCTTCGTCCTGGATGGCGCCGATATGGTGCTACGACATGTGATCATCTACGGAGTGTCCGGATTCGACCGAATGGGGCAAACTCTCAACGACATCTGGATGCCAGATGTGAAGCAAAATCAACTGCCCGGTGTGCTCGCTGGTCTCGCCCCGATCCGCTCCCTAGTCAACGTCGGCGGCGGCGTGCGCGACCTGGTCGTCATCCCAATGCGCGAATACCAAAAGGATGGCCGAATCGTACGCAGCATCCAAAAGGGCGCCCTAGCCTTCGCCAAGACAACCTCCAACGAGCTGGTCAAACTCGGCGCCAAACTCGCCATCGGCACACAAACCGTCCTGCAAGGCGCGGAGGACCTGCTGACCACCCCCAGCGCACCAGCCTTCGACGACGATTCCCTCGACGAAGACGAAGCCAAGAAGATCTCACTGTACGCTGATCAGCCGGTTGGGGTGATACAGGGACTACGTGGGGCTTTCAGCGGTCTCGAGCGCGATCTACTCTTAGCTCGCGACGCGATCGTCGCCGTACCCGGGGAGGTGGTCGAGAGTGGGAGCGCCAAGGCGGCCGCAAAGGCAGTCTGGAAGCGTGCGCCCACGGTCATCCTCCGACCCGCCATCGGGGTGTCCAAGGCTGTGGGACAGACTCTGCTTGGTGCGGGGAATACCCTTGACCCGAGCAATCGGCGCAAGATGGAAGATGTAAGTGGTTTCCGACAAACCTTGTTTTGGTGTGTGGCTGTGACTGACTCTAGTTTTAGAAATATAAACGGTACTGAGAGTGAGGTACACGAGGCCGGTGTTGGGCTTGGGGTCTACGGGTGGTTGGCCCTTGCATACTTCGTACATACATGCATACATATGTAGTCGATGGTCCCTTTTCTCGTTTTTCTTTTTTTTCGTTTTTGGTTTTGATTTTGCCGAGTTCATTTTTACCTTTTTTTTTTCTGATTGCTTCATCAGTTCGATACCACACCACGACCGCGTTATGATCTTAAATTGCTCTTGCTTTCGCTTTCACTTTGGTCCTTTCAAGTCATTTTTAGCTTTAGTCTGCATGACGTGGGAGTCTTGAGTATGTTCAATAAAGGATCGGGATCTTTATCCACGAGATCTATTTCTACAGATATACCAAGTACCAGGAGAAAAGCATGGCTATCCCAGTTCCTATTTCGGACTAGCGCGGTAGCATCCGAGTATACTCCTTTGGGCAGTTGCCACCCATTTTGGAAGGCTCTGTACTACCAGTCCTCCGTAAATCCCACGACCTTAAAAAAGTGCCCAGTAAGTTCCGACGATCACCTGGGCAGCCTGGGGCAGCAAGGCAGCAATCCGTTTCAATTGCATTGTGCATCATGCATGTGAAACACAAATCTGGGGGTTGCAGTCGTATTGCAGGGCAGATGACTTGGGCCGATTAAATCGAGATGAGTTGGCATGCCGATCTTTGTACCAACGGCCAACGTGTATATCTGCATGTGTGCCTTGATTCTTCCAAGTACGAGGTACGAGGCGCCCGACCATGGATCAAAGAGTAATTCAGGTTAACAAGCATCATGGAGTACGTTCTCCGTACAATTCTCACGGCCGAAAGCCGGAGCTGCTTGAATCATAAGCCATTGCGCCGAGATCACATGACCCAGTAGAAAATCCCCCTTCCTTGCATAACTACATCAACGGTGCATCACTGCAAATGTACTCCATACATACCCAAGGTACGGAGTACATGTACGGTGTACCTAGGTATCCACTATATGCCTTGGAAGGAAGTTCCGACATGAATGACCAAGTCATGATTTTGCCAGTGGAGAAAAAAATTAAAAATTCTTTCAATCGCCACATTGGAAGTCGAACCGGATAGCCAATCAAGGGTCTTAAAGCCGCCACAGCCTAACGGTCATTTTTGCCCTGTTCAGCCCGACTCAGACACAACTTCGTTCTGTACGCCGACTGGTTCTGGGCTTAAAGAGGCGGTTGGTGAAGATTAGGGAGTTGTAGTAATTGATTGGTTGGAGATGGAGACGGGAGGGTGGACACTAAAGAGAATTAGAGGGACTAAAAGACACTAAAATGGTAGATCGAGGCTGAGATCATCTGCAAGTGATTTTGGGCACAATCCTATTATGTTCTTTGTATTGCTATTCTATTCTACTATAAAGATATAAGGAGTACAACATATATCCAACTAGATAGGTAATACCCCTAGTACCCTAAATACCCCCACGGCCCCCAATACCATTGTCCACCGACTTTTTCATGACGTTGACGAGTTGATCGACGAACCATGGGTCCTTGGAACTGTTGAGGGTCGAGACCTTCCCCATTCTCTTGTTCTCTTCTTCTGGCCCTAATTGGTTCGGTCTAACCGGCTTTCCCCTGGCCCCTAACTAGTTTGACTGGTTCAACTGGTTATACACTTTGTACTCATTGTTATTTCAGTGGGTAAGGTGGATATACGCCTGAGTGAGATCCAGGCACCTTCCGTTCCCGGTTTCTACTGTTGTATTTTCTTCATTTCATAAAATTACTCTTCCTGCACATTTGTACCTTGCAGTTTTGTTTATTGTGATCTATTCATATATTGCGACCGGTAAGCCTATCTCTCTCATCCCTTGCGGCGTAAATCTGACGAATCAAGTTCAGTGTGGAGAAGTGGGTTTCGATCTACTGCATTGGATATGTCGACAATCTAAAAAGTGGTCCGAGAACAGCACAAGAAGCAGGTCTTCATACAAAGACGTAATCAGTGATATTCACAATTACAAGGCAAAAAAAATGAACGAAAACATCAACTACTCCGCCGCCAGTGACATATGGCACGGCGAGCTGCTGGACAGCCCCCTCTGCCAAAAGTGCCTCCAAATACATGACCATCATGCATGTACGCCTCTTTCCAAACCCTTTTTGGCAGACTCGGCAGACGCTTTGTCCCTCCCCCTCGATCCATCAAATCTCGTATCACGGGAGCCCTTTCTCTCCACGATTATCACAAGTTTCTCTCCAAGTCTGCAGACCGCATTGGCGATCCCGTCGATCATACAGGAAAGAAATTGAAGCGAAAAGACGCTACATTGCATTTGAACCGCTCCTCCCCTCTTTCCATCTCTTATCCTGTATCTATATCGTCTGTCGCCTCGAGTCCTCCGCCGCTGTCTCCTTCCTACTCCCACAGCGTCGTCTCTCAGTGGAGTGAAGAACCTGAGATCGGGGAAGCCCAGACTGGTAAGCTTCTCCAATTGACTTTCTTCGGTCGAAGCTCCAGGAACCTTTATTGACAGTTCAATAGTTCAGTACCAAGCAACTCAAAGCCCTCGACTACCCGTTGTCTCGGATCTAGGGACTCGTGCTAGACCTAATAGGAAGCGATTGGTAAGTTGTCTGAAACACCACACAAAAGACTCAGCTCACTGATAATAGGTCCAGAATACCTTTCGTGAAAAGCTTCAACAAAGGGCCCAGGCTCAAGCGGAAGAAGCTGAACGCGCCTCCAAACCTCAAACGGACTCAATGCTGGCCAGTGCGCAGGCCGCTGCCACCGTCTCACACGGTGGCGCCTGCTTTGAGATCCTGAATCCGCGCAAGTCGCTGGATCTAGCACGCATCGTCTCATACATTGAAGACGTCGATAATTGCTCCATGGTCTCCGCAGACAACCACCGAGACTCGACTTTCTCCATCGAGCAAGGACTGGACCGGGTGTCCCTGTCCCAATTCACCGATGCCTCATTGCCATCATTCTACTCCACCAACTCGTTGTACACCATCGAAGCGGATCCCTCAACACCCAAAGTTCAGCCGACGGACATCCCGTCGTCCTCGCCACGAATCGGCGAACGCATCCGGTCTCTATCAGACTATTCTCTCAATGAACAGAGCTTCAACTACTGGAGCCGACCTGTACAGCGCACTGAAAACAACGATATACGCATCGAAACCTATAACGACCACCCAAGCATCGACAGAGCGTCCCCACAATCACCACGCATGGCCTCTATCTCGGAAGAATCCAACCTCCCAAACCTAGCCTTCTCCCGTCGACCCTCAACCCCATCCACGCAAACCTTCTACTCAGAAAGCGAGATCGGCGAGCCGGGCTCACCCGTCTACGCAAACGGCGACTGGGCCCAAGTCGACGAGCGCGACAGAGGCATCTTATTCGACCTACCTGAAGACGAAACAACATCCGACCACCACCACCACCAGCATCATCATCACGACTACCCATACCCCCAAGAACACGAAGAACCACCAACACCCCGCGAAGCCTCCCTCGAGACACCAAGTGGTTCACCCATGTACTCCTCCTTCGACCCCGCCTACCCCTACCCAAGCTCGACCTCCACCTCCAAACTCCCACACTATCCCGCCCCCTTCGATCCATACACCTACGACCCGGTGTACTTCGACCCACACGTCCAGTCGGTGCTCGCAGCCGCGAACGCAGAGACGATGGGGTTACGGGGTAGTCCTGCACGCGCACTGGATGAGCTGCAGAGACAAGGGCCACGCTCTGGCGAGACCAGTCCTCGATTCGAGTTCCAGAGGAGGAAGAGTGATGAGCGGAAGACAGGCGCGCAGAGGAAGGGGTTGAGGAAGTTCTTTAGTTGGAAGTCTGGGAATTAGACGAGTTCTGGGAACTTTGTCTGTTGTTCGTTGCTGCTGGGATTCTGGGAATCGCCAGCTGAATGCGTGTGTATGTGTGTGTGTGTCTTTTGGACCGGGAATTCGGTTATGATTTACGTCCATTATGATTGTGAAGAGCGTGGCGCTTGGTGTTGGATTGGATTGGATTGGATGGGATGGACTGGCTGGATACGGGTCTCGATTCTTTTCTTTTGTTTCTTTTTTTCTTTTTGGGGGGTTTCTTCTACCTTGTCTTTTTTTTATTACTTTTATTACTTCTTCTACCTGAGTCTGAGACTCGCATTGTATCTATATCAATTTACACTTGACGCATGTCAACTTCGGGTTATCTTCAACTTTTTGAACTCATCAATTGCGTCTTAGAATTGTAGTAACCTTTATAAATTATTACTGACGATGACAAGAATTCAGAGAAATCAATCACTAGGAATGTACTACAACCAAGGAATGTGTCAGAATCATTCTAATCGTCTGATCATCTCGACGAAACATTTCTTTCTATCTTTCTAAGGGTATCAAATCGAGTATATACAGACTCCATCTATGGAATGCAACATCACCAGCAACCTTAACTTTAACCATAACTCAACCAAACCCAACCTCAATCATCATCCCTCTCAACCATCGAAGCCAAAGCCGAACTAACAAGACTTTTCCTCCTAAGCCCCTGCTCATTCCTCTTCCCGCCAAACCCACCATAATGATTCTTCTCAACACGACTGGCCAAAACCCCCGCCGAAGAACTCTTCCTCCTCGTCCTCCCCTCACCACCACCCTCCGGCCCAAACCGACTGCGCGCAAGCGTAACCGCCCCTCCTCCGCGGCGACGACCGCGGCGGCAACGAGCTAGGATGACAATCGTCTTCGTCGCAGAAGTCCGGCGCAGAGGATGAATCATCTAGCAGCGAGCGCTGCATAGCCTCAACCTCCGACTCGTTGCATTGTAGTCTGGAGATCTGCTGGCGCTGCATGCGGACATCTTGGTGGTAGGGATGGGGTTGGGGGTAGAAGGGGTGTCCGAGGCCGAAATCCGGTAGGTCGGAGAGGAGGTCTGGGGGCATGAAGGTTGGACTTGTTGTTGAGGAGGCGGAGGGCGAGGAGAGACAGTCGCCGACGCCGGAGTCGTCGGAGTGGTCTGTGTCTGGGGGTGTGAGGACGTAGCCCGTGCCCGGGTAGCGGCGTGAGCCGGGTGTGTGTCTTCCGGTTCGGTTTTGAGTGTGAGTGTGAGTGTTTGTGTGCTGGGTTTGGGGATCGCGCGTTGGAGGAGTGGCGAGGGTGTGTTCGTGTAGTTTTTGAGTTAGGGTTGAGATGGATAGACGTTTGTGGTCTGAGTCATAGGGGAAGGGGACGGAGGTTGGGGGTTGTTGGTTTCGGTGGAAGTGGGAGGAGCGCGAGCGCGAGATGTTGCGGAAGCGATGGGATTGTGGTGATGGACAGCGTGAGGAGAGTGGTGAGATTAGGTTGTTGTCGCTGTCGACCATTAGTCGGTCGTCTGGGTCGAGGGCGAGACGGGCGGGTCGCGACGAGGGCGATGTGAAGGAAAAGTCTTCGAACATTTTTTTTCCTCTGGACTTCGTGGACTCGATGTGGCTTTCGGGTGAATATAAAGTATGGGGAGTATAAGATTGTTGATCTGCGTTCCCTTTGACTGGAATATGGTCGGGTTGTCGGCCTCTGAGGGTTGCGATGTTGGTTGTCGGGAATTGACCACCTACACTTGGAGACAGGGTACACGGAGTGCGTATAGTGTACGGTCTTCGATTGATATAGCGCCGACAATTATTTGCCCCTCGGGAAAAAAAATTGATTGTCAACCACCGGTTGAGGTTGAGGCGAATGTCCACGTGATCGGCAACCACTGTGCGGCAATAGCCACACTTCCAAGGTTTGTTAGTACAAACAGGGGTACCTTTTTTTTTTTGGTTGATTTTTGTTTTTAGAACAAAATAAAGGGTTTAGTTCAGTTTCAAATTCAGTTCAATGAATTCATTTTTTTTTCTCTCGTTCATACCCTTGCAATACTATCAAGACCCTGGTTCTTAAATGCATGTCGATCCTAATGTGGATACCCGTGCCCTAAAGTGTTGATCTGCATCCCGGGGACTGCGAAATGCATCCATCTACAGCGTATAGTACGGAGTAGTATTGGTCAGATATATATTCAATTTTGTGTTATATGTTATGTGTTCCTGCTCCGGCACCCCTCTAGGTTATCGTCCCTACTATGATAGTGCTGTCTGCCGTACAGGATAGATCGGAATCAGTTTCACCACTTGGTCATAGAGATTTTTCTCAACCCCTATTTTTTTGTTTTTGAACTGGTTTGATCATCCAAAGGGAGTTTCATATCAGCGAGTGGCAAAGTGAACAGGCACAGTACTAGTTACCTTAAATACTCCCAGGATTTCAAAGCGGTGTATATTCTTGAGCCCGCACAAAGAAAGGGCAAAAAAGTTGCCGCCAAGTCCCAACCGAGGGTCCTCAATTCGTCTTCAATGCCATAAGGTTGAGGGCACCTGTTTCTTATAGGCGGGAAATTGAGTATGCTATCCGTCAAGATCTTAGCACCAGATGAAGAGCTCCTAGGAACTATACAGTAATAATTGGGTATTTCGGCTCTGTCTTAGTATATAAACCTCTAGCCCTCATCAAAAAATCGGCTGGAATTAGTCATGACTATGATTTCAAAAAACATCATCAGGTCCGTTTTAGTGACCGTTCTTCTACTTCTATCGCCGCCGATAAACGAAGCCTTGGTGAAGACCACCTTGGGGTTTTGATGGACTGCGGAGAACTTGCTCGGACTTATTCTCGTCAGAGTCGCCTAGACGAAGCTGTGACACTGATTATGACGACCATCGATAAGATCAAGATTTCTCGAGGTAGCGAGCACCCTGACTACGCTACCGGAATGTGGAGTTTAGGCCTGTTATGGGAGAAAAAGCAGGAGCAAAGCAAGGCCATGAATGCTTATCAAGTTGCGTTGGAAGCTTCAGAAAAGAGATTAACAGCAGGGCATCGCTCTACAAGATTATCTCAGATCGCATCATTCTCCTAACAGAGAACGGCAATAACTGTAAAGAAGCTGTCCAAGACGACTCGGCCACAAATGGCGCTGAGGACATGCAAATCAAACGTTTGCATACTACGCAGACCTGCTAGAAAGACCATGCTTAACTCGTCCCTTTGATGTGTTATTATTGATAAAGTTGATGTTTTACTAAAAGAAATACCATTAATATCGTTTTTTTCGACATCTGCCGTTCAACTACATATTACAATGCCTTCCTTGTAGACACCTTGTATATAATTAGCGCGATTCCGGAATTTTCATTCGCGAGTCTATATAAATATAGCTTTCTGGGTATTTACCCGAGAACATCTTACGATATTGGTATCAGACGCCAGACACATCACATAAAAGTGCATATTACTCTCTGTCAGCATGTCCTACAAAGTTGTCGATTTCATGGTGTTTAGTTAGAGAGCTCCGATAATACCATTCGGTACCCATACAATATTGGTTACTAATTTCTGTTATAAGACATAGGCCTTAGTACATATTATGACAGCCATAAATAGAAAGTAAAATAAAGTAGCATTATATATAAAATTTCAGTAAACTGAGGGCGGAACGGGTCCCATGAAAAGGTCCCGAGACAGGTAGCAATTTAGAGATCCCAGACAACAGACGGAATGTCTCCATCCAGCTTCATTTCTCCGAGAAGGGTTCCGGGAGCCCCGGAACGCTTGTCCCACCGAGCCACGGCAACACTTTGGCTGCTTTCAAGTGCCACCGCAACCATAGTCTGGGTACTTGCGATGCTGAACTGGCGAGGGGAGGAGCCATAGGCTGGGTACAACCCGAGGAAAGAAACCTTCTCGGCCTTTTTTCCACTAGCGTCAGCGCAGCGGAACACGGCGAAGGAGTCTTTCTTTGGGCCGAATGTGTTGTCAAGACGGTTGGAGACGACGATATGATTGTTTTCAGGCTTTGGGGCAAGGTGATGTTAGCTGAAGAATCACTATGAACGATATTTTAGGGGTAACACCCAAAACTTACCGAGATTGCAATTTCTGCGACTTTAGAGCCAGCAGGAGAAGATCCATTGCCATAGGTACTTCCCTCGTAGATTTTGCGGAAGGAAATTCCGTTTCCTGAATATGCGACCCGGAAACCAATCAAATCGTTGCTCAGCTCTTGCACCAGATAAAAGTAAACATCTTCAGATCTGCTGTTTGATCCGCGGGGGGTCCAAAACACGCCGTGCCTGGGTCCAGACCCTGGAGTCATGGCTAGTGGCTCGATCGGTTCAAGAAGACCTGTCGATGGATTGACATAAAAGACGCGTACGACATCAGCTCCAAGGTCGGGTACAAGGACAAACCGTCCGGTAGGGTCGACAACTACTCCATGGGGATGGGGGGAATCTTGTCGAGAAGCGACCGGCCCGGGAGCGGCCATCTGGTATGTGAAGGTTTGTTCATGCTGGAAAAGTCCCTTGACAGGGTTCACAGAATACGTCGTGACGGAAGATCCTGAGCTATAATGCCAGAGCGAAGTCAGCAGCTCGTACCGTATCACGTGCGACTATCTCCAGGGATTCGATCGAAACCTACTAGTGTGCCGCAACAAAGAACTTGCGCTCCTGGACCCCAGGTGCAGAGTACATGGCAGACATGACAGGGCCGGCGGGGGTTTTCAGTTGCGCAAGCTTGGTGAGTGTCCCATCTGGATGAGTTCTCAGGGTGCTTATAGTGCCATTGGGAGCATCGATTGCTTCGTCGAGGCAGTACAAAACACTATTGGGACTATCCAGCATCAACCAAGACGGGCTGCTACCGCAGTCAGTTGTCTGGAAGAGGGTAGACAGCTCATTGGATTGGGTAAAGTTCAATGAGGTAACAAAACCAGCGTATGATGCCGCATAAAGCTTTGTAGCAAGGGCAGCGTGCCCGAAAAGGGATGTTGCAAAAAATATAGAAAACGATTTCATTGGATCTCTTCCTTCTGCCTTGGCAGTTTGGGTGGCAAAGTTTGAGAATGAAGAAATGACTGAGGTAGTCGACACTTTTTCTATGTCTGACAGTTTGCCGTCAGGGAAATATCGAAATGAGTGAATTCCCCACCGTTCCACTCATCTTTGATGTATCTTTGTCCTTTAATCCTATTATTTGAGCCAATGTACAATTGATAGTGTATGATTGTCTCCTATCGCGTACATGGCGCACGAGGTCCCGTAAATGCGTTGGCACTCTTGGCGCCAATGCAGTTTTAAGTTTTTGATGACCGTCCTTCACGGCATGCCGAGATATGAACCCCATTGAATACGATGCCGGTTGGTAACAAATCGAGGCCCAGATCTAGGCCAAGGCCGGAGAATATCTTCGAATTACCAAGCAGCCATTGGCGAGACTTTCGTCTTCGGTCTATTTTGGGATGTTTCCTTATCAGCCATGCTTCATGAATTATATGATTATATCGTACATGGCTTTCAAGGTTGCCTTTGCTATTTTTGGTTAACAAGGTACTTAAAAAAAGAAATTGAAGTTCTCTGGCGCTTCCGAAAGTCTACACTTCATATACTGAAATCAATGATCATGCACAGTCCATATATTACCACGCCTTCCAATTCAGACATCGGATTCGAGATTTGCATACAAGATTAATGTAGTTCAATCCCTGGGGGACTACCCTGTACCTAGACATAGTATGAATTGGCATAGTGATCTACTGCTGGCATTAAACGTCAGGAAGTCCCACTTCCTCGTATTCAACTTAACTATATGCGCAGAGGGAGCGCAGAAGGATTCGATTTTACTCAGCTGATGAAGGCCCCACCATTTTGAGAATATTATCTTAGTTTTCAGCACTGGTACACATTCAAACTAGCTTATTTCTCCCAGATAGGACACCGGTGGATGGAAGTTAGTATGAACATAGTTTGACCGGTCTCAGGCACCACATTGCCAATATGTGCAGAACTTTATCCATGCAGATCAGCCGGTGAGTTCACTCTTGCGGTCCCTGGATCTGATGGTTGATAGCTCACCCCTATTGCATCCTACTACGTGTTGTATGCGGGCTCGTGGAGCCCTCCGTAAGTTTCATTCAATCACTCGAAGTTTGGTATCAATATAGTTTCAAAACAGAAAACGCAATTTCTTTCGAACATATATATTTGATGCTTCCAATCGTCATTTTATATACCACACCAACTCATTTCTTCTTTTCGTTTGTGTACAACGCCCTCCGGGTCATTTTTCGCCATCATGAAGTCTGCTATTATCACTTCCGTTCTCTTTTCTGTAGCTGTCGTCCAGGCATATACCCCGGCCGAGCAGCTCGACGTCCAGTCTCACCTAATTTCCGACCCCAACCAGGTCAAGGGAAAGACTTATGACTATGTCATTGCTGGTGGTGGCTTGACTGGTCTGACCGTGGCGGCCAAGCTGACCGAAAACCCGAAGATCAAAGTTCTCGTGATTGAGAAGGGATTCTACGAATCCAACGATGGACCGATCATCGAGGATCCCAACGCGTATGGGGAGATCTTTGGAACTACTGTGGATCAGAATTATCTCACAGTTCCCATGATAAATAACCGAACTGGAGAAATCAAGTCTGGCAACGGTCTTGGTGGCTCGACCTTGATCAACGGCGATTCCTGGACCCGCCCTGACAAGGTCCAGATCGACTCATGGGAAAAGGTCTTTGGCATGGAGGGCTGGAACTGGGACAACATCTTCCAGTACATGAAGAAGGCTGAGCGCTCGCGCCCCCCGACCGCTGCCCAGATTGAAGCCGGTCACTTTTACGACCCTGCCTGCCATGGAACAAATGGAACTGTTCATGCCGGCCCTCGCGACAACGGCAAGCCTTGGTCCCCACTGATGCGAGCCCTTATGAACACCGTCTCTGCTGTCGGTGTCCCAGTCCAAAAGGACTTCCACTGCGGCCACCCTCGTGGTGTCTCGATGATCCCGAACAACCTCCATGAGAACCAGGTCCGGGCTGATGCGGCTCGCGAGTGGCTTCTTCCCAACTACGAGCGCGCTAACCTGCAGATCCTGACTGGCCAGAAGGTTGGAAAGGTTCTGTTCAACGAGACCGCGTCTGGCCCTAAGGCTGTTGGTGTGAACTTCGGTACCAACAAGGCAGTTAACTTCAATGTCTACGCCAAGCACGAAGTTCTGTTGGCCGCCGGATCTGCCATTTCTCCTTTGATCCTTGAATACTCCGGTATTGGTATCAAGTCCGTCCTTGACACAGCCGGCGTTAAGCAGCTCCTCGAACTCCCTGTTGGTCTCAACATGCAAGACCAAACCACTACCACTGTGCGGTCCCGTGCCAACAATGCACCTGGACAAGGCCAGGCCGCTTACTTTGCAAACTTCACCGAGGTTCTCGGCGACCACGCTGCCTATGGTATTGAGTTGCTGAACACCAAGATTGACCAATGGGCCGAGGAGACCGTTGCCCGCGGTGGTTTCCACAATGTGACAGCCCTCAAGATCCAATATGAGAACTACCGCAACTGGCTCCTTGATGAGGATGTTGCGTTTGCCGAGCTCTTCTTCGACACTGAGGGCAAGATCAACTTCGATATCTGGAACCTTATCCCCTTCACTCGCGGTTCTACCCACATTCTCAGCAGTGACCCTTATCTCTGGCAATACGCCAATGACCCCAAGTTCTTGATGAACGAGCTGGATCTTCTTGGCCAGGCCGCTGCTACCAAGCTTGGTCGTGATCTCTCTAGCGCCGGCGAGATGAAGAACTACTACGCTGGCGAGACCATTCCCGGTGACCTCCTGGCTCAGAATGCCACTGTTGAGCAGTGGGAGGACTACGTGCTGATGAACTTCCGTCCTAACTGGCACGCTGTGAGCACCTGCTCCATGATGTCCCGCGAGCTTGGTGGTGTTGTCGACGCTACTGCCAAGGTGTACGGTACCCAGGGCCTCCGTGTCGTTGACGGGTCCATCCCTCCCACTCAGGTGTCCTCTCATGTGATGACTGTTTTCTACGGTATGGCCTTAAAGATCGCCGAATCCGTCCTTGCAGACTATGCCAAGAAAGCTTAGTTGGATTAATTTGCGTGAACGATCATTTTGGCAAGAGGGAGATTTGGTCAATCACCCCAACCGTGGGAAATTCCTTCCCCCTTTTAGATTTGCGAGGGGACTTGCACTCAATAATGTCCCGACTTTAGTTGAAACTCGTCTATTCCTTGCCCCCGTTCCTTGTTATTTTCCTTCAGGTGTTATACTAGATTTCAAGATATAATTGTTAAATAGAAAAGAAAAAAAACTGTTCAGGGTCAACAAACGAAAGAAGCCTCTAAATAGGACGGAGCCAAAAGTTGAACTCGCCGTAAATAAACAGTATCATTTCATAATTTAGGAGGCTTCCAGTATAACGGTTGGGCTTACCTTTCCACCGGTTAGGTGTAAATGATCTAGATTACCCGGATGAAACCTATTGATCAGGTAAAGACCAATGATGATATAAGGAGAGGTGAAGACTGGTTTTTATTATGTACGGAAATGAGTTTTGTTGAAAATCCCAGTTAATTCTCAGAAATTAACATCGCCTTGGGGCCTCAACGCTAACCCTAAATTCCGGGATCTAGATGCAGTTTGATCTTGTCGATACTCCTTTTCTGTGTTTAAATACTGCATTGGCGACTCAACATTTTAATTCGGGCTACATTTATTCAATTTTTCAGCTTCATATCGTTGAGTCTTGTTGATTCATTTCTGTTCTGTCATATTGAGGGGATAGAATAAAAAGCCTATAAATATTTATGGGCTTCTTTCCCTATAAGAAAGAAATTAAACCGTTTTACATTTCCAACTTTTTATAGCACTTTTCATAGTACTACTTTGGTAAGGATCTTTTATCCCTATTTATACATGCTGAATAGTTTCATCAGTACTATTTCAACAAATCTTGATATGCCAGTAGACTGGGTACATAAAATATACACTAACTAGCGCCTCAGTACCTGAAATATGGTATGTCTCTGGCCAATCGGTTGCTCATTTACTTTATTCGGAGCACGTGGGAAACCCTTGAAACGCAAACTATATCGGGTTCCAGGTGAGGGAGGTTACTACTTATGCCAAGCCAGGGTACCCACACTAAAACCGGCCACGGTGACCTCCCTCAGCTCCTATACTTGGGGGAGGTCACCGTGACCATTTTAGTGTGGGTACCCTGGCTTGGCATAAGTAGTAACCTCCCTCAACTGGGTGCCCAAACTATATCAAGAACCCATTCCTATAATTGTCAACCGAACGTTCCATAAAAATTCCATAAAACCGTTTAAAAATATCGGGTCAATGGAAGAGTAAAAGAATACTTATGAGGCAATTCAAAATATTGCGAAATTTCAAAATATTACAATAAACAAGAAACTGGTAAGACTAGAATCGAACACGGTATTTGTAACACATCTCAGACAGTTCCGAAGGTGTAGGTGACCAGGTTAACGGCAGGGAGGGTCTCAGGGGAGTATATCACATTGGATTGCTGGCCCCACTGTGGGTTGTTGACAGAATCAATCCAGCCCTCGGGTTCAATCGCCAGGCAACCATATTTCTCAACAAATCCGGCAGCTTCCTCATTTTCCGAGTTTCGCTTAGCCTGAGAAGGCTTCACAGGAATTGTTCCATCCATGTTCAGACAGGTGAAGAGCTGCACAGAAGGTTGGTTCGTTGCAACGTCCATGCTAATTCCTGTGGAGTTGGAGTTCAATCGGAGAGCGAGAGCAAGTGAGTTTTGGGCAGAGTACGTCGAGTCACGGTCGATAATAAAGCAGTTGTCATATCCCACATCACTGCCAACAAGACCTTGGGTGTATTGTATGTCACGACCGATGATTTTGCCGGCAGTAAAGTCCATACATTGGTGATCGGTATCATCCACGGTAGAGATGACTCCGTTGGGGACTTGAAGACTGTCCGTGGCGATGAATCGCTCAGACAGAGGCAGTTGCAGCCATGTATCATGGAGGATAGTCGGCTGCTGGAAACTATTCAGGTTCCAGTAGATATGGTTGGAGAGCATGATCGGAGTGGAGTGAGTGAGAGCCTGCGAGACCAACTTGGTTATCAGCCGGGGACGTCCCTGCGGGTTCGCAGCGGTGGCCTCGGTGTCGACAGTGTATGTAGCCTGTGTAATGACGTCCCCTGGGAAGCCTTGGAATGCAGCGTCGTAGAGCTCAAACGTGACAGAGGAAGGTGTGGATGCAACCAAAGTCCAGTTTCGCTGATCATAGCCAATGTCTCCGCCATGCAGCGTATACAAGCCGTCTTTGTTCTTGGGAATGTGATATTCGGTTCCGTCTAGCTCGAAAGTACCATTCTTGATACGGTTGGCAATGCGGCCAATGACGGCTCCGAAATAGGTATGACTGGTCTCAGTGTCTTCCAGATACTGACGGGGATCATCATAGCCGACCACAACGTCTTGTTCATTGCCATTCTTATCTGGAACTAGCAGAGAGATCAATCGCGCTCCATATGGAATGAACTTGGCCGTGATGTTGTCGGCGGAGATTGTGAAGACCTTGAAGGGATCTACAGAGCGTGCAGTAGAATGTCCCTGACCAAGAGCGATCGGAACAAAAAGACATGCTGCAATGTACTGCTTGACATACATGTTGTAATTTGATAAAAAATACTGTTCAGCAGAAGTGGCACACGTAAATAAAATTAAAAAGTAAAAGAAGGTGAGGGGACTCCTTCTTAAAACGTGGATCCAGAGAAGACGGATGAGAAAGGGTTAGGTACCCCCCTTGTACCCCCTTGGCAACAATTCTGTCAATGTGGCTCCGCCAAGCCTGGGCTAATTTTCAATTACACTCTGTAATGCATTTACTATGGGAACTTCATACTATATAAATCTATATATCTTCTATAGTTGAATCGATGGCAGGCTTTATAAACTAGTAAATATTCATTCACGTAAAGTACTCGAACTTATATATCATCGAGATTAGGCCTTCCTAACTATGGAATATTGTACTGGATTGTTTAAAAAACATATTATTACTAGCGCAAACTGATCGACGGGATTTACATTGACAGAATTGTTGCCAAGGGGGGTACAAGTGACACGGGGCCCGCTCCCCAGCTCTCTCTCGGGCGGGAAGTGTCGGCATGCCGAGCTTATTCTCGGCAAACCCGTGGTTCGGTCTTGGCAAAGAATAAAGTTTGGCCACTAAATTTTAAGTTTCCTGTCAAACAAGAAATAGGACAGATATGGCCCCGCTAGGCCCTAAACAAGTACCTTGGTTTTTGTTATGGTCTAGTGGTAAAATACGCCGTATTTTGTTCCACATTTTCCTCAAAATCCGAATTAATAATTTGCAAGGCCTAGACTGGGAGTAACAATCCTGGCGATATATTCTGGCAAGGGTGCATAGAGCTGAGTCATTTGCGCTTTATTAGGACACATCCTTTCTTAAACAGGCTATACGCAAGAAATGTCTGGAGGTGCTTTGGACTGAGTAAAGAGATTTTCATAGTGATCCAGTTACGAACGCTAGCTGCTTCAAATTTTGTGTCATAGGTCTAAAAAATCTAGAGATATAGTAAGCAGATGGTAGTGCGAAGATGTCCTAGGTTTAAACTTAGCTTTTTACGAGGACTTTATCTCGTTTAGCGAAAGCGCCGAAATTTCCTTGTTTGTCAATCAAAATATACCATGCTCAAAAACGTCATGGGTGGAGATCGATCAGAACAATGTAAAACTGTATACACTAGTATGCATTCAACACAAATTAGATCAAGCGGCACCAATTATTCGGTCCATGAGACGCACTAGGACCACTGGCCTGCCCATGTGGCTCGTGGGACTGTTGTGCATGGACGACATGTCGAGGGCAGGTTGAAATACTCATACTCGATACTCAGTTTTTATAACGCCAGGGTTGCAAATTTGGCCAATGTTATATACGAGAAACCAAAGAAATGCGTAGTCTCATGCAACCAATCAAAAAAGTCGTCGAACCTGATCATCCAGGGTGCTTTTTTTTCCTTTGCCGCGTGAGATGTGGAATTCATCAGGTTTCCGGTTAGGCTTTTTAAGGATCCCTAGTGAAGTAGATAGATCTGGTCCAGGGACTGTTCCTGCATTCATTAGACTTCCAGTGAGTGATTGGTGTACATAGTACTTTGCGCTCTCCTTACGACCTTAGGGGTCGATTGGTTATCACTTTTGGCGAGGATTCCACTGGTTTCAGTGACACGAGACAGTGCGGGTTACAGCCGGGCTACCTGATTCATAATGAATGAAACTCCTTTGGTCCAGGAAATACTCGTGCGATAGAATATCTGCAACAGCTTGAATTATTGTTTTTAAGACGTAGTCACGTAATTCAAATCTATCCACTGCCAAAATGCACATTCTAACCTGGCCAAAATGGCCAAATACTATTCTCGACGGAGAGAGAGGTCAATTTCCCAGAGAAATCCATCAATACGATTCATTTTGAAGTTACCATTCCAGTGACCAATGATTTCCAGCTCAAGCCGAGATATTGAATCCGGAAACGACCAAGGTATGCTTCTTACCATCAAAGTGGACGTTCTTGGGGGGCACAGCGTGACCATTGAACTTGATAGGGGTCTTTGTCTGCTTAACGCCCCGAATGGTAACGTTTCTCAGGCTGTTCTCTTCAGCCCATCCACCATGCTCTATGAAAGTGTCAAGCTTCCTATTCTGAGGCTTGAATTCCGCATGAAGCGTGGCGTTGGGTATAACGCTGACTCCGTCGTCAAGGTAGAGGTTTCCATTTGCGCTGCCGTCCTTGTCCAGTGCCACGAGGATATCCCAGGGGCTGTTTCGTGCATCTCTGGTGGTGAGTGCAGCTTGCTGAAGGGGCAAGACGGATCCTCCACGAGCGTAGACTGGAATGTGACCGAGAGGGGCGGGCATGGTTGAGTTGGCTTGGGCTGGCACGGGGACGGCGGTATTGTTGTACCAGTCGTACCAGACTTCCTCGCCCAACACGAGCACTTCCGTTCCTCGTTCGGCACATGATGAGCTTTTATTGCGCCAACACAGGTATTAGCATTGGCAACCTGATAGTTCGCCCTGCACAGTGACTAGCTTTTAGCCTGTTGGGGGTATTCACCATCGTTCCATGATTGTTGGGGGCGTTAGGTTTGTTGCCTAGTCTGTATAGCTCCTAGCTTTGTCAACGACCAATATTAACTCTCATTGCACCAAAAGCTTTGACATAGCCCTTTTGGGGGTCCCTTCTGGCAATAATGTCCTTGGTAAGACAGAGGAGAGTCCAATACGCTGTGTAGTGGGTTTATAAGAGGGTGGATTTGATTTGTAGAAAGTAGAGGCCATGGGTTTTGAGATAGCCAAAGCACGTCTCTGGTTCCTGGAGCTTGTTCCAGGTACTTGGGTCCTCTATGTTGTGTGTATCCGCTACCTATACCCCATATATTGATATAGCTTAGGCTGATACAAGGGTTTCTGGTCAGGATCAATTAAGGACCAATAAATCAATGAAGATGGTAAAGAAAGATGTTGAAATTCATTCATGAGAAACGTGCGGACCAATCTCTCAAGGGGAATGGACCTGGCAGGGCTAGACCTCGAACAACAAGGAAAAGGAAAAGCTCGTTCTTCAGTCAAATAGCCCCTTGGATGGCCAGTCCAGGGGTCCCTCTAACTCGTCAAATAGACCCAGGGGGTCCAAAGGATCCCAAACGTATTGGTTGTCGGCCTCCACGCTGGCATTCAGGATGTCCTGGGCGCGAGGACCAGGAGAGGAAGGCTCAGCGACTGGGCGGATGGGAGAGGGCGGGGCAGCGGGGGAGGCGAGACAGCGGGCGGCGACACAGCAGGGGGAGACACAACAGGTGGCGAGGCAGTACGAGGCGAGGCAGCAGACCAAGCGGAACGCGAGCTACCGGCCGATGAAGCCGCAGGAGAGGCGACAGATCCACCCTCCTCATTTGCCTTCTTGGCGGCGGCAGCTTCCATCTCTTTTTAATCGTTAGCATTCACTCAATATCAAGTCATATCATGAGACATACTTCTCTTCTTCGCCCTCTTTTTGCCGGGGCGGCGCTGGTTGCGCTTGCGCTTTGGGGGAAGCGCAGGGTCGCGCACTCCCTGCACGACGGGGGGCTATATCAAGCAAGATGTTATTATCAGTCAGGTCAAATTATGTGTAGCAATGATGGGACAAATAAGGGAAGATAGTTGGCATCCTGACAACTGGGGACAACGAGGATATTCCACAGGTTGAGACGAGGGAAGACCCGAGTACTTACCACGTCAATTCCGTGATTGCGGAGGTAGCGGCGGAAGCTAGGGTTCCGCTTTTTTCTTTTTGGGGTTTCCCTCGGGGAGGGAGGGCCTTCCATCATGAAAAAAATAATAGATGGCAGTGTTGATGAAGAGGTGGGTGGGATGAGACACGAAGGATGAGACGCGAAGAGAGAAGAGGAGAGAAAGAGAAGCCCTTCACCCGTGGAAAAGTTTGAAATCCGAGCAGCTTCCTCGTTGACTGAGACCTACGTGTTTGACTGGGAAAATCTTCAGGTGACTGACTGTTGTCTTCTTTCCCACCAAGGAGGGTTTGTTCGACCTACGAGGTCAGATCACCCTGATATTTTCCGGCAACCTCGTCTGCTACAAGACTTTGTTTGTTCAACCTCTATCAGAATCGAAAGCGCAAATCTTTTTTTGGGATTTGGTGTTGGATTTCCTATAATAGAGGACTACATACATGTCGACAAGGAATTGTCAGTGTATAGCGTCTTCTTTGACAGCTGGCTACATTTTCTTGGCTTGAGTGTTTCCATTCCCATGTTAGCTTCCACACATCTCCTTTGCACTGTTTTCGTATTGTTATTGTTGCTGGAATCCGCAAAGGGCTTGCGCATTCATAGGGGCAATGTAGAAGTTCTGGAACTATTCGGTAATCTTGTTTATACCTTCAGCCCAAACAAAGTCAAGGTAGATCCTCTTCATGGAGTTGGGGTCATTTTCTTTGGTACTCAGGGTCTAAATAAATTCACAGGACCGGCAATATGTTGCAATATGTAGCTTTCATAAAGCAATATAGTTTCAGCCGTGGGTTCATCTTTCCAACAATGTCAGTGAGGCCATAAAAGGTGTCTTATGACATTCCAACAAAGTTCCGAGCATTTGCACCTTTATATTGGATATTCGATAACTTGAGGAACCGTCGAAAGGTAGCTTGCGGTGATAGGGAGCAGTAATGAGATCGTTATAGCTGAAATGCTTGATGGACGTCGGTCATATGAACAATTAGTCCGAGCGGGATAGGGTCAAGAGTTTCAAAGAGTTGAATGCAGGCGCAGGTATTTGCATTCTCCCATTGACATAATCGATCAATATCCTCGTGATTTTGAACCCTGAGTTTGGAATAGAACGTGGAAATCGAACGTCAAAGTTGTAGCGGGAAGGACAGGCACCAATGGTGTAACTTGTAAAGAAGAGGGAGGTACGGATGAAAACAAACTCTGACATACTGTACGTTCCTGTGAGGACAGATCTCGCTTGATGCGGGCTTGATGCGGAGAAACGTGGGAGATGAGATCAATGTACGCGGGTACCAAATCGGGTCAAAGTGACACTTCAGGGTGTGGAAAAGACAGACGGTGGTATCTGCCAACGATGATGCCTAGCTGAGCAAATGCAAGTCACCGAATGTGATTAGGTAGCAAGCATGCGATTGGGGATCAATATTCAGAGGGAATCGATAGTTCCAGAGGTGATTACTCAACTGCATGGCGGATGTAGGGGAACGAGATCGACGACTGACGATCTCATAGCAAATACCTGTATTTATATTGTGGATGCAAAGTGAATACCTTGATAGAGCATCATCATTCAAACTCGCCGTGTAATCAAATGAGACACTACTTCTATATGCTCTAAGAGTAGGAAAGGGGGAGGAAACCAGCACAGATAAAAAGGAAATAAAAAAGGAACAAACCCAGCGCCGAGAGTGCGAAATTCTCACAGCCACTTGCGGTCCTCGGGGTTCGAACCCAGGGTTGTGTGACCTAGGGTAGTCTGGAACAGGGTATGGTTCGTGAGCGATCTACCAACTAGGCCACCTGGGTTTCGCTAATACCACTATACTGATTTTTATATTTAAGCAACACTCTTGCTCCTTCGCTTCCTACCTCACTCCCCAAAATTCTGCTTTCTGCAACCCTTCCTAGGTGCCTTCATACGCGTATGTTTGTACACAAACCTGTTAACACCAATCCAGTGAACAATACACCCACATACCAGCGGAAGCAGAAGACACAAGATAAATACCGAAGCACCAGCATTGTTGTTGCAGTTTCCTACAAACTGTCTATTGCCAACGTTGCCGTTTATGAAGACCTGCTGCTCAAACATAATATCCTCGACGGCAATGATGGGCCTAGACAACACGCTGCTTGTCACGGTGGTATTATGCTTTACTCAAGATTATTTCCTGCTATGGTACTTTAGCAATGCAATAAAGAATAATCTCTCTTGTACCTCTCAATTAGATATGCCTCGCTTTTAATATTCCTCATCTCACATATCTCTCACTTCAAATATTTCTCACTCTAGTGAGAAATTAGTAAGAGATGATTTGGTAATTTATGATATACTGATGCCCTCTAATTCTACCCTATGACCAGCGCTTTGACTTTTATTGAAGTCAGCAAGACGTTCCTTCCAAGGTTGGATTTAAAGTCTCCCAACGCATGTATAAATCTTCGTTCTTCCTCGTCTCTCTACAAGGGAAAACACGGGTCAGAAAATATTCGCTTATATAAATAAATGTCATTTCTCCTCCTTTCTTCTTTTCTCTTCAAACCCTCTTCCTCGATGTTGACATAAGCCCAGCAATCCCTTAAAGAGATCCCTTATCGATATCACCACTTATTCTCGTTATTATCATCATGGAAGGCCAGGGGCAACCCCAAAGAAAAAGAAGAGGAACAGTAGTTCCCGTTATTATCTCCGCGATCGTGGAGGACGTGGTAAGTACTCCGGTCTTCCCTAGTTCCAGTCTGTCGAACATCCTTACTGTCCCCAGTTGTCAGGATGCCTACTATTTTTTATTATGTCCCATCCTCTCTAATATTATGTTGCTATAGCCCCCCGTTGTGCAGGGAGTGCGTGACCCTGCGCCTCCCCCAAAGCGCAAGCGTAACCAGTGCTGCCCCGGCAGAAAGAGGGTGAAGAAGAGAAGTATGTCGTATTTGTGGGAGCACATGGGGAGGCTAGGATTTACCAGGATAGAAAGAGAGGGGAGTAAGAAGGAAGTAAGAGGGAGACGATGGTTTGCCTACTAACAACCCTGGAAGGAACTATCCAGACGCGTGAACAGCCTGTCTCACTCAATTTGCTGGCGTCTACATTTGCTATCTAGTCATAGTCATACTCACACTAGAAAATAAACAACATGCCCGTGAAGAAATTAGAAGCTGAGTGTGGAAAACAAGAATTTGTTGGTTAAGTATCAAAGTCAGTGCGGTATCAAAATGCAAAACCCAGGTGGCCTAGTTGGCTCGTAGATCGCGCATAAGAGCCAGGTTTCCAAGGTTACCTGGTTCAAGACTACCCACTAGGTCAAGTCTGGGTTCGAACCCCGAGACCGCAAGTCGTGCCTTTTCAGGTGCTGGGTTTGTTCACTTCTTCACTTCTTCGCTTATTTTTCCTTCTCGTTTTTATTTGTCTTAAGTCTTTTTTTTATCTTTGTTCTCTCTTCCTTTAAACGGTGCTTGTGGCACATGAAAACAGTGTGGTAGTCGCCTAGTAACACGCGTTTGAATGGGTACATATCAACGGTCTCTTTTGGCAACTCGCTCCCAACGTCGGCCATTTCTTTGTAATCCAATATTTGAGTCACTTTGGTACCTATCATATTAATACTAGAGCATCTTAGGACTTGTAGTCTAGCGACAGAGGAAAATCCTATAACTTATGATTGAATATAAGAACGAAGTGAGCCTCCTTTACATACAGTTAATAATAAACAACTAATGCCAAGAGGTCTACGGGAGATGGAAGCTTGGTGACCCAATCCTATAAATAGTCCCTTTGTAATTATCTTCATCAACTATCAAGACAAAAGGATCCCATTCTATGAAAGGTTTGGCTCTGACATTGCTGTATGTATTCTATCCCGAGTTGAGGAGGCCATATCTTGCGCATGAAGAGAGCACGAAGCCCACCTGCCCATTTTATGACAGAAAAAAAGTCTTGATCTTGGTCTCCGTTCATCATGGTATTGTGGACTTAGAAAACATCCCATGAGCCTATGTACGCGACCTTGAAGCCCACCATAACGCCCACTAGGCAAGCCCATATATTAGAACTCGGCCAAGTACTTGAAACATGAATACCGCACTATCTTGATTTGAAAGACCAGGATAGGTGCAGGAAATCAAATCAGGTTGAAGTATTGCAACATCAAGCCCATATCCTGCACAATGTTATCAGACCGTATCCACGTTGAGATATGATACCCCCGGAGGCAACTTTGGTCGTAAAATGACAGCGGAAATAGTTCTGGGCGCCAGTGTGCAAGTGACTCGTGAAGACACCCCGGTTATATCATGGCTTGAAAGCCCCGAGTCCTCGGTGTTTTTTCCGTTAGCGTAGTTGGAGACACGGGAAGCTAGATTGTAAGTAGGTCACGCAGATGTAAGGGGTCACGAAACGACAGACAACGCGTCTTGGGACACAGCTCTCTAGGAGACATAATCAACAGAAATCGCTGTCTTCGAGAAAATAATGATACTCACCACATAGTGATTCATTGACGTTTCGATCCAATGGCAGCGTGCGTGGTGGGTACACAGAGCATTCCATTTGGATGATTGAAAATCGTTAGCAAAGGGTTCCCATCCGACAATAGATTTGGCCTCAAGGCAGTCCCCAACTGATAGCCAGCATATGGAAATCCAGCCAGATTCTCGATGGAATCTGGTTGCTGGCTGGTAGAATTGAAAGTGGAAAAACTGGTGGGAGAGAAGAGAAATGGAAGAAGAGGAAAGGGAGACAGCCAGCATGAGCAAACAAGCCAGACTGGATTTTGCGCCCACGCTATTTTATACGCTCTACTCTTTTGCTCTTCATTTGCAAACCGAGAAAATGGATACTATATGCATTACAGGAATTAGTTACAGAGATAAGCCCAAAGACAGATCCAAATTACACATTTAGAGTACCTTCTGTACAAAAATATGTAACTATATCTTTATGATAGGTGACATGTACATATGTACTACGTGTGTTTTCATAGTTGTCCGATCGTAGTTTTGGTTGGACATTTGGCACAATCGGTCAACTCCAAGAATGGAGGTCTGATTGAACCCAACGCCGAGTATGCGACTCCGACAAGCATGGGGTCACTAGTTTGATACTTCAATGGGGAGCCATAGGTTGGAACTGAGTACACACTGCACAATGTTCATGCTGGGAACTCAAATATATGTAGTGTTTACGGGGATTCCAGCTAAAATGACAAAAGGTGCCTGAATATTTGAAGTACCCATATGTCACTCCAATCCCAGTAAATTCCGGTCAATCCCTTGATTGGAGATGTAAACGGCGGACCTGTGAATTACTGTATCGGGTTAGTTTTGCCTTTTTGGGTTTAGCGCGCCAATACGCTGTCACGTAACCTCCCTTCAATGCCCTCCGACATAAAAGACCCGTCTTCGCTGCTCCTCCCTTTCTCTCACTTTTTCACTCTTCCTACCTCTCTATCTTGTACTTATCGCCGCCCCCTTTCTTTTACTCTGGCCCCCACCGACTACTGCCCATTTGCTTTCAGCCCGACGCACTGCCCCTTTCATTTTTCCCGGAGATGCCGCTTGATCCGACATCCAACTTGTAATGCCTGTCACCTAGAAGCGTAACCACTAGGATGATACAGCATCCTATCCTTTTGTGTCGATGATCCTACTTCTTCCCTAGGGCAGTGACTGAACACTATGCTACGAAGATATCTAGGTCTCCCTAGACCTTGCCAACTCCCATGGGACCAAAAGAATTTTGGTCCCATTACCCCTAGTAGTCCTATGGGGGTCCTATGGGAGTAAACGACAACTTTTATCGAGAAAAACAATATTTCTAATTTATTTCTTAGCATTCAGCATCATTGTAAGCTTTAGTATATTTCAAATCTGTTGCCTCAGAAAATGTCGACGGACAGAGAAAGCTCTTCATTGCCATGTCCCTTCGACAAAGACGATCAGCTCAATGGTGATCTCGATGCATCGCTTGATTATTTGCCAGGTCAACCTCGTATCAAAATGAGCGAACATAAGGGCTTGTTTGATTTCATTCTCAAAGAAGTCTGGCCAGAGGACCTCGAGTCGATATCGGGCAGACTCTGGTGGATGTCGAAGCATGATAGCAGCATATCTCTCCGTTGCATCGACAGCGAGTGAAGGGCCGACAGATCATCGTTACCGAGGATCCTCGACTACACCTCGTCTGGATCGATGACCGAATCTTTCTTAAACCCCTTCCACAGTACATAACGTCCTACGTATTCTGGGATACGTTCATGAGCGATCCGTCAGAATTGGGTGCGGCGATGAAACTAAGAAAGGCCGCACTCGGGTATCTGCGAACGTATTTCTACCTGATCCAGTATGAATCAGATCTACGAATCGCACAAGATCCGGCTCTCTTCCTGGTTCCTAAAGAAATGACCTGGCCTTGGTTCTGCCAGTTCACTGCCCATTTTCATGACATCACGGATAACGAAGTTTCGGGACGATACCATTACGGAGAGATCCGATTGTCCCGATTGAACGGTTCCGGGAATTCTGTCGCTTCTGCTCCCGTTCCCCGGCCGAGTAATCTCATCTCCTGCGCCGCGGCAATGAGATGGCAGCGCATCCGACAACAGCTCATCTCCGTTGCCTCTGCGCGTTCAACAGGTGGGATTGCCGAGTCCACTTGTATATCTTCATCGTTTATAGCCATTGGGATCTGAGTATTAAAGAATATCCGATAGTGAAGCGGTTCATGGCCATTGATCTTAGACAATCGCAGATCTAGAAAGCAAATCTGCAACCAGACCCCAGACCCGTCTTCGGACTTCGACTTCAACAGGCGTGAGGTCGAGCATGGTCCCACCATCAAGATGCATACCCATGGTCTGTGCCATGCGGAATAGCATAGATACCATAGAACAGATAGAGCCGCTATCATCCTGGTTTTGCATACATGTCCACAGAAGAACGGCGGCTTGCAAAACCCGTATGCTTTGCGTGTGGAAAATATCGGCCTTGATCAGAGCTTGCTGGGTGGCGTATTGGTAATGCACCAACAGCGCTGAACGGGCATTTTCCATATTCTGGATACTTGTATCGTCGGTCATGCTGGCGACGGCTGCGTAGTAGATGGAAAACATTAGCGGTTTTGTGCCGTGGTCGACGAGATCCGGGGCCATCGCGGTGTCCATGAAGGTTTGCTTGGTGCTTGGGAAGTGGAATCTATTCACCACGGGGGCAACATATTGTCGAAACGTTTCCCAGAGAATAGTTGGGAGCAAGATGGTGGGGATGCGCAGGGGCTATTTCTGACGGCTGAATCCGAAATAGTCGCGGGACATGTCTCGTATTCGGCCATTGTGGTACCTACAAACGGGCGGATGTAGGAGGATGATTGTGTGTCGTTCCGAATCCAACTGGGTGGATGGTGGAGCATATTTGCTTGTACTGGATCAATCGTCAGGTGTCACTTATTGGACTCTATGCACACTTGTGGTAGGCGCGTACTTTACAAGCGAGGTATAGGAAAAAGATCAGTAAATGTAAGGACGTAAATAGGCGACGCGTTCAATCCTCTATGTCGTATTTTCCTGTCCTTGGAAACGATTGCTAGTATAGATGTCTTTGAACCCAAGATACTTAGGTCTTTCCATTGGAAGTTTAACTATACACGGCGTTGGGATTTTCAAACTGCGCTTTATTCCCGACTACGAAGGAGCTTTAAGTTTTAGTATCTCCGCGGCTTGGCAGAGGGAATGAAGTTTCTCACCTACGAAAGTTGGCAGGTCACTATACAAACTAAACACACTTCATGGCTTAAAATTCTAGTGTGTTGAATGAGAATTGGGAATCGCGAACCGCGAGCTCGAAAGTAATACGGGAATAAAGGTGGTCACGGGAAGTAGTGTTTCATGGTAAACCCGTATCCACACGTCGTGAGCCTCAACCCCAGAAGCCTTACTCGATAATTTACTTTCAGTCAGCATCAATAGGAGACATGTCACGACCTACATATAGACCATTTGCTTGTCTCCCAAAATCTCCATCACGGCATACTTCGAAAATCACAGCTCGTACGTGTTGTATCAAGGCGTTTACTGTCCTTTTCTCCAACTCTCAGCCTGACGATAATCCACAGGCTTCTCAACCAAGATTCAAGAGCTTGATGCCAGCAAATTAGAAAGCTCCCACAACTCCAAGCATGTTCGTCAAATTCACGAGCTACTCCAGAGCCATGGACCTTACACGTCTCCTGCCGCTGCTTTCCCCGACGGCACGGAAATACTTGCCCAGGGCTGAATACCGTATTAGTGTTCCGTCGGAGTTCATCAAAAACGACGACCAGAGATCAATCCTTGGCAGCGTTTTGACCAATACCGGAGCGGGCTACGTTTGCGCGAAGATATTATAACGCCGCTAACGCCCAGCGCGGGCCAAGCATTCGAGGAGCTGAAAAATATGTTGCGGAGTCCCGAAGCGAGATCGCATGCTGTATCTCTTTCGTCGGAGCTACTGTCGAGTGGGTCCATTGTTTTAGTCGAGAATTGTCGGTGGCTTTATGCCAGGAACGAAGTGCAGGACCCTATGAGATACCTGAGGAGGGTTCGGTGGGATGCAAGACCTTTTGCGGGATAGAAATTGACAGTCGTATTTAGGTTACATTCCAGAAATATAAGTCACTGTCACCACTATCCATTCCAGCACAGTTCAGAAATAAATAATCCAGTTCGCAACATTCAATATTGAAATATGCTCGAATAGTTAATACCATGATATCACAGTAACTGGTCAAGCAATGCCCGGGCACTGCTCTCAGCCATGACGCCGATGCCGATGCAGCGTTTCCCCGTTTCAATTGAAGCCCGCCGCGCGCGGAAGTCCTTCTCTGCCTCCTCGACCCGTTTCTCCCACGTGGAAATATCGCTCCCTGGCACAGTCTCGCGCAGGAACTCTGTTAGGCCGCCTACTACCTCGACGAGATCAGGGGCGGGGACGGGGATGGGTCTTTTTTGTTGTTGCTCGGGTGCAATCTCGTCAGAGGTTTGACGAATTCTGACAAAAGAGTATTGTAGGAAGTCATCGCCGTCGTCACTTGAACTGCGGCCTTTTTGGTCAAGAAGAAGGACCCAGCTGCCGGGGTGTATGTCTCTGACTCTGACTCTTGACTCATAATTTGCTGCGAGGCGGTTGCCAAAGAATCCGGCGGGAATGGGACTCACAGCGAACCCTCCGGACGATGAGGATGGCAGCGGTGACTTGTCGTTGTTGGTGGTGGTGGTGGCGACTGACGAGGAGGCCTCCCCGTATGCGAATCGCAAGATGGCCTTGTCAGAACCCGAACCTACGGAACGGAGGTATGATAGGAATTGGACGGCAAAGCGCTCGGGGTCTAGAAGAGTGTTGCCCATGTCGTAGTAGTGACTGTTCTGGTGGTCTGCGTCTGCGACATCTTCGCGTTGATGACCCACAAACGTGAACATGTGCATCACGGGAAATACTTGGACGACGGAGGAAGTGAAAGTGACACTAGTAGTCGAGGGCGATGCAAATTTGTGGTTGCGCAAGGATCTCGAAAAGGCGTAAGTTGGATAGATGGTTTTGTCGCGGAGCCACCCCAAGTTTCCTGATGACCTCCCTCGTAATAGCAGCTGCGTGTAGAAACGAGCGGAGGTATCGTCGCTGTTTCTGTCCGGTCCCTGCACGAAACAGAGCTGTTTGAGGGTCGTGCACTCCGCTAGAGTCGCTACTAGATCACCGAGGCCTCCTTCGCCTCCCTCCAGCTTGAACTTATCGACGCAGAGGCTGAGCGCAGACGCGCCCCGAAGCTCGTCGGATATAATGGCGGTAGCAATCACGCTAGGCGCGAGGTTTCTAAACACGACCCAGTTAAGGTGCGTGTTTCCGGCGTACGCAACGCGGAGAATGTGGCCCGAGGCCTCAGAGGACGGGCCTAGGCTATCGGGCACCTCTTCGAGCCGCCGCCGTAGCTGCTCGCGGAACTCGGCGAGCTTTTGGAATCTGCTAATTGTCTCTTCGTCGAGGTGGAGGTCGGCGGGCTCCTGTGTGAGAATCAGCAGGTTATCAATGGCGCGGTCCATATGCGCATTTCGCGGCGGCTCGTGTGACGTGGTCAGCCGCGAGGCTGTTATGGTCGATATGTCTTTGGCGCTGGTGGTGGACTTTAAAGGCCAGAAGTCTGTTTCATAAGTTAGTAAATGTAGTAGATATGTGTGAGCATAGGGAAGCGCGAGTAATTCACAGACAGTCGGAGATGCTTGAGATGACACCTTGCGAAGGTTCTCTAGCCTGATTTTCAACTCTAGCCTGACTTTCAAGCTCCGGCGGCCAAATGTCTACAATTCCCAAGTCAGTATATACATATCATCTTGATCCCATAGGCGAATAGGTCGCGTGGAAACAGGTCGTGTGGAAACAGACGTACAGTCTAAGGCTGTAGTATCAATAAGCGGCCTATCCTCTAGTCTCAGGAAGCGGGGGTTCTCTTGTAGGCTGATATAGTAGAAGTACTTGCGTAGCCACTGAAGGATAGATAACGGCACTCGAGGCCGCGGGCTAATAAGTATAATGTCAGGCTCCTTTTTAGGCGGGGGGTCTTCAACGGGATCCCAGCCACCCTCCTTACAGTAGAAGGTAACCTCGGCCATATAGCACACGGGGAAACCAACGATACCGTACTTGACGCCGCTATCGAGGTCGGAGATATCGAGAACGACAAGGCCATACTCGGTGCAGTCGCCACGGAATATAGTCGATAGCGGCTGGAGCTGGATGTCGCCGGGGCGTGTACTATTACTATAAGTGGCATTGGCATCGCTATCTCCATCATCGATATCTCCATCATCGCGTAACAACCCGAGCAAAAGGCATGTCGCTATAAAGGGGAACTCGCTAAGCGCGTCATCATGCCATGGCAGCTCGGGCAGTATTTGCGGCTGCTCCCGCCGCCAGGAGCCATCAGGCACGATAAAAGGGGGCTGCGGCGTGTCTGGAATGGTGGGACGCTTAGTACTCTCGGTCTCGTTACCCCCCTGAGACCGACGATACCAGCCCTCCGCGAGCGCTCTCTCCGCCTCGAGCGGCGCGCGGTTCATAGGATCCGAGAGGATTTCGATCAGCGCGAGGGTGTCTGCCACGACATTCTCCACACGTGCCTGAGATGACGCGAAGGCGTCCCTATCGTTGCCCTGGCGGTAGGCCACGCCTAGGGAGCGGCTAGCGCCACGGGGGCCGACATTGGCGACGACGGAGAAGAGGAAGGAGCGGGGACTGTTAGAGTCTAGACACTCGTATCCGAGCATTATATTGTTTACAAGAAGGGACGATTGACCAGCTGGGAAACGAGGAGAGGAAAAGTGCATCAGCCTAACATTTAGTTTAGAGCAGCCTAGTTTAGGCGTCTGGCAAAAGACGGCTAGCCTAGGCCTAGCGGGACAAAGTAATGGAGCCAAGCGATGGCGTCTTTGACTTCTTTTTCAGGTTCTGGTTCTTCTTTTGAGATTGAACACTACAAATTGACCTAGGATATTATTAACTCCTCTTAAATCCCATCTATTTACAACACGCGATTATCTGATGACGTTTGTCTTCTAAGGCGGGGGTGGAGAGGGCTTACGTAGTGAGTCCCCGAGCGTCGGGGGTCTCTCTTTAGAGGTGTCGCTACAACGTAGGCTTATGTTCCAAGGCAAAGATCCTTGTACTCAGCCAAGAAAACAAGTCTGAGCAGCTTTCGGACCATATCTCGGACGCTAAGTGCTAACCTCCGCCTAAGTAGGTAGTGGTCCGCGGATCACTATGAGGTCCCCAAGCCACGATGTTCGATTAGGGAATCTTGTCTTAAATTACGTACGTTATACGTGAAAGAGATTGGTTTTTATTGATTGGTCTCGTAGTATTACATTAACCTCTAGTGCATGATACGGAGGTCTGTAGCCTATCACTAGAAGTAAGATAGAGTCTTTTGGGTTCTATTTCCCCGGTATTATTCTATTACCCCGCATTTATGATGACACGAAATTGAGGAAATGTCCGGAGTACGCAGCGGTATAGGCGCCAACTGCCAAAACCCTATTTCCAGTAAATGTTGATGCCTTGATGCCAAGGAGACAATGGGAGAAAGATGAGGTAGGTTCCTCCTAGAACTTCAAATATGCTGAAAAATGCCCGATTAAGACCTAAGACCTCCGGCTCTCTGTTTAGTTTGCAAAGTCTAGATTTTGGTTGACGTAAAACTCAATAGAAAGAAAATGAAACAAGGAGAAACTTACGGTTCATAGTATTAGTGAGACAAGGACCGTTTGTCTTCCCCATAGAAGAGATGAATAATTTAGGATAGTTGATTTATCGATATCTCCCCAATTTTAGGTGAAGTTAATAGTCATCAATCAAAAGCAGAAAATTCAAACTGAAGTTTGCATAATCTACGTGTTTATAGGGAGAATTGTGGATACTATCTATGGATATACTGAATCCCAACACGTCATCTTTCTGAAAGAGTGATGTAATTAAGGGGAAAGCAACACTCATTGGCCCGCTCGCTCCAGGGCTCGATTTTTGAATTGCATAAGAACAAAACTCTTGAAGTGTGTCGAGTTGGGTGTTTGTGCCTACGTGTTTGTACCTTAAAAGGCATCACACTCGAATTCCTAGTTAGATAGTTTAGATGTTTGCTCTTTCGTTCTTCCTTAATAGTTTTGGCCTGGAATTAGAAAGAAGATTCCATCTGTAGAATTAGAACTATCCTAACTATAACATCCGTCCTGTGGCTACTCTAGGCAATGAGCACTGTTTGTAGATACATGATGTGACTTATTTATAAACAAACCTCTCCAACTAGTTGCATGCAGGCATACCCTCGAATAACAAGATTCCTTGAACCGATACAACGTCAGGACAGGTGCCTGAGCACGGGTTGTCATCATCCATAGGGTCTAGCTGTCGAGGCGTATACTTTTTGCCATTGAGGGAGAGTTGAAATCCGCATTCGGAAAAAAATTCAGGGCCTTCATTCACAAATTTAGCATCGCCTTCTTTGCAGAAGTCAAAGGAGAACTCGTCGTTAGAGATGTCGCAGATTGGCGGAGACGATCCGATATTGGCGTCGCTGACAAATAAACCATCGCAGTGTAAACCTGGATTGTTGTTGTTGTTAGCATGGGCAATTCTCTTTCGGTTATGACGTAGTAATTGCACTTACCAGGCGCATAAATGCTATAGGCATAGATGGGATATTGCGATGTAGGTGTTTTTGATGAACCAAGGCACAATGGCAAAGTTTTAACAGGCGGCGATGATGTAGTCGTTGGTGATGTAACAGTAGTCGTCGATGTTGATGTCGGTTTCTGGGGCGGCATGCCATGAGGGTTCTGTGGGTCCTTGGGGTCGTAGTAGTCCGGAGGATGGCTGATCTTCGGGTTCGGATCGCAGTAGTACCCCTTGCAAAGCTCTCCACCGCAGTGATCGTCGCCGTCGCACTCGGGCGCCGACGGGCCGTCTTCCCAGTCGATGTTCTTGCCCGGGCCGTTGTCATTGGGGATAAGGGGGCAGCTACCACCGTCCTGCCGTCGCCTTGTCGGGTTGCCGCTCTGGCCTGACCTGCAAGGCTCCACGGGCTCCCCAGGGTTCATTGGCTCGTCGTCAAGGCTGTCCTGGATGGTCGGGCACACCTTGGCCCAGTCTTCCTTGGACCCATAGTCGCGCAGACAGCTGTGCTCGCCGACCTGGCCGTTCCAAATGATCGGCCGCCGGGCTGCGGGGTCGACGTTGTGGCCGTGTACGGCGAAGCGACGCGCAAAGAGCTGGATGAGCTTCTTGACGTTGCTTGGTTTGTTCAGCTGAGACTGCCAAGGGGACGGTACTGCTCGGTAGTAATTGGCCAGCGCAGCGACCTGTGGAGCGGCTGCAGAGATAAGGAGAAGCCATGTTAGTCAAGCCATGGGATACAAGTTGTCTTCTCAAGGGACCGTTCGTTGGCTTACCATAGGAAGTGCCCCTGCAGGCCATCATATTTTTGGCCGGGGTGCAAAAACTTGTCGGCGGGGCAGTGGATGTCACTCCCCGGGGCAAACGTCGCGACGAAAGGGGAGTAATTGGAGAAGTCGGCCTTCTCGGTCTTCCAGTTTGACGCTGCCACCACAATCATATTGGCAAAGCCGCCATACTGGTCGTTGGGGTCGGCGAATTTGGCAGGATATCTTTGCACGGGGATGCCCTCTTTTTTTTTCAGTGCGTGGTTGTTGGCCGATGCGACCACTACAACACCTTGCTCGTCAAGCTTGACTAGTAGTTGTCCTGGAACAAGAGGTGGTTGTTAGCGCAACATCCGGAGAGGGCAGTGAACTATATAGCATATCTGAAGTCAGCAAGGAAATCTGCTGCTACTCACGGAAGGCGATGTGAAACATGGGTGTCATGGTCTCGCGGCCGTAGGAAAAGCTCATGCTGACGGTCGCCTTGCCCTGCCTCTTCTTCTTCTTGACATCATCCAGTGTGTCGATGAGATGGGAAATGATCTTTTCGTTGGGAAACTGATACCAGCTTTCTACGTCTCTCCCCGGATGCTCGCTTGTGACAACGACCAAGGTGCACGACGGACAAATGCCAACCTGGTTGCCGATAACCTGGGCGGCAACCCCGGACCCATGAGAATAGCTTGGCGAATACGCGGCGTTGGGACCTAAGGTGTGCTGGGAGTCAAGGTACTCTATGCTCCTGCCCATGAACTCCTACAATCCATCTGTTAGCAGACAGTAGAACAAGGGGTCACGGGAATATGGGAAACAGACACTGTGATCAGTCCAAATGCCGTCGTCGAAAAGCGCATACATATATGTATCCAGCGCGCTGGCGACGTCGTAGTTATATGTGTATTTGTCGCCGTTGGGTTTCTCGGGGTCGAAGCTTAAGCTGCCCGGCGAGCCCCAGCTACTGCCCTTGGGCAAGGACACTTGCGAAGGGCCCCAAAAGGGCGTGTCTCGGGGCACGTGGAATTGTGTCTGTCTCTTGTCGTGCCGCGACTCGAACCGGAGCGTGTCATTCAGTGAGCTGGGCTCCGTATCCAGATCAGGCTCAAAGTCCTCTAGCAGGTCGTCCGACGACATTCCATCGTGCGGCTTGCCCGCGGCGGCTGGAGCCTCCGAGCGGGAGGGAAGGTCCCAGTCTCGGAATTCGTCCTCCAAGGAGAAGGACTCTCCAATGTTATAGTTTCTCTCCTCGTAGTAGTACGCGTACGAGACGTCGGGCTGTTTAGCCTTTCAATTATCCCTGTCCACAAAACTCACGGGCGAAGGGGGGGCGGCGAAATCGAGGATAAATAGACTTACCGATCGTCTCAGAACGTCCATGGTATCTTGGCCGAGCATGGGAATCCAGTAGAACGCCACCCAGTTTTCCGTGGTCAGTCCGACCTCAACGTAGTCGTCATACCCCTGAAGCAGGCTAGGGATCGAGCCCACGTTCTCAGGATCCTTGGGGTAGACGATGGCGGGAGCCGGACACCCGATTTCTGGCGGCTCATATGCGCCGCCGGTCGCCGTGGGCTGGGCGCAAACTGATGGAGTGGTCGTCGTGGTCGAGGACCAGTCTGTCAAGGAGCAGCCGTAGACTGTGTCGCAGGCGGACGCAGTTGCAGTGACCGTGGACGTGATTGTCCCGACCAGAGTCTCCGACTTCGTGACCGTCGTGGAGCAGAGCTCTGCCGACTCGGTCTTACAGGACGGCTCGTCGCTGTATGTGAGCTTTTTGTCATGGCCGACGCTGCAGAAGGGAAGTCATGTGAGTGAGAATGCTTGTTTGTCTCGAGCAGGGCAGTTTCTTACGTGATTTCCGGCCAAGGGGGAAGCGGCGGGTTGATAGTGAATTTGGGGCTTGCAGGGGGACCTATGATATCTGGAGGCGGCGGACCGCTGTGGGTGAGAATCAAGTTATGTTAGCCTATCATATCCCATACAAGGTTGATTTCACTCTTGATCCGCGTAGTTCTGATGGGAAAAATAAAACCCACGGTGGATAAATGCCTGGAGGGAGGGTCCATTTAAGCGACTTGAATTTGCCTCCAATACATATCTGGACATAATTAGCGTGGGCTTCTAGTTTCATAGGGGTACTGCATTGATATATGGGGGAAAATACATACATTGAAGAACCATAGGTTGCAGCTCGTGATAATCACAACGTCGTCGTCGTCGTCGTCATTGTCATCATCACCGTCATCCTCCTCGTTGACAGGCTCGACAATGTAAGGTGGATATGTTCGCCAAATAGGCAAGGTCGTCGGGGTCGGCTATCATTTTTAGCATTGCATCAGCTTCTTCGAATTCACAAAACACGATAAGGTGGGGGGGTCGTAAATGGAAATGATCAAGTACCTCAAAGGGCTCTAGTGTGCCTGTTGTCTCAATTGGATTCGGTAGTTCCCAGTCCTCATCGTCCTTGTCGTCGTCGTCGTCGTCATCGTCACCATCAGGCCGTGGGCCTTTGGTTACAGCCGGCCACGCGGGAAGGGTAAGAACACGTGTGGTCGTGCCGCCCCCACCGTCGTCCAGGCTCACGGTGACGGGTGCGATAGGAACCCTAACCCCGACCCAGAGCGAGCTGGTGTCTTGATTCCGGCTGATGTTGACGTTGGAGTACGATAACTCGTCGGTCGTGATTGCGGGCAGGTCAATGGTGATTGTCGTCGTCTGCGTCACGAACGCGGTGACCGTTTCGCCGTTCTTGGTGGTATCGGTTGTGGTGCCGTAGAGAAGCGAAGTGACGTACTCTCCTGGGTCGATGGTCGTTGGCGAGGGAAGCTGGCTAGGTGGGAAGACCAGCACACATGGTGCTTCGCACCAGGCATCGGGCTCCTTGTATACGATGGGGTCCAAATAGACAGGGTCGCCTGTGTTAGCACGTCTTCCTTCCTATTGTGGCCCCGGTTGTTAGCGGCAGTCTGTAAAATGTGCCGTTTCGGCATCAATATCAATTAAATGGACACTCACTCCCTGGAGATCAATAGCCCAGTCAGTTGTACCGCCACAGTTGAGGCCCTTATACTGGCTGCGCCGGCGGTCTTTGGTCTTGTCGGTCATATACGCCACCCACTCGACAGAATTAAAGACCAGATAATCTGAATCAGTTGCCTCGTCATACCAGCTTTTGATGGCACCACCTTTATCGATAATTTCGAGGATCTCGAAGTTGGAGATGTAGCCGCCAGTATCCGTGCATCTGCCCGGCTTTGCAGGCGAATCATTTCTCTCGCCGACAAACGTGCCTGTTTTCACGGGTTAAATCACATACATCCCCGGGAATATTCTAAGAGACAAGATGAAAAGGAACATACACATTGGGCCGCGGCAAGTCGGATCAGACATCTTGAACGATCTCCCGTAGCTGGTCACGCCCACAACAATCTTGTGCGATGGGACGCCGGCCTTTGTCATCATGACTAGGGACTCGTGCGTCTGCGTTGAGTTCACATGGGACCGTAGACAGTTCCCTGCTGGGCATCCGTCCATAGACCATTCCCTGGCCACATCCCATTGACCTGTGTGTCCAAGGGTTAGTTAGCATCCCGTCCTCTCACTCTCGGTGGAGAGAAGCTCATGTCTGCTTGACAAACTTACCATGAAAGTCATACGTCATGTGGATAAAGTAGTCCAGGACCGGTGCCATTTCCTTGACCGGAAAGCCCTTGAGATACCAAAAGGAGGCCGCAGTGGCAACCGAAAGCGACTTGCCTTTGGGCAGCTTCTCACGTACGAGCTTCAGGAATTCGAGGTAATTCTCGCCATCGTCCTCACTTCCAGGATCCGATCCCTCAATGTCAGTTGCGCCAGGATACTCCCAGTCAAAGTCAAGGCCATCCAGGCCATTGTCGGCAGCAAACTTGACGACATTCTCAGCAAACGTATCCCTACGGTCCGGCGATACCGCCAGGCGGAAGAGACCCGACGTGGCGGGGGCATTGGAGAATTCCCACCCGCCAAATGACAGAACCTTCTTGTAGTCCCTGTCGGCTTTTATAAAAGCCTTCCACTGCTCTTGAACGTCTTCTTTGATGAGCACCTCCATGTCGGAGGAGAACTCGCCAAATGCAAAGTGAATGTGCGTGTAGCCGTCATCGATGTCGTCGACATGCATGGTGAGGCACGGGCGGTTGTAGTTCCAGCCCTCAAAATAGCCGATCTTCTTATATAACTCGGGCGGTTTGTTATCGTTCACCATCTCCATTCCGCAGTTGGCGATGCATCCGTTTTCCTTGGGCGCCGATGTGCCGGGGTTTCCAGTCGTGGAGTTGGACGGTATGCAAAAGTCGACCGTGGTTCCGCACATGCCCCATATGTTGCAGCAGACATCCAGCGGGCAGGGGTTCATCTCGGCGAGCTCCTCGCCCTCCTTTGGAGGCTTCGTGTCCGGCACCGTTGGGCCGCACTCAGCGTTCCACACGGATGCGGGTAGGGGAGGAAACCCTTCACTGACACAAATCCGCAGACCCAACAGGAGGTTGCCGCAGCCATCCCAGGCCCACGTCTTCTTGTTAAGGTCGAACAGATCATCAGTCGTCAACCCGTAGCTTGCGGCGATCGACTGGCAGTATTCGTCCTCTTGGACCTCATGGAACGCACAGGACCCATCTGGATTTGGATCTGGCATGACGTCCGGCAGCGTACCGGACGAGCAGCATACGGGCTGGCCGGGCTGGAGTGGGGAGCGACAGTTTAGCGTGCCCTTGTTGAAGTTCTCGAACGCCGTGCCTCCAATGCCGCAGCGAGTTGCCAGCGAGGTACACGTGTCTTTGCCCTCGACTCTGATGCTGCGACACTCGGCTCTTGGATTTAGGTGGCGCACATGACTGCGTCGTCGATGCTGATGCTGTGTGGCATTGTTGCTAGCGAACGTCCAGAGGGAAGACTTGGCAACGGACTCGGTTTCCACCTCGGACTTAGCGGACAGAAGCTCGCCGTCGTTCCATGATTTTACAATGCTCTGGACGGCGCGAAAATCACCTCCTGCGTCCGCAACGACACCAAAGATGTGGCTTGCCGTGCAGTGCCCCCCGCAGATCTCGAGAGTCTTTCTAGAGGGGGCCGAGTTCGAGTCTTGACCCTCAAGAGCCGTGATAAACTGGTCCAGCATGGACGCAGAGGTCTGCATCAAATCGACCTGTGACCCGGAATAAAGACCGATGAGCGTGCCGTGGAGATAGGTGAAGATAATCTTCTTCTTTCCGTGGATCGCGGTCTCTTGCTTGAGGTTCCGTTGGAGAGCCTGTGCGGCGAGGATAACGTCTTCGGTGGCCTTGCTGCTGAGGGGATCGCTGGTCTTCCACTTTGTCAGGTAGGCCGTGGCATTGGACTTGGCGGCCGGCCTTCCGCCATAGGCTAGACTTGCAGCAGAGCCAGAGTCATCCCGCCGCTGAGGAGACGACGGGCCAAAGTTTGTTGCGCCCAAGGCATCAGGGGCTACGTAGCCGGAAGCGGCAAGAAAGTTGACTTTGCTATGCGCGTTGCCAAGGGTGCAGGCGCGGATTATGGTGTGTGTTGAATCGTCGTCGACAGGCGTGTAGAGGTTAAGGTTGAGCAAGATTGGCTCGTTGCACGCGGCGAACTCGTCCACGCTGTGGTACGTGAACCACTTTGTGGTATTCCCGCTGGGGTCGCAGGCGCCCGGGCAGGGGTTTTTATTCAACTCGAGGCGCTGGAACTGTGACAGGCCAGACGCCAGACCACTGGCCGCGGACAGCAGCAGCAGCAGCCTGGAAGCCCAGCAAGCATTCCAGAGCCACATGGTGTAGATAAAACAGTCTTGCAAAACGCTTTTCACTCCCGATCAATAGGGCAGACGAAACCCTTTATCACCCTGACCTTTCCATCCCTGCAGCCGTCGGGACTTAGCGCTGACAAGCCCAAGGCGGCGCAAGGCTGCCCCCAGGCACGGAAAATCTTCAGAGAATAGGAAACAGAGGGAACGGGCAAAACCGCTGCGCTCCCGCAGCCGAGGGCTGAGTTGGTCCATTTCCCACCATATTGCAAGGTACAGGGGAGAACAAAGTGCTGAGTGGTGCTATATTTCCCCCTGACTGCACCCCACACGTGGCGTCTACCCCAACCTTATGCAGTTAGATCACCGTACACTGAGGCTCGAGCGAGTGACCAGATGCATCCAGGATGTCCGACCACTCTAAGCTGGAACCCCGCGCTTGGCGGGGGCCATGGTCAAAGACAAAACTGGAGCTGAGCGGTCATGCGTACATCAAAGAAGATGGGCCTCTGGGAAGGGAAGAAAGTTATACTGCACGCCCTGTACAAACTTGTACAACATATACTCTCCTCATTGAAGAGATTGGCAGCACCTTAGGAAAATGGAATTTGCTGTCAACTCTTGGCGTGATCTGAAAAGTAGCCCCACCGACAAGAAGACCGCGGGGAAACCGTTCCATCCGGACGGTCTGGACCGTCCCGACCAGGGGCGTCGCCAAGAAACGCCCCATGCACATTCTAATCTCCGGGAATCCTGCCTGTTCTGATTGGACTGGCTCTCTACTACGTACTAACTGGTTATTTCCCAATCAGGCCTCTTCTTTCTTTATACCCTTGTCGCTTTCTTCCTTCTCGCTGAAGTAGGATGTTCTGATACCTCAGGCGGAAGGGGCTGCTGAAAATGTGAGAGGTAGAGATACCCAAATTTGCCCAGATTTATTGCGAGTCTGAGGAGATTCAGCTGCACGGCAGGCAAGGCTGAGTTGCGATTATGTGTCATCTCGCTTGCAGAAGGAATAATCGGGAGGGGGCCTTCAACAATCCTCCCTGAAGGTTCACAAGCCCAAGGATCCATGCAATCTTGGTTCCTTCATTTAACTAAGAAGGCACTCAGCTTGGCTCTCGTTTCACGCATCCATGAACAGGGAGCGAGGGTTACATCCAAGCTTTCTTGCGAGCACACTAGTGTCATATGAAGGCACTAGTCTGAATTCCTCAACTCGAAGCTGCGCTACGGAGATGACAAGCGGCGCTGCGGTTTTGCTTGTGATGCATGTTGGAGCGGTTCTGTTTCCTGCATTCAGTTTACAGTCGGGCGATATCCCCAAAACAATCCGCCCCACGCCGAGAATCCTGATAGATGAGTGTGGGCCTCGCTTGCGAGGTAGTTGAGCAGAATAAGATGATGAGACGATGCAGGAACGGTGCATCCTGGCACGGTGACCCCTGCTCATAGGGTAGAACCTTTCGGCCTTCAACACCAGGAAACATGTGCTTACAGCCTCGCCGGAGGATTTTCTGAAACATCCAATGGAGGGGCAAGGGCGTCGGATTACAATCTAGGATGGGAGGGAGGTATCCGAGGAAATGGACAGTCAAACGGAAGTGGTCCACCGTGATGTGGCTTTCGACTACGGAGTCCCGCGGTCCCCCCGGAAGTTTCCACGGTGCGGTACATCAAGTATAAAGCCTTGCCGATCACGCTCACACTCTCGTCTGCTGTTACACTGCCTCTGCTGTCGCTCAAGGTACCTACTTGTTACCGCATTGTTACAGCATTGCTACCGTTTGGACGTTTTCTTTCCTCGTCCTCTTTACAGATGGCCGGGTCTTCGTTTCGACTGGCTGGGCTTCTCGCCCTCGCCCTTGGCAGCGTCGAGGGAAGTCGGCGGTATTCTGCGAGGGATGCGACTCCTAGTTTGCCGTCTGACCCTAACACTATTTCGACCTGCACGTGGTGGTGGGACAATGCTGACGGGGCCATCGCGTGTGCGGACATGCCGTTCGAGTGGGGCATCAGCATGGAGAACTTCCTCCTCTGGGTCAGTTCAGCCCAGGAATAATACCCATCTTTTGACTGACACCTCGTGCTGATTGTGTGTTATTTCTTTGTTCTCACAGAATCCTTCCATCACTGCCGACTGCAGGAACTACCTGACGGGGCGGTCTTACTGCGTCGAAGCCCCCGCTGGTGGCAACGAACCTTCCCCAACCACCACAACATCCAGAGCGGAGAAGCCGACGCCAACAAGCGGCAATGGCGTGGAGACACCGCAGCCAACGCAGCCGAACATGGTCGACAACTGCAACATGTTCTACTTTGCCAAAGCGGGAGACTCATGTAACTCGATCGCGGCGGGCAACGGCATCACGGCCGCGCAGGTCTTCGAATGGAACCCGTCCGTCGGCTCCGATTGCAGTGGGCTCTGGGCCAACAACTATGTCTGCGTAGGGCTGATCGGCGGCTCCGGCCCCGCCCCGACCACCACCACCACCTCCTCCACCGGAAACGGCATCGCGACGCCGACCCCGACGCAGCCCGGCATGGTGGATAACTGCGACGGGTTTTACATGGTCAAAGTCGGCGACACGTGCGCGTCAATTGCGTCCAAACACAGCATCTCACAGCAGCAATTCCTCGAATGGAACCCGTCGGTGGGTTCCGATTGTACAGGGCTCTGGGCGAACAACTACGTATGCGTGGGCCGCATTGGGGCCACGACTACTTCGGCGCCAACAACCTCAACAGGCAACGGCATCGCGACTCCGACCCCGACACAGCCCGGCATGGTGGATAACTGCAACGGATTCTACTTTGCTAAGGCCGGCGACACGTGCGCGTCAATTGCGGTCAAAAGCGGCATCTCGCAGCAGCAGCTTCTGAGCTGGAATCCCTCAATAGGTTCTGATTGCTCAGGTCTCTGGGCAGACAACTACGTCTGCATCAGCCGCATTGGAACTCCGACCAATCCCCCCGCAACGACGACGACTGCGGGCAACGGGATTGCGACACCTACGCCGTTCCAAGCCGGCATGGTGGGCAACTGCAAGAAATTCCATTTTGTTGTCAAGGGCGATATCTGTGCTTCAATCGCGACAAAATACAGCATCACCGTTGCAAATTTCATCAAGTGGAACCCTGCCGTCAAGAGTGACTGTACTGGAATTTGGGCCGAGAACTATGCTTGTGTTGGACTGATCTAGGTTTGGTAGACACATACGCACACACACACTCTCTCTCTCTCTCTCTATATCTCTCTCTCATTTCATAGCCTAGGAAGAGCTGTTAGTGTAATATACTACTCTATATTACTTGTGTTAATAAGTTCCTTATCCAGCTATCGAGGGCAAAATAGCGTTGTTTTGGAGGTATTGATCAATAATACCAAGACAATGAAATATCAATCCTATTAGGTTGGCCGAAGTGCTGGAATAGTATCATGCTGAGAACATCTATTTCAAAATCATTAATTCCCAGCAGAAGGAGGGGAACCCTCGCAACTCTTATAAACTAGCTAGAGATTTGGAATCAGAAAGGGAAACACACCAAGGTATCCCATTCGAAGCTCGGCGTGTGATTGAGGCGTATGGATAGTGAAGGAGCACCCGGCATTAGAAATTGGAGGAATGAGACTAGAGGTTGAAGGTGTGCTGTGATAACTATCCTCCCCTAGAGAGGATTCAGCCCGGAGTCGATGCTCATTATCTTCAGCAATTTTGGTGGCAATCGAGGGTAGCCACCACGCGTTAGGGGTCATTCGTGAGGTCCATATGCTGGTAACTCGCCAGGGCCACGATCGCTGTGCGGAGCTGAATCAACACTGATGATGTGGCCTTTCGTAGGCCTTTCTAATAGTATGTCAAATTCGCCTTACTCGGCACCTCAATCAGCCTCCTCGTTCGCCGTACGGTTCTTCCTCCCTTCGTCCACGTCCTTTCCCACTCGAGCTTTGCATTCCCTTTGATGTTTCGCCTCGTGGCGGCTACCAGTCGGATATAGCGGTCGTGAATGGTGTTTCCGGGGTTGGTTGCTGCTTCCTTGGCGAATTCATCAGCAGTCTCGTTGCCTAGAATGCCTTCGTGTGCGGGTATCCAGCGAAGCTCTACCTAGATTCCTTCGCCCGCGTACCACTCTAGCAAGCGGAGGCAACCCTCGATGTAGACCTGGCCTAATGGTATCTTTGGTTTCTGGGTTACAGGAGCTCTATCTTCAGGTATAACTAGCTTATAAGTATTACTTATCTATAAAGAAAATAAAGAGCATTGTTGAATAAATGATATTTTAATCACTATCCACCGGGGGATCAGCTAGGATCTCGCCGTTCCACAGCGTCCAGGCCAAAGATATATGTCATCCCGGCTGTAATGGGACTTCCTCATCTTCGCATAACTCAATACGTTCGAAGTCTATAACAGACACAGAAGGGTTATAATCATCCTCGTCAAAGAGAATGTTATGCCTTCCAGGGTCAGCCCAAGCAATTCCGACCGTTCGAAGAACATGGATAGCTGACCGAACTTGGACATATACAAACTCCTTGTTCTTAGCAGATAGCTTTGCCCAACTCCCTTGCAATGGAGTGCCCTTCACTTTAGTGATGACGAGTATAAAGCCATCTGGGCACTTCGATGAACAGCAAATGACACCTGCTGCGCGAGGAGAAGCAAAGAAGGGATAACCTCCCGTCCTTCTCTCGTGGATCTTCTCGTACGTGATCTTATCATTCAGAGCCATATCCGACTCACTCCGCGAGGTGGAGAGTTTGCTACTTTCTGACCAATCATACTATTTACCCTACCTCAAGTAAAGGTACTGTTCACAGCTTCTTTTTACTCACCAGGGTTGCAATTTCACCGCCCGCCATCGTTCTTTATACGTTGACCCGCCTATTGAACCTATGCCTGACGGCCTTTCTTATCGCTTAGACTAGTGCTTTTCAATCAGATCAATATTTATCATAATGGAAATTGACCAAATTACTTGTAGGGTTCATCAACATAGTCCCGCAGTAATCAACAATTTGGATATCTGTTTGACATTGTACATTTGGAGTTCTATTAATTAATTTTGTTGAACCCTCAAACAGAGGATCGCACTATTTGTAGTGACACATCAACAAAAATTGTTCTGATATGCCCACCGTCAATTGGCCATATTTGGTCTATCGATGGTGAATATAAACATTTCTAGAGAGCACAGTTGAGTAACGTAACTTACCCAACAACATTGCGCTATATTGGCCTAAGTATTGTATAAGACGAAAAAATGGCCAATTTCCTATACGACGCTGTTTGGTGTCCTTGCTGCCTCCACGATTTGGGGACGGCGATCCACACTCCCCGAAATAGCCAATCCGAGCTATATACTAGCTACCCGCACTTTTCGATGTCCCGTGGCCTTCACTATCTAGGGGCAACAGTCTAATCGTTGCAGCATCATTTTAGGCCATTCGATACGATCCCAAAGACACCACAGGGGTTTTTCTGGTAGCCTATACCGCAACAATTTCGTGCATGCCTTCATTAATCCGCTGCTGCTCTTCAGCCTATCATTTGAATGCTTTGTTCTCAGTTGAGGTTGGGGGGATTGGTTTTGGCTTGCTATTTCTCGGTGCTCCATAACCATTATATTTCTTTACAGTCCATTTTGTGTCACACAGCAGGTCATTCACTAAAGCGCTAAACTCTCTTTAAGATCGGTTCTTAAGGTTATAATAGAGCAGCTAGCTCTTTTTCTTTTATAGGATTATATAGCTCCCAGACGTTAAATTGATCGGCAATTCCTCTAATTTTAGCAAGCTATAGTTCCCATATTGTTATATCTTACAGGATAACGCGGGAAGAGGCCGCGGAGAGAGTATAATCTACCATTATAATCGTCTTATCTAGTCTTTATTATTAACCTTAACTTTGGTTTGACAGAAATCCGGTTTTTCTTCGATTTAGGGGTTGCTTCGACGGTAGGTGGTTGAACTTTCAACTCAGCATTGACCGGCGACAGCGAGGTTTATTGATCTTAACAAATATAGATCATATATTAAACGATTCCGGGCTCATAACTGACAGAAATCTGGTAGTACGACAACGTATGGACAAAAACAGATATATTGGAATCTCTAACCAACTAAAATGACAAAACCCGCTCTTTCAACAATCTGTGCGGACATCGATGACTAACTGTATTATGCACTTTTGTATGGTATGGTTGGTACCAGGTGTCACATGATTTTCTGGGTATTATACCTTGTTTCCACCATGTATTCAATCTTAGTATTCGACATACAACCTTGGAACATGCCGATGTCTCCATATTGCGGGGGTTGGCAGTAAACCGGGGACTATCGCGGCACTGCGGACTTTTGTCCGCCCACTCCACTTCTTATCAATAACCATACAAAGTACTCCAAACCCCCCAGCTTTCCTTTATAAAGCGATAGTACGCTGCATTATGGCGTGTTCTCTCTTTTTACGAACTCTCCCAAGAACGTGTCTTCAATCTGCCAAGCCTGTCTTTTTGAACCCTGCTCGAACGTTTTCTTCATCACGAATACAAGCTATGTTGACAACGGAGCTCTCCGAGACCGAGGTCTCTGCGCTCAGAGCCAACAAGGAACGCCTGGCCAATGATCTTCATCACTCGTGTCAATGGGGATCTGGAATCAGATGGGGAGAGTAAGCTACAACCATCGTTTCGAAGGTGGCTGGAGAACGACCGCTAACAAAAGCCTCGGTGACTTGATAGTGGACCTACAGATACTGGCATGCAGCGCCTGGCACTCTCAGATGATGACAAGAGTGTCCGTGATTGGTTCATTCAGACCATGAAAAATCTAAAGTGCAACGTCACCGTGGACGAGATGGGTAATATCTTTGCTGTTCGTCCTGGTCGGAGAGCGGATGTACCTGCCACATTCATTGGGAGTCATCTCGATACACAACCTACTGGTGGGCGGTACGATGGTATTCTGGGTGTGTTGGCAGGTATCGAAGTCATCAAAACCATGAACGACATGGGTCTGGAGACGGAGGGCGGAGTCGGCGTTGTCGACTGGACCAAGTAAGATCCCAACTCTCAACTTGGGAAACGGAATATCACTGACCGTATCCAGCGAGGAGGGTGCCCGATTCCCGATCAGCATGGTCTCAAGTGGTGTATGGGCCGAGTGCATCCCATTGGCACATGCGCATAATCTCAAAGAGGTGCCAACTGTGGCATCGCTTCCCACGGCGGCATCAGCCCCAGAGACCATGAAGAGTGCGCTGCAGAAGATCGGTTACTTGGGTGATGTTCCGTGCTCATACAAATCGACGCCGATGGCCGCCCATTTCGAAGTTCACATTGAGCAAGGCCCATACCTGGTGTCAGCAAACCAGCGAGTCGGGGTTGTGACAGCTGTGCAGGCCTACAGATGGTTCCGTCTCAACGTCATTGGGCGGGATACACACACAGGAACCACCGCCTTTGAACACCGAGCAGACGCTCTCTATGCATTCGCTCAAATGATGGTGCGGGCACGGGAAGTGGCAGCTTCGAAGGGTTGTCTAGCCAGCGTCGGCATTGTCGAGGCAAAGCCAGGCAGTGTGAACACAGTTCCTGGGGAGGTGAGCTTTAGCTTGGACATCCGTGGGCCCGAGACAGAGCTAGTTGCCGAAGTCGAGAAGGAGTTGCGCACTGATTTCGATGCTATCGCCGCTGCTGAGGGTGTTGGTATTGGTAAGCCTTGCCGCGTCGAGTGGACTCTTGACTTCGACTCCCCTGCTGTCAAGTTCCATGAAGACTGCATTGACTGTGTGCAGCAGTCAGCTCAGGCTGTTGTCGCAGATGCTTCTGTTGCGGATACAAAGTCACTTGTGCGGACCATTATGAGTGGTGCTGGCCATGACAGTGTCTTCACTTCCAAGCGTGTCCCAACGAGCATGATCTTTATCCCATGCAAGGATGGTCTCAGTCATCACCCTGAGGAGTTCTCCACTGCCAATGATTGCGCCACTGGAGCATCTGTCATTTTGCAGGCTGTGGTCCGCTATGACCGGAAGAGATTCTTGTAGGGCAAGTGCTCACTTTAGCCTGACAGAAAAGGCCTTGTATATAGTTCAGAACGAGTAAAGATCTTTTAGTATGCAGACACATCGACCTGCCAAGAAAGATAGAAGACCTACACGAAGATTGCCAATAAACCAATTTCACTCAAGTCATGAATTTACCATTGAATCAACTATATTAATCCACATAGATTTACATCATGAAACCAGTGGAAACATAAATTTCTTCTTTTTTATTTTGTTTCCTGTATCCCCAAGTCCCAGTAAAGCTGGAACGAGATCTAGGTGCACCGAGGGTAAGGCCCGTTTCAAGAAACCCCTATTCCGGCAGCCGAATTCGGATACACCATCAAGACTCTAGATTGACCGAGAAGTGGTTGACAGGACACCAATGCCTCTCAGCATTTACTCCTGGGGAGCGGCACCACGGCCACGGCCGAAGCCACCGCGGAAAGAGGGAGCGAACTCGCCGGGGGCACCGCCCTCCTTTCCACCCTCCTCGCGGCGGCGGTAACCGCCCTCACGGGGAGCGCGGGGACCACGGCGCTCACCGCGCTGCTCCTCACCGCCCATCATGCCGCGGGGGGGAGCGTGGGAACGCTGCTGCTTGATGTGGGTGGCGGGGACAACCTCGGCGGGGAGGTGGAGCCACTCACGGAGGTAGTCCAGACCCTGTTATTCAATTAGTATTCAGGCATGTGGACGTGTCAAGACGTGGATGGATCGTACCTCGGGGGTGAGGGTGTAGTAGTAGTACTGCCACGAGAACTGAGTCTTGACAAAGCCGCGGGAGTCCAGGGACTGGAGGGCCTTGATGACAAAGAGGTTCTTGGTGTCAATGTCACCGTGCTTGGGAAGGTTGAAGTCCTTCTTGGCCACGAGCACTCCCTCTATAATATAGGTTAGTGAATCCGCACAAAGGTGTCTCGAGCGCAGTGTCGTAGGGTCGTGAGACGTCGACGAGGGTTCTCGTTACATACCACGGAAGAGGTACTCGTGGATCTTCTTGCGGTCGTCTTTGGGGATAAGCCTGCGCCATTGTTAGTGAATCTGTCGGAAATAATCGCAAAAACGAGGATACGTACATTGTCGCGAGTTCCTGGTGCAAGTCGGGGAATCGCTTTGACAACGCCCGAGAATTATGGTTGATTTAAATGATGAATGAAGAGTGGAGCTTCGTTGCGAGAAAAGTGCGACGGCCCGAATTGGGTGTAGGGTTAGCACCCTAATCAATTTGTGGTTCAGGTCACATGATACCATCACATAATATAACTTATCACGTGAGAGCTACCCACCGCGTTCGCTGACTAAAATAAGTGATGAGTCATCATGGCTGCGGCGACCGCGATCCTCAATCTTATCGCAACATCTGCAGTCTTTCCAAGCCTCATCACTACTTCCTACCTACAATCAAACACAAAACTCGCCAGTCGCACCCTCGTACTATCTTCTCGGGAACTGCTTCTGACACACCCAATATGGCTTCTTCAAATGTCAACGTCCTATTGTCGTCCTTTCCGGGACTGTCGCTGCCAGCGACACTTTCGTTCACCTTGCCATCGACAGCGAGCACATCAGACCTGACGGCCAAGATCGCATCATATCTCCCGTCATCACTTTCTCTTCAGTCGCTCGTCCTTACTACAACAAATAACAAACACCTCACGGCCACCTCCGAATGTATCCAATCTTTACTCCCGACCCGCGATGGCGTCTTTACCTCTACACTCCTTCCGCTTCGCCTGACTGCCCCCACCTGTGGTGGTAAAGGTGGTTTCGGCTCCCAACTGCGTGCCGCTGGTGGCCGCATGTCCAGCAAGCGCAAGCGCAATCAAGGTGACAACAATGGCTCCAGTCGCAACCTCGATGGCCGCCGACTACGCACTGTCAACGAGGCAAAGGCGCTCGCGGAGTACCTTGCTGTCAAGCCAGAAATGGACAAGAAAGAAAAGGAGGAACGCCAGCGCCGATGGCAGTCCGTGGTGGAGATGGCCGAAAAGCGCCAAGACGAAGTGAAGAACGGCAACGGCAGGCAGAAGCTGGATGGACAGTGGATGGAAGACAGGGAGGAAATGAGCGAAAAGACCCGTGAGGCAGTCCTACGGGCTGTGAAGGATGGCGAATGGACAGACAATCTTCGCGACGCAATTCTGGGTGGATCCAGCACCAGCGCCAGCGACGAGGGCAGTGAGGAGGATGCTTCATCCAGCGAGGACGAAGAAAGCGAGGAAAATGGAGAATCATCCAATGCTGTTGCTGGGCCCTCTGTGCCTCAAAAGGCTGCACCCAGGAAGTTCATTGGTTTCGATGATGACGACGAGTTCATGAGCGACTCCGATGACGAGGTGGATGAATCTAGCAAGGGAAAGGGAAAGGCGCGTGCTTGAATATTCTATCATAACCAATATTTGTCCCACGGTTCACGACGGCGTTCTTTTACTACTACTTTCAGGGATTCTCTAGCGCATCTGTTTTTCAGCGCCTTCTGTATCCATAATTTCAGCCTCCGATGGGAGTGTTTAATGCAAAAGTTTTCCACTGCCACCAATACCAGCTTCATTTTAGTCTATTCATCCGTAAAATAACGAACAATTCTAGTTCTACAGCCTTGCCCAACCTTGGAACTCATATACTTATACGGCGGCCCGAACTTGCCATGTGCGCTATCGATAGATAACTGTCTCCAAAGAAAAAAAGCTCCGCAACTCCGCAATTTCACACGCCATCATGTCGCTCTGCTCTCGAGGCGCAGTGCTCAGAAGCCCGAGATTGAATCTGTTGCGTCTGCTTTCAAAGACCATTCCCCGATCCCAGCCCCAAACGCTCTTTTCACAATCGCGCGCCGCGCCACAATCCAAAGTCCTTACGGACCTCCGCAGGCAATGCCGATGCTTCTCAACAACTCGCTTCCAGCGAGAGCAGCCCCCAACTGAGCCTCAGATCGACACCCTAGCCGATTCCCTGCCTTTGTGCTGCCCAGGATGTGGCGCATTCTCCCAAACGGTTGAGGCAAACGAGCCAGGATACTATGGTACATCACGAAAGCAGATTCGGAAGCTACTAGCCGTGAGAAAGGAAGCAATTGAATACAAAAATATACAACAAAACGAGGCTATATCCACTGAGGGAGATGACTTGAGCGCACAGCAGAACGATGCCATCGAGGAGGCAGTGCCACCCAAGCCCATTCAAGGTGGGACTCATAGACTATTACTTAAGCGCGCCATTTGCTGACTGAATACAAAGATGGAGCTTTTCCAGATGAAGCTGTCGATCCCGAGAACAACTTTCTTGGGTCTCCCGGTCGAATCACCGAAGTCTGCGATCGTTGCCACGACTTGATACACCACAACAAGGCAGTCTCTTCGCCTAAGCCGACTATTATGTCTATACGAAACTACCTAGAAGAATCGCCGTACAGACACAACCGTGTTTACCATATCATCGATGCTGCAGATTTTCCAATGTCTCTCGTTCCACGCATCCATTGGGCTTTAATGCTGCAGGAGCAACGTTCGCGCAACCGACGATCTACGAATGAGAAATACGAACGCGGAAGAAAACTCCCATCTCTCTCGTTTATAATCACGCGCTCGGACCTTTTGGCGGCAACGAAAGAACAGGTAGACTCGAAGATGGATTATATTCGCACAGAGCTCCGCGCAGCTTTGGGGAGATCAGGGAGGGAGGCCCGTTTGGGCAACGTGCACATGATTAGCGCGCACCGTGGCTGGTGGACCAAGGAAGTCAAGGAAGAGATCCGAGAGCATGGCGGTGGCATTTGGGTCGTTGGCAAGGCAAATGTCGGAAAGAGCAGCTTCATTGAAGCTTGTTTCCCCAAGGATTCCAGAAATGTGGAGAAAATCGAAGAGTGGGTTCAACGCCGTCGTGAGGAAAATGAGATTCCAAACCAGCGAGAGGCTATCCTTCTTAACCCCGACAGTCTTCTGCCCCCTGCCCCCCGCGAGGATCTCTACCCTGTGCTCCCAGTCGTGTCTTCCCTTCCAGGCACTACAGTCTCGCCTATCCGCATTCCATTCGGTCGTGGGAAGGGCGAGGTCATCGATTTGCCCGGCCTAGAGCGTGGTCTATTGGAGGACTTCGTTCAGGATGAACACAAGCGTGATTTGATCATGACGAAGCGGATCAAGCCTGAACGTTCAACCGTTAAACCCGGCCAGTCTCTTCTGCTTGGTGGTGGTCTTATCCGCATCACCCCGGTGAACCCCCAAGATACGGTCATGTCCGCCAGTTTCCTGCCTCTCGAGTCTCATATCACCAACACACAGAAAGCAATTGAGACGCAGGCCGAAGAAAGCCCCTACCGAGGGACTGTCATTATGAAAGAAGGAACCGGCAGCACAATGGCCTCGGCCGGTATATTCGACTTGAAGTGGGATACCACCACCTCAAATCTTCCTACCTCCCTCGCCAAAGCTGTGAGGGACAGGGGGATTCCAGTGCCTTCATTGCCATACCGCGTGATGTCTGCAGATATTCTCATTGAGGGCTGTGGCTGGATCGAGCTCAGTATACAAATCCGCAGCAAGCGGGATGCTGAAGACGAACCTTCCTATCCGCAGGTCGAGGTCTTTACACCCCATGGGAAGCATATTGGGTCCCGGCGTCCGATTGAATGTTGGAACTTTATTGCAGAGAAGAAAAAGATCGACAAGCGCAAACGGCCGCGGACGAGATATTGATTGTTGTGATTTGGGTATTTGGACATGTACATTAGGCCATTTAGCATAGCGGCTCGGCGTTTCTCCTCTCTTATACATTGTACACTATTCTTGTTATACTACCAACTTCGTCTTCCATAATTGGTTGTAACTATATGTACGTTGTACAATGTCTAGTGCTCGTCCCCACGGTCCCCGCAGGTGGGGGGTGGGCTTAGCCTTTCACCTTAATTTATTTAACTTCTTTCCCACTACTTTATTTTGACTCCCTGTTTATTTTGTTGGACAAGCATTTTCTCTTCGAATCACTAACCCGTGTTTGTTTGACTGTGCAATTACCTTTTCTGTTGTTGATGTCTTTCCAATATTCAGTGTGAATTTCAAAATATATATCGCTCCTCGACTTTCAGCAAATCGACATTCACGCTTGCCTATGATGTTATCTTTTCGGGGAAGCGAAAATGTCAGGGAACTAGCTAAGCCCTGGCGCTTTAGTTTAACCCAGACCTATGACCCCGTGGAGAACTCAACGGGGCTCATCTCATTTGGCATGGCGGAGAATGTATCTATATTCCCCTGCAACATGGGAGTCAATAGCTAACTCCCATCCAGAAACCAATGAGGGCAGAGATAGCCAAATATATCAACGAAAAGGTGCATATTCCAATTTTCCCTTCATGTCGACATGCTGTCCATTAACTGAAAGAATCCCACCCTAACAACCTCGCATAGGTCGTCTTTACACAAGATTCTATCAGCTACCGCTCAAGTGCACCAACAGCCGCAAGATTACCTGCCGCTGCAGCAGTTCATTTGAACAATATCCTCAAACCACATGCCCCAATTGATCCGGAGGATATATTCGTTGCAGACTCTCCGACCTCTCTTGGTAGTATGCTGGGATACAGTCTCGCAGAACCCGAGGATGGGATCCTCGTCAGCAGACCTGTATACGGCCGCTTTGAGCTCGACTACGGCGTTGAATCTGGCGTTAAAATGGTCTATGCTGACACAACTGTGGAAGAGGCATTCTCTCCTGCTTCTGTGGAAAAGTATGAGCTAGCTTTCAAGGCTGCCAAGGAACGGGGCATGAAGATTCGAGCTGTGCTGCTTGTCAATCCCCATAACCCTGTTGGTGAGTTGTACGTGCGCTTGGTCCATTGAATTGAACTAATTGTCTGCCGCCAGGTCGTTGTTACCCAGTCGAGACACTCAAGGCTATCGCCCGATTCTGCAACAGGCACAGTCTCCATCTCATCAGTGATGAGGTCTACGCTTCCTGTGTGTTTGATTCTGGTGACCCCGAGGCTGTGCCGTTTACGTCAATCCTCTCGCTGGATCTTACGGGATTAATAGATCCTAATCTGGTCCATGTGTTATATGGTTTCAGCAAGGTAGGCATCGCAGAATCTCAATGGAGACAACGAATTTGACCTAAGATCATTATAGGACTTTGCTTCCGGAGGCCTTCATCTTGGGTTCTTGGTGACGCAAAACCAGCAGCTTCGTCAAGCCTGCAAAGCAATTCTGTGAGATCCCTCATCTTTTGCACTACGGAAAGTTACATGATGCTTGGCGTGAAACTGACACTATATAGGAGACTCCACGGTGCGTCACAAGCAGCGGTAACAATTGGCACCGCGATTCTAGAAGACCAAGCTTTTGTGTCAAGCTTCACAGCCAAAGCAAGACAGAGGCTCGCTTCAGCCTACCAGCTTACAACCTCGGTGCTCAACAAGGAGGGAATCAACTATGTCAAGGGCGGGTGAGTATACAAACTCGGACGAGACATTATTCAAAATCCTCATCTAATCCGATCATCAGAAACGCTGGCTTCTTCGTCTACATCGACTTGTCACCTTATCTCCCCCCTGGTGCTGCAATTTCCCCGCAAAATCGGGAATTCGCTCTTGCACAAAGGCTTGTCGATGCTGGTGTCTTCTTGCATCCAGGGGAAGAGCATTCGAGGGATATTGGGTGGTTTCGGTTGGTTTTCTCACAGGAAGAAGAGACACTGAAGGAAGGCCTTAACAGGTGAGTCATTTTCTTATTATTGCTGTGCTTTGGTTCGGTCGGTTGATTGATGGATTGTTTTGCATGGTTACAGATTGTTGAGTGTTTTAAAGTCGAGTGCATGAAGTATTCTCCATGTCACTATCAAGACTCAAAGATTCGGGGAAAATATGGCAAAAAAAAGAAAGGAGGACAATGGAATCACTAGCAAGCAAATAGTTTTCATCTGGTGTGTCCGTGGCCGACAGGTTGAATCCTGCCATAGCACCGGAGTCGACTTCCAAGGTTGGCAGGTCCCCTATATTACGAGCCATGGCATCGCCCATAGATACAATTTGCTCAATGGGAATGTAATGACAACTATGAGACCCTCTACGGCTAGTATAACACAGAGCGGTTTTGTGCCCAAAACCTACCCCAAGCGCGGGAGAAGCTTGCTCGCATTCAGGAAACGGTAGATGCGAATGTCAACATATGCCACAATCTCCTGATCTCTGGTCTCGGGTAGAAAGAAATTCAGCAACTTCTGCAAAAAAAAAAAAACAAAGTGGCTCTAGGGCCACTTTCACTGAGCAAGTTTATTCCAAATCATGATCGTGTTCTTACAGCAAAGCTTTGTTAAGGCAATAAAGGCGGCGAACTGCCCAAAGACGAAAACCACAGTAGGAATTGGCGCAACTATTTCAAAGGGACAGTTTTGCGGAAAGGAGCCCGATTGGGGTTTAAGGCCCATCGCAGTACTTTGGGAGCCAACCTCGCCGCAGCAGAAGAACACTGGCCGTCCCTTGTCGAAGTTGAGTCTTCCCAAAGTTATGTATCGCTCCAAATGGATGCCCGATGGTGGTGGAATAACTCAGCCATGGTATGTAGCTCAGCCATGGTATGTAGCCATCGATTATTAAGGTCAAAGAACTGAAATATTGAAAAATGCCATATGCTATGTGTTTTATTTTATTTTCGCAGAAGTCATCAAGCATGATTTTTGAAACTGGCAAATGAGACTGTATTTTTTCAAAAGAAATGTCGTTTATTCGACGTTGACAAACTGGAAAGTGGGGGTTCCAGGCACGGCATTCTCGCCGGACAGACCCTCACGCTTCTCACCAGTGCCAACAACCTCACCAGTCTTGCCACCCTCATCAACAGCAATGACCTCAATCTCCTTGAAACCGGAAGTGCGCTTCAGACCACCCACCATCTCGGACAGAACGGCGAGCTCATCGAAGGGAAGCTTGCGATCAAAGACAGTGGCGGGGGACTCGCCAGCATTGACGAGACGGCGCTTCAGGCTCTGAACGAAGGGCATGGCCTTCTTCATCTCACCGAACTTGCCGACCTTTCCGTTGAGCTCCTTGTCGTTGAAGGAGAGGCTCAGCGAGTCGAACGAATCGCGCACCAAGTCAATGTACTTCTCCTGCCAGTTGGGGAACTTCTTGGCAACGAAGATGGTAAGCTGCTTGGGCTTGCGAGGGTCGAAGGTAATGGCCTTGCCCTTGGAGAGCTTCTTGGTGAAGTTGGCCTCGGAGCCCATGATGTTGCTTGCGGTACCACGGACGTAGTTCTGAGCCGCGGTCAGCTCAGGCGAGGGCTCTGGAACGGCAGGGAACTGGGCGAAGTGGATAGACTCGGACTAAATGGTGTTAGAATAAGGTTGATCGTGAAGTGGGGGTAGAAAACTGACCTTCTTGAGAACCTGGAGCCAGATGTGTTCAGCCCAGTGAGGAGTAATGGGTGCCAGCATCAGAGCCTGCAGCTCAATGTAGCGCAGAATGGTATCCCCGTGCATACCCACGCCAGCAGCAGTGCAAGCCTCACGGTAGCTGTCACGGGAGCTAGTGAAGTCATATAGGCCGGACTTAAGAGCAAGCTTGAAGTTGGTGCTAGACAGAGAGTTAGTTATCGATGTCAATGAATTAGATGGAATGCAAAGCACTGAAATGCAAACTTACTCCTGGTAGTGCTTCTGGGTCTCGCGGACCAGGCTGTTAAGTTCGTTATTGAAGAGCTTGTCAGCGAAGGCATCAGCAGGGCCAGTGCGCAGAGTCTCGTCCTTAGCAACCTCCTCGATCCACTCCTTCAAGGTGTAGAGACGCAGGATGTTGCTGTTGGCAACAGACTCCTCGAAGTTGGCATCTTCAATGCTGTCACCAGCATCGGCAAATGCAATACGGGTAGCATCGGCGCCGAACTTGTCAACAGCATCCTTGAGAGTCAGGAAGTTACCGGTACTCTTGCTCATCTTCTCGCCGTTGAGGAGCAAGTGGCCGTTAGCACGGACACCACGGGGCCAGTACTCCTTGGGGAAGAGAGCAATGTGGATGTAGAGGAAGAAGGTCAAGTGGTTCTGGATCAGGTCCTTGCCGGAGACACGGACATCCAGAGGGTACCAGTATTCGAATTCACGGCGCATTTTCTGCAGAGATTCCGTGCTGATTCCACTCTTAGAGACAAGTTCGTCGCTAATCTCCCGTCTTGTGAAGATGTAGTCCCAGACCTCGTCGGTCATCTGCTCAGCGGTCACCTTCAAGGGGCCGGTCGTCTTGCCGTATCGGTCACCGTGAAGGAGGTGAGCGATAGTGTAGTAGGCCATGTAGACGGTACTGTCACTCAGACTCTCAACCAGGAACTGCTTGTCCCATGGCACCCGGGATCCGAGACCGTAGGTTCTGGCACACGCCCATCGGTTCAGCCAGGACAGATTCTTCTCGAAACCGTGCTTGCATTCCGCGGAGTAGGTGTTGAGGTTGTTGACAACGTGGTTCAGGGTCTCCTGCTGCCACTCGGCATCATTCTCACCGTAGTTCAAGAACCACTGGCCCAGGTAGGCAACAACACAGTCGTCACCACTACGGCTGACAACCTTGCCCATAGGGTCGGCGAAGGGGAAAGCATCCCCACTGTCGTAGAGATCTTTGCGGACCTTTTCCTTAGCCTCACTGACAGGCTCGCCCTTGTATTTACCAACTAGCATAGTACCCTTGTAGAAAGCTTCCATGTAGGCCAAATCCTTAGCCTGGGCAAGCTGGGTGACGTCCTTAGGGGAGTTGATCTTTAACTCCTTGACCAGAGCAACGGCGGTCAAGTTGCCGTAAGTAGGAGTTTCAATGAGCGGCAGGATTTCCAACTCAGCCCACTCCTTCTGGATTCCATAGTACTCAGCCTTCTTCGCCAGATCCATCAGGGTAGCGTAATCGTCGGGGCTGTCAGAGGGAACAGAGGTAACAACACCAGTACCCTTGGTTGCCGAAACACTGTCCATAGGCAGGATGCGGATACCTGCGGTGTGGAAAGACAGAGGTGCGTTGACCAGTGTTCCAATGAAGGCGGAACCCTGTACCTCAAGAACCTGCGGGAGCTCGTCTTGAGTTTTGGGGAACTTATCGCCGAAGAAATGGCCCTGGAAGGCCATGTTCCAAGCAGCACGCTTGGTCACGACAATGTACTCCTTCTCCTTCAGCTTGAAGAGACCGTATTTGATCTTTGGGCCGACGAAGCAGCTATTCTGGCCATACATGGTCTCGGGACGCAGGGTAGCCGGAACGAAGTATACCTTAGCGTCATCCTCGACCTTTCCTTTCACAAGCTCTGCCATTTCCGGCGACCACTCCTTAACCTGGAGCTTGAGCGCAGAGTATTCCTGAGGACCAATGCCCTCACCCTCGGTGCGGTCGTGGTCCATGCAAGGCTGGCCGTCCTTAGGCGAGTAGAGGGTATAACGGTTGCCGTACATGATCTTGCCGAGCTCGTGCAGGCGGTTCATCTGCCAACGCACGAAAGCATCGTAGTAGGGGTTAGCGTCGGTAGTGACGAACTGTCGGCGCCAATCGACGCGGGCACCCATGCTGTCAAGATCACGGATGGCAAGAGGAGGGAAGTGGTCGAGCCAGTGGGCAGCGTCGGCAAACTTGTGAATGTCCTCCAGAGGAACGCCAATTGCCAGCATGATCTGGAACTGGTACTTCATCTTCACGGTCTTGGCAGCGGCCTTGCTCTTCTTGCTGGAGAACTTCTCGCTTGCCTCGGCCTTGAGTTCTTGTGTGGGGGCTGCGAGGAGGTCCTCAGCGGCCTCAGCCTCCTCATTGTATCCTTCGAAACCCTGGCCGAACTTCTTCACCTCGTTGGCGAGCTTATCGGCACAGGCCTTGATAGGCATACCGGTGCAGTGGAAGCCCAGAGGGAAAAGGGCACGCTTGCCCTCCATGCGGGCAAATCCAGCCATGAACTCCACCTTACTAGCAGTGAAGCTGTGTCCGGCGTGCAGCGTACCGTTCATGTAAGGGTAGGCCATAGTACCGAAGAACTTCGGGTACTTCTCACGGAGCTCGGAGGGAGTCATGGAGCCCTGGGGGGCTTCCTCGAACGAGGGCGCATCGACTTCGAAAATCTTGTTGTCCTTCCATTGTGCCTGGTACTTCTTTTCGATTGCGACTAAGGTGTCTCGCTTTTCGGTCTGGCGGGCGAAATGTCAGTTAGTATGAAAATCGGCGATGGTGGGGGAGAGGGAGGGGCATATCAACATTTTCCAGTTTGAGGGTGTTCTTTGAGCTGTTGCTCGGATCGAGCTCAGCTACGGAGGCAACTGCGGCGGCCATTTTTCCTGATTGTCAGAATTGGCCTATAATTCCCTTGAAGAGCGGAGGGGAACAAAAGAAGCGCGGGGCGAGATATAAAATCAGTTTGTTCAGTTTGTGAGTCAAGGTAATGCGACCGTATTGTATTTTACGGGGAGGCTCCACACTCAAAATATCCTTTAGAATGTTGCATAGATGGATTGGTGTGTAAAGAGGATGATAAGTAAGAGAGCTTAACTCGAGATATATATGCAAATTGAGTCGTCAGACAAACTTTTAGTCCTTACTTGTGTCTTGAGTGAGTTTTAACTAAACATGTTCTATGTGACCTGATCAATACCATCTATAGATTGGAGGTTGCACGTGACTATCACGGAGCAACTTCTTCGCCGACAAGCGCATCTGCGATAAATTTCCCCGATCAACAAACTCGCAATTCCAGCCATATATTACTGTTCTTGAGCAATAATCTTGCCAATTAATCTTGCACCCTCGCCTTATCCTTATACCCACACGTCTCATCGCATAAGGGCCAGTCCCTGTGCGGAACAGCC